ACCCGATGGATCTCCCAATCCTGATGCTGAGAAGAATCTGTGGCTCGTGGGCGTCATCAACGCTGCACCATACCTGTATGTCCCATCCGTCGCCATCGCAATTGCAGGTTCACGAAGTTATTGACATTTCATCAGTGGTTCTGCTTTCATCGGCTGCTGGCTTTCGGACCCGTGCAATAACTACTTCGGTCGGCGAGGTGTGATTTTCATTTCTGCAGTCATCCTGATTTTGACCCCGATCGGCGGTGCCGTTTCACAGACATGGGAACAACTCTTCGTGACTCGACTTCTGATGGGTATTGGAATGGGGTTGAAGGGAGCCACCACTCCGATCTTCGCCGCTGAAAATTCCCCTGCTGCAATCCGTGGAGCTTTGGTCATGACATGGCAATTCTGGACGGCTTTCGGTCAGTTGAACCATGCTGAGAGAATGCAATGGACATGCGCTAACAGCAATAGGTATCTTCTTGGGAACTGCGGCCAACCTCGCCGTCTACAACACCGGAGGCATCTCATGGCGGTTACAACTTGGATCCGCCTTCATCCCTGCGGTACCCCTCGCGGCACTTGTCTATTTTTGCCCTGAATCTCCCCGTTGGTACATCAAGAAGAAGCGCTTCCAAGATGCCTTCCGATCTCTGCTCATTCTCCGGAACCACCCTCTCCTCGCCGCGCGAGATCTCTACTACATCAACGCGCAAATCGAGGTGGAGTCTGACATCGTCGGTGAAAGCAATTACTTGAAACGGTTCGGCGAGCTCTTTACCATTCCTCGCGTGCGCCGAGCCACACTGGCATCGTTTGTTGTCATGATCGCCCAACAGATGTGCGGTATCAACATCGTGGCATTCTATTCTTCGACCATTTTCCGAGAGGCGGGAGCTAGCGATCTTGCTGCCTTGCTTGCAAGTTTTGGCTTTGGCGCTGTCAACTTTATCTTCGCCATTCCCGCATTCTTCACCATCGATACCTTTGGTCGGCGCGCGCTGTTGTTGTTCACCTTCCCTCAAATGGCATGGACCTTGCTCGCAGCGGGCTTCTCGTTCTACATCCCTGAAGAGAGCAGCGCACATCTTGGTGTTATTGCACTGTTTGTCTACCTCTTTGCCGCTTTCTACTCGCCTGGAGAAGGCCCTGTACCCTTTACCTACTCTGCAGAGGTCTTCCCATTATCCCATCGAGAAGTCGGTATGGGTTGGGCTGTTTCAACCTGCTTGTTCTGGGCTGCCGTTTTGTCAATCTCATTCCCTCGGATTCTCGCTGCCTTCACGCCGACTGGTGCCTTTGGTTTCTTCGCGTAAGTTTTGCTCACTTCAACGCTATCTGTTCTAGACATACTAACCAAAACTCACAGTGGTCTCAACATCCTGGCCTTGATCATGATCTTCCTGTGGTTGCCAGAGACCAAGCAACGGACACTTGAGGAGCTTGATTATGTCTTTGCCGTGCCGACGCGCACATTTGTCAAGTATCAAACGGGCACCTGGCTTCCATGGTGGATTCAACGTTATATCTTCCGCCGCAAGAACGCTCGTTTGACGCCTTTGTACCATTTCGAGGGTGTCAAGGAGCGCCAACAGGATGAAAAGGTTAAGGACGACCGAGAGTCGTAGTTCTAGCGATCCAGGCTTTCAGACCTGTTAAGGCTTTGGAGAATGTGGGCACGGATCGAAAAGATCAATTTGATCGAATCTTCAACGATTGGAAAGATACCAGATTGTCACCCCTTTTATATTGTACCGAGTACAAATAGTTTTTATAGTATAATTTCGTCAGATCATGGTCGCCCTGCTGGCACCACGAGAACATACCGAGACCTAAATGCTTTCCCTCCTCTAGGTAGGTAGCAATCCTGCGCAGATTGTCTCTTGTTTTGGATCCCCATTCGTAGATTTCCCCCTTGGGCTCAATCTCAAGATCGATTTCTGGAGAATTTACCATGTAACAACCGGCGACGCAACTGACCTAAGATGAAGCTCACGGAATTGCATCGGGCAGACCGGAATTTTCATGGTGCAGCATCTTGAATAAGGGGTCCCAGACAGTGACGGCCCTCTTGGTGAATCTCCCGTTGGCAAACCCTGGGCGGGGCAAGAAAAGTTGCTTGTCAACTGAGCATTCGACGACTTGTCCGGTAAGTGATGGGTTATCGAGGAAATGGTTGTATGCGGCGGTAATAGTAGCAGCAGGGGTCAAGCTAATCGCGAGTTAGAAACAAAACAGTCTATGATGATCGATCTCTGGGAGGACCATCCAACTTACCAATCTGGGCTGACTGCATCGATCATGGACTGAGGAATGATCTTGGTGGGGACGATTCCGGGGAGGACGACGTTGATAGTGATGTTTTCTTTCTGATTGAGAAGTCAGTCATCGTTCCAGGCAGGGTGGTAAGAAAGACGGACAATTTCCAAGACTGGAGCCATGCACAGCGCAAAGTTCAAAACCTAGATCAGAATCGTCAGTGGATGACTGAAAGGGGATGCTTCCACGATTTCTCTTACGGCTGCTTTAGCTCCACAGTATTCAGGATAGGATGGATGCGGGTGCACAGCGGCAATGCTGGCTGTGGCAATAATCTGTCCTCCGGGCGTGGGATTTTTGCGCATAAAATGGATAGCAAGCTGGGTGCCGTAGACGATAGCCTTATAGTCTATGTCGGTACAGTCGGTGTTGGGAGCTGGAGGGATTCTGGGCTAGTCAGCTCGACAAATCCATCACAGCGATCGAAGGATAAGCATACTCGTCCTTCCCTCGGTGGTTCAAAATATAGACTGAACTTCGATCGACGATGCCCGCGTTGGCCAGAAGTGCATCAATCCTGCCGAACTTGTTGAATACCTGGCTATACGCCTGGGCCTGTTGGTCGTAGTCGGCAATGTTGCATTGGATGAACAGCGCATTGCTTCCCAACTCGGCCACGAGGGCTTCACCTGCTGCTTTTTGGACATCCAAGCATGCAACCGTCCATCCTTTTGTAACAAGATCTCGTGCCAGGGCCTCGCCCATCCCAGACTATAAATTGTCAGAAGCTTCTACCAGGCCAAGGGAAGCTTGAAACATACCGCCGCTCCGGTCAAAATTGCCACCTTGCCAGCCATGGTTGTTACGTCGTCGACCTTTGGCTTTTGCTGTTACAAAACTGCGTCGACAATTTCTATTTTGCGACTAACCTACGGTGATGTAAGTGAGTCGAGACGAATGTGATCACATTTGAGTTTGACTTGAACTAGCCTAATAGTGACGAACCGGATGCCACTTACAGGGGACCCAAATCAAGTAACTGATTGTATCTGCAGAAGGTCATCAGTCCAAAGGAATTTGTCGCACGAATTGACTCCATCACGGATAACATTTACCTCGCTTATGTCTAAGGTGAGGGGATCAGCATACGATACGCGAGGCTTTCCAATCCCGTAATGTTCAAAGTGGATCGTTCTCCGCAATCGGGGATCCCAGTGTTCTCCAATTGGTTGCTGTGAGTCAAGTCGTACTCTTTGAAGAAAGGATCATGAGTCGTTCTCCAGAAATGAGTTCGGCAAGACGACAATGTATTTCTTCTCGGTTGGGTATGTCAAGTCGGAGGTGAAGACTGGAAAAGGCTAGGGATGGTATCGTTGGAAAAGAAAATTCCCCATTTATATCATGTTCCACAAATTGACCCATGCTTCTCGGCCAGATTCTGCACCCGGACTGACTTCGGCCCCATAAGCCTCCCCCAACTATCAACCCGACCACACCTGGCATTGTCAGAAGGATGTTGGATTAGTTGATAAAGAAGAGCCGGGAAACGTTCCACCGTAGTTCATAGGCGCCCTTTTCCTGTCCTTCTGCAGCCTCGAAACATTGAGCCCCTTCGAGGCTCCACCTCGAGGGCCACATGAAATCCCATAGCTCTAGCGTCTGGGCATTCTCATTCCTCGATATACATATAGCCTGGTTGCTCGCTAGCTGTCTCTTTAAATGGCCGAGTCCCCTGTGACGTTGATTCGTTGTGCAACAGTGTCATTCTCCGAGTCCAAATTACCTACGTCTAACGTCATCCAACAAAGAGAGTATTCAAAATGTTCATTATCTTTGGGAACCTCAATTTTGCCCCAGGCCGACACAATGATGTGAGCTGACCAGCCTCTTCGTTGAGCCTCATTAACTGACCGCCGAGGCTAGTGGTGGGATGCATTTGCTCCTCTGGGCGAACACGTATGGAAGAACGAGGCAGATTCAACGTTGACATATTACTTTGGAGTTCCGCCCGAATATGCAAAGGACATCTCTGCAGCCAATCAGACACTGGCGTTCGAGATCTATGGCAAGCGCGAAGATCTCTATACGACCCATTTCAACTCAGCCGCAATGGGAAATTTCTTAAAGGCGACTGCACCGACGATGACGACTGGGCTGGATTTGACCCACTTTGAAGATGTCCAAGGCAGTTTCTTGGACAAGCCGGGAGATAAACGAGAATGTGCTGTCATTTATGATTCCAAGATCAAGTGTCACGCCGGGAAGCGTGACGTTGTGCTCGAGCGATTGTCGGCCCTTGCCAAAGAGATCGAAGCCAAGTTGGACGATACTTGGACTTTTATGGTGCTGAAAAGTCTTGATAATGATACCGACGTGCGGATCTTCCAGCGGTATGGAACTTGGAAGGGTCTGGAGGAGCAGGAGAGTTTCAAGCCGCGATTGGATGCTTTCTTTGCGAGCAAGGAAGACATTGCAGCCATGGAGGGCCGTGCGTTTGTGCCAAATGGTAAAGGATGGCTTCACAGATAGATAGTTGCTGGAGAGACATGTGTGTTTCTTGACGGGACGGGTCAGTCCGCCTTGAAATCGAGAGACCCGATATCTACATACTAACAGATTAGGAATCCTGTGATGTACGGTAGGAAGTGATCATCATTATCATTGGTCTTTTGTGTTCATGCCTCGTAATTTCCCCCATCCTTTCGCCTTTAATCCCTTTCCTCTCTTCAGATTGTTTAGTAGGTCAAAGTCACCCATCAGGCCTGGCTGACCTGGAACCTTTCCACACTCGCCCATGCCGTGTCGTAGACTGGACCTCCAGTTGTGATCCAGAATGACTCTGGACGGTTCCAGGTCAGATTATTACTTTGCAACAACTCGATAGCCGACACAAGGTCCGCCTTCTTCGTGAGACGCAAGGCCTTTTCCGTAATCTCCAGCTGTGATGTAGTATCTTGAGCAATGCCAGTACCCTGTGCTGAGGAGCGGGTGATTCCTTCAAAAAGCTGAAGAACATGTTTCTCCGGACGTCCCAGCCGCCGCTGCACATTTGCAAGCAGCAAGCGGATCCAAAACGTTTCGCGATTGTCTCGATCAGGCTCTGGCCGGTTCCCTGCCTCGTCTAGGATCTTGATGAGTATTTGCTCCGCATCATCGAACTCCTCCTCGTCCGTATGAAGAAGTGCTCGAACATGGGATGCTTGACAATGTCTTTCAAAGCTTTGAAAATCAAGAAAATCAGGCTGGGTCATCAAATCAAATCGAGCCAATGCCTGATCGGGCAGGTTCATGTCCCTGTAGAGATAGACCAGGGCCACTCCAGTGTCAAAAGCATGAGGCATGCGCAATCCGATTGTCTGAACCCTGGAGTCAAAGACGGGAATCAAATGCCCCAATGCGTCTTGTAGTCTGTCAAGTTTGTGGCAAGCTATTCCCAGGAACGCGCGGGTCATTTGTGTCGCCGGATGATCTGGACCCATAATCGAGTCCCAGACTTTCCACGCATCCTCAAACAGGGAATGCGATGTCTCATACTTTTTGCTCTGATCAAGTGCGTAGCCAAGATAGAGTTTACAAAACAATGAGTACTTGGCCGATGGCCCAGCTGTTCGATCAAGGTATTCTGATGCTTCTGAGAGTGCCTGCACCGCTTCACTGAATTTGGTTTGGTAGTGCATGGCCAATCCCTCATGTTCACGACTGATCCAGGTATCTGGATTGTCGAGACCGAGTACTTCTCGCTGAATTCGCCCAACATGGGCATGAAGATCCTCAGCAAGGTGGTACAAGCCCTGAAGGATATTGTCGATACCAACGTTGGTCCAGCCCCTCAAAGTCAATGGGACTCTCATGCCAAGGATCCGCTCGTAGCCTTCTGCAATGACGGTGTGGTACTCGTATGAGAGCTTGTAGTCATCATCAGACTGCGAACCCCAATTATAGTAGTCGGCAAGGGGTGACAAGATCAAGTAGCGGTTGAGGTCGGTCTTGGGGTACTCGGAAGACACCGATTTGTACGGAACTTGAAAAAATGCTTCCAGGTGGACTTGTTCTCGAGAAGCGGGCGGAAGCGTCTCGAGCCACCTTTTCAACGCAGCCCGAGCATCGACCACGGATCCCGAGTCCAGTTTGTCCTTCAAGAGAAACATTGTTTCTGCCCAAGTGATGAATTGTGGGCCTTGAATGAAGTCCTCGAGTTGTTGCATAAGTGCGTCTTCGGGATCGTCGACAGCGGTGAGATGTTTGTGCCAATTCAAGGCCGCGTACTCGTAAAAAACGTCGTCGATGATGAGGCCACTGACATCCTGGACTTTTGGAGCATCCGGGTAGATGTGGCCACGGACAAGTTCCACTATCTTCGATCGAGACTTGTATTTTTCCAGATTGAGCTCTGTCAGACATTTAGCTGCGAGGTAGGCATCAGAAGCCTGACGGGTGAAATGGATGAGATATTTGTTCTCAGGGTGATCAAGATCTGAAGGCATTGGTTCGTAGAGATATTCTCTCACCGACTCGTGCATCAATTTGACCCGGTCGTCAGAAAAGGATATGAACGGCCAGCAGAGGGAATGTAGAGTATCTTGCGTATCATCAAGGCGGTCGTATTCATCAACCTGAGGCTTCCCAACCTGCAGAGCGATGACTTCGGAAACTTCGGCGAGTTGGAGGGGTCGCACGGAAGCCGCAAGGGTGAGAAAAAGCTCGTGTCTCAGGAGCAACTCAGTGGAGTCCAACTGTTCTCCGGTTTCACGCTGCAACTGTTGATAAACCGGTGTGAGTCCTTGGGGGAATTTTTTCAGGCGTCTCAGGCGTTCGTTACGTGTGGGAGCTCGTTTAAGATAGTCCAACATCAGGCGCGCCCACAAAAACATGCCTTGGGCATGATCCTGGGTCTTGGCAAGAATCCTGTCCTGGAACTCGTGTAACGATGGATGCTTGTCAACTTCGAGTTGCACGAATCGGAGAATCTCCGGCATCATGGTGACCAGATTCATGGGAATGTGGGTGGCTGACTGCAGTGGTTCCTTGAACAAGTGATGCTCGCGAGACAAGATAACTACACGAGAATTGGCCTTGGAGGCCATTGTCACCAGGCGCTTGAGCATTGGAACTGCTTCCTTCTCGGTGTGGCACTCGTCAATCCCATCGACTACAAGCGTGTACCTGGGCAGTAGATCAAGAATGTCGCCGAGGCAGTCCCAGAGGCTATCCAAGGGGCAATCCTTACTGGTGTCGTAGTGGGAAAATAATCTCCACATTCTTGTGATCATGAGTCGAAAGTTGTGGTCTGGCTGGCGATATGCCCTAGAGATGATCTGACCCAGTACGGCGGCCGTCAGGTTGTAGGCGGTGAGGCTGTCTTGCAATGTCCTCTGGTAAAAATGCCCGAGGACTAGATCGTTCCGTGCATGTACCATGTAATGTGCTAGCACTGTCTTGCCGCAGCCTGGACACAAGTTGATGTTTGTCATCTGCGTGGGAGATTTCAGTCCCATATACTTACCTGGAATGCCAAATACCCACAGAGGTGTGTGATTTCCCTCGGATTCCCAGCGCTTGTATTCGGCTGATTCAAATATCCAGCGGCAGGTTCCTGCTGACCACTCTTGAGCGAAGGGCTTGGTCGAGGCAGAGTATCGGAGCCAGCGTAGGATTCGCTCGAACCGCGTGTTCATTTCCTCGACTTGAATCTCATGATTAGCTCAGTTCACTCTTGGTCGAGGGATCTGGAACTTGCCATCTCTGCTCTTTGTCGTCACGTCCGCCAGTCCTTGTATCAAACTTTGGACCTCTGAGCTTGTCAACGTCACACATTGGGCCGCATCTCAGTATCCGTGTTTACCTTTCTCCTTGGGCAGCTGCTTGATCAGCATTGTCTGCTCCGAGATCTCCACAGGCACATTCTTGTTCGCTGACCAAGAGTATCAGTTACTTTTGCCTTTCTAGTAGGAGTGGGAGTCTGCAACCTTCTCTAAAGCTGTTCTGAAGGGCATATTCAGCCTTGGCTTCTTTGACCGCATCAGTTTGTGCTGATTTCTTTCGTCAGTGGAGATGTAGCTAGTGGCTGACGGCTTTGCATACCCTTCCTGAATTCTGCATGCTCTGTTCCCTCCTGAGTCAGTTCAATACTTGGTGCCATCAGGATAGGCAATACTGACTGGATTCCGAGGAGACTACAATTTCCCTGTCTAAACGCAGAGACAAATCTGCAATCTGTACTCTCAAGTTCTCAAAAGCGATAGATTTACTAGTGAGACCGGCAATCAGGATGCGAACTGTACCGAAATAGTCAGCCAAATCACAGCAACAGCAAATAGATTGTGAGGTTTCAAGGGACGCGTACGGGCCGTTGGCTTCAGGAAATACAGGGTAGCTTTGATCAGTAGCTTCAGTATGTAAGCAAACAACTCCGTGACAGCTTCGAAGATATTCTTGGACCCCTCGAAGGTCGTTAGATGCTCCTTGCATCGAGTCACAACTCGTACGACGTCGGCCAAAGCATTGCCCAACGCAGCAGCCAACTCCAGCTCGGCGACGACAATCTAGGGCCATCAAGTCAACCTTCAAGTACCAAAATTTCAAGGATAGGCCATACCATTAACAAGAAACGGAAAGATCCCCACACCAAGGCCGTGATATCTGGGTGATGTTGTATAAGTACATCCACGACCAGCGAGTAATCGGAGATGATTGTGAGAGCGCCTTCGACTTTCTTTCGAGTCTCACTCTTCTGAAGCAATGCTTTCTCCTTACCACTTCTTGCGATATTCTGCAGCTCCTCGCATGAGGTCTTTTCTTTTGGAAACGCGGCATAGTTGGCAGTCAGACCGGTGGCACCGCTCAGATCAATCTTCTTCTTCTCATTCTTGACAAGCTTGTCGTTGTAGAACATAATTGCAGCCCGCCAACAAGAGGCAAACTGAGTCTCGAGTCTGGGCATTGGTACTGGCTTGAGATGCTTGAGATGCTTGAGATGCTTGGCCTGTCCCCGAGGGAGTGGTCGAAGATGTTGTTGGGCCGTTGGTGACCGGTGGCCCAGAACCACTTGCAGGCATGGCTGAACCGTATACAGACACTCCCAGCATGAGATGTCATCCTTATCTCCATATCCACGACCAAGATAGTCGGGGTCCAGTCATACTATGTACATGCTCGGCACCAGTCTTAGCTTTACTGCCAGCGCACATCGAAGCCTGCTACTGAAGGCCTTCAACCAGGCAAGGGTAAAGTACGACTTGCGCCCTGAAATAGCGTCGAAGCTAAATAAAAACTCAGGGCTTGACATGCACGGCAGCCCAAATGGACTCGGGCCGGGTCGCGGGGCAGTACTTCGTGGCAAATCATGACCCCAGTCTAGCTTCAAGCCCTGAAACTCTGATAGGGATTCATGGGTTGGAGAAAAGGGCATCTACGGAGTAGGATGCCACCTCCAGCCGCCTCAACAGCCTTTCTGAGACTCACGAGGAGAATATCTCCTCCCAATAGGTAGATTCAGAGAGCCCGGGCGCAGAAGCCCCAGCGTTGACAACGCCAGAGTGTTGCCGCTTTGCCCGACGAAGGAGAAAAGTCACGTTGATTGGCCGCTTCGTACAAAAGAGCATTGCTTCATGAACTAAAGATGCGCTCCACCATCACCAGACATCTCTGCTTACGCATTGTACTATTAGACAGCCCCGCGATCCTCGCTGGGCCTGCCCAAAGATCACTAGAGGGTATCCGTCGGACCCTGCAAATAGGCACATCAACTCCTTCGGCCTCGCCCTACTTTCCATCCTGGCCCTCGCTGTCTGTGAGATTGTCAGCCGATCAGACCTAGTTATGCCGCCGACAACATTTCAGCCTGATCGAGCTTGAACGAACCTGATTCTGCCTTGGGCTCTGTTGGCCTGGGTGGCGCGCGACCGGCTCGGACAGCAGCGCCTGACACCCAAACTCCCGCGTCGGTGTAATAGCCAAAACCGCATCCGCAGGTGATGGTCTTCAGATCCTGATCTGATCGTGGAGGACTTTCTGGTTGAACGCAGACTCCAGGGCAATCGCTGCCATCCTGATTCCAGCAAACACTGTCAGAGACATGATGGTAAGTTTTTGCAATATCAGGTACTCACTTCCATGGTCTTGATTTCGGAACTCATCTTCACAATGATAATTTGGAACGGCTGCTTGGGAAAGGTTCGAAGATGGAGGAGGTTGGGAGAGATCTTGGTCTTTGCTCAATTCTTATATAGCATTCAGGTCTAAAGGTCTATGAAAAGACTCCCCAAGACAAAGTATTCCTAATGTGGTCCTCGTGGCAGGAGGAGTTGCCGCTTCGTTTCCCACCATGTCAGGCTCTTCGACATCTAGGATCCCGGAAATTTAGAGTACTGATAGACGCCGGACTAGCATTTGACTTGCCCGAAGCAAACACCCATCTGTCCACGTAGGTTCCAGGACTCCAAGTCTGCATGAATGCAACAATAGTCCTTCTTGGCGAGCTCGAGCATCCGTTGATCGTCGCGAGGCACTCACCATACAGACTTGGGCATCAATCTGCATCAGCGGTGCCTAATGTGGCTCACAGCTCCGCACACCCCACCAAGCGATGCACCCCAAAACCAGGTTCTGGGGGTTGACCAATCACGCAGGAGGAATGAAAGCACCCATGGCCAACTCTAGGCTACTGAGAGTCGAGTCAGAAGTCCAACATACGCCTTAGAGGTTGGCTTTATTGGTGAAGATGGCGGCGATAAATGAGGCTCCGGTTGTTGCGCATACGAAAGCTTGCCAGGTCAGTTTTTGCTTTTTCCATGCCACTGATGCAAGGGTCTTTGCTCACAGAAGGCATCTCCAATTCCTTGTACAAAAGACTTCCTGACCAACCGCCGTACAGGGTCCTCCAAAGGTTGCAAGCACTCGAAGCTCTGGAGGCAATCTTTCGCAAGCTAGCCACATTTAGTTCTTGCTGTCAGAATAGGGGAGTGGAGGACCTTTTCAATATCACCGTGATACGAGCCTTCCAAGTTTGTGCCTAGATAATACCTTGTACGGTACTGTACCATTGCAGCTAGGACGGACAGGGCAATCATGTTGGCAATGTTGGAAAACAGATGATACCCAGCGTACATGACGGCCCGGTCTGGCCATATTAGAATTTGAAGTTCGGCTCTGGGGAGCAAATTTACCTTCCTGGGACGTAGCTCGAATGAGATTGATCAACAAGCAATTGGTAATTACACCCATGCATATTCCCGAAATGATCGGCCACAGGAACTCATTAGCAGCGTTTTCAGAACCTGTCGACGACTCAGTATAGGTCTTTGATCCCAATGGCCTACAATACCTTGCCATGTTTGCCGAAACATGATGAGTGCCAGAATGTACACTCCGTTGGCACATACTAGGCTTTGCCAGACATAACCTCTCCACTTGATCAGTAGTCCGGCGACAGCGTGGCCAATGCTTTGCCCAATGGCACACAGGACAATCATGAGCCCAGAAAGAGAGCTGCTTCCGTGGCCAGATGCCTTGACATACAAGGGCATGAGATAAAGTAACTGTGATCTGTGGTTAAGGCAAACTCCTCGATAAAGGTGGAACGAATATAGTACTTACTCCCATAAGGGTCATTGTGCTGAAGAAATTTGTGCCAAAGAGAGAATAGATGTATTGCGGCCGGAGAAGGTGCAAGGGAATCAGCGGAACGGCGGCTAGTTTCAGCTCGATGTGGGCGTACAGCGCAAAGAGAAGGATGTCGAGAACGAGGAGGCTAGGGACAATGGGATGGTTCCATGGAACATCATTGCCAGCGAGATTGAGGACAACGACCAAACAGAGCGTCGATGAGACCAGTGTGCATGCACCATAGAGATCGAAATTATTCAGCCTTGCTATCTGGCGAAGAGGCGACCCGGTGTCATGATCTTTGAAGCTGACTTGAGTGGGAAGCTGGGGAAGTTTAAGAGTCCAGTAGACAAGCAGGATGGTGAACAAGCCGAATGGAAGTAATATGAGGAAAGCACTGTGACGGTGTCAGGTCTGATGAGTGTTGAAGGAATCAATATCGTACGGCCTCCAGCCAAGGTGATCAACTGCAAGTCCTCCTAAAGGACCGCCGACCACCTGTCCGCAGACGGAGAGCACAACCAAGCCACTCTGCCATAAAGCTCGGTCACGAAGAGCCACTATGTCTGGATTTTGTCAGCTGAAATATGGCAGAACACGATAGAGCTCAAGCACCGTTGAGTATCACCGTCACCAAGAAGCCCATGCCTGCTCCTCCAAGACCCACCACTCCCCGGGCGGCAACGAGCAGCCAGAAAGATGGGCTTAGAGAACTTGGAATGGTAAGCTTTCATGCGACGAATGGCTCACAGTTCTTACCAAAGTGTCACACCAATCGCGAAGAAGGCATAGCATGCCAAGATAACCGGCTTACGACCACAATAGTCTGAAAGTCTGCTGTACTGCACATGGGATATATGACTTAGACAGGCTGTTGTTGAAGAGATGGAAGTTGATTACATACCAAGGGCTGTGATGCCGTGGTCATCAGCACGTAGGCGATAGTCAGCCATGCCACATGCTTCAGCTGATGAAACTCGGAGCCTGCGAGTGTTAACCATACAGGTAACATCCAACAATGAGCGTCAAGGGCTGACCTATTGTTGCATAGGATGAAAGCTCCAGGGTTGCATCAGCTTGTACAAGTAGAGTGCTGCCAAAGGTAAGTAATCCGGTGTGAAAGGTCTATGATTGGAGCCAGTACGCACCCTAGCCCGAGCCCTGGGGCAATTTTGAGGAGTTGGCCTAGCGTTAGATTGGGACTTGGTTCTGTCTCTGAAGAAGTCGGAGTCAAGACATCTCGAGGCTCTTCAAGTGAGGTAGAGCCACGATCGGTGTCGTCAAGCAACGGTCGGGCGGCATCTTCATCATGCACACTCATGGTGTTGGACAGATTGATGCCACTTGATGGAACGGTGCCAAGTCCTAGAAGTCTTAACCATGAACCCCTGTGGAGAGGATATTTTGGGACTGTGTTGGACGAAGAAACCAACCCGGGAGGCTCAAAAACAGTCAAGTGTAAATGGTGATACAGCCGTCTATACCGAGGTCGAGCCGACACGATATTTGGATGATTTTGGACAAGGAGGTGGTTTGATGTGATGGAAGAGAGAAAGGAAGAGTCGTGAGTCGTGACAAACACAGTGAGTGGTGTGTGTCTGGTAAGGCTGAAGAAGATGCGTTAGGCGTTAGGCATGAGTGGGGGGGCTGTTGCCAAGCCAAAGCTAATCATTTAGGCACCAAGGGAAGGCACCGTGGCCCGACGCGTCCGGTGATGCAGGGCGCTGGTTGGTCGCCTAATGACATGACAGTAGCACCTGCCTTAACCTTAAGGTGCCTTACATTAATCCCCGCTCTTGCCTTGCATTTGACAGTCCTCTCGCTTCATCAGACTGGAGGAAGGAACTGCAAGCTCACGACACTAACTACACAGAATGTAAAAGCCATGTACATCAACAACCATACCACTACCACCATTACCCCGGTTGCAGTAGGCATAAATCAATCCTCAGTCTGGCTTCTGTGCCCCGCAGCCATTTCATTGTCCTGATTAATGCCTCCTTGCTTTGTGGTGGCCTCGCTGCGTGAGCGAACTTTGGTCACTAAGCTCTACTGGCCACAACCATCACTGCTTCGAACTCTGGGTATTTGTCTTGTTCTGTTGTCACTGGGCCCTGTTGTGATAAGCTGTTTGACCCCTGAGTTTGTCACACGGGCACTGGCAACGATCCGTCCATATCTTCATCTCCATGAGGCTGAACGTTCTTTGTGACCTGAAGTTATGGCTACAGAGACCCACGATCTAAGTACCACCCTCGACTTCCTCTCGCCGCTAGACCTTTACAAGACCCAGAAACCCTATCGAATCTTTTCGCAGGACCTAACCACCCATGGAAGACCGCGGACAAATATTGAACTTGAAAACCATCAGGGGATCTTCATTCAAGACATCCGCGGGAGAGAGGACCAATTCTCTCTTGACGAACATGGATTCCAACCAATCTCACACACGATCAAGTTCAATGCGTTTAACGACCCTGCACGAATCAGTGGCGAGTTCCTCGACCAGGTCGAAGAGTTGATTATGAACAAGATACCAGGTGCGAAAGGAAGCTATCTCTATGACTGGAAAGTGAGCGCATTCTGTTGCATTAGCCTTTCAAACCTCTTTGCTCGTCCCTTTAGCTAGCATGTCTAGGCCTTGAGCTGAACAGGACTAGATCAGGCAGGAGCGGAGACCCAAGACAGGTCCCTTTCTGGCCTCGCCTGCCACCACCGTGCACACAGGTAAGATCAATTTCGCCATCCTGGGAGGAATATCCATTGAATGAGTACGTGCTTGTGCAGACATCGATGGCGAGTCCATCGTGGCTCGAGTTCGACGACATATTCCAGGAGCGGCTGAAGAACTTCTCAAAGGCCGCGTCCGCATGGTCAAGTAAGTCTGGTCACTATTCCACTCTGCCAATCATATATCTTCCCCCAGTATCGTCACGTGCCCTTTGACTCTTGTCCTTATTAAATCTCATCATTGGACGATATAGCTTCTGGTGCCCTCTGGAGCATACCGTCCACGATTGGCCTCTGGTCGTCTGTGATGGTAGTACAGTCCCAGAGCCCAACATCTTCAGCGTAGATCAGATCAGTGACGCCATGACTGTGGGGGTCACCTACGTCTCATACAGTCCTAACCTCAAATGGTACTACGTCAGCAACCAAACCCAAAATGAGGGGTGGCTCATCAAGAGTTGGGATACAAGTGATAAGTGCGGAGCAAAGTGTAAGTCTGAGGGCCCCATCTCGATTGGTCAATCGTCTAAACCTATGGCAGTGTGTCCGCACGGTTCAGTGGCAACTGGCTACCAAAAGGACGAAGCTTCATATCATCCAAGAGAGAGCATCGAGGTGAGGGCGCTGGTATTTTCCGATGGTTGACTGGCCCAAATGGTCGATGATGGCCGAATCGCAAAGATCACAAACTCTATGCCGGAAACCGAGATCCCATCCACAAGTGCTCGCTGAGGGTTTGAGGACCGCGGGGAGATTCCACTGTCAATATGAACCACTTCAAATCATCCATTGTTCGAACATCTGAGGCCAAAGCCAAGGTCTCCTGAACTGGCGGGCTCCTCTCCATGCATTGTGCATTATGTGTTGTGCCTTCTTTCGTCTCTCCTCCGTTGAGACAGTCACGCTATTATTCTCACTACTCCCGAGGCATAAAAACTACGCGGTCCCCCACCGAAAAATTGGAGACCCCAGACTTCTCTCAGGCTCGACCCGGGGCGCCATGGGAAAACATGTTGCTGTATGGGGCCCCAAGATCTTAGCTGCATGGAAAACAATATCCGGGACCGAGAAGCTCAGACTCCCACCTTGGCTCTCATGCTTGTACAATGATTGGTCTTCCCCATCTGAAGTGAGACCTTCCTTGTGAATCGCCTAATCGTGTGCTCGTTTTGACAGACCAAAGACCGGATCAACTTGAATGTTCCGCACCAGATGATCAGCCTTCTGCAAAGATCCGGGTTGTGGTCCCTGTGCTGTACCACAGCCATGGGCCCCTAGGCCCTTAGACCCCTTTCCGTAGCGTACGTGGATATCTATTTACATGATCCTCGGCCTCGCAGGTGCTCTCTCTCGCTTCCCTCACCTCCCTGACCCTCACCCATGAGCAGAGTTTCGCAGTAAACCCACCATCTGCAACACCATGTCTGAAAAAGAGGAAGTGCATCAAGTAGACGAGGAGCGACCCAAGGACCAGTCGCCTCCCGGACCCGAGCCTGAAGTCGATCCTGTCGTGACCCCAAAGACATGGGGTGTTGTCACTGTACGTGCCAATTTTGAATGTTTCCATTGATCCATGTTGACTTGATGTCCAGATTTTATCCCTTGGTTATGGCCTCTCTTTCATTCCAGTCCCCGTCATGGCTGCCGTTGGTGCCAATGTCGCCGCCGAGTTCAATGACCCCGTCTCTGCAAACTGGTACATTGCTGCATGGATCACCTCTATCACTATTGGCTTCACCGTCTGGCAAGTGTTGAGCCCCATTGGTGACTATGGGCTCGAGTGCTAACCATGGCATAGCGGAGCAAACACGGATTTATTAGGGAGAAGATGGTTCCTGATTATGGGACAAGCCCTGACTTTCGTTGGCCATCTGGTCGTGGGTCGCGCCTCAAATGCGACAATGGTTATCGCTGGTATGTCCGTCGGTGGCTTCGGTGCAGCCTTGTGTCAAATGGCCGCTTTCGCTCTCCCCGAATTATTGCCCAACAAGTGGCGACATATTGGTGTCGTTATTGCAGATCTGGCTGTCTACTTTGTCATCATCGTCATTCCAGTGACGGCTCGTTATGGGTGAGTTCACACTACAGACAGAGGACCGACCAATACTCGATGCTAACTCTCATATCTACTAGTATCAACGGCGGTGACTGGCGTGTCAACTTCTACATCGGAGCAGCCCTGCAAGGACTTTCGTTCCTCGGCCTCTATTTCTTCTACTACCCACCTGCTCATCCTCTCGGATTGCCACTGGGTGTCGCCCTGAAAGAGCTCGACTATATTGGCATGGTCCTGTTCATTGGTGGATCTCTTCCTATCCTCCTAGGAATCGTCTATACCGCTATCTACCCTTCCAACGATCTCCACGTGGTTGTCAACTTGGTAGTCGGCTTCGTTGTATTGATTCTCTTTGCACTTTGGGAGAGATACGGCTTCTCCAAGCATCCACTCACTCCAACCGAAGTATTTGTGCGACGCAAGGGTCGCGACTTCACCGCACCATGTATCGCACTCGCCGTCATCAACATGTTTTACTATTCCAGCAGCATCATCTGGCCGACCATGATCAGCGTCTGCTACACCAACGGAGGTCAACCGTGGAGGCAGGCAGCGGCTTTGTCGACCGCACAGGGTCTCGCCATCACCGTCGGTGCTTTAGGTCTGACATTCTTTGGAAGTATGATCAGGTACTGGCAATGGCAGCAGACCATCTCCGTCACTATCATGGTCATCTTTGGGTCTCTCCTCGCTTTGGCCACTCCTGATAACATGGGTATGATGATGGGCTTCATGATCATTTCCATGTTGGGCTACGGCTGGGCTATCTACCTCTGCATCGCTTTCACTCAGATGGGTGTCCCTCAACAACAACTCGGCATTTCCGGTGGTTTGTCTGGATGTGTTAGATTCGCTGGTGGTGCTAGTAAGAAATTCCTTTTGGACAAAATCACCATGATCTTTTCCGCTGACCTACATTCTAGTCGCACAAGCTGTCTACCTCTCAGTCTTTACAAACGAAGTCGCCAAAAAGACCCCCGAGTTTGTCGCTGCTGCCGCCGAACAGGCTGGAGTTGCTGCGGAAGATCTTCCAGCTCTGCTCCAGGTGTTTGCTCTTCCCTCATTCGCTGAGGATTACCCTGCTGCTGTCGTCGCAGCCGTTGGAAGAGCACAACAAGAAGCTGTCGTGTCGGGAGTCAGGTACGTTACATATAATCACTTACGGCTATTATAGCATGGAGCAACGCAGGCTGACTTTTTCCGTTCCAATTTGCAGGCTCATTGCATTCACCAGTTTGGGCTTTGGCATCGTAGGCATTATTGCCTGTCTCTGCTGTGTCGATGTTGATGCAAAGATGAACAACAAGATCGAAGTGTATTTGGAGAACGACATCTACGCTGAGCGAAACAAGCACCATTAGTCGGTGACATTGATAACTATTCAGTCTGTTTGTGTGGTCGAGTGTACAAAAACGGATGTTAGGTAGACACCAGACGACATGCAACATTGCCTCATCACCTGTACATAGTACTAGCATATAGTAGAGATGGAGGCACAAAGACTATAGGTGGTAGATCAGACCAGAGTCGATCAAAGTAGAATGAAGCAAGACCATTTAACTATGCGTTCATGTTGATCAAAACGGTCTTTGGCTCAGTGAAAGACCGGAGTGCATACTCGCCCATTTCTCTGCCCAGACCTGACTGTTTCTTTCCTCCAAATGGTGATTGCATGTTCATGTAACTGATGCAATTGATGCCAACGACGCCGGAGTCGAGGATAGACGAGACCCTCAAGGCACGAGTGATGTCCTTGGTAAAGACACCAGACATCAAGCCATACTCAGTATCGTTGGCCAACTTAAGAACCTCCTCCTCAGTTTCAAAGGTCTTGACGATTGAGACAGGACCGAAGATTTCTTTCTTGTAAATCTCAGCATCGGCCTTTGGGTTGAGGAAGACGGTGGGTTCGATGAAACAGCCTGTGTCGCCGTGCTGGACGCCACCCACAACCAGCTCGGCTTCGTTCTTGCCACGCTCGATCATGCCCTTGACTCGTTCGAATTGCGACTGGTCTACCAATGGGCCTAGCTTGACCGAGTCGTCCTGCGGGTCGCCGAGGTCATTCGCCGCCGCCTTCATCTTCTCCACGTACTTGTCGATGAACGCTTGCGAGATCGACTTCTGAACATACACCCTCGTTGCTGCAACGCATACCTGTCCAGATCGTGCTAGGATCGCGTTGATCGTCCACGTCACGGCGTTTTCGAGGTTGCAGTCATCGAAGACCAGCGCGGGGGATTTTCCACCTGGTGCAGAGAGTGTCAGTTTTTTGAGAGGCTGATAGGAGGACAAAGGGACAAGGAGGGATTGTTTCCCGTGATAGGGTGCTTCTTACCGAGTTCAAGCGTCACTCGTTTGAGATTGCTCTGTGCCGCGGCCACTTGGATCTTCTTGCCGGTTGGAATACTGCCTGTAAAGCTGATCTTGCGGATGCTCATGTGGCTGGACAGGAGAGCGCCGGTTTCCCCAGCGCCAGTGACGACCTGAATGACGCCTTTAGGGAAGCCAGCCTGTTCGAACAGTGGCGCCAGTGCTAGAGATCCCAGTGGTGTCTTTTCCGATGGCTTGACGATCAGCACATTACCGGTAGCTAGGGCTGGGGCAGCCTTGAAAATGAAAGTAGCAACGGGAGCGTTGAACGGGTTGACGGCTGCACAGACGCCTAGCGGTTCGTGTCGCACGAGTTTGACGAATCCTGTATAGTTCTCATAGATTAGGGGCATTCAATGACTTGCTAATGCTTGAACTTGAACGAATATGGTCGACCAATGCACTGGAATCACTTACCGTCATCTGCGGGGAGATAGTCTCCCTTTTGCTTGTCGGTCCAGCCGGCGTAGTACAGGATGGCGTTCTTGATGTATGTCTTCTCCCGCGTGGGAATAATCGACACTGGGTTTCCTGACGTGAGAGAATCGAGTGACAGGATCGGAATCAGTTGCTCTTCCATCAGTGCCGCCAACCGGTTAAAGCATTCTGTCCGTTGGATTGCGCTGAATGTTCTCCACGGTCCATCATACGCGGCTTGGGCATACCTGACGGCCAAGTCAATGTCTTCGCTTCCTGCAATAGGAATGCCTTCCAGAACCACACTGTTGTCTTTGGGGTTCTTCAGTGAGTATGTGTCCATGGACTTTGCATCGACATATTCGCCGTTCAAGTACAGCTTAGTGAACTTTTTCGGGTCCAGCTTGCTCGTAGAAATGCTCCCCATTTTGAAAATTGGATTACAGTATGCTTTGCAATTGATTGTGTCGAACAGGTTAATGTTTCAACAATGTTATATCTCGTTATGTGAGCACTGCAAGTTTTTAACTACAAACCCCTCAAATTACATGTCCGATTTTCCAAGTTCGTGTTGCCTTGGGTACCACTACCACGGGAGTTGTCCCCCGCCTTCAGCTCTACCAGTTTGCCGTATATCCACCGTTATCGATAGCTTGGAGAAGCACGAAGTTGGAGAACTTCCTTGACTTACGACACCGGTGGAGCAAATTCTGGAGCCCCAGGATTGAGGTCTCGCGGGTCCTAGGCTATCGCAAACCTGGGTATCGAATCTCATTGGGCGAGGTCATTACCACCACCTTGCTTTCCGAAGCCCGAGGTAATTGGTAAGAAGAGGTCTCACTCAGTATGGAGCTAGTTGGAGACGTCTCCATGGAAATACCTGGGGTCCAACTCGCGTTGCTGCCTGCCTACATCCGTTGCATCTATCGAACCAAGACAAAACAATGCGCGTTAGCTGCCAGGATGGACCAGCCCAGATTAGTTATCTTTGACAAGGCCACGAATCTTTTCCCCTTCTTTATAAAGCCCGTCGACTAGATGTCCCCTAACCACTTTTCCATTGTATGGTACCTCGCTTAGGAAACCCCAATGGACTGCTTCCTTCCAACCCTTGGCCTTCCAGTCATTCATGGTGTGCTGGGGGAAGAATTCAAACACTTCTAGCTCCGTAGGATCATGGGCTATAGCAACCAGGACGTTTGGATCAGCGTCAAACTCCTGCAGTGCCTCTATAGATTTTCGAGAAGTAGGGATGTCGGCGTAGAAGGTCTCTGGTGCAGTTGAGATGGTGAAGAAAGGCGTCTGAAGATTTCATTAGCGAGAGTAACAAGAGACGAGGGTTAATGAAGAAACCAAGTTGTTTCTTGACATCGTACATACCTTCTGTCCATTTTTCGGATCAGGGTGAGATGATAGAAATGCCGAACAGGGACATGGTCTTGCAATGCGACTATCGAGAACAGCTTCAGGAGGAATCTCATCTGGTAGAGGAATATGACTTGTTGGTCGAATTACTCCAGTGAAATGACAGACGTCCCCACCTAGGAAGACAAAGGTGTCTGGTGTCGTCCTGACCAGTGTAGATATATGCCCAATGGCATGACCCGGGACATTGAGAATATATAAACTGCCATCGCCAAAGTAATCATGGGCCTGGAATCGGCCAATTTTGAGGTCGTTTGAGAACGGAACCTCGACAACGTCTCGCCCGATGAAATCGGCCTCATGAAATGGAGAGTCTTCCTTTGCAGGATAACCAGGGAGGAAAGCATCTCGAAAGCCGGGGCCAACCAGGACTTTTGTGTTCTTGGACAGTGCTGCAAGATTCCCGCAGTGGTCGTAGTGCCAGTGACTTAGGATCAGAGCTTCAATATTGGCGGCATCAACTCCCCCTTCTTGAACAATGTCTAGAACATCTTTGTCCACCTTGAGTCCATTGACGTGGTCATTGACGAGCTGTGCAATTTGTGGGACCGAGTTCTGCCAATCCTTACGAGAACCTAGATCGAAGAGTAACTCCCTACCCGACTTCTCATGCTTGATATAGAAGGAGAAGGTCGGCAGATTGAGCCAATCGTATCCTGCCACCTTGGGCTCGATGAGATAGTGGGTTGGACATGTTATATCACACGTAGTGTTGATGATTGATAGTTGACAGGTGTTGGTGCTGGCAGGAATGTTCAACTTTGGGCTGGAGGACATTTTGGGCAAGTGATTTCTGGGTATGGGGTGACTGTCCTGCTGTATCTACTCGATACCCTGCCTTGAGGTCCAGGGACGTCGGCCCTTTTTATGATGCCCTTAGGAAGGCTGTTATCAGGCAGATTCATCCCGGTGACAGCCTCGGGCGGCCCACCGATGTTGCGGGGGTGGGGGTTTGCGTTGGGGATTTAGATTCTCATCAATGCTGATCACTTGGCGGGATGGTCGAAGTCTGTCTCTCCTTGCTCATCCGATGTCGAAGTCACCATGTAGGTAGTACCTGAGTGTCACGGGGTGTGTCTCATCGACGCCAGTGTCGCATGGTCTACATGGTGGTGGAATTCTACCCAGATCTCATGTGTACAGTTTGGTGGCCAGTGATGTACGAGGGTGAGCAATATATAATCTCCGAACACCGATAGGGCAAATAAACGAGGTCCTAGTCGCGACACGGCCTCGAATATACCACCCAAAAGGCCCGTGAGCATGGCTGTTGTACAAATAAGATGTACATATCTATCTGAGCTGGCAATTATCGTACGACATAAATGGCCAAAACCATATGGCTTGATGACCGGTTCATTCATCATCGTTCTGACTTCACATCCTTCAGTCATCTGGTAATGGAGCAAATTTGGACCTCTTCCTTAGGCTCAGACCAACTTTGATGAATACAAAAGGGACTGGCAAGAGGGCAGTCGCAACAGCGCCCAAGATGGACACGGATGAACCAACTCCAAGGCTTCGTATCATTGGTCGTGCCGCCATTGGTAATCCGGCGGCCATCAAACTTCGAAGAAAGGTGTTTGCGGCCGTGGCACTGGCGGCGTACAGTCCATACACATCGACAAGATAGTTGATGCCTGGATATGAAAGTCAATTAACAGGAGGGCTTGCTGAGGACATAGGGATAACTCACACTGCTGGAAGATAACGTTGAAACCAGCGCCCACGAATACCGTCGCAACCACGGGAAGAATCCAATGATGTTGAGGGGCTGCTGTCCATGCAAACCAGAACAGGCCAATGACCATGAGAATGGAGCCAACGGCAAGAGGAGGAAGTCGAGCTTCTGGCACAGGTTTTCCCTGAGCAGCACGACACTTGCGGATATAACGTGGTTGGTTGCCTAAATTGATGCCCAATGCACAAATGACACCAGCAAACAACCCGAGAAAGGGTAACGATGATATGACGGGAGACCAGCCCCTTTGGTCTGCAAAAACCACGGGGAATATCGCTAAGGTGAGATAGAGAATGGCATAAACAAAGGAGGCGTAAAAGGCGATGCAGGTGACCATGGGTTCGGTGATGAGCATGATGAGAGGTCGAGAGAGCTGTTTGGTTACTATTGATTTGACATCGACCTTGATTCTCTCCTGGGGGTGGTATAGCTTGTTGTTTCCGGTCTCCTTGCGCAGGCGTTGAGCTTTCCACTTCAGCAAGACTGGTGGATACATCTCTGGCATGCAGAAATAAGTCAGACCAACCACAGCAAAATTCAAGATGGCTGTGAAGTATTCGGTCCACCGCCAGCCCATGTTTGGGTTGACGAGAATAGCGGAACCGATGGTGGGCCCCAGTGTTGGTCCTCCCACAACAGCAACGGCGTAGAAGCTGACGGCGGTACCTCGAGCTTCTCGGGACCAAATGTCACCTAACGCAGCATTGACATTGCTGACAGCGGCTGAGCCAAAGAGGCCACTGAAGAACCGAGTGATAAATACTGATGCAACATTGTGGCTAGTGGCTGTGCCGATAGAGAATAGAGCCAGACATGTCATGGGCGGGAGCATCGACACTCGTCTACCCCAGACCTCAGATATGGGAGCCCACAAGAGAGGGCCAAATGCAAATCCAACACTGAAGCACGGTTAGGCGTTGATTAGTGGCATGAGATTGGCTAAGGAGCATACATGTATAGTGAGACGTTCAAAACAATGGCGTCTTGGCTAACGTTGACATAATCTGCAATCGTGGTGCTAGCCGGAGAGATGATACTGGAAGCCAAACTGGCAGCAAATGCCAGCAAGCCCAACTGGCAGGTGATCCATGATTTGAAGCCCGTGGACCAATTTTGAGGATTTTCTGGATCTGTGTTGGATTCCCACTCGACAATGATTTCGCCTTTCTCAGTGTCCGGAGATGGCTTTTCCCGAGACTCGTTTGGTTGTCCCTCTACGTCGGACGTCTGTCCACTATCTGAAGACTGATTATTAGACCACATGACAACTGGCTGGAGTTAGCCATCGGGCGAGAGCGTGAGGATGATGTTGACAAGAAAAAACGAATGAAAGGAAGGTAGTAGTAGGTATGTAAAGATCTCTCCGCAAGAAAATGTCAGCAAAGTCAGAATGATCGTACAACGATGCTTGTCAGTGTAAGCATCGCATTGTAGGGGGCAACAATTCTCGGCAACTTTTTGCCGGTGACGAAGACAGTGATGATAGAAAATATGAATTGCGTAATCTTCAAGTCCTTGTGGTATTTTGTCGGCCCTGGCACTCCGGGGACCACTTCCGACCACGCGGGTAAGGACCCTGGATCGTACAAATCCAGACACTGATTCTGGTGGGGACTTTGACCGGCATCGGAATTCATCGTAGGTGCCAGAATTTCTGGCCTTCTCCCGCCTGGGGTCTCTGATCTCGAGATTGGCTGTGATAAGTGAGCATAAAACAAGTGGATTGGCATCACTCGGAAGAATTAAACACGAGAATGCTGCTACATGACTCTGTGTAGATGGTTCACTTCTGGTAGAGCCAGGCTGGAAGATGTTGATGGTGGAAGAGCGTGAGGTGGCTCTATGATCCGACATGGACACACGTGACATCCACTACTGCGGCGCAGTCTTTTACGAACTGTTGATACGCCACCCGTCTTCAAGTCATTCGATGCCATGATTGGATCCCCACCACGGAATCTGCTCAACCTGCTCATGCGACCATCTACTAAGTACCTCCCTACTTATCTCCTTTTGTGTTGACTTGGCCGAGTTTCCCATGGCTCTGGTGAGGGCTCAACCTCGAAATCGACCGCCATGCCCTCGACGGCATTGAAGAAGGCCTCTCAGCCGCTAGGGTACAACCTGCGGCAGTGTTGTGCTTGCAACTCGTCTTCCCCTCGCAAGAGGTTCAAAGCCGAATCGCCCGCACATGTGAGAAGTTATGCCGACGTCAAATCCAAAGCATACGAGTTTCGAGACAACATGAATTGGCCTTGTCGTGCCGTGCCCTTCACCCCTTCTCCGTACGATATCTTCGACCTTCCCAAGAACGGGATCTACTCAAAGCACAAGTTCTACGAGCTGGTCAAGATCTACCATCCGGATCGAACCGGCCATGGTTGTGATTTACCGCATGTGGAGCGGCTGGAAAGATACAGGCTAGTGGTGCAGGCACACGAGATTCTGTCGGACCCAGTAAAGAGAAGGGCTTTTGATGCATCAGGCATGGGCTGGGGTGAAAAGGGCCGCACGGCATCCAGACATAGCAAAGGTTTCCACAATGCTGCAGGAAAGCAATATGGTCAAGGACCTGACGATGATTCGACGATTTTCAAAAATGCCACTTGGGAAGACTGGGAGCGTTGGTATCAACAACAAGACGGCTCCCAAAAACAACAGTACAGCGGTATCTTTCTGCACCCCAACGCATTCGCTTCTTTTGTCATCTTCCTCGCCGTTCTCTCGGGGGTCTTGCAAGCCACACGGGCAGGACAATACTCGGGGGCCTTGGAAGAGAAAGCCAAAACCTTCACGGCCGAGACCAGCAGATTTTTGACATCTAGACAGCACCATCTGGAACAAAACCAATATAGCCCCGATGGCAGAGTGAGGCACTTTCTGCAGAAGCGTGATCCATCAAAGTCCGGACTGAAAGAAGGAGAAGAAGAGGTGTATCGACAATATTTTCCAGAGGCTACAGAGCAACCTGGATCACAAGGGCGAATTTCTGCGAACGGAGAAGACTGATTTGATTTTGCCATGATAAATGCTTCTCTGCTCCTTCATTGCACATACTTACTGCAACCGACATACTCTTCAGTACTACATACTTACTAGGTACTCCCCTTCTTGTACAGCGTGGCTAAGATGCCACGGATGCCAGATTTATGACGTACGACAATGACAAGTTTTCATTATGCTGTGTAAATAAAAAAGCGTGCAAGGCTCAACGTCAAGTCTTGGTCAGTGGAAATGATGTTCTTCTCAACTCTTAAGAGCTTCATGCTATATACTAATGTACATATGGGTAGTAGGCCACGTACTTAGGTACTTATATTATACCCATTCACCCAAGGCGCAGGTTTGATTCCACGGATACACTTGTTGGCAACGCCTGCTTTTTGTAATCCCTTTTCTTGAAAATGCCAGCCGAGTGTTGATCATCACATCTTGCCTTTGATTTCCTCGGCCTTTCCTTTGGCTTGTCCCTTGAGTTCGGCGGCTTTGCCCTTGGCCTCACCAGCTAATTGCTGTGCTGTGCCTTCTGCCTTTCCACTCTCGGCACCGACAACACCAGCGACTTTGTCTTTTGCTTCGACTGTAAATGAAAGGTTAGTTAGCATGGAAGTGGTCACTTGTCGTGACAAGGACACCTGGGAATGGACGAACCTCCTTTGTCAATGCCTGCAACAGCGACGTCTGACACAGCTCGATCGACTTTCTTGAGACCATCTTTGACAGCCTCGGTGGCTGTCTTTTGGTGTACTGCTGCCACTGAGAAGCATCTAGGTGATTGTTGGGTGATGGAGGATCTGGCAAGAGTGCGGACAATGGGTGTTGTTCTTGATAGGAAAGACATGGTGGCTGTAGAAGGAGGAAGTGTCTACAGTAGGAGAGCGGTTGAAAAGTGTTCTGGATTTGATGGTAAACTTCTAAGTTGTGATGGAGACTGAAGTTGAATTTCTTATTGAAACGGTCGTGAACAGTAGTTTCAAGAATTCACTCATGGGCGAGGGAGGAATCGAGTTTTGAATGAACATTGCACATCATCCATCATTGGCGAGGGGCTGGCAGCTGTCGACGTCACGCAGGGTTGACGACAAGAACTGGAAGTTACAACCTGCAATTGCCAGCGCATGTCTCGATCCATGGGACGGAAATGCCATCATCTAACGTGCTTTCCCCCACAAAATCGACGTCTGGCTGCACAATCGCAACGCCACCGACAGGCGATCCTACTCGACCGGCCACCAAAGCCGAGGGGTGAGACCCATTGACGTCATCAAACTGCCCCACCTTCCTCACAACACCCTCGAATAATGGTTTGAGGAAGGAGCAATCCAGAATCACATGCAAGTAGACTGCTACAAATCAGCGGATGAAAGAAACCACCTACCTACAGTTCAAACTGCCAGCAGCTGCAAGTCATCAATTCTACCAGCCCTTGTCAACGTGTCAAAACTCTCGCATTTCATTTCATACATCATTCGTTACCGTTGAATTCCATTCAAAAAATCATGGATGTGATAAAGGCCAGTTTCCTCTTCACTTCAAATGCCCAATTCTTCCTGATACGGCGTCTGCTGGTGAAATGACATCAACCACTGTCCTGCCTCAGGATCTTTCCTCCAAACGGTCGATATCAATGCCCGGAACTCATCCTGCGACTCATCGTCATCATCTGTGATATGCTGCCTCGTTGCCAGAACACGGTAAGTGATCAAAGCGGCATCCGCTGCCAGCGGCGTCACTTGAACCTCGCTCAATCGATACCGCCTCCATGGGACAAATGCCTCGCTCTCGAGAACCTCCTTCAGACACGGCTCCGTGGTGTGCGACACTTTGAGACCCATGGGGAAGAACATGACGCATTCTCGACTGAGAAATGGTAATAGCGCTGCTCCCGATTCCATTAATGCTTTCCACGTGTCGTTCTCGAGGGCGAGTATCGAATCGTGTAGAAGGGGTTCGGTCGCCATTTCGTTCTTTATCACCTGAGGCGTCTTCGTTGGTGCGGAGAATGAGCTTTTTTTTATTTGAAATTTTAATTTGGGCGTTGCTGTGTACCTAGTATTTTTATCGGTGTGTCACGGATTTGTGGGATCGTTCCTTCGATTATAGGAAAAGGAAGGATGATATGTGACGGAGCAAGTGGACTTTGCTAGTGAGAAAAGTGTCAGGTGTTGATAGTAATGAAGAACTTAAGCTAAACCTATTCAGGTAATCCAGATGGCACCTTCCTTCTATTAGCCTGAAAATCGAGTACTCGCTCCTTCCTAATTCGGATGATTTAAATATAAGTAGGTGCTACTTACCTCAAGAGTTCCTTCCTAATCTAGAGCTACCTTACTTAAAAAAAATCTTACCTTAAGTCTAGAACTGCTCTGGTTTCAGACTACTTAGAGAGGTAGGTACTAGGTACTTACCTATAATATCGTCTAACCAGCTCACACCAGCAATCTCCGTTATAGAATCTATAATTTTCTCAAGAATTCTTACGTAAGCCTAGACATCGTTGAGCATTTTAGCTTGCAATGTGAACGGTGTGTGATCCACCTCATCGCAGAATTCTGGAGCAAGCCAGTCATATGTGACGCCACTAATGCCGCTGATATCGATCAAGATAGCATTCCCAGATGCGTCGATAACGACATTCGAGGGTTTCAGGTCTATATGGACAAGACCGCGTGACCGCATGGCATTCAGCCCACGAGCGAGCTGAGCAGGCCAGAGTCTCCAGGATTCATTACCCTTATCACCATCATCCACCCACTGCTCGATGGTTCCTCTAGGGTGATACTCAAGGATGATGCCGCGTATCACGGGTTGGCCCTGCTTGATTGGATCTGTCCTATATGAATTCGCCGACACCGCAATTGCCATAAGCTTTACGATGTGAGCGCTGAATATGAGTTGCTGGAGATTTTTCGCCTCCATTACAAGGACCTGGGTGTCCGTTGATTGGTAGAGAGGGCGATCGATTCTCTTGTAGATAAACAATCTCTCATCTTTAACGGTTTTCACCAAAGTTGCAGAGCCGGTGATGTCGTTCTGTTCTTGAAGGTCTGAATGCGCTATCTGTGGTATCGTAGCAAGAGATTCATCACTTTAGGTAGGTGGAAAAATGATTCGGCCGCGGTCTTCGTGAATCGTTCTGCTCAAACGACAGGAAGGGTCTAGATATCTGTTCTGCTGGTTGATTGCGATGCCACCGGATGGATTTGTAGTACTTTCCTGGCGGTGAAGCTCCAGGCTGAATTGTACTAGGTACCTCACTCACCGTGTCTGGCAGCAATTCCAGGTTGCTGAAATCAATTCTATTGTTAGGATAAAAGATCTGAGTTCGTCGCGCCGCTCGAACTTGTGCTCGACGGTCTTCCTTGTGAAAACACAGTCTGCATTCGGCACAGTCCTGAGCAAGTCGCTATTGAAGGTACCTAATTTTGACGTGCCACGTCAATCCATCACTTTTCAGAATCAAGTTTTGCGATCGCTTGAAAGGTTACGGTGCCCCAAGGTATAGAAAATCTTCCTGCTCCTCATATGAAGTGAATTTCATCTCTTGTGTCATTGCAACTGAACGCGGTCAGATTTGACAGTCGCGTGAAGGGAAGGAACCTTAAAGGCTATAACTGTAGGTACTCTTAGTCGTACGAACGGGTATCTCAAGATACCTAAATAGTTCTGTAAATGTCAGCATTCCCTGTATTTTGCCAGGAGCATGCGTGAGCATCCCTCAACACCGAAACGAGTAGCTTCCACCAACGTGGCAAACAAAGGACCCAATGCCATTATTGTTGGCAGGGCCGAGGGGCTAGACGCAGCCTTCTGGTGTGCGGATAGGTAGTACTAGTACCTACCTAACCCTGGTTAATTTTTTCTAACATCGTGTTGGCTTTGTCGTAAAGTCCAGTATCATCATAGGTTGGTCGGTAAGTAAGTATATTGGTGCTTAGGTACCTTGCCTGGTAAGGATCTGTCACCGAGGACCAATGTTGAACAGCTGCCGTAGCTGCCTGCCGAGAGGTCAATTCGGCAAGGTGTTTGAGCCTCGTGATGTAGGCGTCAGGTGAGTAGCAGCACGGCCAGATAAACACAAAGCGTGGTTGTAATCATATAAGTTCTACTAGGTAGGTAGTTGTCTGCAGAAAAGAAGGCGAGAAACGTGCGTGGTCACTGCCAAGACTCATGTACAAAGGTGAAGATGAGGAAGGTGCCAGCCAGGCTGTAGGTACACCAGGCTGTGCATAGGCAGTAGTAATCCAGGAAGGTGCTCGAAGAAATCAAGAATTTGCTACATCATGGAATTCACAGTGCCTCCCTCCTGATGCCCCTTCAAGATCTGGCAATCAGTGCCTGTACTCAGAGGCACTTAGACTTGTACCTATGGAGTAGTTAGAGTCTTCCTCAAGAAGTATTCGTATACAGTAAACTTTTTAGTGGCACCCGGAACGCGGCCGGGCGTCCCCGCGTTTCATCACCACCAAAGTCCCAAAGTGATAGACATTCCCGTCACTAGCCGTGCGAGTGGATAGACATATGGCAGGAGCTTCTCCAATTCATAAGACTGTTCCTGCCGAAGTGGTGCGGAGTCAACTTCAGTTGTTCCATCATTCTTCTTCCCACACTTTTTCGCCCTCTTCTTGTCTTACACTCACTCATTCAGTCAACCCACTAGAACCTTTCGGAAAGCGCTCTTGCTTGACAATTCCTCTTCTCACTCACAATGAGCGCCCGCACCGTCACTATTCGGGCGTGGACCACCCTGCGAGCATGCCCTCAGCAAACCAAAGTGCGGGCATATTCAGCAGCGGTTGAACCGTCACCGATCAAAGTACAGCATTACCCTGCGCCTCATTCCGGCAACATTCGAGTTCTGCTACTGGATCGCCCTGAGGCGCGTAATGCTTTGTCGAGACGGCTGATTGCAGATTTGAGACGCCATGTCGACGAGATTCAGGCTGAAGGTGGAAGAGGCGGCACCCGAGCCTTGATCATTGCTTCAAACACAGATAAAGCCTTCTGTGCTGGTGCTGATTTAAGGGAGCGGAAAGGAATGACACAATCAGAGTATGTCTATCCATGATACTTTTCTGTCCCCCCTCTCTCTCTTGGTGTAAATTTACTGATGATTGCTGTGTCTGGAAACCAATAGGACTCGAGAATTTCTCTTGAATATGAGAAACACCTTTACGGATCTGTCGAAACTGCCTATCCCTACAATCACAGCGATCTCGTCGGTTGCGTTAGGAGGTGGGTTGGAGCTTGGTTTATGTACCACTATGCGCGTCTTTGGATCTGGCGTCACAGTCGGTCAGCCCGAAACGAAGTTGGCCATCATCCCAGGTGCTGGTGGTACATACCGACTGCCTGCATTGATTGGGCTCAATCGAGCACGGGACATGATCATCACCGGAAGACGTGTTTCTGGAGCCGAGGCATACTTCCTGGGCCTCTGTAATCGACTGGTGGAGATCCTGCCAGAGGAGGAGAAAGAGGAGGGCAAGGCTCGGGCCAAAGTCCTCGAGGCTAGTTTACAATTGGCCAACGATATATGTGAAGGTGGTCCGATTGCTCTGACACAAGCTATGCGCGCGGTTGAAGGTTGGCAAAGAGGTGAGGCTTCCGAAAACGAAGCCTACGAAGTGGTCTTGGAAACAGAAGACCGTCTGGAAGCTCTCAAGGCCTTTTCAGAAAAGCGAAAACCCGCCTTCAAGGGCAGGTGAAATTTGTCAGAGAACTCTAGTCGAAAGGGTCTAATGATTTCTGAAACATGTTGGCCATTGGTTTGGGAGCTTGCTTGCAGGATTCTACATCCTCCACGACCGTCTCTGAGTGTCATGACAAAGCCTGTCCGGCTACAAGGATCGTGGTTCATCTGTCTCAGTGACAACCTCAGTCATCCTCGAGCTCGGAGTGGGCACTTTCAACCTCGCTTGCATACTCCTCCTCGGCCTCTTTCAACCTCTCGAAATCGCTACTGGAGGCATCCGAATCTGCAGCTGCAGCCCTGGCCTCTTCAAGATCCTCGCGAGCTTCTTGCAGGGAAGAACGTTGACTTGATGAGAGATTTTGGTTGAACTCCAGGGGCGGCTCTGCTGGGGGAGGAGGTCCAGGCGGAGGGGCGCCGTAGCCATAGCCACCTCCGTATCCAGGGTCGTATGCTGGTTGTGGAGGTGGGGCGGCGGCGGCTTGATGATGGCTACCATCATCTGATAAGGCAGCACCTGCTAGAGCACCGATGGCTAGACCACCTGCGCCGGCGGCGAGCAATGCGCCAGTGCCATGTCCACTGTCCTTCTTATCTTTGTCCTTCTTGTCTTTGTCGCTCTTATCCTTCTTTGGTTCCATCCCTGGGCCGCCGTAGTAATCTCTGGTGTTGTCACCGTGACCCGGCTGGGGAGGAACAGCTGGCATTGCACCCCCATAGCCCTGATAGAAGCCAGGTGCGCCGGGTGGGCCTTGTGGTGGTTGGCCCCAAGCTGGTGTAGGGGGCTCCCATTGAGTACGGCCTGTGGCTTGTTCTACGTAGTAGGGACGTTGGCTATTCTGGTCCCATTGCTGAATCCATCCGGGAGGCAGTTGGGGGGGCCCGGGTGAAGGAGCGCCGTATTGGCCGTATGGTTGCGGAGGTTGGCCATATCCTTGTGCTTGGGGTGGTTGGCCATATTGTTGCGGAGGTTGCCCGTACTGCTGCTGTGGAGGCTGACCATATGGCTGTGGAACCTGTCCGTATGGTTGAGGAGGTTGACCGTAGGGGGGTTGTTGAGGATAAGCTTGATAAACGCTTGGGTCGGGAGCAGCCGCTGGAATGACGCGTCAGCGGTCTGAGAGGATTCTGGAGTGGATTAAAGGAACAAGCTTGAACTTGATTAAGTACTATACCTCTGTCACTTGGATTTTCATTTTCCTTGTCCTTATCCTTGTCCTTGTCTTTCTCCTTGGGTTTGTCACTGTCCTTGTCGGCCTTTTTCTTGTCGTCGTCGTCGTTTAGAAGCTCCTTGACTTCATTCTTGAGTTTTTTGAAAAATGACTCCATGATTGTCCGTCAAAAGAGACGATGGACGAGGGAAGAGATTAAAACGACAGCTCACCTTAGTAAGTACCTTTTTTTGTTGAGGTCGTCCAAATCCTCTCGTCTTGAAGCCGAACGAGAAGAATGCCGGCGAGGTGGGCTACATCAGCAGGTTATGTGGGACGAAAGAACCGCAGTCCTCTCTCCAGGTGGGTGGAGCTGGGCGGACAACGCATCAATCTTAGCTGGCCACGATATGGCGCAGTGGGAAGCAGCCTGAGATGCATAAAAAGGGGTTGGCTGTGAGAGGCAAGGCACCCGTGTGGCACTGTTCACAATCATCGCAGGTCAAAATCAGGGTGGACAGTGGTGCCACCAGAAAAATGCAGAGGGGCATCTAAGGCACAGATGCAGACAGAAGCACAGAGGGTAGCTGCATGTTGCAAGCACCACTGGCTTGGCAGGCGCTTCCAACATCATTCTTTCCTCCAAGGAGAAGGGGAATTTGTCGCTTGGCATTGGGTCTTTGATGCGAGACACGTAGTAATGAATGGTTCGTCAGGCATGAACCCATCTCGCCTGGTCTGAGAAGACCCGATGTACCGTTCTTCGACGGAGGCGGTTTGATGGCTCGCAGGAGCAAGCATGCCCTAAAGGTCCTTTCTTCTGCTATCTTGCCCAGGTCAACCCCGGCGAGAGAGCTTGCATATATATATCTGAAGTCCCGAGTGGGGGATTTTTGTGATTGGGCTGAAGCACATCGATGGAACGAAGGGGAGAATTAGGAATACGGTGGGCGTGGAAATGCACATGTCGACATCAGGGGAGACCCGGTAGGTTGGTGGCTGTGTCAGTGGAGTCAACCAGAAAACCAGCCCGATTCAGTCCATATGAGGTCCAGAATGTAATAGGTGTGATAACCCAGGCTTGACCCTCCGTCCATGCTTATGGAATCAGGCTCGCACCCGGCATCTGACGATGTGAGCCTAGACAGGCCTATTTTTGATTTGTTCCAAGACCACTTTATGTCTTCTTCGACCTTTGGAAATAACTGCCAAGTAGCACGGGTCCTTGATTATGTATCTTGGATCTGGTTTGATTTGCAAATTAATCAGAATTGTGAGCTGTTCAAATTCGCATCATGGACAACTTTGACAGATCCACAATGGTAGACTAACGGCGTGCAGACCAGCATCAGGTATCAGGCCCAAACAAGGGTATGTGGGGAAGATGTACAAGTCAGAGGCATCCCTCAACGCCAGCAACATATCCTGTGCACAAGCTGAGGATCTGGTCGGATCACTATTTCCCACCAAACCAACTGCTGATTCCACTCTTTGCTTTAGCAGCCCCGTCCTCGACCGTCTTGTCAAACTTGTCGATGGCGTTGTTGAGCTCCTTGCCAGTCTTTTCTCGATACTCTTTGGCTTTGGCTTCCGCATCGGCTAACTTGGATCTCGCATCTGCAGACTATTGATTTGGGGTTAGAAGGAAAATTGAACAGGATGTCAGAATAAGGTATTGACGTACGGCCTGATCAAACTTCTGGCCTACTTGCTGTGCTAGAGCCTCGCCCTTTTTCTCGGCCTGCTTCTCTCGACCTGGGAGTTCACTCTTGATCTGTGCGGATAGTTTGGAGGCGTCGGCTGAGAGTCGAGGAGGGTAAGTCAATCCGACAGACCAGGCCATGGGTTGGGAGGGATGTACCTTCGAACTTCTTCTCAGCAACCTTTGGATCACCACCGGCGGAATATAGGTAGTAGCCGACACCACCTGCAACGGCCAAGCCGCCAATTGTGACACCTCTGTTGGGCATGACTGCTGAGTTTGACGTCGAGTGCTTTAGTGAAGGGGATTACAAGGACGTGTAGTGCCGACCAGCAGATCGGTGGGAGGAGAGAGGACTCGAATGGCGTATCACGCGGAAAACGATGGCTTGGGAAGAGATGGCAGCAAGGAAAGGTGAAAAGATGTGACAGATGTCGATGCAGGAAAGTTCAGATGCAGAGGGAAGGTGCAACTTGTACCTCGTGTAGGAAGAGCGAATGCGACAAGTGGTGCGATGTTTCCATGTGTGGTGGCTTTGATCCGTGACATCATTGGATTGGAGCACAGGCAGTCCAAGTGACGAGGGATGATGACCACGGCCAGACTTGTTGATCCCTGTTCGTGTAGACTCGTGGTCCCTCGGTCCCCTCCATAAGACCAAACAACGTAAAGGCTTTATCAACCCCACGTCCTGCAGTATTCCTAGTTCACCTTTCCCCTACTAAGTAGTGTTGTAGGTGTCGAAACCTCTTCAAAGTCTTCATAGGAAGTCCAGAAGTGGCGACCTGCGCATGGGTTCTCACTCTCTACGGCGTCGCAATGTCTTGGTTGACCCCGCAGCTAAGGGAAGAAGTGGGAAACCTGGTAGGCGGGCGTGGGCCTCAAGGGGTTCCACCTGATTAGCTACCAACTTGAAGCCTATACGCAATAGTGGCTGCCACTGTAGCCTAGTTTTTTAGGGGTGGCGTTGTTCACTATCTGACCATTTGTGGCACAGTCCCCAATCACGTTAGGGAGTTTCAAGGCCTCTCGGCCCTTCTGTAGCCACGCAATTAGGTGGGCCAAGGCTTAATTGACTTATCCCAACAACGACGTCAATGACTCAAGCAACGCCCAAAGGCCCCAGCAACAACAACCACAAATCTTGACTCCAGCGCAGCTCGATAACAATTTGCATGTTTTACTCTGTCCACTGTCCACGTCAATCAATCCCATTTCATTTGAATCAACCTCTGTTTCCACCTGACTACCTTGTCCTCCTTGACCTTTGATTATTTAGTTGTTATTAGAATCACCTCTGCATACTACCCAGTCGCCGCCAGCATACGAACCAAGCCAGTCCGCAGTCTCTCCTCCAGCGAACCCGAAGCACACAATCATCGCAATCCACCTCCCACCAGGCAGCCGTTCGCTGTGTCTGCGAATCAGCACCAAGCGTACCTGACTATCCTGATCATGATTTGACTCTGAAAAGCATTATACTCCAGCTGCCCAGATATCCATCCTTTCGACTGTCAACCTCGCAACGGCATGTCCGACAATGTCACTCAAACTGCTACCCGCGTTTCAACTTTGGACGGTGCACCCGACCCTTATGATCACGAAATATCTTTGATTGATGCCACAGCTCCAGATCGCCAGGAGGAATCCAGGTCTGCCTCTCCCAGCCCAAGTCGGCCCAACTTGCCCAGGAATCCTACCAAAATTTCAGTCAAGGACCACCTCGCCCGAAGAAAGTATGCCAAATGGCAAGAGCATGTTGTGTCTTCCAAACCCGTCAGCATTGGCACAAATGATGTACCCTCTTCCCAAACCCCTTCCAAAATTGAACCTGGTACTACGGTCCCACAAAGCCAGGCACTTGATTTTGCCGGAGAACACTCCGAGCATCGAAGCAGAAAAAGTCTGGATAAGAGGAAGAGAAAGAACTTGACCTCTCCCAAGAATTACATCTACGAAATTGACGTCCTTTACGAAAATCAGCGTGGGTCTTTTTTCTGCGGAATCCCTCTATATTCCAACTCTTCTCTTATGCCAATCGACCCCAGTCCATGGCTCAGCAAAGACTTCCATCAGTCTCCAGTCAATATCACCAATGCTCAGGTGCCAGACCCAAGCTGGGAATGGGCTTGGAAGTCCTGGTATGTTGACATGAGCTACGACGTCGATGAAGAAGGTTGGCAGTACTCGTTTGCTTTCGGCCGCAATTTCGCCTGGCATGGCACCCATCCGTGGTTTCACAGCTTTGTTCGCAGACGGAGATGGCTGAGAAAGAGGATCAAGAAGGCCAAAGTCCCAGCCGACACCAACGCAGGCACCCTGGGAGCTGCACATCACTTGACGGGAGATTATTTTACTATTCATTCCAAGCGCGACAGGAGTCCAATCAGTGCGGTCGATGGGACAGGTAAAACCGCCAGACCCTCGAGCTACATCAGCTACCCGGACTCTCTCGACGTCGACCAACCACCTGAAGATGTCAAGAACACTGCCAGTCTCCTCAAGGCCCTCCGATTCGCAAGCATTGACCGTGAAAGGATCGACGTGGTCAAAAAGTTCGTCCAAACTGCCCCCGCTGATGAGCTGGCCTATGTTCAGCACCACATCGAGGACATCATGTCCTTTTTTGTCTTTCAAAATTCGAGGCGACAGTTACTTACCTACCTAAAAGAAACTGCAAATCATGCGCGTGAACATCGCGAGAAGCATAGTCAGGAGGGCCGACCGGAAAGTGACCAAGAGAGTCGCAGAATAGATCATTTACTGCAGGCCATCGAGGCCGCCAACGCCCAAATCACAGGCCTTGAGTATTGGAGCGACAGAAAACATGTCCTCAAGACTGTCGACGACGGAAGCGACATCACTCGGGCAATTGCAACCATCTTTGATGAGCCAGCCCCTAAACCGGAGCCCGAGTTGGAGCCAGTCAAGGAGATCAAAGGAATATCGGATCAGGCTGAAATTACCGAAGAGAAACAAGCCAAAATCTTTTCATTCCCACCAAGACCTCCTAATAATGACACTCCTAATGGAGAGCTGGACAAGGGCAAGGGAAGAGCCCATGATAGCGAAGACGATCAGGTTGAAGAGGCTCCGCCTGCGAGGCTGAAAGCAGACCAAGTTCTGATCCCTGACGAGGATTTAGCGTAGGCGTTGGTGGGTTGCTACTTATCCATTACATAGGCCAGGCCTTTCTTTAGCTGCATTACTTTCCACGTTGTTTAATTGCAAAAGATGGACTAGCATAAGTGTGCTAGTACCTAGGTATTTGATGCTCTGGTGAATTCCCCCATCGACAACAAGTGGCCAATCAATCGACGACAAAATCAATATAACCTATTAGGGCATAGTGTGACACGGACGCGTTTGGTCGCGCGTGGCAGCGCGTCGTGGTCCAGGCTCTGGGACTCTGCCTGCCACCCAAGATTGCACCTTGGCGCCGTCTCACATCTCTCAATGTCACTGACCTACCCTACACATAAGAGTACCTATATACATACATTCCGTGCATGTCTATGGAAACTCTTACAGTTCATGATATGTTTTTGGTGCCAGACTCTTAATCCATTGCTTTTACTGTGCACACACTCAACATTATCCACCCCAAAACTTGTTGGCACCATATTCACACCTTCCCTGCGTCTTGTTCAGTGACGATTCCTCGATGGCGCCTTCCATTCGAGGTTCTCGAGTCAGCAAACGGCAAGCACCACTGCGCAACTTCGCCAAAATCTCCAAAGCCGTCAAGGAAGAGTTGACCGGCAAAGTTCTATTAGAAGCAGAGGTCTCGAGTCACAGTGCCACCTCCCCCGACTCCGTCAAGTCCAGCGCGAAAAGAAAGCACCCTTATGAGGACAATCAGAGTGATGCCGAGTCACCATCGCAACGAGTAAAACAGGCGAAGAAGGTATACATTTCGACTTGACTGGAGCTTTGACAAGTGCGCTGACATTGTTCTGACAGGCGAAATTACAATTGCCTACACCCCCCGACTCTCAGTTTGGCGACGACTCCTCCGCCGAGTGCCAACTTTCACCCACTCTCGAACTTTGCCATTTATCCCTCAATGCCAACTCTGACCAACATTCAAACCTGCCTCGAGAGCCTTGCGAGTCATTGACCAGCCTCGCCGCCCTACACAAATCATTCCTTCGCGCTTTTACAATTCATATTGCCCATAACGGCACCTCTGCCCCAGCTGACTTGTCCACTCTCCTGGGCTCGGTCACAAGGCTATGGAAGAGATACGCAGTGACGACAGAGGACATCCAGCGCATGTTAGCCTTGTATGAGCTCAGCGATCGCCAATCGACCACCCCTCGAACATTCAAACATAAATCAGGTCCCTTCAAGTTGATTCGGACGGGCCTTGGCGATACTGTTCGACACACTCTTGAATTTGTAGGAAAAGAGTACTCGAACATAGCCGGTCGACCCTCTTTTGATGAAAATGAACTACAGCGGGAATACGAATCTGTCACTGGGACGCTCTGGGCTGCTCTATGCGACCAAGACCAGAGCTGGGTGCACCAAGATGTTCTCAACTTTCCGCGACTGGCCTTTGAAGTCGGTAGCCAGACACAGATTCGAAAGGACAAGACCTCAGCCATACGCTTGGAATTACTTGGATCATCGGCCAATGGTGAGCGTCGCAACATAGCCGAGCTCCCCAAGAAGACCGGGGCCACCAGCGAACAGGAGAAAACGCCACAGGCACTCAAGGCCAGGACAATGTCATTGTTTGATCGCGTTCGAGCCAAGCAAATCGCTAACTCAGGCACTGCAACACCCAGCTCGGAAGCGATCCTACGTCAACATGCTATCGGCCGTATCGATCAAGTGGTGGAAATTATCCGCATGAAACAACAACAGAAATTGGCTACAAGCTTTGTTTCATCCCTGCACTCAAGTCCCGGGAAAGTTCGAGGCAAGGTGTCATTCAGCATGAACCAACTGGTATATGACATTAAGAGCAGCCTGAGTGTGCCCATTTGTGAGGATGAGATTAGATTGTGCATCAACATTCTGTCCAAAGATGTGCCGGGATTCTGGTTGACAACATTCAACATGGGCAGTGTACAGACGGTTGTTCTCAATGGCCCAGGACTGAGTGGAATTGAAGTGCAGAAAATCTTGTCAGAGGACTCGATGGTGTGATTATAAACAGTCGCTACATAGATGATTGGATACCCGTTCTAAGTCAGGACGTAATTGATTCTTGAAATTGCCTCTCACGTCGTACCTCGTGCTTAAAAGTCCTGTCTCTTCGTGAAGACCAAGTCGAGACGGCCCATCCCCAAGGTGAAATGATCTTTTGACTCCTTTAATAGTCGATGACCATCCTCGCCGGGAGCCAAAGCCACGTCGAATTTGCGCAGGAGCTGGGAAGCGAGGGTGCGGATCTCCAAATAGGCCAGATTTTTGCCGATACATCCATATGGCCCAGTAGAGAACGGGGAAAATGCATCTTTATGGCGAATCAGCTCCGGTCGAGTCGAGAAGCGTTCAGGGATGAATTCGAGGGGCATTGGGTAGATATCAGGATCTGTATGACGAGAAAGAAAAGAGCAGTCAGTCAATCAGTCAACCACCTCGATATATATCAAAGCAAAAAGGGAGGAAGAAAAATCTCATACCTCGAGCCATAGCATATCCAGGCATTTGAATGCACGTATTACCAGGAATATAAGTGCCAGCAATCTCCACCCCTTCCTTGGGAGTCTCTCTGAACACACCACTCGGCACGGGAGGGTTGAGTCTCAAAGCTTCATTAATCGCACCATTCAACAACTTGGCATCCTGAATCTTCGCATGTTCAAAAGGTTTTCCGGGGGGCAACAACGAGTCCAACTCCTCTCTCAAGCGCTCGGCCAAACCCTTCTGGCTCGCAATATGATAGAACAAATGCGTCAACGTCGCCGCTGTGGTATCACTACCAGCCACAATAATGAGTCTCGCATCGCCTTGCAACATGGGCAATTGAGTCTTTTGTGTGGCATGGTCGGATTTTTGATAGAATTCAATCAACGTGTGTGTGATGTCTTGGACTTTGAGTTTGCCTTGCATTTGGATGCGCTTGTCAAGTTGCTCGCGAGTGTATTGGAGGAAGCGTTGGTAGTCATCGCTGATGATGGGGATGGAGGTCATGATGCGGAACATCCATATAGGGAGGTTCAGTCCCAAGGGGGCCATGCCTTCGTTGAGGACTTTGATGGCCCAGTGGTAGTCGCCGGCTTGGAGCATGTCGAATCCGCTGCCGAATCCTAAATCGCCCATCACGTCGAAGGAATATAGGTTGAACCATTTAGTTACATCGACGGGTTGGCCTGATGGGAGTTAAATCAAATCAAATGTTAGTACTGGTGTCTTGCTGTGGGCATACTAATTTACTAGGATATATGGTATGGTATTGGAAACTGACCTGCATGTTCTTCCATTTTCTGAATCAATAGATCATTGTAACCCTGAATCCGGGTTTCATATCCTCGAAGAGCCTTGTCACTGAAAGCAGGACTCCAGATCCGACGTCTGCGATCATGTTGAGCTCGGTCGCGACAAGTATGCATGCTAATCAACGGCACGTCCTGGTTATACCACGGAGCCTTCGTGCATTTGGATTTATTTCCTGAAATGATCTCGACGGCCTCTGGTTCGGTGACCGAGATATCGTTGGGTCCAATACGCACGAATTTGCCATACTTTTGATGCAGATCCGCGAGTTCTTGATGGCCATTCAACTTGGGAGCCACACGGGTGACGAAGTTGAACTTCGAGAGACGAGCCCAATAGGGGCCAGGGATCTTGTTCAACGGGTTGAAGAATAGTCGGTAGATGATCAAACTACTGTACAACCCAGTCAGGAACAGGGCGCTTGAAATGGCGGTGGATCGTGCTGCTGCCGCGGTGGAAACGTTGCCATAGTGTGAATTGGCGAATGTGCTGACAGCGAATACCAGAATAAAGGCCTGGACGTAACGAAGTGGGTAGAGGTGGCGTTCACCAGTCTTGAAGTAGAACAGATGAGCGGCCACACCGGCCGCAAGGGTTAGGTATGGTGTAAAGGACATTGGAGTACTTGTAGACATTTTGGAAATTGGGAAATGACTACGAGCGAGGAGCAAAGGTCAGGAGAACAGGAATAGAGATGGAGAGAAGAGTCTTTTTGTATTTTCTTATATGTTCTTCTATAAGGCAAGTCACTCGGTGAGACGAGGGGATCAGCAAGCTTTGGTCTTGTGTACCATATCCGAGGGTTTGATGTGACACCATGAAACCCATACTCAACTGCGAATGAGCATGACGGAAGTGAGCCTTTGACATACCGGGGCGAATCCGGGGCTGGACAAGAAAGCGTCAAAAATAGACTCTTTATTGGCTGTGCTTGGAGGTTTGATGACGCTCATAACTTCTCGGCCCTCAAGAATTGCTTGATGCTGCGTACGATGGAATTTCGGGCAATCCAAAAGGACGCAGCTGAGGGGATGCGCCTACTGGTATGCCTCAATCGAGGATACGTGCTCTGTAGAGGCGGTTGATGGATCTTTGATGGAGGAGTTCCAAGGCTTGACTCCCCGACAGTCAGCAGCCGGGCCAATCTTGTGTCTCCGGTTACCAAAGCTCTTGGGGTCCATGCCCCGCTCGAGAGCATGGATCGATGTTTGTGCATGGTTTTACATGGATAGCCTAAGCGGAATATGAATCAGATGCCCGATGCCCGAGTGTGTCCCTGTCCAAATGCGGGGTCCCCATACCAACGGCAAAAAAACAAGCTGTCGACTCGGTCGAGTCGAGCAAATTTGGGCGATAACCGTCGACTCGGTCTTGTCGATGCGAACCCGTGTTAAATGTTCAACGTTCAGCGTTCAACGTGACTTGGTGGGAGATTTCATCATAGTCGATTTCAGGCTCTGAGCCATGTTTCTGGACGATTATGTGGAATATTCTTACTCACACCAGTACGTCGAGTCATTAGGCATATGGTGTGGCCTGAACTGTGTTTGTATTGAGCGCCGAGTGCTGATTGCCTATCTGACTCGATACTGTTCGATGCTTGACACAAATCTGGGCCTAACACGTCGTCATCACGACCCGAACAGTCCCAGGCTGCATCGACACTTGGGTGAGATATTTATTGGGCACACGGGGGCTACGGATTGCAATCCGTGTCCACGTCTGAGTCAGCTTGTCTCAGTCTGATCTTTACCACGAGATGAAACAATCATTCTTCTCCGAGGATTAAACGACGTAGAACTTTCTCAGCCTCTTTAGGCTGCATCTTTCCTTTGTCTGGATGCCTTAAAAGTTTGCCCATCAGAAACTGGATTTTGCCCAACTTCCCATGCTCTTGGATGTCCTTGATGATTTGAGGATGTTCGTCAATGACTTCCTGTGCAATCTTTTCGTACTGCACTGTTGACAGACTGACAAATGCTAGTCCGTCTTCTTCGATAATTTTTACCACATGACGTTTGTCACCATTGAACTTGAGTTTCAAAATCAACTTGGCTGAGGGGTGGGTGATCTTGCCCTGCTCGAGGCGATAGAGGATCTGAGCAAGGTCAACTGCTAGGACGTCAAGAGGAGACCATTGCGCTTCTTCTGTGGACAGCAGTGCTCCCAGCTCGTGTAAAACCCACTTGGACACATATTTGCCCAGGATCTCTGTTGGAACCGCGCGACCGTACAGATACGATATCTCGCGGACCACGGTCTGGAAGTAGAATAGCCGCTCCCCGTCGTCCAAGGTGAGAAGGGCGCTCACGTCTGATGGTGAGACCCCGTAGTGCTCGAGGAGCATCGTGCTGAGCTTATCTGGCGAAGGAGGTAGTGTCCTCTCCAAGGTATCGATCAGGCCCGCATGAAGATATAGAGGTTGAATATCTGGGTCCGGCATATATCGATAGTCGACCTCCCCTTCTTTGCCTCGGAGTCTTCTCGTTTCGTGTGGATTTGTGACTGACCAGCCTCTTGTCTCCGCCTCGACCGCGCCTCCTGCCGTCAGTACCGCAATCTGTCTATCTCTTTCAGCCCTGATAGCGTGCTCAATGCCAGCCAGACTACTCAAATTTTTGATCTCTGTTCTTTGCCCCAAGTCTTGAACCCCGGCGTAAGAATGCCCGGCATCGTCTGTCGAATCGCGACGGCGGACCGAAACATTGACATCCGCACGAAGCCCTCCCTCCTCCATGCCCGTAGTGACTGCATCAACTGCGTGCAAAATAGCTTGCACTTTGCGCACATAAGCGGAAGCGTCAGTGGGAGAATGTATGTCCGGCATTGATATGATCTCAATGAGAGCCTGACCAGAACGGTTGAAATCAATGAGTGTGGTTTCTTCATCTAACTCTTGAGACTTGGCCGTGTCTTGCTCCAACTGAATTTGTTTGATGCGCACTTTGAGCGGCTCTGTGTCGTTCTCGGTATTCAAGGTGAGATGCCCATTTTTGGCCAAAGGTTGATAGTATTGGGTAATTTGGTAACCGGCCGGTTGATCGTGGTAGAAGTAGTGTTTTCGATCGAAAGTGCTCACGAGCTGTACAACACAATTAAGTGCTAGTGCTGCTCGTAGGGCAGGAAGGAGGACGGCATGCTGAAGCACTGGCTGGCTGCCAGGAAGCGCGATATCGAATTGAGCAACGTCCGTGTTTGGAGGGAGGGACGGAGAAGCAATTGCGGCTACATAATGTTAGTGGATATGGCAGGTTGGTGATGAAGACAGAGAAGCCTCACGTGAGAATAGCTTGGTAGCACTATTCAGTTGAGCATGAATCTCAATACCAACGGTCAATTCCCAGTCATCCAAGACATCCACAGCCTTTGGCGCGGGCGCGTGTCCCTTTAGCCGGGCTGCCTTTGCAGCATCCTTGAGTTCCTTGCGTAGAGGAACCACACCAACTTCAGAGAGCGGCTTGGTGAGGTGGAAAGCCCTGGGGAAGCACAGTGGGAGATAGGATGGCGTGAATGGTTGACTTGGATTAAATGAACCTGGACGACAGAACCTGGAGGATGTAGACCGGCACAAGGGAGTGCACTTGGTCCATCTTGGCGGCATGGACTTCTCGATGTACACTGACGCAGCAGCGACGACGACGACGGTAACGCCGAGCCCAACAAGAACTTGAGGATGGAGATGAGAGGGCTAAATGAATGGTTTCTTTAGAAAAGTCATCTGATTCTGCACATGTTTTGTCACATTTTCTTCAGCGGAGCAAGTATATGTGGTTGCAGTCCGAATGTATTGCCGTAGTGCGGAACATCACTTTATCCGCTCCGATATCCTTAATCCCACTTCAACTCGTGACTCCCAACTTCAATTCTCCCGCTATCTCAACATAACTCAACATATCTCAATATATCTCAATCAATCTGCGCCCAACAAGTACAAAAGTCTCTACGCTGGGTTAATTTAAGGATGCCCGAGACCTCTCGCACGGTCTCAGAAGATTGGTTGGCGCTGTGCCCTTTTCCAGGGAACGTTGAATAGACATCTGCGGCAACATAATCCCCGGTCATTTGATCGACGGCGGATCGACATCACAAGGGCTCAATCTCATATTACCTGCACATTGACCTCGAGCATGTCTCAAAGTCGTCCACAAATTGTGTTTCTAATAGACAACATCATGACATTCTGAGCCATTCATTGCCGTGGAGAATCACGGCTTTCAAACGGTCAAGTGGGAGAGCACGAGCAGGAGTCTCAAGTCTCCAGCAATGGCTTTCTCCACCACCAGCGGCGTACTCCTTGGCGCGGGAGCATTGTATCTGGGATTCTCTTATATCCTCCCGCGAGTTCGTGGTAGTGATCAAGAAGCTTCCGACAATGATAAGAACGACCACTCAATCCTCAAGAACAACACATCAACACGATCTTACACCACTCCCTACTCAATTTACCCTTCCATTCTAACCTTCTACCACCCACACGCACATGCAGAGAAGCTGCAGGCCATAGCTGACTTGCCATTGCTGGTCTTCATTCACGGAATTGGTGGCTCATTACCCCAGTTTGCACCACTATTGGGAAGTTTGGTCAATATCGCGCCATGTTTTGGCATAGAATTACCTGGCCACGGATCCTCTGAGTTTGCACCTACTGATTATAATGCCTACAAAGTTGAAGCATTTGCGGCTTTATGGCGAACTTGCATCGAGGACATCTGTACTCGACATGGCCACCAAAAGGTTGTGCTTATTGCACATAGTATGGGTTGTTCAATCTCCACACTTCTGGCAACCGCCAAAGACTTCCCTTACCCGGTCGTTGGCCTGGTTGATCTCTGCCCGAAAGCCACTCCTCTTAGCAAATCTGAAACAATATCGGCTCGAAGATTCTTGTCTCTACCAGATACGATTCTTGATCTTCTGCGAATGCTGGATCGAAGAGGTGGTATCAATTCAAAGAGTGTCAAGAGAATGGCCGGTGAAGCTGCTGGTGTTGACCTGCGACGCTTACAGCTAAACTTCAATCGTCGTTACAGGACTCCAGTTTGGAAGCGAACCACCATTGGCTGCCTACCCGTCTACGATTCTGATGGCAAAGCTACAGGAGGCCTGCCCGGTCAGGAGACGTGGTCTCGAATCAAATCCCCAATGCTTGTGATTGCTGGGGAAGCTGACACAGTTACCAAGCCTACTGAAGTTAACAAGATTGTTGCCTTTTTACAACGAGCAAATGATTCTTCCGACAAACCTTCCTCGAGTGAATCCGAGCCTTTTATACCTGTTGCAGCACCCAGCACGTCTGAAACGCCCAATAAATCTTCACCCACACTAAACAATACATCCGCTACACCATCCGATGGCTCTCACCCTCCCTCGAACCAAACATCCAATGATCCTCTGGCAGACGATCGCCAATTCGGCACACTCCCTTCAACACGCGAGATTTCCAGCATGAACTCAACCGTCATCAAGACGGTAATCCTTCCAGCGCCTGCCGCTCACGCGCTCATGTATGACCATTCAACCTACCGCACTGTAGCTGGATTAATAGAAGACTTCCTTTCACGCTATGTCTCAGCACAGCTATCTCTAGGGTGGCAGCTCCAGCAACTGACGACATCTGGCAAATGGGACGTTAAGAACCTGGAGAAATGGAAACGTGTGACACCTGTATCTGGACCCATCGGACCCAATGGCATGTTCCGCGCACTCAAGACACTACGCGAGCAAGACGAGGACCACACACCGTCGGTATTCATCTCCCAATGGGCGGATCGGATATTCGCTGTTGTCGATATCTCCCACGACAGTCCTGTATATGACACCAAAGCACTCGAACGTGGCGGCATTCAGTACCACAAATTTCCCACCGTGTCCAAAGTACCTCCAACACCAGTCGAGGTAGCCGACTTCATCGCCTTAATTGACCGTCTACGCGCCGAGCCAGGCCACGACGACAAAGCCATCGGCGTCCATTGTCATTACGGATATAATCGAACCGGTTTCTTCATCGCCTGCTATCTGATCGAGAGACTGAACTACCGTCCTCAGGATGCAGTGGATGAATTCGCCGCTGCTAAACCTCCTGGCATTCGCCATGAACATTTCTTAGATACTCTATTCATGCGCTATCACGTCGGTTTGCAGAAGGCGCCGACGTTTCGGCCAGGCTAACTAAGTTAGCTAGCTGACCTCTGGTTGGACTCTACACACGTAGAGACTCGAACATCATTAATGTAGAAAGAGGTCATTTATTGTTCATACACGCTACGGTCTGTTCTTAAAGAACTCCCCCACCCCAATCGGAGATGACGTTTCGTTCGTCCTCTCGTTCGTTTCAAGTTTCTCTGTCTGACGAGACGAGAATGCTTGCTTGCTTGTCTTGCGTAATGTGTAGCGACTGAGCACCCACTCACCCAACCACTGGCGGAACTCATCATCAATCAATGAATCATAGTAGCTTAAGATTCACAAAAGCCTCGACCACAGCACCATCCACGCGACTCAGCCATTCCTGCTGAAACACCGCTGGACCACCCACCTTGTCTATCAAATCCTTGATCTTGACGGCAACAAAGTCCCGGACATTGATAGTATAGATTGGATCTCGATTACTGAGCACTCTCTTACGACCGTCCTCAGGGGTCGCGTCAGGCCACTCAGGCACGTCGCCTGCTGGCTTGTTGTGCCATAGATAATCACCCATAGACTCCTCGGCGGCTTCTTCGCCTAGTTCGACGCAGATGTCGGTCCAAGTGGTTAGGTAGGATTGGAGGTTTTCGAGTGCCAGTTCAGGGAACGGTGGTGTGGTTGCGGATAGGAGACTGGTCAAGGCGAGGACTTGCAACTTCTTACGGAGCACGTCGCCAATGTCAACGAAGCGGTCTAGCCATTCGGCGAGGACCCAGCTTAGAACAGGAAGGTTGGGGTGAGAGGTTGAGTGGACGTTGGTTGCGGATATGGCTTGTACTGTGATTTCAGGTGATAGGAGAACCATTCGTGCGATCAGGCTGAATAGACTTGTCTCTCCTGGTCCAATCACATCAGGCGCCTTTCGGTTTGGTCTTGGGTCTTGATGGTATTCGTAGGCTTCTCTTAGGATTTCGAGCACGGATGCTAGGTAGCCTGAGTTGATCATCGATGTCAGGAGATGGCTCAGTGCTTGCTGTGCCGGGACGGAAGGCGAGGTTTCTGCAGAAATGGAAGCAACAAGAGTCTCTAGAACATGTGGAGCATGTGCCGCGTCCCTTGCGCGACTTGATGACAGCATGGACAGTAGTGACTTCATGGATGTCAGCAACGGGTCGAGGAAAGACGAGGCGAGAGTCGTAGTCGGTGATAGGATCGTATAAGATTCGATAATCTCAAAAATTTGTCGTAGTAGCTCATTTCCCATTTCGAGTAGAGGTAGCAGAGATTGAGACAGCGCCAGAAGCTGCTCCGAGGGCGCATCTGAAGGTGTTTGTTGTAGGATTGCCGACCACAGGTCAAGTGCTTCTTCTAGCAAATACACAATTGCCTCTGAGTCGGTTTGGACAGAGTCATGAATGATGGGAAGAATGGATTCGTGGTAGGAAATGCTCTTTTGTCCAAGACTGTTGACAATAGCTGTGAGCATAGTCAGAATTGCTTGCTTCATCAAATGCTCGTCTCCTGATTCGGTCCATAAGGGTGGAAGTGTAGACATAATCCCTTGCGCATATGGCTCAATGTGGCCCTCAAGTTTCGTCACGGCGATGCGAACCGTCTCCAAAAGGGCCATCTTGGTTTCAGACAGTTCAGTGGCTTTGATCAGAGACATGAGGCTGGACAACAGAGGCGTGGCATATGGTTGGAAATCCTTGAAACTGAATTCGAATGGTTCTAGCACCATCCTCAATTGTCGTCCCGCTGTGACTTGGACTACATGGTCGTTGAGTTCTTCTTTGCTGGTCAGAAGGTGTGTGAATATTTGGTATGTTGCCACTCGGTCCAAGCTTTCCGGCTTGATAGGAATCCATTGTGCAAGAAGGATGGCCGTTCGGCGTCGAAGAATGTTGTAATTCGGAGAATTGATTTGCACCTCTGGCACCAGGGTTGTCCTGAGGAAGGTGTTGAAATCGAGAATGTCTTCTATACAAGCAGCGGCAATACCGATAGCTGAGTAGAGGCTGTCCTTCAGAAGAACATTGTGGTTGGAGACCTGAGCATACTCTTGGAATACTTGAAGCAGCCTAGGGACAAGCAGTTCTTTGAAGTTGATCACTAGATCGAGGAACAACTTCTCCGAGCAGGACCGTAGAGAGAACTCCCAAGCATCCACGATCTCCTCCTCTCTTCTTTCCCATTCGTCAGGATCTTGCTCCCAATCTCTCAAATCTGCCGGTCGTAGGACAAAATATTGAGTGACCAACACTTCCATCAGTCTCAAGACGAAATCGTTGGTGAGCACGGTCCCCTTGATCTCATCCACTGCATTTCTTCTGTCTTCCTTATCTTGAGGTGTCTGATATTTGAAAGTCTGAACCGGATTGAAGACCATCTTCAAGCAAGCACGGAACAGCAGAAGAGCTTTGAGTGAGAGCTTCTCGAGCGGGGAACTTTCCACCACGTCGCCATTACGGTACACGTCCCAGTCAAAGTTTCCGGTCAAGTCTTGTGTGGCATCGCTATGTTGGACAATATTCCAAGACCGATTGAGAATGTTCATGGAGCCAAGTAAGACAAACGAAGCAGGATGCTCTCGTGCCATTTCCAGATAAAGCTTGGAAAGCTGCAGCAAGTGTTTCATCAATATTGTTTTCGCATCGGGGGATGAAACCTGATTGTATGCCGTCCAAAAGCTGTCTTGATGGCTTTGTAGGAGAATCCAGAACTCGCGCACATTCTCTTCTCGGTGTGGATTCTCAAAGCCAACAACAAGAAGTCTTCTCAATGTCTTTAAAGCGGCAAGGCTGTTGAGGGAATCTGTAGTCGCGATGTTCTCCCCTCCGGATTGCCATCTTCCAACCAAACTCACGTACAGGCTGCCTAGAGTATGCAACAACTCTGAGGAGACCTGGTAGAGACTTTTCTTGGTACGAACCAGGCGTCCAGAGGCGAGCTCTTTTATGATCTGTAATGTGATAAGCAATATATTGGAAGTCGAGAGAGCGTCGTTTAAATCTTGGCCGATAGCTCGAAGACGTTGGCAGATATCTGGGATGACTTCTGGCCAATCGTGGGGAAATTCGAGACGGGCGATCTTTGCGAGCATCAAAGCATTGTGGAGAGCAAGGACAGGCTGTGGTTCCTTGACTCCAGCATCAATGGATCTTGATCTGATTTGATCTTTTTCAGGCTTCGAGATTGGATTAGTGGCAGTCTTCCTCCAGTGCTTGTCAATGCCATTCTTGAGCTGGATGATGGCTTGAAAACGAATCTCTTGGTCAATTGACAGATCTGCATAAACATCCTGGAGGATGGCATAATAGCCTGGGGTTTTCTCCCAATTGCCAATTTGTTGTGTGGCCGCTTTCAACGCTTGCGGGCTGGCAAATCCTTTCGAAGCACTGGCAAGGGTTGAAATGACACTTTGCTTGGACAAGGGGTTTGTCGCGCCCTCCACTTCGATGGCGAATGAGGGCATATTGATGACAGAAGGGAGTTCTTAAGATTATCATCGATGAGAATTGATCATGACGGATGTGACAACTGTCTTTTCAGAGCCCGGGGGCAAATGCCACCTCAATCCAAGTCGGGCGTGATATGCACAAAATAAAGAGGTTCAACCTGAGGTTGTTATGAAACGTGGATGGATGTGGACGAGAGATCCTCAGTGACTTGGGCAGATGATGAGGAAGCCTTGCAATTGGAGGACATGACAACCACAAGGCAGCACTAGTCTATGTTAGGATTGGCTCTGCCAAGGTTTTTATACTGGTGTATGCTGTCAAATAATCCACCGTACTACCACTGGGAATCTTCTGCTTCCCTGAAGAGCCGAGGCCCGAAATTGCTGGACATCCATCTCTCCGTTCATCGATTCTCTGTCATCTCGCCTCAATTTCGCGAGCTCTGCGACCCTTCTTCTCTTCCTCCTTATGCCTTGACCATGTCATCCAGCAGCTGGGCGGCTGCACAGGAACGTATTCTTGCCAGACAGGCCGCAAGACGACAGGAAGCCCTTGCCGTCCCTCAATTAACACCAGTGCCCAATCCCACAACCACATTAGCCCGCCTCAGACACTCCTTGCACCCTAACGTGTCCTCATTATGGTCGACTCTCTTGGAATCTGAAGGCACACGACCCGCTTTTCGAGTTGGTCAAGTTGACGCGGAATTGCTGGATGAAGAGCTTCTGGGATTGTTGAAGTCACAAGTCGGCGATGCTTTGAAATACCTTGGGCCACATCTCCAAGATGACTGGTCGCAAGAGATACTGTTGGGATTGAGGGCTATTCTGTTCAAGTTGTCCATCTGGGATCATGACGCTTCCTATGGCGCTGCACTGCAGAATCTGAGATATACAGATGCGCGGAAATCCAGCCAAGCACTACCCACGCCGACAAAACCGCAAAAGATCCTGTATGGTTTGCTCACAGTGTTTGGAAGGTATGGGTGGGACAAATGGGAGGACTGGCTGATTGATCAAGAGAGAGGATACACTGCTCCTTCGGAAACCATACAGCATTTGATGCGACTCACCTCGTTCTTGTCCACCACCCACTCGATCGCAGCCTTCTGCTCCTTTTTAGTGTTCCTCGTCAATGGCCGATACCGCACTCTCACCGACCGTCTTCTTCGGCTAAGGCTGGTCTCTCCTTCCAACCAAGTCAGCCGCGAAGTTTCATTTGAGTACTTGAACCGACAGCTGGTTTGGCATGCTTTCACCGAATTCCTCCTTTTCTTGCTGCCTCTTGTCGGAATCAGCCGCTGGCGAAGATGGCTGACTCGCGCCTGGAAAAGGACGACAGATGCCATGAAGAGCGAAACTCTCGATGTCGATCCTGACGCCGTCAAGAGCGGACCTCTTTCCTTCTTGCCGGAGAGAACCTGTGCCATATGTTATCAAGATCAGAATCCAACAACGACGTCGGAGGCCGAGGTTCTTGGTGCCAATGCCGGCGCGGGAGGCGGAGTGATTGGATCTGCCACAACTGACATTGTCAATCCCTATGAAACCATTCCATGCCACTGCATCTATTGCTTTGTGTGCTTGGCGACTAAGATTGAAGCTGAAGAAGGCAATGGATGGTCATGTCTGAGATGTGGAGAAATCGTGTACAAATGTCAGCCATGGAATGGTGATATTCTGGTTGAGAAGAAGAGTTCCACCAAGTCTGGGAAAACGGTTGGCTTTTCGGTGTTGTCTGACGGCTTGGAGACAAAGGAAACGACACTCAGTTCCAGTCAATGGACAATGGCAGAGGATGACCAAAGTGTCGACTCAGACGGTTGACCAAAGCATCGATGATATTGGACAACTGCGTTGAAAACACCCTGAATGAAACCAACAGATCAAGTGCTCAGCAGATCTGATATGACCAAGCCCAACCCTGCATGATGTTGACAAGAATATCAATGTTGGACAAAACAACTTCACCTAACGCCCGAACTCCCTCGCCACAGCAACCAGCCACGCAGACAATAGTGGTTTGTCCTGGTCAGTGGACGTCACAGCAAGATCGGTGGCAAAAAGGACTCTGGCACCAAGAGCGGATTGAACCTGTGGCCCTTTCACCATCACTTTAGACCTCACCCTCGCCGTCACTCGCCTCTGCTCATTCCACCAGCTCTCTACCACTACACCAATCCTCCCTCCCCCTTCCCATCTACAAAAATACCACCATCCTACCACTACAAAAAACACATCAACCGAAGTGATCCGCGCCATCCTCCCGGAGGGATGTTTGCGAACTGGGCATGACGAAGTCTATACTATTGTATAAACCCAACTTGTGCTGCATACAGATACTCCCCCTAAACCTTCATTGGACCGGCGACGATTATTTTCTAGGATTACCAGGGGGGGGGCTTAGGTAGACGCAACTCAACTTTCGACGAGAGTCAAGTCTGGGCCTACCAAGACCACCTCCCTTGGATGCTTCTTCGCCTGGTCCCAGACCGTAGACTACTTCAGCTCCCGGATGTGAGGACCTCGAAATCGAGGGCGGATTCCCGGCCTGCTCAGGTTGTCCTGGGGTCATGGTGTGTATTTGTGAGTGGATTTTCGGAGGGTGTATTTGATATGGGTTTGTTTTTGCTGAACGTTACTGCCGGCAGAGTAGTGAATTTACGGGGTTCCGGGTGAAGTGAGGTGTGGTGGAAAAGGGGGTGGTGGGTGATAAAGAGTGTGGCAGTATATCTGGAGAAGAACGGAAAGGAGTCTAAATACTGCCAAGAAATGGCAACGTGATTTGAGACAATATGATATGATATAAGAGGAGAAGAGATTTTCTGCGTCAGATGGGAAGTTCATACTTGAAGCTCTCAGTGTGATTCCCATCGACTTGTGGGTTCCAACGACGGAAGTCAATGAAGGTAGGTCAAGGAGTAGGGAGAATCTCGTAAAGCAGAAATGCAAATAGTACTCTGATCTATCATGGTCGTCGATGTAGATGGCATTTAATGATACTTGAAGCATAAATGTCTATATACATCGTGCCTAGGTATGTCAATATTTACCAGTCGAATAACCATGAACAACATCCACACTGTCAGTTACTAAGAGCCACCTGAAAGGGGCTGGATGTATGTATGACAGCTTCTTCCTTGGACTCTGTTGTCGAGTCCGTCAACGTCGAAAACAAAAATGACTAGGACTGTGCTCTGGCATAAAGGACAGAAATCCCTCTTCCCTCGCTGTGCTGGTGAGCAAGCTGGTACAAGGCGATCTCAGTCCGATCCAATGCTTTCCCGTCACCTTGAAGGCATCCTCCTTTTCTCCATAAAGCAAAATGCCCACCGATGGAAAATGCCTTCAATTCAAGATTTCACAGAATCTCACTCTTCGTCAATGAGAAACTCAACATAAGGATCCAGTTCAACCCATTTGAACATGGAACCCCATTTCAAACGGAAATCTCTTCTTCGATATAAATTGCTCGTGTTCATCTTGAAGCTGACCAGCTCCACAAGCCAACCCTTTTCGAGAGCTCGTTCGACCATGCGCAAAAACCCACCAGAGTACTCTGCCTCGGCAGCATCGCCAGTAGCAAGAACAATGGTACTAGGTCTTTCCGCGTCAACGAGAGATTCCAGGATCTTCAGGTGCAGAATTTCGTCCACGGCCTGTTCGACCCATTTCTCTGGTGCTGAGACAGTGTTGTTCGTGTCCGAACCACTGGTCTCGCCGCCAGAGTGGTACTTCTTTTGTCGTGGGGTCATCTCTTTTACTTTGTGAACTCGCTCGAGGATATTGGTTTCGTAACCAAGCGACTTGGCTTGTTCGACCACGGCGGATCTGTCCGAGCCAACCAGCACTCGCTTCGAGGCTGGTCGACCTCGCTCCAGAACCAGAGACAAGTTGTGGTAGGAAAGCGGGACACGCCTTAAGCGAGTATCCAATGGCAGACCACGAGCCTGTTTCAGGCAGTCATGGAAGCCAATGGAGATGTTGGACATGTCAACAAAAACGTGGATGCCGATGCTTGAGACATTCAAAGGTGTAAAGGCAGGCTCAAAGAGGCCCTGATTTTGCAAGTATTTCTTCTCGTCAGGATGCTGTTTGACGAGTTTGGATATGAGGGCTCTCTTCCTCGTTCGAGGAGTCAGGCCATCCTGAGGTGTTATGACTGCTCGCTTATGCGAAGAAGTCGGTTTAGTAGACCAGACAAAGGGATTGGCAACTGGCCAGTCGATTTTGTTAGTCCGAGGATCTGTCTTTGGAGGAGATGGCGAAGTAGGAGGCGAGTCTTTGTCACGAACTGCTCGTCGAGATCGACCAAGAATGTCGTCGATGACAGCTCTTCGATCTGGTGAGCGTCGTAGTGACTCGAGTTCACCCGCAGAGTCGTCTTCGGTAGTGTCAGACTCGGCCGCCTTTTCAGCGGCTAGGATGTCTGCTCTTGCTTTGGCTCTGGCCCTTCTTTCGGCACGTTTTTTGTTTCGGAGAGTTGCTGTAGATATTGGTTGTGCATATTGGATGTTGTCTTCTAGATCAGTACCCAAGATCTCGTCTCGCCAGCGCACGGCTTTCACCAACTGCACGATATCAAGCTCAGCCACCGGTTCATCGTTGACATTGTAAGTGATCAATTCTGACGCCTGGGGTTCTTGTGGAGCACGAGACTTTCCAAGGAAGTCCCAAATGGAGGAGAAATCGCCGAGGTTCGGTGTGACATCCGTGTCGCCACCAAGCAGCTCGGGAGGGGTATTTGTTTGTTCAAAGCTAGGCAACTCATGTCTCGAGGAGGCCGAGAGGCTGTTGAGAAGGTTGATAGCAGAGCTAAAGTCCCAAGCGGTGGGATCGGGCTCTTCTTTCATGTGAGAGGAGGAGAGATCTGATCTCTCGTGATTGTGATTAGAAGGATTGGGATCAAAGAGGAGGGAGTTGGAGGCCATAGTCTTTGGGAGGGGAGGTTATTGTGAAGAGGCGGTACATGTTTCTAGTGGGCTTAAGTGGGCGCGTAGGTTTGAATAGTGTAGTAGAATTGTGTCTTGATCTTGAGAGTGTTAAAAGCAGAGTGTGTGAGGTGGTGTGGCTGTGGGATGAAATCTGAGTGATGAATCGATGTTGGATGGTGATTCATGTGATTCATGCACGGCTCCTTCCTTGTCTTGGTCCGAGAGGCGAAGTCGTGTCATTAACCGACTAGAATCGGAGCTAAGGCTGTAAATATACTAGTGTATACGCTAATGTCTTGGCTAAATGCTATATTGATTAAGATTGATATGTCTTTCACGAAGCCTTGAGGAATGGATATCTCTCTAATTTCTAGCTTAATACCACTCCTGCGTCTCGCGAAATCTGGGAGCAAGAAAAGGCCTCTGGAGCCACGCCAAATGTTGCTAGGTCAAAGCCACAGGACCAAACAACTCTAGTGAAACAACTTCAAGATGTTGCTACTCTACATCGACGTGCAATGGCAATCACGCTGCAAGAAATGACGCTACCTCAGTCAAAGAGCTGGACGAATGGATCCTGAATTATGTTGCAAAGCGAAACCTGAATTATGTTGCAAAGCGAAACCGACAGGATCGCGCAAGCTCAGTGAAAGCCTGTCTTTGTACTTGTGTTTCTGGTTCAACAGTGGATGAGACAAAGAAGAGTTGAGGTCTTGACAATGGAGGAGTTGAGCATCAGCGCAGAAGGTGTGGTCCAGGGCGGTTCACTACGAAGTATCATGTCCATAGATAACTTCCTATAAGTTCTGTGAGAATGGACATTCATCCTCACACAGGTCCTTCGAGGTTTTCTCTCTACTAGTAGAGCCTAATATATCTGTTATGCATACGGTACTTACACGAGATGTCCATCGGTCTATCTACGGATTAAATCTATCAAGTCTGCTCGTGAATGGTCAGGGCATTCTAGTCCTTTTGTGGCGATTCCACAGGGCTTATGAGTGGTGTCTGACGGCGAAGAAGCATTTCATTGTTCGGCTATGCTTTGATTTCCTCTTAATAAGTGAGGTTGACACCATTACATGTCTCATGAGGTCATATCTTTTTTATCAGACAGGGAAAAAATAAATCCCAAATCCAATCTGCCAATACATGCTGAGACATGTAATGCAATACAATGCAAAATACCTACAAAACGGGTCTAATCTAGACCTTTCTCTTCTTGAAACCGCCCATTTTAAACCACAGGGCAAAATAAATCCCACAGCCAACGGCACACATCGCTCCGCTGAAACCCTGCATGGTGGTGTAGCGGCCATCGTCAGCGACGATGAGCTGGCCACCGATGGGACTCCCGACGAGGATAGCAAAGGAGCCGATCCCAAAGAGGAGACCTGTTCTCAGACCAATCTGCGAAATCGGACTGATCTGGGCGATCAGAGGCGGGACAAGGCCAAAGACAGCACCGGAGGTGAAGCCAAAGAAGACGGCGAAGCAGACAACAGCAGCGACGGTGTCAGTGGGGAGCCACACGGCGAGGATCATAATGGCGTTGAGAGTTGCAAACACGACCAAGACGTTGAACCGACCGACTTTATCGGCGATGTAGTTGGGTACGGTACGGCCGAAGGTGCTAGCTCCGTTGAGGATGGCAATCAGGTAGATGGACAAGGCGCGAGGCACGCCGCGGGACCGGGCCTCAACGACTAGAAATGTAAATGGCAAGAATAGGCCGAGCATGGTTGCAAAGGTGCCGACCGTCAGGAGAGTAAAGGGGATTTCTTTCCAAGGAGAGGTAAAGTCGGAGGCGCGTAGTGGTCTGGGTTTGGGAGGGATGCGCGAGCGCACGGTGGAGATGCAGACGAGCATGATAGCTAGGATCAGAAACGCACACGTCCGCATCGTCCAGCCAAAACCAATTCGTGGCACCAGCCGCTCTACCATGATGGGGAAGATGACTCCGCCGACGGAAGCGCCTGCAGCGACCATACCCAAAGCAGCCGCCCGCCGTCGAAAGAACCATGTCGCCGTTGCTGATGAACATGGGTAGAAGATCATGGCTGCACCTAACGGCGAACATACTCCCTGTGCAAGGATGATTTGGTAGTATTTATGCGAGATGCTGGCCATCATCAATCCAAACACGTGCAGGAATGTCCCGATGCACAGGATATATCGTGGCCCGTAATTGTCATAGACTCGTCCGACCCATAGGCCGTTGGCCCACATCATGCTGCCTTCGAGAGATGGGATCCATGCGATTTCCTGTGGTGTGTAGTCGCGCAGCTGGTTCCTTTGGTAGTGTTCTTGGAAGATTCCTATCGCGTTGATCCACCCAAAACTGGCGATCAGGCCACATACCGCTCCGACAACGCAGAGCCAGGCTTGGAGTCCTCCATCGGGGAATTGAGATGGATCTGTAGGGTTGATGGGTGGTTGTGATTCGTTGTCGCCTTCTTTGGCGTTGCTGTCGTTAACGACGATACTCTGCGCGACATTTCCTTCGAGTGCATGGGCCTTCTCTTTCGAGGTGTCGGTGTCAGTGCCGATGTCGTCGATGTTCTGTTCCTCTTTCAGTCGAGACTCCTCCCAAGTCGGAGGTTCTAGGTTGTTGGGTGAACTTGGACTCCGAGCTCGATCAGCACCTAGATTGGTGTCTTTAGGAGAAGCTGGATTTTGATCTGATGGGCTCATGACTGCTGGACCGTCTTGGCGATGCGTTGGGAGGTGTAAAGGAAGAGCAATCCAAGATAAAGACACTACACTCCACTCTTACAGTAGACGAGGATGACAGGACGCCCGGCGTTCTCGGTATTAATAGTGAGATACTGACACAGGTATCATGGAATATGATGCGATATTTGAGCCGACTCGAATGACCACGTAAATGAACGCGTCGTCAATGACTAAGGCGCCGGCGCCACTATCATCATGCTGTGATCAGCAACAGAACATGAATGCTCGACGGCGAATATTGTGTGTGTATGTGCGGATCAAGGTAGTACAACCATGTGAGATTTCGAGTCGATGGTGGGGAAGTCAATTCGAGAGGGAGGTCTCGGTCCAGGCCTGGGGGACAACACACCAGACGGCAGGGGTCGTTTATTTCAGAGTTCGAGGTTGACGAGGATGACAATCGTACACAAGGGCTATACGCATGCAACGAGGGCTATATACGTAAGTTGTTATTAGTGAACTCGACCGAACCGGCGGACCAAATCACGTTTTGGTGATTATTTTTCGACAGTTTCTGGTGAAGAAGCTTATAAACCCACTGCCAATTTCAGGGCATGATGATATGATTGTATACGTACTCTGTATGTTTCAGTGGGGTGCAGAGGGTTCGGCAACAAACTTCCGAAGAGGATCAAAATGCTTTTACAGAGGACAACTTCATTAGGGGGACTTAATTCGACATTTGTGAACGAAGCATCGTGTACGAAGAAATGAGGAGTTCGGCTCTAAACACAAATCCAAGCGCCGAGGAAACGAAATGGGAGCATGGGATATGGACACGGCAAGCCTTCAATTGACCAATCTTGATTGATTTTGGGCCGACAAGCTCGGTTATGGTGGAGTGAAAGAGACTACCCACTACAGTGTGCCGTAGGTGATGCCCATCATCGTACAACCCCAAAAAGACGGTAGGTGAGATTGAATCACAGAAGAGACTGGTGCTGACTACGGAGTATCCATGCCGTCCCCGTCATCACTAGTTGAGGATGTTATTGGTTGTTTGTGGATGAACTGGGGTGCATGGCGTATATAAACGGATATAAGCATGACCAGATGAGACATTGTCGACAAAGCACGAGGTCTAAAGAACAAGCTTTGGAGAAAGGCTATCCTTCGCTTTGATCATGCAGTCAGTCACTAGTGGTGGATCAATCAATTAATATCGATTTCGCATTCACTGAAGTTGCATGGCCCATAAGCTGAGTATGTTGTCGAAAAGCAAAAAATAACAAGAGCTCAGATGTAGCTTAGGGACAATGAATTCGTGGCAGAGGCATACATCAAGTTTTGTGCAATATGGCCATTTCTCTTCATGTTCAGATGGCAGTCATCATTAAACGACCCTGGCATAGTACGAGGGTAAGCTATGACTATAACGACAATCAGAAATACAAATTTTGGTGTTTAGGTACAGCTGCCACATTCAATGACACTTGATTCCATATGGAACTGCAGTTGATGATTCGCTCCCTGCCTTTACCATGTCGATGGGACATTGGGAAACTCCTTGGTCGTAATTCCCAGGTCAGCAAAGACTGCGTCGTCACCTATAGTTGTAGATGGGTCAGTTGCCGTAAAAGATTGTACAAGGCAGGGACCATGCAGACTTACCCTTCAAATGCTTGACTCGGATCTCGTCCTCGCCCTCCAGTCTCTCTAGTTCCTTTTCTGGCAGCTCATTGTTTTCCCTATCATCCTTGGGTCGTTGCTCAGTGGCGTGGTCGAAGCTCTCACCAATGACCAAGAATTGCGTGTTTTCATAATCGAGGAATTTCGGCTCCAAGGGCTTCCAGCGCAAGCCGCGGAATTCGTCAAGTATGTCTTGGGGATAATCTGCTCCCTTTGGAAGGCTCACATTGTTGGGCGCTGAGGCTGTAGGATTCTTCACACTAGTGACAAAGCTGCCTCGTGGCCGGAGACCAAGATCCTTCTGCACTTCACCCAACTCTGATGGGACGGTCAGGATGTAGGCAAGATGAGATTCTCGACCAGTTGACGTAATAGCATAGATACCTTCAGCGACTGGTGTGACAGGAGGGCTGTGGCTAGTGCCGGCCGTCTGGGTCGCGTACTCAGAGCCAGACATGAATGATTCTTTGAGGTCTTTGAAATTGGTCTTGACCTTTTCCACAAATGTCATGAAGCGGTCCTTTCCACTGAGGGGAAGGACCTTCTTAGGCAAAGCGAGGAGTCGGCAATTGTTGTCATCTCCAATCGGTCCATCGCCGAGCTTAGCATCAAGTGGAAGCGGTCGCATAATCATATAGCTTCTGGCGATATCATTTACATCGTGAGGGTGGTCGGTGTTGACTCGGGCTCTGAAGAAGAAATAGATGATACCCTTTTCAAGGATGGTCGAAGGCACGTTTTCTTGACGAGCATGAGGGATGACTGCGTTGCCATTGACGGATGACGACTTTTCCTCTGGCTTCTCTGCAGATGTGTCCTCTGCTTTGTCTGTTGGCTTCTCCGCTGGCTTGTCGTCTGGCTTCTCTGCTGTTGTATCTGCAGGCTTCTCCTCTGCTTTGTCTGTTGGCTTCTCCGCTGGCATGTCTGCCGGCTTCTCTGCTGTCGTCTCCGCTGGCTTGTCATTTGGCTTGTCGCCTGGCTTCTCCGCTGTCGCCTCTGCTGGCTTTTCCTCTTGCTTGGCCGGCTCCACATCTTCAGCCTGTTTAGAGAGGTCTTGTGTCTGCTTAGACTTCTCTTCCCCTCTCTCCTTCGATGGCTCCGTGCCTGCAGGCTCGGTCTTTGGCTCTTCACTATGTTCAGGCTTTGCGGCCTCGGCATCCTTTGCAAGTTCACCCTTGTCTTCTGGCTGACCATTTGTACCCGTCATCTCGACATCATCCTGTTGCTGAGATTCCGTTCCATTAGGTGCTTTTGTGCCATTACTCTCGGCCTTGGGTTCAGGCGGCTGGGTCGTCTCTGAAGGTGCCTGAGCTGGGTCCGTACCATTCTGCTCGACCTTGGAGTCTTGCTTCTCAACAGGTGCATCGCCGCTATTATGAAACTTGATTAGCACAAGAAAGAGAGTCACATGTAGCCATGATATAGTAGTGCCTACTTGGAGAATGTTTCTTCTAGAGTCTTCTGCTCGGGTTCGTCGTTGGTCTTGCCGCGCTTGGCTGATGGCGAAGTACCGGTGGTTTCATTTTTACGCTTGCGCCCACCAGATGATGCCTTCCTTTGAGGTGGTAGCTCGGAAAATGAAGGGGGTTGACTGGTTTGGGAACTCTGGGAGGCAATACGAGCAGACTGACGTCGTCCGGTCATGATTGCGGTGCCAAGTGGGTAGTATCACGAATGACGTTTATTACTGTCAAGGCTGGACTTGATAGACTTTATGTCTGGTGTAGTAGACTGATTCGATACAGAATAGGAGAGGATGGAAAGGAAAATGAAGTGGTAAAGACTCCTTACTAAGATACAAGGAGGATGAGAAGGACATCGTGCGTCTGAGCCTGAACCGCAGCTTGGATCGCAGGATCGACGTCAAAAAGCCGGCAGGGGAGCCCGCCATCCAAGTGTCAAGATGCGGGTCCCTGGGTCCTCCGCAGAAGTCGTCGGGGCGAGCTGGAGCACAGGATGAAAGGTACGGAGTGCCATGATGTAAGATTTGCTCGTGCCGAAAATGCGCGATGCGGGCTGCTCCAAATCGAGGTTGCTTATTGCGGCTGATCAGTGGTGACGGAGGAGTAGCGTGAGTAGTAGTCAGGTACCGTTGGACCAGGACTTGAACAGAGCGGCTGAAAGGCAGAAGACGGGAGAGGATGGGGATTGACGAAGGGGGGGGTTCGGGAGGACGCGTCGTTGATTCCGACTGGAGTAGGAGGCGTAGGAGGAGCAGAAGGACGCGGTGGCGTGCACCGGGGGAGGCGCCTTCCCCGCCTTCCTGCTTTGTGGCGTCCCCGTCATCGCTCCTTCCTCGATTGGTCAAAGACTATTCTACGGCAAGAGCCATTTCGTGAAGAAGACGATTTCCGACGAGAGGATCAAGTATGGAACAGTTAGATGTTTTTACTGATTGAATCAAAAGTGCGGAAGTATAATAGTCTCATGCATAACGTCGCTCAACCAATATCCATAGCATCATCATCTTCGACTGACTGTCCAGTCGTGGTAGTGGTCGCCTCTGGTGTTCCATCGCGAGATGAGCTTCCCTCCAGCAATTCTCTCAATGTTCCATCCGTTCGCTCCGTATCTGTCGTATCTGACCACGTGCCTCGACCTTGTCGACGGATCAGCCGATGTGCCATGGTCTGCTGGCTAGTTCGTTTCTTTCGCCGCTTGTGAGGAGGCTGTTCGACCTGTCCCTCCAACATCTCTGATACTTCCAATTCTGGTTTGATGGCATGCGGTTGAACTCGAGATCCAGGTCGAGGGCGAGCGTCTTGGTAATCCATCGCCGTTGACTCGCGCTTGGTCCCTCGATCCATGGAGTCTAACTTGGAGGAGTTGGGAGAAGGAGGGTCGCACTTCAACCTGGTCAACCTGCGCGCCAATTCTTCTTGCGGATCAGGCCACTCCAACCGCTTCTGCGGAGTGATGTCCTCCAAGTCGGATTCAACCTCTTCGCAATTGTCTGGTCGCAGTACCTCAACATCACCGTCGTAGCCCATGTCATCCGACGTCACTTCTTCCACAAGTAGCTCATTGGTTGACTCTCGCCGTAGTCGCTTCTTGCGTCGAGGCTTCTCGGACGACATTGTTACTCAGTCGAGGACGCTCCTCTGCACAAGTATGAGAGAGACGGACTCGAAACAATGTCATACACAACGCGGTCCGTCTGATGAATTCAGCATTATTCCATGCTGTATGATTGTGGAAGCCTGGCCATCAACTCCCTCTTATTTCATCCTTGCGATCGATGACTAGCACTCAGGCCATTTTGACAGAGCTGAACAGGCTCTAGGCGCGTGATAGAAACCACTTTGCCTTGATATAATGGTTTATTGCTGACCGTTAAAACAAATGAGCGTGCAGCAAGAGATGTCGGGTTTATGAAATCAGGCCAAAAACACTCTATGAACTGAGTTTGAGAGAGCCATTTTGTTTGCGTTATAATGGTGGTCCGAGTTGGAACCCTTCGTTGTACCACGTGACACTAAAATATTCTTTCCCATCCCCTTTCACATCGATGCATCATGTCAAGTCCAAGGTTTCACAACAACTCATTACATGGAAATGTTTCAATGGAAGTTCATTGGGGATGTTGCTACGATGGATGGTTGCTGATGGCCCTGTCTGCCTATGTCTCTCCCACACACGAGTGGTCTACAATGAGAGGACGGTGCACAAATTGCGCCAATGTGATCTGGCGTCCAGCGCATGGTATGACCTAGGATTTCCAAACCTCTGCCAATTCAAAAATTCATCGAGATCTCTGGAAAGAAAAGCGTTGTAGACACAGAAAAGATGGACCGCTGCATCCACCGTCGCCTCCCAAAGGGAGGGACCAGATGCCGCGGTGAGTAGCGTGTCAGAAGATGGTTCAATCTTCTTTGCACCAAAATAGGCCCATATCCTGGGATAATTCCAATCACAAGGAGAGGAGGGATAAAGGCCAGAGTGTTGGCAAAGGTCTCCACGACTTGGCTGTCGAGAGTGAGGTGTGTAGAATAAAGGGGCAGGGAGACTGGGAAATTTGGTATTTTTTCACGGCACCTTGGAACAGAACGTTCCAAGGTCGAACAATATTGGGTCTTGTCAAAAGGCATGGTCGTCATCATTGAGGATTATGCTCTTATGAAATGTCTGATTTACCGGTTGTCGTGTCATGTAAACCATCATGGGTATCATCACCACCAAGTCCATTTTTTGACCTGTTTTAACTTCTCCGGCCCTACAAGTGCTCCTTGCTTGATCGCACAAGTTGACGAAGGTGGGAGGCAGATTTACTCTTCGGGAACTGGGTACGGCGTGTTAGCGACGAAGAAATCATGTTTCCACACAGAATATAAATTCTTACTGTCGATGCTTCCATCCTTGACCTCATCAGAGATGTCCTTTGGCGACCGGCCGTCAACCTGGCAGCCGACACTGAAGGCAGTGCCGAGAATCTCGAGCACGGTGCCCTTCAGCTCACGGGAGAGCGACTTGTTGGCGCCACGCATGGTGCGAGCAATGTCGATGATCTCATCCAGAGGGATGGACTTGGAGTGCTTGATGTTCTTCTCCTTCTTGCGGTCTCGGGGAGGCTCCTTGAGAGCTCGGATGACCAGCGATGAGGCGGAAGGCACAACTGACACGGCAGCTTGTCGGTTTTGGATAGTGAGCTTGATTGTCACACGGAGACCTTTCTGCAGAGTTGTGAAGTCGTTAGAAAATCATGATCCATAGAGGCAGCTTGCGAGAGAAAAGACCCTCCGTCGGTCAAAGCGTCTCTTGCAAGCAGAGGGGGATACACCAGAAATCCTTACCCAGTCACCAGTTGCTTTGGCAATATCTTCACCGACCTTCTTGGGCGACAGACCAAGGGGACCGATCTTGGGAGCAAGCGTGGCTGAGGATCCGACTTCACCTCCGGTAGCTCGGAGATGGCTGTTTGGTAGAGTGTCAGTGTCTCTGTCAAAACCACCAACCAGGGATTTGTCCTTACATGATCTTCACCTCATTGGGATCGAATTTGGGAGCTATCGAGTTTCCATGTTAGCCGCCAGGTTGACGCTTCTCAAGGAGACGATACTTACGCATGGCGAGTGCGGAAGGTAGTCTGTCTGGCTTGAGGTGCTTATTTGAGCCTGTTCTCAACACTGGAGAAAGATTACAATAAAAGTGCTGCAGAGTGCTTGGGGTTAATTTGCACTTCATCGCCAAGCATTGTGTGCGCTGCTTTCGGTTGAATATCGGCACTTCCGCGAGCCATTTAATGCGGAAGCGCATTTTGGTCCTGACAGATTTCATTATGAGGGGATCACGGGATCTACCTCCGCCGCCTTGCTCGTCGGTTTTGTGTCTTGTTATCAGTTCAGGTCAATGCTAGGCATTACGGACATTTCATCAGATATCTCTACGAGCATCAATATTTGAATGCCTTTCAATCAATGCTCGAATCTAACTTTGACTGCTTCCAGATGAATTTTAACGCGCACGCCAGGCCAATACCATGGCGAAAGCCTCCTCACACTACCTTCATACACCACAGTGAAACACCCGGCATTTAGCTCGCTCCAGATACAGCAAGTCTAGGAGATTGTTAGTATGGGAGAGCATGACGGGAAATTGAAACACATACTTCATCAGGTGGTCCATAAAGGTCTGTAACGACACATCGTCCGTGAAAATTGTTTGCGCACTCTGGGAAACACCACCATAGCCGCCTGTAGCGTGCGTCGTAGATGGATTAAGCTTGGAGAGCAGGAATCGTGCCTGTGAGCCTCCAGCATCACAGATGATGAATCTTGGCAGCGGGAATCGATCCTGCACGAGCTCCCGTGCGTCTTCCTTGGGGGCTTCCAATGCGGCACGGAAATTCTCGTAACCCTCTTGATCTTGATAGCCGGCTTTACGCCACTCGGCCATTGTCTCGCCGTGGAAGATGAGGATTTGGAAGAAGGTGTCAAGCAGGAGAATGGTTTGCTGTTGGATAGAGGCCGAGTCGAGTAATACTGGCTGTCCTCCTTCGTGTTCAAGACTGTACGAGTCTAGCGTTGGCTGAATCATAATCAATGAGTCGCCCACGTATTCGTGGTTCAGTACATGTCGGTAGAATGCTGTTTCATCAGGTGAGTTGTTGAAGACTTGCAAAAATTGTGACCTGCGGAGATGGAACATGAACTGAGGATATAACGTAAAGTTCTTATCAAGGCGAAATGAAGTTGGATCGTCCTTGCGATAGTCGGCGAATCGAGAGCAGAGCCTAATAAGCATTCGATCAACCCATCGGAGGATGTCTGGACCATCGTCGACTTCTGCTTTGAACGCCGCGATTCTAGCCATCAGAACAGCTGCAGCTTCCTGGTCAAAAGACTGTGCGAGGGCTGGATCACCGGCAGGCCCACTCAAATTCCGAGCAACAGTGGTGACACGTAAGTGGTACTGTCCAGATGAATGCTGATAATAGGTCAGATATTGCATCATGCCTCTTTGAGGCCCCTGCTGCATAGGGGCGGGGCCGCCTTGATTGGCAACCTCAAAGTAGATACCGTAGCTCGAGGTTGGGTCAATACCACACATTTTCCATGCAGAAGTGTTGCCAATGCCACATTCCGTTTCACTGACTGAACTTGACTTTTTGTTGGCAGAGACAGCATGTCCGATCAGGCCAGTAACCTTGAGCTCTTTCGTTGTGATGACTTCGAGATTGGCATTGAAGCCCATCAAGAGATTGTCTTGCTCATCCTTATCGAAAACCCGGACAAATGACTGTTTGAACTGTGAAGAGGTGAAGCTGTCGGTCAACACCATATGACCGCCAGTGGAGTTCGCAAGGCCCTTCATTTCAAGCAAGCCGACTTGATCCAGACATCCAACGTACAAGTCGATGATATGACCATTGTGAGCCGTTCGTTTTGCTAGGCTATCGTAGAATTTGATGGCTTTCTTGAAATATTTGACGTTATCACGGTCAATGTCGTGATGTGATCGAATCGGCTCTCGAAGTTCGGGGCCAACAACGAGGCCTGGGCCCTCAGTGGCAGGGCCGCCAGCGAAAAGCATGATGCGTGCGCCAGCATTCTGGAATGATGTTTCCAACAAACTAACAGCAATACTGAGAGCAACTCCGGTAGCCCTCAGGGGTCGACGGTCATTGGCAACAGGCCAGGGATCCTTTTGCAGCTGCTCGATGGCATTCGTGATCTGGAACTCTGCTTGTTGAACAGGGAGGAGGAAGCGAGCGGCTGGTCCAGCCGGAGGTGGAGGACGTCCTTGTTGAGGTGGAATGTTCGGTCGAAGTCCTGGAGCAGCCAGGCCGAGCATTTCCTGTATCTGCTTCGCCGCATAGTCCTTGCTACCACGAAACATGTAGGATTTCTGGCACTCGGCATAGCCAATCTCATGTACAGCCACATTCGTCCCAAAGGTGACAAGTCCAACGAGCGCATTTGCGGGCAGAAGGGACAGACTCATGACCAAGGTATCTTTCAAAGCCTGCAGACCATCCTCTTCAATGGCAGTGTCGACCACATACACGAAAATTGGAGGAGAAGGAGCAGGACGTGAGAGTTGATATTCCACCGTTGTGTTCAGGCTGTGCATCTCAGAAGGAACATTTTCTGCACTGATATCTCCATAGTGACGTGGAAGCGCGTTACGCTGAAGACAAAAGGGACATATCCATATCTTAGCACGGACATCGACATTGGCGAAAGGGTTGAGGACGGCGCGACATGGCGGTCGACAGCTGACAGGTTCGTAATTGAGAAAGGGCTTGTTCAACTCCTGGCTTGATGTCAGCAAAACAAAAATGGTCAGCCAGAAGCGGCGTGTTGGAACTCACTTTGAGTGGTGTGAGAAGGACACTGAGTGGGACAACCAGGCGATTCGCTTCCTGTTCGGGTCAGTTGAAGTCAAGCTCGAGACAGCCAGGTTACCAACCATGCGCGAGGAAGGAATCGTGTTCCAACTCAATCGGACTCCATCTCTGTCCTCAACTTCACCCCAGTTGTCTTTGATAGCGTCGTACTGGGCTTGATCCATGTTTATTGCTTCAGATGATCAGGCGTCTCCTTGGGTGAGAGTTCACATGCGCATACTGGTCGAGGATGTGGGAAGGATGATGAGACAATAGGTGGATGGTCGACCGGTTCTCGGTTAGGTGTATTGTGTCCCTCTTCAATTGAGCTGATCTTGATTGTAGAGCCGTGCAAGGGTGAGGGATATCAAGACAATCGAACAGGTGATAGACGTTGTCGGTGGGCGGGCCACTCTGGCAACATGCTCGAGATGATGAAGTCCAAATTCAAGGGCTGGCCAAGTGCAGACTAAATGATCCGCCGTATTTGGTGGAGTAGGAAAATTGTTTCGTCAGACAATTTCAGTCAGGACACCTAGACTCTCAAATCACGCTTTCTTTGGGCCATTGGCGGTAAGGCCGGGGAGATGTCGAACGTCAGTCTTAGATCTATTCTTCCCAATACGGTCAAAACACCTGAACTGCGGGCAGGTGCAGTTGCAGGCCACAAAAAGTGCCCCTGCAGCAGACACCACGTTTCCCTTTCCAACAAGAGACCGCAACCATTCTGTAATCCCAGGTCCAATTGTCACTCCACAACCTCCCAACTCACATAGGACTCGCTCTGGTTGGCCCTGCTGATGTCGATGCCGTAAATAAGCCACCAAGCAGCCCAAGCAAAGCGCAGTCAACATGGCATCCCCTTCAATGCTCACCAAAGTAAGTGGCATCACACCGCAGTCTGGCGATGATTACAGCCACTGACCGGATCACAGTTTGAGAGCAAGAGCAGTCGCGCAAAGGGACTTGCGTTCCATCCCAAGAGACCATGGATCCTCGTCAGTCTACATAGTAGTACTATCCAGTGAGTATCATCCCCTTGGATGGTCGATCGAGCTGACCGTATGGGCAGGCTGTGGGACTATCGCATGGGAACCCTGATCGACCGATTTGAAGAGCACGATGGCCCGGTTCGAGGAATCGACTTTCACAAGACACAACCTTTGTTCGTCTCTGGCGGCGATGACTACAAAATCAAAGTTTGGAACTACCAGACAAGAAGATGTCTTTTCACCCTCAATGGCCATCTTGACTATGTCCGCACAGTCTTCTTCCACCCAGAACTCCCCTGGATTCTATCTGCATCTGATGATCAAACCATCCGTATTTGGAACTGGCAGAATCGATCCTTGAGTATGTTACTGATCCCCTTGCCATGACTATGCTGACAAGAGTAGTCTGTACAATGACCGGCCACAACCATTATGCCATGTGCGCACAATTTCACCCCAAAGAAGACCTCATTGTGTCAGCCTCGTTGGATCAGTCAGTCCGTGTCTGGGACATCTCAGGCCTCCGCAAGAAACACTCCGCACCCACATCCATGAGCTTTGAAGATCAGATGGCTCGTGCAAATCAACAGCAGGCTGACATGTTTGGCAACACCGATGCTGTGGTCAAATTCGTCCTCGAAGGACACGACAGAGGTGTCAATTGGGTCGCTTTCCACCCCACTCTTCCGTTGATTGTGTCCGCGGGAGACGACCGTTTGGTCAAATTATGGCGAATGAGTGAAACCAAGGCTTGGGAAGTCGATACCTGTCGTGGTCATTTCCAGAACGCCTCAGCCTGCCTATTCCATCCCCATCAGGACCTCATTCTATCCGTGGGCGAAGATAAAACAGTAAGAGTATGGGATCTCAACAAGAGAACATCGGTGCAATCTTTCAAGAGGGAAAATGATCGTTTCTGGGTCATTGCTGCCCACCCCGAGATCAATTTGTTTGCTGCAGGCCACGACAACGGTGTCATGGTCTTCAAATTGGAAAGAGAAAGGCCCGCATCTTCTGTCTACCAGAATCAGATCTTCTACATCACCAAGGATAAACATGTCCGATCCTACGACTTTAGCAAGAATACGGAGTCTGCTTCTTTACTGTCACTTAGAAAGTTTGGCAGTCTATGGGTTCCTCCGAGGACTCTATCCTACAACCCAGCTGAAAGATCAATTCTTGTCACCTCCCCTGCCGATAGTGGTTCATACGAGCTTATTGGTCTACCCAAAGACGCAGTGGGTGCCACAGATCCGACCGACCTGAAGAGAGGCGCTGGGAATGCTGCAGTCTTTGTGGCTCGCAATCGATTCGCCGTCTTTTCCGTCTCCACCCAGCTAGTTGAGATCAAGGATCTTAGCAACTCGACTACAAAGTCTTTCAAAGCCCCTAGCGGCACGACGGATATTACCTACGGCGGGACAGGAGCTCTGCTTCTGATCACCCCAACATCGGTTTTCCTTTACGACATTCAGCAGAAAAAGCAACTTGCTGAATTGAGCGTTAATGGCGTCAAATATGTCTCTTGGTCCAATGACGGTCTGTATGCAGCCCTGCTGAGCAAACATAATGTCACCATTGTCAACAAATCTCTCGAACAAGTCAGCACTCTACATGAAACCATCAGAATTAAGAGCGCCACCTGGGACGACTCAGGAGTCCTTCTCTACTCAACTCTAAACCACATCAAGTACACTTTACTCAACGGTGACAATGGCATTGTCCGAACTCTCGATCAAACAGTCTACCTTGTCAAAGTGAAGGGACGCAACGTGTATGCTCTCGACCGAGCTGCAAAGCCTAAGGTTCTCAGCATCGACCCCACGGAGTATCGCTTCAAGTTGGCCCTTGTCAAGCGAAACTATGATGAAATGCTTCAGATCATCAAGACTTCAAGTCTTGTTGGTCAAAGCATCATTTCTTACCTACAAAAGAAAGGATACCCCGAGATCGCACTGCAATTCGTCCAAGACCCTCAAACCCGTTTCGAACTTGCCATTGAGTGCGGGAATCTCGAAGTCGCAACTGAAATGGCAAAGGAGCTGGACAGGCCTAAGATTTGGCAGAGACTCGGCGCTGAGGCATTGATTCACGGCAATCACCAAACAGTCGAGACTGCCTATCAGAAGCTCCGTCAGTTTGACAAGCTGTCTTTCCTTTATCTCTGCACAGGGGACGAAGAAAAACTCACCCGTATGTCAAAGATTGCTGAGCATCGAGGTGACTTTGTCTCTCGTTTCCAGAATGCACTCTACTTGGGCGACGTGGAGAGCAGGATCCAGATGTTCAAAGAAATCGACCTATATCCTTTAGCATACCTCACCGCGAAATCCCACGGACTTACAGAAGAAGTCGAGTCCATTTTGGAATTGAGCGGACTGACAGAGGATCAAATATCACTTCCCACTACAGGAGACGCTCTTGGCCCTGTCAAGCCGATCGTTCCTTCGTACAAGGCGAACTGGCCGGTGAAAGAAGCGTCTCACTCGTCCTTTGAGAAAGCGCTTCTTGGAGAGGCTGGCGCGGTTGAAGAAGAAGAGACCCCAGACCTCCTCAATGACGATGCGGCCATCGCAACGGATCGAAACGGACTTGTTGCGGATGATGATGCAGACGCAGGGGATGGCTGGGACATGGGTGATGACCTCGGTCTTGAGGCAACAGGCAATGACTCGGATTTTGTCAACGTTGACAATGCCGACCTCCCTCAGGATGCCAGCGGACCGGGTAGCTCCGAAGCCGACTTGTGGGCACGCAACTCTCCACTGGCCGCGGATCATGTTGCCGCAGGATCATTTGAAAGTGCCATGCAACTGCTCAATCGCCAAATTGGCGCCGTCAATTTCGCCCCTCTCAAGCCTAGGTTTTTGGAGATCTATCAGGCTTCCAAAACCTATCTCCCCGCCAGCTCCGGTCTACCAGCCATTGTCAACTATGTACGGCGTACTGTTGACGAGACTGACGGACGCAAGGTGCTGCCGGTGATTCCACGCAGTCTCGATTCGCTTACTGGGGCCGATCTCCAAGAGGGTTACACAGCCATGCGTACGAATAAGCTAGAAGGAGGTGTTGTTACTTTCCGACAGATTCTACACTCTCTTCTCGTCAATGTTGTCAGCTCAGAAGCTCAAGTGGACGAGGCTAAGGCTTTGATTGCCAAATCGACCGAGTACACCCTGGCCATGTGCGTTGAACTTGAGAGACGCCAGCTTGCTGCGCTCAACGAGGATAGCGAGGAGAGTCTGAAGCGACAGCTTGAGCTCTCGGCATACTTTACACTTCCCAAACTGGATGTTTCTCATCGCCAGCTGGCACTAATCTCGGCCATGAAACTGGCGTTCTCCAGCAAGCAATTCTCGAGTGCCCTGTCGTTTGCTAACCGCATTATTGCCAATGGAGGCACTCCGAAGTTTGTTGAACAGGTAATTTCTAGTCCTCCGTTGATCTGAGTGCTGTGCTAAATGTGATCAGGCAAAGAAAGTCAAGCAACAGTCAGAACGATCTGGATCAACTGACAAGATCGATATTGAATACGACCAATTTGCCGAATTCGACTTGTGCGCAGCTTCTTATACACCTATCTACACAGGAGCTCAAAGCGTGTCTTGTCCATTCGATGGATCGAAGTACCAAACTGAATTCAAAGGGCAAGTTTGCCGAATTTGTGAAGTTTGCGAGATCGGTGCAGCAGCTAGTGGATTGAGACTTTGGGTGAAGGGTTTGTGAAATACTAGACGAACAATGAACGGATGATGAGCCCCAAGGACCACCCAGACTCGGCATTGCTGTGTGTTGGCGCCATGATGTTTGTAAGCGAGAAAACGGTGGACCGTTGGCAAGGTGTGTCTCATACATAAGATCTGATGCGAATGAGGCCTGGTGACTGGTCATGGTGGCAGTTCTTTGTAAGGTGCAGTACAAGGCATGAATTTCCATCCCATCAGAGCTTCCAGACCTACAATTGTGGAGATACAATGGCACTGATGAAGGCATGGTGAGCCTCAGAGCAGCAGCTGGAGTGCTAGGGACACTCTATATCACTTGTCATGCCCAGGTGCTTGATACAGACATCTGAATGAAGAATGAAGAATGTTATTGATTGGGAGCAATTCCTTTGATTTTCTCTCCCCCCAGCACAGACGCTTAAATTGCCCGCGCTGTGTGTGAATACTCTGTGCATTTTTATTGTCATGCGAGAATCATGGGACATGCAGGAACGCAAATGAGGTATGAAAATTGCATGTCTTCTACCAGGTTGACGCAACGCAAGTGTTGTATGAAATATTGCATGTCTTCTACCAGGTTGACGCAAATGGCTGTCGCAGATGGCTGACTGACGCAGAGGGCTGTCGTCGTCCTCTTCCGCGCTCCTTCTTCTTTTCTGCCCACTTCTGCCTCCATTTCCCTTTTCCTTTTTTTCTCTTCCTCCCCATCATCCTCCGAGACAGACTCTCTATCACTTCATCACGGAATCTTGTGACGCCTTGTAGCGTTTATCTCAGCCTCCTCCTTCGTTTGAATCTCAGCCCTGTGGCTCCTTTTGAGTCTGCAAGGCTCGTCAAACAGGTTGAGCCTCTTGACAACTCCCAGAGATCCCCGAAAAGGTTTGTCCCTGTCAGAGATCAGTCGAATTCGTTCCATCAGATCTAGCTAACCGCTGCTGTACTCCTAGGTATGTCAATGCCCACATTAGACGAGGAGCATTCGAGGTTGTCGACACTCCGTTGCTCCTGAGAGCAGTCCAATCGAGGCCACCAACCTTGAAGCATACCCACAACCCTGTTTTACACCAATCTCGCCCAAGTTCATACTCTATTGACCATGGAATCTCCCTTGGCCTGATTGCTTTGATTGCTGACAAGATCTTAGGGCCAGACAATCTTTATCATGAGTGGCTGGGAATCCAGCGCTGCCGGTACGTGAACTTCTTTCTGGGTTGTCCCCTTTCTTCATCACATCTCATTGCCACTCGTTGGTCTGAGATCCTCTTCATGCCTCTGAGAATTACACGTCGCGCAACCAAGCGTTGCTATACAGAGTTGGAGCTCCCAGTCATCCCAGAACACCCACAGCCAAGTCAGATTGTCTTCGTCTTTACGTGGTCAAGAAATCCAAGCTAATTTACTTATCCTTCTTTGCAGGTGCTCCTGGCTGGAACGATGCTGGTGCAACTGCGAGTGCCCCCGGTTGGAATGATACTGGTGTAGCTGCGAGCGGATCTGGTTGGAATGATACAGGCGCAAGTGCCGATGCTTCCGGTTGGAACGGCAACGGTTCTGCTGGCGCAGTCGATTCTGCCTTCGATCCAAGTCTCAAAGATGACAATCAAGATGACAACGACAACAAATGTCGCTTTTGTTCTGAAGGTGAGTGTTGCTTCCATTGACCAAATTTCGCTGACAATGAATAGAAGGTCACTTCGCTCGAGACTGCCCAAACAAACCTGCCCGAGTCTGCTTCAACTGCGTAAGTGTTATGATCTTCTACTCTGATCTCATATTGACCATACTCCAGGACCAAGAAGGCCATGTACGAGGGAGTCTTCCTGTTGATGTCATCTCTAACCACTTCATATAGTCCAAGGCTGATTGTACGGAGCCGGCGAAAGCTCGCAACTGTCGTCTTTGCGAAGACCCAGGTGATTGAACCAGCTTCTGTATCAATGATACTGTACTGACCTGTTTTTAGGTCACTTGGCAGCAGCGTGTCCAAAGAGAACCTGCCGCAATTGTTCTGGTGAAGGTAGGTGTGGGTGCTGATTCAGATCTCTACGGGGCTAACAATGGATACAAGGTCACGATGCGCAAGATTGCAAAACCGCTCGGGTTCTGAACAACGATCATGTCCCAGTCAAGTCTGAGTCAGAGGCTTGGGCCATGCTTGAGGAAGCCAGCAACGATCGAGATATTACAGACTTCAAAGAAGCTGTACAAATTCTTTCCAAAGCCGCACCAGCCTACACTTATCCAGAACTCGAGAAGGAATTTCGCGATCGAAAGTTCAATATCTACCTGATTGCTATGGTATGATGACTCTTTTCAAGGATAAAAACTTTGGCTCACGGATAATATAGGAAAAGGAACATGGACCTACCTGGACTAACGTCACACTCCAAGGGGACATTGGCAAGAAGTACACTGTTGCATACTTCACCTCGGACAAAGTGCAGCGTCCAAGTCTGGTCTCACTTTGGCCTCAAGATGCCGAGGAGAATATGAAGCGACTTGCAGATGCAGGTATCCCTCTCGATCGTGGAGTCATGTGGTGCACCAATTGTCGTCAGGTCGGCCACACCCGCAAAGGATGCACTGAAGAGCGCGAAGAGGTGGAAGGACCCAAAATCATGTGCCACATTTGCAATGAAGAAGGTCATCGTGTTCGTGACTGCACCCAGGTTCAGGAAAAGCAAGGTCGTGCATGCAAGATTTGCGAATCTACGGAGCATCTTGCCAAGGTAATACTTCTATCTTGACGTTGACTGGGGATACTGATCTTGTTGCTCTAGGACTGTCCCAACAAGCCGGTTCGAGCGTGTCGAAACTGCGGAGCTGAAGACCACATGGCCAAGGTAAGCGACGTGCTGCAAGAGGGAGGAATGAACAAAGCTGACAAAATGGCAGGAATGTCCAGAACCCAAGAAGCTCGTATGTTCCAACTGCGACGAGGAAGGACACATGCGCAAGGTGAGAATTTTTGGAGAGTTGATGATACAAACTCACACGATACAGGACTGTACCAAGAAGAAAGATTGGAGTAGGGTCACTTGCCAGATCTGGTATGTGTCTACTCTTTGCATAACTCGGTGGTTCACTGACGTTCTTCTTAGCAACGAGAAAGGCCATAGTCGTTATCGATGCCCCCAAGCTCCAGCGGATGGTGGAGAGATCAATGCTGGCGATGCTGGCGATGCTGGACATGGTAAAGCCAATGGAGCGACCAAGTCTGGAGGCAATGACTGGGAAGGTGGCGGTGGTGCTGCTTCCTCGGGCGCAAATGGATGGGGAAAGGGAACTGAAACCACCGGCTTTGGAAGCAATGGCTGGGCAAATGGAGTCGCTGCGTCTACTGGCCATGTGAGCGCATGGGTAACTCCCGCTGACGCGTCATCTGGCCAATGGTAAAGGAATGCACGGAGATCCAGTCGCATCGTAAGCCATGCTTGATTGCCTTGAGACGGTGGAGATGACGGATTGATGTTGTGAGGAACGGCTGAGGCCGGTGCTTTTTCAGGACTGGAGAGATCGAGTCAGTCGTCCTTGGTGAAGCGGTGACACAGCACGAAGAATGCCAACAAAAAGCGGTCGACAAGAGAGCTGAAGTAGCATGGACAAGGCAGAAGAAGCTACTGACATTCAGCCTTGAAGCGACGGTGGCATTGTGATGTTTCATATGATCACTTGCAGCTGACAAAGGATGTCGAAGCCTGGGGCAGACGGCATGACAGATGATGATTGAGCTATGGTTTCCACATCTACCTCCCTAGAGGTGGAAATCTAGCTAGTTTGCCGATGAAAAGTCTTTGTAACCCTCTCCCTTGACAAATGTGTAATCCCAAGGACCTTGATCCTGACGCTCTGCAAGTTTCAAATACTCGATACCTGCAGCGTCTCCTTCGACGCCGGTACCCATCGGTGCACCGTTTGACTGGCGTTGATCTGTATAGTAGAATCTGTAGAGGCGAGGAGGTCAGTGGATGACAAAAAAAGAGACCACAACATAGGCGAAAAGTCACGCAAATAAATGAATGACATACTTAATCCCATCCCCCTGATACGATTTCTGCTGCACGAGATGTCTAATGAAATAAGCCGTCGTAGCCTTTCCTGCCCCAAACAACAAAAACCCTGGAGCTGGAGTACTGTTGAGCATATTCCCAGTGAAGATAAAAGTCTTGGACGCCGAAGCAGGTAGAGTCTTGAATCCAGCAACCGATTGTTGTAGAGCACTAATCACCGAAGTGGTGTTGATCGCATTCGATGTTTCGAATTTCTTGAAGTCGAATTGTGAAAGCACATCTTCGCCTTGGTCGGGGAAGAAGACGGCGGCTATTTGGCCATGAGAAGGTTAGGACGGAATAGAATGGATTGGAATGGAGGATGTGAATCATACCATTATAAACAACCACACTGGGACTAGCACCCCATTTCTGCTTGACGGTTTCAAAAACACTTGGAACTTGTGATGGATTGGCTAGGTCGACGGTAACGTGTAGTGAATCCTTGATTTCAAACGAAGGGGTTTTGCGAGATGCTAATGCGATGCGATAGCCTTTGGATGCAAAGCTCTTGGCCACACTGGCTCCAATGTTGGGTCCGGCGCCGATGATGAGGAGGATGGGTTGGGACATTGTGAGGTGTGTGGATTTAGATGTTATCGTATGCCCAAGTACTTAGGTACCTTATATATATCTCACTATTGGAGTTTTAAGGTAGTGTATGGGGATGTAAAGAGCGAGAGTGCTGAGAAGGGTTGCTACTTTATCCTAATTAATTAATCAGTCAATCAGTCAATCAATCTTGGTCTCTTGTCTCGTCAGGTTCGACATCCATTGAGCCAGAGAGATTTGTACTCAAGACACTTACATACCTTACCTCGTTATCCCACACAGAGGAACCTGTACCCACCATTGTAAGTGTGGAGAAATCACGTCAGGCTGAGGGCCGAGCGGCCAAAGAATATCCCAATTAGTCAGCGTATTCACTCTGACGGGTCCTGACTAACCTTTACTGTAGCCCCTCGGCCGCCTCGTTCGATCTGGTAGGTGCAAAATTACGCCAGTCATTAGTCAGTTGGTAGGCATTCACGGCGCCCTGTTTCTGAGTTGGCCGAGTCTGAATGCCGTTCAATGCCGCGAATGGCTGTCTGGGTGAAAAGCAGGTATTCGTAGTCGTGATATCAAGGTAGATAAGTGTAAGTGAGTAGCATTAGGTTAGGTCCTCGAAAGGCAAGTCTCTTTGTAAAAACATGTCGGAACTTATGAGCACTGTGTTGGAGTATAAAGGCTTCAGTGGTAAAGGATAGTAATCCTATGTCTGGATATCGTGTCCACCATCCACAGTATGTATCGTTTCATCTAGTTTCGGTTTGAATTTCAACTTAGAAACATTTCGACGAGCAAACGTGAGTGAGGTGTATGCCGTCCAGTATGGGCGATAAAATTTCTCGTCTATCTCATTCTTGAATTCTTCCATCTTGTCCAATAGTGGCAAAATTGGCCTCTCGGTTGAAGATGGTTGGTCGAGGAACACAAAAGTCATTGCGGCTTCTTCATATATCAACCGCATGATCGCGAATTGCCCCCCCTTCTCAACCTTGTTGTCATCTTGATCGATGCAGAGCTGGTCGATCCACAGACGTCGGGTTTGAGTGGGATGCCGCAAATTCTTCAAAATGCTGTGCAGGCCAGGGGTAACGAGTATGTACCGCCGGGCATAATCTTCGGGTGAGTCTCTCAGGACGAATACTTTGGCCGACTTTTGAGCCTGATCCCACGCGTAGGAGAGGGCTTCGTACGATCCGCGTAGTTGAACCAGTGGGCCTACATCGAAGGTGATGAAGATAGGAAGACCTCCAGAGCCTGCAAGCAGGTTCATGCACCTGAATGGGTGCATCTTATTAGGCACTGACGGCACGATAATATCGTGCTCATACTTGAGATCATTCATGATTGAAGAGGGTTGATTCGCGACTCAGATCACTGTGCTCGTTTGGATGTCTTGCTGTTCATTTATTAGAGTGAATCTGAGGTCGAGGGAGTCGCTGAGCGATTTACAATAACTTGACGCACGAAGGGCTCATATTGTAAGGCTGGGGGCGACCATGGCGCCTGCTGTAGGGGCCGAGGGGGCCTACCTAGAACATTGACGACTCCCCACCAGACGCTAAGCTGGCGAACGCATCTCTGGTAGCGAATGAGTCAAGTGTGCTTACTGACCCAATACGAGATACTCGCAGAAGCAACAGCTGCTTTTCGCCATCACAGCTTGGGTTGATCACGACCATCACCTTCAACTTCTTCATGCATTATGCAAGGTTGAATGCACCTTGCTGCTCGCCCAGGGCGGTTATAATGTCATTCCTCTCATCTCCTCGATTGAGCTCATCAGAGAGAATCTCCTAATCATGTCGTGGTAAAATAGATCACACGCTAAACGCTGCAGCATCTGATCACCGGCGTAGGGAAACCGATCAGTCAAGACCAGCTTTTCCAGTATGCGAATGGTCGATTTTTGACTCGTGAGAAGGCAGCGGCGCGACTACCGATACGTTGAGTTTGATGTAGAGCTCCCTTTCCAAATCAGCCTCGCTTCTGCCAATGCATTCCGATCGCCCTCCCAATCCTAGATCCTCACGGTCTTTGCGTCCTTGGATGCAGCCCGTTTCGGCCCCCTCCAAGCCTCCAACTCCTACGTGACACAATTGGCTCCATCGGCCGCACAATCTGCAGGCTCTGCTGATTTAGGCGAATGACCGGAAAGCATGTTGATACTATGTCCGGATACCGTATCCTACTCACACATATCAATCCTTGGACATCCGTCGCATCCTTTCACCAAGGCCTTTCCTCCCTGTCTACTATGGCGCCATACAAGCCCGTGGACGAGGCTTTCACCCTTTCCAAGCACCGTCAAAGATATCAAAAGTAGCTGCGCCTTGTTTCATGCCTGAGCCTCCAACTTGCGGCTGAAGCGACGGAGAGTATGCAGCTTGATCGCTAACGTGGGTGACATTATTGCTGAAGCCAGGACCCATATAATTGTCAGATAGCATGAGCCGATCTGGGTCGTTACAAAAGGCTTCAAAGGTAGAGTCGTCTTGAAATCCAAAATCCCTCAACCCTTGGCTTCGATTCAGAGACCACTGAGTTGTGTCGAGTTCGGCCATCTCATGAAACAGTGCGTCGATCTCGTCCCCATTGAAACTGGGCGAACTTGTCGCTCCACCAATCGGCTGCTCTTCGCTGCCTATGGGCAAAAATGGGTTGAGTCGCTCCTGAGGATCTGGTATGTCTATGCTCATGGAACTGTAATCCAGAGATTGATTCGACAGAGCTGGCTGTGGCTGTTGCTGTGGGTCAAAAGTCTGGATCATGTGCGAAATCTTGGGATCGTGAAGAATGGGGGGAATCACCATCTCATTACCGCCGCCTGTTGTTCGCCTCTGCATGGTAATCGGTTCCTTCTGAACGGGCCAAAATGAAGACTGAGTGGACAGCAATGAAGGTGTTGTGTTTGTTGCCGTATCGAGAATAGGGAATAAAGTTCCGGCTGTACTGGAACGTTGTCGACCAGTATCCCGACTGGTGCTCTGCGGTGCGAGGGTGTCAGGATGCGTGTTGACCTTCAAACTTGGCCACCCGCCAGACATCCTTGACTTCGCCTGTTGAAGCCTTTGCCGTAAGACACTGACAGGTAGAGTGCCTGGCACGTCACGTAGAGCGGAGAGAATGGATTCGACATCGTGACAAAGAAGAACAGTAAGAGACGGTATGGCGGCCGTCTCGCCCTCGTTCCAAAGGTCATTGCAAAGCTCCAAGACTTCAACAAATTTCCCGCAAGACGCTAATTGACCTTCACCATTGAGGTCACTGACCTTGACCAACGTGGCAAAATACTGCAACTGGAGGAGCATCTGGTGAGGGGGGCGTCTTTCAAGTGCCACAACTGGAAATGACATTGACTCGGCGACTCTCTGTACTTGCAGGGCCAAGTCATAGGAGCTCTCTTGGCTTGGGCGGCTTGCTGATTTAGCATTCAATATCAAACAAAGCTCTGTTGCCCTATTGAAACAACTGACAGTGAAAGCCGGTTCTTGGAACTCAGCACCAGTGCGAGATGGTGCATTCCATGGTTCCCATTCCTCGTGCGAGTCTTGATCAAGACGTTTCGTCCACCTGATGTGTTCGCTTTGTAGATGCGGGGGTCGTCCAAGACGATTAGCCACCATCGTATCTAAGATAAAACTTCCCTGCAGTGTTGCCAGCCATTCTTTAGGAGGGTTTTGTAGAGCGGGAACTCTGTCCAGCAGCATACGTACCGCTTGGCCCACCATAACCCAAGCCGAGCTCCATCTCCCAAGTCCCAAGTCTAGCAATACCAAGAGGAGAAGAGCTTGCACGTGGCCAGGATGCGACCCCTCTCCATCTCGGGGAATCAGCTCCCCGGCAATCGTGCGCCAAGTTTCAACCTGGCTTGCTATCCTTTCGCGGTCCGACAATGGGAGCTGAGAATGAAGTGCTTGCTGGCGAGTGTAGGCACAAAGAGCCCACAGACAAGCAAGGGCCGATGTGTCTGGGAGAGGGCCAGTGTTTTGCCTACGGCACTCATAAAAGGTCTTCAAAGTCAAAGGCTTGCTAAGGACGGGGAACCAACAATGGGTGTAGACGAAGTAATGATCGATCAAGCCTGGTGCCATGTCTGGAAGATGCCTGCCAGCGTTGGCAGACGGTAAATGGTTCAAGGAGGTGTTATTGGGAGTAGCCTGCTCCGGTTGCAGTAAATCACTGACACGATATTCTGGTTCAAGTTGAACGGACGCCCCTAAGTCATCTCCATATGTGTCGGCGATGTTGTCTTGCTCGTCTCGATCTCTTTTTCTTTTGAGGTCATTCGAGGCAGGCTGGTCCAACTGAGACAACAGCTTCTCGAGCTCTGACAAGACCTTGGAATCCTTCCAGGTTGCATGTAAAGCCTCGCCATGTTTGTGATGGTTCCACAAGCGCAGGAGATCTTGCTGGTGCTCCACGACAACACGGCTTACCGTATTGTCCAGACCATTGATCTTCTGTAGCATGACGGCCCAGAGCTTTTCCATGCCTCGAACATAGCCTTCTGGCAGTCCCCTCTTTTTGCTCGCTGGCAGGTATAGGCAAGGTTGGCTCGCACTGATACAATTTGAGCATTGCGGGTGTTTTCCGTCGCACTTATCTTTCTAGACGTGGATCAGATGCTGAAATCTTGGGCAAACGGGTCAAATAGGGCTTACTCTGCTTCTGCACCTGGCACAAGCACGAGAGACACGAGCTCTCGGGCGCGAGGAGGGATCATCTTCGACGTCGCTGTTGACAGCTCTTTGGGCAAGGTTGGTCCGAGACGAGGCCATTACAAGATGACGCTGGGGCAGCATCCATCTTCAGGATACGCAAGGCCTTGCAGTCGAGAAGAGCACTTGACTGGTATCTCAGACATGGAATTCATCATGCTGGGCTGCAGGACAAGGCAAGAGAGTTGAATGAACGAGGTCTGAATTGGATGAAACGTTGCCGGATCACGTGACTGAGAATGCATGGGGCAGGTGTTGATTTAGGCTTCGGAAGGTGCACCCAACAGGGCCCGAGGCGCCGAGGGGCAATCACCAGAGCGGGGAAGCGGAGAAGGAGCTACCCTAGTAGGTGCCACGGTGCCTACCAAGCCGTGTGAACGCTCGGACGTCAGCTCCTTCCATCACATGGTGGTTGGCTTCCTTCCTCCAGTCCAGACAAGGCAACTCCTCTCTCCTTGTTCCTGATGCCAACAGACGTTATATAGCCGAGTGTCCTCCCTTGACCAGGACTGACAGCAGTCTGATAGCCCAATCAGCCCTTTCTCGCACAGATCTCCCTCCAGAGACTTCACCCATGTCTATGTCAGACACTCATTGGGCTGATATTCTTTCTCAGTTGAGTGCTGCCAGGTTCTAGACTATCAGTTCTATTGTTCTTATAGACGCTCGCTGTTTTGACTATTTCATGACGGGACAATGGCTTTATGATAAAGCCTTCTGGTCATGGAAACCTCCAACAGGAACAGGATTGATCGCCTCTCCCACATCCATGGGTCCATCTCAGATACCTCTACTCCACTCACTTCAGCTGTGGCATCACCTCGCGAGCACAGTGATGTAGCCACCGCATTTCGGGAAACGACATCCACTTTGAATGGTACAGGCCCTAATATCCATGTTAAATCCCCAGCTTCTGGGACCCGTGTCTTCCACCCCGATGCATCTCTGGTCCTGATTGGAATCAGAGCATCGGGGAAGCGTTCGCTCGGATTTATTGCGGCCACCGCCTTGGGAAGAAGATTTGTGACCGAGGATCATTATTTCCACAGCATCAATGGCTTGTCCAGACAGGACTATCTCAAAATCCACGGTAGCGAGCAATTTCACAAACAGGATGTTGAGTCGTCCAAGCGTATGCTCGAGGACAATAAGCATGGCTGCGTCATCGACTGTGGTCTTGGGAGCCTTACCAGCGGCCTCCAGGTGTACCTGAAAAAGTACTGCGAGACCAACCCTGTTGTGTTTGTGGTCAGGGACATGGGCAGGATAAAGTCGCTGCTCCAACTCGATGACCGCTCCGCAAAGCTCCTCGAACATGGCAATACTACGCACAGGAAGTGCTCCAACTTCGAGTTCTACAACCTAGAGGATGAATCCACTGTCCTTTCAGAGCACGATGCGCCAGACCGCGCATCTCCCAACTACTCTTTCAAGCTACGCAATCTTCAAGCCGATTTCTCACGCTTTGTTCGATTCATCACCGGCGCTTCTTTGGCTTCGGCAAAGATTGACTCTCCATTCTCCATTGAGGTACCCACCGAATTGAGGCCATATTCTCACATGCTTCGTGTGCGACTCTCGGATTTTGCCGATGGACGTATCGACTTCGCTCAGCTCGAGTCTGCGGGAGATGTTCTAGGAATCTATGTGGATCAATGGAGGTACAATACAGTCAAAGTCTTGAATGAATTGCTGGCAACTGCTCGGAGAACGCTTGAAACTCCAATCTTGCTTTCGGCAAGTCGTCGTCTTTCCGAAACCGCGAGCATCGAAAATTACCTGGCTGTCTTACAACATGGTCTTCGCCTGGGAGTCGAGTATATGTTTGTGGACCTCGATCTAGAGGAAAAATACTTTGCGGCTCTCAAACAAATGAAAGGCCATACAAAATTGATCGGTAGCTACGTGAACCCGCGGCCGACAGTGAACAGCTGGAAAGACCCAAAGTGGAAAGAGCTATACTTGAAGGGCAGAGCACTCGAGCTTGACCTCGTTCGCCTTCTCAATATGCCGTCGTCACGCCAGGACAATGATACCCTGAGGTGGTTTATTGAGGAACTGAGAAACACGCCCGAATTTCATCTTACTCCCATCGCCTATAACGCCGGACTACTAGGGAGGACGTCACAGATTCTGAATCCAATGCTGACATCAGTCACACATCCATCTCTCCCCGCACACGAAATCAATTATCAAAATGATTTTAAACCCATGCTCTCCTCTCGCCTGATCCTAGCCGCCCTATTTGAAAATTTTGTCTTTGACCGTCTTAAATTTTATATCGTTGGCGGTGACGTTTCGGGGTCATTGTCTCCCGTGATGCACAACGCCGCCTACGAGCATTTGGGACTTCAACATTCTTACAGTACCCGGAATATTGGTTCCTGGGATGATATTGCTGAACTTGCCAAGGACGACTATCTTGGAGGTTTGAGCATAGTCCAGCCATATAAAGTGAAAGTGGTCCCAAAGTTGACGGCGTTGAGCGGACATGCCAATGCTATTGGGGCGGTCAACACATTGGTACCATTGAGATCCGATCCTACTGGCGCAGTCGCCTCCCTGCAAAACCAGGCACAGAATCGAAATCGGGGTGGAACCATTGCAGGTTGGTTTGGGGAAAACACCGACTACATTGGCATCATGAATTGTGTCAGTCGTAGTTTATCACCGCGCAATGCCATTCAACCCAAGACCACAGCCCTTGTGATTGGTGCCGGAGGGATGGCTCGAGCGGCGGTTTACGCTATGCTTCAGCTGGGTTGCAAGGCCATCTTTGTCTTCAACAGAACGGCGGCCAACACAAAGGCCATGGCTGACCACTTTAATGAATGGGCTAACAGATCCAGTGGGACCTTTGAACAGGACACTGTCAAAGTCCTCGAATCCATCTCCCAACCCTGGCCACCGGACTTTGCGTTGCCAACGATTGTGGTATCATGCGTCACACATGAACTGATTGACGGTAACCCCGGCGCTCATTTCGAGTTACCTGACAGCTGGCGGGAATCACCAAGCGGTGGGGTGGTAGTTGAAATGGCATATATGACCAAGGAAACCCCTCTTCTTGCGCAGATGAAGCAATACCGCGCAGCCAACAAGCGGCCGTGGGTCCTGGTCGATGGAATCGAAACATTGCTTGAGCAAGCCTACGCTCAATTTGAGACGATGACGGGCAGAAAGGCTCCGAAACGGTGCATGTCTGGGGCTGTATACAGCACGATCAAGCAGAACACTTCTTATCTGGTGGACGGGGAGGAGTTTCTCCATTAGGAACGCTTTTGAAGTCCGTCCGTTGTAAGATATCCAAGACTCTAATGTACAAATTGAGATACCATTGGCTGTGATTTGTGACTCACTCATTCAATGAGTGGTCTCCAGAGAGCTCAACACTGCTTGTCTTGTTGCATCTCTCATCTTATCATTAATCTCAATGCCAGTCCACAAAGTCGCTTGGCCAAACCCTTGACCAATCATTGCCTCAATTCCTCCAATGACCTGCCAACCAGAGTTCCCTGCTAATTGCGAAATCTCGGTGTTTGGAGAAGGGTGATAGCACATTTCGAGAAGGGCACCTTTAGTGGCATTGAGAAAAGTGGATAAGATGGCTCTCGCCGTGATTTCACCCTCAGTGCGAGGAGAAAAATTAGGAACCGCGCTGACGATAGCCCCGGGGGGATTTAGAGCCTCTGCCTGGGCAACAGAAGACACATGGACTAGGTCATCTGCCACCCCCTGCGCACGACATTCTTTTAGTACTTCCTCGACCTCAGCGGCGTCTCGATTGACGATGTATATCGGGGAGCAGCCTAGAAATTTCTGGAGGGCATAAATGGCCGCTCGGCAGGTTCCTCCACCACCGACCACAACGCCTGGCTTTCCGCGATATGGGGTGCCTTTGACATTATTCAGGAATGCATCTCGAATCCCTAAGCAGTCTGTGTTTGTACCACAATAAATCCTTGATCCGTCTGGTCGACTTTTGAAGAAAATAGTGTTGATAGCGCCAATCACTCTACCTTCCTCCGTCAACTCGTCTAGATAGGGAATGACGGCGACTTTAAATGGCATGGTGATTCCGGTGCCCATACATTTTGGGTCCTTCTTGAAATAATCTAAAAAGCTTTCTAGGTCCTGGGTTTCAAATAATAGCTGGCCCCAGTTTTGACCGATGGACGAATATATGGCATGATGTAAGGTGGGAGACTTGGAGTGTGCTATAGGGTAGCCGCAAAGATATGCTACTCGGTCCAAAGACGAGGTGTCTGGTGCGTGGGAGGCCATTTCAGTTGCAGTGAGTCGTGTCACCTCGACAGGGAGAAATTATTAACAAGTCATAAGAATGTACAAAAAGGATCGGCTTCTGTGAAAGTGAAGTAAAACTTACCCCACAACATGAAGTTGAGTGTTTGTTCCTGTACCATTGATCCACAAGTCCGCGTCCACCTTCTCTAAGACAAAACTATTTCATTCGAACAAAAGTCTTTTTACGCCTACTGTTTTGTCAGATCTACCACAGCCGAACGCTGCCGATGTAACTCTGGAGTACAATCCCTGTTGTGAGGCTTCTCCAATCCCAGCGGGAGACTCCTTCTCCAGCGCCACCTTCAGTTCGGATTCATGGCGGCAAAGTCTTTTTCCACCGTGACACGCAGCGACAGAGAGTTTGAGTCTTGTGAATTTGCTGGATTCTGACTGGCTCGTTCGCCAATGCCCTCCTTTCTCCCCTCTCATCTGCCAGGTTTCTGGGGATCTTCTGCACCTCAGACTCGCTCCGCATCAGAGCCTGGCCCCAGGTTTATGTCGCCTACACGCCCCTCGGGATTTGATGCCTCCACTGCAAGGAAAAAGCCTTTGCCAGAGTCTTACTCTCATCGAGCTTGGCCAGTCGGGTCGGGACTGGTCCTTCACATGGTGGCTCACGGTTGTGGGAAAGGCTGCTCGCCTCCTCTGGAGTCATGGTGCGTTTACAGCTTGCGTCGCTACTACTTAAAAAACTTCAATCCCTTCCCCGTTCCCCAGATATGATTCACTTCTCCAGATCCTCACGACATCTCTTCACCTCTCAGCCTCTTCACTAGCATCTCTTCAACATGGGTCTACTCACCTTGGTCGAAGACCGCCCGACACCAAAATGTGTCTACAATTGGCGAGTCTACTTCTCCGCTGCCGTCGCTGGCTCCGCTGCCATCATGATCGGCTACGACAGTGCTTTCATTGGTGGGACACTCGCTCTGCCTTCGTTCCGCGACGAGTTCGACTTTCCTTCCAAATCCCAGAGTGAGATCAACCTGCTCACTGCCAACATTGTGTAAGTCTCACACCCAAGAAACCAGTTTCGACACTTGCTGACCTTAGCTCTAGATCATGCTACCAAGCTGGTGCATTCTTTGGCGCATTTTTCGCATATATAATTGGTCACTACCTCGGCCGACGATTGGGCCTTGCTGTCATGGCGGCCGTCTTCACCTTAGGGGCGGGCATGATGCTGGGAGCCAACGGAGAGCGTGGCCTTGGCCTCATCTACGCTGGCCGAGTGCTTGCTGGCGTCGGCGTTGGTGGAGCCAGTAACCTGAGTCCAATCTTCTGCTCCGAGATAGCGCCCCCTGCTATCCGTGGGCGACTGGTCGGCTTGTATGAAATGGCCTGGCAAATCGGTGGCCTGGTTGGCTTCTGGATCAATTACGGCGTCAACAGAACCATGGAGCCCTCTCACAGACAGTGGATCATCCCCTTTGCTGTGCAGCTCATTCCTTCTGGTCTACTCTTCGCTGGTGCATTCATGATCAAGGAATCCCCTCGATGGCTCTTCTCTAGAGGCCGCCGCGAAGAAGGCATTCAGAACTTAACCTGGCTACGTCAATTGCCAGTCGATGATGTCTACATGCAAGAGGAAATCTTTGCCATCGACAACGCAATCGAAGAGCAACGACTTAGTGTTGGCTTGGGTTTCTGGCAACCATTCCGAGCCGTCATTCACGACCGAAAGACCACATACCGCTTCCTCCTCGGAGGTTCCCTCTTCCTTTGGCAGAATGCAACTGGTATTAACGCCATTAACTACTATTCTCCAGTTATCTTCCGCAGCATTGGCATCACTGGCACAAATACTTCTCTTCTCACCACGGGTATCTTTGGTGTCATCAAGACTGTCGTTACCCTTTTTTGGTTGTTCTTCCTTATCGACAAACTTGGACGTCGGGCTCTTCTCCTGTACGGTGCTGTCGCAGGCTCACTTTGTATGTGGTATATTGGCGGCTATATTGCCGTTGCGAAGCCCGCGGACAATCCTAGCAGTACCCTATCCTCAGGAGGCATCTCTGCTATGTTCTTCTTCTACCTGTGGACAACTTTTTACACACCGTCATGGAACGGCACGCCCTGGGTTCTAAATTCGGAGATGTTCAACCAAAACGTTAGAACTTTGGCACAAGCTTTTGCTGCTGCGAACAACTGGTTCTGGAATTTTATCATTGCACGCTTCACGCCTCAGATGTTCGCCAGCATGGGATTCGGCGTCTACTTCTTCTTCGCCTCGCTAATGCTCTGTTCCGCGGTTTTTGTGTTTTATTTGGTTCCAGAGACCAAGGGCGTTCCTTTGGAGGCAATGGACAAGCTCTTCAGCCGCGAATATCCTGCTCGCAAGGCGCACAAGGCTGTTCTTGCATCTCTCCGCATCGAGGATCAGGATTTCCGCCGCCAAAGCATCTCTGCAGAAGACAAGGAGTTTCGTGCTGTAGGAGACACACATGTCGAGAAGGTGTAGGTCACAGTCCAAGGGTATATACGGCAGGGTCTCTTGTCAGAAATTTCATCGATATCGATGACAAAGGCATTATTAAGATCAGTTCAAAGCTTAACATCCAATTTCATTTCACTATCATTATTGTACAGAGCCTTGTTTCTACATATTACTCAATCCTCATTTGAGTGAATTTGAAAAGTAGGGTTAGTAACCCTAACCCTAGTATGGTGCCAGGCGCCGGATTGGAAACTTGATTGCATTGTTACTGCTAGAGTATGCCACATGAATGATGGTTCAGCAGCTTCTCCATGATGAAAATACTATAGGTATATATACACCAATTTACATGTCATTCACTATCTTCCTTATCCCATCGTCTACGCCAGAACTCCAAGGCAACCTCATAGCCATATACGCCAAGACCAACGACAATGCCCGATGCTTTATCACTGAAAAAACTCTTATGACGAAACTCTTCTCTGGCATGGACATTGCTGATATGAACTTCGACGAACGGGATAGATGTGCCGAGCAACGCATCGCGGATCGCCACTGACGTGTGTGTAAAAGCACCGGGATTGATGATGGCCGCTATGCGCGGAGGACGTATTGTTGATGTCGATGATGACTGCTGGGTGTTGTTGGTCTGTGGCACGAAGTGCGAATGCAAGAAATCCACAATCTGTCCTTCGTGATTAGATTGGAACGGGACCACTGTAATTTTGTGTGTGGATGCTTGTTGCACGATTGTCTCGTTCACTTGTGCCAGTGTCGTGCTACCATAGATGTGTGGTTCTCGCATCCCAAGAAGATTCAGGTTGGGGCCATTGATGAGCAGGATTTTGCGTGCTGGTGGTGCGGACGAGGATTCTGTCGAGGTCGACATGATTCTGATTCAATAGACCCTGACTGACATATGTGACCAAAGGTAATTCTCCCTGCTTGAATGACCGGTTGAGAATAATGTGCTTGATAATTCTTGTGTATCTGAAAGTTTACGAACTGAACCGCTCGTGTATTTGTTCAGGGACTGTCGAATGAATGAAGTGGTATATTAGGTATGTCTAGGCAGTCCCGATGATGAATCTAAATCCAAGGCCATGCGGGGCGCCGCAGGACCAAGAGCCCCTCGAGCCTCTTACAGGGCATAGCCTAAGGAAAAACCCTCCTAACAAATCTTTACCCGGTGCTCCATGTGGGCATCCGATTAGGCACCACGCCATGCATCTACTTAACCCCCGGGAGCTGAAAACTTATTTGCAGCAGAATGCTTATGTTTCATAATCCTTAAAAAGCCGCCGCATGCATAGCACTTTCTCTTCTTATACGTTTTATACTCACTTCAATATGATGGTCTTTTCTATAATATTCACTTTCTCCCCCCAGACCTCACTGGAGTCATTGAGGATTTATCTAGCCCCTGTCGAGCCGAGCCTTGCCAGTGCTTGTTTGTCCGAGTGTCGTCTACCACCGAACCGTAATGAAAACACTTACATATGAGGATGTTAGGTGTTCTCGAATCACAGAACAAGAAATGCAACCATGCTTCACATCTCTAGCGATTGGTAGTTGTCTGTGTTCTAGAACCATCTTCAAATCGCTTAATCATTGTACTTGGATGATTCTATGCTAGACAATGGCTCCCATGTGACTTTTTGATTGGTGAATAGAAGGCATGCTTTGGTACAGTGAGCATTCTCAGGTAGACAGCTATTCGAGAAGTCAAGTGATGCCGTCTTTGCGACGACCCAAATCCATGATAGCGCATTTGTCTTCGTGAACATGGGAAAATACAATGGTACCAATCAACCTAGGCCTGTCACCGAAGGGATGACGTTGTAGCTTTCGGGAGAAGTCTTGTCCGACGCTCTCGGCATTTGAGAGGCTTGGACAGCGATTGGTGACTGACCGTGGATAGCCGATGGTCGATCAAAGAATTCCGCACTCAGAACAACCACCACTCTCACTGTTGCGGAAGACACACTGAGACACCTCATATCTACATTCATTGCACGAGATAGTGACCATGCCCGACCCTGGAAGACAATATATACCAGACGATGAGCTAAGTCAGATCTATACGTTCGCTATTCAGTTGGGCAAGGATGCGGGGGAGATTCTTCTCAAGAGTCTAGCGGAACGCAGGCGAGATGCCGTTCCCGGTGCCAGCGTAGAGGCTTTGGAAGAATTGGTCATGGAGGAAAAGTTGAATGCAGTGGATATTGTAACAAAAACTGATAATGGTAATATTCCCTGATTTCGTTGTCATGTTCATAGGGACTGGTTGGTGTTAACAAACACTTTTTAGAGGTCGAAGAGTTCATCCACAACGCCATCCAGAAACAGTACCCAGGCCACTCCTTCATTGGGGAAGAGACATACTCCAAGGGCTCATCCAAGGAATATCTGGTCAAAAGCGACCCAACTTGGATTGTAGACCCGCTGGACGGAACCGTCAATTTTACCCACGCATTTCCCATGTTTTGCGTTAGCATTGCTCTTGTCGTCGATCAGAAGCCAGTCATTGGTATCGTGTACGCACCACTGTTGAACCAATTCTTTTCCGCGTGTAAGGGAAGAGGGGCGTGGTTGAATGAGACAACAAGACTACCATTCCTGGGTAACGTCGGAGTTGGACCAATCCCCAAGAACGCCCCGTCCAGATGCGTCTTCTCGTGCGAGTGGGGGAAGGACCGAAGAGATCGGCCTGATGGCAATCTACACCGCAAAGTAGACAGCTTTATGAATATGGCAGCCGAGATAGGTGGGAGGGACGGCAAAGGCGGAATGGTGCACGGGGTCAGAAGCCTTGGGAGCGCCACCTTGGATCTTGCATATACGGCGATGGGGTCTTTTGATATTTGGTGGGAAGGAGGCTGCTGGGAATGGGATGTCGCTGCCGGTATCTGCTTATTGCAGGAGGCAGGGGGCTTGGTCACAACTGCAAATCCACCCAAAGATATTGACACGGCTCCGATTAACGATGCCAATCTGGGCGGACGCCTGTATCTTGCAATTCGACCGGCAAGCGACAGTCCTGGAGAGACTGCGAGACAAGGGCAAGAGAGAGTTGTAAGAGAGGTATGGAGACGTGTACGTACACTGGACTACAACCGTCCAGGGGTGTGATCTTCATTCTTATGGAAAGACATGGGCAGGAAACTAGAGCCGCGCACTGGAATACTGCTCAGTGTTCTCAGACTCGTGAAATCCCGAGTCTGGTCTCTCGATATGAGACCCCAGTTTCTTCGCCTCCCATCCCATATGTTCCTGCAATTTCTTCCAAGCTATCATGCCACGACGAGCATGATCTTCAGGTACTGAGGCTTCTGGTTGATTTGCGGTACGAGAAAAGAGTTCGAATGAAATGTGACCGTGGTAGCCAGCTTCGCAGATGGCTTCGAGTATCTCGATCGCAGGAAGATACCCTGGCTGCTCGAATGGAAACAGTCTGGCATTTCGAGACCATGTCATTCTTGGAGGCTGTTCGGGATCGTACCAGGGATGGCTCTTGATCAGAGGTTGTTCGAGTCTCTCGCCATCACATACTTCGACGTAGAAGACCTTGTCCAGAGCAAGAGGCAGGTCGGATCGAAGTTTGGATATTGAGGAATGCATGTCCTCGACCGCATTAGGATTCAGGCCAGATGGTGAAGCTGGGTCTGCGAACACTCTGCCAGCAATATTGAACGTGTCCAGACAGGCTCCAAAGTTGGACCGGTCAACTGCATTGACAATCGACCATGCATCATCCCACGAATTAACATGAGTACCCCAAGCTAGAGCTTCATATGCAAATCTGGTGATAGGATTTGTCTGTAGCCCTATATCCGCGACCTCTTGTAAATCTGCGACAATTCTCGTACGGTCTCCTGTGCAGGCTGTGAATGGGAGGAAGGACGAAGGTATTTGAATAAGGTCTGTGTGAAGCCGCTGAGCCAGCCGTATCCACATCTGGAGTTCTGCGATCCGCCGTTTGTGCTCTTCTCTGTCGACAAGTCCCTCATAGTGCATGAAAGGTTGTAAGCACAAGATGTCAATTCCATGTCCGCTGCATAGCTTATAGATGTAATCGGCGGCCGCAAGTTGTTGCTCTTGCTCGAGCGTGGAGTCAACGAACGATGTTCCAGCCGCTTGAGGGGCGTGTGATTCAGGTAAAGAATTGGCTACTGCCTCGAGATCTTCGTGAAATAGTTCAATGGCCTCGTAACCGTATCGTGCGCATACATCAATCTTGTCTTCGAAAGTATGGTACCAACAGCGACCAAGAGACTGCGACGCGATGGTCGGGATGTAATGTGAAGGCATCTTGGAATGCGAGCGATCGAGTACTGCACTATGATTTCACAAACGGTAATAGTTCAACTGCTGAAATCACAAGCAGCGATTTCTAAGGCCACTGGAAACTATATGAAGGGCGTCTCAAAAGCCGATCAACAGTGCACACCCTGCATAATGAAATTGCTCAACACCTCTCGATGTTTGACTTTCCCGAGCAAGCACAAATGCTTCAAGATTGGGTCCCGACATTGGGCCAGGCTTTACCCGACATCGACCCCGTCCAGACTTGGGCACAGGTCTCTTAGAAATTCTAGAAGTTCATAACCAAAGGCCATGATGTCAAGGCACAACTGTACCAAGTTTCAAGGGAAAGTCCATGCGAAGGCAAAAACTGCCGGGCGGCAAAGATCTTTTCCGCCTGTCAGCAGCAATGGAGGTCGCTGTTCGGTGCATTAGCCGCCCGCATGGCAGTGGGCACTCTTATCCAATGCATTTCCATCTTCCTTGAGGTAATGCCACGTATTTATGAATGCCCCATCATTGGCTTGACTACGGTTGATGCAAGACCAGTGTGCTTGTGTTCCCGAACTTGGCGACATTTGAATACTCTAGGACGTCGAAAGTTTTTGCAGTATCGCATTCTGTAGGTGAGAGTAGTCCACACGTCTTTCCTTCAGAAATACAATTCCTCATCTGCTGGATGACCGATGAAAACGACACTATGTTAAGCAATACTCATCGGTGTCGTCGACGAATCGGGGCGACCTGAGTATAGATAAGTAAGGGCTCGCTGACTCCTACATTTTCACAACACGATTATCCATAATATGCCTCGTGTATTTAACGAAAGGTTGAGCCAGGGGACAATTATCTCCGCGCCGTGTGACCTGTCTCTTACTTGGCCAGCGACCCTCGTCATCGCGGATAGTGTACAATTTCCTTCTTTTCACCTCCTCTATCTCCTCATGTTTCGGTATATTTCCCCGTGGAAGTTATAGAGGTGGAATTTAGCAACTCGTAAGTGGTAAGTGTTCCACAACTTCGTGGTAATGAAAAGCTCGGAGCGAGAAATGCCTGCAGCGGCCAAGCCGTCTTGGATGCCCTGTCCAACCTCCTCTTCATTTCCATAGACGAAATTCGCACAGCCAATGTGACGGTAGCCCACAGCGATCGTATGAGCCACTGCTTTCCGGACTTGTCCTTTAGGACTACGCCAAGTACCTGATCAACAACGTTGAAACTTTTGCGAAATCCCCTATCTTTTCGATCTATCAGTGCACAACAATTCACTAATCATGTGAATTGGTCCGCGAATGACCGGCATCGGTGTAAGAGGCGATGCCTGTTTTCGGGAATTTTACCGCCAAGCAAACATTGGTAGAGTATAGATGATGGGTGGCGCATTGTCAAATGATGCAGACCTGTCAGCTGTTGGGGATTAGTGAACAGACTTACTCCCGTGCCCGTTCCTGTGCAATGAAATGAAACTACATATATATCGATGGACATTGTCGTCGTCGCACACTGCGAGACTGCATTGTATCTCAATCACTGAATCTTCATTTCAATGGCGGAGCTCATTCCCCTACAGGTCGACACTTATGTGTCGCCTCCAATCAAGACTGCGACTGGCCTCGCCGATCCGCAGAAGCAATGGTGGCAGCCCATCACCAGTACCTTGATACATGGACCAGCTTCTGCTGTTCTTGTCGATCCTCCTATCACCAGCGCCCAAGCGGAAGCTGTTGGAGAATGGGTTGACTCAATCCTCTCGTTGTATCCAGATAAAAAGCTTCGGTATATCTACATCACTCATGCACACGGAGATCATTATTTTGGTGCTTCAATTATTCAGAAGCGATTTGCAGGTGTTGAAGTTCTTGCTACAGCTAAGGTGGTTGCCGGCATCGAAGTAATGAATTCACCAGCTGTCTATAATGTGTGGGCTGGCTTGTTTCCGGATGGACAACTACCAGAAGACAAGGTTCTGCCGCAAGCACTTCCGGAGTCCAATGAATTTCGCCTGGATGGAGAGCTTTTGAAGGCATACGACGTCAGTTCCGACTGCGAAAAATCATCTTTCCTGCACGTACCTTCGATAGCTCTGATTGTTGGTGGCGATGTGGTTTATGGGGATTGTCACCAACACTTGGGAGAGGCGAACTCGATCGAAAAGAGGCAACGCTGGCTTGACGCCCTTGAACTCATCGAAAGTCTCGAGCCCAATGTCGTGATTCCTGGTCACAAACGTAGCAGTCAAAGTGATGGACGCTACTTGGTAAATGCAACACGAAAGTACATTCAAGATTTTGCTCGTTGGGGAGACGAGATCAAATCTGACGATTCAATCGACGATGTCAGAAAACCCGATGCACTATTCACTAGAGTTAAGCAGGGTTATCCACATCGCTGGAATGACTGGTTATTGATGGGCGGGACGAAAGCATTCTTCAATTGAATGAAGTGGCCATCTTCCGTCTTCGGACGCAATCGACACCCTCGGTAGATCAGTAAACAGGACGAAGCAGTCTTGGTGATGAGGAACGTACATTATAACTAAATCAAAGCATCCCCCTATCATCCATTGCGCTCCGGCGCCGACCAGATCGCAATCCTCAGTTTTATCATGGATGCTGCCTTATCTTTCTTGCCCGTGGTTCACAATCACCTTTTCTTTGACGCCGTGGCTGCTTTTGCCAGCCTCGATTTCTCGTTGAGAGTTTTCACGCCCCTTGTCAACATCAACAACTGGCATCATCGAGAGGCTATCAATCATCAAGCCGGGGCTAGTCGTACATACAGCGAGAGTCGTGTATGGGGCGAAGAAGGCAATATGGTGGTTGCGATGTCCCAGCTGTCAATCTTACGTACAGAGGCTGACAAGACGAAACTTTGAGCATTTGCGAAGCAAAGTTCCGATTTGACCGCTAGCCAGTCGCGAACATAGTCACGCGGGGCACAACTGTGCGGCATTTTCTGGATGTTGCTGAGAGAATCTATCATGTTATTTCATTCAAGCTATTTTCAACTCCGTGCTTTGGCCGCTGTGTTGGTATCATTCGTCGAAAGATATTTTCTCTCCTGAATAACGGAAGTTCAATACCCTCTGATACATATCCGACTCGACTCGCGCATGCATGAGCTTACTGAACTCCAGATTTATTGCCAACGAATCCTTGAAGGAAGCTTTCGAGGTCTTCTGGAGCAAGATCCAATCTGTCATTCCAAAGCCCCCTCGAGCTGGAGTAGTTGCCGAGACCCAATTTCGCACCTTTAGCGTAAAATGCCGAAGCGATTTGAGCGAGCAAACCAACCAGTAGTTGACCTTCACTGAGTTTGTTGACACCGTCTTGATACAAATCATCCGAGGAATCATGCGTGACAGCAAATTTGTCACCTGTTGCCTTCTCAAGTGCTCTAAGGACCTGATTTTGCGTAATCGTGAAGCTGTTGACATACACGTGTTTGTTTTTGGTGAGCTCATGGTGCTCCAATGCGGCTGTGATAGCTCTGCCCACCTGGTCGAGATTCGTTGCTTCATATTCGATGTCACCTCCGTCATAAATGGTAACAGAACGAGCAGGTAGATTCCAACCTCCGAAGCCAGGAATGTTTAGACCCCAATCAAAGATCGACCCAGTAATGATCGCGGTCCAGGATATCTGATCCTCTTTCGATCGGAGATACTGCACTACTGCCACCTTCTCCTTGAGGAAAGGAACAAAGTCCGTCGCGGCTGGCAGCGCTGTATCGATACCGTATTCGGATGGGATCAATACCTGAACTCCTGCTGCAATAGCAGCATCAACGATAGCTGTCTGTTCGCTTAAGCCAGATCCAGAGACGGTACTAACAACTGCGTCTTGACCAGCAAAGGCATCCTGTAGCGACTGTTTGGAATAATCGGATCTGACGTGCCGAACAACAGCGGGCAATACTGCACCAGAATCTTTGCGGGTGACGCCTGTGACCTCAAATCTTCCGGGCTCGGCGAGCAGAGCCTTGATGGTGGATTTTCCTACATTGCCACCAGCACCCAGAACCACAACCTTTTTGATCGACGGCATGTTTCTGGTATAGATGTCTTCTCGGAAGATAATGCAATAAAGTCTAACACTGTTTCGAATGTTAACTGGTAAGATGTGTTTCAAAGAAAGAGAGGTTGTACCAGGCAGTGGAGCAGGAATATATACATGCCTGGTGAAAGATGCTTGTCATATGCAATGTTCTGATGAGAAATCTAGTCTTTGCGGGCATGTCTCATGACAAAGCCAGAAGTCAAAAGATAAGCCAGTTCTGATGCCAAGAACAAGAGACTCCTTTCGATCGTCAGTTTTTTTTTGGTGTTGTTTAATAATCGACGCTTGCCAGCAAGAAACTCGCATCCTCTGCCTCGGTTGCAAGCGAAAGTGACCGGAATAGACAACGTGGCACATGTACATTATCCTCCATGCTCTGAAAGATTGATACCTGGGTCCAAGGTAGTATAAAAGACCAAATCACGGTATTTCATACATAAACATCCGAAAACCCCTTCAACATCCAAGCAGCTATCAACCATCCGTCTCCTCCCATTCATTTGTTTGGTCATGTCATCGTTTCAATTCATAAGCCAGCCATTATTACTCGTTGAGAAGATATCCTCATAAAAAACTCCGTAGATTCGTATACCCACTTACCATCTTGAAAGATTTCCTGCTCGGATCCACTTGTTTCGACCAGGTATAGTACTATCTCTGGAACAGAGCCACATTACCACATCACAACACCCCCCGCCGATGATACCTGCAATTGCTGTTGCGGAAATTCCAGAGTAATTGGCTCTGCATGAATTCCAGAAATCTCAGGACGCCCCCCGGATTTCATCATCTCTGGAACACAAACCCCTGGTTCATCAGGGGTACAGAATCCCTGATGACTAGCTTGTCTGTGCCTGGCCTCCATAGTCGATGTTAGACTAAAAGAGGGTGAATGGCTCTGATGAGAATTCACCTTTGTCATCATCAATCCTGGCGCTGCTGGCTTGTTGTCTTCTGTTTTCATGTTCGTGTTCATTTTCATGTTCATGGTTTCTACTACCAACCTCCCTCGATGATGATGATGGTGATGATGATTCACCTTTTGTTGCCGTCGAATTGCCTTTCTCTTTTTCTTCATTTCTCTTTGCCAATCTTCAGAACTTGACACACCCACCATACATTCTGGGTCGACTTTGCCGGATCCAGATCCAGATCCATTCCAAGTCTTTGCTTCTCGAAACTCGAATACCACCATTGCAGAAGCAGATGTTGTTCGTATCTCACTACTACCATCATTATCTCCAGCATCGTCTGTACTGGCAGATCTCTTGATGGAGGCTTTCTTGGGGATGTCTTCCATGTGAAACCCTCGTAGGTGTTCGGTGAGATGATCGATCCTAGTGAATCCTCGGTCCCCTTTGCGAATACAGTTTTTGCGGGGGCAGGAGACGAATGTGGGTCGGTGTTGGGATTTGTAGTGGCGAACGACGTCGGCTTTGCGGCTGAATTTTTTAGGCCGTCCGAAATCGTCTACGCATCCTTCGAATGTACAATACGTTTCGTCGGTTTCTGTACTGGATGCGGATACTGTCCTTTGGTCTGTGTCAGTGGAAGTGCTCATTTCCCAGTCCTTCATTCATCATCAGTCTCTATGTCGGTAGAGAGCGAGAGAGAGAGAGAGACTTGAAGATCCAAGACAACGGTAGAATAATACGTCAAAAGTCTCACCTGTCACTCAATGACCTTCCAAGAGGACTTGCCACGTAGTCTGCGGCCTCAGTCTTCATAACAACATTAGACTTCGTTGTGGTTCCCGTATCAGCCTTGTGGTCTGCTAACGGAGTCGTCTGTGTAATGGCATTCGAGTATGTGACGGGCCCTCCCTCAAGCAGGGGTGTGTGCTCTGTCTCAGCCTCCACGGGAGATCCATCGCTATCATTCCCCGTGAACATGAGATTGCCGTAATCATCATTCTGATCCAATTTTGTATTGGGCTGCATTGCCCACGAAAATGTGCCAAAGGTATTATAGTCTTGACTAAAAGCACCCAACATGAATCTCTGGTCTTGAATATATCTCGACGGCACATAATCGACAAAATCAGACGACGAAGGCTCTGTTAGACTAAAAGGCGTCGCTGACGTGACTGACAGGCCTGTGAGAGGATGATTGTAAGGTTGAGGCAAGCAACTTTGGCTGGTCACCAAGTGAGAGCGTAGCGAGCTTTCCTGTGTTTGTGGCCATTCCATAGCTGGAGCGAGTAAAGCCATCAGCGTCTTATTGAGATGGAGAGATCAACGGAAATCTGGAAGAGAACTCAAAGGAACAGACAGGTTTTCTTCGAGCCTTGTCAATCGACAGGACAATACCTGTATCTTTGAGCAGATGAAAGAGCCGCACCACATTCACCAGGTCGCTTCCATCCGCCAGGCAGAGGCTATGTTACAATACCTTTGAATAGATATGGCGTATTGTAGGGAACAGGTGGGTAGAATGAGGCAGTACAGGCAACTTAACTTCGGTAAAATGAAAACATGATTTGCTAGACTTAGTCAGTCCTTGTGGAAGAACCATGCAGCAACGTCGCGTATTGGGCTCTCAAGATCCCTCAGGTTATAAACCGGTTCTAGCTCTAGCACAAGTCCACCTTGTCAAGTGTCCATGAGGTTGGCCCGTTGCGGGGCTCAAACCACGAGGGGGGATTCGGTCACTCCTGTAACGAACTACCGAAGCTACATGGGCTGTGCCGTGCCGTGCCAACTGGCACGACGGGTTGATCCATGCATCAGGCGAGCCTCCAACCCTGCGGCTCAAATATCATTGATAAGGCTCTAGTTCCTACTTGCCCAGAGCCGGACATCTCTGCGACATATGCGGATCTTTTTGTGCCAGCCTTACCACCACGCCATGCAGTTTGCTTCGGTCTATTGCATCTGTTGCATAGCGTGTCAAAAGCAAACGAACATGATGTGGTTTTTGTGCGACATGACCCCCGCCATGATTGACCATCAACTATCAACCACCATCGCGGATCGCTGCAGATGTAGACCAGTTCTGGCCCAACAGCGAGTACTTTTGACAAAGTTTCTTGACGGCTGCTTCTAACTACTGGAACATTGTCAGCTGGATATCAGGCTAGATCACGAAACGATTACGGCCCGAAAATCAACCCACTGGTTGGTCACACAACCTCAGATTACTTGAAAGGATGCCCAAACCATGGCACGAGTAATGTAGATGGACGAATGTGGGTACACAGTCAAGATGTCAAAACACTGCCGCTCTGCAAGGTTGCCTGTGTGGTGGATCAGCATCTCGTTCCGTGTCAACCACGACGCCAGCCAGGCTCATGGGCCGAGGGGCGCCTTCGGGAAGATGGTTTGGGTGCGCACGCATGTCTGCGTTGCAACGAGGGAGGTTGAGGCTCTGCGAATACGAATTGCGAAGGACGAGGGATGTGATTCGAGATTCGAGAGAGATGTGTGGGGGTTGGATGGGGACATTCTAGCTATATTTAGACTAGTCTACATTATTAGTCCAACGCTAACGTGGTTGCCTTTTTTAACTACGCTTCACAGCCACGGCATCCAAGGCAGGAACATCTGGTATGATCATCTACGCCGTCCTCATCTGCTCTTTCCTCCTCCCACATCCTCTATCAAACATGGATTGCAGACAAATGAGGCGGAGGGACTTCACAGCAACAAGCAAAGCAGACGGTATTGTCACACACAAACATGCAGAGATACTCTTGAGCACCCCAGTTGTTCCATGAACCGATTGATTGATTTCACGTTGCACTCTCGTGGCTCTCATGCCAGGTAGAGTTTCACGGAATGGATTTCATACCCCAAGTCGGCCATGTCAGTGCTATCAAATACATCGGTTTGACGGCACGGCATGCTCAAGACCCGGCTGTGTTTCGTTATGATCAAGTGTGGATGTCCTCAAAGCCCCGATCCGTCAGTCGATGTGTGGACCCAGCCACTCGGCTAACATGTCAATCCCATATCCTACAAGTCATCCTCCAGGAATTTGTACACAAATTTGAAGTCAGCCTTGCGACGGTTCATCCTGCAACAAGGTTAGCACACTATTCCTCATGAAGGGCAAGGCTCCTCAAGGGGACTACTTACCACGTGCTCTCATAATCAAAGAAACGATATGTCCCCTGCTCGTACTCCTCAGTAATCTGCTTGGGCTCTTCATGTCGCTGAAACCATGTCTGGTACTGCTTATGGAACCGCCATGATTGCTGCTTAAGCGCACGTGCCGCCAACCACTGTTGATAGGTGTTCTGACGATAGTAAAAAATGTAGAACAATGTGTCCGTCTCCAGTCTCTGATTCTCGTACAGTGCTGGGTCATCAAAGATGGGCAGGACATCTTGTGGGTAGTGTGCGGGGGTATTGTGCTTGAACGTTGGTCGGTAGTGCTCAGGCTTGTCACCGTCGGCCGGTTCTGGGCAGAACTCCTGAGATGCGTGTAGTAACCTTGCCAGCTGTGAAGGAGGCTGAGCAGCTCGGGTCTTGGTGGTCTCGAACGAATCCAACAGATCTTGCAGCCCCGGCGGCAGGTGATAGATTGATTCCACAGCAGATGAATCTTCGTGGCCCTCACCATTCGCACCCGCCAGCTCATCTGCAATCACTGGTTCTTGGATCGCCTCGGATTTCTCCATCGCCGGGGTCGGAGGAACGCTATTGGACACACTTACAGCCTGGGCACTACCAGAGCTCAGTGTAGGAGACTTGGAATGGCTTGAATGCGCCTGTGACCCAGGTCCATCCAGTCCTGCAGCCGTCGGTACCGGGGAGGCATGCTTGGATACTAGCTGGGCGGTTAATGATGCTGGAGAGTTGGTCGCTGACGACTTGATCGGGGCTGGTAAAGGATGTGACGTTGTAGGAGGAGCTGTGCTGACAGGCGGTGGTAAGGGCGCTATACCAACACCACTCTTATCGCTCGCAGCTGCAGCCGCCGCAGCCGAAGCGTATTTGAGTGTTTCTCCAGGTAACCGGCTGGGTAAAGGAGCAGGCTTCATTGTACTGTCTTTGGGTATTGACGGAGGTGGAGGCATGTTGTTTAGTGTGGCCAGTGCGGGTAAGGGTGATTTGAGTTGTGTCGACGGTCTCCGGGCTGAGGAGTGTTCGGCTTTGGACTTTTTCAGAGGCGCAGGATCCGGTTCGATATCTTCCTGGACCGATTGAGCATCCTGCGATGACACTCGGTCCAATTCGTTATTCAAGCCGTATTGCGCTTCCTCGCTGTCGAGGTTGCATTCGTCGTAGATTCCTTCGTACGCCTCGGGTTCGAACTCCGGTTCACGACCATCCTTGACCACCTCTTCGATTTCCGACTTGATCGCCGCCACCAACTCGTTTTCGACATTGCCGTTCTGTAACGATCGAAGCAGAAGTTGTAACCGTGATTCATGCCACTTGTAGGTTTCGGTAATCAACTCAATCTCGGAGAGTCGATCAGCTTTGCTGCTGTCCTTCTGTTTCTTCTTGAGCGCAACTTGTAACGTATTGGCTTCAGGCTCCAACTCCTCAGTCAGGATTCTGTTGATCTCGTCTAGTTGATCAGATAAAAACTCGGCCAGTTCATCTCGTTCCTTTTCTCGCGGATCCTGTTTGATGTTCTGTGATAAGCCCTCTTTTGAGAAAGCCTTTGTTTTCATCTCCTTCTCGACTTGTTTGAAGATCTCCATGCACTATTGAGTCATAAATGTCAGTATAATGCTGGGGAGGGGTCGGTGCTGCTCATTACCTTCTCTATCCGCTTCCGCTGGTCCAGCAACGCTGACTTGTCCTTGATCTCGTTGCCAGCGGCCCATGTCTTGATCTGGTCTCGCGACCGCTGCAGCTTTTTAATCTCTTTCTTGAGGTTGTCCTCGAGTTTATCTTTCTGTGCGGCATTTGTGGAGGAATTGATCTTTTCGTAGATGGCGTCAAAGGCGGCGATCCCTTCGTCGACCTTTTTGAACGTCTTATCGATCTCTTGTTGGATTTTACGGGACGCCATGGCGGTGTCTCATCAGTGGGAGGGTTGAGGAGTAGGAGGAGAGGGTCGGTCGGTCGCACGGATGGTGATTGTAGATCAATATCTGTCGTCAATGATGAGATACCAACCTGGCGGCTGTGATTGATGGTCGATGGTGAACCCAGCCGCGCTGCAGTCTGCGACTTGTCGAGGAGGCGACGTTGATTGGTTGAATTATGAGCTAGTCCCTTTTTGGGCAGATCTGGCGTCAATGTCTTGGCGCTACTCTCTCGCCTCGTTACGGCAGGCGCGACCATGTGCGATTCGTGCCTGCCAAGTTGAAGTCGGCCATATTTCAGATTCAGAATCACGAAAATTGCTACAACGACTATTGATCGACATCTTCGACGGACGATAGATTGGCAATTCATACAAATTGCATTATCCGAGGCTGCTTGTATTACGTCTACGCCCGCCGGAGTTGCACATTCTCGACTATCTTACCTAAAGCATACACCAAATTGACCACAAGCCCGGTTCATGTCATTTCTGCCCTGAGTCGAGCCATATCTGGCCTATTCAGTCCTTGAAGTCTGCTGCTGGAAGTGCATAGACCAAGTATCACAAGGCCACTCAAAAGTCACAGATGAAGGCTGTCCTGCAGCGGGTTCTATCTGGCTCCGTCACAGTCAATGACCAAGTCGTTTCTTCAATTGGTAAGGGCGTTTTAGTCCTGGCCGCCATTGGTCCCAATGACTCTCGAAAGGATGCAGAGTCCATGGCAGCCAAAATTCTCAAATTGAAATTGTGGCCTGATGAGCAAGACTCCAACTGGAAAAAGAGTGTCAAGGATATCCAAGGTGAAGTCCTATGCGTCTCACAATTTACCCTGTTTGCCTCGACCAAAAAAGGGAACAAGCCAGACTTCCATGGAGCTGCCAAACCAGAAATGGCAAAGGAGCTTTATGACTATTTCATGGCCCAACTTCGTGCTCAATATCCACCAGAAAAGGTCAAGGACGGTGTGTTTCAGGCCATGATGCAAGTCAGTCTGGTCAACGATGGTCCAGTAGGTTCAATCTCACATTCGAAAGGCTTGAGCCTGTCAGTTCCGACCAGCACTGATTCTCCCAGGTCACTCTTGAAATCGATACAAACCCAGTCAAAAGTGGAGCATCCAGTAGTACAGCACAAAGCACCAGAACGTCCACTCCTGCACCACCGGGGACCAGTACATAGACTACACCACTACAAATCACTCGCGCATTGAAGCAAATGTCTATTTCCACCTCTGATGCATCAGACGTAAAATAGACCTTCGCCTTGTAGGAGGTTTCCGCGCTTAAATCGGGGAAAAGGAGAAGCCCGCTCAGCTCGATAACCATTCGCACGCTCGTGCCAACCTCCGCACGTAACAGCTTCTTCTTCTGGATCTCAAAGTATATGTACTGTCTAGGTTTGTTCCACGTACCGCAGCGGGGAAATGCATGTCCGTTGGTCCAGCAAATTACAGCATCCTTTCCCGGTGGAACAGAATCATCTTCCAAACAGTCATTGGGTGTCGAGCAACCAGCCCAAGGAGCCTTATCAAATGCCAACACTAAGCTGAATTGATATCTGCCACATCGATCCTGGCAGTGGGCCATCAGTCCAGTCCAACCAAGATCCGCCATCACCGAGAGGGGCATGATTTCCAGTGCCCCGCAAGCCAACCAAACATGATGATATGAGAATGATGACCATATGAACATGTAACAGACTCTTTCATCGTGTTTCGATTTCACACATTTCTTGATAAGACTCAGAACCTGTCAAAGCATTTCGATCAACTATCTAGTTCTTGCTAAAAATGCCTGGTCCTATTCGAACCGCTCTCAAGGTCGATCTCGACAAACCAGCCAAGGATCAACCATATTTGCACGTGAGTTGCTGTGTCTGATGCTTCTATCAACGTCGCTTACCAAATACATAGAACCGATGGCATCCTGACGGTGAAATTGACCTATTGTATCCAAATAATCGACTGCATCTAATCCAAGTTTAGTTCCATCTGCTGGAACCATTAAAAATGGCGAGACAGTCAAAATCGAATGCCTTGATTGGACTGGTGGTCAGATCAAGAACGACGATAGTGCCGACGACGTGAAAAACGTCGACCTGACCCAAGTCCACTATTTGTCCGGACCTTTTGACATTGAGACCGCTGAACCCGGTGACGTGCTGTTGGTCGAGATCCAAGACGTTCAACCATTCCAGGACCATCCATGGGGATTCACGGGCATCTTTCACAAGGACAACGGCGGCGGGTTCTTGGATGAGATCTATCCAGAAGCGTGAAGACTCTTTGAACCTCTTTCTTCTCACGCAATTTGTCTAATAATATGTGACAGAGCCAAAGCAATCTGGGACTTTGAAGGCATATTCTGCTCGTCACGACACATCCCCGGCGTTCGATTTGCCGGTCTCATCCACCCGGGCATTCTAGGCTGTGCTCCATCGCCAGAGATCCTAGCCGAATGGAACAGGCGGGAAGCTGAATTGATTTCGACCACCACCCTTAGCCGTGTGGTTGCTCAACCACCTGAGCCTAAGAGTGTCCACGCCACTACCGCCGACGAAGAACTCAAGGCCAAAATCGGCAAAGAAGGCGCCAGGACCATTCCCGGCCGACCTGAGCATGGCGGGAACTGCGATATCAAGAATCTATCTCGCGGGAGCAAGGTATACCTGCCGGTCCATGTCAAGGGAGCCAAGTTTTCAGTTGGCGATTTGCATTTCTCTCGTAAGGACCTCTCTCCCACCTTTCTCCCTCCCTCCCACCAAATCCCATCCCAAACAAAGTGTCCACCACTAATCAACCCTTCCCTTCCAATTTATTAGAGGGCGACGGCGAAATCTCCTTCTGCGGCGCCATCGAAATCGCAGGTGTGATCACCATCAAATTCAACGTCATCAAAGACGGACAAGCAAAACTAGGAATGGTTGGCGGAAAATCCCCTATTTACATTCCTGGTCCCGTACAACCGCAATTCTCACCTGGACGGATGATTTACTTCGAGGGGTTCAGTGTCGATGAACATGGTAAACAACATTACATGGATGCAACGGTGGCGTATCGTCAGAGTTGTCTTCGTGTGATTGAATATCTCAAGAGGTTTGGATATACCGATTATCAAATTTATTTGATGTTGAGCTGTATTCCTATCGAGGGGCATGTGGCGGGCATTGTTGATGTAAGTCTCAACAACCAAACATGCCTCCCCCCTTTCCCCCAGAGGGAGACTGTTGCTTCTTGCTGGGGCGGACTGTTCATCTGTCTGTCCTCCCTACTGACGAGATTTACTCTCTTAGATCCCTAACGCTTGCACTACTATCGGCTTGCCTATGGATATCTTCGACTTTGATATCTCTCCGTCTGCCGAGCCTAAGAAATTGGATCTCGGTGACTGTGCTTATGTGGCTAAGTAATCTATGGCAGATCCATGACGATAGGAACAAGCAGAACATGCGTGGAGTCAGAGTGACGCCACCACCGCTCGTGAATGGATGGATGGTGCCTTTTGTATCGCACAAATTGTGAAGTCTCATCGATCAGGGCATTGATGCAACCGATAATATGGTATCAATGTATTCTACCTATCTATTCTAGCTTATTCTATGGGGATCCATCAGTATCACAAACACCATCTTGCAAGCACGACTAGAAAGATGTCGAGGGAGAGAGGCAAGATCTCCCATGCTCCCGGACTGCTCGTATCTTGTATCATAAATCGATTGATGTCTACTGCAAGCTTCATCAGTGCCGCCAACCAAGCTAATCGCACGTAGAAGCGCAGGATTGAAGTAAACCCCAGTGCAACCCGATCGGCGAGGAGCACTCGACAGCAGATACGTTCGTAGATACTGACTTCTAGCGGCCCAGACGACGATCTCACAAAATGATCAAAACTCGTGCTGGCTGGTGATTGTTCAGGGGTGGAGACATTTGGATCTAGGCTAGAAGGGATGGATCGGTGGCGTCGCAACCAGTCGATTAGAGATTTCAAAACGCCAGAAGAGCCCTTTGGTCGAGGTTTGATTCTTGTGGTGGCGAGGAGTTTCCTGAACAATTCTGGGTGGGAGACAGAGACCATGGCTTGTCCAGCTCCTGCCTCGAAACAATTCAGGTCAAAAACTCGAAGGACATTGAAATCTCGGAGGAGCTCGCTATAGAACTCAGGCGTAAGAATCTTGACGTCAATTGTGGCCTTGTTGCCGTCTGCATGTCCCTCTGAGGAATTGGTTGGATTCAAGAGGATGAGTTTACCCCTCTTCCGGCCGGCCGCTGGGATATATCGAATAGAAGTACTTGAAGTATCAACACAATATTGAAGAAACCGGCGAAAAAAAGGTTCCAATGTGGTTTCCTCTTGGGTTTCCGTACGTCCGATACTGGTCTGAAGCACCTCTGGTCGATAGAAGACCTTTAGTTTCTTCACCCAGAGTATTCGAGCCTCTCGAAGGATTCGAGGATTTGTCATGAAACCAACCCACCACCATCGAAGGATGAATGAGGCGAATCGGAATCTGGACATGGTGACAGGGTCGTGTCCGGGTCGTGTTGAGTAGATGCGGGCCACGATCTTGGGCTTGCCGTCTGCGGAGCTGAGAGTAATGGTATTGTCAATCGAGGTAGTCTGATCTCTTGGGCTGTGTCCCGCGGGATCAATAGCAGAAAGGCTGTATGAACCGTCACGATCGTTGAAAGGGGAAACGTGAAAGTCTTTGGCCCATGCATTGGTGAACCTAGGTTTTGAGGGATTGGGATCTGCAGGGAGAAAATACATTCTTCGTTCGTCAAATGTGTTATTGACTTCGAGTATCATGGACCTCAGCGTCTTAGTTCTGTCATAGAGATACCAGAATGACACAGGATTGAAGGAGAACCCAAGAAAGCGTGGAGCTGTGACCAAGTACGCGAATGGGAGTTCATTCAAGGAGAGCCCCTGAGCTTTGACATAGTCTTCAAGCTTTCCCGCAAAGCCGTCTTTGTGGATTCCACGTTCGAGGTAGTCTTCGGCATGAACAGTGAACCATCCTCTCTTCCTAGAATTTGACATTGGATGATCGACGCATATCTCCTGACTAAGGGACTGAATGTCGATGGGAACACCGACCATGAGGTAGGAGTAAGAGAATGAATGCTGTGTGGGAAAGAACCTCGCATGGGTTGTTCGACATTCGAAGAGCCTCGGAGACAATGCGTGGGTAGACTTTCCTGTACAAGTACCAGCAGCAGTAGCAGCAGTCTTGACATCATGTCTGTCCTTTGGTGAACGATACCAAAGCCAAAGTAGTTGCCATGTGACATTGAAGCAAAAGACTAGGAAGCGGGTGTCTTTCAAGAGCAGTGTTGCAACGCGTCTGACAAGAGCCCAGTTCAAGTAGATCAGAAGGCCGGCGACAACAACCAAATCTGGGAGGTAGTGTCTAATCCAGGAGATCGCTTTCCAAGATGTTGATATCAGCCTGGAGAAAACCCCGTCACTGAAATGCCATAGCTTTGGTCCTGTGGGTCGCTCTTGGAGGGATGCATCGTGCATCGTCTGTGCAGGAGACAAGAGGGACCGGGGAGAGCCTAATGAGTCGTGTCACCGCATCCTCTGCAGTGGGCGGACGTGTGTAAGAAGAAAACTCTTGGAAGATTCACAGTCACAAAAGTCTGAAATGGTGTCGATGACATCATGACTTGATGAACATTTGGTCTGACGAAGGAAAGTATCCAAAGTTGGCGTGGCTTTCGAAGCCTAGAGTTGTCAGACGAAAAGATATAGACATTCAGCCGTCGTAAGGCTGGATGAAGAATGTGCGAGTCCAAACTGAAACTTCAAGTCAGAATTTCCCAATGAGCAACAACGAACAAATCCTTCGCATTCGGTTTTGAGAATGGAATCGACCAGTTCGTCGCCTGTCCTTTGATCAAGATCTTAGACCCAGAATGTACAGCAGCCAAATCGGCGCCTTTGCCAACTCGTGAATCAGCATGTTGAGTAGGAAGTAGCCACTCTACACCCACTTCGTCGTAAATAGTCAATAAACGATTGCTGATATCTCTGTGAACGCGGTCAACCACAATGATATCACTACCTGGTCTCGGAGATGGCGTTTCATGGGCAGCAACATTAAGAACCCAATTCCTGACAAGTTCGGCATTACCACCAGGAAGGTAATCGTGTTTTCCTCTTCGTTTGGAAGGGGAGAAGATGTCAGGTAATACAATCTCACTTGCGCTCTGATTGTCCCGGTCATCTGTCGCTTTTGGCCTGAACGTAGATCTGAGAAAAGGTTCTGGGCCAGCAGGGCCTTTAAATCGAGGAATGGTAGCGGTTTCATGTTGGTCATATGGATCGTCCAGATCGTCGTCGATGCTGGCCGCACTGTGAGAGCCTTTGTGACTGGAAAGTGAATCTTCTAGACCTTCAACTTCACTGTATTCAGGAGAAGATGATACTGCAATTGCTTCGGTCTGTGCCTGTGCACCTGGATGATGGGATGTCTTTTGCTTTTTGGCAGCTGGGGTCGTGCTAATCAACCGGCGTCGAAACGAGGGTTTGCAATGCTCTCCTTTCCCTTTGTCATGGTCCTCATGTCTCTGCTCGGCAATTCGTGTAACCAAAGGCGAAGAGTCTGGTCCATGATCAGAATCCAAGTCAGGTCCAGCGTCAATCAAGTCCAGAGGACTCTTTGTCGTGGTAATTTCAGAGCTTGAGGGTAATCCACCGTCATCAACTCGATCCTCTAGACTTGAATCAATGTCATCCTTAATCAGTACACCAGGGCGTGAAAACCGTGGGGTTACGGTATACGGCGAGGCAGACTGAGTGATTTGAGACTGCCTGGAGGATTGAAAAGGTGTTCTACGAAAAGATGGTTGTGTAGCGGACGTATGGCTCGACGAGGTTGAAGATGGTAGAAACCGTCGTGGAGGGGCCGGGGTTTGCCTCTGCCTTGTGTCAGTTGACTGTCGTGTTCACCCACCTTTGAGGGTTTCTTTACTCGATCAGACATTGGGATCTTTCATTATGTCAGTGGAGATATCATCAGGAGAGTCATGTTGAGAGACGTGTCGAGGGGCATTTGATGGAGATATGAGTTGAGAGAAGTTTACTCACTTGGCTGAAGTCTTGAGGCCCTGGCAATTTTAGGGGCGCGGCGTCTCGCTAAATCCAAGTATAAAATAGTTGGAGTGTCTGGGGCCCAACGCCTATAGACGCCTGGACCATGTCACCTGGGATGCCCGAGGCGGCCCTAAAGTGCCCAACATGGGTTCCCCCGCATGGTGCTAAAAGTACTGGTACGCCACATCGTAATCGATTCATCCTTGGTGTCGTCGACGAAGAATACAAGAGGTCCTATACTGCCCAACCCTCATGCTATGACCCTAACCAAGCACAATATCCTCACTCAAGCATGAGACCTATAATCTCACATTATGACAGAACTCCAAGATCTTCGCAATGAATGGACAAAACTATACTCGGAGACTCTACCACGACTAGCAAAGGCCAAAGATCATGCTCAATCTAAATGGCCAGTAACACTGGATCATTGCTTCGCTCGCATCATTCTGGATAATACTGTTGGTCGAGGGAGTCAACAATGGGACAAAGTCATCAAAAGGCCAGCAGTGAAAAATATGAGTCGAGAACAACTACGTGATGCCATTTCATTGGGTGAGGATATCCAGACTGGCAAAGTAGATCTATGTCAACTTGACGAGAAGAGCTTGCAATGCCGAGGAAAGAATCAGACCAAGTATGCGAATAAGCGTATGCTCGACCGTGGGGGAGACGATGATGACTCGGGGAGGAAGACCAAAATGCCCAAATCTGGCAAACGGCAGTCCACATTGACCTTCAATCTCGATGCCAGTCGTCCACAAGCACCAATAGAGCCCAAGCATCCGTCTGGGGACATGGCCACACTCAAAGCGACGCTCTCTCGCATTCAATCCCATGCTTCCCTCACACCGTATCGGAAGAGATTATACACAGCTCTTCTGTCGGTTCCCCGCGGCCGCTACACCACCTATGCCGCCCTGTCCGACTTTCTGGACTCTTCTGCACGAGCTGTTGGCAGTGGTATGCGCAACAATCCATTCGCTCCTGATGTTCCCTGTCATCGCGTACTCGCAGCCAACGGATCGATCGGCGGTTTTGGAGGCGACTGGGGTAAGGATGGGAAGCATGCCAATAAGAAGATCGAATTGCTGACGCAGGAGGGCGTCAGGTTTGATGTGTCGGGAAAAGTGCTTGGAGAGCCGTTTAAGAAGTTCCACCTCTTTGAGTCGTAGCTTTTTGTCATGAGATGTATATATCGATCGATTGTAGAGCTCGTCTTTGGGAACAGATCCTTGGATGCGACGACACACATCCACGGATGACCAACTATAACGATGCAGCAGCTTCAATGGCCCCAACACCTCTGAAGGCAGCCTTGTTTGTAAATTCGACCTTGACGGGGTAATTCCATTCCATGTATTGTTTCCAGCCTGAGAAACGCAGTTAGTCAATGTTCACCTCGTTCAGATATTCTCCTAGTCCAATGACTTACCCCAATATGCAAACTTCCTTCCAAAGTACTTTCCCATATATGGCACGATGACCATGGTTAATAAGAGCTCCAACTGTTGCAGGCTTTCCTTCCACTCTCGTTCCGCATCTGACTCATAGTCATCTTCACTGATTGTAACCTCGTCTGAATCCGGTTCTGAAGGTAGGGAATCGATATCGTTTTCGTCAATGGTCGACGGAGGGTTTATAAAGGAGGCTGAGGCATCTAAGTCGGACATGATGGGTGGAGTGGATGGAGATGGGTTGTGGTTCAAGATGGATCGAGACACCAATGAGTTCGTTGTGGCGCAGTCCTTGCGCGCGGATAGTGTTACCGCAGATTGATGTGAGCTTGATTCATTGAGCGAGGAGAGAGACGAGGGTATGGGGAGTGTAGCAGATGATATTCCAGATGCTGTCGAATATGTCTTTGGAGAGCCGCAAGCTACGGTTGGAGTCTGAAGATTGATGCCAAGACGTCGAGAAACCCAACGTGGTTAACGGTTTCCGAGAGCTGCTTATAACTTTAGGTAAGAACACAGCCTTATAGGCCAAGTTCTTAACTGTGCCTCCCCTGGTCTTTGGCCGTCGAACCCCCGCGGCTAAGAGTCCAAAGTCCTCCAGGCGATGCTCCATGCCCAGGAAGACCCCCTACGACTTTGCGGTTGCTCAATTTAAGGCAACGAGAAACGAAACTTAAGTAGTCTGCTTCCAATATCCTCTCATGGACTCCTGTGAAGATCCAGATTACCATAGTATTTTCCCCAGTGGATCTCAGAAATACCTAGAGACAGTGCCATCTCCATGATCTATCTAGATACCTATCTACGTGACGTAAATGAATCGTGGAGACTCATCACCCATATCGGCAATCTCTTCCTCAGTCTTGCCTTCGATCTTATGATCTTCCTTGCCGGAAAGCCTGCCAGCGTTCTTGCGTACATAGTACATGAACATACTGCCGTAGATGATAGTTCCAGTGCCGACCCATCCGAGAACAGCTCCATTTCCCTGAATGTACCGAGGACCGAAGTTGCTTGTGTACAGCTGAAAGAGAAATGTTAGCTATCAATGCAGAGAGGAAAACACATATTTGGACAAGGTGACTTACGAATGGAACAATGACACCAGACAAATTAGAAATGGTGAGTTGGAAAGCAGAGGCAAAGGCTCGCTTGCCATACTTGGGACAATCTGATATCGTCTGTCAGCACTGGATACTACCAACACAGAATAGGATTTCTTGAACTTACTCATCGGAAGCCATGCTAAAGGCATTCCAACAAAGACATACAAACCCATCCCCACCAGCAAGCAGCCAGCATAATGCGCAGCAGCACTCACGGGAGCCAGGAGAACACCATAACCAATCACAGAGATGATGCCACAAGCCGCTGGAAAACATCCTCTTAGTTGAAGCCGGTCGGAGATCCAGCCGATGATGATATAAGTGATGACACCCAGAGCATAGCAGGGAATGGTCATGGCGTTAGTGACGACTCGATTCCAGGTTCCTAGATCCAAGATGATGGTGGGCAAGAAAGTGCTGTATCCGTAAAGCATAGAAGCACCGCAAAACTGGCCAAAGGCCATAACATAGACTTTCCAGTCCTTGACACCTTTCATCACATCTGACTTATGCATTTCGTCCCACGACGCACTGAACCCGGCTTGTCGACCGCGCCGGGCCATGAGCAAGTCTCTCTCCTCTTGTGAGAGGTAATGTGCTGTCTGAGGGAAATCCGCTAGTGCGAACCAGGTGATTGCGCCTAGAATAATGGTTGGAAGACCCTCGAGAATGAAGATCCATCTCCAGGCTTCAAGTCCTCCCACGCCTTCCATGTGTCCAATTGCGTATGCGACCAATCCTCCCAGAGCACCTGCCAGGCCGTTACAGGTGAAGAGCCACGAGTATCGCAGACCCAGTTCCTGTCGTGTATAAAATGTTGTGAGGTATAGCGATAGACCAGGGAACAATCCGGCTTCGAAGATTCCCATGAGGATCCGACAGGCGATCAGACCTCCGAGATTTTGGGTCATTCCTGTCAAGGTCGAGATGATGCCCCATGAAAAGGTTATAAACGCCAGCCATTTAGAAGGCGTGATCTTCTTGATGATCATATTGGAGGGGATTCTAACCGTAAACACAGTCAGAATTCGGACTATTGACTCCAAATCCACCACTTGACTTACTCGAAAAGAACATAAGTGACGAAGAAAATGCTGACCGACAATTGGAACTGAGAGCCCGTGAGTCCCAGGCTCTCTTCCATGCCATACACTCGAGCGTTTCCGATATTGACTCGATCCAAGAAAGACTATAGATGAAGGTTAGCAAATCATTCACCCATACAAGGTTGCAAGCTCAAGTTACTTACAAAGAGATACAACCCCATGATCAATGGCATGATACGAATGTCCAGTTTTCGCAGAAGTTTCTTCTCCGCGACGTGGTCGATCGCAGAGACGACGTTGGTCGCAAGAGCGCCTTCTGGGTCGGCCTTTTCCATCTCGAACTGACCACCAGCCACATCAACCTCTTGAGCGTACGACGCGTCTTTATTCAGAGCCATGGATATCGGCGACAGACAGTAGACCAGTGCAAAGAGATCTTAAATAGGAAGATGGATATTGTAGGTCGATCGAGGAATAGAAGTCGAACTGTCTTCGTACCACTTCCTCAACTGAGAAGACTGTGCTCTATTATAGATATTGCACAACACCAATCAATATTCATGGTCAAGTCAAATCAGGTCAGGTCAGGAGTATAGCTTTCTTCTCCCTGTTCGGTTCAGTCGTTGTTCCCCCAGATGTACGGCCGGATCATTTCTCACTCCACTCCACATACCCCAGGAAAGACGACTCTCAAGGCCCCGGGCGGCCCAGTGATGGAGGTGGAGATGAAATGCCTCGTTACTCTCGAAAATGCTTTGATGACTCTGTGAATTCCGTGCCTTGTTCGCAAAATCCCGAATGACCATCAAAAAAAGGGTTCTCAAGAGCCGGGGGGAGTGGGTCCGGACGATTGCTTATACCGGACACAGACTGAGTAATGCGGGTCCGGGAGAAGAATAACCCCTCGCTTTCACTATTCTACTTTACGGGATAGTCTTCTTAACCCATTGTGCCCGTACATGTTGGCTCGCTCGTGTCGTTCCCGGGCCTTGGTTCAATATCGAGGTCAAAATAGTTCTGAGATGGGGCTGCTGTATACTCTCGAGTCTATACATTTTGCCATCCGAGTCTCTCCGATTCTCAAGCTCATGATGGGTCCAGGGAGGTCGGATGGGCCTTTCAAAGGCTCGAATCTGAATTTTGATATGATCATGTGTTGAAAGAAAAGTACCTAGAACTCCAAGGAATTGAGAATTCTTTCTGGAACAGCTAGACGTCTAACAGCGATATCCAGTCAGCTGACCCGTCCTCATCGCCATCTGCTGTCTTGCACAACGCTGAATCTTCATCGAGGATATACGACAACAACAACAGCACACCAGCCACCTCAGCCCAGATCTTCCAACATGACCAAAATGATAGAAAATGATATCGGAACAAGTCCTCCAGACACATCTGCAATGGTCAGTATACATCCCCAGACGACTGACTACATTCTTCAAACCCATCTACCAATACGACCCAACCCACTAACAAAGGCCTTACAGCGGATCGAGCACGATGCATTCGGTCCCGTCCAGATCCCAGCAGCACGGTACTGGGGCGGACAAACGCAACGGGCTCTCGCCACATTCGGTGAATCTGGAATCGAAAGATTCCCACCTTGTCTCATCCACGCCTTCGGGCTTCAAAAAATGGCTGCCGCGAACGCCAACTTCCGCCTCGGCCAACTCGACCAATCTCTCAGTTCAGCCATCTATTCCGCCGCCGAGGAAGTCAGCCATGGCAAAATGGACCTTGAATTCCCCTTGTCGATCTGGCAAACCGGATCTGGCACACAAACCAACATGTGTGCGAACGAAGTGATCGCCAATCGCGCCAACCAACTACTCACCAACCAACCCTTAGGAACGAAATCGCCAATTCATCCCAACGACCACGTGAATCGGTCACAGTCGTCGAATGACACATTCCCCACAGTCATGCATGTGGCATCGGTGTTGGCGGTTCGTTCTCAACTTCTCCCGGTTTTGCTTCGGCTTAGGCAGACTTTCCAGCGGAAGGCGCATGAGTTCTCGACGGTTGTCAAAATCGGCCGGACCCATTTAATGGATGCGGTGCCCATGACGGTGGGCCAGGGGTTTGATGCCTATGCGCATCAAGTGGCGAATGCGATTCGTCGTTTGGAACAAGGTGCTCTTCCTGGCCTGTTGAGACTGGCTCAAGGTGGGACGGCTGTGGGGACTGGTTTAAACACGCCTCGTGGATTTGATGCAGTCTTCTGCGAAGAACTTGGCACCTTGACGGGGGAGAAGTTTGTTCCTAATCCGAGTAAGTTCGAGGGGATGGGAAGTCATGATTCGATGGTGGAGCTTTCTGGCGCGCTTAACACTCTTGCGGTGTCGATGGTCAAGATCGCAAATGACTTGCGGTTTCTGGGGTCTGGACCTTATTGTGGATTGGGAGAATTCAATATTCCTTCAGATGGACTCAGCTCGTCTATCATGCCGGGAAAACGTAATCCGACACTGGCCGAGGTTCTGGTTCAGGCTTGTTTCCAGGTCATGGGTAATCATGTCACTGTCACTATGGCTGGAGGTGCTGGCATGTTCGAGCTCAATGTCGCTAAACCGGTCATCATTTACAATGTCTTGCAGTCTGTCAAGATCATGGCCGATAGTATTGATTCTTTCACAGTCAAACTGGTCGAGGGTATTCAGGTCAATCGAGATCGGCTGGCTCAAAACGTGGCTTCGTCGCTGCTGGTGGCTACCTCGTTGAACACGGTTTTGGGTTATGATCAGGTGGCGAAGATCACCAACCGGGCTCGTGATGAAGGTATCACTCCTCGTCAGGCGACTCTTGACTTGGGTTTGATGACTGGTGACGAGTATGATCGTTTGACAAATCCGTTGAAGCTGGCCTTGCCACATTCAACTTTTGAATAGAAATACTTGATGTTATAATCCATCATCTGATCTCCCTTGGCATTTCAAGATCGAAGAGCAAGAGGGTAGATGAGAAATAGAATAGACATCTACGTACGTGATGCAAGAGGACCCAAAGCCATATATCATCATATAAATGCAAAACCTTTGACATTCTCTATTTAGGCAGCGCAAAAATCGACGGACATCACACAAATACTCCATTAAGTCACTAAAAGTGTTCATCCACAGTCAGGGTGCCAGTCTTCGTAATGACATATTCAGCCACTGCCACATCCTTGCCAGACTCCTTGCCGTAGCCTGATTCCTTGATGCCACCAAAAGGACTTTCGCCCGCAGATTGGTTTCCTGAGAGACGGGTCAGTAAAAGCCTTAGCGACCATGCAAACAGCAGGTAAGCAACATACCAGTATTCATTCCAATCATGCCAGCTTCGAGATTCTCGAGCAATCGCCATGTGCGGTCGACGTTCTTTGTGAAGAAATACGAGGCCAACCCCATCTATTCAATCCATCAGTTTCCCGATCAGCGACAAGAGCTAGCTCATGAAAGGAGTAAGGGGGAGGGTTGTCACTCACGCTAGTATCATTGGCCATACGGACCACTTCTGCCTCAGTCTCAAACTTGTACATGGCCAAGATTGGGCCAAAGGTCTCTTCCTGACTCAGTCGCATCTTGTCTGTGGCATCGGCGATGATGGTGGGCTGGAAGAAGTAGCCAGGACGATCGACGCGTTGACCACCGTGCAGGACGCGGGCGCCTCGACTGACAGCATCTTCAACCTGGGCAGCGACTTTCTCAAGGCTTTGAGGTGTGGTGACTGGTCCCATAGTGGTGTCCTTTTCTGCACCGTGGCCGACCACGATCTTGCTTGTACGTTCTCGAACCATCTCTGCAAATTTCTCGTATACCCCTGATTGCACGTAGACTCGGTTTGCCGAGACACATGCTTGACCTGCATGTCGCCATTTCAGGAGGAGGAGCCCTGTTGACACGCCACTCGTCAGCTAGGATTGGGAATAGTCGAAGCAAGACTCTGAAGTGGAAACTCACCTTCGAGAGCTTGATCCAGGTTCGCATCGTCGAAGATGATGTATGGGCAATTGCCTCCCAGCTCCAAGGTCACCTTTTTGAGTCCGTCGGCGCAGATTCGAGCGATCAATTTCCCAACTCGAGTCTAGAAAGCATTAGCATATGCCTTGAGCGATTTGTCCTATCTGTGCCGTAGACATTTGAACTTACAGAGCCAGTGAAAGTGATTTTGTGCACTAAGGGATGACGACAAAGCTTCTCGCTCAATGAGGGAGTATTGGCCAAGCTGGTGGTCAAGACAGACAAACATCCTGGAGGAAAGCCTGCCTTTGTTGCCAGATGGGCTAAAGTCAAGACGGAGAGGGGAGTCTCCGGAGACGGTTTGATGACCATTGTACATCCAGCGGCGAGGGCAGCACTAGCCTTGCGCAAGATCATGGCGATGGGGAAGTTCCAGGGAACCAAGGCCACGGCAACGCCAATGGGTTGTTTGATGGTGAAAACACGGCGGCCGTTCTGCGATGCCTGATGGACGGTACCGAAGATTCGTTCAGCCTCGCCAGCAAACCACCAGGTGAAACTCAAGGCGTAATCTATTTCCCCGTGAGCTTCGGCAATAGGTTTGCCTGTCTCGTAGGTCAGAATAGTTGCGATGTCATCCTTGTTTTCTCGAATCAGGGCGTCCCAATTCAGGAGCCAGCGCGCTCGTTGTCGTGAGCTTTCTTTGCGGTAGCTCTCGAACGCTGTATTGGCAGCTCGCACAGCCATGTCGACGTCGGCTTCGCTGTTGTCGGGTGCGCTGGCCCATACTTTGCCTGAGCCAGGGTCTATTCAGGACGAGAACTAGTCAGTCACTTGATTCTGTGAAACCATGGCGGCTTCTCCGGATATCTGTAACTCACCAACGATATCAAAGCGAGCGCCAGACGCGGCTTCTACCCATTTCCCCCCAACATAGGATTGATCTTTGAAGAGTTCGGGATCTTTGAGCTATTTAGTGGTACTGTGTCAGTCTATCGATTCACTATGTCGAATCAACATCTACAGCAACAAAACGACTTACTGTAAAAGGTGTTGGAGGAGCCATTTTGTTCTTTGCTTTGCTGTAGTCGTGAATAAATCGAGATTGGTGCCTCCAGCTGGTCGTTTTGTGACTGATCCCTTGGTAGTTGAGCAATGGTATTGTCGTGGGCGAAGATGCTCTCTGATTCAAGGTAAAGACAAGTAGTTGTTTGTTATGCCTACCCAGGGTACGCAATGCCAGCCCATTTGAGACTAGATTTGGTCGCATTTGTTTATGTAGTCTTGCGGTTACGTCGACTTTGCTGAACCTGTTCTTTTACAGTACGATTCTTGGATGCCAATGGAGGGGCATCCTTATTCCGAACCTGTGGGTCCTGGATGAAAGTATCTGGTGTCTATTTCACCGGGTTAGGAGCCGAAGAGCGATGAGGAATATCAACCGAATCTGAGCCTCCTAAAGCAGAGACCCTGAAGTAGTGACCGCGGGATATGTCAAGTGGACATGGCAAGACTCAAAAATTGATCATGTTTCTCTCGTTGTGATCCAGGCTTCAAGTGGGTCAATACGACAAACCGTTTATGACCCATTAGGGAAATTGCCAGGGTTTGAGGCCATCCTAGAGGAGTTCTTGTCCTCTGCTCCGTATGCCAGTAAATTACGTTTCGTCATATACTATTCCACTGACCGTTGCTGGAACTTGAGCTTAATTGAAGCATCTCGAGAGCTAGAAATGCTAGGCTTCGGCTTAAAGTCGATTTCAACTGGCGAGGTGCGTGGACAGACCAATATACCGTCTTGCTCATAGTCTCGTACAATGCTAGCTAGTATGGTATTTCGAAGGCAATTTTGTCAGATATCGATTACAGCACCGCTTTTCGAAGAGAAAGCAACCAGAGCCAGAACCAAAGATCCAGCATTGTCTCAAATTTTTATTACATTTTCGGCTTTTAACAAGCGCCGATCTACCCCGCGAAGTACATGGGCCAATGCACCAACTCGTTGATGGGATCAAGAGCAGCTTTAAGCGGGATCTGTGATGCAGAAAACAACTGGGTGAAATGAGCAAGGATCAAGGTCGAGACTAAGCGTTCCTGACCATTGTTCACTGAAATGACATGACAGATCAGAGTCACCCAGTATAACAGACCACGAAGTGAGTCTCCCCAAAGTTGCAATAGGTCTGTTCTCCGGAGGAGGTGGGGTAGTTGAGCGGCTCCAGCTACGAAGGGGACTGCGTCGGATAACGAGCAGTCTCGATCAGCCGACTCGGTCATCAATCTCACGGCAATGACACATGATTCATACATGGCTAAAGAGCCGCCGTCCCAGTCGAACGTAGTGTAGCGAGGTTCCTTGGTGGCTAGCACATTCTCCAGGGTGAGGCGGGCACTTTCTAGGTTATGAGACATGCCCCGTCGCCTTCTTTTGTGATGTAAAATCCATGTGCGTGCCGCTTGCGACAGATCAAGACACCTCTTTAACTTGTGGGTGGCTGGAGACATCGTAGGCCTAGAAAAGGCGTGGGAAGGGCCGAACAAAGGTGAATTCCAGCCGGAGTCAGGAGTAGTATCTGATGAGTAGAGCTCAAACTTTTCGAACAGCTTGGTCCATCCTTCGGCATTGTGTCCAGGAGTTGTCAGCATCCGGTGCGCAGAGGATATGACCTTGACGAGAAAAACAAACCTTCCATCAGCCGTCAACAAATATGCTGGATCGGGTTGCATTCTCAAGAGTCTGGTAACGGCTTGGTAATGCAAGTGATATTCGATTGCAGTACTTTCAGCAAGGCTCGACGTAGACTCAGGAGAACTGAAGCTAGCTGTCGACCTTGAGTCTGAGCTTCTGGAATCCGAAGCTTGCGAGCCATCTGTAGAGCTGTTGGTCACTTCGCACACAATTGGGGTGCCGAGAGCCATGACGGCTATCATGGTGTCCAAGTTGGCCGCCTGGTCTGGGTCGTCCATTGCTCGATTGACTCTTTTCATCACTTGACCTTTCAATGACATCAACGCCGTTGAGGCCCCTCTGCCACTGATAACCAGATAGTACGCATGGCAGAGGAGAAGACACGCTGCGTAGCGGAGATGACATGACTCTCCATCCCTCAGGAGTGTATTTCTGATAAAAGTGTCACCGAGAAAGGCGGGCATGAGCGACTTGACTGTCTGCAGATCCGGGGACTCATCCCGGTTGTTGCGAAGCTGAGGAAGCGATTGGAACACATCAAATGAGGCGCCAAAATGGAGATTGACCGTTGATACAGGAGATGGCAGATATTGAGCGGAGTTCATGATGACATTGGATTTGGACAGAGGGAGCGGCTTTGTTGTAAGATCATGATGTTCGGACGGCGTAGTCTTGCTCAACACCGGAGAAGAAGGAGACGGGGCGGAGGGGGAAATGGACGAGGATTGTACTGTGGGCGACTGTTTGCGCCTAGATTGTTTGTGGCCCCAGTATGAGGCGTGGCGTCTCGCAACACGTTTGGCATGAGCATCTAGCAACTCGGAGTGAGAGTTGATGAAAATGATGTCGGATCGCTTCCCTTCGGGCGATTTCCGTCTCATCGCCGGCCGAGGCGGGAGAGTGGAGGGCATCGCTACGCAATAGCAGAGACGGTCGGGGTAGACAAGGTATAAGGTCAAAGATTGCACCTTCGTCTGATGTCTAAGCAGCCTTCAATCGGCGACAAGTCTGGGTGGATGTCGCTATGAATGTACAAGGTGGAGAAGGGTCTCGGTTTAAGGAAGAGAGAAAAGACCCAGTATAATTCTCAGCCTGAGCACAGGGCAAGCTACGGTGCCGTGGGTGCTTGCTCGCTCTGGCTCTGTCCCTCTCCCTCTGAGTGGTTTGTGCTTCTCGTCAAGTCCAGAGAAGTCAGGCATCCCAACGAATGAAGGATTGGTAGAAGAGCGGAGACAGAAAAGCGTCTAGTCTCAATGTAGAAGTTGCCAGGATCTGTGGCGCGATGGACGGCCGGGGATAGAGAGTTCTTTGCCATGGTACCCGCAAATATCTCCATTGCTCGCTCGAGACGGCCGAGGGGGGGTGTCGCAAGACACAAGGCTGCGCTGACTGTCTCCAGAGTCCTAGAATAGACTCGGAAGAATCTGAGGCCCGAGTCTGCGCCGCAAAGCTTTACCATGCAGTCTCAAGGCGTAACGTGATAGATTCCTGTCGGGCCTCAAGCCCCAGATTAATGCCGTTTGCTTTGGACTGGACGCCGCCTAGGGGTTTGCGAACTGCAAAAACTCCAAACTCCACGGCGCAATGGTGGTCATAAGGCTCGCATATGCCACTGTCTGCGATCACATGGAGTCGAGGATCATTTTATTCGAATCAAGGACTTTCAATTTGACCCAGCAGTGACAAAACCCGTTCTTGACCATGGCTCCCGTTCTACCGAATACAATGCGCGCCGTCGTGTTCAAAGGCAATTACAAAGTGGCCGTTGAAGACAGGCCGGTTCCAAAGTTGCAGCACCCTACAGATGCGATCCTCAAGGTCAAATACAGCGCTCTATGTGGCAGCGACCTCCATTACTATCGAGGCCACCTCAAATGTCCATCGGATTTCGTCTGCGGCCACGAATTTGTGGGCACCATCGTCGAGCGGGGAGACGCCGTGGTGGACTTTGCAGTTGGCGATGATGTCGTCGTTCCTTTCTATACGGCTTGTCAAGAATGTTTCTATTGCAAGCGAGGCCAAGCGTCACGCTGTTCGAAGGGAGAGTTGTTCGGGAACAGCGTCCCAGCAAATGCTATTGATGGTGGCCAGGCCGAATACGTCCGGGTGCCGCTTGCAAATTCGACCCTTGTCATAACCCCAAAGAACATCCCTGAAGAGATGCTAGTCTTGATGGCAGATATTTTTCCCACCGGATACTTTGGGGCTTCTCGCTTCCTCAAGAACATGGCGCCTTCGGACAAGCAATCTGCTACCGTCGTTCAGGTTGGGTGCGGGCCCGTTGGTATCTGCGCCATCATATCTGCTCTCAGATGGTGCAAGACAGTGTATGCGGTCGACTCGATACCAGACCGACTGGCGGCAGCGGAGAAGCTCGGTGCTAAACCGATTTTACTGTCTGACAACCCTATCGAAAAGGTCATGGCTGCCACCGATGGTCGAGGAGCCGACGTCGTCATCGAAGCGGTCGGGCATGCCGACGCACTCCAGCTCGCGGTTGATTTGATCCGACCATTCGGCCAGATCTCGTCCATCGGTGTGCACACGCAGACCTTGCCCCTGAGTGGACTACAGCTTTATGGCAAGAATATAACCCTAGCTCTCGGGCGATGCCCGGTCCGAAGTATTTTTGAGGAAGCACTCGAGGTCCTCATCCAGGAACAGGAAAAGGTCAAGCCTCTGCTGGGTTTGATGGTGAGCCTCGAGGAGGCACCAAAAGCCTTTGAGGATTTTGAACAACAAAAGGTATGAGTGTCTGCCGTCTTGTCATTTCCTCGGCGACGACCCAAGGATTGTCTAACAGTATGACAGGTGCATAAAGTTATTTTCAAACTCTGACGCAGTTGAGGAGAAATGGCTGGAGGAACTGGGAGCCTTGAGACGGCGCAGTTTTGAGTCATTCCGGGCATAGACAAACAAATTCTGGAGTCGTTCAAGGCACTGTTGGGAATTGCTCGACCCCAGGCCACATCCAGTCGATAGTGTCAAAATTGTTGAGGTATTCTAATGCATTCGAGTTCCAGGCTTCAACGTGATCAAGAGCCCCGTTCTGAAGACCTGCAGGCACATTTGCCAGTGGTTGATCTGGTGGAGCCAATCCCTCTTGGGCTGCCGTCTCCATCTGGGGAACGAAATCATGGGATAGAATATGTTGCAAACTTGTCAAGGTTTCCATAGCCTGAACGATTGGCTGTTGACAAAATTCGGAACATCCGGCTTCTTGAATGTTGGGATCCTCTGGGAGATAGCAGCGCAACAATTGGACAGCTTTGGCAATTGTTGAAATACTCGTCGATCGGCTGCCGGATCCTATGGCTATGATAATCGATGAGTTACAGTGGAAGTAGATGTGCATCAAAGCACTTTGAAAGACAAGGGCTGGGCTCGAAGGGCAAATGCTTCGTAGCCACCAAGCAGATGTGGTGTTTTCGAGGAGATTAAGGATGGCCGAGCTGGATTTGACGCAGGTTTTGAGACCATTGTTGAACTCCGGGGTGTTCAAGTCGAAGGTGAGCGCTGGCCGGTGGATTTGAACCATGGCGATATTTGCCAACAATTGGATCCAATGGTTCATGAGTGAAAGTCCTTCGTTTCCATCTTCTTCATATGCGTGGGGTGAGACTTCTGCCAGTTCGAATGGAGCGACATGGGGCAACGCGTTAAAGGAGTGATTCCACACTCTCAGGTCTCGATCAAGGCGTGTGATCTTCTCAGCACCACCACGGCGCTGAGTTGTAGTGTAAAGCTGGCTCAGGATCGCCGACAGCTTCTTGCACAAGAGTACATACTGGTTGAATAGGAAGACAGGGGTAGTCTCTCCTGGGAGCGGATGAGAAAGAAATTCTGCATTGAGGTCGTCCAAATTGCAGTCAACAGGCATGTCGTTGTCAATGTCGGCCTCTTTGACAAGCTCTGGCAGTCCGTTGGTAACAGAGGTAATTCTAGTCATGTTAGCTTGCTCTGATACTTGGAAAGACGCACATACTTATCAAAGGCATAGATCCACCACCAAATGCGACGGCGATGCTCAACCATGGCACTCTTAAACTTGAATCTTCGGTCATGGCGGTGGAGACCAATTGACTGAGCCGTACGGACCATGAGGGCATTTAACTGTAGCAATTGGAGGCTCTGTCCTGTCAATTGGGCATGAAAAGCGCAGAGGATCAGAGCCTGAAGGGCCTTGAGGTCACCTCGAGCAACCACATCGTGCAGCTCCCCATGGGCCAAAGTCACGAGCCGCTGCAGATCGTGATCTGGATGAGGATGGCCTAGTTGATTGATACTCAAAATCATAGTCAAGGCAATCATGGCAGAGAGTTTACTTTCATCCCCGGGGGCAAAGGATAATCCTTGATTTGGATGCAAGAAGTTTGCAACATCCTGGACGATGTCTTTGCGTACCAAGACCGGGCAAAAGCATTCCCAGCGCTCTATAAAACTGTCAATCTGGTGTATGTAGTAGTCAAGGGGGTGGGTGAAGTTCTGGCGAAACTGGCGTGTGTCACTAGGCTCTGCTTGGTTAATGGATGCGATATCTTGAGGGCCTCGCGTTGATGCTTTGCAAGTAAGTTTGTGTATCGGCAGTAAGTGCAGCCTGAAGGAGCTTTCGGGAAAGTGGTTGGTATAGCCCAGAGCCTGGACACATGCATCCTCAACGCGCAGTACAAAATGGACGCCAGTCGTGGATCCAGCAAATCGTCCAACTCCCATTCCATCATGGACCATGCGACCCATATGTTTCACGACATGGATAGATCTCTCGGGCTGAGATGCACCGGCGTCACTCGACGTGGGGTGGGAAGGTGAAGTGGCTTGTTGGCTTGTTGCCGGGTGCATTGGGCGATGTAGTTTTCGAGGTCGAGTCGAGGCCTGCTGGGACACACGGTCGAGCTCTTCACGAAGTGATTGACTGGTCTGGCACTCGGCTTCAAGCTTCTTTCGCAGATCTGCATTCTCTGCTTGCAGGGTCTGTACGAGAGCATCATCCCTATCAGATCCAAACCTAGAGTCAAGATCAACATGGAGCTGGAATCAAAGCACATGTAGCAACACACCCTCGGATCTTGGCCTTCCTTCGTAAAGTTGCCGATACCTCGCACTGGACACACGCGGCGATGCAGCTCGCGCACTGTACCTTTGTCAGCGACACATTCGGAGACGGGTTGAGACTCTTGTTTAGGTACCGAAGGAATCGCTCCATCGCATTTAATTTTCTTGCTAAGTCTGGTAAGAAGAGTCTTTTGAGTGGATAGAAACTGGGTCTATTGCTCTCACTTTCGACATCTATCACTAAGAGAGGGTTAGAAAAGTGGTAGAACTAGAGACTGGGCTGCTTGAGAACTCACCATGCTTGTCCTGTTCGTGAGACCTGAGTATTAATGGTAGCCATGAGATTTTTGTTTAGGCGAACAACAACGCATTGTACTTCAAAGAGCTGTGGCAGTACTCCAACCTCGACAGTCTTTATTGTTACCTTGTGATGGGTAAAAAGGAAAACCCTGGTTTCAAAAAGCACAAAATGCCTGCAATGCAAGAAAGAACACGAGTGTAGAATACATATGTCGCGTTTTCCGGACAGATGAAATGGTCAAATCGCCCATTAGTCAACGCATCAATTAGTATTTTGTTAATGGCATGGCCATTCCTAGCCAAGAAAACATTCGCGGGTATTCCATATGGAGGATCTTGCGGGGTGCTGGAGTGGCACCTACTTACTGTACGCTTTCGTTGAAGAGATGAGACAAGAAAAGCCCCCCTCGGCCTTGAGGCAGCCGGGATAGCGCTATTCCGGCCCAGCTTCCGGGGTGATGTTCTTCTTCCGGCGCCAATACACATTGAGCGTGTTTGGCAACATCTTGTGAGGTGACTCGAAGGGTTGAGACCATGATATAGGTGGTTCTATCAGAAACAACAATTGTGCAAAGATTTTCATGGATGAGGTTCTTGTAAAGATTTGATCGCGACTTCTGATTTGAGGAATGGAAGGCACGCGTTGTTCATTCCACCGAAGGGAAAGTACGACTCAGGTAGACCTTGGAGATCACGTGTTCGTAGTAGCCCCGTCATCCATCTGGAAGTCGATATGAATGTCACGTGATACTCACGTGATATCGGAGATAAAGTCTGTTTGACAGACAGAGAATTGGCATTTGAAGACGGTCAAAGAACGCCATCGAAAGTAGGTCACTGTTGGATAATGATTTGTCAGTCAGTTCCTCAGAAAGCAGACGTCTGACCAACATGATTTTCCATAATACTACCAAGACGTACATGGTAACCTCTGATTTTTAATCGTCAGACTGAAATCGAATCAGGCAGATTGACTGAGTCATGGACAGGATTTTGGCTTCACTTTATCTCATGCGAAGCCCGGCGCAATCATTTAATTAATTCTTGCATCTGGCCACAACATCATTTCACAACTATTACAACCAAGTAATTTCGATATCATCAATCGAGTCTCAAGTTCCAACCAACAAGTTCAGAACCTACAAGATCCCTGCGCCCGCAATCGCAATCATGGCTGAAGTGGTGAGTAACGTCACACCCAAAAGCATGCAAAGCCAAAGGCTTTCCCTCCCCCCACACGCACCAACACCACCTGCATTTGCCTCATTCCTAGAAGAGGAAAATCATCTGAAACCGCATAAATCAGCTGCATCATCTTCATCCCGCTCCACCAAAAACAACCCTCTTTATTTCAACACCACCTCGTCTATTTCCATCTCTCGTATTAACTTGTCTCGTTCATCACAGGATTCTGCTGCCCCTCCTATCCACGAACCCAAACTCCGCAAATCCGTAACCTTTAGCGGCGACGACACCATCATGGATGAAAACGGCGAAATCTCAGAGGCTCCTGCCTTGGAGCACAAGACCACGGCCGAAAAACACTCTACACCTCCCGAAGACGCCGCCGTCAGCGAGGTGACCGACATGTTTGCCGGCTTGGGCAAAAAGAAGAAGAAGTCGTCGAAACCAAAGGCCGAAGATGCCGATGGCGACACGCCTGCCGTTGGCGCCGACGGAGAAGTCGATCTTTCAGGATTGAAGAAGAAAAAGAAGAAGTCATCCAAACCCAAGGGAGAAGGTGGTGATTTTGCCGACAAACTGGCCAAAGCTGGTTTGGAACCCACCGAAGGAGACGAAGACACCCCCAGTGGCCCCACGATCGAAGAAGCTGGCGACATGACCAAAGGCACCGGCATCTGGGGTCACGACGACAACCGACCCATCAGCTACGATCTCCTCCTCTCCCGGTTCTTCCAACTCGTCAACGAACACAATCCCGATATCCTGGCGTCAGGCTCCAAATCATACAAGATCCCACCACCACAATGTCTACGAGAAGGCAACAAAAAGACCATTTTCGCCAACATTGCCGAGATCTGCAAACGCATGAACCGATCAGACGAGCACGTGACGCAATTCTTGTTCGCTGAATTGGGTACATCAGGTTCCGTGGACGGATCGAAACGATTGGTCATCAAGGGTCGATTCCAACAGAAACAGATTGAAAATGTCTTGAGACGGTACATTATGGAGTACGTCACCTGCAAGACTTGTCGCAGCGGAAATACCGAGTTGTCCAAGGGAGAGAACCGGTTGTACTTTGTGACTTGCAATTCATGTGGATCCAGACGGTCGGTCACGGCCATCAAGTCTGGTTTCACTGCTCAAGTTGGCAAGAGAAAGAGGATGAACGGTTGAATGAATTGATGAGCAAAGCTGTAGCAATGTTGGTGTTGGATGGTGGCCATGTGCAATACCAGAATGCCATTCGATCATGGTATCCAGGCAACGAGACAAGCAGACAAGATTCAAAATTCCGAAACGTGGCTGGCTGATATGATATGATATACGCTATCCACCAACTCACTCACTCACTGGGGTGAAATCTTTCCGCCGGGGATATTGTCTCTCGCTTGGAAACAAACCCCAAGTTTACAGTTTATGATACTAGGGAAATGTTAGTTAGACAGTCACCAATAGACCTCATGAAAGCCTTCTGCATATCTAGCTAGACCTAGATTCTTGTAGGAGGGAGGTCCATGAATGAAATCAAACTCAAAATCCAGTTTCCAAAATGGAGTCTTTGTAGAGAAGCAAATACAAGTAGATAACTTGGATGGATGGCTCATTTCCTCATTATGACATATAAATATATATGACTATAACATATGAACTCAAATGAAACCAGAGCATCTCCTCCATGCAATGCCGCCATATGTGTGGACTATCCCATCCTCATCCCCATCCCCATGCTCGTCAATCTCACCTGCAACCAGCAAGCCTTTTCATCACAAATCCCTGGTGCTAGCACCAGTGATGTATGCATTGAAGGCATTGGGATTCCTGGTCTGCATGAAGACCGTGCCGGGACCGGTAAACTTACACACGAGACCCTCACCGCTCGTGAAGCCGGAAACAATACCACCACTGGCGACACGTTCCATAATGTACTTGCAGTTCCAGGCGACCAGATGATTGTTGTCAATGATGTACTTTTCTCCGTCAATCAACTGTACCCATGTCAGCGGATTTGGACCGGGAAACGGTCAAGGCAACAACTTACATCCTTCCTTAGAATAGCGCCAAAAGTGCTGACCCACAAGAGACCCTGACCGGTCATGCGATAGACAAAGAGACCCTCGCCAGAGAACATGGCCTTACTGATACCTTGGTTCTTGTATTCCTTGATAATGCCCTGGGTCGAGCACAAGAAGGCGTCGCGACCGACGAACCAGGTGTCTTGACCCCCTAGACGGAGGATGCTAAGGTCGCCGAGTGCGCTAGGGGCCAACAGAACCTCGCCGGGACCTGTAAAGGTCGAATGAGTCATGTCACCAATGAAGAGTTTCTTCATGGAGAACTTGACGGCGCCGCGAAGGCTGACCGAGGGCGACATGGCGATCATGGCGCCCGGTCTGGCGATCAACGGACATCCAACGGCCAGCTGAATGGTCAACACCGAATTGGTATCGCGGTGTGAGATACGGTAGCTACCTCCGTTGAATGTGCCTACGTCGTCGGCCGTTGATGTGGCTTGTGCTCCTTGGAATAGTTCTGCTCGCGGCACTCCGGCCACAATCGTCGACCTCTCGTCCGGCCCTTTCATCATGTTTCCAACTTCAGCCACAATCGCGCTTGCGTCGCCTTTGAATTTGGCGAACCGAGGCGACGTTACTCCCGTTGACTGCTGCACAGGTTCTTCTTGGTATTCTGGCACCGGCGTCGCTTGCTGCTCTCCATTGTATGACGGTTGGCGGTAATGTGAGGCAATAGCCTTGTGGTCAAAGGTGGTACGGTGCGCCGGCGCCGATGCTGGTACCGTGCTGTAGTTGTAGGGCTTTTTGGCGGTAGGCTGTTGTAGCGGCGGTGGGGTCGCTTGTGCTGGAGGAGGGGGAAACGATGGTGATACACCATTGGGAGGAGAACTTGGAGGAGGCGGGAAGAACTGTGGTTGGGATTGAGGTTGTGTTGGTGGGGGAGGGAATGCTTGACACCATCTTGTTAGTCTTGAGTCCTTGATCTCAACCTGTTCAGTTCGAGGGATGTCTCAATGCGTACATTGACTACTGTCGGGAGGCGCTGTTGCTCAGTTAGTCTTGTTGTATATGCGGGGTTTGTGAAGATTGAATTCATACGAGGAAAGTATCCTCCGTGATTCTGGTACTGTTGCGCCATGGTAGAAGGGCTCCAGACACGCAATGGGAAATGAAAAGAGATAGATGACCAATTTGAGAATCACGAAATAAACAAACAGAAACACAACAAGTCCACAGGACGCTGGCTGGAGGAGGAGACGAACTCGAGAAGCAGTTCAGATAGGGTCATTCATTCAAGGATGGAGGGATAGACGGCTAGTGAATTAGAACAGAGTAGAGAGAATCAATCAAACCGTATCGAGAATGGGTTATAAGAGGTCAGAGTCGAGTGAGCGCATGGCCAGACAATGAACAACTGATTAACCGCCATGTTCCCTGCGTCGAGGACGGCGATAGGTTGGCCTCTTGTCATGATGGTGAGCTTAGGAGGCCTTGGTGTAAGTGTGGAAGAAGGTGGATTGAAGTCGATTGGTCAAAAGACAGATGAGCAGGGCGCCTATTTATAAGTCGAGCTGCGTGAGAGACTTGCCGAATAGAAACAGACAACTTGGGTTCGGGACCCTGAGACGCCACAGGCCGGGATGATTTATGACAGGCTTAGAGAGAAAGTAGAAACAATGAGGTTGTACTGTCTTGAGTCAGAACACAAGTCAGAACACGAGATGATGAGATTGGAAGAATGAGGAAGAGGGAGGCTACACCCAGTACATGGGATAGAAGGAAGCGATAGAAGGAAGCGGTTCATACCTAGGTACCTACGGTAGTTTATAACTATCACTGGCGCTCCAGCTATTCATCTTAGGCACCGATACGGCTTGAGAGGCTTAGAGATCACCACAGCAGCGCCCGAGGGGCCCCTTGGGCGGGCCCCTCGGGGCTTCGACCCTCTTAGCCCCACGCCCAAATCGCCTATAAGCAGCCCCGTTCATGTATTGTTCTCCTCATCATCAACTCCCAGCCCTTAAAGATACCTAAGTAGTACTGTACACTCTAACATCTCCCCTCAACCAGTTGTCACTCAAAAACAATACCTCATATCAAATATCCAACAATGTCAGAAGTGATTGTCAACTAGATATGCTAAGCTCAAACGTCTCACTAACGCAAAAGCTGTGTATGAACAGTCACCACAGTCCAATCCACACAGGGCCTCCCCTATCACTCTGATCTAGTCGAGGCAGTGCACCATCGACAGATGATGTACACCTGGCCTACGGATCGACATTGCATCTTACTGCCATTCAAGAAAAAAAAAAGAAGAGAGCACCGCCTGACAACGCCCTCTACCACAAAAAACCCATTCACAATAGACTGGCGTGTACTAACCCAACTCCATGACACACTATGTCTGGTTGGATCAAGGGCCTTGAATTAATCCATGGTGCCATATCATCAATCCAAATCTTATACCGCCATTTCGGCTTGGAGCTTTCGGAGTTCTTCTTCCTCGTCTTCTTCGACAGTATTGTTCTTGACTGTTTAACCTGTTAGAGTAGTAGATCTAAGTAAATTCTCATCATGCGCGACTTACCGGGTCCGGTAGCGACGGCCGGTAACCTGTTGATCTCTCCAGTAACTGGTGTTGGCCCTGTCTTCAACATTCTCTCGTCCATTGCTTCCTGTTCGAGACCCTCCAATTCCTCCTCCAGGTCGGCTTCATCAATAGGATCGCCAATCGGCGCATTGGTAATGGCAGTGGCGATTTCCTCTCCAAGTGCGTGCTGCTCCCGTAGTTCGTCCATGGTCGCGTCCACCTTGTCGATGGTAAGGTTACCATGTATCTGTTTCATGGCCGCACCAGCATTCTTCATGGCATTCAAAGTTTCTTGGTTGATGTTGGCCGCCTCGATCGAGTAGATTTGTTGTTCAACCTGGGCAATCTGAGCAGATGTCTGTTCGAGAGTTCTTTCATGAAGCTTTTTGCGTCGAAGGGCAGCCTTTGCAGCTATTGTTCATCCACGTTAGACCGTAAATTCCATTTCCTAGCAGGGCATCAAACGCTGGGGAACCGTACCTGTCTTATTGGTCGAAATGTTCTTTCTGGCAATCGCATCTTGTTCTGCCATTTGACCTTCCAAATGTCTCTCCCGCTTCTGTAACATGTCTAGCTGTTGCCGCAGCATCAATATGGCATTCTTTGGTGCATCTTTTCGCTTTTGGGCGGCTGCCCCGCCAAACCAACCCCACATTTCGGCTGAGGCGAGGGCGAGGTCCGAGGGACGATGAACGGGAGAGCGAGAGGAAGAAAGGGAACACAGATGATGGCGTCTAGATGTGTCCCAAGAACCAGATGCCGTGTGAAGTCGTGGCTATCGCGTGTTGATCCGATGGCAAACAAGACTGGGCCTGGGCTTATCGGCGATCAAAGAGAGTAAAGGACGGAAAAGGAGCGAGTTTCTGGATGACGAGGAAGTAGCAAAAAAGGTTCCGATGGCGAGAATGAACGATCAATGGGTGTTATGATCGGCAAAGAGAGGTTGAAAAGGTGATTGCCTGGAGAGAGAAGTTCTAGAGGGAGTCTATCAAAGCCCAAGGCATACAGCATGACATCGTTCGGAGCCATCGTCAGTGCCGAACTAGTAGAATGTCTAACCATGTTTGGAAAGGTCTGGGCAGCTCGACAGGCATGTTTGCCGAAGTGGCACGTGCGCCAAGCCTCATCATCGCCTTCATTGACTTCGCCATCATCCCAATGTAACGAACCAACATCCATATCACCGCCAGGAACATGTAATTCCATTCGACAGCCAGGAATATAAGCCCTCAATACTAGCTCGTCCTCGCTCCAACAATGTGATCATGAGTGGAGGCAACACCAGCGCTCCTGTTGCCAGTACCTTTGCCTGGTTGGCTGACCTGCCTTCCTTACCATCACGCTCCAAGGTAAGGTGTCTTGGACAGTATGCTTCTCAACCACACCTGAGGCTCAAGTTGTTGATCTTTTGACACAGCATCGTCGAATATGATCTGAAAGGCAGCTGCGCCCTATTAGAACATACCTATCCGACATCTGCAGACATCACACGCATCTGGCTCGACGTCAACCTAGTGCTCGAAAGTACTGATCGATTAGTATTGCAGCCAGGCAACTGGATCAATGTGATCGGTTACGTTCAAAACCCTGCTCCTGCCCACTTGCAAAAGTCGAGCCTCGCTGTAAAATCTACTGTCTCCACCACCTCTTTGCAAGCTATCCTCGTCTGGGACGCTGGCTCTATCCATTTAGAGGAATATGAGAGGACCATGGAAGAGCACAAACGTGTGCAGAGAGAGGTGAAGACTGTTCGTCGAGCACAGTGTTCCTGATCGTCTTTCGCTTCGTGGCTGGGAATGGTGCACTGGGTTACTCTGGCGGTTTGAGGGGAGGCCTAGTTTGTTGATTCCAGTTCATACTCCAGACTACCTTTTATATTATCCCTCATCGCATTGTTGGACAGTGATACATTGCAATAATTTTGCACTATGGCATTACATGATTGGAATCAAATGGATTCCTTGAAGCTCCGCCTGACCAGGAGCTGTTCAAACTACAGCTCTATTGTGAGCTTGTGACTTCTATGTGCTCTGGTATGCACCCCAAGACCTTAGAATTCGGAATTTCCATGTGTGGTGGTGATAAGAGGCATCCTATAAGGCAGGTTTCCAGAATAATTGTAGCATCTCCTTTTCCTTCTTGTGTCTAGACATCAAAAATGGCACTAATTACCCATTTTCGATAATCAGGTCGTTCCCTCGAGACGCCAGTTGCATGATGTTGAACGATCCGTTCTCTATCCACATCCGCACCCTGCAAAAGCTGCATAATATGCGAAGAAGCACCTGCCTGCAAGGGACGATGCCGTCGAAGCCGTGTGGGAGAGCGAGGAGACGATGGCGACTGTGAAGATGATGACAACGGCGGAGATTGCACACCGTCCACAACCGGTCCTTGTCGATCAGCCATGAACATGTGGACACGCTCACCTCCCGCCTCTGGTTCAAACCACCATTTTTCGCGATTGACCAGATCCAAGCGACCATAGTACAGCCACGTGGTACGACGAAGCTCGCGCGTCAACTGCTGGACTGCAAATCGAGCAAAACTGTGTGTGATGACTCGGTGTGGAGGTCCCTGCACAAACCCCTGGCTACAGTCAAAGATGATCTCCACATGTGACATCCATCGAACTCCCACACCCAGTCCGTACGAGAGGTTGGCTAGCAGACCTTCGTAGCATTTTGGGCAGTGGAATCGCACCGTCAGCCGTTCCAACAGGCTCAAGACCTCACTGCGGGTTTGTCGGCTGACTTGTAGCAGATGTAGGCCATTCGACCGGGTAATGGTTTCGAATTCCAAGGCATGTGTGACAAGGTTGGAGATGTTTGACCGGTAGGCAGCGGTGGACGGCTGCGGGCGCCTCGTGCATAGGTCAATGTCGAATGTTGTTTTCGGTATCAAATAGCTGTAGATCTCGAACCGTGCCTCTGACGGGAGGTTGAGAAAGGCTGATGAAGGTCGTTCATCTAGTGGTTTTGACGGCATGCTGTTCTTCAATTCCAATGAGGTCTCGATACGTTGGGGCGAAAAGGCGATACGTCAACCCCGAATTAGGAGCCAAATCTTTGAGCATAGAGCCCCCATCAACGACAGCAACGGTTACAATCTCAACTGATTGCTGATGGGTTGATATCCTTCAAAGGTCCAAGGTTGGCAGTCAGGATTCAGCAAACATTCAGTGTTGGCCCCTGTGATACCCAATCACTCCTCCGCTCACCTCACGTGCTCCCTTGAGCAAGTGGAGGGGGATGAGGTTGACCCAATATATGACAGATGGGCCTCCCTCTGACAGACGATGACTTGTGACGGAGGCTGAGGTACATAAGGAGAGTGAGTTGTTGAACAAGTACTGAGGTTGAGACTCCTCACGATGCGGTGTGCCCCAATCAGGTGTCGCGTTTTACGTACTTTGGATGGCCAGCCAATCATGTTCTAGTAATTTATACGACTATCTCGAAGAGGCGTCCACTACCTCTTTGGTGCGACAGTCATTATGTGTACTGACACGTTCATAGAGATGTTTACTTCACTTAAGGAGATAAGCTATGGCAATGCACAGGCAAGATCCTAAGATGTGATGTTGAGGTCCGTTTTGTGAGGAGAAATCAAGGGCATCAGAGTTACATTGATTCAGCTAAGGAGTAGTGATTGCAGCCCCTGTTCATGCCACCGGCTTCAAACTAGAAGCCTTGGCTTCTCTTCCAATCCATTGCCGGCAGTCTCGATATGCTCTTGATTTACGACCTCCTCAAATTGGCGTGAGATAATGATGCCTCCGATGAAAGCTGTTAAGATCCATTGAAGCCACAGCCGGCTGAAGACGCTGATACTATATCTTGGCAGTCGAAATACTGCAAGAAATGCCACCTCCATTGTATGAATTCCATACAAACAGTAGAACAAGGTGTCTTGGACTGGCTTGAGAAACTGGACACCACGGTCGCCCCATCTTGCTTGAACCTCATCGTGGATGATTGTACCTGGTGCAATGTTCTTCCGCCGTGCAGAGAAGACCATTAAAATGGCAAAGATCAAGATGATAAAACCTCTGGAGCCGCTGGGAAAAGAATACTTGGGGGAAACTTGGCGTTGTATCTGATTATTGGACATGCTTGATGCCATATTTGATAAAGGAGGCAAAGCGTGTTACTTGTGGTGCATGCGCATAAGTGAGATTGATGTCAGGATGAGTGAACTCGACCGAGTCATATTGTGAGGAGAACTCTTCAATGCCAATGCCTTTGACAGTGTTGTCTTGCCCAGTGTCGATCAAGATTTGCCCAGTCCAGTAGCATAGGCACAGGCTCTCCACGTTCATGTCACCTAGAAGAACAATTTCTCACCTTTAAGGAAGACCTAGTCGAGCATCACCAGCCCTCAGTCATCATAGGTCTCTTCTAGCTGCAATACATTCCAGTTGTATTCCATCAACTTGGTGACACAAGACGGAAATCAGAAACAGAAATCGAATCCACGTGGCTGGACGGCCAAAACAAGGTTCGCATCAGACCCAAGACACTAACCCAAATAGGCAAAGCCCCCTTATCCACCTCCGCACCTTAAATTCCACTCCGTATCAATTTTTATCCGACGCTGCGCTTTATCAAAATCTTTGGTGATTGACCAAGTTTGGCCGTATTGGTGCTCAAGGTGTTGGCTGCGTGCCCAAAACCCTCAGACAGACATGCCAAACTACGACAGTGACTCCTCGGACTCTGGTGACGATGACTATTCCACCACAAATGTCGTCCTAGGTTATGCCAGTACCGAATCCGCCGGCGACGACATCAGCCATCTTGGAGGATATCCCACGTGGCTAGACCCCAAGTCTCCCCCTCCAGCCTCTCTCGCCAAATGCAAAGTATGCAATGGTTACATGTCGCTGTTACTACAGTTGGACGCCAATCTACAGAAATTCTTCCCTCATGACGAACGCAGGCTGCATCTACTCTCCTGCAGAAAGAAAACCTGTTCTAAGAAGGCGGGCAGTATTCGAGCTTTTCGAGAAGTGAGGAAACCAGCATCCAGAGAAAAGAAACAGGTGGATACAAAGCCCGTGGAGGCCCAACAACCGCAACCGCTGCCAGATCTCGGGTCTGCAATCTTTGGTGGCAGTAGCGGGACTGTTCCCCGACCAAATAATGCCAATCCATTCTCCTCGAGCGCTGCACCATCATCACAACCTGCCAACCCCTTCGCATCCATCGGTTCACCCTCATCCCTCGCATCTCTACCTCCTCAAAGACCTGTTCAAGACATCCAACCCCCGACACAATCCTTTGCAGATAAATTAAAGATTGGAACGAATCCAGAAAAGACCTCCACCCCAGAGCCCGTGACCGAACCGTGGCCTGAGAACTCGGATTTTCCTTCTCCATACTCTTCATTCTACCTCGATTCCAGTCTGGAAGAGCTCGAAAAGGAAGACACATCTAAAATTACAGAAGCCCATACTTCAAAGACACAGTATGAGGCAGAAGACGGTGCAGGTGGTAGTGGTAGTGGCCTCGAGAAAGATACCTTCGAATCCTCTCTCGACAAAACCTTTCAAAAATTCTCCGATCGAATCGCACAGAATCCTGAGCAAGTACTGCGGTATGAGTTCAAGGGCGAGCCATTACTCTATTCAGGCAACGATAACGTGTCAAGCCGATTTGTAGTACCACATGGGAAATCCGGTGCGGTGAGGGGAATGCCTCGATGTGAAAGCTGTGGCTCACAGAGAGTGTTTGAGTTGCAACTGGTGCCAGGATTGATCTACGAGCTTGAGAAGGACGAGGCCATGGATCTAGATGATGGAATGGAATGGGGTACGATCTTGCTAGGAACTTGTGTCAACAACTGCGGTGTTCCAGGCCAGGTTACGTTTCGAGAAGAGTGGGTTGGTGTGCAATGGGAAGAACGAGTTGCTTCGAAATGATGCATTGGAAATGACCAGAGAATAAGCACAAGAACGAGAACAAATTTCCGATCCATAGCGTCAAGGAATAACCAGAGCTTACGAATGTGAACAAAGTACTGTACACCATCCGACATACATAGAACAGACAGTGTCCAGCTGAATGAATAGTTCCACACAAACCTACATTAGGTACTTACCTCCTTGGATGACAACCAGCCTCAATTCAACTGTTTAGCAAAGAGTCGAGTCCCACATAGTCATGACTATCAAGTATAAGAGAGCTGTCGTAGCTGTCACTGGACGACAGTTCGGTGCAGTGGATGCACCAAGGCTTCAGCCGTAGACAGCTGCTAGTTAGATACCTAAGGTACCTCCTACTTACTAGCACCTACATAGTCTGCAGCCTCAATGATAGTCAAATACTACAAAACATAGTGGAGATACCTTACATCTATCCGAAGTATGCAACTGAATATATTTTCCTCTTCCATTCTGTCGCTACTGCAGATCGTACGCGATCGCCGCTGCCAGAGTGAATCTAGTATGCAATGCAATGCAGCCTCAGGATCCCACAGCCTTTTTTTATGCGCGCAAGCAAGAAGAGAAAAAAAAGAAAATAGGTGGGCTGAAAACTCGAAACTTCAATGTCAGCAACGTAATCAAATAATTGGAGACTAAAAGATCACATCACCGATCTCGATTTCTTCATCAATCTCAGACTCGGTAAGAATTTACAGTAGTAGTAGTAGTGATGACTTTTGATTAAGGTATCTAGAGACTATCACTGACTCCCACTGTAGCTCCACACGCACACAAGAACATAAGAACCAGGAAGGAAACAGGCTAAGAGCCGCACTCGCACGACAAGCGAGAAGCGAGAAGCGAGAACAAAGCCCATGGTAGGCCTGAAATCGTCTCATTGATTGTTGATTACCACATTGCGCAGTAGTAGTTGATGCTTTGTGGTAGTTGTATGGATGATTGTTCAGCCACTCGAGAAACTCATCTCCAACCCCCCCAGTAAAGGCGGCGTTCTTTCCCCCCCCCCGCTCTGCCAAGATACCAAGGAAGGCTAAATCCCTAGCGCGTGTCACTAACATGATCAAGACGCGTGCCGACGCGTAAAGTGGGAAATTCGTTGTTTCGTTTCGGGAAAAAAGTATACAACACATGACAATTCATCGTTTAACTGGTTTTCCAGCGGCCACATCATCCCCGTTAAACATGCCTAAATGCTGTGGATTGCAGTTGAATGATGCAATGCAATTCAGCTTAGGGGGGACTATTCCATGTTAGAAAAATTCTAGAGTTAAGAAAAAAACAGGTAAGCGGGAGGAATCAGACACCAAAAAACAATGATCATGTGCCTGCAACTTCCACACCATGAGTAGATAACTAAATCTGCATGTCTCGGAACGAAAAAAAACCCCAGTGTTTGCCTTTAGCAGAATTGACCCATGATGGTCGGTCTCAGTTACGTCGGTCAAGAAACAAAAAGCCGGCCCAGCGGGGGAAGCGATATGCAAGATGACTGCATTGGACAACGGCCAAGTTTCTCGCATGATGGGATGGGTTGCATTCACGTTCGCATGGGATGAATGATGTGTTTTCCCGTCGGTCATACATACGAGAAGACCTTCAGCTTGAAGATCCCAATGCATGGTTTCGCTTAAGGATGTTGTTAGCGTGGTGTGGCCACCAACAACCTGAGAGGATGGATGGTCCTCTGTGCATGGATTTGAAATCGTCTTCCACCTTCCACCGACAGTAGTACGAGCCGCAACGGCAACGGCAATGGCAACGGCGCACACGAAAGTTGGAAACTTGATCCACTCACCAACCATAATCATGGTCACAGATCGTGGGGTTTGTGGATACACAGGAGTAAAAGCGAGAAGCAGCAACGAAAGCGTGTCGGTTCTTGCAGGCCTGGCAAAGTATGGGCAGAAGAGCAAAACGAAGCGCATCACACAGAGCCTCAGACCCAATTTGGTTCCCATCCCATGCTGTCTAATTTCGCTCTCCCGCTCTTCCTCCTACTACGTGTCAGCCGCTGAAAGCAAAACGACTCGAACGACCACTCGGCCAGCTTCAGCATGAACTCCTCTCGGAAGTATCCGTTGTCGTCTGCATCCATGCATCCACCATCCACATATCCAAAATGCACTCCTCATCTTCAATTACCTCTCTAATAAGTATCGATGGGCGTCGCCGGATGGTCGTCCCACCCCAGCGCTTAGAGTCACAACTGGCCACCATGCCAGGTCGAAGTCAGACATCAAAAGGAAAAAAAAGATGTCCAGGCCGGCCAAACCTGGCAAGGATAGGCGTGGAAGGCTGGAAGACCTTTGGTAGTCACCGGATGAGTGGTTATTTGCCATGCCACGTTATCAAAAGACCAAACCTACACGTAGTGGCACAGTGGCTTTGCACGCACGCTGAACCGCCTGGGTTTTACGTACAAGCTGAGATGATGAGTCGAAGGGGCCGGAATGCCCGACCCCTCTCTAATACCTGCCTAATCTACGAGCAGGACAGGACTGGACAGGACAGTAATCGATCAATGGGACAGGTCTCAGGCAAGGTCTACTATGGCCAAAAAAGACTCTAAGGTATGTACATTAGAGGATGCGATGTCGAATGACAGTAATGCTGGATATGAATTCCATGAGCCAATGATTTGACCCATCTGATTGTGGAATGTACGGTAGTCTCGCAACAGATATCCGCAACCGAAGAGGGGTTTTCTATTTCTTGATGCTTGGAAAATGCACTGCCTGATATTTTAGGAAGCTGATAAGTAAACGCCATGAAAAGAAGCTTGAAAGGTACAAGTCCAAAAGTTGGTCGAAGCGGCTTGTGTTTGCAAGTTTTTTACAACAATTTGACGGCTAACCGGATCGTCTAGTGGTGGTGGTGGCGGGCGCCTCGTCATGGTGCATTGCCATGCTCATGATCAAGTCCTTTTGCAGATTGTAAGTAACACGCTTATGCGATCATGCGCGTACGAGTACCTGCGAGGTTGCCTTTTGTATAGGGCGACAGGATTCAAGCCCCATATTCTTTACTACAGTACATACGTATGCTCCACGGTCCAAGAATAATGAGACATCTCGGGACCTCTCTGCTGAAATTCCTGTCATATACCAAATTGAAAACTACTGGGTAGGTACAGTAGTGTTTCTGCATAGAAGGCAGAAAGTAAGGTAACTCAGGTAACTATCGTTAACATCCACTGCTTCTCTCTAACTAAAGCACGCAAGTCGTAATACTACGGATAACTGACGTTATGCTCTCCACACTACTTATCACTCGCAGATTTGGTCATCAGATAGTGTCGTCTCACATCAAGATATAAGCCCGTGTGGCTTGCTTGTCACCCTTGACATGGGAAGCCTTGGTGCATGTGACTGGACTGCCGTCTCTACCTACGGATACTTTACAGTACGGAGTAAGTAGACAGCGTTCGTTCCGTGGTGGCACTTTGAGTTTTCTTTTGACGGGTTGGTGATTGACTTTTTGACGTGTTAAAGTGCTGGCATAAGGTTCCGTCGACTCCCTGGTTTAGTCTCCTTTCATATGAGATTGGGTGGCACTCTGGCACCCGCACCCAGCCTTCCACGGGGATGTAATCTTTTTGATAGTCTTGTGAGAATGATTAGCCTCTTTGGGAGTACGCCGGGTCTGACGAAACGCGGGGAGAAGCCAGGCATGCCAGGGGAGGATGAGGATGGGTGGACGGATGCGATGGACTGGGTTTCGTGAGATGAGATTACTCCGTTGATTGGGCTGATGATGATTCTGAGGCGTTGGCTGCCCCCGTCCGCCGAGGCTATAGTTGCCATAGGGAGGGGTTCTTGGACATCCTGGACCAAGGCACTTTGTGCTCGTATTCAACCTGCTCACATCATACTGACATCTCTTCTGGGATAGCAGCTCTGGTAAAGACTGGCTGAAGGATTGGTTCATCGTGTTATTTGTACTACAGCTCTCTTGGGTTGTAAACTACCTAGTACCTCTTGCAAAAACAGCAACCGAATTCATGCTCCCTTTCGTAACCTTGCTGCAATTAATGTTGGTGGGGACAATTGAACCTTGTTCAACCCGTGATCAGACTCGCAGACAATAATGGATGTGCGGGCAGAGAGGCAAACGGTTAATCAAACAGTAATAGACAGTGACAAGTTCGGCCGTTGGTGCCCCATGTTTCCACGCTCCTTACCAGCCTGCCTGTCCCAATCCCACACCGAAGCCAGCTCCATGATGCTCCTTGATGGGCACTCAAAGACCATTTTTCTCGAAACAGTCAATACTCCTTCTCCCTTGTGCTCCTTCTGGTCGTTGCTGTTCGTTGTAATAAAAACAAAACCTCGTTGTATGCTATTCGTATCATTCGAGTAGGTCGTCAGACACAAGTCAGGTGTGTGAGTGTGTCGTGAGTTTTTGAAGCTTCATAACCATGTCGATTGCTCGACAGAAGTAGGTTTGGGTTCTCGTAATGTATGCTAGGATCTCGGGATCAGTTCATCTCCGAGTTGAAGTGCGAGACCGTGACTCGTAGGATTTTTGCGTGACATTGTTGGACTGCCGTTGCCGGGTTGCATGTTGTCAAAATTCAATGATCTCCTGGCAAAGCGGCTTGGGGTCTTTGCTAGGTTGGGTGTTCTTCCGCCCCAATGTGCTTGAGCAGGGGATGGAGTGACGTTACAAAAGTCGGCCAGGTTAAAATTCTGACCAGGGGTTTGTAGAGCTCCATTGAAAAGACCCATATTCAATCCTGGTGTGTTCATGACAGATGAGGGAAGATGCGAGTGTTGGGAAGGTGGTGTCGAGGGTGGCTCTCTCGAAAGATAAGGGCGGCTGGAGTGGCCTGCTGGGGAACGTGAAGGGGAGTTGGCGAGGAAGATGAGGGCGTCGGCACCTGCTTTCTTTGCACGATCATTGTGCATACGTCTGACAGGAGGGGGTGTTCTTGGAGGGGAGGAAGACAGAATGCTGCTCGAAGGCTCGTGAGAAAAGGACGGCACAGGAAGATCGGCATCGTCGTCGTCAGATGTGACATCAAACATAGGAGAGTCGTCATGAGATGAATGAGGGAGGTCGAGTACGTCTCGACGGAAGTTACCACCACCTTGGAATGACTGTGTTCGTCCTAGCATGGGAGAAGATTGAGCCAGGTGGTGGTCTTGCTTCCAGCTTGTGGTGAGGGAAGATCTTTCCAAGTTAATGGAAGACGAGCGAATTCTTTTTCTTGACAGGAACGACGGGTGTTCAGGAACCTTGAAGGTGGCATTGGTAGGCTTGGAGAAACGGTTGGTAGCAATGGAAGATGTTGGGACAAAGTCATCGTCAGAATCCAGAGTTCCGTCAGAACGGTGGTCGTCGTGAGACGGTCTTTTTCTCTTCAATTTGTCGGCAAATTCGGGCTCGATGCTGGAGAGGGTACGATCTTGCCAGCCATGTTGAGCTTTGAAACTTGCAAAAGCCAGGCAGTCTTGAAGATTTCGAGCAACCTGCAAGGAAGAATCGAATTAGCATTGTGGTTGATCCTGACCAAGAATGTGCAAGATTGTCGTGGTGGGTGAGGGGAGGTTTGGTTGTGGCTACGCACCTTTGCAATTTCGACTCTCCTCATGACCTTCTCAGCGACCTGCTGGGATGCAACAAATGGATCATGTTGCTGAGAAGCCATGTTGTTACAGAACCCAGGAGCGTATGAGACCAACATTGGAGGTGTTTGTGAATCCCAATACTGAAGGAATGAGGCCAGAGTAATAAGAAGGAAGAAACTTGCCGTAGGGGCTGTCAAATATCTGAGGTTGCCCCGAGGCGTCAAAGCGCAGGGCTAGGAAGTGGATGGAGATCCAGGTCCTAGATGCTAGGTAGGTATGCAGCAAGCAAGTTAACTCGGAGATGGGACGACGGGACGAGTTAGACAGAGTGCTAGAGGCTAGCCTAAGATGCTACTTGACAGAGCCCAGGTCGTGTGGGGGCTTTTGCTCACAGGAGGCCTTTAGACTCTGGAGTTTTCGGGGCAGGGCAACGGCTTGTGCGGCGGCGGCGGTCGCGTGAAACTGGGTCTGGCCTGAGAATGGGTCGTTGAGGTTGGTCAGAGACACTTTATTGTGGGTTGAGTTTGTGGTTTGTGTGTCGTCTCTGGCTGCGTTCAACCCTTGAGAGACACAAAAAGAGTGAGAGCAAAGAGAGGAACAACAAAAACAATTTCAGAGACCGATCAGAAATCCAACTACCAGGCAGTGAATCAATTGAAGAAGATTACCGTGATGAAGTGCAAAGTGATCGGAAGAGGTGAAGCAAAAAGCAAGCGGGTATGGTTGATGATTGGCGGAGGCTGTCATTTCTAGCGGGCATTGGCTCAGGCACGGATCCTGGTCTTTAGTGGTCAATGTTTAACTAGAATAGCCGGGACCTTGCCAGACACGGTTAAGAAAACGGGGGACACAGAGGGGTTTGGTTAGTTTGCGTTTAAGCAGCCACTGTTACCCACTCCCAGGCCGGAGGGGAACTTCAGCGTGCCTCAGGCCTTGTGCTGCCACCAGTCTCGCTGGCCTGGTCGCTGGGTTTTGCCGTGGCTGGAGTCTCATGTCAACTTTGACACGGTCTTCTCGGTCATTGCTGGCCATTATTGGTGGTCGGTAGAGCCGTTCGCCTATGTCTACGGCCCTACGCCCACCCTCCAATACTTGGTGCCAGAGTCCCCGGCTGCAGATTGGGCGTGCAGCGAGCTTGTGGAAGTTGATAGCCAGCATTGGCCTTGTGTGCGGCACCACGGCACCCACTGGAATCGTCGATTGACTGGCTGGTAAGATTGGTCGCGGCATTGGTTGCATGCAGCTCTTAGACTTTTGACAACCAGACAATTGACAGACGGCTGGATCCTTTTCCAACCCACGTTGCTGGACGACCCAATGACGTGGTGGAAATGGGCGATTCGGGACCTGCAGTCACTTTATTCTTATTGTTGCTGCAGTCGCCCGATCTGGCGCTTGCAGCGTGCAGCGTGCAATTCCGTCTTGCCGTTGTTGACTGAGTCGGTTGGTCCTTTTATAGTGTCTTGGTCAGTGTGGGCGCGTGCCTTGCCTCTGGGATGGCTTGGCCCAGGAGGCACCCTGGGGACACTGGGGAGGGTGGCCTCCAGGGCCCTCGGGCACCCCACCAGGCATGGCAGCAAGCCCGAGGGCCTGAGTGAGCCAGGAAGCTGGGGGCTCACTGGGCTCTCAGGCACAGGCTTCGGCTGCTGCACAGCTGCCACAGTTAAGGAGGCTGTCATGGCTGTCAATCCCCTTGGACTTTGATTCTCGTCTTCTGTCATTCCTTCAGGTTCCTGCAGAATGAACTTGACTGCCACTTGCGTCAGCTAAGGTTACAGTCGTCTCCTTTTTTTCTTTGGCCAGCAGTTTCTACGGTACCTGGACACTCCAGGATACAAGGGCGGGCATGGCATGGAAAGCGTGGAGTCAAGGTTACGCATTGGGTTTGCCATGGCTCGACTATGATCCTGCTGGAGTGCAAAGACTTGATGGACTCAAGATGACTTACCTGATCAGGTGTAGTTCTAGGCCAACCAGATTCCTGAAGCCTGTTTCTTCCAGTCGTCTACCCTGCACATGATTTCCACGTCTCAACACATGGCAAGGTATAATTTCGGTTTGTGATAAACCAGCATACTCATACGATAGTCGTCGTCGTCGTCGCCCGCCTCAGCGGCTGTAATGAAAATGAAAGGATATCATATTTGCCATCCAAATATTTGGTTATGCCGGGTTGCAAATGGCTGGTTGGATGCTTCAGTAATAATGCTGTAATAATGCAGGCTGGTCTCAAACCCAATCAAGTCAGTCCTAAGATTCGACAACGATTCTAGAGATTCTGTTACACAACTTCGTTAACGTCGAACATTCGACGAGCTGTCCCAAGTCGAAACATGCATGGTACCGAGGCGATTCTTCACGACTTTCTCGGTTCGGAGGTGTCTTAGACAGGCTTTATGTACGTTAAGATTCTCCATTACTACAGCCCACAGTTCATGGAACTGCACGTCTCACTTTCAAATATTACTACTCCTATGGTGGTTGAGGCTGCTTCTCAGTCTTTTCATTCTTGTCTCTTTGGACTTGCAGACATCCCACTCCTTCCTGCCACAAGTCGGTGCAATCGGACGAGTGCAGCCGAGATCCTTATCACATTGGACATTATGCACCAATTGAAATCTTGAATTGCGACATCCAATGCAACTCACGATTCCGGCGTGTCTCATGGACGACGTCATTTGCGGTTGCCAATACCAGGCTTAAAAAAAGTTGAAACTCGCCAGTCGGTCCTTAGCCAGACGTTATCGCCGACTCCAGTCCACATCAGGTTCGGCTGGAGTTTTAAAGGACCAAATGATCTCCAAGTCAAGCTCTGGTCCCCACTCCAGCACAGAGATGCCAGCTGGAAAGATGCAGATTTCAGGCCAAGAGCTGGCCTCTAGCAATTCTTCCATGAGTTGCCAGTGCGCAATGGCCAACAATGCACTGACTGAGACTCTTGGGGCGGGGGGAGGGGGGCGGCTCAGGCGACTCGCATCTCCACCAGCAGGACTTTTGACTTATCTATCATGACGCTGGCTCATATCTGCAATTTGCGACAATCTTTGTCGAGGTTCTGCAGGCGTTGACTTGTGTCCAATGTCCAGGGGAGGAAGGCACACGCACTATGCTTGGAATTTTGGAATTTTGGAGTCTTGGAATCACCAGTGCTACTTCCAGTCCAGTGCGAAGTAAAGTGAGGAAAGTGCAGTGGTGCCAACATCCAACTTGCAGTACCAGGTACTAAGTGTCTGCCGTTCGATTCCCCCAACGCACCCTCAACGAACAAGGCGGCCAGGCACGGCAGGCAGGTGCGAGGGATGTGGACATGGAGGGAGTAAGTACGAAGTACCTAGTCAAGAGCAACTGTAACATGCTGGCCATTTGCGTGCCTGCCGCCCATAGCACCCGTTCCTTCCCATGATTCAAGTGGGACTCAATGACCAACTTCCCGCCACTGGCCACTTGGCCACGCAAATTCGCGGGTCTTGACGCCTCAGCTCAAAGGGAAGCAGCAGCTCCTCCGTACCTGTCTGTCTTTTGGTGAGGAAGCACTGGAGGGAACAGAGAGAGCAGCAGTCAGACCAGACAGTAGTAGTGAAGCAGTGAGCATTGCGTTGTTGCATTCCTTTCGCAGGCAAAGCCATCAACTGTCAATCAATCCCACTTCCACTCCCGCTCCAACTCTTCCTCGCCCTACAGTTTATTTACGGAGTACGTATACTCCTGTGGGTGCTTCTCGCTTGTCGTTGGCCAGATCTCACTGTGCCATTGCTTCTTGGCCAACCTTCAAACGATCTTGTCCTCCAGGCTTGCGCTACTTCGTCATTTTGCTCATTCTTCACCTCGTCGTCGTCCTCGTCGACTGCACACCTAGCTGCTTCATTCCATCGTCCGCCTGTCGCATTCCTCGTCACTCGTTCAGCGTTCACCGCATCAGACCTCGCATAATCGCCGTTCACCCATCGTAGCAGCTCAAGCACCTTTACAAAGTTTAATCCCAGAAAACCTCCGTTGGTTGCACATGCATGCCATTACCGGTTTGACCTGAATACTGCGATAAACTGTCTTGTTTGTCGGCGCTCTTGGGCAGTCGTTCAATTGGACTCGATGAAAAAGCAATAACCCCATACCTTTTCCTTACTCAGACATGCCTTTCTTCAGAGACCTACGTCGGCGGTCCAAGGCAAGCTTCCGCACCTCCGACTCCTCAACCGAGTCCACGGGCACGGTCCCAACCACAAAATCGTCATCCACTTTGAATTCGGCCTTAGGCAGCACCACCCCTCCATCAACGTATCATCCTAATGGCTCCAACTCCAACATACTGGCAACGACCAAGTCGCCTACAAACGGCGACTCTGTACCACCTGTCCCACAGAGACCAAATGTTACCGTTCCCAACACCAACAGGAATAGCATGGTAGTAAGTCAAGCCCTCCCCGCCTAAAGCTCATTTCCGATGCATCTAACACCTATTCATTAGACCCTCTCGCCTTCCGGCTCCAACCTGGCTGTCCGAGCCCCTCCCCCGACCTCTGTCTATGCGCCCAAAATCACTTCCGTCCTTGACAACTCAGTGGTAAGGTCGCCTTGGTACAAGAACACACCCAGGACAGCAGCTGATTTCTTTGACTCAGGTCTACTCCAAAGTCCTTCTTATCAATGGCGAGATCGGCGACCCTCAGCAAAGAGCCCTCGATGGCCACCTCACAATACACCACGATAAAGAAGGGCAGGCATTTCCTTCCACCAGTTGGCCTGTCTGTGATTCCTACTTCAAAGCGCTGGTCTACCTCTCCCCAGGCTGGAACAGGATAAGATTCGACTTCACCTCGCCGAAATTAAGCCCCATTCCCAACGGATCCTCGATACAACATACCTCTTACATCATGTTAAATTACCTCCCTTTGAATAGTTCACCTCCCCTCCAACTTGTCATCCTTGCCGGCAAGGACTCACCCTGCACCTATGATGCGACCCCACAAAGAATACAAAACGAGGGCAATGACCTCAGCATGGCAATTCGGAAATTCCGAATGGCAGCTCATCTCTGGCAGGCCTTTACCGCAGAGCAAATGCACCGAAACAAGTTTGCCCGACGCTGCTTCAGATTCGATGAGGAGTGGCAGACAGGAACTCTCTCCGTGCGCGATTGGGAATCGGGCCAGATGAAGAACGAAGCAAGAGTTCATGTCATTCGATCGGAACACACTGTTGCCGAGCTGCGTGATCTGGAAAAAGCCCAGCAGCACGGCCCAGCCTCAAAGAAGGGCGACCTTTATGGAATCGCCGCCGACGCGATCAAGAAACATTTCAACATCAAGCCTGGGCAGAAGCAATACGTGGCCTGTCTCATTCTCGACTCACACTGGGACAAAAAGGCGGGAACAATCACTGCACATGCTGCTTTGGGCGGAACTGGTGATGACCTCGGCCTAGCCATTTTCGGATCGCATGCCTTGCAAAGCTATCCGTCCTGCATCGAAGAAGTTGTCCCGGCCTTGTCGGATTGCACTCGCACCGACACTGACCATGTCGCCAACGATTGCAACGAGTCGGGAAGCAGTTGGGAGGCAGCAAACATTGGTATTGGAGCTCACTTGCACGAAGTTGGTCACTTGTTCGGTTGCCCTCACCAAGAGAACGGCGTCATGCTCCGAGACTATGTGCGACTGAACCGAACTTTTCTCGTGCGCGAGCCCTACTCCACGAGGACAAAATCCCAAGGACTTAAAATCTGTCGACAAGAGGACGAGTGTGCTTGGCACAGACTGGATGTCCTCCGCTTCCGCCATCATCCTTGCTTCAGGCTTCCCAGTGACGAGCCACTGACTTCGTTTGACGACAGCATTCAATACTTTTCCGTGGGGAATGGACGTCTCATAGTTTCCGCTCCGACTGGTATCTCTTTTGTGGAGATCTGGGTTGTGGGCGATGATGTCTGCCGGCAGTGGATGGACTTCACAAACACTGAATCCCGGAGCACTCTGCCAAGACAGGTCACCCTGACGGAAGCTGATATTCGTTCACGACTACCAGAGGATAGGAGGAAGTCAAAGATCATGCTCCAGATTTTCTGCGGGAGCTCGAGGAGCGAGAAGCTTGAAGATCTCGATGAAATCTTGTCCAAGAAGAACACCGTCAATCTCCCACACGTTCGACAAGCCCCGAAACGAGATGAAGGGCTAACGATGAACGCCTATAACAACGTGCTTGGTCTCGGCAAATCCTTTGATTCTCGATTGGGCTTCAAGAGCAAGAAACTTGGACACTCGGGTCTCGAAGGATCCAAGCCTGAAGAATTGATCCTCGAAAGCGCCAATCTCCAGACCAAATTGTTGACGTCGGTCAAAGTCTACTCTGGCTATGCCTTGGATGGAATTGAGTTTTGCTATGAAGATGGACATAGTCAATTATTCGGGAAACGGGGTGGTAAACCTGGTGGGGACGAATTCTTCCTTGGTAAGAGCATCCAGTGTCATCAGAACACTACGCAAGCTGATCATGACAGATACTCGACGTGGAGAGACTATTCTTGGATTCTATCTTCGAGCAGGGGCTTGGATTGATGGTATTGAGATCTTGACTAGCTCAGGACGACGATCAGGAGTTTTTGGCAATGCCATGGGCGGGTCAGGGTGAGTGGTGTATCGCCGCGATTGTATTGCCTCATTTTCTGACACTTTGAGCAGACACACTCTATTGGCACCACGAGGCTACTTTCTCGCCGGCATCACAGGGTCCTGCGGAAAGTGGATAGATGGATTTCAGATCATCATCACAAGGTGAAGTTACCGAGGAAGGTGCGATGATTATTATCTTGTGCATACAGCATTCATCAACGAAGAAGGATTGCTACAGAAATTCGGAGGCGCGAAGCATGGCCATCCCCTTGAATCCTCGGTTCGATTCCAGCATCTCTATATACGATTCCCATTTTCCTACGGAGGGGTTTTTCACCGAGCACGGAACACACGGAACGGGCCACGTACACGACTTTGGGTCGACAGGTTTTTATTGTTAACAACATATCCATGAGATTGGGAATGTGGCCTTGCAACCGCCAGCCAGCCACAGGAAAACGTCTGATAGAGGCTGGCAAGGCATGTAGATATTTGGGGGTATCTCATAATCACGACCAAGACATAATGTGGGCCATGAATCAGCAAGGAGAATCACTAGCCACAAGTCAACTTAATGATAATAGATTGGACGAACGTTCAACTGCGTCGGACGATGGACGGAGTACTGTGTCAGAAAGATCTTCGTGGTGGTGAGGCTAGAGAACGCCAGGATGATAATCACGTGATATGCACGGTTGCTCCGGATATTGGTTGCAAAACATACTTCCCGATTGGGAATAAGTCAACAAATCCAGGACACGGACCAATGGCTGCGATTCAACTCGGATGAAATCCTGGAGGAATGGATCATCTGATTCTTCACCGACAAGGACCGCCTGCCTGGCACATTCCACAAGAAAAAGATGCCGCCAAAGAACAATCGTATTGTTGCAGCAGCCACCATGGCGACATATTCTTCCGATATTGATCACGACCACGACGACCTGCCTGACCTAAGTGCCATTCTCGCTCCTCGGCCATTGATGGCAACAAGTGGAAACGCAAACATACGACGCTCACCAAGGAAAAACGGTTCTACCGTACAGAATACGACACAGTCACCAGAGAAGAAGGAGAAACGAGAGGCAATAACATCAGTCAGCCGGTCTGGAAGAGCAAAGGGATTGAGAACAGAGGGAGATGACATTCCTGGGGTATCTCGACATGGAGGAAAGGCGAAGGCGAAGCCCAATGCCAATGTCAATATAAGCGCATCATCCAACAACAGCCAATCTCCAGAAGTGTTGCGGGCTCAAAGACCATGGCCTCTTCCGCATCTGGACTCCTTGATGTTACCGTCGAGTTTGCAACTGAAGAAAGAGAATGACAAGGCAATCTTGAGCAATGAAAATCAGTCGATCATGGCTCTGATGACAACAGCGGGTCGGTCTCAGGAAGACACGAAACAGCAAAAGTCTCGGACTCTAAAACCCCAAGGAAAGAGAGCTAGCCAGCCAGCCAGCCGTGCCAGCAGATTCATCTTGCATGAAGCACGGTGTAATGACGATCTCGCAAACTCTGCAGATGAAGAAGACAATGAAGATGAAGACACAGATTTGAGTGGGTTTATTGTCGACGATGACGCCGAATTGAGTTATCATGACTGGTCGAATTCGGACTCTGATTCGGACTTTGGCATTGAGAGTAATGATGATGAGGAGGTGAAGGTACAACAAACCAAGCCGCGAAGAAGACGACTCATGCGTGGATCACCGACGAGGAGGAAGCTGAGCTTTGTGGACAACGATGATTCGAACTCAGGAAAAGAGTCTGAGAGCGAGGACAAGAGAGGTCGGCATGATGACCACGATGGACTAATGGAGGCGTTCACCAACCTGGATCTGCAAGATAAATCATCAAAGAAAAAGAGCAATACCCTCACTGATGCAGAAATCGAAGTCATCGATCTCACTTCATCTCCCAGCCTCTCACCCAAATTACGATTTGACCCCGACCCCGACCTCATTGAGCAGCCGATCTCAAGACACCGCCCAACTACTTCGCACAAACGATCCAAAGCTCCTTCAGATATTTCGAATCTATTCGATGATTTTGACAGAGTCTTGACACTTGCACCTCCCTCTGCACCTCCGGCTCTGAAGATCCCATCCAAAACTTCTACATCTACATCTCATGCCATTCCTGTCATGGAAGACAATGGAGATGGCGATCTCAAGCACGAAAGGAACGAGACCAAAGATCACTTCCAGACTCCTCCAGCAACACCACCACAATCTCCCACCAAGCTCAAATCTCCTTCAAAACTTCTTTCTCCATCCAAGCGACAGATCATCCCTCATTCACCACATCGTCAAAGCATGGACGCTTTCTGGGATCACAATGTGATCAACGATTGGAATGACGAATACTCACCCAAGAAAGAACCCGCCAGATCACCTCGAAAATGGTTGGAACAGTTCCAGATCTGGACCGATGACGAAAGTGACAGCCACAATGATAGTGACATTGAGAAATACTTTCTCGACGACAGCACCGGCTCTTTGCCTAGCCCAGTTGCTAAATCTCCTCGAAAACCACAAGTTCCACGATCTCCCGCCAAAAGTCCAGAAAAAGAAGAGAAACGCAGACTCGCAGAACAAAACAAGGTCAGGATCGCCGCCAAAAGAGCATTCGACTCGAAAAAGGAGGAGTTGGCCATGTCTTTGTTCAACGAACTCGACATGCACGTAGCCAACGGCCAGCTTTCAACCATGGCCAGCTCCACCGGAGGAGTCAAGATCATCTGGTCACGAACGCTTCGATCAACCGCCGGACGAGCCAATTGGAAGAGAACAGTTGACAAAACATCCAACTCGCCCATCAAAAGCGAGCAAAAATCCAAATACAAAGGCGTCCCTGGCATCAATGTCCAACACTTTGCATCGATCGAACTCGCCGAAAAGGTCATTGATCGAGAAGAGCGACTTGTCAACACGCTCGCCCATGAATTCTGCCATCTCACCAACTTTATGATCTCCGGCGTCCGCGACAATCCTCACGGAGCGAGTTTCAAAGAATGGGCCGCCAAAGCCACTCGTCACCTTCAAAACAACACTACCAACCCCATCTGGCGCCAGGTTCAAGTCACGACGAAGCATAGCTATGCAATCGACCATAAATATCTGTGGATCTGCTCCGGTCGAGACAAGACTCAGGCAATGGAAATGTTGAATATTGCAGATGGTGATGATCAGGGTTGTGGTGCTGAATATGGACGACATAGTAAGAGTATTGACACGGCGAAACAGCGATGTGGTCGGTGTCGTGGTGTGTTGGTTCAGGTGCGACCAAAGCCTCGTGCTGCACCGGGTTTGGGTGCCAGTCCGAGAAAGAAGAGAGATGTTAAGAAAGTCGATACGGGAAGTAATAGGGCTGTCAGTGGTGAGACTGATGATAGTAGTGGATCTGGATCGAGTCAAGGAGATGGGTCTCAGTCGTCGTCGACAACCACGACAATGTCCACGACCACTTCACTGTCAATGTCAGCATCGATGATTGATATCGTTGAGTTGAGTGATTGAGTACCTCCTGTTCTATCAGAGGAGATCAGCTCTGTCATTATATACTATGACTCGATACGATGAAACAACCACTCAACCATGACGTTCACCGACGACAAATGCAGGACCTCAGAACTTTGTATGAAATTTGCCTTCCAGTGGCATGAAAACAGCACAGGAATACCAGGGGAAGTTGGAGAAAGTAAATGCTTGATTGGAACGAAGGAAGTCAGGCGATCAGCCAGTCAGTCAAGTCAGTCAGTCAGACTTGGGAGTATCAGAATCCTGTGTGTTGGCTTGTATATCACATTTTCTGTACGCGCTGAAGACTACTATGAAGATGATGACGATGAAAATGAGAATGAGAATGAGGTGAGGACGATGAATCGAGTTACATTGTCGACTTGGAATGAGACTGTGTTGTCTCTACTACTTGCTTGGTTGATTGCTTGTTTGCTTGGAAGGGAAGAGAGTTCGTTGGGTGCTCTCCTTGGTTGGACAAAAAAAAGATTTCATTCAACGTTCAATAATGATGGCGTGTTTCGGCTATCGCCTGCGTTGTCCGTCCTCGTCTAAGTATTTAACAGCACCACACTATCATGAATGAATCGAATTGTCTCATACAGGCTGTTTACATACGCATTCGAATTGTTGGTCTTGACGCAAGGCATCTCTGCCTTAGCCGGGTCTGACCTAAGTAGAGTCTGAGCATGCGCATGTTCATGTACCGTCGCTTGTATGGCGATGGTACAGTGGAACTTCTCACGTTATTTCTATCTATTCTACACTAGTTGTGGTTGACCACATTATTTCTGCGGTGGATGTTGTCCTTCCGCTGGGTATCCAGTCCTGATTCATGCATTCTTCATTGAATGATTGAAATTGCATGTCAGGAATTTGACGCTACTTCCATGCCTCGCTCCAACCCCGTCATCGGTTGAGCTCATTTCTTTTCGAAGAAATAGGTCCATGTCGTCATTCGCATAATTGCGTACATACGTTGGCTCTAACGTTTCACTACCAGCCAGGATCGTGAACATTGTCTGCCTCTGCCCCAAAAAGTCCAAAGTCCTGTACCTCCATGGTATTGATGATCTTGTGAAGGAGTTGTACGGCATAGGCCTCCTCACGTTCGACGTCGAGCTGATTGGCGGATGAGACATCAATGTTGCTGGAACCCGCGACCAGCTTGGTTGGAACGTTGATCCTCACACAGAGGTCGGTGGCGTATTGAGGGAGACGAACAAGGAGCTGAAGTTGATGTACCAAGGAGCTTTCGGGGAGAGATGAGGTGGGTTGATTCGTTGGTGTTGCTGAAGCATGGTTCCCTGATCGTCTGGTCTCGTAGGTGGTAATGGTTCCAGCCAGGACGTAGGCCGGGAACCGGTTTAGGCTGTCTCTGGTCATTATGACTGACCTGGCGGGAGGCAGTGTTGCAGTGAGGGTGTCCGGGGGGGCAATGACGTCCGTGAAATGGTGGGCAGCAGCAGCGAGGTCTGGTGTGCTACTGGTTGCGGGAGTGATGCCATCGTTTGTGGCTGTGGATATGGTTAGTACCATTACAGGTTGGCCAGGTGAATGGAGTGTTGGAGGTACCTTGTTGTGTCTCGGCGATGTTGACGTACGAGTTGATCTCGAATATCACAGACGTGAGGGTGGTGGGGGAAAGGAAGACTTCTTGGTGATCTGGGATCTGGCGGATGTCACTGTCAGGAGTGTCATGATTAGTTCTGGGACTTGACGAATAGGTTTGTCGGATGAAAAGCCAGCATCAAGACAGAGGCCGTGGCGATCAGCATACCTGGAATCGATCAAGTCGATGGGTAGGAACACCTCAATGGCGCCCCCAAAGAGCTGTCGCATGGCGTAACGAACATTTGCGTCGTCCGCTTGCGGCATTTCCACTAGCGGATAGAAAAGCACGAGTCTGAGGAAGTGGCTGATTTATTGCGCTCGGATATTGAACGGTCTGGTAGTCACAACCGAAAGTTGAAATTGATATGGGAGTTGGATGAATGTTGGTTCTGACAGAATCGCGAAGTGAGGAATATAATCAGAAAATTATATTCACCTGACCAGACACCGAACTGTCACGTCTGTGCAGTCAAACAGGCACCACACATGAATACCTAACTCAGCCCTTTGCTGCCTGTTTCTCCAGAACCTGCTCATACGAACCTGGAGGTGGTATCTCTGACAATACCTATATATATATATATATATAATGTATTTGGTCTCGTATTTCTCACAAAGGCATGAAGAACTAGAGAGATGATGTTGGGAGGTTTTTAATGTGTGTGTGAAGATAGAATGATGATACCGTCACTTCTTTGTCACACCTTCCTCCATTGACCCCTTCCCCTCCTCCCTTGCGCCTTCTCATTGTGGATTTAAATGAAATCCATTCGAGGCAGGTGCCGACCCAGAGGAAGCCTGGCCGCGACTCCCTCTTCGTCTTCCCACATCTACCATTCACCGCACACTTCCAACTCTATGCCTTTGTCAAGAGGCTTTTGGCTTGTGAATCAGACGCGACCTGGCATCATCATGCGTGGATTTTGTTTCAAGGTCTCTCTCTACACTTAGGCCAAAAGATATGCTCTGTACAATTTTGTTGTGGTGTTTTTATATTTTGGACAAGACTATGAACTAGTTAAACCCAATCAACTTCAGCTCCCGCTAGACTCCAAGAATGCTTTTACACTCGACCACGAACATGGTCGTCGTGGCTATGCCTGTTCGCCAAGAGTTGGGAACCCGCTGCCTCTCGCTCCATGTATTCGACCCATGTATTGCGCACTTCAGTTAAAATGCTTTACAACAAGATCATGCCAGCACCCGAGACAACTGCAACCGCCACATAGATTCCGATCTGGATGGGGCCAATGTGGCTTGGGCCGGAAAAGGTCGGCACACCAGCATTGGAAGTGCTGCTGCTGCCACCGCTGCCAGATCCACTTCCTCCTGAAGCACGACCAGTGCCACTGGGGGCCGAGGTCACGGTGCCAGTACCGTCGCTACCGGCCTGTTGGATCAAATCGTTGCAAGTGCCAGTCGGTGTGACAGGGGATTGGATGGTAGCAGATCCGGAGAAATCGCAGGCCGAGGCTCCGTTGCCAGCAGCTCTGGCACGCTCATAGTAGGTGTTGAGGGCCCAGCCGAGTTGTTGCTGGGGATTGCACATGCCATATGCACCATATTCGCCCGAGGTGGCATTGGCGGTAATACCGTCACAGACACCATCGGACAATCCACATACAACACCGAAGAGGTCACCGATGTCCTCGCTGTCAACATTGTTGGGGACGCAAGTCAAGGCCGCGTACATGCACTCACAGAGCTTCTGGTTAGGAGTAGGAGGAAGTTCTTCGGTTGCACGCCAGGCAGCGTTGACGGCCGGGCACGAAGCAGCAGCGGTGTTGGTTGGGTTGTAAGAGGCCGAGTTCACACCGGTGGGGTTGGCATTGGCGATCTGAGTGGCAAGGAAGTTGAAATCGGCCAAAGTAGAGACAGAGTTGCCTTCAACGGTGACGAGACCTAGCCGAGTATTGTTAGCAGCTTTGAGCGTTAGACATTCTGCAAGACTCACCATAGTCGTTCGCTTCCTGGAAATACATGTAGACGATGCCGCCAGACCACACTTCATTCATGTCAGGTCCATAGAGGGCCTCAACCTCGGTGAATCGGCGAGGTTGAACTTCGTTGCAACCATATTCGGCGAAGAAAACGGGAACGTTGTAGTTTTTAAATTCTTCAGTACGCTGATCGTAGCCTGACTCGGTAAAGCTCGAGTTGCCGCACCACGAATAGATGTTGTAACCCCAAAAGTCGATGGCGTCGTCACGATTACCACAATCAAAGTAGTTAGCCAGGTCCTCGCGAATCTCGGCATCGTCGTTGGTGGCATATCCAACACCAATAGCTCGGTAGTTTTGAGCCTTGATGTATGCCTTCATGTCACGAACAGCGGCCTTGACAAATGCACTGGCATCAGTGTTGGTATTGTTATTGGAGACTTCATTGCCAGCAAAGAAACCCATGACGTTTGAGTAGCCAGCAAGGGCATCGATGACAGCGGTGTAGCGAGCGTAAAGATCATCGTTCCAAGCAGGGTCGGAACGAATGATGGAGTTACCGGGGGAGGACAAATCGGCGATAACGTAGATGCCAGCATCATTCAACATCTGCATGCACTGGTCGTGGTTGGCCGTTGGGTCGATGGCATAAACACGGATAAGGTTGGTTCCCAGTGCGGTCAGGTAGGGGATATCGCGCTGACACTTGGCAGCATCTGCCAAAGGGTCGACGTAGTTATCGGTGGAGTTTGTCGATGAGGCGGTGCTATTGGCGGAATATTCCTCTTGATTACTTGTCAGTAGACGCAAACAAGGGCGGCGGGAAGTACTGGGTGCGGACCTTGGTAGGCAATGCCTTTCATGTAACTGAGCAAAAGTTAGCATGTATGTCATCAACCTTTGAAGCGCCAGGCAGGACTTACAATTGAGTACCATTGTTTTCATAGAAGAATTTTGAGCCCTAATAAGATGCCATGTTAGTGAGGCTGCTCTCACAGACATCTGGCATGGACAAGAGGGGGGAACGAACCTTGATGACAATAGCAGGCAGGTCGGCAGCGGAAGCAGATTGGAGCAACAAAGCAGCGCCTGCGACCATAGTCGCGGCAGCGGTAAAAGGCTTCATCGTGATGAGGATGACTTGTGTAATGTAATCCAAGAACAAGGTATGCAGAGGTTGGATTGCTCAAGAAAACAAGACTGAAGTGGGTGCGGTCGAAGGACCTAAGTTGAAACGAGTCTTGGATGAAAACTGGGGTGACAGTGCCTTCCAATCGGCGAGCCCAGGTGATGACAGGACCTTTGTGCGGCAGGAAAGAATGAGAAAAGTCCAGTCACAGTGCAACGAGTGTCACGAAAGAGAGGGTGAAAACAAAGGCGACAGTTTGAAAGAAAATGAGCACGGGGTGCAGGATGTCGCCGGGGAAAGACAGAAGTGAAGAACGCGAGTTTGGGGAGAAGAAATCAAGGGATAAGATACTGGGAGGCCGAAAGGAGGATCGAGCCCCAAAAGGGCCGGTGCAGTCATGGGGTGAACCAGTTGGGAACCACAGACTGGTGCTGTCGGAGGATGGCACGGAGAATATCCGAACAGCATTGGCCACTAGATGTCGCGAGTGCATTGCGGTTGGTGCGAGGAACCAGACTTTTTCTGGCTGAGCCACGATCGCAACGAAACGAGGCGAGAAACGAGCATGTCACTGTGTGTCTGGGCATAACAAATATGGAGAGACTTCTGGGGCAGATCGCCTTCCAGGCATGCTTCGAGGGCTTGAAGCCCCTATGTCCCCTGAAAAGACCTCTTGTTGCAAAGCTTAGTATACCATGTCAACACTTGGGATAAACTTGATCAGAAGTGCTCATCATTCCACAATTGTCTTGCATATTCTGATACACAGCGACTCTTCAGACGACCTGGGATTGGGATCTTCATTGGCTGTGGGGTTTGTTACAGGTTGGTGGATATGTGCATTGGGTCATCACTGCTCAAACGGGCCAGCCGTAACGGGCGCCGGGCGCCTGTAAGACACGCACGACGCGCTGGGTACCTAAACAAAAACTGGAGGGCAGGAGAAGTACAGAGGGGGCCAGGCCAGGCGCAGGACGTGGGACACGCGTCCAAGACAGCCAACGGTGAAGTGGTGGGAGCTTCGGCTCTCCCTACCGTCCATTGAGCCAACCAGTGGGCAGGACTCTGGCCGAGCAAGTCACTCGGATTTCTAGAATTTGGTGTCAAGTGTCACAATCGTGGTTGTTGGTGTATTCATGAGTGACCAGTTGAGGCGATGAGCAGGAAGAAATTGTGGGTAAGGGTTACACAGGTGGCCGTTGAACTGGAATTGATTTTTACATGGGCACGATGGGGTGCGAGACCGTCGACGGAATTTGCAGTTGAACTCTGAGCCCACAACAGCGGCTAGCTTACCGCTGACGACGCAACGCGGAAAAATGTGCTTCCTTTCCCATGAACAAGTACTCTTGAAGTAGCGGCAGAGTCTTCGGCTGTAGACGCCAGTGTCGACGGGATTTTCCAATAATCATAAAATAGTCAACGGTGGTCTTGAGACCGGGTGGTTGTTGATTTGCCACCACGACTGCTAAGCAACTGATAATGCGGGACATGACCTGCATGTCTCACCATGATCATCAACAATTGTGATGTGCTGGCCACAGTCCAGCTGCCATGTGTCTGGACATGAGAGTCACGTCAAGCTCGCCAGGTTTAGAGGAGAGTGAGTGTTCATTTGCTAATCAGCGAGATTAAACACGCAGTCGATATTACTGTCGACAGTTGCCTGAGAACGGAGAAACTCCATTGTATGAGTGCTTCCCCCTTTCCCTCAACAAGTTGCTCGGTAGGAACTGTAACCCCCTCAGGCTATCGTGCTCGTCAGCCACTAGCAAGGCCGCCCCTGAAGCCATCGATGGAAGGGGTCCACCTTCCCGCACGCCAATGCAAGACGCATGCCAACCTTAAATAGCAGTCGCCACTGCATGTCCACCTTCCCTGCTATTGCTTCCCACCCAAAGCTTGTTTGACGAGAGATCAAGGAAGGCGTGTAAACACATGATAGTCAAGGTGTTGCCATTCAAGTTTTCCACCATGAAAGATCATCAGTCCTATACCTAAAAGACTTTTGAGCATCACGCACATCAGTCTGTCTTGGGATGTGTTCTATTCTGAGCTCGAGGAGCAACAGTTCTAGATGTGTGCTGCGCAGATCATGACAGCTCCAGTTTCGCATCTCAGGACACTGTGTCAGGACTGTCAGCTTAAAACTACGTCCCTTTCCAAAGAACCCCGCGTGTCTCGCCACCCTTCTGGGCCACTCATATCGTAAAGTTTTCCTCTCCTCAGGTTTGGGTAATCTTGGATCCAAATGTGGATAGCAACTTCTACCGATTCTTATTTTTTGCTGTCTTATCAGCTAGTCCATGAAATCGATGATGCACAGATTGTCAAAGGTGCCGAAGCCCTCCGGAATTGGCCTTTCTTAAAATCACCTAGCCTCGAGATGCCTACGCAATAGTACCCTCGAACAGCCTGCTCGAAGCGGCCTTCGAATTGTCGGTGCACCAAATCGACGTTGGATGGTGGCCGTTTGCGTCAAAAGTGTATGACAAGACCATGGAAGGAGCCAGGGATCCGGAGAATTATTCCTCTTGCAATTTTCCAGACCTCGAAGGATGCATCAGGCTTGTGTTCACCTGAAGGAACTACTGTAGACCCAAGATCAGATTGTCACTGTTCTGTCATTGCACTACAGACATATTTGTACATTTGGTACATATTCATGTCTGAGTATACGTACCTATGTAGAACAACTCCAATCACTCGGGACTTTATCTTCCGACTGATTCGCCCGACTGCGCCACGCTGCAATTTCGCAACGACGTGCATATAGGCTGGGTCATGTACCTATCAGTACTCCGTACACATATTATTAGGCTACATGGTACTCCCACACCGCATAAGCTGCCGCCCAGTGGGACGATCATATTTACATAGGTCAGATTGCATACTAAAATCCATTCAAACAAATATGCTTGTTATTTTACTGTAGGGAGTGTGGACCATGGAAAACATGTGGTGGATCAGACAGATTTATTATTGGCAGACAAGGCAGGGTCTGGAAGAATCACCTGAGGATCTCGACTTGTCAAGATCTGTATTACGTTCATGTTTGGCCGATGTGAAACGCAAATTTGTGTGAGATCACGTTTTGAGGAATCGGTGCCCCCTGTCGGTAGACCCAGCTTGCCACGCCGGTCTCTTGTCACGAGCTGCATCGGCCTCGAGCGTACTTTGCTTTGTGTGTGTAGGTGGAATCTGGAGAATACATACTGTGCTCTATATTGCATAGCCACTGAGGGAGCGGGCTGATCACATTGCCCAGCCACGGCATCGTCAAGAGGTGTGGCCAGAGATAGTAACAACGACATGCAAGGCGCACCGGGGCGGAAAGTTAGCCCGGGCAACCAACCATCAACATAATTGATGCAAAAGTCATTATTGCATAACGAGGCTACTGATGACGCGGTACGAACGTCGCAATCAAGGTAGATTCAACGAATGGTGAAGCTGGTCAAGAAAATGGGGTTGTTACTTCGTGCTTGGCCGGATGAAAACCAGGATAACAAGACATGGAAACGTACTTCCCGTGGCCATGAGTCCGTGACAATGATGAGCGCCGGGCCCGTGGTGTCAATGCTGCAAGCGGCAGGTCCGCTTGAAGATTCACAAGTCTTTGCTGTGACTGGAGGAGCCTCCTCCGTTGTCCGTTGGCCCTAGGAACTTCCGGGAGTCAATTGGGGCACGTTGGGGGCAATTGGGGGGCCGAGGGGCTAAAGCACCTCCCGAGTAGTGTGTCCGTTGACTTGTGGCGTTTCGGCGCATGGACGTCGGTGCGTTGCCAGGCGTGCCAGGTTGGAAATCAAGCTCCCCCTTGTTTGACTTGTGCAGCGAATCTCTGCCTTTGTAGTCAAATCAACTCTACCGCATCTGGAAAAGATGCGGCATTCTTGGTCTCCATAGTTGACCAAATCCCCTGTCGCCGAAATCAACCAAGAGATTCCATCCACTCGGTCCACCACTGACAATCAGATCGCTGCCCCAACCCATGCTCCATGACGGTCAAACACACGATTTCTGGTTTTCCAGCTTTGATCCTTGATGGAAAGAAACCGCCTAGCAGCAGCTCCCAAGCACCCCGTGTTCCCCCCCCTAAGCTCCGTGGCTCTCAACTCAAACAAGCGAGTCAGGCACCTTGCACCTTGTCCCACCCTGCCACTCCTCTTCCTGCACGCGTTCCTCTTCACTGCTAGTTTCTAGTGACAGTGGGTGCTCACTCCCGGTCCTGCTCCTAGCTCTGGGCCAAATTGTCCTGGTCTCCAATAATCCTGAATTTTTCGATCTCTCATCGCCCTCTTCCCTATACCCTACCACCTACCGTTCACCTCCAGCCTTGATTTCATCTTACAGTCGTTCTTTCTCTCATCTGTCCAACCTCCTCCTTCCTTCTCTCGCTTCTATCGCTGCGGTATAAGGCAGGAGGCGAGGAGAGTCGCAAGTCACCCTACAAAAGCTGGGCCAGGGCAGCCACCACACCAATTGCAAGAACCAAGCCCCTACGGCGCGCTTCTCCTGCAGGTGCATCGTCTGAGCAACCATCGCTGCTACTGACGCCCTCACTGTCGTTTCACAACAATCAACTGTATTTGCGACCGCCTTTCTTCCCTCTACCTGTCGACATTGTCCTTACAGTCAGAATCAAGCTCCCTAATAATCGTCTGAATTGGATCTCCAGAGACCAAACTACAATCTTCAACCACTGTCCACCTTTCCTATCATTTCTGCCCTAAGAACAGAAGCCACTCGCTGTTTACCACTCGCATACATCCAATAATATTCAACCCCTTGAACACACAAGATCTTGCAGCCACAGGCACGGTCAGCTGAAGAGATTTATAATTGATGGGATTCTTGTGAGGTATGCTTTCCACTTGACTAAGGCGTCGTCAGCACGGGTACACCCTTGACCTGAGCACAAGCCAGCCCTGATTCTTTACTGAAAATCGCGTCTTTGACTGACTTGTTCCACCTTCAGACACCACACTCGTTCAACATGTCTGGCCACCCGCAACAACACCACGGCGGCTACGATGATGGCTACGGCCAGCAACAGCATCATCCTAATGATGCCTACTACCAGGACGGGTACAATGACCAGTACTACGACGAAAGAGATCAAAGAGATCCTCGTCAGCAGCACGGAGGACAGGGCTACTACGATGAATCGTAAGACGCGTCTTCTCTGGGCTGCGGCCAGCGGGAAACCTCGCCATGCTAATAGTCTGCAGTGGTTACTACAACGCCGACGCGTCCAACCCCTATCACAACGATGGCGGCTACTACGAAGGCCATCAGGGTTATCAAGATGATTACTACGACGGCCAATACTACGACCAAGGTGCTGCCGGACAGCACCAGAATGGTCAGCAACCTCGGCGCCGCGGTCACGACTCCGAAGAAGACTCAGAGACATTTAGCGACTTCACCATGAGATCCGACATGGCTCGTGCCGCTGAGATGGACTATTACGGTCGAGGGGATGAGCGTTATAACAGTGGTTACGATAACCGCGGATACCGGCCCCCGTCTTCCCAGATCTCATATGGCGGAAATCGGTCTTCGGGTGCATCTACTCCCATCTACGGCATGGACTATAACAACGCCTTGCCCGCTGGTCAGAGATCACGAGAGCCATATCCCGCTTGGACCTCGGATGCCCAAATCCCTCTGTCTAAAGAAGAGGTTGAAGACATCTTTTTGGACCTGACTGCAAAGTTTGGTTTCCAAAGAGACAGCATGCGCAACATGTATGACCACATGATGACATTGTTGGACTCTCGAGCCTCGCGAATGACTCCAAACCAAGCTCTGCTGTCTCTCCACGCTGACTATATTGGTGGTGACAACGCCAACTACCGCCGATGGTACTTCGCAGCTCATTTGGATCTTGATGACGCTGTTGGCTTCGCCAATATGAAGCTTGGAAAAGCAAATCGCCGCACCAGAAAGGCCCGCAAGGCCGCCGCAAAGAAGGCCAAAGAAAACCCACAGAACGAAGAACAGACTCTCGAGGCCCTGGAAGGTGACAATTCCCTTGAAGCAGCAGAATATCGCTGGAAGACCAGAATGAACAAGATGTCTCAGCACGATCGTGCCAGGCAGATTGCTCTCTACCTCCTCTGCTGGGGAGAGGCTAACCAGGTCCGCTTCATGCCTGAGGCCCTCTGCTTCATTTTCAAGTGTGCCGATGACTACCTGCACTCACCCGCATGCCAGGCCAGAGTCGAGCCTGTTGAAGAGTTCACCTATCTCAATAACGTCATCACCCCACTGTACACTTACATCCGAGACCAATGCTACGAAATCGTGGAAGGCAAGTACGTGAGACGCGAGAGGGACCACAACCAGGTGATTGGTTATGACGACATCAATCAATTGTTCTGGTATCCAGAAGGTATTGAGCGCATCGTCATGCAAGACAAGTCTCGCATCGTCGACCTTCCGCCTGCGGAGCGATACCTCAAGCTTCAAGATGTCAACTGGAAGAAGGTTTTCTTTAAGACGTACAAGGAAACCCGATCTTGGTTCCACCTGTTGGTCAACTTCAACCGTATCTGGGTCATCCACATCACAACTTTCTGGTTCTACACTGCATTCAACTCTCCCACCCTCTATACAAGCAACTACCAGCAACAACTGAACAATCAGCCTGATGCCCCTGTTCAATGGTCTGTTGTTGCTCTTGGAGGTGCAGTCGCGACTCTGATTCAAATTCTGGCAACTTTGGTCGAATGGTCTTACGTTCCACGACGATGGGCCGGCGCTCAGCATCTGACCAAACGACTACTCTTCTTGATCGGGGTCTTGATCGTTAATGTTGCACCTAGCGGCTACATTTTCTTCTTTAATCAGACCTCAAGAATCTCATTGATTCTAGGTGTGGTTCAGTTCTTGATCGCATTGGCAACATTCTTCTTCTTCTCTATCATGCCTCTAGGCGGATTGTTTGGAAGTTACCTCACGCGCAACTCTCGTCAGTATGTCGCCAGCCAAACTTTTACTGCGTCATACCCACGTCTCAAAGGCAATGACATGTGGATGTCTTACGGCCTCTGGGTTATGGTCTTTGCTGCCAAACTTGCCGAATCGTACTTTTTCCTGACGCTCTCCTTCCGAGATCCTATCAAGATTCTCTCATACACCAAGATCAGAAACTGTGTTGGAGATGCCATTCTCAAGGATTATCTGTGCAAGGTGCAGCCGCAGATCTTGCTTGGTATCATGTTTTTCACAGACTTGGTCCTCTTCTTTTTGGACACATATCTGTGGTACATCATCTGGAACTGCGCTTTCTCGGTCGCTCGATCCTTCTATTTGGGTGTGTCCATTTGGACCCCATGGCGAAACATCTTCTCCCGACTTCCAAAGCGTATTTACTCGAAAGTTCTTGCCACCACAGACATGGAGATCAAGTACAAGCCAAAGGTCCTGATTTCACAGGTCTGGAACGCCATCGTCATCTCCATGTACAGAGAGCATCTTTTGGCCATTGATCACGTCCAGAAACTCCTGTATCACCAAGTTCCGTCGGAGCAGGAGGGTAAACGCACTCTTCGCGCCCCTACTTTCTTCGTCTCACAGGAAGATCACTCGTTCAAAACCGAATTCTTTCCCTCTCAGAGCGAGGCTGAGCGTCGTATCTCTTTCTTCGCGCAGTCTCTGTCCACGCCGATTCCCGAGCCACTTCCCGTTGACAACATGCCTACTTTCACCGTCCTTATTCCTCATTACGGCGAAAAGATCCTGCTCTCCCTTCGAGAAATCATTCGGGAAGATGAACCATATTCACGAGTTACACTTCTGGAATACTTGAAACAACTCCATCCTCACGAATGGGATTGCTTTGTCAAAGATACCAAGATTTTGGCCGACGAAACATCGCAATTCAACGGTGATTACGAAAAGTCAGAAAAGGACACAGCCAAGAGCAAGATTGACGATCTTCCCTTCTACTGCATTGGTTTCAAATCTGCCGCCCCAGAGTACACCCTTCGGACTCGTATCTGGGCATCTCTACGGTCTCAAACCTTGTATCGCACGATTTCTGGTTTCATGAACTACAGCCGAGCGATCAAGCTGCTTTACCGTGTCGAGAACCCAGAAGTGGTACAGATGTTTGGTGGTAACTCAGACAAGTTGGAGCGTGAGCTCGAACGCATGGCTCGCCGCAAATTCAAGATTGTCGTCTCGATGCAGCGCTATGCCAAGTTCAAGAAGGAAGAACGAGAGAACACCGAATTCCTTCTGCGTGCCTATCCAGATCTTCAGATCGCTTACTTGGACGAAGAGCCACCCGCTGTCGAGGGCGAAGAACCCCGCTTGTACTCCGCTTTGATTGACGGACACTCTGAACTGATGGAGAACGGCATGCGACGACCCAAATTCAGAGTGCAGCTCTCTGGTAACCCAATTCTCGGAGATGGAAAGTCTGACAACCAAAACCACGCCATTATTTTCTACCGTGGAGAATACATCCAGCTCATTGATGCCAACCAGGACAACTACCTTGAAGAGTGTTTGAAGATTCGCAGCGTTCTGGCCGAATTTGAGGAAATGACTACTGATAACTCGTCTCCTTACACTCCAGGTGTTGCTCCCACCAAGACCAACCCCGTTGCAATCTTGGGTGCTCGCGAGTACATCTTCTCTGAAAACATCGGTGTCCTCGGTGACGTTGCTGCCGGAAAGGAACAAACATTCGGTACTCTCTTTGCTCGTACATTGGCTCAAATCGGTGGAAAACTCCATTATGGTCATCCCGACTTTTTGAACGGCATCTTCATGACTACCCGTGGTGGAGTGTCCAAGGCTCAAAAGGGTCTCCATCTCAACGAAGATATTTACGCTGGTATGAATGCATTGATTCGTGGTGGCCGCATAAAGCATTGCGAATACTACCAGTGTGGTAAAGGTCGTGATCTTGGATTTGGGTCCATCCTCAACTTCACTACCAAAATCGGTACTGGTATGGGTGAACAAATGCTGTCCCGAGAGTACTATTATCTCGGAACCCAACTGCCACTGGATCGTTTCCTCTCATTCTACTACGCACATCCGGGTTTCCACATCAACAACATGTTCATCATGTTGTCTGTCCAACTTTTCATGATTGTTCTCATCAACCTTGGAGCTCTTCGCCATGAGACCATCCTGTGTAGGTACAACCGCAATGTACCTCCCACCGACCCTCTCCGACCAACAGGATGTACCAATTTGACTCCCATCATGGAATGGGTGGACCGTTGCATTGTGTCCATCTTCATCGTCTTCTTCATCTCCTTCGTCCCTCTGGTTGTCCAAGAATTGACTGAACGTGGATTCTGGCGCGCAGCTACTCGACTGGCCAAACACTTTGCTTCAGCTTCCCCAGTCTTTGAGGTGTTTGTCTGCCAAATCTACGCGAGCTCGATCCAACAAGACTTGTCCTTTGGCGGCGCACGATACATTGGAACTGGTCGTGGCTTTGCAACTGCCCGTATTCCATTCGGTGTCTTGTATTCGCGATTTGCGGGACCGTCAATTTACATGGGAGCTCGGTCGCTGATGATGTTGATCTTCGCAACCATTACTGTTTGGGGAGGCTGGCTCACATGGTTCTACATCACACTGGTTGGCCTTTGCATTTCACCCTTCATCTTCAACCCACATCAGTTTGCCTGGACCGATTTCTTCATTGATTACCGAGATTACCTTAGATGGCTGTCTCGTGGTAACTCGCGATCGCATGCTTCGTCCTGGATTGCATTCTGCAGACTCTCCCGAACTCGTCTTACGGGTTTCAAGCGCAAGGCGCTCGGATCCCCATCAGAGAAACTGTCAGGTGACGTGCCACGAGCGAGATTTACCAGCATCTTCTTCAGTGAGATTATTGGACCCCTCGTTCTAGTGGCTGTGACGTTGATTCCTTACCTCTTCATCAACGCACAAACTGGTGTCACCGAAGATGTTCAACCTGCCACGAATTCGCTGATCCGACTGGCTATTGTAGCATTTGCGCCAATTGCCATCAATGCTGGCACTCTAGCGGTCTTCTTCGCCATGGCATGCTGCATGGGCCCGGTTCTGAGCATGTGCTGTAAGAAATTCGGCTCGGTGCTTGCTGCCATCGCACACGCTATCGCTGTCATTATGCTCTTCGCTTTCTGGGAAGTCATGTTCTTCCTCGAGGGATGGAACTTTGCAAAGGCACTCCTAGGAATGATTGCAGTGGTGGCTCTCCAGCGATTCGTCTTCAAGCTGATCATTGCTCTTGCTCTTACGCGAGAGTTCAAGGCCGATACCTCCAACATTGCATGGTGGACTGGCAAATGGTACTCGATGGGATGGCATTCCATGTCTCAACCAGCTCGAGAATATCTCTGCAAGATCACGGAGTTGGGTTTCTTCGCGGCTGACTTCATTTTGGGACATCTGATCATGTTCACATTCCTCCCTGCATTGTGCGTTCCTTATATCGACAAGTTCCACTCGGTTATGCTTTTCTGGCTACGCCCAAGGTATGTCAAGACTGTTACGAACGTCAGCGTGTCAAGGTCACTAACTTGAATTTAGTCGTCAAATCCGACCACCAATCTACTCGATCAAACAATCACGTCTCCGCAAGAGGCGTGTCATTCGTTATGCCATCCTGTACTTCCTGCTCCTGATTCTCTTCCTTGTCTTGATTGTGGGACCAGTCATTATCCGCAAATTCTATGTGGTGGAAGTTAATATTCCATTGAACCTTGCGCAACCCACGAATCAAAACAACAACGACACCTTTGCCAGCATCACTGGCTCAGCGTTGGTTGACTTTGGCAATGGTGTTGATTCTGGTCCGACTGCTGGCGGCGGTGGCGGCGGCAGCGGTGCTACTGCTACTACAGCGACCACCACTGGTGGTAATGCTCCGTTCACTTTCGGAGGTGGGCGATTCGTTCGTTGGTGATGGGCCAATATTTCAAAGGCAGTGGCAGTTTGGCTACTCTGTATGCCGATTGTGTTAGGGATGGGCTCCGGGGGAGGGCGAGTGAGGCTGGAAAAGACCAATACTGGGTCAATCATTGGCTCTGTCACAAAACATGCACACTAATGATTGAAACGGCAAATAGATCAATCGGCTTGTACATCCATTGAGGGTTATGGTGATTGTATATCGTCAGACTCGAAGGGAAGCAGGCTTGTATCATTGGGGAAAAGGAGTTTTTGAGGGCAAGGACATGTTTTTTTCCTGTTAGAAACACCTGATACTGTACATGACAATTGAAATTGCACTTGCAAATGAACAGGATTTTCATAATGATTGAGAGCAGTGATAGTGATGGTCATGTAAAAAGGGTTGAGATATGCAAAGGTGTGGATGTTTGATTTGATTGCTTCTAACCAGATTGGATAAAAGTTCTGCCTGGAAGTTGAATGCCCCCTGAGTTTCTGCACGTGACTTTGATGCCGCGGCCCGCTCGAACGAAATAACTTCATGACATCCGCAGTCTCGCGGAAGGGCGAAAGTTCCTACTCGATGAGACTTTTGTTGATGTCGTGCACCAACACGATTCGAAAAGATGGACGCTCAAGATGCTCAAGAGTATTTGACTACTCTAGCCCACGCGACATCTGAACAATTCCACAAGATCCCTGGGTCGGCCATCTTCCTGCGTTATGTCAAATCGAGTTACCAGAATGATCCCATTCGGTCCGCGGTTGAACTCTTCCTCGTCCTCTTCGCGATTCGGTATTTGCTCGCTCCAAAATACTCAACGAAGCCCAACTATGTCAAGTTGTCCGATGAGGTGTGTGATCTTGAGACCAGAAGCGCGGTCATGCCGAATGGGTGCGGCCAGAAACAAGGACATCTCCTGGCTGACACATGGTAACATAGGAGATTGACGACTTGGTGGATGAATGGACACCAGAGCCTCTCGTAGGCAAGACTACAGCATTTGAAGAGGCGGATTTGGAAAAGCGCGCCATCATTGTCGGGTGAGTCTTGGTCCCCTGGGTCCTTTCCACTTGGTCGACGCTGCGGAATGCTGACACCAAAGTTGAATGTCTAGACCTAGTGGCCCTCGCTGCAGACTAGCCAACGGTCGAACTGTGACCAACCTCGCGTCTTATAACTTTTACAACTTTGTCTCCAACGAGAATCTCAAAGAACGTGCAATCCAGACGCTTCGAATGTATGGAGTTGGACCCTGTGGTCCACCTGGTTTCTACGGGACGCAGGACGTGCACATGAAGATTGAGAGCGACATTGCAGCTTTCCTCGGAACGACTGCTTGCATCATCTACGCGCAGGCGTTTTCCACCATTTCTAGCGTGATCCCGGCATTCTGCAAGAGAGGGGACATTATTGTGGCGGACAAGGGTGTGAACTACGCGATTCGAAAGGGAATTCAAATTTCCAGATCCACAATTCGGTGGTATGAACACAATGACATGGAGGATTTACAACGAGTACTGGCAAAGGTCACAAAGGAACAAGCTAGGAAGCCTTTGACGCGGAGGTTCATCATCACTGAGGGCTTGTTTGAGAATTCAGGAGAAATGGTCGATCTACCAAAAGTGGTACGTATGAATCCGAGGTGGAATGAGAAGGGGGCGCGTGGAGATGCATCTGCTGACTTTTTTTCCTTTCATATTTGGACAGATCGAGTTGAAGCTGAAATATAAATTCCGGCTGATTCTAGACGAGACATGGTCATTTGGAGTGCTGGGTCGTACCGGGCGCGGAATCACGGAACATCAACACGTGGATGCCGCCGAAGTCGACATGATCGTCGGCAGCATGTCAGGACCACTGACAGGAGCAGGAGGGTTCTGCGCAGGGTCGGATCAAGTGGTGGAGCATCAACGGCTGTCGGCTCTCAGCTATACATATTCGGCAGCATTGCCTGCGATGAGCGCAGTGACGGCCAGCGAGACGTTGATGATGCTTCAAACACAACCGGAATACATTACCCAACTTCGAGAGAACATCAAGACCATGTGGGCACAGATTGATCCGAGAAGCGACTGGGTGTATTGCAGCAGTGCACCAGAAAACCCAATCATGTTGTTGGTTCTGAAACCGGAGGTGGTCAGTAGCCGACGATTGACATGGGATGATCAGCAGATTTTGCTGCAAGAAATTGTTGACGAGGTCAGTGGAGTCTTTGTCTCACGGGATTTGTGTTTGTGAATAAAAGGATGCATTGCTAACTGGAACTGAATACAGGCCCTATCTCAAAACGTTCTCATCACTCGTGTCAAGAGCCTTCCTGCCGGTCCATCCGGAACGAAAACCGAAATTTACACTCCAAATCCCGCTCTGAAGGTATGTGTGACTATGGGCCTGTCTAAAAAGGAGATTGAAAAGGCCGGCATCATAATCCGACATGCCATTACCAAGGTGGTCGGTAAGAAGCGGTGAACAGTCATCATGGGGTGAAGAGTGAAGATGTGTCTTTTGTCAATGGTTTTTCCCTTCATGTACCAATATTCGACCAACATTGCAGAAGTGGAATGGCAGCATGGGGGATTGGGAGGATGATTATCATCATCATCGTCATTGTAATACTGGGATGCACATAGGGATAGGGTCTGATGGATGAAGTGGTGAGACTACGGCGAGGCAACGACTGCGATAACGATGGCCGTGGTGGATTGATAATTAGAAGCAAGATGTAAGAAGTCCAACGAACGAATGTAATAATTACTACTTTACCCTCAGCACCAATACTTGGGATATGAACTCAGATGGTAGGTACCTTTCTCTACTGGTACTCTCATACCTAGGTAGGTCAAGGTACACCTTAGACAAATCCAACTTCAGTTAAACCACCTGCCACAATCTCTCCCACCACACGCGACATTCAACACTCTCACCCGCGCCCGCACTCTTACCATATATGGGCAATGGTCCAAGACATGATACTGTAGTGATCTCGATCTAAGATCCGAAGTTCGGAATTCTCGGCCTTGGCGGATTTTCAGGTCAAGCCACGCTCGCTTGTTGGATCATGGCGTATATAAGGCTAGATGTACTTGAGACGAGGGTAATTTCTCGCTTTACAAACTTGGTGAGAGATGGAGGCAGAGGACAGGAAGGAGGGGAAGAGGGACAGAGAGAGATGATGTGGTGGTGATGGCGAAGAGATGGGCTTTGGAACATGAATTGACCACCAGTGTGTCTACCTATCTACCTAGGGACTTAGCCCGAGGCGCCTAAAGCACTCCCTAAAGATAGGGACTTGATTGTTTGAGTATCTCGTTTCCGGCTTCCGTGCGACTGCTACTAGGTAGTATTGTTGTGGTTCTAGGTGAGAATTTCTCCCTAAGCTTAACACCTACAAACACCCCAAGCTACCTCCTACCTAAGGTATCTAGGTAGGTACGTAGGTACTCGTAGAGATACCTGACCTCCTGACCTCTCTACCTGTACGTAAAACCATATACTTCATGACTGTTGACTCTGTCGATCATTCACCAACCATCATCTACGGAGTAGTGTACGTTTTGTACATACTCATCTGTACGTACACATTCACAAAAATCAACAGAAGCAATTAAGCGAGCCAAGGCAAGGGATCTCTGCTCGCTTAATCGCGTGGTTGGCATGAAATTTATTCTCCTACCGAGAGATGGACCCTTGATGACATTTCTGATCTTTTGCCTGGGGTGGAGGTGACGAGTTTGAGGATTGGAGGCTTATGGCTTGTGGCTTGCAGATGGAGCTGAAGGACGATATGTGCCTAGGAACGACCTACTTACTCCGTAGATTAGGTACCTGGGTAAATACCTAGGTAGGTACCTGGGTAAATACCTAGGTAGGTACCTACTACTAGTACCATTTTGTTTTCTCTCATTTTCTGTGACCATGCATCAGACACCTGCAATTCAAGGCTGTGTGGCTATCGATGTTGGAGTTGAAGCTCTATTACATTAGGTACCACCTACCTACCTAGGTACCTATGGATTTGATGCTGTCCACCTAGAAGCTAGAGTTACTCAGGTATCTACTCGATCTCTACCTACCTAGGTACCTTAGGTAGCTACACATCCCTCACATTGTTGAGTGTTGGCCAACGGAACAAACTCCTCGGCTTCGATAGGCGTTCAACCAGCCATGGGCCGAAGCGAATGTGGCTTTCACTAGTAGACTATCGGTCTATCAGATTGCCTATCACTTTATTTCACCGTCTAAAATCTCTCGTCTTTTCCAACATGATTTCTATCATCTCGTTGACACATCCACATGTTCCTACTAGGTACCTAGTACATATGCGCCATGCTTATACCAAGTCCCAAGTTTCCAATCCCAAGATCCCAGACTGAACGCCTTGCCTCGCCTTGCCTTTCCTCGTGCATTGTGCATACGAATACCCACTCGTGCCACTCCATGTTCCTCTCTCTCGTCTCAGTTCTCCCGTCTTGATTCTTTTTCCTCTGCCTGTCTGCTTAGCCGCTAACTTTACTTACGTGGTCCGTTTCATCCATTCTCCACCGTCCGTGTTCCTGTCAATCCCTGTCATCCACTGTTCCCATATACGTACATACACACACCTGGATCAGTTCTCCGTAGGACAAGATTCTTGTGTTCTCCAGTTTCTGGCATCTCCCCTGCTCACATTCGCTTACTGTTGGGCGCAATGCAACATTCAAGCGAACATGAAGCGAGCCATGCTTTCCTCACCCAGTGATATCTGAATGTAACCGAATTTCTCGCTTCTTGCTTCATAGTGCATGCATATAGGCGAAGGAGTAAGCGAGAGACTTCCCCGTCACCACTTATTGTAGACTGTTGTTGCATGCAGTGCCAGTGTCATCTCTTCCCGCTGAGTAGTGTCGATATACCACATCTTTAGTGTGACAAGAAAACACCAACACATTTCAGACCTTTACATCCATTTTCTCTGTCTACAGGATTGCATTCTTCCTATCCTCGTCTTTCCATCTCATTCAACTCTCGAATTCTACCACAACCAAACTCCCTCCACCATCATGGTTACTGTGGTTGATTTGTCAAAACTGACTCAGAGTGACGCGTCTTAAAGTCTACGTACACCCCAAAACGTTTCACTTTCAGTTCCACGTCTTCTGTCAAGGAACCAATCATGCTCATGCACTGCTAACCAAGCACCTCCTCGGAGTTCAATCAATCCGAGCTCCTATCTCACATTTTGTTCTCTTCAATTCTTGATGCAAAACTTCAGTCTTCAGTCTTCAGTCTTCAAGACCGTACTCAACCAGATGAGAACCTCCCTCACCACCCTATCATCGCCATCAAATACCACCGGCTGTCCAAGCCACGATCCTTCAATCTGGTTACCTGGTCCCTGGTTCCATGTCTTCAAAGTGCGGGGTCCCCGCCTACCATCTGACCCAGATTCTCGCCAGAGTTTGAGGCTGAATGTTCTGAATGTTCTGTGCCGCCCTGTTTCCAAACAGCTGGGCTCGTTTCGGCAGCTTCAATGACATTGTCGTTACCTCAATTGGCGGAGAATCGTCTACCGTTGGCCCAACGTTCGTGATCATGCATTCTCTTGCCGAATCTTAGAGTCAGCTCCAATGTCAGTTATTCAGGTCAAAAGGCAAGTCAAGTTTGGCCCCCGTTGTCCGCTGACGGGCCAGCTGTGGTTATGTAGGGCATATAAGGTAGGTCACAACTCTGTTCCCTCGACATACCACTTTGCACAGATCCAAATCCAATAATTCGAACCAACCCCTTTCTCATAATCATCATGTCTTTCCCCACACAACCCGCATTCATCCATGTAGGCACCTGGGACGACGAAACCAGGAAACATCCTGCCATGAAATGGATGGAAGACTATACCCTCAGTTTCAACGCCCGAGCCAACTGGGATCAAAAGTCCTCTGACTGGCACACATCCGATTTCACTCTCGTCAAGCCTGACGGTAGTGTCTACACTGAAGCAGACGAAGCCTTCCATCAGGTTAAAGACATGTACTCGAGCTTCACCAAGGAATTTCACGAGCCGTACTTTCTCGCCGTGTGGGAGACTAGCGAAGGGTATGAAATGTTGGGTCAAGCTCATCTGTTCGCTAATTGTCCTGGTCAGCCTGCTCAAGGAGAGAAAAAGGTTAGGGATGGTCAGGGCCGAGAGTGGGATGTTAAGATTCCTGGTGCGTTTCATTTCTGGTATGTTAAGAAACAAGGTGCTGCGCATGGGGATTATGAGTTGCGGAGGACGGAGATTTCAAGTGATTCTTTACCAGCAATTCAGATCTTGATGAAGAGGGGGGTTCTCAAGATGTAGTTAGTCAGTTGGGGTCTTGGTGGTTGGATTGAGGTGTTGAGCCGTAGCTTTGATTCCAGCCTTGATAATTGATTGTTCATTTCATTCTCTGTAAACGAGCCAGTTCACAGCCACTCTACAAGGGACGGTGCGATGCTATCTCGGAATATCCAAACCAAACGATGTAATGCTTGATCAAAGCTTGTCTACTGATCAAGATGCTCCCTCCATCCTCCAGAGTACATATGATCAGCCTCCTGATCTTCAGGATCGTGATTTGCGCCAAGGCAGGCCGCCTTCTTCACAAATCGTTGCTATCGTCAAACTTCTTCTATCTTCAGAACCCGTACCATCTCTATGAGTACTACCTCAGATGGTGTATCAATCTCTTTGATATCTCCTATCAACCTATCTCACCTCTGGTGCAATCCAGTCAGAAGCGGCCATCCCCCTTGGAGGTAAGTATCCATCATCAGAGCCATCCTCAAGGCAATGTCGTCTCTTGCTTTGACGACTTGACCGATTCCCTGTATTCCAGAATCCCAATTGAGACTAGGCTTGGCCAATCCCTCACTACCAGTTACGAACACTTTGGGTTTGATACAGTTCAAGTAATCTCGACGACGATCCCCTCCCTAGGTGGACGCCTTGCCGCCAGGCCCCCCACATCATCACCAACTCCAACATGTCCCAGGAACAGGGATTGCAATGACATATATCATGCATATGGACAGTCCGATTTACACATGTAAGGAAGATGACGCTCTCCTCAACTGAGATACACACGATCCAAGCTCTACAGTACAAAATCACTCACATAGCAGTATCTCAACTCACGATGCTGTTCCTCCTCTACGTACCCTTTACCGTCTTCCTCCTCATCAGAACTCTCCACTTCACTCAGAACTACATTGCCGCTCGTCGCCTTAAACTCCCCATCATTTGTCTCCCCGTCTCATTCGAAGATCCCTGGTGGCTACTCATCAAGCCTCTGTTTACATGGCTTCCCTCGCTCCCCTTTGGTCTTGGAGACTGGTATCTATACACTGACTTTGGCTGGCCCACGATTGACGCTGGCAGAACCACAGCTAAATATGGCGAGACATTTATCCTGGTCTCCCCTGTTCGTAACCAGATCTGTACAGTCTACCCTCCAGCCATCGATCAGATCTACAAAGACATGAAGACATGGTATTTTCCAGAGCCCCTCTCCCAGACCTTTACATTCTTCGGACAGAATGTCTCATCCTTGAACGGGGCGGAATGGCAAAGACATCGCAAGATCACTGCTCAAGCGTTCAATGAGTCTACCATGAGTTATGCCTGGGACGAGTCTATCAACAGAGTCACTAGTGACCTTGGCTTTCTGGCCAACGCCCAAGCCAGCTGCTCCCTGGCCAGTCTTCGCTCCGACATCAACGTGCTGGCAATGCATGTATTGACTTCGGTGGGATTTGGCCAGGATACGGCCCTGACAGACCTTCCTCCAGGACATCGATTGACTCTACTGGAATCGCTCAACTTCATCCTCCAAAATATCTTTACCGCCGTCTTATTTTCTGGTCTGAAAGCCCCCGACCATATCCTTCCGCCTCCACTTCGACGTCTCAAGACTGCAGTCACCGAGTTCAGACTCTACATGCAAGAAAGTGTGCTTCGAGAAATCCAGTCCACGCGCCAGTCATCCAAGCCAAGCATTCTACGAGCAATGGTGACCGCCAACGAGGCCGAAAAGACACAAGAGAAGCAGCAGCAACAACAACAGTTGTTTGCCCGACCCTCCTTCTTGACAGACTCAGAGCTCTATGGAAATCTCTTCGTGTATAATCTATCTGGCTTTGAGACAACGGCGGGGACCATGTCCTTTGCTTTTCCATATCTTGCCATCTACACCGACGTGCAAGACTGGGTCAGAGCAGAAGTCGATCGACACTACACACACTCGACAAACGCCAACTACCAGGAAACATACCCAAAATTGATCCGATGTCTTGCTCTCATGTACGAGACTCTTCGGATTGCAGGGCCCGCCCCGCAGATGGTTCGAGCCAGTAGTGTACCGACATCTCTAACCATCACAACTGGCTCTCCATCTTCATCCTCCTCAGAGGTAGAGAGGACAACCATCGACGTCGAACCCAATACTTTAGTCACAGCAGACTTCTACGGCGTGCATCTCTCACCTCGCTGGGGACCTGACGCACAGTCATTCGACCCAAAGCGATTCATAACGACACCAGACTCCAGATCTGAAGATGAGATCCTGGTCACTTCTCCCGCGGCGTCCTCCAATGGTGATTCGGTGACTCCCTTGTTCATGCCTTGGCTGTTCGGCCCGCGTGTCTGCCCAGGCAAGAAATTCAGTCAGGTCGAATACGTTGCCGTGGTGGCTCACATCCTTTCAATGTATCGAATCGAACTGGATACATCTGTTCATGGAAGCACTGAGGCCGCTAGAATGCATCTTAAAGCGGTTTTGGACGATAAATATTTCAACGTTAGCACACACATCAAAAACCCGGAGCTGGCGGGGCTGAGGTTTGTTCCTCGTTAGAGAAGAGGAGGTATTTCTAGCGGTTCGTGGTGTTGGTTGGAGCGAGTAACGCAGTCATTGTTGAGACACTGTCAATCACAGGGAATTCTCTCTTTGTTACAGTAATTCTGACGCGTCGAACAAGTGTTTGTATGATTCAACTCGACGGTCTTCGTGACTTCCGCGAGACTCGCACGTGCCTCGGTTCCTAAGAAACCGCACGTGAACGCCAAGAAATAGACGAACGCCAATGTCACGTGACAATGAAAATTTTTATCAGATAAGATGCGACTTCGCATCTACGCCTCGCATCTCCAGTTTACGAATACTTCACCACCTCGACACGCGCTCGTGCTGAGGGGTCCATGATTCCCAAGATATGCAACGCTGGACCTTGCATTTCTTTGTGATATTGTCACTCACTAGCCTTGCTCTTTCCGATGTAGCCGCATGTGTTGCGGCGTGTCAATTGGCACTGAGAAGTGTCTCTTTTGAAGATACACCCGCCAATCTTCCTTACTACTCCACGCAATGTTCGAGCGCGTTGCGTCTACAGTCAGTCTATGCATGTAGCTGGAAGTACTGCCCAGCTACCGCCATTCAACCTGGCTTGGATCAAGCCAACAAGACTTGTGTCCAATATGGAAACGTCACCTTGCCGTCGTTGGACGGTTTCGGCAATCTGGATCCTGGCGATATCGACAGTCTGCGAGTTCTGAATCGAACAGATGTGTTGATGGATCTGAATATCAGCCAACCGGCGATTCCTTCTCAGCTGTTGTTTGAAGATGCTAGACGGACAAATGCAGCATATCAGACATCGATGACCAGTAGCGTCCTGTATGCTATTGTCATGTTTGTCTTCTGGACCCTTGTTGTTCTCACTGGACTCGGCTTTCGTTTCGTTTCATTTCTCAGTCAAAAGGCCAGGTTCAGGAAGGAATTCGGAGGAGGAAGTGGTCGATATGCCAGATTCGAGCGAGATGTTACGAGACAGTTGAAACAGCATCTACTCGTCCCAGCGGCTTTCTCTCATCATTGTGCTGAACCTCTGGGATGGTGGATCGTCCCTCCCAGACTCCAATCACTTATTATCCTGACCTTTGTTGTCTTGAACGTCATCCTCAGTTTCGGCCATTATGATGTCTTCTCTACGAATCTCTACTGGCCGGATCACCGCCTCCAGTACGCACGATATGTCGGGGATCGGACAGGAGTTATGGGAACTGCCAACTTGACCTTAATCTACCTATTTGCCACAAGGAATAACGTCCTTCTCTGGATTACTGGCTGGAGCTTCGAAACTTCAATGCAATTCCACCGGTGGGTCGCCAGAGTTTCGACCGTTCAGGCCATCGTCCACAGTCTTGCGTACAGTCTGTACGTCTTGGTTGAAGGCGGCATGTCGCATTACCGAGCTGTGTGGTTACAAAGATACTGGACATTAGGTGCCGTCGCGACAGTAGCCATGAGCCTTCTCCTGGTCTTCTCACTCTACCCCATTCGCCATAAAGTATACGAATTGTTTTTATTCCTGCATACGACATTAGCGGTCCTCGTTCTCATCGGCATGTGGTATCACGTGGAAATCTTCAGCGGCGCATACAACGTCTTTCTATGGCCATGCATCATCATCTGGATTGCCGATCGAGTGGCTCGATTGTGGAAAGTGATACGATACAATATCCCCTATCGCGCCGGGTTTGCCACATACAGTCCTCAAACCAACGTCGTGTGGTTGAACGTCCCTCGAGTTTCCTCGTCTATTCCTGTTCCAGGTTCATATTACTTTCTTTACCTGTTACACGGCACGAAGTGGTATGAAAGCCATCCATTTACGTTAAGTGGTTGGGAATGTCAAGACCAAGCCCAAGCCCAAGACCTCGACCAAACACGAGACCTAGCTCTCACTACTACCACCGCCACCACATCAACACATAAACAAGCCTTGAATCTCCAATTCATCATCCGACCATACAACGGCCTGACCGGCCGATTCCGCGATCTCGTCCGATGTCAAGGCGGCGACCACAAAAACGGCCGAAACGTACGAGTTCTCGTCGAAGGACCATACGGACCAAAACACAATCTTCAACAATACGACACGATTGGATTTATTGTCGGAGGCACCGGCGTAGCCATTACCCTTTCCTACATCTCCGACATGTTATTCTCCGCTCGATCCAAAATCGGAGCTGGAAGTCCTGGATACACTTACCGCGTCCATCGCCTGCACATCGTCTGGGCAGTTCGAGAACTATCTCTATTCCAAGAAACATTCGACCGCGAACTTCGTCCCAAACTCACTGAAATGAGTAAACTCTCCGGCCGACCGATGGAAGTCCATATCCAGATCTACAACACGGGAGGCACAAATAATGAGGAACAACGACAAAGTACCGATGCGGCGATTCGAGATGCCGAGTTGGAACCAATGGTCTCATCAGACGATTCGGTACAGTTTTTACGTGGAGATGAAGAATTGCAACCAGATGAACATTCTCCTTTGTCGTCTCCGCCGGGGACGGTCACGCCGGATGGCTTGAGATTGTCGATTTATAGACATAGGCCAAGGTTGGAGAATATTGTGATGAGGTTTGTGGCGAGTGATGTGGGCGATGATAATAGTACGTGTGCGATTGTCGCTTGTTGTCCGGCGGCGATGGCGGATGATGCGAGGAAGGCGGTGGTCGAGGCTATTGGGCAGGGATATGGAGGGATTGATTTTTATCCCGAGAGTTATGCTTGGTAAGAAAGAACAGGGAGGTGAAGGGAGGGAGAGAAGTAGTTAGGAGGGAGAATAGCGTGGGTTTGGAATTTGGAGTTCGTTTGGAGTCTGGGTCTCTCGTGGGTGGGTGGAACATGAAACGACATTTAGAAAGGTAATACATTCTTTGGGAATTCAAAGACAGATCACGAAATTTACGATTTTGATGATTCAATGGTCATAGAACGGATTCTGGTAATAGCATCCGAGTTGTTGGAATATGGACGTGACGTAGCGTGTCACAATCACTCTACATGATCGTGATGTGACCCATGGAATACGTTGATGAGCCTAGAATCTAGTAAGGGAGGATCGCCTTAGCTCTGTTGCTATGGCGCCTCGCCATTTCAGAGTCAAAAAGGGTCCTAATCATTCCTCATCCTCCCCATGAAGTTCTGCAGACTTCTGGCTGTTGACGGCTCCGGCATATGTCCATTTCAGCAGCATCGCAGTGAGAAAGATCCGTGTATGAAGACACCCTGTCGCAAAACCCTCGTCTTTGGCTTCGCCCTGGCTATTTTCCGGGATTGTGATAGAACGGATTGCCATAATCTTTAAGTCTTGCCCGGAAACCTTCGGTTGCGTCTCGGCCAAGGTTCGCCACTTCGTACGAAAAACTCGTATTTCCGCAAGACTTGTGATCGTATCTGTACACAAGGTAGGGTTCTTCGACTTTGCGTGCCCTGAGTTTTGTTGGCCCACACAACCTGCTAGCGAGGGTTCTCATATTTTTATGAATTTCAGTAACGCTCCCGTTCCAAGCCTCGACCGACCTCCAGTCTGGGCCAAACGACTCTCTCAATGCAACAATGGCATTTCCTAGGAGGATTGAATTGCAATGGAATACGAGGCCATCTTCATCTTCGTAGTCCTCTTTGACCTTGCTGCAGGTCGGACCGTGCTCAAACTTGTTGACCAAATCCATGCAAGCACCTCGAAAAGCGTTGACGTATTGCTCTCGTTTGGCGCGCATCAGGTCTGTATATGAATTACTTGAGTCAGTGGCTGATTCTGGCAGGATGGCTGAATGGCATGACTTACCTTGGAGCTGCGCAGGAAGCTTTGCAAAGCTGTCGGCAAAAGAAGGCTGGTTAAGGTGGTCCAGGGTCAACCGGGCAAACAAGTAAGAAGTCATTCTCCCAAAATCGACCGAATAACCCAGGTGACAAGAAATATGTATCCATCTAAGTAGATCCTGGTCCGAGAGGGGATCGTGCGGTTTATCTTGTCTTTGAATGAGGTTTCGAATGTCGGGGAGGTCACGCCAGATCTGGGGCCAGGGGTGAATGGCCCTTGCAAGATCGTATTTGTCCACAAGGGTTGCGATGCTGTCGAGAAGATCTGGTGTGATGGCTGCGCTCTTGACCTTCTGACTCTGCATGTGAAAGATGTCGCAAAGAAGTCTCATTGCATGAGGGTCATCGTCAGGTAGTGGCAACTCGAGAAACTTGTCTTGGTTGAGGCGTTCACCTTCGGCGTACTTTCTTGGACTCAACATCGCTTCAAAAACAGGACTTGCATTGATCATGACTTGGTGGAAGACCATGATCTCGATCTGAGTGCCATCATCCTCGTTGAGAATGAGTTTTAGATCTGGAGTCATGGTTGTAATCGACTTGGGGATGCAGCGCAAGCAGGCAATGGTTGTGTCAGATGTTGAAGACGAAGCTAGGGGGAAGAGAAAGAGTCACAGAGGGAAAGAGATCAAAAGAGAGGATGTGGTGAGATTTTGAGGTTGTCCAGTAGAGTACTAGATTGAAAATGATTCTGCCAAACCTCCAGGTCGAGGAGAAGCCCATTGAGCAAAGACAACAGCAACAAATTCCTTGACGAAGTGCGGGTACGTGTCTTCTTACCTTAAGTACTTAGTAGTAGTGAAGAATCGAGGGAATCATGCACAATATCGAAGAAGTTTGACGACGCATACCTGCTCTGTGTTAATATCCTACCACAATCTGGACTAGGACGATCATCCTAGAGCGACATTCTGGGAGGCAGCAGGGTCTTGAGGTAGGGAGAGAGACTCGTGTCTGGCCAGGGATCTACAAAAAATTCCAACCACTGTGCCACTTCAGATACAGAAGGGGCCTTCCTTCCTGTTGACAATAACAACAAGTCCCAGTCGTGCCTGCCATATCAGTGTGGCTACCTACTTGAAGCAAACAACGGAAGGAGCACCCTGAGGCCTAACGAGGCTGCAACCTTCCTGCCAAGGCCAGCATGACGCGTTTGCTTCTCCCCTCATCCTTTCGCTCCCTCAGATCCTCAGATCCTCTGCCAACACCAACGCCAACAAACCTCGGATTCTCACTTCTGGTCGGTGGTCCGTGATCCACCAGAACCTTCGAAACATCTGTTCCACCCTGCACGCCGCGCCATGTCACGGCCGCAGCCTTCCGTATTGTCAGCGGTCAATAACAACATCATCCGTCCGTACCCATAGCACATGATTGTTGCACTTTGACCACACCGGCATACTGACTTTCACCTCCTCCATCCTCCCCTCCTCATCACCTGGGATGACAACAACCCCCACCATACACCATGGCGCATCTGTTTCGAGGCAAGCAGGCCGGCATCCCCAATGACCTCTCTACCGGAATCTCCCCAGAAATCTTCATGCTTGACGATGTATGTCGACTCTCCTCCCCCGAATGCTCTACGACATGACACCGCTAACATGCCCAGTTCGCCCGCTATGGCATCAATTCTCAGATATCCGTCATGGCATACGACCCCGTTCAATCCCTCCTCGCTGTTGGTACCAACGAATCCCGCTTTGGTCCTGGCAAAGTCTATGTCTTTGGTCAGAAGCGAGTCTCCGTCGTCTTCACTCCTCCACGCCCCTCCTCCGTCCGAGAGCTCCAGTTCTGTGCAGACAAGTTGGTCATGCTCGACTCCAAGAACGATGTCAGCATCTTCAGTCTCGAAACAAAACACATGGTTGCCAATTATGCCCCACCGGGTCATGTCACCGCAATGCTCACAGACCCCAGCCTAGACTGGTGTCTGTCAGGCCTTCAGAACGGTGAGTGAAACTTTTCAAGAGATCAAACCCGTTTACTATACCTCATTCCCTGACTCATTCATCACAGGAGATATTGTCGCATATGATCTCGACCGACAGTCCATGGCTCCATTCAAAATCCCCAACCTGTGGAGAGAACGAAACCCGAGAGCTAGGATCCTCCCAGTCGTCTCTTTGCAGCTTCATCCCAAGGATGTGGGCTCCCTCCTCATCGGCTACTCCGAAGGCGCCGTTCTCTATTCCTTCAAACAAAACAAACCCCTCAAGTTCTTCCAATATGACCTTCCTGCTGGTGCTCCTGGCGGAAACTCGGATCCTGCCCTGGTCAACTCCAACAGATCTCCCCGCCTGACACACGCCATCTGGCATCCAACGGGCACCTTTATCCTCACCGCCCACGATGATTCAAGTCTCGTCTTCTGGGACCCTCGAGATGGACGTGTGATCCACGCCCGAACAATTCAGGACTCCGATATCAATATGCCTCGCAGCTCCTCCAGATCACACCCTGCCAATCTTGCTGTCAAGGAACCCTTTGTGAAACTCGCCTGGTGCTCCAAGGAGAATCCTGATGACACAGGTCTACTGTTCGCCGGTGGCATCCCCACCACCGCCCCGAACAAGGGCCTCACCTTTATCGACCTTGGTGTCACCCCCAATTACCAGACCTCGACATGGGACTTTCTCGCCAATCACTTTAGAAATCCCAAGAGAATTCACATGCTACCAACTCCTCCCAATACCACCGTCAACACTTTTCTGACCGTTCCTCGTACTTCTCCTCATTTCGCTGGCGCTCATGACCCCATAGCCGTCCTGACCTCACTATCCTCGGGAGAACTCCTAACATTGAGCTTCCCTTCTGGCCACCCCATCACCCCAAGCAATCAACTACATGTCTCCTTGACATTCGTCCACCCTTTCGTCACCAAAATTGCCCTCGCATATGTCGATCGAACGAGGTGGCTGGGCATGAGAGAGGTTCGACAACATGGCCCCAATTTTGTGACTGGTGGGGCTGAAGCGACACACTCACTCAAGCGACACGAGAACAGAAACGTCGTCCAATTGGCTCATGCCGATGGTGTGATCCGCGTCTGGGACGCTGGTCATGGTGACGCCATTGAGAACAGCGGCGTCATTCAAGTTGATCTTGGTCGGGCCGTTGGACGTTGGGACCAACTTGATGTCGCTCAAATGAGCATGTCTGGTGCCACCGGTGAACTCTCCGTGGGCCTGAGAACTGGTGAATTGGTCGTCTTTCGTCTGAATCGTAATCAGTCTGCAGGCCAGCCGCCTGCAGAGCCTGGTCAGAATGAGGGCCCCGGACGAATGACCGACATATCCAAACGTGCAGACCCCGGCTTGAAAGAAGGTCTCTTGCCCCTGACATTGACCAATGACCAGCAAGGCCCCGTCACAGCCTTGCGTCATTCAGATGTGGGATTTGTCGCAGCTGGCTATGCCGGTGGCGGCGTCACTCTAGTCGATTTGCGTGGTCCGGCCATAATACATACTGCCCTTCTCCAAGATGTGGCAGGGGGCGGAAAGCATAAGAGGGTTAGTATCCACCATCGAGGCAGTTCACAACCTCCCGCATCGGAATTTGCTACGTCATTAGAATTTGGCATCATGACCCTCGAAGGCGACGGTAAGTTAGACCCTGTGGCTTCTCATATTCATACTAATAGCTCCGCAGATTACTCCTCAATCGCCTTATTCGTTGGAACATCACGTGGACGTGTCGTCACATTCAAGATTTTGCCTTCGCAGACTGGCCGCTATTCCGCACAATTGGCTGGAGTTACTCAGATCTCAGAAGATAGAGTAATCTCGCTGTGTCCGATCGATGCCATCGCTGGAAGCTCAGTCACGGCCACCGGCCAAGCGATGGGAGGGTTGCAGTCTGGTCGCAAGGTCGACGGTGTTTTGGTAGCCACAACCGCATCGTCGGCTCACATATTCCGCCCTGCCAGCTCCAAAGGAGCCTCCAAAACCTTTGACAATTATTTTTGTGATTCAGCCACTGTGGCACGATATGAAGATCGTGGCTATGCACTTGTTGGCCTCTTCGGTGATGGAACAGCACGCGCATTTTCTCTCCCAGCACTGAAGGAAATCGGAAGCACCCGAGTCAATCATGTTCTCGAAGCAAACAGATTTTCTGAAGCTATTGTCACTCCGACTGGCGACATTCTCGGCTGGGCCGGCCCGAGCGAAATCGCCATTATTAACTGTTTTGGCGCTGGTTTGGCTCTTCCTCCGAGTCTCGATCGACTTTATGACCCTGCCAAAATTGTCCCTCCGCGACCGACAATCAGCAATCTACAATGGATTGCAGGAACCCAATACATTACTCCGTCCGACATGGATCTACTAATTGGCGGCCCCGACCGACCAATGTCCAAGAGAATGGTGGCTGAGATGCGTGCCGCTCAAGAGGCCGAGTTTCAGCGACAGCGAGAATCTGCACGTACAGGAAAAGCGCCGGCCCCTGATCCTAACCAAGAGGGCTATTGGGCTTACATGCAACGGCAGATCCAAGAGAGAACTGAGAATCTCGGGCTGGCAGGTGACAGCATGGATCGCACAGCCGAAGCCAGTCAATCTTGGAGCGATGGCGTGAACAGTTATATCAAAAAACAGAAAAGACAGGCAGCTATTGGCTTCATTGGTTCGAAGTTTGGACTTTGAGTTCTCTCACCTGTCCAACAACCAACGATCCTAAGTATGTGCCATGGTTTGTGACCGACACCCGCGACATGCAACTAGATTTAAAGCCAGATACCCACGTCTTGACAGAATTAAGCCATATTTCTTCTCCTCGTTTCACATTTTGACTGCCTCGGCCTCGCCGATGTTGTTCCTTTGTCCAAAAGTCCCCCAAGTCACACGCAACGCAAGTTATGCCTTCATTTCTTAGGAAGGGAGAACAAAGAACCAATGACTCTTGACATGCAAACAATCAGAAGGCTAACCAGCACTGGCAAGGTCGTCGCCAAATGACCATCTCTCATGGCCGCAAACGACCATCTCGAAAGCCTTGGGCAATCAAAACCAAGTGTGTGGGTGACTGGTCTCGGCCTGACCTTCTGGACGTGGGAATTCTGGAAGCCGATTGTTCATTTGCCAGCTATAAACTCCCACATTCCTGACAAAGTTCTGGAAGCTTGTGAGAACAATTGACACGCTTCGACGACTCCACCGTTGTTCAAGTCTGCTGTATTAACATTTGGTGACTCGCTTCTCCTTAGACGGGCCAGCCATTTTATGCTCCCAAAATGAAGAAACTCGTCCGCTCCATCTCTACTCGGCGTCCCAAATTTGGATCTGAACTCACCACACCAACAACACCGACATCATCTGATCGAGCACTGTTCTTCCTCACGTCGACGGGTATCCTATCACCCACAAAATCGGACCATGCTCACTTTTCAACACCAAGCTTAATTCCCCCTAACACGACTCTATACTTCCCACAATGTCCACATAGCACACCGCCGACACCACAACCGGCAGGGATGGCCGTACCATTAGCTCTCAAAGCTCAAGCATCAGCGGCATCATCAGCCCCATCCACACCATTATCCTCCACCCTGGACAATTCTATCATCCATTCCCCAGCATCAAACACTTCTCACCGGGAAGAATGGGATCGCATCGACATCACCAGTCACCCATCCGTCGCTTCACCAATACATGAATCTGCCTTTCCTTCGCCTCAATTCTTCACCTCACCAAAACGCTGCTTCGACTGTACAATATCCTTGGCACGCACAACGCAGAAAACAACCCATCAAGCCTTTGACCCCAAAATCCAAGCTGCGAGACAAGCCTTGAGAGTAGCCATGGCCGCAGAACAAGCTGCTGACGACACCACGCCAGATCCCGCTAGGTTGAGAGAATGGGTCTCTCAAGCCAAAGGTCTCGTCGGGGATTTCACCGCCCAGCGAGACGCCGAGGTTAAAGCTATCTGGCACGATGTCATCAAGGCATGGGAAGGGGGAGTGAGAGAAGTGATTAGAGATGATGGGACGGGCCAGGGTTTGGAGTTGTGTAGGTTTAAAATGGTCTATGTTGATGTAGATCCTCTGGAGGAAAGTGAGGTCACCACCCAACATACTCCGGCTACGGATCTTGCTCAACAAGTTGGTTCGTCGTTGGAAATTCTAGATGGATGGAAGGTCGATGTTGAGTGGCATACTCAATGATATATGATGAGAAAAGGAATTCGAATCAAGTAGCAAGGCTGAACATTTCAGATTTCTTTGATCGTAATACATCTATCTTCCTGTCTAAGCTATTCAAAGTCACTTGTACAATATTTCAATAACTCACCACCAAATGCCACGAGAACCACTCCCCCCGTCCCCCGATAAAAGATCAATAACTAATATACAATATCCAATATCCAATATCCAATATTCAACGCCCATGAAAATCAAAACTAAATGTCCAATTCTAATTGCGATCACAACCCCTTCGAATCAATACTCTTTCCCGCCGCCCTCGTCACTCTTCCATGCGTCGGTATCGGCGCTTGTACATATTGTCTTTGAATCCCTTCGACTGCAGACAATAATTCTCGGTTTCGTCGTGTATTGGCTCTGCGACGGCGGCGTGCTTGTTTACGTGGTTGTTTCCCCACCTGTTGTTTCCTTGCTTGTTTTCCTGGTGTCGCTGTCTTGGATGATTTACCAGCAGCCTTTCCCTTTCCCTTAGCGTTGGTGGTCGTCTTGGTCGTCTTGGTCGTCTTCCCCTTGGTCTCAGTCTTTGCAAACGTGACCGTTTTCCCCACCTTTGATGCCGTCTTCTTAGCCAAACCAGCTGGTTTCTTACCTGTTGGCGGTGGCGGCGGCGGTGGCGATGGCGATGGCCGTGGAATCGCTATGGATATCGCTGGTAACTTTGGATACCCGTTCTCACTCAGTTCCACGACCCGGCGCGGAGGTGGTGGTGGTGGCGGCGGTGGCGGCGGTGGTGGTGAAGGTGGTGGTGGAGCTCGTGATGCAATTCGTCGTGTCCGGAAATGAATTTCGGGTGAATATCGTCTTGGAGTGACGGGACGACGTTTCGCGTGTTTGGGTGGTGATGGCGGAGTTGGCATTTTACGAGGAATGGGAATCCGTTTGGGAGCAGGAGCAGGAGCAGGAACAGGAGCAGGACCGGGGGTTTGATTGCGGGCTGGTGATGGACGTTGTTCTTGACTTTGTTCTTGCCCTTGCCCTTGCCCTTGCCCTCGCCGCCCTTGCTGTTCCACCACCTCCTCATCGTTGTTTTCGTCAATGTTCCGTTCTTCTTCTGGTTCCTCAGGAGTCGGTTCTAGAGGGGCCAGGGCGGCAGCAACAGCACTTTCAAGTGCCTGAGTTCGACGACGACGACGTGCTTGAAGCCTACCTGGTGCTGGGGTAGGGGTTGAATTTGCACGGCGGAAAACAGGAAGTCGTGGAGGAGGACCTAGTTGTGCCGTATGCGATGGTGGTGCGGGAAGTCCCGAGTTGATGGGTGGTGCTGGATTTCCTATATAGGGTTGATATGCTGGATGTCCTGGGTATGCTGGATAGTTTCCCGGATTTATCTGCCACGTAGGAATAGTTGAATTCAGTAAAGGAAGTCCTGAGTTGATTGTATCCTGCAAAACATTTGGAACAGCCGGGCCAGTATTGTCGTTGTCGTTGTTATTATTGTTGTTATTGTTGATATCAATGGTGCTGCTGCTGCCGCTGCTGATAGGTATAGCATTATCGATCGCCTGGCCGGGTGGTTGCGAGTTTTGTCTCTGTGTTGCCGGAGTCGACGATGATGGTATAGCCACAGGATTGATGAAGCTTCCTTCTCCTTCTTGTACCTCTGGTTCGGGCGCATCAGACCTTGGGAGCGGCCGAGGACTACTGTGCCGGCTTCGGGGTCTAAGTGTCTCGGGTGACATCGATTCCGTAAGCCAACGGGGGTCGGTTCGTGGTTGGAATGTCGGTCTCCAAATTGGTACCTGGTTGGGACTCAATCGTTCACCTTGGTTATTCCATGGGGGCACCGAGGGCCGACTTTGGGATGATGATCCATTGCCATTGTTGGCACTGTTCTTGCTGCTGCCCTTGCTCTTGCTCTTGCTCTTGCTCCTGCTGTTGCCGGTAGATGGCACAGAACCATTAGACCGCGATGGCGGCGAAAGAGGCGGCAAACTGGCCTGTGGGGGAGGTTGAATGTCAGTTCTAGCGGTCATAGAAATAAGAAGAGTATAGATTGGCTTACCATCTCTCTTTCTCTTTGTCAAGCCTTCTGTAAGAAGTTGGTCTGTTAGTTCGGCGGCGCGCAACGAGTGTGACTCAGGATGGAGGAATGTCGCTGCGGAAAGTAGGAAAATCCAACTGAACGAGAAGACAACAAGTTCTTTAAGTCGAAAGAGAGGGATCCAATGGTAAGATAAAAGCCGAGCGAAAGAAAGAATAGAGTGAAAACGCTGACAACATCGTATGACACGGTCATAGACATAGAAAGACACATGAAGAGAAAGAACCACAGTCAACGCCGTTTGCGTCAGTGAACAACAAAACAAAAAGAATGATGATAGAGAACATTGTATTGAGCCATTGGCATGCGTAAATGCCGGAAATTGACAGGCAGTATAGGAATGTTGGTGGAATTCCTTGCTCACTCCTTGTTCACTTCCTACCTGTCCCACCTGTTGATATTCTGATCCCAACAGGCCTAGACTAATAATGAAGTCGGCCCAAACAAATCTTGTATTGATCATACATTATCCCCAACCGTTGTAAGTACTCATTCGTGATTTCGTAGATGGCCAAGGCATATTATATGTAGATTGTCTTCAAATCAAAAGAATCTCCCGGGTGATCGTATGTGGCTGATATAGTTTCTTCTCGACTTCATTCTGATAACGTCTTCAAGAGCGTTAATTGCCGAGCGCCACACCCTCCATATCTCCAAGTTTTGCGGCCAGAGAAGTGTCGTAGAAATTGAAATAGGGGTCTGGGATGCAAAAGGTCGAATGACGAAGCAGGACGTCAGCCGTAGGCCGGTCAGATGGATTACTATTCTTCAGTCAGCCTTGCATGCGTAGCATTAGGGATAGGGGACCACTCACACTTGAAAACAGTCATACATAAAGTTTAAACCGTCCATCGTGGCTGTCGATTGCACATCTTCAGGTATAGGAGGGGCCTGTCCAAGACTTCCAAGTTTGAAGATGGCGCCAATTGCTTCTTCGCGGCTCCATGGTCTTTTACCCGCAAACATCTCCAGGACCACGCAGCCAAGTGACCAGATGTCGACCTTGGCACTATACCCTTGTCCTTGGGACCGGACAACTTCAGGGGCCATCCAGAACACTGAACCTTGCATACTGTTGGTGACATCGTTGCCATAGATGTCATCAGATTTCTTTGAGATGCCAAAATCGGAGATCTTGCAGCTTCCGTCCAAGTCCAAAAGGATGTTGTCTGCTTTGAGATCACGATGCAAGATGCCTTCGTTATGAAGATATGCCAACCCTTCGAGTGTTTGTCTTGTCAGAGATCGAACAACAGGCTCTTCGAATTTGCCATGTTTGCGAAGACAGCTGCCGATGGAACCACCCGAGATGTATTCAAGATAGATGCTGATGGAGAATTCTTTCCGTTCGCAACCAAGGTATTGCACGATATTGGGGTGCTCGAGATCCTTCATGGTATCGATTTCGACATCCAGCGCAGCCACCATTTCTTTGATTCGGTCTTTGTCGTGAGCAGCCACCTTTTGGTTCACTTCCACCTGTTTGACGGCCAAGAACTCTCCAGTCGTGGCATTCATTCCAAGATACACGCGGCCGAAAGTTCCCTTCCCAATCAACCGACCACGAACAATCTTGAAGGTTGCCTGTCGCTTTGGCATGTCATCCGAAGGAACTTCTTCTTGTGGTATGGGATCAAGGGTCGACAGTCGATTCCCAGCCTGAGGTTTGATTTGCACGATGTTGGCTCCAAACATTTTGGTGCTCTTCCGTCGAACAACACTACTAACATTCGCTTGTTGGGCACGAACGGCGATCGACGGAGCTCTTGCAATGTCATTGCGTTTCTGAGCAACTTCACGAATGGACTTCATGCGACCGAGGCCACCTGCCTTCTTCACTTGCCTTTGGGCGACACTGGCGACTTTGTCGCGGTCGTTTGCCTTCAATGTCGACTCGTCAGATCCAAGAGTATCCGAATCATTTCTTCGTTCAAATCCGAGATTCAACCCGTCGGTGCCAAAAGTGACTCCTTTCATATCACGGGGCACTCGCTCCAGGGGGTCCTTGTCTGCTGCTTTCATGGGCGAGTTGATGTCTCCTTTTACTTCCAGGTATGGCTTGTCAAGGTCCACGCCAGGGAAAAATTCGTCGAGATGATCCACCACATTCTCTACCGCCGGACGGTTCGCCCAAATATTACTAACAAAAGAATCACGGCGGTTCATACGATCATCAGGAGATTGAGCCGAGCCGCTGAAGGAACCATCCGACATGTTGCGGCCATACCCATCCACGCTCATATCTGCGCTGGCCTCACCGTTGTTCTGAACAAGGGAAACACCGCTGGATGAGCCTGGCGATTTGAATCTGACATTCTTGGCAACATCTTGATCAGTGTCGACCGTCAAGGCTGGTCGTTGATCTTTGTTACCGAGCATTTGGGTGTCAGTTTTGTTTAATGACTTGTTTGCAATCGGAATGGCAAAAAGGCCATCGTCAGAATCGTCATCCGAATCTTCGTCCTTTGGTTGTGGGTTTGGTGAGGCGGCGAACGACACATTCGTCTCCTTGAACTCAAGATCTGGGCCATATGATTTGCGACTTTGGATTCCGGGTCGTGGAGAATTGTCACTGGCCGGGCTAATGCTCGGAGAGCCATCGAAGCGTCTCACATGGTCAACGGTTGGGTTACGCAAGCGAGGATCCTGTGGCAAAGCATCGTAGCCATCGTTGTAGTTGGGCGTATTGAAGTATGATCCTCCCTGCGCCCACATATGAGACGGACGCTGTGATCCACTGGAAATTCTCTTTCCATTCTGGTCGTATTGAGGTCCCTGTAACGGAAGATCTTTGCTTTGCGAACGACTGTGGCTGCCCACAGTCGCAGGAGCGCCGGCCATCTTGCCGACATTCGCAAGGGCAGCACCAATGCCTCCGGCTGCAGGTGACATAGAACCATGAAGCTTCCTCTTGGTGCGATCTTCTTCCTCCGCGATGGGATCAGACTGGCGCTTGAGTGCGTCTAGTGACGAGCGAGTCCCTGATCCTCTTGCCCTCAAAGAGTTGACCTTTGTCAAGGTGGTCGATTCAGACGGAGCAGTCGGTGGCTTACGCATTGGAACGAGATTGTCTACCTTTTTGTCCTCGAATGGCGACAATCTCGGCGCATCAAAGTCGATGACACCGTTACCTCTAATGCTGCTACTGCCGCTGTAAGTACTTGACTGTTCTTTCTGTGCTCTGCGAGATTCCAAATATGCTTGTGACTTTGCCTCTGTTTGGCGTCGGTACTCTTCAGCTCGTCTTTGCAATTCAGGATCCATTGTCATTTGGTCGCGACCAGACGTGCCGGAGATGTTTGTTTTGGCCGTGCCTTGACGTGGTCCAAGAGACACTCCAAGTCCATTGGCTGAACTTGAAGCGCCTGGCCCGGCGGACAGGGTTGGGCTCTGAACGTACAATTTCAAGCCTCCGAAATTATCAGCTCGAGACTTGATAGCCGCAAGGTTATTGTCTGAGAGGGGAGTTTCGTGCTCCGTTTGACCAGGCTCGGTAACATACATGTGAGCGTATTCTGCGTCTGGAATGCCTAATTCGATACAGATGAGGCTACGCAAGGCGATTGCAGTTTCGACGTCAGTCACGTCAACGAGACGGTAATTCCAATGGTCGGGTGTGACAAAAATGTATCTTTTGTTGATGGTTTGTGTGCGACGGGGAGGGAAGAAGGCTCTTTCATCTTCGGAAATGACTGTGGCTGAGGAGGGACGTTGGGCCAAGGCAGAATCGCTCCCATTAGCTGAAGGTTTTGAGAAAATCTGGCGAAATCCTGGACTGGTGGGCGATTCCGAGCCGTGCTCATCGACAGTTGGGGGAGCAGCATCGTGCTTCTTCCGGATGAATTTGCTGAGGAAACTCTTGCTTTGATCTTTTCCTCCGGGGCCAGGTCCATGTTCACTGCTCCACGCACGATGGGTGTCGAGAGGAGATGGTCTAGTGCCTTCATGGGCATCACGCCGGTCCGCATAGAACCGATTTCCGGCCTGACTGTCTGAAAAGGTGACACTTCGACTCGAATCCTGCGCAAGAGGGATATTATTGGAGACGGATCTGGGATGGCTGGTCATTTTACTCATAGAATCCGTACTATTGCTCTTGGAATGCTCTGGGCGGAATGTGTGGGAGTTGTGCGAGCTCTGCACAGGAATGGCGACCCCAAGTCCAGGGCTGGCGTTTGGTGAGGCATCGAATGGCTTGGGGAGTAGGGCGGTTGAACCATCACCAGAGAGATTGGGACTATGGCGCCCGCGACCACCAAGTCCCGACAGAACCCCACGGCTGTGTTCTGGCCGCCCGTGAGAATGCAGACTCTCGGCAGGTTTGCTGTCGTTGGGAGTTGACGATGCACTACTATGCTTACTGAAAACTGGCATGGTGCTGCTTCGGTTTTGAGAATTGCGAGGCCCCAGACTCGGGGGAAACGGTGCTGGCATCTGTTTGCCCGGACTTCCATCAGGACCTGCAGTGCCTGGCGCGCTGGCGAGATGAGGGGAGTTCTCCAGTGTACCATCTGTAGAAGCGCTTGGAAGGAGGCCAGACTCTCGTCGAACATGTCCAGTTCCGGCGCTAGCAGGACCTTCTCCACCCTGTTCAACGAGGCGAGAAACCAACTTGCGTAACCTCTTGCCTTCTTCTCGCTCACGAGCTTGATCCCAGCCAGTGTTACTGTTGGAACAGACCTTGGCAAGTTGTGGGTATATTGTCTGATGCATCATGCTAAAATTGCCACGTCCAGCAGGACCCCGGCCCAACTCTAAGAAGTCTGAACCCTGTAGCTTGAGAATTTTGAATGTCTCTTGCCAATCGCTGGAGAAGCCGTTGTTGCTGAGCCATAAGATAACACGATCAAGATTCCAGAGTGAAGCCAGTTCACTCGATGGCCCACTAGACACAGCGGCGCTAAGAGCTCTTTGGCGGCCGTGATCGCCATGAGGGTTTTGGAGGGTGGCAGTGGGCGGGCCAGGAGACAGTGGTTCGCTTATATCTCTTAGCGGGAGGCTGAAGGCAGGACGGCCCGAAGATGCGGAAGAGGCGCGAGTTTCTCTGTTTGCGATGTCGGGGTTTGGTTGGATAGGATTCGGGTAGGAGTAACTATGGGACATGGTCCCATCGGAGTATTTTGGCTCGTAATGGGAGTTTGTTGGCTCAGAAGTCAATTGAGCATCGTATCTCGAATAGGATGACCAGTCGTCGAGAGGCGGGATGCCCACACCAGGGCCAAAAGAGTCACCGGTAGGGATGAAGGTGGCGGAGAGGATAGGTTTATCGTTCTGAGGAGGTGGAGGGGGGATATTGAGGTGGGAAGGCTGTCTCATGCCATAACTCTGATGATGACTGATTGGGGGAGGTGGAGGGATATTTTGACCCATGCCTGAACGTGTCCATGGCTGTTGCCAACCCGCCCCCGGAAGTCCGTAGACCGTCCCCAGTGGCATACCATGATTAGGGTGGGGACCTGGAGGTGGTGGGGGGAGAGAGGATTGAGGGTACGGACGCGGAGGCGGGGGAGGTAGATGGCTCAGAGGGTTTTGAGATGGAGGAGGTGGTGGACCAGGGATATATTGTTGACGTTGATTGTCCATGATCTGACTACTGGAGACCATTGCCCAGGTAAGGATCGGGCTTGGTGGTCGAGTTTATGCTATTAGGACTGGTCAATCAGAGGCCCAATCTGTGCTGTGGCTCGGGATCATAGGGCATCATAACGGTGGCAGCCGAGTATTGATGTCGCAATGCTCGGGTTGACCCTTGCGTAACGTTGGTCTCGATAGGGAACTCAATGTCCAAGAACCGACTGCGAGAAATGGCTTGGGAAACTAGGTTTGGAGGATTTACTCCATGACGGACGAAGAAAGACAGTCGAATCTCTGAGTATCGAATAAGTACGAGACGTAGGAATTAGAGTGATACGAGGGAGGGCGGTGCTGGAGGTCTAATCTCACTTGCAGAAGAGATCAGATTAGGAGCAACAAAGAACGGCGCGCCGGCCAAGAGAACACCAAAAAGACGACAAGTAGAATGGCAGATAGAGGGAGCGAGGAGCATGAGGATGCAAAGACGGTAAGGTCGCTGTCGATGTCGACGTCAATGTGGATTGAGGTGGAGGTGGTGGCGGTGATGTTGTCGCAGTCCGAAGACGAGGCCGCACGCTCTTGCCGTGTCGCTTGTTCTGGCCAATGAGAGGCCAGTACAAAGCGCGTAGACAATCAGATGCCATGCCAGCCTCGTCATTTCTGATTTCAATATGGATTTCTTTCATCTTGTCAATGATCATCCTTTGATCCACTGATCAGACCCACAGGGATCTTTCTACAATGTCCTGTCCACCATTATCTGCACCTCCACAGCAGCTTGGACAATCCACGATGGGACAAATGCCATCGATGTCATCACAATGGCCTCACCTCCCACGATAAAGAACTCATGATCTCTTTGTCGCCTTTCCCTTTACCCATACCTATAGACCTTCCTGGCCCCTTTATCGACTCATCTCCACTCAAGATGACCTTGAAGCATATATATATATATATATATTACCATCAGTGTCCAATTCGGTTTCTTCTCCCATCCATCAAGGATTCAAATCTGCAAACAGAGGACTTTTGAAGAGCCAGGGCAATCACTGGCCAGCAGCCACTGAGATAAAAAAAAATTTATACCTGTCACCACCAAACACCATAAACTATTTTACGATCCATGGCAGCCCCCACCCCCGAGCCGTCCACACCGGACTATCCAGATTTCGGCGACCCTGCGGACCCAGCAACTTGGCTCGTTCGTGAGGGTGTTTCTCTTAGTGGTCTCGTCAGTAAACTAGCATTGACACCGAAGTCAGTGATGTCCTTGCACGGCCGTGTCGACCCTACATGTGTATACACCGCGGTTCCCAGCCCCCGGGGATTGACAAAATCCAAGTTCGAGGCGCAAATCGAAAGTAAATATCTTGAGTGGCTTGAGGCGAAGATAAGAACTGTTTCAGGTCTAGAGAAATTTCTCTCTGAATCAACTACTGATCCTAGTGAGAGATCTGACCTTGGGACGCAACAATTCCTTCTGAACCTGTTGAGTGCGGCACTGACCGTACAGGCGAATGGCATCTTCCTCTTGGCGCTGAGATCGGTGGGCCTTCGCTATGAGGCTGATATCTTTGCGGATCGCCTCGATCGCTTGGATTATTCTTGCCGGAAGGAAATCTGGAGCAAGGTGCAAGAACATCGTGAGCGCATGGACTTTCCTCTTAACCTGCTCCACGGTAAGCTTGTACAGGAGGATTCTTCCGCTGGCATTAGAGACTACCTCCAAACACGTTTTCCCGACCTATACAAGACCCCAGAACGAGACCAAGACGATGATGACTGTCCTATCTGCAGCTGCGACCTGGACACAATCCAGGCCATTATGCCTGTCACTCGTTACCTTGAGCCCGATCGGAGTATAGTGGTCTGGGAACTTGAGGATCTGGCGCACCGGGCAGTTGCCCTCGAGGGACCCTTAGACACCCAAACTGGCGCTTCCAGACTGGCCACGATCCTCCGAGAGAAGTCCAAGAAAATCGCGACAAATTGTTGGAAGTTTGCCCAGAGCTTCTCCGTCTGCGCCCAAATTGCAGGTTCGACCAAGTCACTACGGTCGGCGCAGGGATGGGGATCACTCGTCACATCTTTCAACACCGCCCAACTTCAAGCTCCACCGGCTCCGACATTGCAAGGAACCATCAAAGTTCCTCAGCAGGTCGTGTCCTGCGGAACCTGCAAGAAAGGCTTTCACAGCGAATGCCTCGGCTCATGGCTTGCAACTGGAGGTAACAGCTGCCCACATTGTCGCGCAGATATGACCCGTGACTCGTTCAGATCCTGGTTGAAGCTTACCAACACCCTTTGCGCGGCTGCGAGGAGACAAAGGGAAAGTGCATACGTGAAGGTGCTGAGGGAGCATGGAGACTTTTGAGATGATGATCGATTGATCAAGTTAATACAAGGTAAGTTGGACCGTTGCTCATGGGAGAATCACATCGCCATTCAGTCATAGAAGACATAACCTTGACCACAGTGGTCAGTACTACCAGTAAGTGTCAGCAGAGGTAAGTCGAGAAGACCAAGCAAGGTAAGAAAAGTATTCAATGATTAAACCCACTCCTTCCATCCCCTTCCCAACCGAGAACCCATGCCATTCCCCTCGAAAAAGGAACCCAGCAGCAGTCGTCGTGAGGCCAAAGCTTCATGATGCCTAAATATAGCGCCGGGACCATTGATGAACACTTGAACTCCATAACTTACGGCCTACTCTTACGAATAAATAGACATAGCAATCTTTTGATAAAGAAATACCCTATCTAGATTGCCTTACCCCTCCAAATTTAATATTCCAAGGTCCCAATGTATCCAATCAAGAGAAACTCCCAGAAACTCCCAATCACAAAATAAGCATAAAAATGACTAATCCCTCCAGCTTGACGTCACCTCAGCTGGAGAAGGGAAGTACATACATTTGGTAAATAACGTCCAATATCCAATATCCAGTATCTAGACAACCAAGAACAGCACATCATCTATACATTTCCATTTTTATGTCATATCCTTATACCATCCAGGTCCAGTAAGCCCTAAACCGCCCCCCCGAGAATGCCTCCAAAACCCTACGCCATCATCGCGGGCGTTGGCGCCGGCACTGGCGCAGCAGTCGCGAAACGTTTCGCAAAGGCATATTCAGTGGTACTACTATCTCGAAGTACTGACAGTTTCTCGGCATTGGAAAAAGAGATTAATGATTCGGGAGGTGATGCGGTTGGAATTGCGACTGATGTTGTAGATGAGAATGGAGTTGCGAATGCGTTGAAGATTGTGGATGAGAGGTTTGGGAGGGATGCGATTTGTACGGTGAGTTAGTATCTACCTCCTTTTATTCCTTCATACATCTAGATTCGATCCAGTTACTGTATATGTCTACCCTACCATGTTCTGTTCCTTTCTGCTAGACCAGTGTGTGGACCATACTCATTGACACCCCTCTGATACTATCTATAGGCCGCGATATTCAATGCTGCTGGCAAGCTTGCTGTCAAGCCCTTCCTCGAATTAACGACTGATGCTTTTCTCGCTCCTCTGGATGTTAATGTGTGAGTTACGATTTGTTCCGTTATGTGTCTCTTCCTTCAGAACATGCATCTTCCACACCTTAATCCCCCCGCCGTAACTAACCAATCTTGAATTCCCTTTCCACACAGTAAAGGTGGTTTTCACTTCTCGCAGGCCATCCTCCCACGCCTGCTCAGAACGGCCGAGTCCTCCAAAACAACAACCTACCCACCGACTTTGATCTTCACCGGCGCCACAGCGTCGCTTAAAGCATCGGCGAATTTCTCCTCTTTTGCCGTCAGCAAATTCGCTACACGTGCACTGGTCCAATCGCTGGCGCGCGAGTTTGGTCCAAAAGGTGTCCATGTTAGTCATGCGATCATCGACGGTATCATAGACACTCCGGCGACCAAGGACTATATGAAGGACGCTGGGCCGGATGCCAAGATTGATCCGGAGACGGTGAGTGTTTTTCCAATAGTGTGGTAATTAACCTTGCTGACAAGGGGTTTCAAGATCGCCGAGACGTACTGGTATCTACACACCCAGCCAAAGTCGGGATTCACACATGAATTGGAAATCAGACCTAGCAGTGAGAGGTGGTAGGAGTTTCGTCCATTGATCGAACGTGCGGTCCAGAACAACGATCAAGGCAGGATATCATGAAGGCGTCTAGCTTGTGACATGGAGCGAAGGGCTTGGAACTGTCAGAAGTGGTGACATTTCTACCATATCCAGGATCTTGGTGGCGATATTTTGCTGATAGGAGAATTGACTGCTTGATGTTCAATATGGTCTGTATCTTCCTTCTGTGTGTTTCTTTGATTTGGAAGTTTTGGATGGCGTAGACGAAGAAGCATCACCTTCAGAGGCACGGAATGCGGCAACTTGGCCATCCTCTCCGGCAGTGAAGACGACACCGGTCTGTAACAAGTCAGGGCTGTTTGAAACAATCGCGACAATGGCAATGGAATTATACCTGTTCATCCACATAGATGGATCGCACTATTTCTCCACCGTGGGCGCCGTGGAGGACGACTCGTCGGGTGAGGTCAAGCCCAATGCCACGTCTTACCTTGACCAGGTCGACCTGTGAATGACTAGTAGCATATGGTGAGTGGAGAAACCTCTCGTGCGGGAATACTCGGCATACCTGTGAGAGCCACAAGCCGTCACATAGTCTGGACCACTAGGAAAGACGTCAATGACGTATTCACATGGCACCTTGGGCCTAAGATCGCCTAATTGATCTGAGGCCGGCTTGTCAAGGTCCGAGTCGTCGAGGGTAAGAGAATGCAAGGCTAGATTCTGGTCTGAGCTTAGTGCGTATAATTCGTCTGGACCGAGAAATCCGGCCTTGTGAATAGGACCATGGTTGACTGCCTGGAGAAGACTATCATCTTCTTCGGTAATGAGGGTGTCGAAGATGCTGACTAGACCGTCGTCGCCTCCACTGAGTAGAATGTTGTTGCGAAGGGGGTGAAAGTCGAGTGCTGTGATTTCGTCGTTGTTCTCGGTATTTTGCCAACGGGGTTTAGATTGTCTTCGATCCCTTTTGGGAGAATGATCAGCATGAATGATAATTGAGAGAATTGTGGATGCCGAGGCGAGGCTCACCAGACTGAAACAACGGTTTCACTCCCCACCGCCAGATCGTTTCCTCGACACGCCAAGACATTGATAGGTTTACCTGAAGCCGGCAGTCAATATCAACTGGATCGTTTTGAGAATGAGGTAAAGATCTCGGTTGAGGTACCTGTTTGAAATTGACCGATTTGGGCTCGGGTGCGCACGTCAAAGATTGACACTAGGCCATCGACGCCTCCACATATGGCGGAACAACCATCATCAGCAACGACAAGAGAGGTTAGGTTCTTGGGGAGATTCTTGGGTGTGACGGCATGACTGGTTTGCAGGGTTGTGCTGTCCAAGAGGTAAAGGTGGTTGTTGGAGGTGATGGCAACGATGCCACGGTCGGCAGTTGGAAGAATGGTGAAGATGTAAACATCCGAGGCAGCAGGAGGACAACAACTAGCGACTTGACGATAGCTTAGTGACATGGTTGTAAAATCAGGTGGAGGCAACAGGATCAGGCTGCGGGGATAGGGTCAATGCCACCACGGGCCGCAAGAGAGACCAGTTAGATCAGAGATAGAGGCGGTGAGCCAATGTGTGTTTCAACGCAGGAGAAAGGAAGAGGTTCGTGTAGATGGTGCAACATCAGTACAGAGTCGAGTCACCGGGTTGTATGTTGTCATGTGTTTGGCAGTGTGGTCTACTGCAAGATGGAAAGGCTGTCGTGGGTGTCGACATTGAAGATTTGTGGGCCGAGCGGCGCAGAGAGTGCGTGAGTGTGGCAGTCTGCCAAGCCGGAGATGGGTTGAAGCTTAGACGTAGGTTGTGTTTTACCGTAGCACAAGTTAGGCACCTAAGCCGGCACTGGCCGGGCATGACATGGGGGCAGAGGGGCATGGCATGGGTTTGCTAGGGAAGAAGCACCCTACCCGTCTGCTGACCAACTGCACTTAAGTTAGGCGAGTACAAGGGCATGAAGGGCACCCGGGAATGGAAACGTCCGCGACCCAGATTGCTGGGACACTGCAGGCTGCAAGTTGGCTGCCTGTAGGCAGTTGGCTGTACACGTTGACCAGCCTGCAGGCCCAAGGATTGGAGAGGTTGTAACCCAGAGTACTGCCTGGTGCCCGTTCGGTTTTCTATAATGGTTCTCCAAGGGCTGTTAAAGAACTGGATGCAGCCATCCTCGTATCTTGTGTCGATCACCACTACCAAACACGATGCACATGGCCTGGGGAAAGTGATGGGCTTGATGCCGTGCAAATTCCGCGTAAATCCCCCATCGTTCCACTGGACTCAACCGAATTGTGACAGTTGCAGATGGTTCTTGCAGATCGCGACCTGAAACCACCACTTGCAGATTCCTACGTACTTAGTATATGCTGTATGCAACTTCCTATTGTCGCTTATCGGTTCTCGTCCGGGATACGGTCGGAAATTGACAGTTACCCTGCAGACATGTAAGTGGAAGTTGAATCGAGGGAGTGAAGTGAGGCCCTGCAACTAGTCAACGACCCAACACAGTACCAAGTACCTCCTATTTGGGTGTCCAACACCTAACCATCCTGTTGAATCAAACTTGTTGCATGTTAGAGGATGGGTCTGGTTGCCTCTTGTTCTCGCCAAGCCTGGATGATGTCGTCGTTTGCGGTTTCGTTTCGTGGCAATCCTAATCATGGCAACCACATGTTCAAACTTCAAAGTCAACATGCCTGCTTACAGTCATGGCTGCACACGTGGGGCCCTGGGGCGTAAGAGGGTCCAGCGCCAGTTTTTCTACTGGGAACTTTCCTTGGAGGTTTGGCATTTTGATTAATGAATCCATACCTTCCATGACTCGAATTCTGCAAATGCCTTTATCTGGAGGATTGGCTACTGCAGAGTGTTCGGACTGACATACGGAAAGTACCATGCGCAGGTCACTGCTACTGACTAAAAGATCATGCACGAAGTACTACAGACTCCAGGATCATGCTACTGCACATATACACACCAAAATTTAGGTACCTACGAAGGAGTACTTCCTGCAGCAGGCCTGAGATTAAACATCCTGCCCGTCCCGGTATTCTGGTCATGGCGTATTCAAGCTAATGGCACGGACCTTAAGCTTGGTCACCACCATCCAGTGGCATCCACCTAACTCCGTACTTGAACCGTAAACCTTGCCAACTAGTGACGATCTAGGGGAGTTATTGGATTGCCCTAACCGAACTAACACATCGAAGCGTTGATGCCTGTACGTATGCGTAGACGAGTTCGGGATTTTCACGCTCTCGTGTCAAGCGTTGGTTTTGTCTGTTGAAGCTTGTTCAACAACAGGCCTCGGAACCATCATCTCCCGAAGCTGTTATCGTCCACGGAGCAGCTGGATGACTTTCTAGTGTCGGTGGAGTGTCCAACAGTCGAGGTGATGGTTTGGGATAGGGATACTTTGGTGTGCTTGGGCTCTCGTGATTCCCAAACCCAAAGAGATGGCGGGGCCGACAGATTCTGTACTAATTACAGGCCCCCTCGGCCCTTCGGCCCACCTAAAAGATGTCAACTTAGTTAAGAAAACCATGCAAAAACATCTTTTTCAAGGTGTCAAATGCTTTGATTGGTGATACTGTAATTGTAGAACTCGCTGTATGCAACCTGGAACACGAGCCGCTAGCTAATTTTGTAGATCTTCAGCCTCTGCATTCGAGAGTGAGGCAGGCCGCAGCCTCAAGAATATCAGCCATTCAGGTTAGGTACCTGGCTACCTACCTACCTACATACCTTACCTACCTGGTACTTGACCATGCGTGTTACGTACATATCCAAGATGCAATGAATCATGCCAATGCCAATGCTACAGCAATAGAACAGTGTGCACCGAACGTGCTAAACTTGGGCATGCACAGGACGGAAGGTAACTACGGTAGTTGTGCTTGCACGTGTTGCATCGGTTGTGTAACTCTGCTTTTCTGTCGGCAAAAGTCCTTGTGTCAATCCTGTAGAATGCCACAATTGGCACAAATTAATCCTGACCAACCATGCACATGGCACGAGGTCTCGATCCAGGCCCGTTTGCTGTCACCCAAGTTGTTGGTAAATTGAACTCTGGAAGCAAGGATTGCAGGCTGCAGTCATCCGAAAGCAGTGTCTCTAGCCCAACAACTTGCAAGTTCAAACGGAGTGTGGGTGGCCTAGAGCCCCTCGGGCCTTTGGGCTTACGGAGTACTGGGTGCTTTACTACTACTTATTGCCGTGATTTAGGTTTGTCGCACGATCCCGCGCCCAGTAGAGAGCCTGTAACTCAACTCTCCGGGCATGGCGGGGCATCAGCAGTGGAAAGCAGTGGAACGAACAAGGTTAACCTAGTTGGTGTTGGCACGGGTCGTCCAGAGTCCCGACCCCTTTTTAGTCAACCAACTACTTGAACTCACCACCTGCAGACAAGGAATAGCGGACTCGCTTGCCTTCGGGACTTACGGAGTAGGGTTAAACTGAACCAGAGTTGGCCATGCCCACTGCTTGGAACCCAGTACTCTGTACCGTCAGTCTCCTTTGGCCCCAAGCCCAACCCCTCGGTTCTTAGGCTCAGGCTCAGGTGCCCCTCCCACCCTAACAATGCCCCTAATGCCAAATCCCGCCAGCCTTTCTGGGCGTTCGATGCCTCCACTTGCCGTGCACGATTAACATTGCACTATTGTTGTTGCATCGTTGTTTCCGCTATTTGGGCGACCCAAGGGTCTGGGGACTGCCTGTAGATTGTAAAAAGTAAGTTTCTAGGTATGAAGGTAAGGACGACCAAGTCTATGGCAGCCAATGCCCCAACTGCCCCCATTGCCACAACTAGTGAACGGCAGTAGCGAACTCCCACTGTCCATCCACCGTCTCCCTCCTCTTCCTCCCAACTTCGGTCCCCAGTAAAAAAGACGTGCATCTCAACTGCGGACGCCCATGATCTCTCACGCCGTCGCCTGACGTCGCATAAGCTTTGAATTTTCCTCCACTCACAACCCCTCGCACAGTGTCAAAATATATCCATACTTCCTGGCGTCCTTTTCCCAATGCAAAGCCCACTCACTTACTATTACCAGGCTCTCGTCTGTGTCTGTCTTTGACACGCCAACAGCTCCAGCGTCCATCTCCATTTTTCAGTCTCCGTTTTCAATTGTCCATTTGTCCATTGTCCATTTCGAGATTTTTGTGTCATTGCAAAAAGTCCTTTTCCGCTTTTCCTTATCTCCCTCGTTCTGCTATCGGCTGGCCGCACAATGGCCGTCTGTTGTTGTTGCTACTAGCAAACAAGAACCCACTTGACTTGACCGCTTCGCGTCCTGGTTCTGGCTAAGCAACTGGATATGCCTGACCACCTCACTAAAGCATAGTGGGACGAACTGAGTGGACTGCCGATCCGTGCTAACCGCACACGACCGTCCCGACGAACCAGGAAGGATCAATGTCGACATCGCCGGCGCATCAGACTCGCCTTGTCAAGAGTTCCTCCAGCTCTCCCGACATTTCTTTGTCTTCCATCCCAACTTCTATGCCTATGGCGGGAGCCTTCGTCGCCGGCACGGACACCGTCCGCGAGTATGGCAGAGAGTATGGCACCTTTAGAAGGTCCGCACTCCCCCTCCCACGTGCCCTCGTCCTGCTGACCTGGCAAACAGAGAACAATACATGATGCCTCACGATGACCGTGAACGAGATCGTCTAGACATTATGCACACCATGCTCAAGGTCATTAGACCCCCAGCCACCAGACTGACTTCATGCCCGACCGAAATGCTCGAACAGCCGGCGGATGGCCCTTTTGGTACTTCTCCACGAGTCCTCGATCTCGGCTGCGGCACTGGCATCTGGATGATTGATATGGCCAAGTTATTTCCTCAAGCTGAATTTGTCGGCGTCGATCTCCAACACATGGGACCTCCTAGTCTGCCTCCCAACGTCTCGGTGCGGGCCCATTGGGATTATGAGACCATCTGGTTGCTGGGAGAGCGGAGCTGGCATCTCATTCACCTTCAACTCAGTCTGGGCAGCGTTAGCGATTTGCTTGGTCTGTACCAGAAGATCCATCGCCACCTTATCCCCCGCGTCGGATGGTTCGAACACGTCGAGATCGATTTCCAACCCCGCTGTGACGATGGCACCCTCCAACCTGGCAGATTGACCGAGTGGTGGGATCTTTACATCAAGCCTGTCTACGAAGAAGGCAAGCGCCCCATTCACTATGACGAGGCTCGTATCCGCAACTCCTTCCACGCCGCTGGTTTCATCGATATCCAGCATGAAGAATACCGTCTTCCCCTCCGGGGTTGGACGAATCACCCGGACGAACAAAGGGCAAAAGCCGAGCAACGCGCAGGCTTATGGTGGAATATAGCTCAATCCTCCGGTCCTCAGAACACAAGTGGCGTTGGCATGGAAGCCATGAGTCTCGCACCGCTTTGTCGTTATGGTGGTGGTTGGACCGAAGAAACGGTTCGTCGACTATGCGACGAAGCCCAGCAGCAAGCCTCCGATCCAAATGTTCACGCCTACAATGTTGTCCATATCTGGAGAGGACGAGCCCCTTGAAACCGCTTGCGTGTGTGGGAAAAGTTAGTTTTGGCGGTACTTTGTTTACAACGGATGGGCATGGGCGGCATTTTCCATACAAAGTTCCACTCATAGCATGCCTACCGGTCTGGAAGACTGCGGAGCCTGCTCAACGTACCTGCCTTGGCGGATATGTGCTGGCGAAGACCTTGGAGGGCAGTGTCAATGCTCAAGCCAAGGCCTTGATCTTGCCGCCACATTACCAAGTCCATTGTCGACATAATTGGCCTTTCCGTTGCAATGTAAGGCCTGAGCCTCAGTCGATCGAAGAAAGACCTAGAGCACAATGATTGGACGAGAAGTAATGAGGATTGACCTCCTTGGGTGGGCAATTGGACAGTCTCCATGGACTTGGGCACCCGCAGAAAGGCTGGACCGGGTGCGCAGTTCATCCGCTTCGTCAATAAACCCAGAAGACCGGTCTGCACGATTCGTTACTGATCGAAGAAGACAGACACGTGTCCTAACATGTCCCAACACCAACATGGAGAACTCTCCCATGCTGTGACCGAGGAATGCCCTATGAAGGTGCAAACTCGAATAAGATAGCGAGGTCAGGCCAGGGAACCCCGTCAATTTGTCCCAACGGTCAAACGACCACCCGCACAAGGTTTATCCTCAACTCAGACACGCTGATCAAGACCACCATGTCAAGCACGCAAATCTCACTTATCCAATCTTTCTCGTATCAAGGAACGAAATTTAGTCCGCAGAATTGGCTACAAGGGATTTGGATGGGTTGGATTGAGTGGTCTCACCACATGACATATAGGAGTAGCCTTCTGCAGATGAGTAGCCAACTACCCCTGATCGAGGGTACGGTCAATCACTCCTTCGCTCGCAAAAAAAAAAATAGGAGCCACGATCTATGCAGGATTTCTTTCTTTAATGAGTCAAAATCAATTTCATTGATGATCATCTTGTCTGAATCCTGAGTTGATTGACTTGACTGACTGCTTGCATTGCATGATCTTAGCCGTGTGGTGGAGTACCTCTTCCTTGCTGGATCACCAGGTTAAGTGTACTTCATTTGCCTCGCATCGCATCCCCTTTTCTATCGTGAAACCTCTCTCTCCATCCACCCATCCATCCTCATTTCACCATCCAACATCCGCAAGATGTCAGATATTAAATCAGGTCAGGACAGACCCGATCAGATGAGATCAGATCAGACCATGGACACATGCTTCTTTCTTCAAGTCATTGTCAATTCACCCACTTTGGCCACCACCAATTTTCACACTCAGTCAACGACACCATCACACCAGTCCCAGTCACAAGTCACAACTGGCCAGATACCAAGGATTATTATCCATTTCTCGTCTTTTAAGCAAAGGTGCTGGGTCGGACAGGCGTGAACAGCTTCTTGTTGCTGGTGACACGGTGAGGAAGAGGGAATTTGAGGTTCTTGGAGATCAACTGCTTGATGTATGGTCGCTTGACATCGTTTTCCGAGGCGAGTTCGACAACCTTGAGGATCTGTTACAAATAGTCTTGTTAGTTCATGTCATTGGCCATAGCTGTGCGAATAGTTTTCTCCAAGAAAACAATCCATCCTTTTGTTTGTAGTTGACTTTAACTCCTCCTCCTCTTCCTCGACACATTGCGCAGCAACAAAGAAAAGAGAAAAAAATCATCTGATCTGGATCAACTTACGTGGACACTCCTGAATCGAGCACGATGTCTGGCGGCCATGTCCTGATACAAAGCCTCGACGGCATCGGTACGGCTGAGTTCTCGGTACTCCTTGTACATGTTGTGGGTGCCGGAGCGGGAATCATAACGAAGCCAGATACCAAAGTTCTTGACCTTGAGAGGGCGTTTCTCGTGGATGACGTTCAACGACACAATCTCGCCGGTGGTCTTCTTGACCTTTCGCAGCTTTTGCAGGAAATACCAGAATCGAGATTTGGCGACAACTTCATTGGGAGCGAAGATTCTCATCCGGTACAGTTTAGGGGTGGGGTTGCTGTCGGTGGGCAGGTGGCGGCCAATGACCTGGTATTCTTGGAAGCGACCTATAAGAAAAGAAAGGTGTTGTTAGTTTTCGTGGAAAATTGGAATGTTGTGTGCGTGACGGTAATCTCGTAGTGGTGATAGTGGTCGTCGTTTTGGTGTTGGATGTGCGATGTGAGAATTCCTCCTGGCTTCTTCTGTGGATGGGTTGTCGATGCGATAGAATTCCCTGGACACCACACCAGCAACAATAGCCTCCTCTTTTGCGGCGTAGCATCCATCGTTCCATGTCTCGTATATTCACTGATTCCTCAGGTCGATTCGCATTGCCGCACAAACCCCTTCAAAGCCTTCTCAAAGAAATCTCACATCGCACTCGGATCCAGACGAAAACGAAACAGGGATATCGGAAGGAGTGTAGCTTACCCATCTATAATCTTGTCAGCGGCTATACGAGTCATCAAATCGTAATAATCTTACCTTGACTGAATTGGTCGACCTCAAATGTGCTTGTCGTCGGAATGGTTAATCGCTTCCAAAGCGAAGGTTGTCTGCGCAAGATCAAAGATGGAGTCGCAGTTTTCGGTGCCAAGATTTTGAATTGTGTGTGCTTGGCAATCATCACTGATGCATGTTCGAGGGAAATTATGATTGGGTGATGGTTTGAGTGGGGCCCCCAGTCCTCTTCTGCGGATCAAATCATCTACATGTGCACCCAACGACATCAACTCTCTTCAACCTGGTTGGGCACATCACTGGTCCTTTCCAAAGCAGACCATCAGCATGAGACCGACTTGAACCCTTGTTCCCAATGAGTAGCATTTTCAGAGACTTCCATGAGGCCCAGCGGGTTGGAAATGGTCGTCTTCTCGCCTCGACTCTTGAACCTATCAACACAGCCCAAGACGTCGATCGCCTGGAATCGTTTGCCAACTTGTTCAACCACCAGTCCGTCACAGCGGATGTGAGACACTACCTAGTCCACGACAGAAATGCTGTCAAATTGCCCAAAGTTGAAATAAATGCATGGGTGGACATCTTCGTGGCATTCTGGAAAGCCGTCAGAGAAATCTCTGCCGGCAATGCGAGATATGACTCTCCGGATTTCTCGAAAGCTTTCGAAGCCTACAAAGAATTATGCAATCTCTTGATCCGAGGATATACCAACTTTGGCTTCCAGTCTTGGACAGTGCCATGCCTTTCAGCGGCAGGAAAGTACCTCAGAGTCATCGCCATAAAGGCGGACAGTCAGGGAAAGTCCAAAGACACCAATGGTGATGTATTTGCCAATGGGTTTTCCGACGACATTATGGGCGATACCAACAAAAACAAGAATCTGGAACAAGCAGCATGGATCATCAATCGAATGTTCACAGTCTGCCTGAGCGATCGATCAGAATTGGCCGAGTCACGGAAGTGGGGTATCTACAGCACCACGAATCTCCTCTTCAAGACGTACTTTAAGCTGAACTCGATTTCACTGACCAAGAATGTTCTGCGTGCTCTTGAAGCCACTGGTGGAGATCTCCCACCTCTGGAACTCTTCCCAAAGTCTCAAAGATGCACTTTCAAATACTATCGAGGTGTCATTGATTTTTTACAAGAGAACTACTCTGACGCGGAGGATAATTTGACCGAAGCGCTGAACTTGTGCCACCAGGATGCCTTGAAAAATCGAGAACGAATACTTACATATCTGATCCCAGCACATGTGGTGAATCATCATCAATTACCAACCAGCGAATTCCTTACACCATATCCAACACTGCAAAAGATGTTTATGCCACTGTTTGAAGCCATCAAAAAGGGCTCATTGGCCTCCTTCGATGAACACCTCGCAGCTTATGAGCCAGAACTGGTTAAGCGTCGGATATACTTGACGTTAGAGAGGACTCGAGACATCTGTTTACGAAATCTGTTTCGAAAGGTGTTTCTCGCAGCTGGGTGGGAGGAGACCAAAGACGTCTCGACCGGTGAAGTAACGAGCAAGATCAGAAGAACCAGAATCCGAATCGAAGAGTTTGAAGCTGGAATGCGAGTAGGCTACAAAGGTGCTACAGACGTCATGATTGATCGAGATGAAGTGGAGTGTTTTTTGGCGAACGCAATATACAAGGTAAGTCAATGGTTGAATTGTCTTTATGCAAGTTAGGTACAAGCCCTTGGCCTCATCACAGTCGTTGTGCCCGAAGGCAGCAGTCGCGACGATCTTGATGCCTGGTGCGGCTTCACATTCCGAACTCACCCGAAGGTTGTCAGGACGAGATGACTTATTCCATCTGCTGACACATTTCCTCTCTTTAGAACTTGATGAAGGGATACATTGCACGGGACAGGGGAATAGTGGTTCTGAGTAAAAGTGGCGCATTCCCCGGCACCAAACTTTGAACTATACCATCCTGGCATGAACAACGACTTCTCACATGACCACATGCGCTCCCATCCTCGCAGGCTAGATACATTGTAAGGCAAATACCAATTAGTGCCCAACAACAACGACGACGACTCAGCTTCGTCCCATGTCACACAATACCATCGGGACATGACAGGCATGAGAAACATATGTATGATACCTACATACTACAGCACACGTCTGTTTTATGGAGCTCAGCCGCATGTTGCCTCCCAAAACTCACCATCATACATACCAGAGCACACATGCTCGATGTTTGACACGATCTCGATCTCGATCTCGACCCGGCCTTGAGCACTAGAATTCAGTCACTGCCTGCGGACTCCTCAACATAAGCAGGCTACCATACGGAAGTAAGGCGGCATCTCGCATACAATAATACATCAGTGCACCGGCGCACAACACATGCGCAACCACAACTACAATCGTGTTCCACTGACTCATCCATGTGAGATGGTGAAGGAAGGGCTGTGGCTGAAATGATAGGTTATTATCCTCCGAACCGAGTACAGCGCTAGTAGCGAAACCCAAATTCGACACGAAGGAGAAGGAATCCCGGGGCGATAATGTACTGTAACATGGCACGCAGGGATGGACTGGCCCGGCTGGACAGTTTTTATTTTTGCCTTGCTTGGTCTATCTGCTGCTATCCATTTCTCAGTCTCAGTCTCTGGACGTGGATGTGGGTGTCCGGGTATCACACTCCAAATCGCCATTCATCATGTGCCTGACGTGCTTCTTTGCACGTGGACTAGATGCAAATCTCTACAGCCCTGGATCCCCTCTTCATTATTGACATGGATCCACATGTCAGGCCAGACTATGGAGTTTTCTTGATGTTGTGACCAGAGGAGCACACGAGTCAGCCAGTCACACACAAGACCTGGGAAGCTGGGTGAACGGGGGTGTCAAGGTCTCACCTTTCTATGATATTTCTTGTATGACGAGACATTATATAGCATACTACGGCATACTATAGGAGAATCCAAGCAATCCTTACTCTTCTTTCCTTTCAGGGACCTACTACCCTACCAATCAACCAGTGACAGGGTTCAGGCCACAGTGCTTTCTTTCGCCTTCGCCTTCGCCTTCGGTTTCTTGCTCCTCCCCCCCAGACCCACACACCTCTACACATATGTACTCCGTAAGGTAGGTATGTATGTATGTATGTACTCCGTACACCCGCGAGTACTCCCACACCACTTTCCGGTCCTGACAATCGTGCCATTTACTTAGTGTCCACGCCAGGCATACAAGCATCCAAGCCAGGCATCACGGTCGCAATGATGAAGCAGGCACCCAGCATGTACTGTAAAATATGTACTCGTGCATTACTTAGGTGCCTACCGTGCCTACCGTGCCTACCGTGCCTACCGTGCCTACCGTGCCTACTCAGTCCGTTCAGCCTTTTCTTGCCGTCTCTTCCGCTGCCGTGATACGTCTACTTACAGTTACTACTTACTTTGACCCTATCTACCCCATTATTCAGGTAGACAAGGATTCGAGACCATCCCTCATGAAATTGGTTGGTTGGCATTGACTGTCAAGATTACCTTTCCAAACTAGTGCCACTTTAAGTCTCTCTCCTGCCTGGCTCCGTCCTGTCCGGCGTCCGACTCATGGCTTAACGGCCTAGACAGACGAGAGCCACCGGGGAGGGGGAAGGGGGGGAGGGTGCCTACGATGGCTTGAGGGTGGGACGCAGCTCTTAGGTCGGGTAGAGGTGAAAACGACTCGTACCCAGATCGGATTTGTTACAGGGTGTGTAGCGCCTGGTCAGGTGCTCTGCTGCCTATCTCCAAACATGGCAGCTGACTATCCTGTAAGTAGTGTTATCATGTACTTATGTACTTATTAGGCTAACGACTGGCTGGCTCCAATACAAAGAACGGACTCTACGACCTTGGCAATTTCGTATGATATTGAGAAATAGGAATATACATATCTAGCAACAGGTATCATGATATCCAGGACGCCTTCCTATTCCCTTGAGACGTATCCAGATGACAAAGAAACAACCCGAAAGGTGGTTTACATTCTGTAATATAGCAGTACAAACCAATCAAGAGGCACGATGTGATGCCTTTGCCATGGAGCAGGTATGCCACGGCCAATCCCATGACAAGCTTTGGAGTCATGGGTGGGAAGGCGGATTCTCCCCGAGGTGAGTAGTGATACAAGCAAAAAGAGTCAGAGATCCAGTTTTGGACCCCGGTCCGCCATTGCGAAGAGTATGAGTAGATAGGTGAGAGTGAGGAGTTGAGGACATTGGGGACACTCCAGTGTAAAGGATTTCAAGCTCCACAAGCTAGATGTTGGCCTTGAACAAGGTGGTCTAGCGGGTGAATGGTGAGGTGAATGGTGATCGAACAGTTCGTAGATCGTCCTTGGCAAGTCAGTATCAATGTTCGAGTTTAAGATACGCAGAGAACAATAAACTTACAATATGGTTGCACATGGCCACAAACAGGTCAAAGAACATAGTTCCTCCTTGCTCCATTTCGAGTTTCATGGTCCCGCTCTTCTTAAAATTGTTGCGAGAACGGATTATGAGGGTGAGATATTGGGCTCGAAGTTTGGAATCCGTGTCCGGGGTATTCTGATATGCCCAGCGAGCAGAAGCAAGAATGGTTGAGATCTGCATGCCGTGTCGCAAGCCTTGTTTGCGGAGGGCTAGACGTTGGAGTTCTTCGAGGCCGTAGCGTTGGGCGGAGCAGCTGGGAGGGAGTCAGTGAAATGAACATAGATGAACATTAAGGGGGGTGCATACTAGATGAAGGTATCCTTCAAGACAGTCTGTTTAGTGGCATGGTGGTAGATGGTACTTTTTGGATCTTTCCCTTCGTCTTCAATCTCCCAGATGTCCCTCCTTTTATTGTGAAGCAGCTTGGGATAATAGTCTCCCTTGTATAGATACTCGAGAACCGCAGAGAGAACTTCTGGATGTTCGTCGGGTAGGGTGATTCTTCGTGTGTTGCCCTGGAAGAACTGCTCTCGGCATGCAGCTTCAAAGAATGGGGATCGAGTTATGATATCTTGATGGCCGGCAAAGAGTCGTTGCTCGTGACCAACGCAGATGGTGACAATGGGAGAGGTGAGGGAGCTTGACAATGAATCCATTAGCCATGGGAGTCTCGAGAGGGATAGCAGCACTTACTCGCTCACAGGAGGACCTGTGGTTGAATGATCTCCTCGTCTGGTTGACTCGGCAGAGTCAGATCGACGCAGGCCACGAGAGATAGAGTGCTCTCGATATGAAGATGGCGGTTTTCTGGACTTGCCAGCGCCATAGCGAGATGAGAAGCTGTCGGATGGACGATGGTTTCTGCTGGTACTGAACATAATGCAGAGATTGGGTCAGGTCGATCCAACAACTTTGGCTGTAGTTCAGTTGTCTACAGAAGAACGGTCGACCCTATATGTTAGTATCAAAAAGGAAGGGAAGCAGATCACAGCATCGAATGAGTTGGTTAAAAAGCCAAAAAACTGAAACTCAAAGGAAGCAACGTTGCCTGGCTAATGATGTTGGCCAGTCAATGTCAAATCACAACACAGAGAGAAGGCGAACGGCCACAGAGAGAGAGAGAGAGAGAGGAGAAAATGAAAGAAACAGGGAGAGCTCCTGGACGGGACATGGCAGCAGCCAGCAGTCGACGGACATGGGCATTTTGGCTGGCATCATTAGGCTGTAGGAGAGCTAAAATGTAACAGCTCCAACAGGACCAAAAAAGAGAACCGGATTGGGTTGGGATGAAGCCGGAAGACTGGGACGCGCCTCCCGCGTTGCCTTGAGACTCTCAGACTCGCGTAAGTGGTGCGTGAGCATGTGACCTTATGCAACCATTTCCGCCCCAAGGCCCCTTCGGCCCTCGTCTCCCCTCTTTACCTTGTCCTTAGCATCCAATTTCAACCCTCCATCTTGATCTGTGGACATTGTGACTGGACACATCTCCTCTTGTGAGTCAATGTTGTACCCCATGTCTCGCTGCCTAGGTCCTTGTCTTTGGACGCCAGGCATGACGGGGGTATATTTCTCTTGGTGTGCTTGGGCCCCCTCGGCCGATCATTTTGTAGCTCTTTCCCCTGCCTGGGGCCGAGAAACTACCTACTCCGTACTTAGATGAGCAAGTAGCATGTGAGGAAAGAGGAGGCACGGGAGGTTTTCTGGGTCGATCTTTCCACCTCTGACTCGTAAGTTGCTGACGCAATGCAAACTCGAGTTTGCGATTTGTGTACCTAACCATGAGTAGGTACCTAGGTAGGCAAACAGTCGTAATTGTCTACCTTTACAAGGCAACTAGAGCAGTCGTCGCATAGGCAGAAGTAACTACGACAGCAGCATTATTTTTTTGAGAGTCGTTCAAGCTAGTTGGCGAAGCGAGAGAAGATGGTGTGAAGGCCATGCATGTCAGTGGAGAAAACCAAAAGATGCAGGTACACCTTGCTGCCAATTTGGTGCCTGATGCATAGAGCTTCAATCATCGTTCGCTGTTGTAGTCTGTCATTGGGTCGTCTAAGAGGATCTCTGTGCCGTCAAATGAAAACTCCGAATGTCTTGTATAAATCTCGAATCATTGCAAGAGCTCAAGAAAACAATAAATTCAAGACAATTCAGTTGAGAGGCGAAACAGGATATAGCCATTTACTCCCACGATCAGGGCTGCCTGATATACCTGTGTCATTGCGAATGGATATCCATCTGCAAACCATCCTTAACGCCTGGCCGCCTAGATTCATCAGTCGCTAAGTTCAAATTCGCCAGGATCAGATATCTGTTCATGTAATCGGTACAAATGCCCATGGTTCCAATTGCAACTCCAATCCCATGCATTCATGTTCGTGATGAGCGCTTCAATTCTCTAGAGCAAACCATCACAAGAACACCCTTTTCGCATCCTTGGGGTGACTTTCGATTGGGCAATACGGACACTTGAACTTGGCGCCTTTGGATAGCCTTTGAAGCGACTCTTGGGCGATGACATGACAACAAGGTAACATCATCGGAGGGTTTTGGTCAGTGGTCTGTTCCTTCGATACCGGGCAGACAAAGATAGAGTGGAATCTGTAGTTTGGAGGGAGTGGTGTCTCGACTGGTAATTCGTCCTGCGATGTCCATTCCGTCCGTTTCTGCTTCTGGATGGTCTGCAGCTTCATCAGCGTGGGTAGAGCAATGGCTCCAGCCGTAGCGGCGACATAGAGAGGCGAGTCTGCCGACAATTTCAACAATGAACAAAACTCTCTGGTGAATGAGTTCGCGACATCCTTCCAATTTGTTACATTATTGAAACGCGTGTTGTACGGCGATTCTTCCAGGTTCGAGTAGAAGGGAATTGCTCCAAGTAGCTGTTGGATCTCAACCAAGTATCGCCCGCGAAAAGATTGAAAGTCGCCTTGCGCATATTCCAAAGCTCGCAGAGGGCCCGCAAAGTCATGTGTGTCTCCCTCACGCTGCTCCAGGAACAAGCTCACAAATTGTAACCGGCACAATTCAAACTCCAGATTACTGCCACGAGCCTCCAGCTCTGATGCGTTCGCCCTTGCCCATTCTATAGCGGGTTGTAAATTTCGATTCTCCTCCAGCTCTTTCAGGATGTGATACATGTTGGAGAACTGTTCCTGCCAGTGCATATTTTCTTCCGAGGTCTTGTCGAGGCCAAGTGGGTGATCCATGGGGACATCCAACCCCAGGTTTCTAGCAGCCTCTTGTTGAATGGTTTGGCGTGCCGTCGCTTCCTCGTGTAGAGTTGCGGCGACATCAAACAGACCTTCTCGGAGCAGGTGTAGGTAAATCGAACGGTTGATCAGGGTCGATTGAGAGGATAGAGCATCAATTTCGTTGCTAGGGACTTTCTCTTTGAACACCTTGTCCAATGCTCTTGTGTATTTATTATGCCCACCATGTGCATCTTTGAGGTTGGAAAACATGCCATCGAAGGACGCCTTGACTGGATTCTGAAGCGTGGCCAGAGTCATGGCTCTCGAACTTGGGTCATTGCCGATAGTATCACGCGCCTTCTGAAGCGCCTTGATAATGTCGTCAACATGTCCGATCGTCTTGTTCTGTTTACTGATGTTCCAAATCTTATCATGCTCCTTCTGGATGGCGTCCATGGTCTCGGTGCCAGCCGGAGGCGGTCAAGATATCGGATATCAACTGCAATGGCTGGTGGGGTGACTCATTCCGGCTCTCGCGAGGTAAGGGGTCCGAGTTGGCAGAAATGTTGGCTTGGATGGCTTGGTTTGGCGTTCTCGTCAAAGTCTCTCGTCCAAGATAGTCGTTGTTTAACTCTAGCTGGGTGGTTGTGGAACGAGGGGTCAATCAGAAGGTCATGCGTTGATTGATCTCGGTGGCAGGTTCAGCGTATAAGAGATTAAATGTTCACCGTATCAGCCTGACAGATGATGACGTGACATACTACGGTGAAACCTTATGCCACTAGCTGCAGGTCACCTGCCAACATCAAAGGCAACGATGGAATCACCAACATCGTGTTTGATTTGCAACTCTGCTATCTCGTCAATACTGGAAATGCATTTTGGAACATCATCTCACGCTGTATGTGCAGGCTTATGATGACTCTTTCACCTCTGTTGCATCTTTAGATTATTCCCAGCCCGCGCGTGGCTGGAAAGCCACCATGACATACTCTCCAGCAGGGCTAACTACCACATATCAACCTCCATCGTATTCATCTGCAATCCAGGAAGTCCCGACAAGAGCTAGCACTAAAGATGTTGAAGACGCACCCGACAGCGCTGCGACCAAAGAAAACAGTCCCCTCTCGGCTACGCTGAAGACCAAAGTCGGCCAAAACCGCAAGCGACTGGTTTTCCAAGATCCCGTGGCTTTCCGGTACCTGGAAGAGGATCCAGCTACAGATGTCATCGGAAGATGGAAAACTCTCCAAGGGTATGAAATGTATCTGGTAGAACAGTGGGCCTGTTCAAGGACGCATCCCACCTTTCTCATCTGTACATATACCGGTGATCCATCTCACACGATCCTGGTCAATGTCTTGTCGGCTCCAAGTGACGAAAGTTCATGGTCTCCAAGACTGCAGATATACTTCCAGGCAGTATCTCAATTCCATGCCAAGGAGAAGGATACGCCTTTGGGCACACTGATGGTCACGAACCTGAGCAATTTCCCATCCACCCTGACCGTCATTGCAATACCAGACGGAAATGTAAGGAAACATCGTGAAGATTTCATCGTCAATGAGAACTTGAAGCGGATGGGCTGTTCGGGCAGAGCTGCGATCAATGTGCAGCCACCGCAACCTAGTACGATAGCAAAGTACCATCATCTGTATCGAACGAGCGAAGCGGTGCCATTATATCAATCGGTTATGGAGTTGGTACGGATTTGCCAAACAGCATTGGTCATGTACGACAAGCTACAACCGACATATGCTGATGGCCTTCTGTGTGATGTTACAGAAAAGGCTATCAGTGATTGGTGGACTGACATTGGGACATATTTCTACAATGTCGAACCGAGCGACGGTGTGCTAGGTCCCACCACTGTAGCCGCTTTGCTCGGCTTGCTGCTTGGAGCCTACAACCGACTCAAAGTCTTTGGGTCTCCTGTGGGTAAAGAGGTCTTGGATACAGTCTCCATGAAGAGAGCGATCGGACATTTCCAAAAGGGACAAAAAGTGGAGAGGACCCGACGACTTGATCGTGAGACTCTTGACCGTTTGCATCGTGCCACAGCCAAAAGTGCAGCGGGAGAAGGGTGGAACGCGGCCAAAGCGGTAAAGTCCACCGTGGCAGAATTGTCGGGCAAGGGAGGTGAAATGGTGATGGGAATTGTGGGGTCTCGCGACAAGGTTGGGATCTCGGACGCGGAAACTATGGACATCGAGATATTTTCTCAGGTTGTGACGGGCCCAAGGATGAAATGGTTGTGGCAAGGCAAGCCAGTCAAGTCAGCCGACATGTTTAGCAAACCTACCGACGATCTAAATGGGAGGATCTTCAGCACCGACGACCAAGGTAACTTTCTTTGGACATCAAATCATCACGACTCGCTCGATGGGGGTGTTCTCGAGCGCACTGACACAAGCCTCACCACCCAAACTCAAGAGATAAAGTCGAGTCGCAACCGGATTCGAGGTGCTGTGCCCGGTCTGAAACCACATGTGCACCGCACGACCACCAATGAAGCCCATGCTGAGTGGGTTGAAAGCGCAACAGCGGCGGAACAAATGGCTCTGCGGGATCCATATTTTCACAACCGAGACCACTCTCTGCGGCCACCGTTGATCTCGCAGCCATCAGGACCCACGGCTCTCGACATGGCGCTACTCGAAGCGGAGGCAAAATCACCTAAAAAGACTCGCGAACAACTCCGACGAACGACCACCGACTATGAGAAACGTCTTCCCGGCCATCGCGAACAGCTCCGACCTGCTCTTCAAGGAGACTCGCCTCGACGGCGAAAGGTCAACAGCGAACTAGCAGACATACGCAATGAGTTCAAGGCCGACATTTACCGAAACTTCTCAGCGGATCTTCCTTACAAAGGGTTTACCAGTAAAGCACTCCGACGATCTGCCAGTGCAGTACATATACAAATGCGGCAAGGGCCCAATCCTCGAACAGAACGAATCAATCGCCAATTGTCATTCAGTCTAGTTGAGAATGCGGTGTCTGATTTTGGCGAGAAGGTGTTGGACGATAGAGTGCCAGCAGGGCCAATTGAAGGGGATTTGACCAATGCGCTGGCCGAACGGGATGCGGTGGTTGCAGGAGCAATCAGAAAAGCCAATCGCATTCAAAGGATTCAGCAAGGCCTGATCCCCTACACGGAAGATCGTGTGGCACACGTGGAACACCTAGACCACCTTGCGCATGAACATTTGAATCAACTGAACGAGATGTACTACCAGAGGCTGGATGACTACCAGGCCCATCAAGCTACGTCTTCAGATGTGGTCTCACACGAGAAATCCGGCTTGACTGAGAGTTTCCGCAGAGTTGAAATGCTTGGGGCTAAACTGGATTACGAGCTTGATGCTTTGCAGTCTCGCATGCAGGAGGCTGAGGATGGCGTGAATGATTTCGAAAGGAATGTCGTGGCGATCGAAGCCAAGATCAAGAAACTCATTGGCGATGAAAAGCCTTCTTCAGAGCCGTGGTATCAACGACTGCTCAGTTCATTGGCAACTCGAAAGGAGACCGCGACGTACGATGACAGTGAGCAAGTTATAACGGATGGATGATGAGGTGTTGGAATTGAGCATGGCGCTTGGAGTGAATTGTCTGTGTTGATTGTATCTGTGCCGACACATCTATGTACCTCAACCGCAAGCATCTTGTATGATGTTGGGAAATCAAACGAAGCGGCATTGTGGTCCTTGGTGACGAGTGTTTGTAAAATAATATACACATGGTTTTCCCAACGTCGAAAACCGGGGATAGTCCATTAACAAGACTGTCATCGAAGCTTTTTGATACCTCGTCATACAAAGACGGAATAATTTATCCATCTAGACGATTGATATTTCTCCGATATTGATTACATTCCAAACATTCCGCCGCCACCGCCACTGGCCTGGGCGCCAGCAGCAGCGTTTTGCATCTTCTCTGAAACCTTGATGTTGACCTCGAAGAACTTGGATACACAGCGGTCAAGGCAGACACTCTCGCCTTTGCTCAGGTCGGCTTCGCGATAGTCGGCGGGAACGCATTTCTGGAGGCATGATTGGGTCAATCTGATGGTGATGGATGGGTTAGTCTGAGAGCAGCAACTATGCGCTTGTATTTTTGTACCTGCTGAACATGTCTGAGACCATTTCCATCTCGGTTTCCACTGCAGCAATCTTTTCTGCTGATGATGGCTGCGGCCGTCCGCCTCCAAATAGGAACGACATGATGGGGTAGGTGGTAGATGGGAGGATGCGAGACAGGAAAGGGTGATAGCTACCCAAGAATGAATCCTAGTATATCGCAAAGACTGAGAGATAGAATGTCAATACTGTCGTCGTTGGTGATGATTGGAGCTGAGGTTGATCAACGTTGAAGTTGTGGAGAGATGAATGAAGATGAACGACGTTGGTTCTCAATTTCCATTTCCTATTTGGGAATTGACCGAAGTTACGCCGACGTTGTCCATCAATTTTTTGGAACTGCACCTCATCTCATGTTTCCATAGACACCTGAGTCTCACGTCTTTGGTCGACAAGCATTGTTCCTCGTGATCAATGTCGCATTCTCCATGTCCAGCAGGCTCATATGTCGGGCACTGCAACTCGGCCATGGCTCTCTGTGCCAAAGGTATGTCGCAGAATCTCATATCCAATCCTCCGTTCGTTACATGCATATTTTAAAATGAAGAGACAATGCAGAAGAACCGCTGCGAGTGATGCTGGTTTCGGCCTGTAATGATCACTACCACTCATATTGTCGGATACCCTCTCAATTCCTTACCATTCCAACGTTTTTGTCTGTGAGAAATTTTCAATTCACTAATACTGGAAGAACAGATCCTTGAGAGACCTCCCTTGGAAGCCTTCGAGCACAAACCCACCATGCCTTGCACAATCAAGATGTTACACGTGCACTCCACGCTTTGCAATTCCCAAATCAACTGATCAATCCCAATACTCGACCAAAGAAGTTCAGGAACGAGCTGAAGAGCTACACGCCTCTGGCAAGAACTTGTATCCTCGATATGCGCACACATCCAAGAGCAGGAGTGTCAAATCACTTGCTCTAGAAGTGGATACCGTCCCCACGAGCGATGGACCCCCACCAGTCAAAGAGGAGGATCTCATCCAAGTGTTTGGCCGAATTACCTCTATCCGAACCAGTGGATCCAAGCTTGTCTTTATTGACCTTGTTGAGGATCAAGTAAAGCTCCAAGTCATCCTCTCATATTCAGCCTTTGAGTCGCAAGGGATCTCCAAGGATGAATTCAAAAAGACCACTCACCTCGCTCGACGTGGTGATTGGATTGGTGAGCCTTCCTGCCATTGATCCCACTCTCCCATTTAAACTGATACATTCCCAGCTATCAACGCAAGTCCACCATATCGCGCCAAAAATGGCCAAGTCTCAGTCAAGGCCACCAGTCTTCCAGAGATCCAATCGCCATGTCTGAACCGATTCCCCGTCGAACAACGAGGGTTTGCGACGAGCGAAGCTGCAGAGGGACAGTTCCACCCTCGTCATCTCGAAATGCTCACCGATCCAGAAGTAATCGAGACATTCAAGCTTCGATCTCTCATCACCAAGACCATGCGCGACTTCTTTGTACAAAAGTCCTTTGTGGAAGTGCAGACACCTATCTTATCTGGCCTTGCAAGCGGAGCCGTTGCTCGACCATTCGAGACCTACGCGACCGAGTTTCCTGATCGTATCCTCAACCTCCGCATTGCACCTGAGCTCTGGCTTAAGAGGTTGATTGTAGGAGGGATGGATCGTGTCTTTGAGATTGGCCCCTCCTTTCGAAACGAAGGTCTTGACAAGACGCACAACCCTGAATTCTCAACCTGCGAATTCTACGCCGTGCGTCATGATCTGCCACAACTCATGGAATATACTCAAGATCTTCTCGCTGCAATGGCTCAGACAGTCCAATCTTCAGGATTTGTCCAGTCGCCAGAAACCCTATCTCTTCTAGGAACCATACAAGGAGAGTACCAAGTCATCGACTTCATCCCCGCCTTGAACGAAGCCCTCGACCAAACCCTCCCCGACCTCACTTCCCCCACAGCTCACGCTGAACTTCTCACTATATTCGAAACAAAATCTATTCCTCTACCATCTCATGCCAACATCCCACGCCTTCTCGACACTCTATCCTCCATCTATCTCGAACCTCGATCTCTGCACACTCCAACTTGGATCATCAATATTCCTGAATGTCTCTCCCCACTAGCCAAATCATTCAAACATCCCACCCTCTCAACCTTCACTTCGGTTGCCGCTCGTGCCGAACTATTCATCTCTGGAAAGGAAGTCGTCAATTGTTACGAAGAGGAGAATTCTCCGTTTGAACAGCGAAAGAAGTTCACTGATCAACAATTCTATGCTCGTCAACAACCACCCACATCACCCTCGTCCTCATCATCGCCTTCGAAAAACCCCGCTATCGACTCTGAAATAACTCCACCAGATGAATCATACCTTGAAGCTCTCGAATGGGGTCTCCCTCCGACAGGTGGATGGGGATGCGGTATCGATCGTCTCGTCATGCTGTTCTCAGGAAAACGCAGAATCGGCGATGTATTGACATTTGGGAATCTGAGAAGTGTTACTCGAGGAGCGAGTAATGTCAAGCAAGAGAAAGAGAAGAAGGGAATTGATATGACATAATCCCTTGAATACAGAACTATGTACTTTTAGCAAATGACCGAATGATGATATATACCTGATGGGCCCGGCCTGGTCTGATTTGATCTAATCTAGCCCACGATGTACTGTATTTTACGATCACCAGTTTAATTCACGGTTGAGACACTGGAATCCTCATGTGCGTGATTTCATGCATTAGATGTCATGCAATCGTATTAAGTTTACTTGAGTATCATCAATGCTCAAGTAGGTAGGTAGGTACTGTGCTCAAGGAACCATCATCCCGTAAAATGCATGCTATCCATATCGGGCTCGACACCCGCAACGTTCCATCATAACTTCATAAACATGACTTTCATAACCAAGAGAAAGGTAAAGAAAGACACCCAACTCCCACCCCCATAGGTAGTTTGTGTCAGGGTCAAGTCGTCATCCAAGTCCACCAAGTTAACCAAGAAAAAATCCCGCCAGTCAGCAAGTCGATCTCAAAGCCCGTGAGGCTGAGGATTGCTGTATGCACCCTTCCCGCTAACTCCAATGATGCCGCTCAAAGAGCACTCATCGAGAAAAGAAAGCTCTTCAAGCCAGTTCCCATCTAGCATGAAGAAATCATAAGGTCGATCAATCCAAGTTTCACCCATCCAACCATCCATCCCCAAGGTATTAAAATGTGTAAGTAGGGACATGCTGTCCAAGAAAATCCGCCCATTAGAAATAGGTCAGCTCGAAGGGTGTAAGATAGCCTGGAAGAAGTTAGAATAAGTGATAGACCCGAAGTCCAACTCCATCAATGACTTACCTTGACTTGTATGTTGTTGAAAACTATATTCTCAACCAAGATCCTCCCACTCACTCAGCCATAGTGATATGGTTTCGCACGCGCTTATCTTCGCGTCGCTCAGAACCCCAAGGGTTTGATGCGCGAGGGACTGGGGAGGGTGAATTGCCTTGAAATCTTCGTTTCTTGTCACGAACGCTCGAAACCTTTGGCGGTGGCATCGCATGTCGCAGTGGTCCTTGGGCGTACACCCCGGTTGTATCCTCGAGTCTCTTCAGAGTGAACTCGTAGATTTGGCGTTCTTTCTTGAGGAGGCGGAAACCAACCACTCGGTAGAGACCATCATATCGATAGCCTTCCGGTGGACGGAAAGGGTTGTTCTCGGGGAGTTGCGAACCTCGAAAAACCCGAACGGGACGACCAGTCGTGGATGATCGGATCATCGCTCTGGTGGAACTGGTAGGACCAGCTCCTGTGCTTGAAGCGATGACCTGACCGTCTGGGTATGTGACGGGATCCTTCACGTTGGTTGGTTCCTTGTCACAGTCCTCCCGTGGGAGGGCTGTACCCATGTAATAGATCGTAGATCCTGCGTCCCGATCTGCGTACGTATTATGTTCAGGTCCATAACACCCCATCACGATAGACCGCGCACCAATAAAGGCGGTGCCCGCGATACCTGCTACACGCGGTCCGTGGGCACCGTCGCGGTGCATTTCCGCTCGTGTTCTCCAGGTCTCGGCCGGGACTAAGTGTCCATGGCCGAAATAATCGTCACTGCGATTATGTGGCCATTCTGGATCGGTGGAGAACCCTCCATTGCCATCGTGGAGGAGGCCTCTGTTAGCTCTCACTCCAAGATCGCCAGACAGCCACTTTCGGTGGAGTCTGGTCAAGTCCTCGATGGTGGCCATCGGGACGAATCCAGTTCGTCTCTCCCTAAGGTTCTCATCGATGAGAAAGTGACCAATCTCATTGATGATGTGTGTATTGTCGAGAACCGGTTGTGTCATTTCTTTTTCTCTCATCCGATCCATTGATCGGTGTAGATTGACAAGAGCATTTCGGAGCGCTCTTGGGCTCTGGCCCGGGGCCAGTTGCACCGTGACTTTCTGGAGTAATTTTATAAATTCCACAGCGTCCGTCTCGCCGACAATCTCCTCCAGGTCTGAGGTTGTGGGAAGCCTGAGTGTAAAGGATATTTAGTGAGTGCTGTTCAAAATGGAGTAATTGAATAAAACTAACCAATGTTTGACTTTCCTGTTCTGTATGCGCATCCACTCCTGGTGTTCACGAACCAAAGAGCGGCAATCATATTGATTGTCGTTCTTTGCTGGACAAACTTTGTCGATGGGGCAAATACAGCTCCGTCGACGAAAGCTGCCCAGGTTGACCAGGGTACGGCCTTGCCTCGGCTCGAGAGCCAAGGAAGTCAATCGGGATTCGAGATTGATCTCGTCTCCCGTTGTTCCTGGTACGAACCCAGATGGTCTTGCTTCGATTGTATTCGAAGGGGAAGAGGCATCTGGGCTTGGAGCAGGAGATCGGGTTCGATCTTGCATACTCTGCTCACGTTCCCAAGAGCTGTTTCCTCCTGGCCCGCCTTGGACCTGGTCGTGACCAGGCTGATTGTGGAGGAGGATATTGTCAGCAGAGAGATAAGGCATGTCTCTGGTATTGAGAGGTATGTTGGGGTTGGAGGGCTGAAAGATAAGGAATGGAAGAGGCGGGAGGAATAGAGACCTCTGGAGATGAGGAGACCTGTGTGTATACGTTAGTTGAGGCTCTGATAGACAGAGGAAGAGTGCTCTGACTAAAGTCGACCTGGTCTCGAAAGATCAGACCAATAAGAAAAGGAATAAATGAGAGGAATTGAGACCTCTGGAGATGAGGAGAGCTGTGTGTATGTTAGTTGAGGCTCTAATAGAGAGAGGAAGGTTGCTCTGACCGAAGTCGACTGGGTCCCGAAGGATCAGACTATTGAGGAAAGGAAGAAATAAGAGCAATAGGGATCTCTAGAGATCTCTACAGATGGGGAGAGCTGTGTGTATGTTAGTTGAGGCTCTGATAGATAGAGGAAGATTGCTCTGACTTCGACCTGGTCTCGAAAGATCAGACCAGTAACGAAAGGAATGAATGAGAGCAATAGATATCTCTGGAGATGAGGAGAGCTGTGTGTATGTTAGTTGAGGCTCTAATATCGAGAGTAGGGTTGCTCTGACCGAAGTCGACTGGGTCCTGAGGGATCGAGGTCAATGCGTTGAGATCGCTGACCTGTTTGGACCGACCTTCAAGTCGCCTGCTTTATCAACAAGGCACCTTGACTTGGACTTGAATGAAGGTTGGACTGTGTATGGTAGAGGATGTAGTTGAATAGAGGAAGGAAGTGCTAAAGAATGAGGGAAGAGTGGAAGAAATGATGGACTTTGTGTGAGGGAGTTGTGAGGTGGAGGTGAAAATTTGTTTGAGAGAAGAGATGCAAAATGATCTTTTTATAGTCCAGGGATTCCGATGCCCTCAGATCTGCTTCCAGATCATAACTCCAGATCGTAACGACTCACGAGGCATATGAGTCGGTCACGTGGACCACGAGGCTGAGATATATGAGTCGATCACGTGGTGGTGGAGGATACGTGAAGCCACAGGATTCACAAAACATCCCAGACATGATGAGGAAGGGGTGTGATATATGCTGGACACAGAAACCAGGTGTTTCATTTGATTCACATAACCCTCTTGTGATGATGAGCAAAAAGCTGCAGGACTGTGATATGTTATAGACACCTGAGACATATGCCTCATTGTTCACATCATCTCCCTGTGAGGAGTGCCTCATGATGAGCAAATGGTTGTGGGGGATCGGATATATCAGCCCAATGATGATGAGAAGATGTTGTATAAGCATGATATGTGTTGGATAGTTCTTCATATGCTTCACATCATATCATGTGATGAGTATCTAATGATGAGCAGAGCCTGTGTGAGCATCATATGTGTTGGACAAGTGCTCCAGATGCTTCACATTATCTCCATGTGATGAGTGCCTGATGATGAGGAAAAGGTTGTATGAGCATGATATGTGTTGTACAAGTGCTTCATATGCTTTACAGCATCTCCATGCGATGAGTACCTAATGATGAGCAGTGGCTGTATCATCGTGATATGTGCCAGACATGAAACTCACGTGCTCCACGTGATCCATATTATCATCCAGAATGGTTGCAGGACACGTGATCTGTGAGATGTCTTCATCAGATTAGCCCGTGAGCTTTAGAAGGACTTCACCTCAACTTTATCCAACATCACTTACTTGTGGATCAGTTCACATGTAGCAAGCCAACCATCAATGCGATGCATCAAGAGATGGAGTTTCCATTCTCCATCACTATGCAGACAACTTCCATGTATCTCAGCAAGACCTGCATTGGCACCATGGCGAGTCCAGCAACCTTCAGGTCAAGGAACCATCAGCCAGAGACGGCATTTCAGCCTTGAATCCATTCCAGGTGTCTTACTGCCACCGCTGGTATTTTGTGGTCTTCTCACCTCACTCTGGACCTACAAATGTTTAATGATGGTCATCTTCCAGAACAAAATCATCTACATGCCATCGGTGCCTCCGTTTTCCCGCTCAGAAAAAGTCGAGGACTATGCCACTCAATGTGGTCCGGTCAGGTGGCAAGAGCACGACGTCAAGTCATCTGATGGCACCATCGTTAAGCTGCTGGAGGGATCAATGACGAGTGCAAGTCTGCCACTCAGTCCAGGGAAACGGCAGGTCGTAGTGTTGTATCTTCAAGGGTGAGACATAGATTACTGACCATGGTGTAATGCTGACCCATGACAGGAATGCCTCTTCACTCCCACCCAGACTGCCACATCTCTCCTCAGTCATTCGCAAGTTGTCATCGAATCGAGAAAACGACCGAGACTATCGCTTAGTGGCACTGTCATATCGTGGGTTTTGGAAATCCCAAGGAACGGCCTCCCAGCCAGGAATTGAGCTCGACGTGGACGCTGCATTCAAGTGGGTGCTGGATCGCTACGATGCCGACGCCGGTACCATTGTTGTTTGGGGCCAGTCTATAGGCGCAGGCGCCTCAACAGTTGGTGTTGACAACCTTGTTCGATCGAACCCGGACGCCATAAGGCGCATCTCTGGCCTGTTGCTTGAAACTCCATTTGTGGATCTCAAGGCTATGCTTATCGCACTGTATCCCCAGAAATTCTTGCCGTATCGATATCTTGCCCCATTTCTACGTTCGACGTGGGATAGCAAGACCGCTTTGAGCAACATTGGAAATATCAGGCCCAGGCTTCGAACGTTGATCCTGGAAGCAGGCGACGATGAGATTGTCCCAGCTGGCCAGGGTCAAATCTTGGAAGAGGTGTGTAAGGAGAAGGGACTCGAAGCCACTCGGCTGAGCGTGAGGGGCGCACTGCATACTGAAGTCACGGCCAAACCATCAGGTCGTAGTCGAATCGTGGAATTCGTTGGATCTTTTTGATAAATTGGCAGGGTCTTGGGTCAGGTCAAGGGGGGTTTGAGCACGAATACAACTTGATACAATCGGTTAGTCGTAGTGTCGTCTGGTGGCCAGCAACATTGGGCATCTGCAGCGATCAAGGCATCCAAAAACTCAGCCACCTGATGAACAACGGCCATTCGCTCAAGAGTGTCGCTTTGACGAACATCCCAGCGTGGATCCAAGATAGGATCGTGGTTTGTTCCCGATGAATAAAGGTAGCACTGCAGACGAGGCAACTGTAGCTGTTTGAGAATCCTCCTGAAATTGGCTGCACGAAAGATTTCCCATGTCGTCTGCTTGTAGCTTGAATGGATATACACAGTCCTCTCCACTGGCCGGGGATGGACCGTATTTGCGAGGGAGACAGCAGTGTGCAAATCCACTCTCTCAGCGCGCATAACCCTCGTCATCAAGCGTTGCGAAAGATGAATACTGCGCACGGCAGTACGATTGATGAGCCAACGAAGGAGAGTTTCATACGAGCACACATCAACGGCAGTAAGCTGGCCACTGAAGATATTGACCACAGCAATTTTTCTCAGATAATCAGGGTCGCACGACGCAAAAGTCAGATCGAGATCACCAGCACCATGGTCAAACAACGGACTCGACCATGCCCGGATGCCTGAAGACCCAGCATTGTCGGAGTGGCATATCGGGGCAACATTCAGAATGGCCTGTGAATAGAAGATGGGCGCTGCATGGCGGTAGACTTGCCTACTGACCAGGAACAGATTGGGGATTCCTGATGGTCGCTGGGCGTGTGAAAAGGAAGGATCCTTGAACTTCTGAACCGCTAGGAACTGGCTTGGAAGGGCAAATTGATAGATGCGATCGAGAATCTCAGGAGGAAGGGCCAGAAGTGGCGATGTCGAAGAATCCAGTGGCCCTACATTCATGGTGGAAGTTGTCAACCAACACCGTCGTGACTGCTTCCTCTACCAGGATTGACAGTGAGCCATTACCCACGAATGAAATGATCGTGGGACTGTATGTAATCATGTACAAGGGTACCTCGCATATGGACAATGCGTCAGAATTGGGGCTGCCGCATGGCACAGTACGGTCGCCTGATGGTGGTGGCTGACGAGTGATGCTTGGGGTGTTCGTGGCCTGAAGTCTTCGTGGATGATGGCGACGAGGGACAAACGCAGTCATTAGGCCGAGTAAGGTACTGGCTACCACTTGTCAATCTTTGATCTTTTTTGCGATCATTCGTGGTTGGCTAATAAATCAATTGATGCATGACTCCTGGCCTGGGAGAAATGTCCTATCACAACAAGATGCCAAATTGTGGAAGATTCTTTCAACCAGGTAGATGTCTTGGTGATCGTAAATGATTTGTTCAGTTGGTAGTAGGCAATTGGTGCTGTGGCCTGTAGCTTTTAAGGTGCATAAGTAAGGTAGGTACCTAGGTACTTGGGCTAGGTAGGTTCCCAGTTACCCCGCCAGCCAGCAAGGCACTTGAGGTAATGGTTGCGCCTGTCATCATCAGCTACCTAAGGTACCTAGGTAGGTAGGTATCTATAGGTAAGTACCATAGTCCCTAAATGCCTAGACTCTTAGGTATCCAGATATCCCAGGTCAAGCCATTTCTTATGCTCTGATACTGCGCATCCCACGTGATGGCCGGCGTGATGCCGACACGGTGATTCCGAATCATGTGTGACAACTTTGGACGGAGAATGAGTCGGCAACTGAAGGGCACGACCGGGCATGCAAATGCAATGCAGCGGTGAGCAGGGCACTAGGCCAGATTGTTGGTGTCACTGGCCATATCTCGAGTAACATGAGATATGGTTGGTAAAGGGTGGAAACAGTGGGGGCGTGGCATTTCGGTTGGGCCCGTGGATAGGCCAAAGAGGTGTGCCCTGGATCCCTCAGGGCCCATCCTACGGGTGGACTCAGCTGCCACGGGTGCCTACCATTAGCCTGTGTGCCTGGAGCCAACATCAAACAGCCCTATCAAGTGGCGGCGCCTTTATAAATGTAGTTACACAGCCCGCCACGGCCGAGGAGCCCTGCCCATGGGATCCCTGGCATCTCTAGAATCCTTGACTCTATTCCATCAATTGACTTTGACTTGGGCACTTGACTCCAACTTCCAAGCCAGTCACGCAGTCACTTGCAGTCACTCACACAGTCACGCCGCCAGTCGTGCCAGTCTTTATTCTCCCTCCACATCGTTGTTGCCGCATGTCAGGGAGCTGCTTCCCTATCTATCAGACATTAGAATTGCTTCTGCCCGCGCCCAGTTGCTCTCATTCCAACCAACTTTACACAGTCAACTTTTGCTTGTTTCGCTTGTCACTCCTAGCGATACTTGTTCTTTCGCTCACGGTCGTCTTGTATGACCATGAGAGCACCCTCAGCCGATCCAGCAGCCCATTGTACTGCTGCTGTAGTACACCGCATCTAAAGGTGGACTTGACCCCGCCAGGAATGAGATGGATCGCAGGCCGGCCTCAGATCCGTCCTTCTGGCATTATCTGATCAAAGACCAGAGGGCGACCGAACAACTTGATCAGCTATGTCATGGTCTTGCGCAAATCATTGTAAGTCAAACTTCATCGCCTATGCCGCTGCACCGCAGTCCAGTCAACCCCTTTGGACATCTTCTCACTACCCTGATTATCCCCCGCGACACATATTGACCATGACCACTATCACAGTCCAAGCTCGAACCTGGCACAGATGGAGAATTGAGCCCCCAAAGATTGGCCAACTTTTACCGCATTGCGGGATGCAACCTTGACTCAGTCTTCCTCGACCTCTCGCACGCTACCCTGTCTTTTATGTACGCGACACTGGGTTGTTTCCACAGCCTCCAGCCCAGCCCGTCGCCGTTTAAACCCCCTCAAATTCCCTGTTTGACTCCTGCGGGGTTCTCTCGATGGATCACCATCCAAATTATGCTTGTCCCGGAGACGCATGTCGGCTTGTTACAACAGGCGGTTCGGATATGGGATGTTCCAGGCCCAAATGGCACCGTCTTCCCCAAGTACATTCCCCAAGATGTCTTCCCGAACAAACCTGATGAAGAAATGGAACAGTGGTATAATTCTACCACGGAAAAACTGAAGCAGGGCCCTCAACAGCGACGCATCAAAAATTCGCCCTACCAATCTCCTCATCTGGATCCTCAGGATCGACGGGACGGCTACTTTTCTTCCTCCCTGGCTGGTCGGCCATCGAGGCTATCGCGAAGCAGTTCACGAGATGACAAGGACCAAATGGCTGCCTTGTACCGAAGACGAAGCAGCGTGCCGGATGTCCCATCTCCCCACGGCGACAGGGGCTCACGTTGGGATGGCAGGACCCAGGAAGCATTGAACAAGAGCAGAAGCCATTCCGCTCAACGTCCGACTTTCCCACCATCTCGTCATCGGTCACATACCACCACTGGTAGTCCCACGCAATCCAGATATTCTACGAACCCTCCCCCTAAAAGCCACTCTTCTAGAAGACACCACGCTGAGCCGTCAGGTCGGCCATTCTCTGACTACAACGGTCCCCACCGTTCGCCGGCCAGAACACCCTCGACCGTTGACGAGAACACGGGGAGTGAAGCGAGTTCCGAGAATTCGCAGCTCAATCGACGCTCCAGGAGACCCGACGAAGGACGTAAAAGTCGGCGGAGTTCGTTGTGGCCCCCGTCTTTTTTGCGATCACACAAAAGACGGCATTCTTCCGACGCAGGCTATCGAGGCTCTTCGAGGTACGATCCACCTCTGCGCCCAGAATATTATGCGCTACGACCCATCGAGTCTTCTAATCAGCCTGGCTACCGTGGATCGGGCCCGCCTCACTTCCGAGAGCCTACGTGGGATAGTGATCCCGCAAGATCCAACCCAGGCACGCTGAATCAGGTGCATTCTTATGTTGACCCTCGAAGCGCATCGACGCGCTACCAAGAGCAACCTGATTTTTATTCTCTGCGCAGAGAGAGCAGTAGCGGGAGTGGAACAGAGAATCGACATCGTGCTTCTGATATGGAGAGAAACGCGCATCGCAGACCAGGGGCCACGCCGTCGAGAGTGACGACCGTGTCTGGAGTGCATGGCAGGAAGTATCCTGATGCACTGGGCCCCATTGAGAGACACCGAGGACCGGGTCCTCCTCGAAGTGGTATCGCGGCAGCGGTTTGAACGCGGGTTTGACCAACCCAGGCGGCTGAGATGAAGTCAGACCGCCATTTCACAGAAATGCTAATTGGGCTTGGCACGAGACCAAGTGCTCAGTTTATATGCCTCCCAAGGTTCGCCAGGATACGAATCAATGACCTTGATGCCCGAAAACGGAATGATGAAATATACGGGATGATGATAACGACGTCGTGAAATGAAACGATAGAAATGCAATGGTTTAAGTCATGGAAACACGTGGTGGGTGGTTGAAAAGATTTGTGTCTACTGGGCGGGTTTTTGGATGGTCGAATTGGCACCGGAAATATAGGCATGGTTGGTGTCTCTGGTGGCAGACTTGAGGGGAAACCCGGGCGGCTTTGGAGAGGCACATGGGACGGGAGAAGAGGTTGCTGGGCGTCTTTGCCAGTGTTTTACCTACCACACATAGTTTCCATGTTCAGAGACTTACGACTACAGCCGATGAAACAATGTGCCATGTCAACAGCTCATGGCGCGCATGCAGATAACTTCTCAATTCAAAGCTCTTTACAAAGCGAGATGAGTGAACACTTGATATTGATCCAAATCTTTTCCACAATTGGGACTGCCCGTGGTTAGGTCACCTACTCTGTAATGCACCAAGTTACCTTGAGGTTCCGAGGCAGTTTGATTGCGCAGATGCCTTGGGCACTCATATCGGAGGCGGCACCTCTGCCCTCTGAATGATGCCTGACAGCACCTACCATATGAAGTGAGCTACCGTAATTAACCACTTTGCTGCCTACTTACTTCAGGTAGAAAGGAAGGTGGTGAGGTAGCCAGGAGGGTACCTACCTACTCAAGAGCTGCCATCATGCCACATGAGGCACTCGCAGCTGATCAAGTTGATCACACCTGCCACTTAACGTTCTTGCCCCTATCGCAATTGCTCTTTCTCTAACTGTTGCATTGCACCTGCTCTTCCCTAAAACCCAGGCAGCCATAGTAGCCTGCCTGCTGTCAGCCCTTCCACCTCGCTTCTTGAGCAAATCTCTGTCTGCATGAATTTCATACCCGCAGAGACGATCGTGAGAGACTCTGTCTACCAACAATATCCTCTCTACCAGATATTACGACGACTCAGGGACATATCACTCTACACTCTGCACTCGACTTTCGTACTCGTACTAACTCATGTGCGGCATATGGACACCTACATGCGTATCCTCCATACCTCCACAAAGCTCCTCCCTCCACAGCTCCTCTAAGTAGGTGGTGATGATTTCCCGGCTCCGTTGCCCCGTGTCCCCAGTGCCACCGGAAAACATCGTACCAAGTCTGCGGGGTCATCGCCCGCCTAGGCCTATTTTTCCGAGCATCCCAGTACTCTACCATCTAACTACATCCCTGCTGACCTAACCAGCAGATAGAGCATGCCAGCGTCCTTTCCTGCTCGAACCGGAATGAAATTCGACAGTCTGCGACCTTCGTTGAGTCTGTACCAATAACCAAAAGAAATTGAACGTCCTTGAGACGACACTGCCTCGCCCTCCTCATGTGGACCAATAGAGGCCGGCCAAAGAGCGCTTGTACTAGCTGCAAAACCCAGAAGGTACACTCTCTGTGCCAACAGCCAATATCTTGCTTAACAAATACCTTGACAGATACGCTGTTCAGGCGATCGACCGGTTTGTTACAGATGTGCAAGATTGAGAAGAAACTGTGAATACACGCCAACAGCTGCGGCGCGGTCGTTGCGCTTCGTTTCGTCTTCAGGCAAAGCGAATAAATCTACACCAGTTGCAGTCAATGACGATGTCCCGGAAAGCAAATCCACAACCTACAGCGATGCAGAACAGCCACTTTTAAATCCACATCCTCCCATAACACCACCAGCAAGACCTCCTATACACAAAGACACTCAGTATCTTGGCATATCAGAATCTCTGGTCTATACTTTGGTGGATGTCTACTTTGAGAATGCTTACAATGCGAACCTCCTTCTGAATAAAGGTCGCTTCCTCGAATCCCTCGTCGCAGGCACTGTTGCAGACCATCTCATCTTGAGTCTCTGTGCCTACGCAGCCAAGTACTCCACTCCTCATCCATCATCCAATATGAGCAAATGCCCTGACTATTCCCTTTAGTTTCTACCGTGACCGAAATGGCGAAGCACCTCTACGAGACCACGGCTTTATGATTGAATGGGCTAAGCGTGCCGGCTCTCTTGTTTTCCGGGACGCCGAATCGCTGTGTGGAGAGAATATTGTGACCTTCTGCATTTTGGCTACCTTTTGGTATGCCCAGGGCTCCTGGCGACTGTCTTATCTACATAAAGGTACCTAGCTTTGCCCTGGTCGACTACGGCTTGTCCAGACGATATGTTGACCTTTGCAGCCAATGCATGCAACCTTCTTCAAGTTGCAGGTATCTCCTTCGTCAAACATCATGCTCAAGATTCCCTCGAATCGGAGATTCAACGGCGACGTCTTTGGTCATGTTACTTTATGCACTGTGCCCTCATGGAAAATCCTGCTTCTTTTGAGCCTATAGCCAATCTTTCAGAGTTGCCCCTGCCCTCGGCTGATCCTGACTTTGAGGCTGGCTTTGTTCGCGGGCCTTTCGCCACTTTCGAGAATGGCAGATCTGGCGCGTCGATTCTTGCTGAGTTGATTCGAGGTTTCAGATTATGGTAAGGCAGTGCAACTTCCTGAATAGGCTCTGACGCTGACCCGCTATACAGGGGCAAGGTCTTTGCACTGGTCAAGCTTCCAGAGGCCAGTGTCGCCGATAGATTCACCAAGATTTATAGTCTCGATGACTCCTTGGTGGCCTGGTGGTCGGCATTGAAACCTGACTACAGATTAACTCCAGCAACATTGCCCAGCGTGCCATCACATCAGCTACCTGGCGCACTCTTGATGAACATAACATACCACCAGTCCATGTGTGCGTTGCATGCCTCCGTCGTGCCACTCTTTTCGTGGACCCCATCGGAGAATAACTGGGCCTCCGCGAGACAGGCCTCGGCCCAAAAGACGTATGAGCATGCCGTTGCGATCTCAGACTTGATCGCCGCCACTCTCGACGCTCATCCCAAGCTCGCCATGACGCATAGCTTTATAGCATATGCTGCGTACAGCGGATGTGCAGTGCAGATTCCCTTCACATGGAGTTCGAATCCGGTCATCAAGAAACGCGCAACCACAAATGTGAGTCAGAACATGAGGATGATTCACTTGATGACTCCATACTGGAAATTTGCTGCTCTACTCGTAAGACAATTCCTGTATCCCTTCAAAGCACAATATTAACCTTTCAGCAGGAAAGGCAGTTGGGCTGTCTATTCCGCATTCACGAGAAATTCTCGGTTGACCTAGAGGATGAACCAAGAAACGTTGACATCAGAAAGTTGATTGGCTTCAAGATCAATGCTGTCGATGCGCGCAAGTCTATTTTAGGATTCACTGATATCCTGCGATCCAGAGATCACGGCTATGTAAACTCGGGGGAAGAGAATAATGATCCCACAATTCAAGATCAGCCCGATGAAGATGTGCAACAACAGATTCCAGACAATACATCTATCGACCACGAAGCTCCAAATACAGATGTAACCAGAGTTAGGGACATGGATGGACGGGAAAGAAACTTGTCACTAGACTCTATCCTTTTACATCCAGCCGAATCCATGCCTCCTCTCAACTCGAATGAATGCGGTCCCGATCATCAACCACAAGCACAGGCTCCACCTTCGAGCTATACGGATCAACCAAGCCTATCTGGAATGGAACAGCAGTCATATGATGTATGGCCGCCATTTTTCCATCCAACCATGCTGGATGTTCTCCCTGATAGTGAGATGTTGAATCTTCCGCAAGTCGACTTGAGTTCAGTTGATCTAGACTATCTCGAGCCAGAGAACTGGTTCCTGTCTACAAATTCAATTCCTTGAGATCTAGTCAGAAGGAAGGCGGTCAAGTGAATTGAATTTTGTTTGGTGTTCATCGATAGGGTAGGCATATGTGTATCAAAAGTTCAACAACAGTATTTCCAAGTATAGTCGTTCCGATTTGAAGCCATGTGCTCTAGAGCTATGGCAAGACGTGCTTTCAAATTCTCAACCACCAAATCAAACCTTTGCCTCCCCAATGTCCTCCACCATGAGGCAATGGCCTTTTGGCGCAATCAAGAAAAAGTTCTCCATCTCCATTGATTCCGGGGTGGTGAGTTTGGAAAGCCGGAGATGACGACATTCGCGAACGAACTCCGCAATCCCGTGTCTCAATTCCATATAGGCAAGATGAATGCCTAGACAAACTCTTGTCCCTCCTCCAAAGGGCGTAAAGGCGTACTTCTGGTCAGGAGTCAGGCTTTTGTGATAGAACCGATCCGGATCGAACCTAGCGATACACAACAGCGATTAGTATCTCGACAGAGAAAACTAACGGCACAAGTGAACTGAACAGGGTGATTTGGCAAAACATACCTCTCCGGATCCTTAAAAACCATCGGATCTCTGTGCATTGTATACGCCTGCGTAGTCAAAGTAACCCCGGGAGGAATTTCATACTCCCCCACCCTTATTCCATGCGACGGCGTCGTCCGCGGCAAAGCACCGGGCGCCGACCCATATAAACGAAGAACCTCCGTAACAAACGCATCGAGATATGGTAGTTTCTCCAAAATAGCATCATCAAATCCTTCCTCTAGCCCCAATATTTCATCTTCAAGTTTACGCCGCACATCCGGATATGTCAGCATCGCCCAAGTCGCATATGTCAATGTCGTAGTCGTGGTCCCTGCACCGGCAATGATCAAAGCTGATGCTTGTGATCCCAGTGCGAAATCAGTCACGACGGTTCCTTCCTGACGACTGGATTCGATCATTCCACTGAGGATGTTGTGGCGTGTGAGTTTGCCTTCTTTGGCTTTCTGGGCTGAGGCGTTGGCTTTGGCGATGACGTTGGTGAGGGATTGTTCGATAGGGCCGTATGTTTTGGGACTGATGATTTTTAATAGTTTGTAGAGCCTGGGGAATTCGCCTTGTAAAGCGAAGCTGATTTCGGCTTGTTCAAGGTCGTTGATGTAGGCGTTTTTCTGGAGGTGGACTATTAGTATCCATATTTCATCCGGTGGATGATATGAATAGGATGAGGATGGTAGTTATGATGGTTGGGTTAGATACTCAACTCACCTCTCCAGCTTCAATAAGTCCCGCCTTCTCACCAAACGCCACCTCCATAATAACATCCGAAGTCATCAAAGTCCACCACTTCATGACATCGCAGACTCCGTTACTCGCCGCTTCTTGTTTAATACTCTGCACGGCAAGCTTCGCACGTTCAGTCACCAACTCCTGAAAGTTGGTCAAGAGAGAGGTTCGACTAAAAGGTCGTGCCAACAATCTTCTTCGGGCAGCATGTTCTTGCACATTGGTCATGACAAACACATTACTCTCCATCCCCGGCGTCGCCCTGTCATACCATGGCGATTTCACGAATCCGCTGCCAATGCGGTGGACTTCTCGATATGCAGCTAGATCAGAGACTTCGACTTCTTCGGGACTGATTCGGACAACGGAGCCGTATTTATGGTGCAGAGCGTGGATATAGTGCACTCGTTGACCGCTGAACACGTTGTATTTGAGGACGATGTCCGTGAAGCGAGTGTACCATGGTCCTGGCAGAGAGCTGAGTGGGCCGCTGAAACCTTTGTAGAGAATCTATTTCGATTGTTAGTCTTGGTTTGTGAACGTGGTCATCTAGCAAGGTATTATGACCGAGCCCTGGTTTTCACTTACCCATATGATTGCTGACACGGCAGTCAGTATTGCCATTGCGGCAACCCGCTGTCCACCCTGAAGGTCGAAGGTGAGCATTTTGGCGACCTGAGATGATTGATTTTGGAGATTGGTAGCTTGTGTTCTTCTCCAAGGTAGACAAGAAGGTAGCCTTTGATCACAGAGTGAAGATGGTGTAAATAGTGGTTTCAAATCGCTCGACCACAAAAGTATCGATCCAATCTCTTCTTTTCCTCCCGAGGAGTCTGTCTATCAAGAGTCGGATCCGAAAGCTTCAACAATTCGAATCTTTCAAAGTCGGGTCAAGGTCGTCCGATTTGTAATAATAGCTCACCTACTCGCAGCTTCAACTTTTACCGAACCCTAGTCGTGACCCGACCCTGTTCAATGCAAGTTTTGGGAACATATCAAACTCTCCAACGACCGTAGCAGACCACCAAACCAAAGTCGATATTTCCAAGCATTGTCTTGCCAGATAAATAAAACCCCAAGTTACCAGCTCCAGACCCATCAAATCAGTCATGGGTAATGCCCCCATGGGCTTGGATTCCCCGCTGTCGTTCAGCCCAGACGTTCTTTTAGCGTTGGGGGGCCCCACACGGTATAAAAATGTCAGTTGCCTATTTGGGAAGGATTATACCGTAGCCGAGGGGTTGTCTCGACCTCGACGTCCACTGGTCCGTTCTTCCCATAGGTGTTGATCATGTCTGGAGAGAGGTGGGAAGGATAGACACGTCGGAATAATATTCGAGGTTTGTAATATTGGCTGGTCGCGAAAGATTTGCCTAAGTAGAGAAGGAAAAGCGGAGGGCTCGTACGTGAGTGGAGTAATTGACTGGTCGGCCAGAGACCTAATCATGAAATTTTGTACGAACGGGAGTATATGTCGATTGGAAGTGCACAAAATCAACAGTCTGGGTGTTCCATAGGTTCCATAGGTACGATTACATTCACAGAATCTTCTCTAGACCCAGACCATCGAAAGAACCAACAGCAAAGTCTACTTCTTCCTCATAACCACCAAAGTCCAAACAGAAAATGGCTTCCTGGGTGAACATCCCTGAGGATTCAGACTTCTCGCTATACAACCTTCCATATGGAGTCTTCAGCATTTCTCAATCGTCTCCACGTGTTGGCGTCGCGATTGGAGATCAAGTACTGGACTTGAAAACCCTGTCTCAAGCTGGCGTTTTCAATGATCTCGGTTTCAACACAGATAGTCTGCAACAAGCCACTTTAAATGAGTATGCTAGCCAGGGCAATGCCGTACATCGAAAGGTTCGACAGAGACTTCAGGAATTGCTCAAGCATGACACTTCGCTTGGCAATGTCCTTCGAGATGATGCCCAACTTCGTGGCCGAAGCTTAGTGCCTATCGACCAGGTGACGATGCACCTACCGATGAATATCGGCGATTACACAGATCATTTTATCGGATTGCCTCATGCTCAGACTGTAAGTACTTCGATCCATCCAAGACTCTCGTGTGGGAATCAACTTTCTTCGTCAGCTCTGGCTCACGTTTCCTCGATCTACAAATTATAGTCAGCAGAGTTTCTCAGCCCTGGCAAAACAATCGAGCAACTAATTCCAAGTTTCTGGGACGCTCCAGCAGCGTATCACGGTCGATCTTCCACGGTCGTCGTTTCAGGAACGCCTGTCCGCCGACCAAAAGGCCAAACCCGTGTTGACGGCGTAACTATCTCCGGACTCTGTCAAAAACTCGATTTCGAAGTCGAATTTGCAGCGTTCATCTCGACCGGAAATGAATTTGGCTCTTCGATCCCCGTTGATGAAGCAGAGGATCATATCTTTGGTTTTGTGCTTTTGAATGATTGGTCAGCTCGAGATTTTCAGAAGAATGAAATTGCGTCGTTTACGAGTAAGAACTTTGCGACGAGTATTTCACCATGGATTGTCCCGTTGGATGCGTTGGAGCCGTTTCGTACTGCTCCAGTAAATGGCGATGTGAGTGGCTTGTTGAGATATGATGGTATCATGCTTTGAGTACTTACTGATGGATTTACAGCGCAAACTTCCAGATTATCTAGTCCAGAAGATGAAACAGTCAGCATATGATATTCCTGTAAAGGCGACGTTGAAAGGTAGGTTATAGACTCTACTCAACCGAATACTGAGAAACACTCACGCGAAATTTCACAGTCGACGACCAGAAGTACCATATTGCCGAATGCAACACCAACAACGTGGTCTTTTCGGTCGCCCAGATGATTGCCCATCACAGTCGCGGTGGCTGTGCTCTGAGACCAGGTGATCTCCTAGCAACAGGCACCATTTCAGGACCTGCGAAGGAAAAGGAAGGTTGTTTGATGGAGTTATCCTACTCTGGAACCAAAGCTTACACCATGTCTTCAATTGAGGAACCGTCGAAAACGACTCAACGCACTTATCTTGAGGATGGAGATGAAGTGATTTTCACAGCTCAACTTGCTCGTAAGGATGGATTGGGGAAAGTTGGATTTGGGTCTTGCTCTGGGAAGATCCTGCCGGGGAATTGAGAGGTAGAAGAAGTTTGGTACACAGAAGAGGGTCAGGCTGGTAGCTACTTGACGATTAGACGCTTATTCGTAGACAGAACATCATATAGGAGTGTTCAAATTACCTGCTCCGTATCTTCCTCAGGTGTGAATGTTGTATGCTGAACCGGCTACCAGGACCTCACGACATACATGGGTCACAAACGCAACAGGGGCTACCAGGCACAGCCAGGATGTCATCTTCCCATTCCTCCTCTTCTTCTTTCTTCACCCTCTTTAGCTAGAACGATTGGACAACATCCCGAAATTGTATTCTCTATGTCTAGATCCAAGCATCCCTAGTCGATCTGGCTATTCCGGCCTAGAACCTTACTTCCTGCATGAGCCAAATCCTCATCTAATTTCTGACCATTGACAGTCAAAGGTTGAATATCCTGCAAAATGAAGACAACTCTCGCCCATTCAGTCTGACTAGCATTATCCCATCTGTGCTGGGTAGCCCGCTGAACTGCGATATCACCTCGATTCATGACGGTCTCACTCCCATCATCCAGTCTCATGATCATGCTACCTTCAATGATAATACCGAAGTCGATGCTAGACGTGCGGTGCATGAAAGTCTGGCTTCCCGGTGCGAAGTCGGCAAACCGGAGTACTGTCCCTGAGGGGATGGCGATGGGTAGTTTGCCACTCCGGATCATTCGATCCGATGTCTGGAGGTCGACATCCTCGTTCAAGTCAACAGGCATTCCCTTGGTGACATATAGGTCGGTTGACCAGAAGCTGTCGTAGCTGCGAGGTTCATTTCGGCTGGTTCGCTCTATGATCGCTTGGTTCTTCTTGTTGTGACCGGTGATGTGGAGTGCCGGTTGAGGGTAGGATGACTTCTGGAGAGTGGTGCCGTTGGTGGTTGGTGCCATGGTGGATGATCTGGCGATGGATACTCGATTTGCTCAAGATGTCTAAGGTCTGTACCTGAAAGTGATTTGTTTACGACAATTTTGATGCTAATGGGATTCTCGAGCGCCAAATTTATGTTAACTCCAGGATTTATAGGAGGCATAGCGAGAAAGTGCGTCAGGGTATAAGGCATGAGGGAGGCCGAGGGGACCGCCATCTACCCAGCATTTTGATCCACCGTGCTCTTGCCAGACGGCTACCATTGTTCCTTTTTCCGAAGTGTCTTCATCAATTGGGGGAACTCTGTCATGGGATACAATACTAATCGAACGACTCGGCTCAACTGTCCGCCTTTTGGTGGATTCATTTTGCACCAAACCGTGTTCGGCAAGGGTTTGCCGTTGGTCGCCTGGCGGCCAAGATCCGCTCGGTAAATTCTCACTCCACGATTCTGACTCTGCCAATGACTGAAAGAATCGGTGGACAAGTCAAGAATGTGGTCGTACGGAAAATACTACCCCGGCCGGGGGACCATCTCCCCAGACTTGTCAAGAGACATGGGTACTGACCATTCCAATCCGTGGGGACAGACAGCTCAGCCCGCGCGGTTAATTCTCTCTCGAGGCTAGATTTTTGGAAACGAAAGGGGTTGATGGATGCATAGAATACCTCATTTCTCCTATGGCATAAGAAGGCCCTGGCCCCTCTTGTCGTACACTCACGATCCCCTCGTCCTGGTTTACATAGGCGCTGGTCTGAAGAAGCCATCGAGACAAGTGCAGAGACCTTATCTTTTCTCACCAACGACACAACATGGCACATACTTCCACCGAAAAGGGAGAGGAGCAGACTCTGGAGAGAGTTGACATAGACGAGGTCCGACCGCAACCGCCTGCTACCATGGGAAACGCTCTTGAGAAAGTTGATTCTCAAGATTCGCTACACCGCAAAAACTTCTTCACCGATGCCGAGGATCTCAAGGACACAGCGTATTGGCGGTCACCTCGATTCATCGGATCGTTGGCGGCGTCATTTCTCCTTGCGAACAGTCTGTTCTTTGCATTTGGAATGCCTATCAATCTCCTGACGGTGATCGACGCTGACATTGGACCCTCACCCAACATCTATCTCGTCACCCTGATATTCAACATCTTTCTTGGTGTGCTCCACTTGCTGGCCGGTCGACTGTCCGACATCTTAGGTCGGAGATACTTCTTGCTTGGAGGCACATTGTTCAATGTCGTTGGATCGGTCGTTTGTGCCACGGCCAACGATGTCAACACCGTGATTGGTGGCAGTGTGCTCACAGGCACAGGGGCTGCTGCGTCACTAATGTACCCGATCATCGTCCACGAAGTGCTCCCGAACAAGTATCGCCACTGGGGACACGCTGGCGTAACTTTGGCAGTTTTGCCCAGTCTGGGGTTCGGAAGCGCCATTGCCCGCAGTTTCGTGGCGTACACAGACCTGTCATGGAGGGGATCATACTGGCTCAACGTTGCCGTCTCTGGAGCTGCATTTGTCCTCTTTGCCGTGTGCTATTTTCCACCTGACTTCCGCATGATCAATAGCGAACTCACCAAATGGCAAGAAGTCAAGGAATTCGACTATGGCGGCTGCTTGCTATATTTCGCGTCTCTCCTCCTGATCATCTTGGGATTCTCATGGCCGTCAGGCACATATCCATGGAAGAGTGCCCAAGTCATCTGCGCCTTGGTAATTGGAGCGCTTCTCCTGATGGCGTTCTTTCTCTATGAGATCTACATGCCTCTGAAACAACCACTCTTCCCATTCCGTCTGATCAAGATGCGAAACATGTGGACGTGCATCATTATCGGGTCAACCATGCAAATGGTCTGGTTTGCCCTCAACGTCTTCTGGCCGATTCAGCTTGCCACACTTTACACGGATAACGACGCCACTATCGGTCTCTTGTCCAGTCTCAATGGCATTGCTCTGGTTGCTGGAGAGCTCTTTTCAGCGCCCTTCTTCAAACGGTTTGGTCATCTCAGAATCCAGTTGGTCATCGCAGGGGCTGTGACTGCTATCTTCGCCTCGCTGATGGCTGTCAACACGTACAAAACCCTGGGTCTGGGTATTGCTATCAACATAGTCACTGGATTGTCGGTCGGCTGGATTGAGTTGGTGACCATCGTCACTGTTGGTCTTGTAGCGCCACCGCACGATATCGGTGTTGCTCAAAGTTTCTTTTCTTCAACTCGACAGCTTTTCGGCACTGTTGCGAGTAAGTATTCTATCTTCTCCATCTTGAATTCCATTTCAATAGTGCAACGGTCCCACTGACTTCTGAACCAATAGTCAGCATCTACCTCGCCATCTACAGCGACAGAATAACGGCATTCCTACCCGCCGAAGTCGCATCAGCTGTCGAAAACGCTGGTCTTCCATCAAGCAGCATCTCCGATTTCTTCGCAGCGATGGCCAACGGCACCGCTGCAGCATTCGAAGCCGTACCTGGCATGAATGAGAACGTTTTGGAGGCGTTTGACATCGCCTCTAAGGTCGCTTATGGTCGCGCTTTCCGAGTTGTGTATCTATCGACCTTGGGATTCTTTGCTATGGGAATGGCTGCCTCGTTCTTCGTCAGGGATATTCCAGAGCTTCTGACCGGGTTTGTCAATAAGACTATTACCAGACCGGCTGGCTTGCAGCAGAAGAAAGAAGAGGATGTGTGAAAGCCACTATATGACTAAATAAGTACATAGTTAGGGTTTACAAACCTTTGGAAGAGGCGATCTGAAGAATACCAAGTATCGTTGTATCACTCTGTTTAAGGGTATGGCCACTACAACTTCAACTCTCTCCTAGACGTAGGTGGTCACCCATATGTCAAAACTTGTGTCAAGAAATGTCGGACACCGGTATAGCCCTGGGTTTGGTGATCGTTGAATAGCAAAGGCGTTGATATTCAGTACTTCTTGAGTAATTGAGGGAGACTCGACCTTCAACGCTCATGGCTAGGTACATTAGTTACATACAAGTCACCCACCTAAGTAGGATCTGCAGCCTACAGCCTCGTCAGGCACCGTGTTGCCCCCGGGGGGTTCACCTTAGAACCTTCATCCGTTAGGTACTGTGAACGGTAGGGACCTTGGGAGCACTGTAATAAGCGCCGGAGCCTGAAGCGCCCTAAAAACGGGTCGTGCAGTAGATCCCCCAACGGGAGTGGAGGAGATCGAGGGGCTGTTGACCTAAGAACTAGGTGCCTGAGGTAGGTAATTCAAAAGTCCCGTTGATTGTATTCTCCAATGTGCTCTCCGTATCATGGCTGTTGGATATCTGCTCCTTTGGTAGACGCTTATTTCATAGGTACTTATACTACCATGTAGCTACTAATAGTCAATGACTACAGTCGCAGATAGAACGAGTAAGTAGATAGAGGCTATGAAGCTAAAATACGAATCATATCAAATCAACTATAATCAACTCGCATCAATCATTCCAACATGACCATCGTCACATCATCACACTTCAACCAACCAACCCACCACCTCCCTCCTTACTCACCAATCTCAAATCTCCAATCTCCCTATCTGACCTACCCTTCACCTCACTTTCATCTTCACCTTCGCCCTCTTCAATAAACATAAGCCTCCTGCCCCAAACCGACTTTATCTGCAGGCTCGGCCTTCAACTCCACACCATCAGCCTCAACAATATATCTTTCTGGGTCGACCCTCATCTTGGGCTGAGCAGAGTTGAATTTCATGTCCGCCTTGCTGATACTGCGACAATTCTTGACTGGTTCGACGCGTTTCTTGAGATTATAACTTGCCACTCGCCCAGAGGCAATTGATGCGGCTGACACGAAGGTCACGCCAGTTGATGGGAGTAGTGCGCCGAACATGGGTCGTGATATAATGGGTTCGACGGTGGGGATTGATGCGTTGGGATCGCCCTTTATTCATAGAACGAGATCAGGTTAGTTGGACCACTTTTTTTCGATAGCATGGAGAGCTGAATTCAAATGGGGCGCAAGGACTTCCATAACTTACCATCATAGCACTGACAATCATACCACTCTTGACCACCATATTTGGCTTTGTGCCAAACAGTGCAGGTTTCCAAATAACCAAATCCGCCAACTTGCCCACTTCAACACTTCCAATGACATGACTCATGCCCTGAGCGATTGCCGGGTTGATGGTGTATTTACTGATATATCTCTTAACCCGGTAATTATCAGCACCGGTACCCTCATCCTCAGGCAAGTATCCACGTTGTTGTTTATTCTTGTGTGCGGTGTTCCAAGTTCGAAGAATAACCTCACCACAACGGCCCATGGCTTGGGAATCAGACGACATCATGGAAATGGCACCTAGGTCGTGGAGAACGTCTTCGGCGGCAATGGTTTCGGCGCGGATACGTGATTCGGCGAATGCGACGTCCTCAGGGATGTTCTTGGATAGATGGTGGCAAACCATTAACATATCAAGATGTTCATCCAGGGTGTTGCGAGTGTATGGCCGGGTTGGGTTAGTCGACGATGGGAGCACGTTAGAATGTTCGACCACACTGATAATATCAGGTGCGTGTCCGCCACCGGCACCTTCAGTGTGGTATGTATGGATGGTACGGTTCTTGAATGCTTGGATCGTTTGTTCCACAAACCCTGCTTCGTTCAATGTGTCGGTGTGGATCAGACATTGGATGTCATATTCGTCGCACACCGACAAGCACGCGTCAATGGCCGCGGGAGTTGAACCCCAATCTTCGTGAAGTTTCAAACCACAGGCTCCAGCTTCGCATGCTTCGCGTAGGGCTATCGGAGAGCTGTCGTTGCCTTTACCGGTGATGCCGTAGTTGATGGGGAGATGGTCGACTGCCTGGAGCATTTTTTCCATGTACCAAGAACCAGGTGTACAAGTCGTGGCGCTTGTGCCGGCGCAGGGGCCGGTTCCGCCTCCGAGATGAGTGGTGATTCCTGACGCCAGGGCTTCTTGTGCTTGCTGCGGACAGATGAAATGGATGTGAGTATCGAGTCCTCCAGCTGTGATGATTAAGCCCTCGCCGGCAATGACTTCGGTGCCATTCCCCGTGATCATGGTAGGGTCAATTCCATCCTGGATATCCGGGTTGCCTGCTTTGCCAATTCCAACAATATAACCGTTCTTGATACCGATATCCGCCTTGACAATGCCGGTCCAGTCGACGATCAAGGCATTGGTGATGACTGTATCAAGGACTTCAGTGTCGCTGCGTCCGGAAGCTTGAGCCATGCCTTCTCGAAGTGTTTTGCCACCACCAAACTTCGCTTCTTCGCCGTAAGTGGTATAGTCCTTTTCCACTTTGATCCACAGGTCGAGAGTCGCCAGTCGTACGAGGTCACCGGTAGTTGGACCGAACATGGTAGCATAATCTGATCTCGTCATGGAAAAGGAATCAATATGACCAAAATCGCCTGCTGGATCTGGAGCGTGGGAAAATCCCGCTTCCTGCAATTTCTGAATAATCTCATCGCTTCTGGACAAGTCCACTACTCCGGAAGCAAGGTTGTTTCCACCACGGATAGTCTTGTTACCGGCGATCTCGACTAGGGTGACGACTTTGGAATCGCCAGGCTCGAAACGTACCGCTGTGCCTGCAGGTATGTCCAGTCGATAACCGTATGCCTTGATGCGATCGAATTCGAGTTGAGGATTACTTTCGATGAAGTGATAATGTGAGCCGACCTAGATGACGGAGTAATTGTGAGTATAGCCAGAACATCAGTCAGACCAAGGAGCGGATGTGGTACCTGAATAGGTCTGTCGCCTTTGCTCGTAACCCTCAACTTGACCCTCTTCCTCCCTTCATTGAGAACAATCTTCCCTTCCTTGACTGGAATGACGGCGCCAGGTTGCTTCTCAATTTCATACTCACTCGGGTCTGGAAGAGCAAAAGTTTCGATCGAAGGGATGGGTAGAAAACTACCATATAAGGCCTTGGCCAAATCACCATCGTCTGAGCAGACCGGGTCATGAACCGTGACGAGATAGGTACCCGTGTGAAAGGTCCCTTCTACCTGAATGGTATGGAGTGTGCTGATGACACTGGGCAGAACGTGTCGTCGTCCAAGCATGGTCTTCCCAATAGACATGAGGTCTGCGACGGAGTGGTCGCCATCACGAATGAGCTGTTTGAATATTAGGAGATGTTCTGAATTCTGAATTCCAGATAGGCCAAACTAACCTCTTGTAGATTGTGCGAGATAAGTGCCTGGTCAAAATGTGAGAACGGGGCCAGGTCAGCATAACAATGGCGAGACAACATACACAAGCTTCAGAATGATTAAGTTTCAACCCTCTGGCAAGTCTCCTCTGCGCGAGAATCGCGAGTTGTGAGATCACGAGCTTATCGAGCTGTCATGAAGTAGTTTTCTTATCAGTTCAGGTGTAGAAATTTGTGGAGCTTTCTCCATTGATGAAGAATAACGCGTACCTCTTTCGGAACCAGCAACATGGTCAATGCTCAATGAGATGTATATGAAGAAGAGATTGACCAGATACCACAAACAAGCCTGGGCGAGGTTCACATTAAAAGTTGGGGCAAGGTTTGGTGTTCTGATATGCTTCGAATGGCCAAGATGGTTATCTCTGTCTCTTGGAGGAGGTGAGGTCCCCTGCCGGCGAATCAGATCAAGTCATGACGCCTAGTTCCGTTGATGCGGGGCATGCATCACAAAAGCTTGGATTGGGGCTCGAGAAGCAGTAACCAGACACGACTTGTACTCTTTTCACCCGAATACAAGTCTTCACCTTCTCAAGTGGTTATAGTCACTTGCAAGTCTACGTTGTAAAGGAATGAAATCATATCATATCAACATTTGTTTGCATGGTATACTCAAGTGGAATAAGCACCTCCATCCCACTCCCGACCGACACGCCGCGACAGGATGTTAACTCGATATTGATCAGTCGTAACCCAACCGGAAACAAAGCTCTGGTTTAGCAAGAACTAGCACATCAACTCGAAAGAACCCTGAATGAGGAGGTACAGTGACCCCTTGCCCTTAACCATTCCCATGCCTTCCAAGTAGACTCGTAATCATGTACAATTACAACATCAAGCATTCACTTTTTGGACTTTCTCTTAGTCTTGTCGGTCTTGGACACTGATGCTGGGGCAGGTGACGATTCCTTTTTACCCTTCTTGGACTTCTTTTCTGGCGATTTGGCGTCAGCCTTGGGTGTTGGCTTGCTGGGGGTGGCGTCCTTGGTCTTGCGACGCTTGGACTTTGGTGGGGAGGGCTCTTTAGCTGGTTCAGGGGATGAATCAGATGATTGAGCGGCAACTTCTTCTTCCGTCTCGGCTTCGGCATCGAGACCAGCAATGTGCTCAGGAGCCTTACCAGCTTCAACCAGTCTCGCAGCCTCATCATCACTGGGCACTGGTTGACCGGCCTTATAAGCGGCCATCTTGACACGATATGCGGCCAAGTTTCGTTGGTACTTGTCATCCCAGACCTGAGACATGTCAGTGAAAGACCATACTGCACCTAGGTGGGACACTTACGCTCTTCTCAGCTGGGCTCATCTCAGTCCACCGTCGAGTACCTTCATCAGCAACCTCCTTGGGCTTGGCTGAGTCACCAAGTTCTTTGGCGATAGTGGCACGAGCACTCTGCATGTAGAGGAAGTAGGGAGTGAGGGCGCGTTTGGGGGCATTGGGATCGTGAGGAGTTCGCTTGCGCTTCTTCTTGCCATCGCCTTCAAGGTCAAGGCCAGCTGCAGGTGCACCTTCGCCAGGTCGGCCTGCCAACAAACCAGACTCGGTAAGAATGCTGGTGAGGTTGCTGTCAATAGCGGACAAGCCATGCTTTCCTGGGGTCAAAACGGTGTTGGCATGCTGGATGTAGGCTCGCGAGAGATCCTGGACACTGGACTGAAGGGTTGCAAGTGCAACAATGACCTGTTAGGTGTGTTAGTCGCGCTGTGCTGATGGAATTGTGTTTGTGGTAGGGGCGTGCAATCAGGCTCTAGTGCATTTCAAACAAACGCGGTAGAGATAGGATTGTAGCAGGTCATGATTGTTGATGGGCAGCAATTACTAGACGTGTGGTGACGCGTAGTTGAATGGGAGTGATGATCGTGCATGGAAAAATTGATGACCTGCACAAGGTGGGGGATCAAGTGCAAAGTGCAGTCGCGTGGCTGCAACTGCGGCTGTAGTGCAGTTGATGTTGCGTGTGATCAACCAGGCGTGGGAAGTGTAAACAATGACGCAAAGTGCAGGGGAGCTTGGAGGCGCGGTGCAGGTCGATGAGGCGTCTAACTTACTGAGTCGCGGGTGCGCTGGAAGTCGGCGATGTTAACTTGAGTGGTGGCCGATTCGGCGTCAGCGGGTTGGGCAGTCTTCTTTGCCATTGTGGTGTGTTGGAGCGACAAGGTTTCGCAACGGTAGGAATAAGTGGTTGTAATGGGAGGCGAATGGGGAGACGCCGGTGGTGACGAGGCTTTGGATATTAGTTGAAGCAAGCCTAGGGCGCCGATGAGATAGGCAACAAGCGGGTGGATAAGAGTGTGGAGAGAGAGGCACAACAAGCGAAAAAGGTTGCGCCGACCAGCTTAAAAGATTGGTGTGGAAGAGGAGGTGGTCAGAGGTGTGGGAAAGAGGAGAAGAAAAAAATCGGGAGGTCAGCTGCAGGCGAGGGGGGCATGGGCGGTATAAGTGGCAGGGCGGCGAAAAGTTGGGTGCCTCAGATCAACCCAAGGCCTGAGAAGGAACCTGCAGAGACTTTCTGATCAAATCAAAAATGGGCATCACCTTCACCTGCAACTCCAATAATCCTGTGCATGGTCCTCGGCCTACTTGAGCAGTCCCCACCACACCTACCACGCTAAGTGTCTTTAGGCACCTCCAATTGGCTTTGGTCACTGCTTCTTGCTGCACTCTTCCGCCAGAACTGCCTTGAGAACCCGACCATTTTGGGGGTTGTTTACCTTCAACCCTGCCCATTGCAGCAAGCTAAAACACTCTAAGCCTGATATCCTGGAACTCCCCTCTATTTCTGGCGCTTCAAGCTCCCTCGGCCCTCCCCCCTCCTTCCGCAGCCTCCTTGACAGACCACTGATTTTCCTCCTCTACGGAGTAGGTACAATTGTCTATGGAGGTGAGCTTCGAGAATTTCAACATGCAGATACCCCTCCGCACCGTACGATTACTGTGATTTGCTCTGCCTTTGGCGTAGTATTATGCTTGGATATCTATATGTTGTCTGCAAATTCAGCATTGGATTGACGTGTTTGTGAAGTTTGCAAGCTTGAATTATGGCGACAGCATTCCTAAGACCAAGCATATACAGTGGTAATTCTGATGGTGCTTGTGCCACTGAAGGAAGAGAGAAAACAGAGCCTACAATTGATTACCCGCATGGCGGGAGTTTGGGAGTTGACAGGGAAATTGCGAGTGCCACAGCCGCCTGAAGCGTAATGCTAGTGAGCCTCTAAAAGGATGGCTGAGGACAACGGCCAGAGCGGACATTGAATCCACCAAGCAGCACAGCAAAAACAGAAAGTTGAACGAGAAAGAAAAACTTGGAGGGGGGTCCGCGGGGCCACCACTTGATCCCGGCAGGCAAGAACGGGACATTGGGGACTGAATGGGTTGCTGGAGCTTGTCAAACCCGTGAGTCAGACCACCATCATCACCCAAATGCATCACCCAAGGACAACGCCTTGAGTTGCGCCCCACGAGAACATTGCATAAGCGCCTCTGGGCATTGCCTAGCTTTTTCATTGTGTCAGATTTGTCCAGCTTGGGGGGAGGGGGGGTGCCGCCACGGACCAGTCAGGGACGCCGATCAGGGACACCTGGGAATTGAAGAGCTGCGAGGAGGGAGAGGTGGCAGAGGTGGCAGAGGCTTCCCACCAGAGGGGGGAGGGAGAGGAGAAAGCCGCCGATCCGTCTGGTGGTCGGGTCCAGCGCCACTGCCAGGACTTGGACTTGCCTCGACCCTTGATTCTTAGGCATGCCCATGGGTCTTCTGCCCATGGGTGGTGACAGTGATGATGGTGGTCGTGGCACAAAGGTCCGTTGTCGGCGTCACCTGTCCATTTTCGGCCAGGGATATCCTCAACATGCTCCCACCTCCTACCCAGAGTGGAGGTCTCGGTCAAGGATCAAGTCTCCCTCCTAGGCAGCCAGCTCCCTTGAGGTGTGCTGGAGACTGCCTTTGAAGGCGCTGTGATAACCCACCCACACCACAGGACTGCCTACCATCAACATCCTCTGTGAATTCTGTGTCCCTGTCAAGCTTCTATTTCAGGCCTGGACTCCCCTGAGGGCTTAGCAAGTACAGTAAGCGCCCACTTTGTGCTGCACCTTGCACCAGAAGTAGCATTAGCATTTGGTGATGCGTAATGCGTACTACCTACTGTAGGCGGACGTGTGGGTGCCTTTGTGTTGGTGTGTACGTGTTCTTGTCATTATTGTTGTTGGGCAGTCGTGGCAGTCAGTCCCACCTCTGCTTCCAGTCCTTCTGAAGAGAGCTCCATAAGGCCTCGAGCTGCTGCTCTCTGGTCTGGATGTCTAGGCTCCTGCCAGTGATCCTCTAAATTACTACCTACTTCATCATTGACCTCCTTGAAGCTCCTGCCGAAGAACCTCTTGCTCTCGTAACCCTGGGTTGGAGACCTCTTGCCAATTAATCGCCCTTATGACATTTTATGTCTCCCTCTTGTGCACTCGGGCCTTCCACCTCAGTGCCACGGATTTGTTGAGCTGTTAAGCCCTGTCTTCACACCCTGCGTGCCTGTCGGATAGGGCTATTTTAGGTACCTCAACTCCTCTCTTTGACCTCAGTGCCTAAGTTAGAGACAGAGCATCTATCGTTGTTGCCTTCTCACATCGTCCCATACTTCAAGACAACCTTTCGTCGCCCAACTATTGACTTACTTAGACTTTGGTATGAGTGCTCTCTGATCAGGACCGTCCCTAGATACTTAGTACCGACCTCAGGTACCTAGTATTCATCTACTTGCTTCTTAGTTATATTAGGTCGTCATGTCACCAACAGCTATCATAAAAATCCCAACCTCACTCTTACCCGGACCTTTCCTCCACTGTAAAGAGGCATAATAACTCTTAGACCCCAAGTCGTGACCCTTCTACTCTGCGTGGCCACATCCCCGCCCGCGTCTAAACACGGCAGCCCCGAAGACATCGACAAGGGCAAGTACCTGCTCTAAAAGTACCTAGTAATTCCAGATTGTATCTGTTTCGGGTATCTCAACTCCAGGACTACAATCTGTCTTCACGGTTCCCGCGGCCTCGCGGCTCGACGTCTAACCCATGCCCACCCGTTAACACTCACCGGGTAGCTCAACTCTGATGACCATCTTGCCGTGATCGAGCTTCAATGGGTAGATTCCACGTTTCCCAGTGTTGTTATCCTCCACCACCGCTGGCCTGCCGTCCAAACTTTACTCTTGGTAGATCACTGATCAAGGATATCGATATCGACATCAATATCAATGTCAAGCAGGTGCACCATGCCATTTAATCAGTTTCTTGTACTTCTCAAAAAAAAAAAGGCCAATTGAAGTTACTCCTAAGCTCGACGCCCAATGGTGGCGTTATCACAGCATGAATACGATGATTATCAAGAGCTATATCATAATACGAACAATTCTCCAGGCGTACCATTCAGACATATTTCTGTAGTGTCTACTTAGGTGATATGTTGACCTGAACTCTTTAACCCCATGTTTCATGCCTAAAGATCATTCCGGAGTATTTTTTCGTTCAGACTACTAAGTGCCCTATATCCGATGCTTTGTGCGTTTGCTGCTTGGGACGCGACGAGGCTCTGCAGTCACCCCCCACATTGAGCCTCACATCCGCAACTAGCTGGCTGGGTCTTAGCGTGCACGGCGGCGTGTCAGGCCTGGCGTGAACAAGGCTGTGGATTAGGTGCTTAAGTAACTCATGTCGATTACAATTTACTACAATGCAGCAATGCTTAACAAGTTGTTTTTTCTGAGTTTTCTACATTGTAAATATTGCCTGATCGCATCCTAATGACTTATTCTTGTGGTTCCGACAGGAAATCTCGACTAGATATCGACGAGTCGCCATCTCACGAGGAGCTAGCTAGAAATCGTTTACGTCACATTTATATTCTTCCAAAAATACTACTAATACAAGGTCTGAAGTCGGGCAGTCCACAACGTGACACTGTCTATTGTCTGTTGTCTTGGAGATATATAAGTATAACTACTATACATTCGGTCTTTTGTCTACAGGGACAACTTCCTCTCGCCTGGTTTTTCTTGTCCTTCTCTAGCAACACAACACGCGATTCTATGTATCGGTGTTGCACGTCTAAAATTTAAAGACTTGCTCTTTTGTATAGCCCAACTCTTTCAAAATGCCGCTCAAGTCGCCCTGATCGGTAGGAGAGACTTTAGGGCCGCTGATGGCCTTGTACAAGCCTGGGGGTCCACAGACAAAGACCTTGATGTTCTTGCTGTTGGGGTCGGGAATCACGGTCTTTAGCAACTCCTTGGTGATGACTCCGGATCCATGTTTCCAGCCAGAGGGAGGGGTATTGAGAGTGTAAAAGGCACGGAATCGATCGGGGAAATCTTTCTCGAGCTGAGCCAGCTCCTCTTTCAATAGAACATCCTTTTCCGTCAGGTTGCCAAATACCAGAGACACCTTTGTCTTGTCTTCAGGGTTCTTAAAGATGGCGCGAATCAGCTGCCACATGGGTGTGATACCGGTGCCACCGGCGATCAAAGTGATGTGGTCGTGCTTGTTGGCAGCCCAGGGATATTTGGGGATAGGTCCTTTGAAGGAGAGAGTTTGGCCCGGTTTCAAGGAGAAGATGTGGTTGGACATGGCGCCGTTGGGGTAGACCTTGACGAGGAGGTCGAGATGGCCCTTGGAGTCTGAGAATAGTCAAGGTTAGTTAAGAATTTCAACGGGGGTTTGGTAGGGAAGAACTTGCCTTCATCGTTGATGGGAGTATAAGGTCTGATAGTGGGCTTTTCGTCGGTGGGACCCTTGAACTTGGTGATGATGGCAGCTATGTGAGAGAAGCGTGATTAGTTGCCTCCTTCGTTTGCACAAGGGAGGTCGAAATCAACTTACAGGCAACATTTAGACCTGAGACCTGATCTGGTTCTGGGAGCTCAAAGACAAATTTCTTGGTGTTGTCGTTGTAATCCAAGACCTCTTTGAGCTTTAAGTCGACGAAACCCTGATCACCACCGGTAAAGGCCTTTGAGGCTGCAGCAGCTGGAGTAGCAGATTTGGCGTCACCAGCTGGCTTTGGAGCATCTGCCTTGTTGCCCAGAAAGGAGTAGCCTAATGCGCCTGCGGCGAGGGCGCCGGCTCCGACAACGTAGGGTGTTGAAGAGGATGAGGACTTGGGGGCTTCAGTGGCGTAGGTACGGAAGTTCTACCAAAGGCGAGACTGTCAGTCTGGGGGTGTTGAGGAGGGCTTGACGGGAGAAAAAGCGGCATAGCAGCTTACCTGGCGTAGAGGGGCGCAAGACCTCAGCATTGATCGAGCGAGCATTGTGAAATAAGTTTAGGGAAGGTATTTAGAAGGAATAGAACCGGGGCTGGATGGATGAGAAGACGATACAATGATGTTGATGTACAACTTCCTTGAATATGATGTCGAGGCCTTGCAAGAAACTTGTCTGATCCCCGAATTAATAAGTCGAACTAGAGATTGTTGATCTCCAAACCGATGGCGTCAATGCGAGGACAGCTCCGGTGACGAGGGACAAGGTGCTGGTGCAGGCCAAGCATGGTAGTGGGTGGGTGGTGGGTGGTGGGCGCCTCGGGCTTCTGCCAATTGAGAGGCGTGAGAGGTTACCTAGTTACTGAGGCTTGAGACGAGGAGGAGCTGGAGCCTGAGTCCCAGACATGCAACCAAATCGGTTCGGTTGAAACGAGTGCCCGAGAGAACAGCAAGAACTCTACGCTTATGTCCGAGGGTGGCTCCTTCCATCGACCCAGGTACTCTTGGCACTGGTAATGATGATGGTATCGCAGCCGCGTCTCACCGAAACGCGACATCGCGGCCAGTTGGTACGCAGAAACATTGGTCTATATGTTGTGATGGGTGTCTTTCATTTTCTCGTTACTTTCAGGGTATCATATATGTTAATATTACAAGGCTCATTCGCTGACTTCCTTCTTCCAGGCTTTTTTCGTTCGAGTCAGATTACTCACAGTTCCAGCTCGTCTTGATCATCGTGTGATCGACCAGCACTTCTCAAAGGATACCAGTTCCATTCAGAGTCGTCCTGACCTTTCAAACACTGCTTCGCTGCCTTGTAAGCTCCTATTCTGGCAGACTTGCGATTGTCCTCCGCCTCTCCATCGAAAACCGACGTGTCAACCGAACAGTCTTCCTCCGAATCGTCCTCAATGATGATCACATCAGAGTTGGAATTGATTCGACGAAATGCACTCTGAACTTTACTGATCTCGACCACATATCCTGGTAGGGAGTTGACATCGGATTGACCCGTTGTCAATGAAGGCTGAGTGCTTGGCTTGTCTCGATCCTTCTTGCTGTCCGTCTCTCTTTCGGCCTCCGTCACCGCACTGATATACTCGACGTCCTCGTCAGAACTCATCTTTGACACTGTTTCCTGGCTGTCACCAAGATCTCTCTTTCTCTTTTTGTTGCCAGTCGACGATGCTAATGCTTGGACCTCCTCTGCCCTCCGACGAATTGACTCATCATAGAAAAATGTCTTGTCGGAGCACAAATCCCCAAACAGTGCTTCCATACTTAGATCTTCACACCAAGAACTCTCGTCGACCGTACATGGACAGATATCCTTGGGCCGAAACTTGCCAACCAAATCGCGTAGTTCATTGTACGACGAATGGCGAGAGTAGGGAAAGTGTATTGTGGTGTTCGTCCCTGACAATGTTCCTGTTTTTGTGGGAGCGGGTGGGCCACCCGCTTGCTTACCAAAACCCATCAGAGCTTCTTTCATCTCCTTGAGAGGCAATACCAGCTCATCGCCCGTCAATACATTTTCTAGTCCTTGGAGAAACAATGTAAAGTTGCGCAGTTTCCAAGCCTGCGCCAGTGCCTCCTCAACGACAGTCATCTGTTCCTTGTTGTCCAGATGCAGTTGCATGAATGCTTTGATCTGATCCAAAGAAATACCACTATCCAGGTTGAGGCCTGATTTGGAATGCAGGTCGCCCCAACCACCTCCTGCACCTAATTCGCCGACTTCTGTTCCATCATTCAATCTGGAAATGATGGGGGTGATCCAGATGACATTCTTCTTTCTGGACAGCTCACGATGACAGGGCAATCCAGGCTCACAGCTATGAATGCGTGTGGCATTGTCTTGAGAAAGACAGCCTTGATGCCAGACGTTACCTAGCTGGTATCCTGTCAGCGAAGGACCCTCTGAAAAGCCAGAGTCACCACGACAGGATTTGTCGCTCAATAGTCGACATGCGTACTCATCCACATGAATCTTGGATTGAAGGAGATCTGAAAGGACGATCCAGACGTTCTCGTAGCCCAATGTCCATGCCCTGAAATAGAAGAGACTATCAGGTGGACAAATTGACACTTTCAGCATCAGCTCCTTGAGGCCGTCAGCCTTTGTGGGGAAATCACGGTACGGTTCCTCATGGGTTGCAAATGTTGTGTCGAGGTACAAGCAATCGAGGATTTTGACGCCAGCGGAGTAGGGTAATAATGAGGGACTTTGCCCAATGGAATTGACCCACCATGGCTCTGCTCTGACATCGCCGGTGTACAGGATAGCCCTGTCATTACCCTCGATCAGGAACATGACAGCTCCTGGACAGTGATTGGCATCGAACAAGGTGACTCGGATGGTAGATTTGGGACTTAGCTCAAGTTCGGTAGGAGTCTGCAGGGGAAGGATTCGTAACACGCTTTTTAGATGACGATATGTCTGAATACGACGCTCGAGAATCCCCTTTGCGAGATTGATTCGATGAGGGTATTTCTCCATATTCAACAACATATTTGCTGTCGTGGCCGAGCAGTAGACAAAGGCCGACCTCACCGACTCCAGTCCCATGAGATGATCACTGTGCACATGACTGAGGAAATATGCGGCCGTATGTTTGTCCTTGTGCTTCCAGAAATAGTCTATTTGGATAGTGGGGAATTCCTTGACTATTCCGTCAAAGGTAGACATGGTGCAGGTGGTCGGCCAGGGTACTAGATGCGTTGGGTCTCATGGGAGTGATCCTTTGACGCAAGGCTGAGGCCAACAATATCGGAAGTTCGGAAGCGATGCCCCAATGAAGTGGGCGAGGATGTAGGGGCGACGGTACCCATACAAGGAATGAGGCCAGGCTAGAAAATAGCGGCCTAGGATGCGTTTGCATAGGGCGAGGGACAGAAGAAGCTATGTAGAGAGTGGTCGAGTCATGGTAGGATGTGTCGCAGGGTTACGCCTGACCAGCAAGTGGGACGTCCGCCTGGAGACGCTAGCGGCAGCGACGATAGGAGAGTCTGTACAAGTAGACGGGTCGATTACTTGAGCCCGTGGGGAAAAGAACAGGAGTAAAGTCGGCTTTTGGATTGGCTAAGGACTTTTCAAGAGTTGATTCGTTCAAAGTCTTGGGGCTTCCGGAGAGCTGAGCAGTAGGCCGAGGGGCGATCTGTGATAAGCGGCGAGAGGCCTGCAGGCTGCAGGGTGCAGGTTTGTAGAGTGCAGCGTGCAGGTTGCAGGTCGCAGGTGAGGTTGTGAGAGGCCGAGGGGCTGCGATCTGGGCGACAACACATATCGCTGCTGTTGCTGGTGACCTTATCATCGTTAGGTCGTCTACAGAAGTCATGCGTCGATACTCGGGTGCTTGGGTGCCTGGCTAGTGGCGGACGTTTTAACTGGAAAACGTTGATGAAGCCCGGGGCAGGGGCTAACGGGCGGTTGAGCCGAGGAAACTCTGGGCCGACCTGCGCCTCATGCCTAGACCAGGACAGGTTTGGCGGGCCAAATCCAACAACGCAACAGGCCCAAGCAAAAGGTCGCGATCGAGGCCAGCATTCAATGTGCTGGCCACGGGACCGTGTCAGATGAATTCCCAATTCATATCTGGTTGGTGCAAGGAGAGGCTGATGATGTGGCAGGTAGAATAACAAGAATGAAAATGAACGAGATAGAAACCAACTCCTTCTCTTCAAGTTGACTATCTACACCAAGTACACACTTGGGTACTTCAGACTGCCCTGCCCAACTTGCAGGTTGGTAGAGCGCTGCATACCTTACGTATGTCCATACGCACCCAAGTGCTTCCATTTAGATATCCGACATTAAGCGATTCCTCACCATCACTCGCGTCACCATCCTTCAACTCCAACGGAGGTGCCAGCCAGTGTCATCCTCACCACCTCTCATCATTCCTGACTCCCCGACAACTGACAGTTGAACTGCTTGACTCATGGTGGTACGTTGACACCAGACCAACTTTCACTTTTGTTCGTTGCTGACATCTCAACCGGCCTTTCAGACCTGTTTGACATCCTCCTCCTTGTCCACATTGTTCCAGTCTCCGATGTCTCTCTCAATTTCCCCATACTCGAACTTGAAACATCCACAAACGCCATCATCATCTTGACACCACGTCTGTCTCCTCGTCTCCGAAAGGCACACAGGCCTGCATTCTTCCCGCCTTGCGGCGTCTGGAACTTCCATCCGCTTCCCTACCCAGACGCCAAAGCTCCATCCCCTAGTCCATATCGGTAGGTGGTCCATTCTTCTTTTACCTTTTCATTCATTGAGGGCGCCTATTTTGGGTTCCGGTCATGCTCCCAAAACTCTGCCTCGAGTGCTTCCAGTTACCCACTGACTATTCGTAGGTTGCATCTTGAAAGAACCTCTTACCACCTCTTCCCGCGGCCGTCATAACCGACCAAAAATCTGGGTCTCTTGCTTGCAGGTGACTGGCCGAAATCCCTTCCATCCAATTCTCCTACTTCCAGCCCTGGAACCCTTAATTGACCGAAACCATACTTCCACTACTTACTGCAGTAGGCCACATTCTCACTTGCTCAAACAGCTTCATCTCATGCCAGCCTCCCAACATTAACCCTCTCAGCAATCCCGCAACAACCCCCCTTCCTTGCACCACTCAAACCGCACCCGCATCCTCAATTCTGGTCGCCAACGCATTGATCAAACGACGCCCGAGCCCTAGCCCGCTCACAACTGCATAAGGGCGTCTTGCCCTCAACCTCACATCCTGATCCTCTTCTCCCCGTCCAACGCAGAGGAGCAAGCCTGAATTGCTTGCTCGCCGACCAAAATCCCTCGACCGACCCCTCATTTCCCAGCAGGATGCTGAAACCATCCATTCACGAGTTGGTATACCGCAAGACCTTTCCCAGACCCAAGCAAGGCGATCCTACATCCTTTTACACTCATATCCAGAGACACATTGTCGGCGAGGTTCGGATTGAGGTTCAGATATACTATGGAGCATTGGATACTCTAGAGGCACAATACCCTGGTTATGATTATACATATCCCCCTCACCGCCGACGCATGTCGAGGTATCCATGGCACCGACGCCTTTTCCGCGTTTTCGACGAACTAGGCCTGACAAATTCTGAGATCCTGGAATTGTGTCAATGGGAAGGCACCAGAGCTGCCAAGGAGAAATACGAGCGAGAGGCCCAGACCGAGGTGAGGAGTACCACGCTGGATCTTGTGGTAGCGGCCCCTAGAGGCACTGGTCCTAGGGCAGTATTCGAAAATTGGTCTGGAGATGGCCCAACAGAATCTTCAAACGACTCTGAATTAACTTCGTGTCAGAAAGAGGATGAAGTGGCTGAGCCAAACCACGACCAACAGCCCTCCGAGCCGACTGCCCCTGCGTCAACGTCGAACATTCTTGATCTGTTGAGAACAGCAGTTCAGGCACGGTCCGACCTAGAGGCATCGGTGGCGACGACTCAAGCCTGGGAACAGTGGTTGAAGGAAGCTCTTGAGCGACATGAAATGGACATTGACACACTTATGGCCGAGATCCAGAATATCGACGCCGAAAGAAGTCGATCCGTGAACGAGCTGGAACGCGACCTTGGATTGTTCTTGACACCATCGTCGCCAGCTTCTAACCACACCTATGATCAGCTTCACGACATGTTAGATCAACTGCAGTCGGATAACACACGACTGGCCGTTGACAATGCTGCCTTGGCATCGTATCTTCGTCGATCACAGACAGAAGCAGCACGATGAGTGACCGGAGGACAGAGGGGAAGGATACTCGGTGGATGTTCTTCATGCGAACACCTTGATCGGCGACTGAGAGCATTGCTGGGATCTGATTCAAACAAAAAGTACACGGGCGTTCAACACAAAGTGACGCGGGTATGGATTCATGGTTTTCTAGCGTGGGCGTTATATGGGATTTGGGATTAGGACTGGGACTATGAATGGGAACGGGATTTGTGGTCTGCAAAGATTGAATGGATTCATGCAAAGCCGGCTTTGCTTTTGTGCGGCAGAAACAATTTTCGAGACGAGGTCAGCCTCTGGTGAGGGCAGGACGCACATGTCAGTGTCACATCTTTCGCCGGTATCAGGCGCATGCTTTCCTGAGACGAATGTGTGTTCAGAGGTCGTGACATTACAGTACGATCGATCAATGAGTATAATCAGGCATGAAGCCTGCTTTTGTTAGGACTCCTGTTTCATTCTGAGCGTGTGTGAACGATCTTCTTCTGTCGTGAACCCGGACTTCATGACTTGATACCCAGTATCCTCGTCAGCAAGACTCAAGACTCAACTCTCCACTCGTCTGCGTCGTTCAACTCGCAATCGGCGCAATTGTCCCCGTCGTCGTATTCTTCTTAACCACGCCCCTCGCAAACTCCCCAAACGTCAACCCCGTATCCAAATCCACAACATCAGCTAGGTTAGGCTGTGTAAAAACAGCCAGTGTATTTCTCGCAATCCTTCTCTTTTTGTTTTCAACAAGATTCTTTGCCTCGACACCCTTGACAAAATGCGGCACTGCCTTAAATTTGCCCTTGGTCATCAATTGCAGTGTCTCGCCGGTTTGGAACGCTAGACTGTCGCGGGGAATCGCGACTTTGACGATATCCCCGTTTCGACTGTGAATGTAAAGTCCTGACGTTGGGTCTGGTGATGTGGGTAGCTCGGGGAGGGGCGAAAGAAGTGATGATGCGGTTGAAGTGGAAGTCGGTGATGATGGCGTTGAAGATGACGAAGAGGACAATTGATATTCCTCCGAATTTTCATCCAAAAACATCGCCGAGGTCAACCCCGTCAAACATCCATGATCGAGATGTGTCGTGCACCAAGTATCATTGAATTTTTGATCTTTGCCTTCATCACCATCGATCTTATCCACCTCCGTCTCCTCCTGCCCATCACTATCATCAGGGAAATAATGCAGCAACCTCGCCTTACTCGTGCGACTACCACGGACAACTCTTTCCAAATAACCAGGTTCATAACCATCAATTTCTGCCTCTGCATATCGGTCACAAGCCCGTGCCACCAATACCGCAACATCGATGATCAAGCTGATCAATTCCTCAGCTGAATCTCTAAAGCCGGGAATATCACCTTCCGCAGGCCAGAGACTCGGTGCTGTATATTCAGGAAAATCGGGAAACTGAGTAAGATCATTTTGATGTGCGTCGTCGCTCGATTCTGTTTCAGTGTTTGTTCCATTGGACTGCCCCTTCGACGCGAACGCGCAATTAATGTAGAAACTCCCTTTCTTATCATCGACGACACCTGGTCGCAGTGTTTCCTTTCCGTGACTCCATCCGACTAGGTATTTTGCCTTTTCGTCTGTCAAGGACTCGAGTTTCTCGGGTGCGAGCGCTGCTAGTCGTGATGAGTTGGAGAGGACGGTGCTGCGCAGTTGGGGGAATGTTTTAGGTAGATCTGTTACGACGAGAATTCCTAGGGATGTTGGGCCGAAGGCTGCTTCGAGTGTAGAGAAGGGGATTGAGTCGGAGAGGAGGGAGTTTAAGGAGATGGTTGTGGGAGATGCGTGTTGGATGGTGGGCATTTTGATGGAGAGATGGGGGTGTAACAGGCTGGATGGGTGAAGGGAGGGATGACGAAGGTGGTGGTATGTTAGAGCTATAGGAATCTGTCTATCTTGTGAGAGATCGGGTTATTGTCGACCTAGATAGAAAAGCGTGATGGTGAGGGTGATGGTGACAGAGACTGTTGTAAATAGTGAGATATGATCGTTCAAGCACGCGAAGCTGTATCAATCATGAGAAGGCATCAATAAGAGAACAAATAGAAGATTGAAACAGTTCCAGACGAAAAGAAGACATTGAAGAATCTCCTCGTGTCTCTCACTCTCACCTACCACAAAACCCATGTAGTATTCATCCCATGGTTGTATTTTGCCATCCATCATGCCAAAGTCCCTGGCTGGGAGCTAAACTGCGGAATTAAAAAGTCGCGGTCCAGTTAACCAACCAGCCAACAGCCAACAGGGATGCAAGATTGTTTATCAGATGGCTCCAAGGCCTCCGTAGGGTCGACCCATCGACCCCCTCGGCCGATGGAGGGGCAAAGTAGCTGGACGTTTGTACCCCACAAGGTGGAAAGGTGACATTCAGGGCTGAGAGTCCAATGATGAGCCTGGCAAAGGCATCAAGACTTCGGGCACCTCCGATAAGGGTAGGTAGCTAGCTGTACCTATGTGGCCTTAGGGTAAGGTTGGAACCAACAATCCAATAATGATCCCTACCTACCCTTGTATGATGTGGTGGCCAAGATCACAATCCTCGAGATATGCATGTCAGAGCCTACGCCTGAGAAAACAGAGAGAATTCGAGAGTGCTGTTCACTCTATGTGTGATATCGTGGGCTTATAACATCATCATGAGTCCATCGGTCACCTCGTCTCCCCAACAACACCAACCCATCAACCCAATAATCCAAAAGCCTTTAACAATTTAGGCAAATAAGGAGTCCCCCATCCTGTCACTGCATCCCAACCTGGAGTTGCAGGGAATCCCGTTGTATTACACCCGGATGAGCTCCCGTTGGTCACATCAGTGAACAGCTTGTGTCCCTGTGCATACAACCAAGGGTTGAGGAATCCAACTGGAGGTCGCCCCTCGGTGATCAAGGCATCGTTCAGAAGAGCAAACACCGCAGCACAGATTGGAGATGAGCCAGACGTGCCGACCAGTCCATGAGTACTGCCGTTCCAAATGGTAGGAAAGACTTGACCGATGCAAGAAAGATCAGGATAGGCACGGCCTGTCATACTATGATTAGTTCGACCTCGATGGAAGGTTAGTGGGTGAAGAGACTTACCACCAGGATTGTATAACCCATCATACAATCCGTCAAGACCCTTCACATAAGACGACACCGCCTTGGCTTGATACTCAGGCCGGTCAAAATATTTGCTAAATCCTGCACCACTAGTGAAAACGCCTCCAGAGTGAAGTAATCTCCAAGCAGCAGACTCAGGATATCCCCTCGTAGCGCCCACGACAGTCACATAAGGACAACTCGCGGGGAAAGAGGGCAAGAACTGATAAGTCGTGTTGTCTTTGTTTGAATAGCAAAGATCATCATCGCCCACGCCGCTATCTCCACTTGCAAAGAACAACGTCACGCCTCTGGCGCCCAATTGAGCAAATTGGTTGCAGGTCGCTTGAGCATAGGCTCGACTGACAGTTTGTTCATCATCGCCATATGACGTCGAAATGACTTGAGGAAGATCATCCTGTTCGAGAACCCAGTTGGCCCATTCGAGGAACGGCTCATCACTGTTGTCCGGAGTTGCTAGGTCAGGCACGAAACTGGGATTCCGCCCGCCAGTATGGTAAGCAATAAGTGGTGTGGGATATCCAATACCGATCATATACTCGGCATCAAGATTGGCTTCGAGGTCCAGCATTTCATCCGCGACGTTGGTGCCATTGTCGAGCACTCCGCCATCGATTGATATAGCTTCAAACTCATACGCGTACGCCTGCGCTTCGGGTCGATAGAGACCAAGGAAGATGCTGATGTCTGATCGATTTGTGGCTTCGTCCAGATAATTGGTGTGAGCCATTTTGTTAACACCGGCTGATTTCACCTCATAATCAAGTGTTCCATAGAGCGTTCTGAGGCAATCTGGTGTCACACTGGTGAAGTTGCATGCCGTTGCCACTGTAGCATTGTCCGGTAGAGGCAAAACTGGTGCTGTGGTCCAGTCCTCTGCATCCACCAAGACGTGCTTTGATCGCTTTTGAATTTGGTTGCGCTTTTGGTGTCCTCCTAGTCTGGCCCAAGAGTTTGTCGGCTGGATAGTACTGACATGTTTGTGAAGATATCGGGGGAGCGAGTAGCCCTCAGTTCGAATCAATATTGAGCCGTCTACGTTATGTTGGTAGACGAAATACTTGGTGTCGAGCAATTCTTCCACTTTGGACAGTGGCAGCGTGATCGAAATCCAGTCTTTGGCTGGGCTGTACTTCAATTGATCCGGCTCGATGCCATGGCTATGCAGCCATTTGTGGATCTCATGCGTGGCTTCTTCTGAGGGCTTGACCAGGTCATGAACCTGCTTGGCCGTAAGGTGTTGGCCATATCTGGCGTGAAATGGGTCCGACACTGTTATTGGTAGTAAGTTCCCGTTTGGCTAGAGTGCACAAACAACGCACCCTCGTAGAGATGTTTTTCGAGTTCCTCGAATCTACTTTGAGTCAGGCCCAATGATAGACTAATCATGTGGTCGCTTGAAGGACTTCCAAGGTTGCTCCATGCTGGAGGCACTGGATGAAAGTCTTTCACAGCATAATCGGTCCGAGGTCTTACGGGGTTAGCGGACACTGATTGCAGGCAAGGAAAGGAGAAGAGCACTAGGGATAGCAGGGCTCGCTGGAGGCGAAAAACCATCGTGCTGAAGATGGCTTGCCCGAATTGGACAATTGAACAAGAGGCTAGAAAGTAAAGGCAGAAGGCAGGACTCTGGCTGATATTAGAGGTGATAAAGTGTCGTGGGAGACTTTCAAACCAATCTGTTTACAATAGATCTGTGCGTCATACAAAGACAGAGAAGAACCATCCAAAGTCACCTTCCTATATCACCTTCCATATCGAAGAAGCAGCCGACAGGACGTGGGGTAGCATCCTCTCAAGGTACAACATCTTGAGCTAAAATACCAGGGATCTATGCGAACAAAGGTCCCGCCAGAGCGGACGAATCTTAAGAGCCTGTGGGTGGTACCTTGCGAAAGCACGATGTGTCAAAGCATCACAAAGCCACTGGATTGAGATTAGTGATGTGGAGGCAGAGACAAACTTGGGTGGTAGGGTGGATACAAGCGTCGACATGATGGCTGAAGGTCGTGGTTAAGCTTCGCGGGAGGGAGGGGTCGCAGGTCTTGCCCTGGCCAAGTACTCCGTAAATAGCTTAAGCCTTGTTCCGTTAAAACTGATAGTCCTAGACTACTATTGGATGCTAGGGTGGTCTTGTTCTTTTTGCGAGTCTGTGCGCGTTGAACTGATAAGTGGAAGAATACGGAGTACGCTGGCGGCGGCGGTGAAGTTCCAAGTGAGTAATGTGGATTCCCTGCCCGGAAGAGGCTTGCAGGAATGTGTACGGAGTACGTGCTGCGAGCGTATCTCGAGAGGAAGAGAGGAAGACGCGATTCATGGTGCCTTTTCGAGATAGTACTCATTACACGAGGCTGATTCATTAATGTCGGGGTGTTTACCAACAAATTGTCGCCTAGGCCTTATCTATCGCTGCCACCTTATCAGGCGTATGCCGATCGATGTACCTGCCTGTGCCAATCAATTCAAGTCAGTAAAATGGTGATATCGGGATCCTGTGAAGCACGACTTGATTCTTGTCATCTTTGAAACTTATCTGCCACGTGCTTACCCATGACTCTAAATTCGATATGTTGCCCAACGCGTCCGCTGCCTCGAACGTCTGCCGGTGATATAGACTATATAGATGTATCCTCTACTCGCTTCTATTTCAACTCACAGGCTAGCCTTGCCTTGACTCTCAAATGGAAGGAAAATCGCCGCCAATCCAGCAGCAATGAACAAAGCTCCACTTGTATACACCGGAGCCACTGTCTCCAGATTTGCAAACATCGCCACAATTGGGGCCATGATTCCAAACACTCGGTTCGCCGAAGCACAAAGTGCTGAGCCAGATCCACGGTCGCGTGATCTGAAGATTTCTGGGGTATAGGCATATAAAACTGCATACATGATGTTGCTGGTGAAATTATATGCGCAGTTCCAGCCCAGGAGAGCGTCGGAGCTGCGGGCTGTGGTTGAACAGTAAAGGAAGACACCCGTGAGAGTCGTAGAGAGTGACAATGTTCCTTTGCGTCCGAAGCTGCGAATCTCCACCAAGAAGCCTCCAAGAATTGCGCCCGGGACACCAAGAACTGCGATAATTACTTGGTTGCGGTAAGTGATGTAGGTGGATCCATCGCCGAATTCTGCCCCACGGATGCTTTGAAGGTATGGAAGATACGCATTGTAGAGCCTGTAAAGAAAGATATAGTAAGTCACACGAACAAGAGGGCCTGGCGTCCGCGGAGACATAGCGAGAAGTGGATCAGCTGGACTCACGGATATCCCAACCCAATAAACGCCCAAATAAACATGATCATCGTCGTGCTAAAGGCGAGCTTCTTGGTCGCGAAGAGCGCACGCACATGTTCACCATTGAACGCTGCGAGTTTTCGTTTGATTGCAGCTGACGCATTAGTCTGCTGAGCCTGACCACCACCCAAAAGCTCACAAGCTTTCAAGTCCTCGATCGTTAAAGACGTAGTTTTCCCATTGCGCCGAGCCACCTCATGAACAATTCGCACTGCTTCCTCGTCCTTACCTTTACCCATGTTGTACTTGGGCGACTCGTAAATTGAAAAAACTCCAAATCGGATGATGAACATGACAAGAGTGAGTCCGCCTACGGCAAGGACGTAATATCTCCATCCCATATTAGCAGACCGTGTGCAAGTCTCGCCTTCTTGGCACGTCATGTTCCCGAGAAGTGGCCAGGCAATCAATGTCGCGATAAGTTGCGCCAGTGCCCAGTCAATAGACAGGACCGTCAGAAGATATTGATGCGATCCAGGAAGGAATTCGAGGAATATCGCACTGTCAACCGGAAGGTTGCCTCCGACGCCGAATGACCACAAGGCTGCGAAGCATCCAATCGCGGCAAAGTTAGGAGAACCTGCAGATGCAAGACCACTAGCGTAGAGAATCAGTACAAAAGAATAAGGTCCTCCCTCATAAGTGTGGCATACAAGACCGAGATGATCCCCAATGTGATGTTGAAGCCCCACTTGCGGCCAAAGATATCGCATCCAAAGCCCCAAAACATGGCTCCTGCAAGCAACCCAATATTTTGCGATAGTGTCAACAATGGCGGCCTCGATGGGTTGAACTCATTGGTGATTGGAGTGAAAATGAGCGATGTGGTTATGGGCCACAGGTTATCCATAGCCCAGCCAAAGCCAACGACAATGAATAATTGCCATTGATACCGTCTGCATCAGCAATATGTCAGTAACAGCATATCCTGGCAAATCCAGTGCTGGTAGAGAGAATTGCTGACCCCATTCCAATGTCCTGGATAGCTCGATTTAGCACTTTGGCCTTTGCCTCGTATACGGGGTCGGTCTCGCCCTTGGGAATGGCGCTGATGTCATCGATTCCCACGGCGACCTCGGAACCCAATCTGTTCCGGTAGCCGTCACCATCTTGTTCAACAATCCGCTTATCATCAGCCATGGTTGCCATTTTGTTATATGGGTATGGCTCTTGGAAAGTCGAGCCTCACCCTAGGGAAGGTAGAATTATATGTAAATGATCGCCTGGTGTGCTACGCGAGGGAAAACAATGGTGTAAATAGTGTTTTGCGCACGCAACGGATATTAGATGCGTGCGTGTGAGAACTCAAAACGCCAGCGACGTCAGTGCGCAGAAAGCATTGGAATTGCGCCATTGCCCGTAGCTCAAGCTGGAGCCTATAGGGCCATTCACCAAGAGGAAAAAGCGACGCAAATGTAACATAAATCGCCATGCTTTTGTTGGTGGATTGGGTAGTGGTCGATCACTTGGATCGACCTCTCTCAAGGCTTGGTTCAACAAGCCCGGACGAAAATACAGTATGTGGTAGGACAACAGGAACTGCTCGCAAGACAGCCTTGAGTTTTCTAAGCGTGAAAAAACACGATCCAGCGCACCACTAATCGCTTATCTTCCCCCCACAGTTGAGCCGAAGATCGCCAAACGTCTGGCCTGAAATCGTCATTTATACGGGGGTGTGTCCGCAACTCTCATTGTGAAGGTAACACAGCTGGCAATCGCATCATATCGCACCAATGAGCCTCTCGGCCTGCGGAACTAGACCTCAGCTCCGTACTCCGTACATATTAGATACGTCAGCTTCTTTGCTTGAAATCCAAGATTCTCAAGTTCCATTTCTCAAGGCAAAAGGGTAGATATTCTGCTCCATATTTCGCGAGCCAAGTCTTTATAAGGCTAAGCCACAGCTTGACTCTTGAGTCCTTGGAAGTTGCCTCGGTTGCATAGGCACAAGGCGCTTGGGCTTGTTAAGAGATCACGAAACTAGAGGTACAACAACGAGAATTGATAAGAATAACCATAATTTATGTGTCGATACCACGTGCTCTTGGTCCCACCACATTTTAAAGCCTGGAAGATCTTCCGTTGTGTGCGGGTCATGTCATCACAGGGCTTCTCGAGCGTGACTTAGCAGTACTATGCCCACCAAATACCCCGGATGCCGAATGATTTGACTAGCATTGCCATTGGATCATCTTCCACTTCACTAGGTCATGTACCTTTAGTGGCTTAAAGTGACTAAGGTAGGCCATGGCCACCGTTCCACATCCCAAGCGAACGCCTACATCTCAAACTATTTACGACCTGATTCCTCATCGCGACTGCTATGACCACTGACAGAATCAAGGTTAGTCATTACAACAGTCTTCTCTTGAGACGTTTCGAAGTTGATTGAATCATCTTGTCCTTTCTCCACCACAAAGGGCCCGGCTTCGGTACTCTTTCGTCGAGCTTCCAGATGTCTGATGACAAGCACTCCACCAAGCATAGCGATAGCAGAGGCGATGATGGCGATACTACCGGCTCTCCATGCTGGCGCTTGATCAGCTGCGTAAAACAGAATCGGCCACCAGCAGTAGAATACGACTGCTGACGTATTCATGGCGGCAAGGATGATAGCTCGCTTTGGCGCGTCGCCGAAGGTGTTCTTGCTCGCCCAAGCAAACATGACCGTCTGATTGGCATACTGAATACCATTCAGATAAAGGGCAAACATGGTCGCGGCCCTATTGGGCGGGTTGAGCATGATCGCTCCTGAGATGATGGCAGTGCAAGAGGTGATGACTCCCACGTGCCATGATCCTCCCGAGAAGTCAGAGTACCATCCTAGGACAAGTGTTCCCACGATCCCCACTGCACTGACGCCCATAGGCATGTAGTTGACCATTTGGACGGTGTAATCTTCGGTCCATTTAAGGTAGAGATTCAACACGGCGTTGGTGGAAAACATTTCACAGTTGGCACCCATGGTCCATATGAAGCAGAACTGTTTGAGTTGTGGTGTCAGTCAGGTCTGTTCTCTTTGCAAGCAATGATAGCCAGTTGGAACTCACAGCATATAGTTCCCATGTGGACAGAAGCCGCTTGAAAAGCTGTTTATTAACCTCTCCGTGTACGTGCTCAGTGGAGTGGTCACGCCGCAGCCGTGACACGGACAACTCCCTCTCGTCTTGGGTGAGATAGAAGGCCTTCGTGGTTTCAGGCGTGTCTGGAAACAGCAAAAAGACATACAAAGCAATTGGAAGTGTGACCAAGAAATCGATTATAAACATCCATCGCCAGCCATGGAGGCCCGATTTTCCATCTATCACGACGTGTTAGTACAATCTCCACGTGCCAAATGGTGTCGAGAGGCTTGAACCGAAGTGAATGGGGAAAGTGGCGACGTACTAAGGCTCGTATAGATGCTGCCCTGCATAAATCCGGAGAAGAGAGTACCCGCAAGACCACTGCTGGTGAAGATACCTGTTCTCTTTCCAAGTTCTGCTTCTTTATACCAGCTGCCGAGAAGGTAATGTGTTCCCACGAAGGTCGACCCTTCGAACAAGGCCTGAAAGGCGCGGATACACATGATGGCCTCCTTGCTGTGCACAAAGGCAGTGCCCAAGGTGCACAAACCCCATGCAATGATGCAAAAGGTCATCCAGTAGCGTGGACGGAAGTACTGCATAGCAAGGTTGTTGGGGATCTGGCCTACAACATAACCACACCAGAAGACTTCGAAATGATTAGCTTGGCTCTTTCATGCGGGAATGTCTTGTGGAGGATCTATCTGACTTACTGGTGTTGATGTAATTAAGGTCTTTGCCACCCATGTTAAGCTCCTCCTTCATGCCACTCACATAGGCATTGTTCAAATTCGATCGATCAAGGCTAGAGTTTGCAGTCAGCTACAAGCCTTGACAAGGAAATAGAGACCAAGCAAGTGCTTACTAGTTGACCCAGTACTGGAGGCAGCATGAGGACAGGATGAAGGCATCGATCTTGACGATCAATCTCCTTTCAGCCTTAGTTTCCGCCGGGGCCCCCCATACCGCGGTGCGGACTGCTCTAAGAGCACCCATGCTGGATACTGAGTAGAGGTGGCAAGGGTAGTGGAAGCAAGATCTGGATAGAAGAATGGAAGACTTGTGTACCTCGGCAGAGAGTCCTTGGTGGTGTGATGAGAAGGAAGTGATCCTGCCTCTGTGACTCACTCACGCGACACACGAGCAATATATATCTCAAGCTGCCATTAACCAAGCCCGTATGGTTGTAGAGTAGGGATTGACGCAAAGATCATATCAGACGATACCGCGTGAAGGCACGAGATAGATAATTTGGGTTTGCGGCGTGCTTGTAGAACTCTGATAGTGTTATCGAGACGTACGTCTACCGAGCCTGGGCTTCGATGTCCCCCAGACTCTCTACCACTGGGTGGATAGCTTCTGGACCAATATCAAACCAAGAAAGAACATCCATATATGGGTCATGGAGTGGAAATTTGCAAGGTGGGCGCATATTTCCGCAAGGAGCTCCACTCTTTGCGGATTTGGCCTTTCCCGCGATATATGCTTTACGGTGATCGAAATCATATATCCAGGACGGCGGGGCAAATTACAAGGCCCATAGGGCTACTTGAACGTTTGAGGATAATAGTTATCATGCAGAGTTTTAACATGCCAGATAAAATGTCGAATAGAATGCCAATACTCTTATAGTGAGCATCTTTGACGCGGGAGAGCGTTCTGAGGGCAAAGCCACGGATCCTAGACTTACAGCATGTTCAACGTCGTCGCGATAAGCCCATCATGGGTGTTTTGGGGTGTTGCCGCCCTCGTTTTGCTAGGCATCTGGATGGTATGTTCACTCCTTTTCGTATGCTTTGAAATAGTGAAGTGCTGAAGCAGTCTCAGTATGGAATGTCCTCGGATATTCCCTTTATCAAAGGGATCCCAGAGATGCCATCGTCGCTTCCATTCATCGGGCATCTTCACCTTCACGCAGGCGTATCAGGTGTCAATGATGGCGCTCTGTGGTCTTCCTGGGCTAGGAAGTTCGGCTCAGATCTTCTTCAGGTCAAATTTGGCAGAAACAGAGTTGTCATCGCCAACAGCTTCGACGCAGTCAAAGAACTTTTCGTGACAAACGGACATCTCACATCTGCAAGGCCGGAGCAATTTGTGTTTGAAAGATACATTGGTAAGTGTTTTTGTGGTGGAACTTTTGTCAACCATGTGGCCTGACTGTATAGGGTATGACCTTGGTTCTCACTCACTGGACGAGAACTTCAAGCCACAACGACTCGCAGCACTTAAAGCTGTGAAGCCACATGAATGGCCACGATTCTACCCTGGACTTGACCGAGAAGGCGACAAACTGATCATCAGTTTAGCAGAACAAGGTGATTACGGCCGGGCATCTCTCAATCCTCTCAAACTGCTACAGATCGTTGCCATGAACCTTGGGTTTCAGATTACCTTTGACAAGAAATTTGACGATGCCCATGATCCGTGGTTCCGGGAATACATCGAAAATGCTATGAAAATCACAACAGTACGTGGTGCATCCAATACTTGGGCAGACTTTGTGCCTATTCTTCGATTCACACCGAAGTTTCGTCGGCAGGCGCGTCTGGCCGAGGAAGCGTCGAAAAAGAGGTCGGCAATGATACTAGAGCTCCTTCAGGGCCTCAAGGCCCGGATCGACCAAGGAGAACACCCAGATTGTATTGCTGCATCAGTTCTGACCGACCCAGAAGCAAAACTTACCCTTCGTAAGTAATTCTCAACCTTTGAAGAGTTAGACTAGAGTTCAAGATTGACTGACTTTGGAAACAGCAAATGCGATAAAGTGTTGCACTTCAATGCTTCAAGGGGGAACTGAAAGCCTGCCGAGTCACATCTGTGCAGGACTTGGTGGCCTTGTGGCACCCGGAGGCAAAGAACTTCAAGATCGGGCATTACAGGAGATCTTGGAACACTACCCCGACGGAGATGCCAAAGTCCATGCTTTCAGCGAGGAAAAAGTACCATTTGTCGCAGCATTGTACAAGGAAATCCTTCGAAATTATGTCGTCTTGCCATTCAGTCTCCCACACGAGGCTAGCGCGGATATCACTCTGAAATCCGGTGTGACCATTCCGAAAGGGACTCGACTGTACATGAACTCCGAAGCCGCAAATCATGGTGAGTCAATCTCATTGAGCGTCTCAAGAGCGTTCACTGACAGAGGATAGATGGGGAGTACTTCGGAAAGACGGTCGACGAATTTGAGCCAGCACGCTGGCTGGATCCGGAGATGAACAAAGGAGGCATGAACTATTTCTCGTATGGCGTCGGGCCACGAATCTGCCCAGCCTGGTCAATCGCGAATCGCATCATGTACGGATTGTTGTTGCGCATCCTGCTTGCTTTTGAGCTAGAAATGGACCCGGCAGACCCACCGCCAAAGTCATGGAAGACGTTTGGTAGTACGCCGAGTGGAGTCTTGAACGCACCAAAGATGTTCAAGGTGCGATTTGTCCCTCGAAATGAGGAGCAATTGAAGCAAGAGGTGAACGAAATGAAGACGAAAATGGGGCAAAGGTAGAAACCGAGCACCCATATTGCATTGCAGGAGGGAGGACAGATCGTATAGGTTTCGTAAGGCTGAAGGGTTGGAAAAGCACTTCCAGTTTGGTGGATTGAGTCGGCTTCTTCAAGAGCTGCGATGAAGATCACAGGATGTCAAACATAGGTTTAACAGCTTTCTAGACCAATCCCATGTATAATTCCTCGTTTGACATAAGGAGATACTAACCACTCTGAACGTCACGTGGGGAGCGGGGGTATTATTTTGGTGGCGCACTTATTAAACCTGACACATATCTTCGATTAGATTTAGCAACACCATCATCTCTCTCTCTCTTGCGATAGTCCCAGATAGATGGCTTTCCCTCCACTCCCCAGGTATGTCTGCTGAAGACTGTAAAGTCTTAACTCGGTGAGTATTAATGCTCCTCTATGACTTCTGTTTCATTCAATGTTAGCAGATGGAGATTGACGTATGCTTATGTCCAGAATCTCCCGCCTCCTCGGCCGTCAACATGGCCGAGCGTCTCACACTCTCTCCAGAGACTCGGGCAGCAGCCACAAAGCGTGCGACATATGCGTGTGCTCGTTGCTACAAGTTGAAGCGTAAAGTAACCGGATCCTGCAATTCTCATTTAAGACATGGGGTCTGATCAACTATGCAGTGCGACAATGGGTCCCCAGCATGTTCCCGCTGCGTCAAAGCACATGTTGAATGTGTTGGACTCGACAGGTCAACAACACAATTTGTCCCTCGAAGGTGATTCGTCTCTCCCTCGGTGATTGGACCCGTTGTGCTAAATGCAGTGCAGCCTGGTTCAATACCTTGAGCAGCGTATAGCTACGCTCGAATCCAGTGTTGTGAACTCGGATGCAATAATTAAGCCCGTTCGACCTAGTCCTCACCTGCCTAGTGGTCTCTCGCAGGAGCCCCATTACAAAGATGCTCAGGCTCACTCTGCCGAGCAGAGACATGACGCTATCTCAGCCTGGGCCGCCAAAGAGCGACAGTACGGATGTCAAAGAACTGTTTTGGGTCTGCGAGGGTCCTCCTTCAACCCTCTCATTATGAAATGCTCGATCTTGCCCTTCACGAGCGACGTCAGCCCCGATGGATCGGAATATCTTACTCAGATTGCCCTCCAATTTGGAAGTCGCGATATCCTCTCTCTTCATGCCATCCCGACTCATGTTGCTGAAACCTTGATCAAGGTATACATCGAGAAAATTCTGCCCCAGTATCCTTTCTTCCCCGAGGAAGACCTTCAATCATATCAACTACTCGTATTCCCTCCACACGGTGCTGCGACTAGGGTTGTGTCGTCTGAAGCTGAATTCGTCGTTGCGATGATGATGGCAATTAGCACGCTTACCTCCAAGAATCCGAACCATGATCGCCTCATGTCACTCAGCACGAGTTTGTACAAATATGCCATGCAGAGATATGATCCCCTTGCCGAGCCATCGATTGTCAATCTCCAGTGCACGATGCTACTTTGCCAGTTTGCCAATTTCTGTCCTGGTATCTGCGAAATTTGGACCTTAAAAGGAATGGCGGTCAGAATGGCTGTTGCCATGGGTCTGCACAGAGAACCTGGATTCGCTCTCAAAAGTTTCGATCGAAAGAAGATGGAGCTGCGCCGGAAGATGTTTTGGACTGTAAGTGCTTTTAAGCAATGCATGAATTACCCGAAGAGGTTATTAACTGCTTCTCATCAGCTATACTCGATGGACCGATCAATTTCCATCGCTGCTCTACGTCCTATAAGCCTTGCAGATCACCTCATAAACGCGAAATTTCCATCAGAGGATTTTACTTCCGGTTCCGACCCTTCATCGTCCCGACAGAGAATGCAAATCACTAGATTCTTACGCCACGTCAAGTTTCGACAAATCCAGTCTGAAATATACTCGGTCAACTTTGGAGATAGAGAGCCTGATTCTCTTCCCTATTCTTCATGGATGAAAGCAAGAGATGAGGAGCTTCTCGAATGGCGCAAGAGTCTTGAAACACTGGAACAGACTGGCTTCGACTGGTTTGATTTCGTCATGTACACAGGGCAAATATACCTGCATACGCACTGTCCGCGGAATCCGCACCCAGATGCTCAATCAGTGATCAAGGGATTCGAAGCTGCCAGAGGCACAAACAACGGATACTTTCGAATGTACTGCAAAGGGTTTCTCAAGTTTGACTGGCACTGTGCCCACCATGTTTTGACAGCAGCAACACTTCTAATTCGCCTCATCAAACATGATTATCAAACCTTACTACGGACATACTCCAGCCGCGAAATCAATTCAGCACTCGACGAGTGCTCAGAGGTCTTTGTATGCCAAATTTCCCTTCAGAAGCAGATACATGCTGACTTTGTTGCAGACAATCCTCTCGGAAAAATGGCCAGAAGCATCAAGATGTCTCAAACAATTCGAAATCGCCAGGTCGGACTTGTTCTACGCCTTTTCGCTTTCTGCAGACATTCTCATGGGATCAACGAACCAATCATCTGTCGGGGAGCAACAACAGAGCAATTTGTCTCTTGCTCACATGCCATCCATCGTGCCAGCGGCCCCATCGCCTCCGGTAGTGCAAGAGATATCAGAACCGCTTCCCGATCTCGAGCAAGTCTTGGAGCCATCAGACCTTGAACCATGGGTACACACCATCAACATGTTCACCGATTACACTGAAAGTGACTGGGATGTCTGGGCAGGTCAAACTGAGATGCATTGGCCATTCTAACCATCGATCTTGGTGTTTCTTCAAACTATCTAAAAGACATCATCCCATAGACAATACCGGCCCCTCGTCAGAGGTACCAGGCATTCCCATCACGACCTCGGCCGTTGGACGTTGCCCTTGGACTAATTTCATGACAATGCAGAAGAGAGTCCTACTCCTCGTCTCGATTGGCCGTTCGGGATTTTCTTGACAACAGATCGCTTGTGGGGAATTAAACGTGTCTGAGAAGATTTCTTTGCGGAGGATGTTGTCATCAACAGCGACACCACTTTTGGCCAGTTTTGCAGTCAACATTCGTGCCCTGTCAAGCCGAATGGGCGACCCAGAAAGCCATGGGCGCTCATCAACATGGCGATTTTCAATCAGATGGTTGGTGTGGCAAACTATACCATCTTCGTCCGGGGAGATATAAGAGTCTCCCCGAGGAGAAAGCTCCATGCTGATTGGGCCGGTCGGGTCGGCCAGGAGAAGATGCTGAGCTGAAGCTATTCCTCCGAGAGCCTGCAAGCGCTTGATCGCCGAGGCTGTTGACGAAGCCTCCAGACACAGCCGGGCGGCAACGTGGAATGGAATTTTCGAGCTATCAGCTGGTTTCGCACGTATTGCATTCATGCAGACCCCAACGGATGAAGAGTTGAAACCAATCTTACCAACCAAACCGGCCTTGAAAGGAGATCAGCAGCCCTTCCCGGGACTCGAAATGTTGGTCTCTTACCTCATTAACCATGAAAATCTTGGGCTTGCCGGGTTGGTCGATTGACATGATAGCCACGTTGTCTTTGACTCTGGCTGTCCAATCCCAATTCTGGGCCAGGAAAACACCGTCGCTCCTGGCCCAGCCCAGGCTCGTGCAACCATCTGAGAACATTCCCAACGCAATTTCACTTCGACAATTGAGAGTCACAATGTCGAGGATGTCTAATCTAGATCCTTCAGCAATCCCTTCCATTTCTGAGTATATCTCAGGTGTGAGACGTTGTAAAGTGACGGCGTAATCTTGTGCAATGATCTTGACTGCTGCCCAGTCCATATTCGAGGTCTTTTTGAACATTGCATCATAAACGGAAATCTGACTTTTGATCTGTGACGCGAGGAGTCTTCCATGCTGAACTCCAATCTATGTGGAATACATTAGCCCCCATCACTTGTGGCCTACGCCAAATATCTACATACCTCGTGGGGGCTCCCACTCAGATCAATGCGAAGTGTCTCTGGCATTTTGACCATTGTATTGCTTGCGTAACCTACGTGGACAAGAGAAGAGTCACTTAATCGGTCAGAGCATGTATGATATCCAGAAATCAGAGTTGAACTGCAGTTGCCTTTGAAATGTACAGGAGGAGCACCACATCTCGAACCAATTGTACCATTGTCCATTGAACCGTAGCACTAAGAGCGGAACATCGGCAACGACAGAAGGACTATCAAGCCAAAAGACTGCCGAGGATCCGGACACACAATTGTAGTGGGCGGCACCTGTGATTTGCTCTCGCCCAACTCCGCACCCGTTGGACCTTGGATTTATCGGCATCTAGCTTGTCATTGAAGCGGAGAAATGCGACGTCGACAACTCCAAAGCGAATGTTTCCAGTTTCAATTCCTGCCCTAGGCCAATGCGGTTGCTCTGCTCTACAATCAACTATCACCATGGGCAAAAAGAGGGTGCTTGTGGGCTACGGCGTCGATGTCGATGCTGTCTCAAACCACATCAACACGATGGTGGGCGGCAAGCCTGACCTGATGAACATCTCACGAGGTCGGTTATTGGGACCTCCATACACATCAGGCAAAGTGTTGTGCATCTTTGCTGATTAAGGACGATTGAAAAAGGGGTCTTCGGTGCTACTCGGGGCGTCGAGCGATTGTTAGAACTTTACCGCCGCAAGAATATCAAAGCTTCATGGTAGGTCTTTTGCTGGAGCAACGGACTCGGTCATTGGAACTTACTATCGTCAAGGTACATACCGGGTCACACGATTGAGAGCTTTCCGCTGGAAATGAGTAAGATTCGTGATGCTGGTCATGAAATGTATGTTCGGGCCGGGATCCGCACCTTCCAAGTGAAAACCAGTGTATTAACCACAAGGTCGCGACCAGAGGCCTTCATGGCTATACGCACGAGTAGGTCGACTCTATGCCTATCTAAAGAGCCATATCGATTGCTGACGAGATTCTACTGCAGATTTCCTTCGGAGCTCTCAGCACAGCAGTTTGAGACCATCATGGTAAAAACCATTGATATCTTAACAAAGTTCTGTAACGGAGAAAAGCCTCAAGGATTTACGTCTCCAGCGTGGAAGAACAGCCCCGACCAGATTGGGATATTGGAGAAGCTGGGTATTGGATATGGTTCGTCTTAGACCAACACCCCTGACTCTCGCTTTGACTTTAGCTCATTATACATTATTTCTCCTCAGATCATTCATTCATGCATGACGACTTCCAAGCCTACTATATGTCGACTGGAAGAGAAGAGGTCGTGTTGACGGATTACTCAAAAGATCCCAACGAGTGGATGGTGCCGATGAAGCAAGCGGAAAAGACGAGCGTAGTGGAGATTCCTGGTGAATATACATTCCTTCCGACCTTCCGATTCAATTTGTCAACGAATTACTGACAAAACCTCTCTTTGCCTACGGTAGCTTCTTGGGCACTTGACGACTGGCCACCCCTGCAGTATATGCCGAACAGACCTAACAGTGTAAGATACCCTTGGACCACTCACTTACGATGCCAGCTTCTCTTTGTACATATGCTAATAGCAAGGACTCAACACGAACAGCAAGGCTTCATTGATCCATACAATGTGGAACGACAATGGCGAGAACAATTCGAATGGTGCTACCGAGAATACGACACATTCATCTTCCCTATGAGTATCCACCCACAAGTCAGTGGACGGCCTCACATTCTACTCATGCATGAACGGTATGTTGAGACTAGTGATTTGTCGTCCATTGCATTGAAGCATCATCTGACTTACCAGGTTAATCGACTGGATCAACGAGCACGAGGGAGTGGAGTGGTGTACATTTGCGCAGATGGCCGAGGAGTTTCGGCAAGGCAAGATATGAATTTTACTAGTGTGCAAGAAATCTGCCAGAGAGCTGTATTATCGTTCTCCGCCATGGTTTACTTTGTCAGATATGGTAAATGCATGGTTTGCTTTAAGATTACTCTTTGCATGGATTCATACTACGAGTAATGTGGACAGGCCACTCTGTCGGACGTGACATTTCGCTCGCCACTGCCAGTTGATCTGGCCTCACCCAATTTAGACCTCAGCCATTCTTCCGACTGTTAGACTTGTGTCAATTGAAATAGTGTGGAAAAGCCCGGCTGTTCGGCAGTGAAGGCAATTCAAAAGGATAAGGCTTCCCCAGAAATTGAAATCTGGGGCATGTACTCCGTACGCCCTGCGACTATGGACCGCATCCAGCGCTCCGATGGGGAACCTCGTATTTGTGCTTGCGGAGTTGTTCGCAAACAACCCGTTAGGAGGATGGTAGACGTAGACCCTTCGTATACGATAGGACGTGCCATCAAGCACTATCATATCCTAAACATGCGTACAGCTAGCGGGTTCGTGCCTATAGTGTTGGCATGCGACGCCGAGGGGCGGGACCAGCAAAGAGGGTTCAGTGCGGACTTAGGCGTCTCGTTTCGAGAGTCATTCCCGCATCCGCATGTGACGGTCCTTGTTGAAACTACACCCCAGTTGGCTTGAGAGCGAATACAATTCGTGTTTCTGGTGTTTCCAAACCACAACGTACTAGCCAGGGAAGTGATCTGTGGATAATCTTCACGTTGCGGAAGATTGACCAGCTGATAGTTCAGGAGTCGGGGTCCTCAGATAGAACAGGTGTGTACGAGGCAGGAGATAAGGATAAGCCACCATCCTTCGAAAGGATTCCCGTTGGCTATCAATCATACAAGGCCAGAGAACCGAGTTGCAGCAACAGAGATATAGCTAAGAGCGAAGAAAAACGGATTCTTGGTGTGTCCCTCGGGGCCAACGTCACAAAGTGCTTGACCTGCGGAACAACCGACAAGATGTCAATCACATCTAACCTTCCACCACCTAGATCCATCCTCCTTGTGGGCGGCGGTCAGGGGATCGGACTCGAGTCAACCCTGTATCTCCTTGCCAACTCTCCATCTAGTATTCATTTGATCGTCTTCGGACTCGACATCAATGACCAATTGCGCCGACACCGCGATACTCACAACCGGCTTCATCTGCTCCAGGGAGATGTAACCAAATCGGCAGACCGAGAGAGGGCAATTCAATTGTGTCTCGATGTCGCTGGTGCTCTCGATTGCTTGGTATACTGTGCCGGACTGATCACACCGATCCAGAGGATCGAGAACCTGGATTTGGATGCTGTGAGACTGACCTACGAGGTCAACGTCTTTGGGGTTATTGCAATGGTAAGTAGATTGTCTCGTCGCTTAATATCGCATCGCATTGCTGATCTTGATACCTCTGAAGTGTCAACTCGCCCTTCCACATCTGCTTCGCTCACGACGGCCCCATGCAATCATTCTGTCATCAGCTTGTGATTTCAGTGTCACTTATCGTGGCTGGATGACTTATTGTACAACCAAAGCGGCGTTATCCCGCTTCATCCAACTCTTTGCACACGAGAACCCGGAGCTTTGTGTGCAAGGTGTTTACCCTCGTCTCACAGATACCAAGATGCCGGCCGATGTTGTGGCGGGGAAGTATGCTGGCATTATGGCTGAAGCTGAGATTCAAAGGTTCCGTGACTTCGCAAAGGACAGCTCTACCTTTGAGCCGGCTGCATGGTGCGGCGAAGCTGTCGCTCGTCTTGCCTATGGATCTCAGATGGGAGGTAACACGGGAAAGGTTCTGTACTATGAGGAGCATGTTCCCGATTTGGTAGCGAAAAAGCCTAGAGCCCGACTATAGTAGAGAGATAGATTCATCCATCTTCTGTATCTGTGGGAGAGAATCGTGGCGTACCCTCGTTCAGACTTTGCAACATCTCACCCACTAATAGTTTTCCGTGGTTATGATCGTGGAGAAGGCGTGATAGTGTTAGGCGAAGTTCAGTGTCGGAGGCTTCGTGGCGTTTTCGAAACGACAGACACGTAATGGCTTTGAGAATTGTTTCTTCTTGTGTCCAGCCAATAAAAGGTGTAGGAGGAGGTATCATGGATTTCTCATGCCCTCTTGTGATAGATGGCGAGTCGCGACCACTCTCGTGTAATTTATTGAAGTTTTCGATCAAGGAGGCCGAAGTCGAAGCATCCTGGTCGACCACAGAACAACCTCGCGCCCTCAAAGTTGTAAATAGTTCAAAGGTTGCTTGTAGACAGTTAAATCGTCCGTACAATAAGTTTGCACTTTTGGAGCAGTCTTCTAAACCTGAGGCGCTGTAGCCGGGAGGAGAACCTGTGAGACTTTCCCAGGACTGTACCCACTGCTCAAGAGCCTCGTGGACAGGTTCGCTCCAGGCTGCAATCTCATCACTGTCGTGATGCCGGGTATCCAGCAAGTGGTGGTGTATGTTAAGTCTGATCTTGGCGAGCTCATGCAGCTTTGACGAGAAAGAGTCCTCTCGACGTTCTTCAGTCTTTTTTGCGTGGTTTGTGGGCCGCCCTAGGGCCACACAGACATCCCTAGAAAATCATTGTTAGTCAATAGTCCAATATGCAGGGATCAGATTTACCTACACTTCTAGGACGAACAGTGTGTTTCGAATTTGATTAAGGATACCATTCCGTTCACTCTTCAGCTCCAGGGTCTCGCTCAAGCAAAGGGCTTGGTCTAAAGCGGTCCAAATATTGCCTCCTTTTCGATCAAGCATCAAATATATGGAGAGTAGTGTAAGCAGTTGTAACGTGGTGACGTTGGAGCGGCTCAGGGCCTCCCGCAAGCGAGCCTCACTGATGTTGAGAAAATATGCCAGTGCGATCGATGAAAGACTGGGGTTGTAGCGTGCCATGAGTTGGAAGGAAATCGCCAGGATGAGACGAAGAATAGCAAACTCGACGCTGTTATCGTCTTGTAAAGTCTCCGACCCTGTCGACAACAAGGCACTGAGTTGCGAAAACAACTCACTCCCAATCACTGGGAAGAACACCTCAACAGATTGTTGGTAATATTCTAGTAAGTCCCTGACCAGTGACTGTGGCGGGAGATTGGCTGTAGACGTGTCAGAAGACGGTCTGTAGCTAGCGGTGATGGTCTCGAATAGTTCGTTGTGTGGTCGAAGGCCTTCTTTCTCTTCCTCGGGCTCGATGAAAGGCTTGGCAGAGATCATCGATGAAGCCGAATTGAGGAGATAGGCATATAGATTGCTAGGGCCATAGTATGAGACACCAGGATCAGTTAGACGACCTGGACTCTGGGAGGCCGCGAATATGCTGCAAGCTTCAGCATTTCCGACCCTTGGGCGGTCAAGTCGGGGAAGAGTGTCGTGAGAAGACAGCTCTGGGGCAATTCCAATTCCATTGGATGCCCCAGCTTCGCTCAATTGTTGGACATGTTGGATCAAGGACTGCAAGTATTGCCGAGGAATTTCCTCCCCCACGACATGGTCCCTAAATTGGCATCTCACATCGGCCTGAAAGCAATTTCGGCATGTTGGCAGCCGGCTATCGCATTTGATGCGCCGTCTGCGACACCGAGTACAGGCTGGCAATGAAGCCAGAGCTGCTTCGAGATCTAGAGTCAAGTCCATAGAGGCTACAAGTCACCTCGTGCGAGACACATATTTGCGAATCCGGGCTGATGTCGCCACGGAACGTGAGGAGGAATGGGTTTATTTGGAGCAGGAAGAACAGCGGGATAAGACAATCGCCAAATCGGGCCGAGATGATTGCAACAGGGCGTAATGATGAGCCCCTGCTTCGCAAACGCCTTGTTCTACTGCTTCAATGGCGTGGGAAAGATGGCTAAGGCAACGGGAGAGCAGGACAGACCCGAGGTGGGAGTGACAGATGAAGTGAAAAACATCACGTGACTGTCATGTAACCCCACCGATATCCACCCTTTTCAATATCTCCCCAGATTCCCATCATTGAAGTCTTTCCTAGTTAGTCAAGCGAGGTACACTAGCAGACATATTGATAGTAGGAAGGGCTCATCCATGGTACTTTGCCGTGCTTACTGACTGTATGTGTACTCCAACACCTAGCCTATTTCTTGTAGCACTGTCGCTCTGTATATAGGTAACCCCGTCCTCACCATTTGTTGCATGTGATGGTCATATTTACCATGCTAATCTAGGTTTCTCTAGCTTGCCATCAAGTCAAAAGATGATTCCACCATGAAAACCCTCCACAACTCTCCCTGTTCGCGATAGCCCCGCCTGCTCTAACATGTCCAAATCATCCCTCGCTGAAATGAAGCACGATCCTGCAAACACTTCTTCGCAACAACTTTCGGAGATTCTCAAGAGGGACTCCGCTCGTTCAAATCGTCCGGGTCATGTCTTGGCCCAGTGAAGGCTCTTGGCAATTTGGCTTAATCCTCCGCTCTTTCAAGGGGAGGGACACTTCTCTGCCCTTGGCGTCACTCTTGATGAGTGGAGTCGAGCATGCAGACTGTCTGGTTTCAGCGACATGTTACAGAACCATCATGTAGATGGCGCCATTGACATCCTATTGCATAGTACCAAGACTCACATCTAAAGCGCTGGCAAGTCTTGGGGCGCGGTTGAGCTTCAATGACGACGAAATGCTCACGCCAATTGAAGCTTAACCAGAAACTACCAGTGAGATCCGCAGATCCATCTCTGCTGCCGTCGTTATAGCTCAGCCGCGCTCATTGAGAGCAAATCCAACCATTTGAAACTGCAGCTCTTCCATATCACTCTCCCGCAACAGGGAAGGGTGGAGGCGCGGAGATATGTTGGGGTCATCTTTAGAATGGGTCCGCTCCAGGAAAGGTATGCGCCTCGCAGATATCATGTTTTCCAAGATTTCGATAAGAGCGAGACATCAAACGCTAAGCCAGCTTCGATGGGATAGAGCGAATGTAGCTGCGCACAATATGCTCCAGCATCGTGTGATGGAATGAGCGGGAATGGAGAGAGATAAATACCCCGTGGGTTGCCCTCTAGAATCATGAGCAACAACTTCGACAGGCACATTCCCGTCTTCAGCACCACCATCTTGACCTCATTACTTGATTAATCGTTGCAATGTTGTCCAACAATGTCGAACAGGGGCTCGACAGCTCCGAAAGGAGACCCTCGGCGATAGATCTTCCCAGCCGCAGAGGTTCAGTCGAGCATATTGGGACTGTGGAAAAGACTCTTTCCTCCAACATCATCGAAGATGCATCCAACGCCGAAGCTAGAGAACGCACCATGACCCTGATGGAAGGTATCAAGACCTATCCCAAAGCCATTGGTTGGTCTATTGTATTCTCCAGCGCCATCATCATGGAAGGCTATGATCTTACGATCCTTGGGTCTTTCTTCATCTCCCCGGTCTTCATTCAACGCTTTGGCACTCTACAGGCTGATGGATCTCGGCACATCACAGCACCCTGGCAGTCTGGTCTCGGTGTTGCCATGCAGTCTGGTCAAATCCTTGGTCTTTTCGCAACAGGCATCCTCGCAGACAAATTCGGTTACAAAAAAGTCATGGTCGGCAGCATGTTTTGGGTAATCGCCGTGGTCTTTCTTCTCTTCTTCGCCAAAAACATCGTTATGCTGTTGGTCGGTGAGCTGTTGATGGGTTTCCCTCTTGGAGTCTTTCAAACCCTCACCGTCACCTATGCTACCGAAATCTGTCCAACTGTCCTTCGGCCTTACCTGACAACATGTAAGTCGGTCCTCACGCTCTTCCTTATTTTAGCTAATTCAATACAGATGTCAATCTATGCTGGGTTCTTGGGCAGTTGCTAGCCAGCGCTGTTACCAAAGGCATGTTTGAGACTCGTAATGACGAATGGCTATACCGCATTCCCTTTGCGTTGCAGTGGGTGTGGCCCATTCCCATCATCATCGGCGTTCTTCTTGCACCAGAGTCGCCTTGGTGGCTTGTCCGTGTCGGCCGCATTGAAGAAGCCAAACGGTCTGTGGCTCGACTGGCCAGCAATAGCACCGATGCAAATGCCGATGAGGCTGTCGCCATGATGATCCATACCAATGAGTTGGAAAAAGAGATCAGCTCGGGCACATCTTACTTGGACTGCTTCCGTGGCGTCGACCTGCGACGAACAGAAATCTCTTGCCTGACATGGGCGTGCCAAAATCTGTGCGGCTCCGGTCTTATGGGTGCTTCATCATACTTCTACAACGCTGCTGGCCTATCCCCTTCGCATGCCTATACCATGGCTCTGGTCCAGTATGCCCTTGGCGCAATTGGAGTAGTGCTGGCTTGGTGGGCCATGACTCGCGTTGGCCGCCGCACACTTTACGTCTATGGGCTGGCCGCTCTTTGCATTTTGATGTTTATCACTGGTTGTATCTCACTCGCACCCAATGCCACTAATCGAAACGTGGACGAGATCAACATCGCTGCAGCATGGGCAACTGGCTCCATGCTTCTCCTGTTCACCTTCATCTACGATTTCACTATTGGTCCAATTTGCTGTAAGGCTTTTCCACTTTGGAATAGACTCGTGCTAATCTTTTGTCAGACTCCCTGGTATCCGAAATCCCTTCGACACGGCTGCGACAGAAGACTGTTGTTCTTGCTCGAAACCTCTACAACCTTTGTGGCATCGGGCTTGGATTTTTGATTCCTTATATGCGTGAGTTTTGAGCAGCTGCTTCAGAAGCTAAAGAAGCTAACAGATACAGTGAATCCCACCGCGTGGAACCTCATGGGCCGTTCTGGCTTTGTCTGGTTTGGTAGTGCCTTGCTCTGCACCGTATGGGCATACTTCCGACTCCCTGAACCAAAGGGCCGTACCTTTGCAGAGTTGGACGTTCTATTCGAGCGCAAAGTCAGCGCCAGGAAATTCCACAAAACAGATGTCAACCTTTTTGGAGAAACAGCGGTGGCTGGACACACTGTTGAGCGGAAGCAGTGAACGGAAAGGCTGTCACAGTACGTCTTGTCTAGGCAGAAATCGCACACTCTTCCTGGGGAGATCCTTGACTTGAAAAGCCTTGAGAAATAACCTGACTCCGACGATCGGGCCGCCAGCTACTTAGAGTAAATTGCCATTGGCTTTATGACTGAAGCGCAAAGTTTATATAGAGGAAAGCAAATCTTGATTTTACAGTCCAGCCTACAACCTCACACGTGCATTTGTCTTTTTCATGTCGAACCTCCAATGCGGCTGCGGCTGCTTGGTCGACGTGTGGCTGTTAAATAGCATGACATTTCTATGCACACACAATGGCCATTGGAGGAGGAAGGGTAAAATGCAAAGGTAAACATTCATTAGTCGTCACTTTCTACGTATGGAGATGAAGATGCAGTAGTGTATCAGGGAAGGAAGGTGCATAGGGACCCAGGTACTTCCTTCCCCAATTCACACCCCCGCACCTGCCCTGCGTACAGTTGCTGGTCTTGGCAGATCGCGTCGCGGTTTCCGCGGCGCGTCCGCGTCATGAGTCCGTGACCTTCATGCACCTTTCGTAACTACACCAATAACTTCATAACCATGGCTCACGACCTTCCACGTCTATTCATATTTTCGTGATAGCATGTTAGATCCATATCCCTAGCAGCTGTCTGGCCGAGGAATCTGCACAATGTCTTCTCCAGCAGCTTCGCCCTCTCCTTCGGCGTCGCCAACACTACCAGACTCGTCTGCCCTCACTCCGAGCCGCAAAGTTCAAGCCCTTCTGGCTCGCTTCGATGATACCGACTCGGATGCTGATTCAACCTTGGAACAGCCCGCGAACCGCCAGAGCCCCAATCGGGTTTCGCGCATTCCAGCAGCAGCTCGTCCGCTCTCTACCAAAGCCTCAGAACCTCCCTCCAACGAGGATGAGTTGGATGATGATGACATTCTACCTTTTGCTCCGAGATCTCGACTTGCTGCTCGCCTGCAGGGTTTGAATCCGAACCATGATGACGCGAGTGACGAGTCGGAAGACCCACCTTCGCAGATACAATCCGATTCAGTTGCCCCGAATATGTCAAACACCGAAGACATTCCAACGAAACCACGATTGAGAAGGAGGCTACTGACCAAGCGGAGAAGTAGCCCAGTGCACACCGAAGTTGATGGCGATAGGAGAATGTCCCCCTCGTCTTTGTTCTCTTCGCCACCTGCCAAATCACAGGACTTGGTTAGGCCTGGACCACAAGAGTCGGAATCAGAGGCTGAACAACCCTCGACCAGCAAAGGCAACTCTAAGTTTTTAGCCCTGGTTGCAAAGCATCGAAAGCAGAGAATGGAGAAAGAACAAGAAGAATCCGCCAAAAAGGCTGCACGTGCAGAAGAATTGAAACACCGGGAGGAAGAAATTATTCGACAACGTGGTTCGAGTCCAGCAGATGATACTGGAGAAGATAGTGATGTCTCTGGCAATGAAGCGGCCAAGAAACTCTCTACTCAATCTCGACCGGCACGCAAAGCAAGCAAAAAAGCCATCGAGGAGATCAACCGAGAAACCCAGCGAATGAGTCGAAATATGCAGCTTGCCCACCAAGCAAAGGTCAAAAAGAGAATTACTAAAGAAAGTCTCCTGGCGAGGTTCAACTTCTCATCCTCTACAACGACTGAACACTCCGCAGCGCTGCCCTCTTCAAGCAGAAGTAACTCTCGAGCAGGCTCAGACAATGAGGCTAACATCCCTGTCGATACACCACCTACGAGTCCGTTGCGAGATGAAACGACCCCTCATAAAGACCACAAAGTCGCAGAGATTGACACAACCACCGAGATACAACAGATTGACTCTGCCGTCACTTTAAACAAGGGCAAAGGGCGAGCGCACCCAGACGAGCCAAACATCCCGATCGCAGTACTCCTTGCTACAGAAAGTCTGAACCAGGTTCAACCCCAGAATTTGCCTGAAGCGACAGTTCCAGTGACCAAAACTCGCTTATTGGGTTCTGCTCGGCATCGTTCTCTTCCTTCAGATGAATCCGATTCCGAACTTGAAGTAATCACCAGCCGCGGCGATCAACGCAAATTCGCTGCCTTTGAACGCCTCCCGAAGCGCAAGGCCAAAGAAACGCAGTCCCATCTAGCTCTCCGATCCCTGGCGCACTTGGTCGGCGGCGAGGACCGTAAATCAACCATGAACGCTGCAGAGCTGGAGATGACATTAAGGAAGGCCGCACGTCTCCAGGCTAAGAGCGAACGAGATGAGAAGATTGCAGAACTTCGAGCGAGAGGCATCATGGTCCAAACTACCGAAGATCGCGAGCGGGAGCAGCAAGATGTGGAGGACCTTCTTGAGAAGGCCAGACAAGAAGCTGCGGAGATTCAGAAACGTGAAAAGGCAGCAGCCAAGAAAGAAGGGAATTACGTAAACGATGGTCTAGACGACGAGGATGAAAGTGAGGATGAAGACTTTCAAGACGATGACAACGTGGGAATCTCCGATGATTCTGAGGACGACGAGGACGATGAGGAGGCATCTGAAGACGAGAACTCCGGTTCACCAAACGCCGTCGATGCTCTTGTCGATGATCAAGCAAGTGAAATCGACTCAGACGAGTCATCCATGACGGGAGACGAATCCGAACATGCTGCCGACCATTCTGAAGCAGAGATGGAGCTGGACACCAATGTGCGCCAAACCGTTTCCCGCAGAGCTCGTACAAATCGAGTCCTGAGCGACGACGATGAAGACGACATTCCAGCTGAGAAAGACGGAAACGATAAGGTTCAGTCCCTAGGTCGCACCGGATCACCTAAATCCCCAGCGTTACCCACAACAACCAAAACGCCACAGTCAATCCTACAATCGCACAGGAAGCAAATTCCTGGGTTGCAAATGTCAGACGACTTTCCGATTGGCCTCACACAAGCATTTGCAGCGACAATGGCCGACCCAGACAGCCAAGTTGACGCAGAAGAGCAAGACAGTCTTGAGATGACCATGGACCTCCCTTCTCCCAACATCCCCATGGCACCACGACTTGCTCGTCTGGAATCTATGGACATCATCACAGACAGTCAGCCAGCATCCCAAACTCAGCCCTTGAATGTGAGCCTTTCTTTCTCACAATCATTTCCTATACCCCAATCGCCAGCAATTGGGCCGGGGATCACAAGCACTCAAGCCACTCCATCCCAAAGACACTTCGAGGCCACCCAAGATGGAGACTACATGCTAAGTCCATTTATGGGTGATCGATTCGGTACGGAAACTCCTCAGCAGCCGCAGCCGCACTCGACTATTGAGACCGAGGCTCTTCCCGAAGGAATTAATGAGAGCCCTATCTTGCAACGAAGGTCCAGACTCCGGCGAGGTCGATTGCAGACTGAGTCTGACGAAGATGAAGCTGCAAAGCAAGATGAATCAGCTTTCGAGATCATGCGTCGTGCCGCGAAAAAACCAAGTGAAGCATTCGACAAGTCCAGGTCCCACGCACGGAACGTTGTGGATGAAGCTGCAGAGGAATCCGAGGATGAATATGCAGGTCTTGGAGGGGCTAGTGACGATGATATTGACGAGGAAGAAAACGAACAAGACCGAGAGATGATTGATGAGAACACACAGATTGGCCAGGGAGACGAAGCCAAACATGCTAAATTCTTTGCTGACCGAGAGCGAGAACAAGATCAAGCAGCTGTTTCGAAACTCATGAAAGACATTACTACTGGCGCGTTGCGACGAAAACGGGGGAACGACGATCTTGACCTATCCGATGAGGAAGACGCTGCTGTCAGGAGAAGAGAAGCCAAACGACGAGAATTTGCCAAGATGCGACAAGCATTACTCAAGGACGAGGCAGTTGGCAAGATCGCCGAGGATAAGAAGAAAGAAGCATTCCTGCGAAGTATCGAGGACCGAGAAGAATTCAGTGATGACGATGTGGGCGGGTTTAACGATGGCGCAGAGCCTGAGGAAGAATCTCAAGCCGAAGAACCAGAGATCCAGTCCATGGAACCCGAACCCGAAGCTGACACTGGCAAGGAGAAACCCACTCTTGCTCAAGGCCCTACCACGCAGCCATTGATTGCTGCGCCAGCATCAAAAATGAACCAAATGCGACGTGGCACCGGCCGAGTTGCAAATCCTGCTAGTGTCAGGCCTTTGACTTTGGCTGAGATTCGGGAGTCGGTTTCGTTTCTCGTGGAAGAACCAGATTCTCAGGCTGCCATGATTGACTTGGGGCTATCTGACTCAGAGGACGAATCAGAAGCATATGTCAATCTCGACCGACACTTTAAAAGAGCGGAAGCAGACGAAAATGCCGAGGACGGGGATGATTTGGGCGACTTTATCGTCGATGATTTGGATCAAAGTCGAGACGAGGCTGCTTTCAAGAAACCGGAAGCTCCATACAGTGAAACTCGGGCACCATATTCCGAAAGACGGACCAATCGACCGAATGTGATCAACCGGTTGAACATGCTACGCCAGTCATCGTCCTCGAGCTCGAGCAGCGGATCCCGAATGGCTTTCTACAGCTCGAGCACATCAGCAAATGGAAGCTTATCGAATGTTCCCAGTCTTCTTCGGCGTGCAACGACCAATTCTAGTCGAGGAAGTATCTCCGGGCGAAATGAAACAGTATCAGCAACAGGGGTGGTGACCAATAAGCTGGAGCGAGGGTCGGCTAGCGCAGAAAAAGAATTCATTCGCAAAGGCAATGGCGGAAGTCGAAATGCAGTCAACTACAGACCGACAATCAGGGAAGAGAAGATGCAGCAGCGAGCAGGTGTCATCAAGAAGAAGACAGCGGCCAAGGCAAAAAAGAGTCAAGGCGGATTTCTGGGAGGGTTATTCGGAAACGACAGCTGGACATGATTGCGTTTAATGTGGATTAGGAATAGGTTCTAGGCTGGTTAGAATTGAATTAGGAAACATGGCATACTGTGCATGGCTGAGAGAAGTGTCCGTCTTGCGTTCGTCTAGCATGCGGCAATACATGGTGTTTCACACGCGATATCAAGCAAGTTCAAGTTGGTTAGATGAGGGGATGGAACAAAATTATGCCGATGCACGAGGCAGGATTGGATTACATATATAAGGTAACTACTCCGTATATATAGAACAATCCTTCCCGTTTTAGGCCATCCTACCCTATTCAGCGATTCTACCCGATTTGGATCTTTCACATCAAAAGGACATCACATCTATCTATCCGCCCTGAAACCCCGCTCCTAACTGCGCCTTCAAATAGCAGACTCACCTTCCTAATCTCGTATGGTAAGATCTAGCTTGAGTCTTGGTTGTTCTAGTCTTTGCATTTATCCAACTATGCGATAGCCATCTGCCTCGAGTTTGGTTTGTGCATACCTACTAATCTAGATTGACACGCCAATCGATTATAGTATTTTGTCACCATTAGAGAACCATGACTATGTATATAAGCATCGTTGGCTATCGGTCGAATGGTTACTGTTCTGACTGAGATGGAAGCATCCAAGAATATATGCCCTTTTCCACGTCGATCAATTTGAGATTCTCAGAAACGAGGAAACTTGAAGTTAACAAAACAAAATCATCATGACGACAGCTGATATCGATGCCATTATGAAGAAATGGACAGACCCCGAAACGGGCAGTATTCACGGAGCGAGTTTTGCGGCTGTAGACTCAAAGGGTATGTATGTACTAAACGGAGACAGTTGACGTATATGAGCGCTCTCAAATTGGAAGAAAAGATACCCTTCCTTCTCTCCCATTTCCCACCGATCCATGTTGTAACCCCGTTGCTTACCTCTCTATCGTCTTTTAATTCTAGGTAAAACCATCTACAATGGAGTTTCAGGAACCAGAACCGTCGATCCAACAACCAACGGCTCTACCAACGACGATCAACTCTTAACCGCCGACACATTGACATGGATTGCCAGTGAGACCAAATTGCCAACTGCTGTCAGTGTGATGCAGGTGGTTGAGCAAGGTCTGATTGGTTTGGACGATGATATTCTCAACGTGTTGCCGCAGATCAAAGACTTTAAAGTTCTTGTTGGATTTGAGAATGAGAATACGACTTGTACTCCTCCCGTCGTCGAAAGACCAATACTAGAAGATATCAAAGGTCCGATTACACTTCGGTGAGTTCAGGTTCAGGTTCCAATCCACCACCCACCTTTTCAACAACTTCGTCCTCGCTAGGTATCCTCAGGAACGCCGCTCTTCTTCTTTCTTCTTCTTCTTTCCTAGACCTTTCCTAACCTTTCCTAACCCATCCCATCCCCCTTGGTAGACAACTCCTCACCCATACCTCCGGCATGGCCTACGACGGCGCCCACCCATCATTGATCAAATGGTCAACGTACCAAAACCGAACTGAGAATTTCCTCAGCGGGACTATCCGAGGATACGAGCATCCCTTGGTCTTTCAACCTGGTACTTCATGGGCATACTCACCGGGACTTGACTGGGCAGGGAAAGTCATCGAGGCCCTGACAGGTAAAGATCTCGATACTTATCAACAAGAGAAGATCTGGGGTCCTTTGGGAGCAAAGACGACGACGTTTCATCCAACCAAGTTTTTTGGCCGGGTGGGGAATGTCCCGCTAGTTCAGGAGACGGGCTTGAGAATTCAAGATGATGGCGGTGCTGGAGTTGTAGCTGGAGCTGGACAGCAGCGGTTGATGAAAGTTCCCAGTGCGTGGAAGATGGAGGTTGAGGATGCATGTGGTGGAGGTGGGCTTTGGAGTACATTGAACGATTTCTCTTTGCTTTTGGCGGCGCTGGTGCAAGGTGGTGGGCCGTTGTTGACGAAAGATAGTGTGGATGAATTGTTTCGAGGACAACTCACTGCTCCAGGTATTGCCACGCTTCGTCAGTTCTGTATCACTGATAGTCCAGATACGAGTTTTGGGCGGATGTGGGTGGGAATGGATTCCGAGTGGCGGAATTTAGATGTGATTGACCATAGTCTGGCGGGGACGCTGGCGCCTCAGGATGTGCCTGGGAGGAGGAAGAAAGGGAGTGTGAATTGGGGTGGTATGCCGAATCAGGTGTGGTGGATTGATCGTGAGAGTGGTGTTGCGGCGGCGTTGATGACTCAGGTTTTGCCGATGGGTGATCTCCCGAGTAGGAATATGGCGCTGGAGTTGGAAGAAGCGCTGTATAGGTTGGTGAATAGTCAGGGGTAGGGTATGATGAGTATGGCAAGGAATAACGGAAGGAATTGTGAGTAGACTATGGGATTGAGTTTCTTTACGCTTTGTGGTGGTATCAGAATCCATGAGGATATGTCTATTCTCTATATTTCTATGATACTCGAAAGTTACTTGCGTACAAGATATTCTGACATCAAGGTATTGGTACACTGAGATTGTGAGGTGGATGTGGCTTATTGTCCGGTTTCATCAGCTCTCCTGACAAGTTCTTTTATTTTCTTGTCACACTCGATGGTGCGAAAGGCATGTGGACCAAGACCGTGGAGGGAATTGATCTCTTCTTTCTCCTTCCACCGCGCCGCTTGGGGATAATCCTGGAGTCGTTCGGACCATTTGGATAGACTTCGATAGGTGTTTGTCAAAACCACTCCGTTCAGCCCTTCCTTGACAAGGAGACTCTCTAATTTGACCAGTGCTGCTAGAGCTTCAACGATGTAAACCGATTGCGTCGGATCTGGATCCTCAGTTTCAACAGCGGATGCCGTATACCCCTTCTCGCACTCTTGGATTCTTTTGAAGGCCTCGAACATGGCTCTTCGTCGTTGGTCACTCTTTGCCCAAAACTCGTTCTTGGCGGGACCTAAACATGCCTCGCATTGACACATAAATCCGTAATACATCTGCAACTTGCGTTGACGAGTGACGGCGGCGTCAAAGACATTCTTTTCGTAGTTTGTACAGACTTCCTTTCCTCGGGGAATATCTCGGATGGCGTAGAACATCATGAGATTCTTGTCAAAGTTGAACGACAATTGGAGATTGGGAACGCACGAGTGATTGAAACGACTGGCAATTGCACCGACAGCAGAGCCACCTTTGCCGTCGGGTCGGAAGCTGTCGAGATTATAGCAATTGCTGTAGTAGATGGAGGTGACACGAGTCATGCGAGATTTTTGAGCATCGAAGAGTTTGAGGTAGATTTTCTGGTCGGCGTGTGACAGTCTGCTGAATTCGCGTTCAATGGCGTCCGAGTCGTTTTCTTCCTCCTTTGACAGGCGTAACAGGGGGCGTTCTGCCAACACCAGATTACCTGCCTTGATCTTGCGGCTGGCAAAGACTGCAAGTCCACGGTCGGGTGTGGAGAGAATCTCAATCAGGTCATCCTGCGGGCTGATAGAGTCGGTTTGGTCCATGACTTGGTCTTGAGCTGGTTTATGGTTGCTGTTCATGCTGGTAGAGTTGATATTACACTTGGAGATTGAGGTGGATTCAAGGGTTGCTAGGAGCTGGGCCATTGAAGGGTCATTACTAGCAATGATAGAAAGACTGTGGTTCTCCTTTTGTAAGTCGACTAGGTCGTGGTTGGTTTGTGGTGTGACAATGATATCCTGTTTGTCTGGTCAATCAAGTCGAACTCTGGCAGACGGTGGGACTGACTATACGAGTCACTGACAAGGAGAAGGGGCCGTTAGTCGTACCTGTTCTTTTTGGTCTCTACGATTATTTGCGGTTGCACTTGTCGTTATCAAGCCTCGCGGCTTCTTGCTTCGTTGCTCCTTCTTCATATTGGAAATTTCGTAGGCGGCAATTCCACAATATCTAAACTTATCAACAACTACCAGTCATGGTCTGTAAAGGTGGAACTAGCGCGGGTTAAAGAAGACAAGTATGAGACGCAGGCATCTCGGAGGCATCCATCTTGAATTGATTATCACTGCGTAGAAGCAGGCTCCTGTCTGGTATGACGGAAATGAATGTAGAGAAGTCAAATAATGACAAGGGACCTATTGACTTTAAGTATGATATGAGGTTCTAGAACTGTGCTCAGATCCGGTGACAAATGGTGGTGATGAATCATGATAAGGGATGATCGTTAGGGTCCACTTGGACGGGCATTTGACACACCTTATAGGCGCCTCTTAACGGCACAGTACTCTGTAAGTACAGTATTCATACCTTATCTTACTCCGGTGGTGGGGGCACGGGGCTGCTTAGAGCACGCGTAGGCGTTTGTGTCGGCTGCCCTTGGGAAAGGTAATTGGTGGAAGGCCTAATAAGCACATTATAAGATCTGAGCGATACTTCAGAGAATTTACAACCGGACCGCTACCTGCATGTGTAAAATACACAATAAGGCTAAATGATGACTTTTGATGAATGCTCTCGACATCATCCTCACAGTTTAGATAGTTGAATGCATCCATAAGGATCATTAAATGGCATTTTGCTATTCACCTACAATAGTAAGTAGATGAACATATACGACAGTAACATGTCTCCATAAACCATCAACTAGTACTATTTACCTACATCAATCCCCATCTCCTTCAACAATCACAATTTTTGTGACTTGGACGAATCTTACCGATGTCAGCATCATCCTGATTCGCAATGACTGGCAACTTCATACCGATTTTCGTAATATCCTTCCCATCCACTAAAGTCGTAACCTTGTCAGGATAAAAGCACAAAAACCCCGTAACCTCATAACTCTCCATGATGGGACTTGGATACCACCAGGCGATATCCTTGATCACTTTATCTCCAATAACACCATCATAATAACTTGCCTGTCCTTTATACGGACAACCAGTCTTTGTATCACTAGGCCGGAGATATGACCAGTTGATAGCAGTGCGGGGCAAATACCAACGTGCTGGAAAATTCGTTTCGAAAAGAGCACGAACACCGCCTTGATCCGTGGTGTCGGCCAACACCGTTCCCTCTACTTCGACTCGAACGTGTCTTCCGGACGGGAGGATGTCGACGCGATGGAATGGATCTTTCGGATGATATAGCACTTCGCTCTGTTCCTCGTACCACGCGTCCAGAGCCTTGGCTTCGATCTTGACATATCCGGCCAAAGGTGAGTTGAAACTATCCGGCACCAATAGTGTGGTCACCCACTTGTCGCCGACGTATAATTTCGACGTCGAGCTTTGGATTCCAGAAATCGGTTTATCGTCGACGAGTTTGGCGGTCGGGAGAATGTCTTTTCGTGGAATCCAATATGACGGGAACCACTTGACCTCCCAAACCATAAGCGCTTCTGCCGTGTCGAAGATCCATTCTCCGTTCAATACACCGCGAACACGTTTCTCAGTTGGTAGAATCTTAGGGTGGAAATCTGAGTCGGCATGGAAGAGTTTAGATGCGAGGTCCGCGAGGCTTGACTCTGGTTAGAAAAAGATGCTACTGGTAGCGAAAAGGAAAGGAAAAGGTGTAACTCACTCTGACATGTTTGCTTTTGCGCGAGAAGATGAGTATCGTAAAGTTGATAACGGCGAAGAAGAAAGAAACTGATGATTGAGCTGGAGCTGACACGGGCGGATGGAACTCAGACCAAATATAGGGATTAATATCCTTCGTCTCGACTGTAGTAGAGACGACCTCAAAACACTTGGAAGACCACAGAACATGAACTATTTTCTGAATCTGGAGTTGTTCGCCTCCAGAATTATGAATACGAAAGGCACAGAAATCGTCATAAGGTCATTCAGGCAGGCCAATTGGCATCGGAATTAGTTATATTAAAATGGTGAGAATGTCGATTAGTAAGACTACTTGCGTGCGGAACTTCCGAGAACCCGACATCAGTGCGGAGCTGAGCAACGATGATGTGATATCAGGTAGATGTTATGCGCGTCCTTTCTCAATGTTTAGGCCTTTTGGATGGTTTATTGGTAGCGTCATTAGCTATTAATTTACTCACCAAGATATCTAGTGAGTACTGAATACTTGGGATATGGAGATGTGGCCCTCCGTTCCCCCGGGATTCTACGAGTCTGAGCATGTTGATACCCCTCTTATTTAGAGCCTAATGGATTCGCAGTGTGGGAGATTGAGGATAGGCTTCACTTGTTTCATAAGCAGCACCAACTCCAATTTGGATGATGTTCATGTCATTGATTCGGTCGTCATTGCAATGAAATATACAATCAAACAGGTCTTTCATCCACCCACATAGCACAGAGCCTAACAATTCTGCAATTTTCTTGGTCTCGTCTTATTCTTCTTCGTCTTCAATCACCATGCCATCCCATCATTCCATAATCAAATGCCACCACCTCCAAAAGGCGCCGGACCAGCTTGACCACCTCTGAACTGTTGAGTATGATCATGATGATACCCACGTTTTTCGGGATCTCGATCTCCACCACCGCCAACAATACCTTGACTCGCCATGCTGGCTGTTCTAGCCACACTGCTCCGCCTTCGTTGATGTTCCTCTGTTTCTTGATAATCGATCAACACCTCACCATTCTTGCCGTATCGATGAGGTTCATGCTTGGCCACCGACACTACCTTGAACACACTAGTCGTCTTGTGGAAGATGGTGTCCATTTCTTCCAGTGATCGATATGCTGTTTCGGGGTAGAAGAAATATACCACGGGAACGATGAATGCGTTGCTGTGAGGAAGAGAGTCGAGTCAGCGTTTGTTCTTGATCCTCCTGGTTGGTAAGTAAGTGAACTTACATGACAGCGAAAATGATATATGTCTGATACCCAATCGAATCGAATGCCACTGGTGTGATCATAACAACCATGAAATTGAAGATCCAATTCGCAGATGTCGAAAGTCCGTTACTTTTCGACCTGATTCGCAGAGGGACAACTTCTGCTGGATATAGCCAGGTCATTCCCAACCAACCTAAGGAGGAGGATCCGAGTTAGTACAGCTCGAACAACAGCCACCAAGTGCTTACCAATAGCGAAAAATGTATTGAAAATGAACAAAAACGCCGCCGCAACAATCCCCGGCCCTGTCCCACCAATACTAGTCATTGCAGCAAGCATAACCATTGAAAATGACATTCCCGCGGCACCAAAAATCATCAATTTCCGACGACCGACCTTCTCAATGATGAAGACGGGGATCCAAGATGCGAGGAAATACTCGGTACCGTTGCAAGCGGCCAAGATCCGGGAAATGAATGGGCTGAGTCCAATGTTGGTTTCGTAGATGGTAGCGGCATAGTAGGTGATGAGGTTGATTCCTGTTATGGTACGAGATTGAGCTTTGATTAGCATGTATCCTGGAAAGGGGTTTCGAAATGAAAGACACTTTGAGTCCTTGTCCTTGGAAAGACTCACCGCTGATTTGCTGGAACATCTGATTCACATAGGCGAGAACGACACGATGGAAGTGACGATCTTCATCCATGGTGAACAGATCCTTGAATGTGGTTGCTTCGGCTTCGAGAACTGTGTCCTTGATAGCGTCGAATTCGGCAACGATGTATTTGTCGGTGGGCTCTTTATCGGAAAGGGCGCCGAGTACTTCGAGGGCCTCTTCTTCGTTGCCACGGAAGATGAGCCATCTTCAGTCAGGTCAGTATTTTGTGCAACCTCTTTGAATAGGGGAAGAACCCCTCGGGGTCAATCGACGCTCACCTAGGCGATTCAGGAAGTTCGAGAATAAAAGTCAGAATGATTAAAGCAAATAATAGTTGGAACCCAATTGGAAATCGCCATGAGACATCGGAGTCGATGAATGAAAATGCAAAATCGACCCAATAACTGATCATGATTCCTGCCAGACAATCAGCAACGGCTCTTTGTTGGCCAACTGGACGGCACCCAGATGAGAACAAGAGATTAACTTACCACAAGTAATCAAGGCCCCCTCAACCATAACCAATTGTCCTCTCCGATGCGACTTCGAACATTCCGACTGCCACATCGGCACCGTCGAAGTATTCAACCCATTACCCAAGCCCGTGATTATCCGTCCCACAATGAAATGCGGCAGACTGAAAGCCGATGTCTGTAGAGTAGCTCCCACAACCATGATCGATGAACCCAGGAAGATAGTCTTTCGTCGACCCAATATATCTCCAATCCAGATACATGATATGGCGCCGAAGAAACAGCCCACATTGTATGATGCGACGGAAATACCCTGAATGGTTGATCTTTGCGATGCTTCTGAAGGGCTCAGTCCAGCTGTGCCGGCAGGTGTAGTGTCGATTTCGGGGAATGTTGCCGTGAAACTGGGGAGGGTTAATAGTCCGCCCATGACGCCTTGGTCGTAGCCGAATAGTCTGTCCCAGATTCCATGGTTAGTTTTACATGTGTGAAATGTAGCTTGAGATGAAAAACAGAAGGAATCGGATTTGCCTGTTGGGACTCACAAGAAATCAAGCCCAGCAATGATTCCCACGGCGACATTGAGTCTGGTGCCTCGAAGGCCCAAGTACCTCTTGCCGAACAACTTCATGCTTGTTAGAGAAGGATTATTCGACTTGTTGGTGTATTCTGAATAGCCGAACTCCAATCTTCCTTAGTTAGAACGCCACAAAGTCTTCAATATATATCAATTTCTGTCTGTACTCCGTTGTGCTTCATGGTACTCCATCGGCAAATCTCATCGAGGCAACGATCGCCTCCTGCCCACCTGGGTATTCCCACAATGTGGAGTCGTCATTCCGGCCTCAAGACTCCAGAAGAAGAGCTTAGGCTCCTTGTTCATGCTTGAAAGTCCAACTTTGCTTGTCGGCAAGCCGATTTAGGAAAGTTCATTGGCTCACATATCTCCACTCCACTTCGTCACACGTTGCAATGATGGAGAAGGTTTGCAAAGCCTTTGTGGGGAGCAAGGATCTTCACGTCAGCCAAGATGCTCCTCTTGCTGGCGACTTGCTTTCAATTGGGTTTTGGTAGTGTCAAACAACTTCACGCTCTGTCGGGTTGCCTAATTTGGCAGTTCCATGACGGCAGTTCGCTAGAAGGGAGGCGGACATACGGGAGGCGGATGGCTTCTCCAGGCACGCCAGGATGGAATACAGCTAATGAGACACGAGGGTTAAAGGGACTGCTAGACATAATTAGACTTCATGCGGATGTCGGTGTTGGTCTGTTCGCTGCATCTATCTAGATGACTACTCAAAATTAGAGTGCTGTGTTGTGAGTCTCGAACATCAGGCATTCCATGTGCTCATTGTTGCCATCAGACTCGAGGGTCATTCAACCGACGTGGGCGAATCACAAAACACTCATCAATGCCGTCTTAGCTAGAAGTGGCATGTTGTAGAAGTAACCACTCGACAACCAGACCAATATCTTCGGTAGTGGTTAGAACTTGCAACACCCTCGCCTCGAGACTACTGTCGGTAGAAGGGCCTAGGCCAACACCACTGAGACTCTTGATCTCAAGGGTTCCGCCCAGGCATACATTAAAGGACAACAAGATGAATGGGCTTCGCTTGCGCTGCGCTTGAGCGCCATGGAGTGGTATTATCACGTCGACACGAGCTTTTGACGGATCAGAGATGATGTCCAAAGTAACATCGACTGACAAAAGGTCAGAGGAAGCAACGCCATTCGTGGATGAGCCAAGCTGTTCCAGCTCCGGCTTTGGGACGTTGCTTCGTACAAGTGGACGGGGATGGGTCATCTGGTCCTGATCTTTAGAGCCATTCTTGGCCGATGTACTCTTGTCTGGGCCGGAAGCATGATGTTCAACCAAACTCAGTAAGATGGTCCAGAGCAAAGCATACTGGCGGAGAACGGGTAGGGCAGTGGTCAGTTGCCGCGGATGAGTGAATTTCAATGACTTGACAGGATAACACCATAAGAAGGTTCCGTTTTGAGGAGATCTGAGACCATATGAATGAGTTCGAGGAACGCCGTCTGCGTCTGACTGGATCATAGGGAAGGTTCGAGACCATCTCATTTCTGCAAGATGGTCCTTGTTGTCTGGGAGTGTTCCAACGGTGTTCTTCTGGAGGGCCTTCTCGTATGTGATTGCGTGCGCTTGTTGGATGTCAAGCATTGGAACTCCAACATTGAGCCCAGCTGCTACGTTGAGCGGAAGGTGTATCACCGGTGAGAGCCAACAGACAAAATGCATATTGCAGAAAGACACAGACGACTGCGTTGGCTTGTCCATATCCACATCGTTGTCGTCGGCTTTGGTGCCATTATCGGCTTGCGTAGCTCCGGTGGCTGGGTCCTGCCAGTCCGGCATGAGGGCATCAGCATCGGCATCCAATAGAGAATCTGCACGGGCTTGTATCGAGAGGACTTGACTTGAAACCCAGTCGGCAGTCAGAGCCGTGGCAGGATCACCTGCTTCACAAGAAATCCGAGCCGTGAAAAGATCGCCTTCATTCTCCAGCAAATCTTGCTCATTTTCAGAGGCACTGGCTGGAAGACGATGACCGTGACACCAGAAGTCAAGTGAGATACCGAGGTGAGGGGGACGGTCGATTGATGGCCTTCCCACCGAGCCCCGTCTGATATGGTGAGATGTGCTGTGTAGACTCAGCTTATCTGTTTCAGCATCCCAAACTTTCTGGAAAGCATTGAAAAGATCAGTGACCGCAGCGAAGCAAGTAACTCCGCCTTTGAGTTTGATCTTGTCAAGCGAACCGAGATAGCGCAAGTTGGAGTTGAAATCAGTCAGGTCATTCCATTGAACGACGCCATCCCGGGACTTTGAGGGGGCCAGGCTACTCTGTAGGATGGCAGTGCCTTGAGGCTGACTCTGAGGATCATCGGTTTCGGTGATCAAGAGTTTGAGGCTGACGATCTTGACCAAGTCGCTATTGAGCGAGTCAAATGTTATTTCAAGGTCTACCGTATTTCCAGCCACAGTGAGCACATTGTTCTCCCACAGAGCCTCCAGACCATGGAGCTGCGCTGTTCGCTCTACGCCCTGACGCGTGATACCCCTCCCAGCAATGCGAGTCCTGAGGAGGTCGGCGATGAGGTGGGCCCTGGCAAGACGTTCTGTCTCTGGGCTGAGGGGCATATCAGACATGGTGTGGGCTGCTCCGTTCATGCTTGCAGTGATACCGAGACCATCTGCATTTGCTCCAAGCGGGGTCAAGCCTGATGGCCCAAAGCTGGACATGAGCGCTGCCGCCGGGGAGTTGAGGGCGAGGAGGTCGTCATGGATTGCGGCTGCCGCGAGAGGAGTGGATGAGGGCTGAGAGGAGACACTGACGTGATGGACATGGCCTTGAGTGGAGGCAGGCGTCTTGACAGCGGGAGATTTATGGGCCAAGGGACGGTTTGAAGCAGGGGCAGAAGCGGTTCCGGGGCGTGGAGAGGCCATAAGTCTGCTTGGGGTAGAGAGGTGGGCTTTTGGAGTTGAGATGTTCTGTGATCTGGTGGGAGTGGCCATGGTTCAGAGGTGACGAGGCTGAGGTGGAGACAAACAGGAATGGACGCCTAAAAAGGCGTGGGCTAGGGAAATTGAGGGTTGTTCATGGTTTGGTCAAGCGATGCTGTTGCTCGAAATGAGGAGAATGGAGACAAGGAAGAAATGGACTACCTTCTCAGAATCAACGCAGTGATCGAGGCAGCCATCGGCCGAATATGCCGATCATGAATCCATGTCTTCTGGTGTGAGCACTGCAAGGGGATATCTTTCCATGTTGTGAATATTGTCCAAGATGTCTTCTGGCGCAGATGAAGTTTAAGATGCGATGTCACAAAAATCGAGTGATAAAAAAGGCAAGTCTGCCGACGCGTCACCAACAGGAACAAAGGCAGGTACGGCGGTGTGATTATTGGTAGGAAGGTGTGGTTAGAGGCTTGCGGGGTACAAGAGGCGGGGAAGGATAAGGGGACGGATAGGCTTATAGAATCGCCCAGCGATAGTAAGTTGATAGGCGGATCGGTGCATCAAAGCCCCCCATTCGCTAGTCAGGTTAGGCAGCTGTTCAGGTAGAGCGCCCGCGCCCGCTCACCCAGGCATAGAGGCATACCTCTATCAACAGTTGTCCCATTACTTCACCCCATATAACAAAATGTCCACGAACATCACCTGTGAATTGTGTAGATCACTCGACTTAATCTGCGAATTGTCATTGCGGTAGATTCATCTTAGTATATATCATACTCTATCATGTCATCAGGTCTCCTTGATTGAGACGTAAGCTGTTCAAGTCCGCTTCTCGAGACGACTCCATTCCTCGAAGCGTCCCTAATGAAACTCAGCCAATATATCAGCCATTGTCTTGCCCACCGGCTTTCTCAACGGTCGAGCCTGTGATCCAGCTCTTTTCGGTGGAGGTGATGCACTCTCGTGCGAATACATCCCGCTGTTCCTCGACCGCTTGACTTGATCATCGCCGGTACTCTTCGCCTTTGCCTTTGCCTGTGTCTCTTCCCAGCTCTTAGTTTTTATATTTTCAAAAAAAATAGTCCGCGTCGAAGGAAAGTCCTCAACAATATGAGTCCAGGGCCGTGGCGATCCAATCCAAGTCTCAAGTATCGGAACACTCTCGGTCAGATCTGGCCGTCGTGGGTTGGCCAGGCTTTCATATAACCCCATGCTTTCGTAGTAACATCCAGATATAGCGCCCGGGCCAAATTCTTTTTCGCCCACGATAGGCCGTAGACTCTTAGCGCTAGGTTTGGCGTGTTTCGCCTCCCACCCTCTGGGTTTGGATGATGGTTCCCATTCAGGACGGTTTCTCTGGTGCATTCCTGGACAGTCGGTCACAATGATATAACAAAGTGACGGGAATTGATTGACGTATCGAAAGATCCAGTCAGAAAGATCCTCCTGCCATCCGAATAACATAACCCTCAGATGTTGGAAAGCCTGCTTGGCGGCGGCAAGCTCCGCCCATGTTCGCATGACCCTTTCGTCGAAACATGACACATTAGAGCCGATGGTGACTTGGCCATCGGAAAGATCGAGTATGGCTAGGTTGCTGATTTGGTGGATGGCTACGAGATCGCTCTTGGCCAGCTGCTTGGGGGATATTCGAAGGCAAGTTAACCATTTCAGGTCCCAAGAAGTGATGGAGGAGAAGTAATCAGAGACTGCCAACTGGGGTTGTCGGATGTCTAGCAGATATCGATATTCTCGCTGTCCAAATTCGTCTGCGTGCGGAAAGGCTGATGCCAGTGTCCTCCACGCATGGAAGCTTTCAGTTCGTCTAGTGAAGAACACATGAGCGGGCTGGCCGTCATAGAGCAGACGATGAGATAACCAAAACCATACCTATCAAGGATATCGTGCCAGATTTCCTCCGCCATTGCCCAGGGAATCATGTAAAAGTGGTCTGGCGTCAAATCTCGCATCTGCGCAGCCACTCTACTTTGAGCTATCGAGGCCAAAGAACGAGCACCTTTGCCGTCATTGGCTCGGTCGGCTCTCCTCGCCAACGAGGGCGTTCGGTAGTCCCTGATCCAGTCCGAGTTCTTGTTTCTGCTCAAACGGACTTCATAGTCAACAAAAATCTGCCCCGAATCCCGGCTGTAGCCCAACCCAAGTTCGGTTCTACCGGGAGTCTCGCTTGGAGGCTGCCTGCTGGGCGCGATTTCAGTCCATGGCCGCAAAGGCTTGGTCAGGTGTTTGGGTCTTTGGTGGTTGTAAAAGGGATCTGGATTGCGAGTCATGGTGAAATCCCGCGATCCGAGCAATTGAGATGTCGGATTACTCGGGTCCTTCACGCAATCCTGAGAAGCTTCGTCATGGTGATCAAGGATTCCTTTTCCATTGTCAAAGAGGTGCTGGATAAAGGTTTTGCTTTACATCAGGAAATTTTGATTGTACTTGGAGCGAGTCCACATATTATGAAACCCAATTGAGTTGTTTTCATCAAGAAATCGGATCAAGAAGCAACGTTGAAAGAAGAAGTGTCGTTCATCTAAGGCGACTTTTTCGAGAGAGGCGAACCTGATACAATCTCTTGGCGTCGCCAAGCCCCAGACACGTGGAAGGTGCAAGTCTCGAATGTATGGGAATGGATTCGTAAATTATCACCAAATCTCGATGTTCGAATCCTTTTATCAACAGTGTCAGCGCTCAAAAACAATTCGATTGATCACAACCCTCAGACTATGCCGCTTTTGTTGCTACACACACAGAAGTTCTCTTGCCGCTCAATGGTCGTGTCTCATGAACCTTTTGAATACCAATCCACCGCCGCCACCCCTCCAAACCCCCCCCAAGCCAGCCCTGCCCCGTCACCAAAACCCATTGTGTCGTACAAATCGTTCTTGATGTTCCTTGAGGCTGGCCCAATGCGTCAGTTCCTCGTCTTCGATTTCTTCTGGTGTCCGGAACACGCCGCCAAGTTCTCCATCCGGTCCACCTCGGAACCGCCCTGGTCCCAATCGTTCCAGTTTTGATAGTATACCGAGGAACACATGAAGGTAACTGTTGACGCTCTCCGAATCTAGTGTTGGCATCACGCTCATCCGTGCTCGTTTGGTTTCCAGTAGCGTGGATGCTACGGTTCGAATCTTGTTGCACTATCACCTGGTTAGTTCTCCAACTCTCCAATTCAGCTTTTGGACATGACTCACAAAACTCATTCCGTTGGGCTCCATATTGACTTGGTTAACACTCTTCAAGAGCAAGGCCATATCGCGCACAATGTCTTCTCTTTCCACTGCCATCATCTGCTCTCCAGAGTCCATCATACTGTCGCTCGGTGTCCGCCCCGTTGCCTGACGGTAACTGTGCTCCATCCCGGTAGCCATGATGCCTGCTGTGGGGGACGAGCTAGTCCCCGCCTTTTCAGTTAGTGCCGTGGGAAATTGCTTGTTGTCCCGATCCACAATCTCGTAAAGATTCCAGAATCGTTCCACAAGGTAAGATCTCGACGACAGTTGGGTGCCGTAGATGTTAGCTTTCTGGATTTCAAACTGGATAGCTCTTTTGGAATATGGTGGGAGTGAGAATGACCCTCGACCCGTGCTTGGAGTGGGCTGCTGCTCTGAGTCTTGGGCTTCCCTGTCATTGAACAAGTGAGAGTAGGCCGAGATGTCGGCCTGTGTCGGTGGCCACTCGCCGAAGCCGTTGGCCGGGTTGAGCTGCAGCTCTTTGGGCGCGTTTTGCGTGGCGTCCTTGACGTTTTGTAGAGCGCGACGGATGAATTGACGTTGCCGATCCCAGTCATAGACCGTGTTGGCCCCAAACGCCATTTCGAGTGCCGCCAGAAAATGAAATGCGCGGAACACTTTGACATTGAGGTTAAAACCAGCCAGCTCCGAAACTATGCCCCGAGGTTGTGGATATACTTGAGACTCGGTGATGTATTCATCGTCAACTTCCAGTGGCAATGGCGGCAGCATCTCGGCATGGGAGACGGGGGGCATCAAAAGGTCCCCTTCTGCTTCATCCAGCTGGCGTGCAGACATTGCACCTACAAAAAGAAGCCAAAAGAGCCGGCGGCCGGATTCTTGATATACATGGTCGATGGGGGGAGGGCGCTGAGGGTCTATCGGTTGGTAAGTTCCTCCTGGTGTCGCAGCGGGTCGATAGATCTCTGGCCGTTGGAAGCCGAGTTCTCGTATGATGATGGTGCATTCTCCGAGATAGAGTCGCATTCGAGAAATGTCCAAGGTGTAGCCAGCTGCCAGCCCGACCAAATAGCTCGCAATGGCATCGTACAGTGTCATTTGTCGATCGATGTATCCTAATCCACGAGCATCCACAAAAACCTGGTGACATCTGTCAATCAAAGCCCCAGCATTGGGGAACGTGGCTCTCGCCACATCAGAAGTAAACAGTTGGCGAGGTCGCCTTGGAAAGGAAGCAACCAGGCACTCGACCATGGCCGCGATCAAAGATAAAAATTTATGGTTAGTTCGATCTTCTCGTGCCTCAAAAGCCCTTCGAAAAGTCGGCTCATGTGGCACAGGTATCAGAGGGTGGATGTACGTAAAGTAATCATCCAGCAATATTTTCAAGGTGGATAAATCACATATCGATTCAGCCGAGAGTTGCGCAGGTGCTGCAAGAGCCGCCAGACTGTAAGCGGCGTCATGGGTCGGAGAACCTCGAGATCCTTCAAAAGCGCCGCCTTCAAGCTTTTGTCTCTTAATGGCTTCTGCATGTCGATTGGGAGGCCCGCGCCGACGGCTCGGCCGGTCAAAGGTGCAAGGAATTTCAAGCGCGGCGCACGACTTGCATGGAGGGCCAGATTCGTCGCACTTGAAAGAATCATGTCAGTCTCGATCAGGAAAAGGCGGGACCAGGCGGAGAGAGGGAGGCGGTGGCTTACCTTAACTTTCCGCACACTGCAACTGTCGCAGGCCTTGCGCAGGCGGTTTTTCGGCTCGGAAGATGTGTTTGGGGTTGTTTTTGAATTGTCCTTTGTCGCCGACTCGAACTCTGATCGTTCTAGAGGCAAGGCAACATCGAATTGGCCGGCATAGCCTTGGGTAAGGTGATATGTATTGTCTTCGTACTTGTATGCGCCAGCTCCATCTTGAGGCTGGGCCGCGGTTGAGTAGGAAGCGGTTGGCGAAATGGACGACATGGTGTCTCAGTAGGCTCCGGGACAACTCGATTCGAAGTGTACGGGAGGGAAGCGGTACATAGTCAGATAAATGTGATAGAAGCGAATGTGAGTGGCCGCGCGAGTACTCGAGCAGAAAGGACCTGGCGGGCGAACGATATTCTCAGTTGACTCTTGTGATATTTGTCTTCAGCCCTCAGGTCAGAGTCGGTAATCAGTGTTGGGTCCACGCAAATGCTCTTGCCGGCAAGAGGAGCCACGTGCGCAAGCGGATGAGGTGAGTTTGAGGTTGGTGGGAATTGTGTGAATGGCTGGGGGAGCTTCCGATTCAACGTGGTGTGAAGGACCAAGTACGACGCTATGCAGGGTGGATGGATCTGGGGTAGGATGGAAGATGTGGGTCCATTGGATTCAAGGACTTCAAGGACGGCGACAGCGAGAATGAAGGTGAGGTGGAAGACGCGGATGAAGAGGAAGATGAGGGTATTGGCGACAGTGTTTGTTAGAGAAACCAAGGAAGTGTCGATGCCGGCCGAAAGAGAGGTTTGGGAGTGTGGTGGATGTTTTGAGAGTTCAAGGGCACAAGGGATGGTTGAGGCCTAAAGGCTAACGGTCCGGAGGCAGACCAGAGTTGCAGGGTATGCGTAGCAGGCGTAGGCAAGGCTAAGACGAGTTTTCTTGGTTCTTCTTCTGTAGCTCGTGGTGGCGTTGGAGGTCGAGTGGAGTGAGGGAGAGAGGATGATGAGTGGTGACTGGTAGCTTGTTGGGTCCACCGAAAAGCTGGCCAGTCGAGTGCTAAGGATTCGATCTGATGAATCTTCAGTGAATTGTAAGAGTCAAGTGAAGAATGAATAAAGGTTCAGAAACGCCTTCTAGCCATGCAGTGAGTCAGTCAATCCTTCACTCTCCAGACCCAACATGGTGGAAGATTACGAGAAGTGAAAAAATGGTGGGTGCTCCTTTGGTGCTCCTTTCGCTCGTAGAGTGGATTGCTTTCGAGATGCAGGTGTTTTCAGATGGCACATACTCTTTCAGTTAGACTCAGTTATAAGCTACCAGGTACCCCGACTAGTCTAAACTTCCGCGTATAGGACAAGGACATGGCCGTTGGCTTGTTGGCCTTCCAATGGTGCCTCTGCTAAGATAGCCTGTGGATAGCCCGAGGACCTAATATTCAGCATCGCTGCTTCATACTGCAATTGGGGGCGCACTGGGCGTCCCCAGGCGACTGATGACTTTGGGGGGAGGAGAAGGGAAGGAGGGCCGAGGGGCCGAGGGCCTGAGGGGGCGAAAGTAGGGGAAGAGGGGGCACTGGGGGCACTGGGGTCGTTACTGGGGGCGTGGATTTGGTCATTGATTCTGTTTTGCCTCTTGTGGATGGCGTGTCTATGGTACGCATACTGGGTTGGTCGAGGGGGTGTGAGTGCACGCTGTGTCACCGAAAAATCTGGGGTTTCCTCAGGGCTTCACCACGGAGGAGACCGACCGCACGTTGTGCCAAGGTTCTTCCCCCCTCATCCCCTCCAGGCTTCAAACTCCAGGCTCCAGGATCCCATATCCCTCTACCCTCCTTGTCGATGGCGAGTGTCCCTACAAGGAAACTATACGGTAACTAAAAGGGCTGTTAGCCTTCGAGTCGACGTTGCCCTAACCACAGCCGCAGATCTATCCCCTGGAAATCTTCAAGGAAACTTCGGCTTCCGTGCATCGACTTGGACCCTTCGCCTAACACCCTTTAATCCTTCAAGCCTTTCTGGTCTATACGTGGCTCCCCAATTCCAATTAGCACAAGCATAAATAAAAATGTTCTGATCTGACAATGCATGAGACAAGGGTCCAAGGCATTATTGTTGCAACTTGTCTGTTTGTATACGGAGGCTGCAAGGACATGCCTCTTACAGGAAAAACCATGCGTGCATATCCTGAGGTTGTCCTCTACCCACCATCTCAGTGGCAATCTCAATAGTCTCTACGGTACCATACGCGCCGGTGCTTGTCGTAACTTGATCTTTTGCTGCAAACTTCTGTACACCCCAGTTACTGCCTAGCCGCCAGACGTGGCTGCACTTAAGCGACCTTTGACACCGCACGAATAGCCAGCTAGTATGATCTAGACCGGCATTAACACCAGTGACCCTCTCTGGCCGCAAAAATCTCTGCCGCTTCACCCGAATTGATTGTATAAAGAGTCAACCATTCGATCATACCAGTCTGAGAACATGGAGTGAGGTGATATGGGGTGGTCAATTGTAACAAAATCTCGCAAATGTATCATTTCTAGAGAAACTATATATGGGGGAAATCGTAATACATCACATGGCAGAATTCTCGAGGCAGAATTTTGGGAAATCTTCCTTCTGGCTAGGTGCGTCAGGAGACTCTCGCTTACCTGGAGACAGGCTTCCACCCTGGTCGTTGGCCATGTCTTTGGGCGGCGCAATCTGTATCATCAGTCACTCCTCCAAAGACAAAAAGTCGGTGCAGAGTTTTTCACTCATGGTTTCCGAGAAACCCTAGACATCTTCGAGAGTATGAATGATGACACTTATTACATCACGCGGTAGGCCTGCAGGACTTTTAGGGCGTACTCTCGCCTTCAGGATTCCTTCCCCTTAGACCCTTTGCATCTCGCCAGTCGGTCGGGAAGGCATATCCTCCTCGGAAGTGAGCAAGCGACCGCAGCTAAAGCGTAGTTAGCTGTACGGGCCAAGGCTCACGCAGCCCGGTAGTCCAACGAGTCGTTACATCAACAGATGCAAAACCTCGGTCTTTCATACAGGCTCGTGTTGCGATTCGCTCTGAGGGTATTTTGTAATGCATGGCGCGCATCAGATCAGTCAATCATGAAGAGAAAAGACATGTTCAGCAATCAAGAATATTTCCAGAGACTCCACAATCCGCAAGGAGCGGCAGGAGACTCCGGGGTAAGTGAGCCAATGAGTTCCTCTATCCTTCTGATTTCCCCTCCAGCAATCATTTGCGCTGTGAGCAGCGTCATTGACAGAGTGAATACAGAGGATGTTTCAGTTTAAAGAAGAGGAAAAGAAGTCGACGATCAAGGTGGACGGAGAGTTTTGGAATTTAAAGGCTGTGGATTGGCGCAACAGCCAAGCATTTTTTGATTGGTGGGATTCCTGCCTGCGTCATCGCTACTGTCTTTGAGGAGCCGCGAGGGTCGTCCCTTCCCTCTTTGCCTGCAGCCTCCATGGAACCTGCAGCCTGCGTATCACTGCCTGCGTCAATCAGCAGTGGTTCTTCCAGACAGCCACAACCAGGTGATGGTTCTTGACAGAGGTGAGATAGGGACAGGAGTTTCAGTTCATCACCCCAATCATCCCAGATCGAGGTCAACATGATTCGCAACCTAACGGGTGCCACATGGCTCTATCCCTTGAAGGTGGGTAGTTTCGTCCCCTACACCCCAGATTCGAGATATCTGACAATGTTCGTTTTGACAGGGCATCTACTACTTCTTCCGACACCCCTATCTCTGGCCACTATTCCGTGCTCGCCTCGTTCCACTCCTCCTCCTCTCCGCATTCATCTACGTCAATCTCTTCGTCTGGGCATTTCTTCCTCAAGTCGCCTTCCTAGCCATCTTCCATGGACCCGGTGCCTTCTTAAGTGGCTTGTTTCTGGTGTTGGGCGAAGGTGCAGCCATCGTTGCAATCCTGTTCGAAGCCTTCTTTGTGGATGAGACACTGGTCGACACTTTTGATGCCGTCCTCATAGACCAGGGATTGGCTGACTTGGTCGGTGAGGCGCGGTTATTGAATTCTGATGCCGACAACTCAGTCAAAATGCTAGGGAAGCCTTCGGTCACAGCCATTTACAGTCCGTTCAGTCTCCGGCAGATCGTGGAGTTTGTTATTCTGCTGCCTATCAATTTCATCCCTTTCGTTGGGGTGCCCATTTTCCTTGTCCTGACCGGCTATCGAGCTGGGCCTTTCCACCATTGGAGGTATTTTCAATTCATTGGCTTGTCCAAGAAGGAACGCAAAGAATATGTCCGCAAGCGCCAGATGAAATACACGTGGTTCGGGATCGTGGCCCTGACCCTGCAACTTTGTCCCGTCCTGAGCATGTTCTTTTTACTCACCACAGCCGCGGGCAGTGGCCTCTGGGCGGCGAAAATGGAGCACGCTAGGAGATCGCGAGACTTGAACTCGACGACTCCAAACGGGCGATATACAGACGAGCCAGTATAGCGTATAGCCACACTCTTATAATACAAATCGCTTGAGGTATCTTTTGCTCATTTTCTGGCGTGGTTCTCCACGGCGTCGGCGACTTGTCCCAGATCTCTGACAACCACAGTTGGACCTTGGCCAAGTCTGTCCTGCCATCCATTACCCGCTCGATCAACCCATGCAGCTTGCATGCCAATCGCTCGCGCACCTACTACGTCGAACGGATTGCCTGACACCAGCCACAGATCAGACTCCTGTCCAACCTTACCGACCTTTTCAGCTAGATATTTGTACACCTCCGGTGCTGGCTTGAATTGTTCAATGGCGTCCACGGTGATGAGATCTTTGAAGGCAGAAGAGCGGAGACTGCCTGACTTGTTGACCGAATTGGACACCATTATGTTTGTGCCGTTAGAAAAGACCACACACTCAATGTTTGGATTCTCAGCCAGCCGGTCGAGAGCAGGGTTCACATCAGGAAAAGTCGACAGCTGATCGTAGGACTGCATCAGTTTCTGGGTCTGAGCATCATCCAACTTCAGATTGTGGTCGCCCAAGGCATGGTGAAGAGATTTCTGAGTGACCTCGGAGAAGTGTTCATACTTTTCTATTCAATACATTGGACCATAAGTGCATGCATCTCTGGTGGGCATGTCAGGTCACTTACTCATGCTATTGAGTCTCCAGGTATATTCGAGTTGGTACCTCCTCCATAATGCAGCAATGGACTTGGCCTTGTCTTCACCAAAGTGTGATGCCAAGGCAACTGCGATGCTTTCGGTGGACAACAAAGTGCCATACAAATCAAATGCTACTACAATTTTACCCATCGTGAATGCTGGATTGTTCTAGCAGAGGCGAGGAGGCAGTACTTTTGCAGAGGTCTTGCGATGTCAGGTTGGACAGAGATCTCCATTTGAATGATTAGTGAATGTCCCCCCGCCTTGAATCACATTCGAGTGTGCACCAATGAACAACCAGTGTTGCATCGGTGGGTAGCCCGAACGGCCTTCTTGTCAACTCGTACAACCAGTATGACACCATGTCTGGGGAAACATGGTCTTTCTGATTGTCTCCGTTGAGAAGTCCTCTGGGGTTCACTTAGCTAGATCTCCCCCGTTATGCTGCAAAGACACGTTGTCTCCTGGAGAAGGGCTTAATGAACAGCAAAGATCTGGGGTAGTTTTGTACCAAATTGCTGGGTCTTTAGGTGTGCTCCCCTCCTAATAATTAGTGCCTCCAATGCCCGGAGTAGTGTCCGCCTTTGCCTAATCATGCTTACTCATATGCTCTTCCTTACAGGTTCGGGAAGCCGGCAGACTATAGCCAAGCGTTCATTGGTGAATGGCTCAAAGGCTCCAGTAAATAAGGCTATCATCAGGTGAGGTTCGTGCTTTTATTATGATGATGATTATTGAATAATAGTCCACAGGCAGAGTACATGTCTTCCTGATGCATCGTGTTCCAGCGCAATATAACCATAGGTCAGTCAGAGTGACCTCAATAATGCACTTTACACATGATTAGCACTTGTCCTTGCAGCTGCAGCCAACAATTAAGATTGCAATTGTAGATACGCGTGATACGATACGCATAAGACACAGGAATACCCCGCCATTCATCACTACGCAGCGGCCGAGGGGGCATCCCTAACCACCCGTGCCACCCTAACCCTCCGCCCTCACCACTGCCTCTACCCAACGACGTTCTTCTTCTGTTTCCCCACATCGTCGGCATCATTTATTTATCTTTCCTGCCTCATCTGACCACTGCCCGTGAGGCCCCAGCTCAGTCTGTTGACCTATCCTTCAACATACCACACGGCTGATCCTGTCGCCATGGCCGCACCTGGGAGGGATCCTCCTGTTGGTTCCCCCCCTTCGAACGCTGTTTCCTCTCGCTCTAGCTTCGACTCACAATCACCATCCTCCCGACCACAAAGCCTACGAATTCCCTCTATGCCTAGCGCCGCTGCTCAACATCGACAGAGCTTCAATGAACTCAGAGGGCATCCCCCTTCTCCAAGATCCCAAAGACAACCCTCAATGTCTCAATTGGCTGTTCAAGATTTGATCGATAACCCTCCAGTACGGGCAAATCCAGACCCAAAGTTCGCGGGCAGAGATTGGCAAACGGTCAAGGTCAATGAGTTGACAAACCCCGAAGATCTAAGATTTGTTGACATTGACACTGGTGTTGAGGCTGCTACCAAGGTTGGTTCTTCCTGTCACACCTCTCGCCTTCTGACACTGACTCATTGAAGCTCCTGATCGAATCCGGCGCCCCGGTTGTCCTCATACGAGAACGCGAAGGTTCGCCAGTCATCGGCACATTCGATGCCAGAGACCTCAATGCCTACCTACTCCTTGTCGTTGGCCTTTCCCATCCTGACGACGAACATGCGCACGATTTTCTTGAACTCGCTAAACGGGCACGGGAGGGCAAACCAATTCCCCTTCGAGAAATCCAAGACTTGAGCAAGAAGGAGCCCTTGACGTTCCTGGACGAAGATGCCGACTTGGTCAAAGCCATTGAGACTTTCGGCAAAGGAGTCCATCGTGCTGTCGTTAGAAATCCTGAAACCCAACAAGTTACTGGTGTGCTCAGTCAGACTCGCCTCATCCGTTTCCTGTGGGAAAACGGTAGAAGCTTCCCGGTGTTGGATCAACTCTACAGCCAGCATTTGAGAGATCTCAAAATCGGGTCAAATAATGTCATCTCTATCAAGTAAGTCCTTTTCTCCCCACCCACATTGTACACTCTTTCATAACAAATTACAGTGGTGATCGTCCACTCGCCGAAGCCCTAACCCTTCTTCTGAATGAAGGCGTCTCCTCCTTGGCTGTGGTAGACCACAACCACAACGTCGTGGGCAATATCTCGAATGTGGATGTCAAACTCTTGACAAAGTCCTCGTCTCTCCCTCTCCTCCGAAACACCTGTATCCACTTCATCACCGTCATCCTTTCCACCCGAGGCATGTACGAAGGAAAGGATTCCTTCCCCGTGTTCCACGTCACTCCGCTCTCGACGCTTGCCCACACGGTCGCCAAACTCGTCGCCACAAAATCCCACCGTATGTGGATTACCGAGCCAGTCTCCCCCGTTTCTTCTGGCCCTCCCACCCCATCTCTCCACACGGCAACCCTCGCCCCTACGTCGAGCCACTCGTCGGCCATCTCAAGCGGCAGCGGCCAACATCCTGCGGGTGCTCCATACGCCACTTCGGCACCACCAGCACCCGATCCATTCTCGCACAGTGTGGTCGACACTTCACATAAAGCCCCAATGATTTCCCCGTCAGGGCCATCCATTTCCGCCTCAGCCCTTCCCGGAGCTCGCATCTCTGGCCGCCTCGTCGGAGTGGTGAGTCTGACAGATATTCTCATCCTTCTCGCCCGGGCTGGAGGCTTATCCAACATCGATCCGGCCGAGCTACGCAATCGAAGACGGAGAAGCAGTTCGAGTAGTATGCGACGAAGCTTCGACCTAACACAACGTCCTTCAGCCAGTCAGCTGGCAAACAGTGCCGAACTGAACCGGAAGCCGAGCCAGTCGGGCAGCTTGCGCGAGAAATAGAACGAGGTAGCTGCCAGTTGGCCATCGGTAAAAAACAAACAAATCAGCAGATTCCCTCAGCCATGGATGGGTACACTGGTTTCACTTTGTCGAGCCCGATTTTCTGGTCGGTTCAACGTTTTGGCGGATTGAAACGTATTGCGTCGCGGCAGCGGCATTGTCAAGTGAGACAGGGTCCCAGATACATTTCTTTGGTCGCCGAGTTTTGTTCCAGCGGTGTCGTACTGTGTCAAACCACCATGCGGAGAATCACCCAAGGGTGCGGAACTTGATGGGAGGCTTGACATCTTGATGGCTTAGCCATTCTCCTCGTCCGCTTTCTTCTCTCTCCTTTCACTCTACGGCCGACTCTTTGGGGATTGCGTTCTGGGTATGGAGTACCAAGACACAGGTGTGCATGGGTACAAAATGCAGCCACCAAAGTCCTATCGCGCAGGATATGGCTGGTGGTATGGATAAGGTGATTCCAAATTCTGGGACAGGGTAGAAAGGCACGTATTAGAATAAGATCTATTTAGTGATAAGCTTCTTTTTTGGTTTGACTCGTGGTGAGAGATGACATTTGCCCTCATGAATACATACTATGAATTAGAATTAGGTCGTAATCACGTAGGCAGATGGCCAACGTAAAAAGATTACTGTTTAAGAAAAAAATCAAAAATGGGGAAAAAAGAGGAGTGATTTTATTTCTCAACTCATCTCGATTTCGAGATAGAGATGAAGAGTAACTAGGTACCTGCCCGATACATGAGACTGGCTCAGATTTATTCCAATGGTATGATGCGCGCAAGGCGCAACTCCACCAGAATCCAGAATCAAATCATAGACCATCATATGACCATGTCCTTTCGCAATGAACATTTCTGCACATGCAAGCTCGGTACAGGTCGTACAAGACATCAGGACATCAGGACATACAGCTCGACATCGAAACTCCAAAAACCCTTTTTTGAATTTTATATTCCACCGGCCAATATACCGACCCATGCATGAATAACATGGGTATCTCCTTCATTCAAGAAAACAAAGTCCCCGGGTGTTGGGATGTGGTGGTCAGATTGCAGGTTCCCTGGGATGCAGACGGTGTCTCCATGATCTCGGGACACTTGACCGATTAAGTAGAGAAATTACCGTAAGCCAGTTCAGATAGACAAGTCGTTTGTGGTTGGTGGCCAAACGCCGGCGTCCCAAATCGAATAGCATCGTGTCTCGTTGCTGGGTGAGAAAAACTACAGTGACGAAAAGTCAAATGTCCGCTATGGGACGGGTGTTCCCTTTGAAGAGATTCAAAGTCCGAAAAAATAACTGGACTGTTGGTCTGTCGAAATCTCGCTGGAGGTTAAGACGCGCCGTTGTCATCGCACGTGTTCAGTGATGAAAGTGATGAATGTGAATTGTGTTTGGTTTTTAAATGGCAGGCACATCAACGCTGTGGTCAGAATTTGCACCACCGCCTCCAGTAATGTTATGGTCGTCGTCCCAGGAGCCATCGATGACGAAATTGTCCCAGAAACCTTCACCTGCAGGAGTGGCTTGACCAGACTTTGAAAAGCCTTGGAAGCTATTCTCTCGCGACATATCAAAATTCAAGGGCTTTGAATCTTGACTAAAATTGAAGTCAATGCCAGTTGAAGGGGGAAGAGTGGTCTCTGGAGATGTTGATGTAGAGACATGATTGGCAGGCATTCCATGCTCAGTTTTAGCCTGCTGGGGTACCCCCGAGGTCATGGCATTTTGATCCAGCACGGCAGGAGCCAGGGTAGCCGACATGCCTTGCCATGCTGATGGATGAACGGGCATACCCTTGACACCTCCGCCACCATGTTGCATATCCGGCCAAGGATAGAATGGTGAAGAGGTAAATTGGTCAGAGCCTTGCATCAGCATGGCATAGGAAGGGTCGTTATGATCCAATTGAGGGGCATAAGCCAACATCTGCTGGGTCTCAGGAGGAAGAGACGTAGTGAATGGACCCATATCCTGCCAGAGAGGTGGGAATTGTCCATTCTGTGAGGGATGCCCAGGCTCTGTTTTGATGCCGTCTGCGTTTCCAGAAGAGCCATCCACGGTGGGAATTGCTGGTGTCGACATTCGCCGGGGATCAGTGGGTGAAGGATGGTGAGGAAGAGGAGGAGACATTGGGTTCTGGGAATGGTTCGGTAATGAAGCCATTGAATAAGCTCTTTGGTGTGATTGACGGAAGCCGGGTTGATGAGGCGAGGGATATGGTGCGGAGCGGAAGGAAGTTGTAGGAGAATGTGTCATCGGGTTTGACTGTTGAGGCATCATGGGGGATTGGTACATGTTGGGAGCGGCTTGCTGATAGGGTGTGCTGGGGAACTGTGCATATGGATTCTGGGCCATTTGTCCCATCATGCTGCGAACTGCGACTTGCTGTGTCAAGTAGGCAGCCAGCCTTCGGTTGAAGTCGGCAGAACCAGTCTGAAGATGTGCTGTAAGTCGTCGATAGTGCATGGGCAGGTCATCGTCCTCCTCCTCATACATCTCCTCGTTGATAACATCCTGTTCAGTGACACGGAGCGAGCGGCCGGTTCTGCGTTTATGGATTTCAGACGCTCGACGAGCGGACTCAACACGAGCCTCTAGACTTCGGTCACTCCTTCTTGAGGCAGCAATATATGCTCTAAGTGGTATTAGCTAGTGTATATTAGGACGAGAGATGCAGGAGAGTTTACCTCTCTTGGTTTTCCTCGTGAGTGCGCTCGGTTTTGATGGCCTTTGCCGGCGGAGTGGTTCGCATCGGAGGCATTATAGCGCCTCAGGTAATATAAATGAATACAATGAGACAAAGTGCCCGTTTTGACAGTGTTTGTGGTCCGGAATTTGGGTCGAACTCGAAACAAAGGATCTCACAGGAAGACAAGTCGAAGTGGCGATATGGATATATGCCGTAGTACAAGGCGATATGACAAGAAACGGTGATAACAGACCACAATGAGAGATCAGAGTGGCTTATGGAGAGAACATGGCGACTGTTGAAGAACAGTCGAGGACGTAGAAAGATTGTGTGAAGAGGAACAACAGAGGTGGCGACAGGTCCAACAAGGGCTATGGCAAGGGAAATAGGGTCGGAATTCAACGCCAGAGGAGGGGAGGAGGTGGTACGAATTGGGCCAAGAGCGAGCAAGATTGAAAACAGTGGAAACGAACGTGGGAAAGGAGGATACGAGATCTGAGCGGTTCAAGCACGGGTGGATCTAAAGGTAGAGGGAAATGTCATTGGGGAGGGAGGAATAGCGTCGATCGCCGGGTATGGGTTACAAGGTGATCCCAGATCTGTCCAAGTGGGCAGTGGAGTGGCATGGATGGTGGTGGTGGATGGTGGATTGGATCATGGGAGGAGGACAGGTGAGAGGTGGAAGAGAGGATGGAAGGCAAAGACAGTTGGAGTTCTGGTGGGATTGGGACCAACGACCGATTGGTGGGAAACTGAGGTCTTTGAGGCCTTAGGAGCTTGGTTCGGCCGCGTACGAGTTCCATCGAATCGGAGAAAGACGAGGGAGTAGAATGTAGAAAGCAACAGAGCTGCCAGGTGTGTTTGAAGGCTTTGAGCCGGCACGCGTCAAACGCCAGGTGCCAAAACGCCCAGGTGCTGCTGCTGATGGTTAAACACAAGCACAACGGGTGGAAGAGCAACCTTCTAACCTTCCAACCTTCCAACCTTGCCTGCCTAAGGCACTTGCCTTGGGACTAGGGCCGAGGGGCCACAGTGGCCGCGTTTGTTTGGTCCCTACCTAGTTAGGCTGACAGTAGTAGTGGATGTGCTTGCTGGCTGAATGGCTCATCCGTTGAGCCCCGAGTCAGTCCATCTTCTGTTCAATACCTTAATTCAGTAGGTAGGTACCTCCCAATGCAGAGATGAAAAGGTTAAAATTGGGGATGCCTGGAAAAGACCAAGCTTACGCCAGTCTTGAACGGGAAGGAGGCCAGCGATTAGGTTAGGGCTGCATGTAGGCGAGGCATGGGTTGTGACGATCGCGAAGCAGAGCCTACTCGCGCATGTTTCGGGGGGGACCAATAACCCGTGGCAAGCAGAGATGTCTGCCTACAGCGTTTTGACACAGCCTCCATGCCTCCTCAATCATTCCAAATGCCAATTGGCGATCATGCTCATCTTCACCTTCAACCATGCCCTTGCGAGTCAACTTTTTTTAAGTCACAAGTCATCCCTGAATACCCTGGCCAGAATAGGTACTCCGTAGGTTCTGAAGCACTCGGATGGTACTATTTCCTCTCCACTTTCCCAGAGCTACCATATCTTCGTTCCTCGGTACGACGAAGGTACCCAAAACTACGCACTATCTAACCATTATATGTTGACAACTGAAACGCCTTGACCTTTCTATACCAGTGTTTTTCGGTACTATCGCCGATCACGAACGATCGATCAAGAACACCCAGAGAATTGGGATTGAAATTGGGATACAGTCAGTCCTAGAAAACGCCGCCGAGTGATTTCTCCATTTCGGCTTTCCTGGGCGTTTGTTGCGGCGGTGTTCCAAAGTCTGTCTACCTGCCAACTCAAACTCAATCCCTGACCTGTCAAGTATGGTCGAGGGTCTGTGCGTTTGCGGGATCTGGTTCACATGTCCATCTTGACTGTTTTGGTTTTAGTGTCAGATTTTAGTGTGGATCGGTTATCGAGCCGGTCAACGGCTGTACGGAGTATTTGGAGTTCAATTCAGACCGGCGACCATACCACGACCACGCTACCTTTCCACTCCTCAACCCCTTATGCGGCGCTGCTGAATAATAAGTTTAAATCCATAGATCGGTACTTAGTATGACGTTAAACTTGTGCCTCAATTAATTGTGGCGCACATTTGTCTTAGTCGAATATACCTGACGATCGATCGCTAATCGCATGCACACCACACGAGGGCAGCACACGAGAATCCCCGGAAGAACAATATGCATGCCATAGCCGAAAAAGTCAGTCCTGTCAAATTGCATGAGCGCAAAGGACAACTGTTGCAATTTAGTTTGTACAAAAGCACGGTTCGTACGAATGAAAGGTAATTAATTACACTCAGCGTAGAACACGTGCATGAACCTGGGATGATGTATGGTAAAGCAGGTAGCAAGGAAGTGAGAAAAGAGACTTTGGATTGTTATTTTTGTTACTAGTCAGGTTCCAGGTAAAAATTTAGGGTTTGTTAAGGTCTGGGTCTCATGTTCTGGAAGCCGTGAATGGGATCATGAAGGTTGCGAACTTGCATGAGGAAGGGTATGGTAGAGGGGTACATACCTATACCTTCGCAAGGAAAGGAAAGGTATGGACTTGAATTTCCTCAGTCATACTGTGGTCCAGATTGGATCTCTGCCTAATGCCCCTATACAAGGTAGCCTACAGAACCATAGGAGGACCTATACCTTCAGAGCAACAGTGCCTTAGGCACCATCTCCAAGGTAAGTACCCACAATGACACAAGTGTCGCGCACTGTTCATCATCTACCACGTCCGCACAATATCCAAAGTTTCGAGTTGTCTTGTCAGTGACAATCAAATTGCCCACCGTGCCAACCATGCTATGGGAATTGGGGTAGCATCTAGCAAAGCTCCTTGAAGCCAGGAGAGGCTCATTTGGAATTACCATGATGACGAAGCAGCGTCATCCCCATTGTCAATGCCATCCCCATCACTTGAGCCGCTGAAGGCTCGTTTCAAGATGCCCATCCTTCCATCGCCATCACTCTGTCTCATCTCCTCTCCCCCCAGAACGGATGCCTCCACCCTAGCATCAATGTCCCCTGTCCCCTGTCCCCGTCTCCGCATCATCGTATTCACCACCCGCATGGACGGTTTGCCTCTCGTCCTATGTCCACGGATATATGTTCCTGAATTCCTTCCTCTCCACAATGCCGTAAGGTATGTACGTAGACTATTTCGTCAACTGTCGATACATGGGTCTTGCTTTTTTTATCACAGCATGACCATGGAGATCTGCCAACACATATATGAATTAGGGAGGTACTCAAGAAGAGATATGGATCTCCCTGCGTTGCCACCTCAACCCTTGGGACCGCCGATCTCACGGATCTACTTGCCGGAGATCGATCGATCTTGACAGAACGTTGCTCTCCTATCCGAGAGTCTTTCCGAACAAATCACCATCGAATATCTGAGCAGATCCTCTTGGGGTTTGAGGCTAAAAGATCTTATGTTGTGTGGTAAGGTTGTGGAGGAGAATTCCTCAGAGGTTGCTAAATGATGTGTCATTGGGATTCAAGCTGATTTGCTGTTGCTTTCGTCGTACGTGTTTCTGCTCCTTCCTCTTGTCATTTTCTAATGCCATGGCCCCTTCCACGCTTGGGAGAAGTCGCATCTTGCCGTCTGTATCATCTGCATGACCAACTTTGCCTCTTCCAGGCTCGTCATCAGGTTTCTTTTATCGTTCAGGATGTCACAAGAGGTTGATGGTATGCCCCTGCCCTGTCGGCGTCACGTTATGATTCCCCCATTATAACACGCAGAATTCGTGTCATCAACCCCATTCATTTTATCAATCGTGACGCCAATTCATCATCGACCCGAATTTGCTCTATTACACGCATCTTCAAGGTCCATCTATCACGGGGAACAGCACTAGCTTGATACACAAATGCTCATATCTCATTGAATCTCCAGCGACGGTACAGTTCCCTGTTCCTCTTGAGGAAACCCGTTCAACTCATATGACACCTTGAACCTCATCTTGACCACATTGCCTTTACCCTCTGGCACTCCGTTGAGGATGATATCCTGCTGCACTGCGTTTTGTGACTTGGGTGGCAACTCTCGTCCGCTCTGAGGCTTCAATTGAAGCGTATACGCTTTCTCCACAGCAACCTGGAAATGCAATCCCGTGATCCGTTGATGTGTCGTATTGCCAAATCGTGCGGTGATCTGGATCACATTTTGACCTGGTACTCGACGTGGCTCAAACTCGATCTTGATAGACGAACTATGCACTTGAATGGTTCTCGTTGGCGGTAACGCAGATTCAAACTGCCACTCATCTTCTGTCGCTGCAGGCGCTGTAACGGTCTGTCTGGCCGCTGCAGATTGCGCCCCGGGCTGTGGAGTTCCGGCCAAGCGAGGCGTTGCAGGACGAGAACTGGATGACACTAGAGCCGCAAACGGGTCAATGTGCGACTGCGTTGCTGGCCGCTGCTGTGGCGGCTGTGTTGTTGGGGGCGGTCCAGGGGTTGCTGGCTTTGACGAAGGAAGGGCACTCGTCAGTGACGCAAAGGCGTCGTAGTTTGGCTTGGGTGAGGCTTGACTTGCTGGAGCTGGCGAATATGACGGTGGCGGCGCGGCTTTAGGTGTGCTTGCAAAGATCGAACCAGCTGCGAACCCTGAGCCTGTGCTTGGTCCGAGGGAGATGGTGCCGAGAGGACCCGACGATGTGTCGTCAAGGGACAGTCCGAGCAAGTCATCTTGGACCGTGGTTGTTTTGGCAGCAGCCGTTGAGGAATCTGTGCTATCCAGAAGCGAGCCGCCATTAGTGTTAGAGGTGGACGACGTGGCCACTGGCGGCTCTGGGTCAAAATCGATGAGTGAGAGCTCGTTTGCGGCATTCTTCCCAACTCCAGTCTTGGTCCCAAGGGTTCCTTTCTCGATTCTGTTGGCGCCATCCACGTCACCAGCCTTCATCAACTTGTACCTCTCGATCGTTCGGTGTATACTGTCATTGATTTCGAGCAATTTATTCACAGCTTCTGCATCGTCGGATTCCTCCTCGCACATCTTTTGAATCTTGGGATGCGCACTAGACAGTGCCGCTGCGAGTTCCTGTGTGACATGTTAGCATAACTGCAGTGTCCCCTCGCCATGCGCAACGGTGGCCTACCCCGAAAACATCGCCATCCTCGATCTTGTCCCCAGGCCTCTGATTTTGCAGCATTTCCTCGAGGATTTTAGCCTTTTGCTGGACTTTGGCCACCTCTTCTGCGGCTTTGGCTCGGTAGTCGGTCTTGTGCCTTGTATCGTAACCTGCCATGACTTTCATTAATCTGTTGGCTTCTTGAAGATCTTGAGGACGACCGCGCCGAATCAGCTCTTGTAGTTTTGCCGACTGCGCCGCCCGGTCTTCCTCCTCCATCTCTTCCGCAGACTGAAGATTCTAGGCAATGTCAGCAAGCGCCGAGGCAGGCTGTGAACAGCACACATACATCACTGGGGTTGAGGACAGCAGCATCCTCCCTGCGAACCTCGGGAAACATGTAACCTTTGTAAAGCAACAGTCTGTGCATGTCTCTGATAAAGCCGAGATCTTCCTTATACCTCGATGTCTGGCAAATCGTTTGGCGCCATTCTTCGATCGCCTCCAAAATCTTTGCCTGAACCCGACTCGGACGGATGGGCGGGCGCTCTGGGAAACGACGAACAAGTTCATTGAGGAACTCCTTGGTGCTGATCTGTAGGTGGAAAGGATAGCCGCAGTTCTTGACACAGATGTCGAGGAGAGCTAAGGCCAAGAGGGAGACGTTGGGATTTCGGTGGTTGATAAGTTGGACAATGGTGACTGCGGCCTCGCGAGGGGCGTTGCCTTTTTTCGAGTTTATCAGGTCGACAATCTCGAGGTTTATTGCGAGATTCGGCTCCAAATTAGCCATTGGGTCGCAGGCATTGTATATGAACCTCTGCAGGTTCGATCGAGGCGGGGCAAACCCGTCGAATTGATTCCGGGAGGCCATCCTCGCCGATGCTGCCTCCATGACATGTGTGAGGGGGCAAGGTAGGTGGAGGGGTCTTCGAGGGTATCAGCAGTGTAGCCGCAGGTTGGCTTGGGTAAGACGACGTGTCCGGAGGATATCTGAGAGTGGATGTCGGACGACCAGGCTTCCGCCTCTTATTGACCACCGCACACCAGATTTTGGGAGGGAGAAGGTTGATGGCTTTGTGGTGTTAGCAGATACGAGTGGTAAGTAGTGGGACACTAGCTGGATGCTCAGTGCAGTTGAGTTGGTTAGGGTGTAAGGCTAGCAAGATGCTCGTACCCGGCACAGTGACTCTGCATACTGTGTACAAACGCAGATTCATGGGAATGGGAATCGGTGGTCGCTGCGCCGCCCAGACCAATTCTTCCTAGGGAGTCACTCCAGGCAGGCACATAACATGCAAATCGTGGCTGGTGTGGCTGATGGGGGGTAAATTGTTACGCCTAAAGAGAGAAGGAAGGGTCTCGCTGGCCTTGGCGATGGAATGGTCCTGCCTGCAACGACATGAATACAACAACCACAATGGTTCCTTCCCATGTAGGTACTCAGAGACATTTATTGTTGCTGCCTTGAGATTGTCCCATTCACACCTGATAACTCGCAGTCAGTCCACTCACTCACTCACTCACTCCCTCCTCCCATAGCCCGTCCATACCCGCTACTGTATATCTTCTTTCTGCTCCGAGTTCCACCATAAAAGGAAATGTAGATATAAACGCTTCGGCGTGAAACGAAAAGCGTTCTGACCAGGGCTTCACACTCCAAAGGAAAATAGATCGTATCAAGAGAGCCTTGGATCACACTTTCATCGCTGCCAAAAGAATTGTGACTTTACTTCTTGTCCATCTACTGTACGCTCAATCTCCAAAATGCCTGCATGAATCAAACGCCAGAATATGTGCATATTGGTACGCCGTCAACAACGCCATGCGTATGCTAGCCCTGTCATTTTCAGTCAAGCACTTCTAGTCAGCCGCAATCACCATCCTCAATAGTCCTATTCCACACTTAATCTCCGCAACATCACCGGTGTCGATGGGGACTTGCGAAGCCTCCACCACTTCTCAAAGCTGGTGGCACCGGTAGCTCCTTCAGGGGAGGCGCCGGTAGAGGCCCGGTGGGAGGAGGCTGCCGAATCGCAAGTGCGGGACTTATCAACGGATTTCGGTTGCTCGCTATCGAGTTACTTGAACTCGTGCGTGGTGGAAACATTGGCCGTTGCGAAGGCTCAATTGCCGACGCAGGTTCGGGGATGTTGTCCCTGTTGTCGTATCCGAGTCGATTTGAACGTGGTCCAAGAGGATTAGGAGAGTCCCGAGTCTCCAGAGACAGGTGCTGGAGTGAGAGAGGAGGTGGCGGTGATCTTTCAACAATCCCAGTAGGCGTGAACTGAGATGTCGTGGTCATGGCAAACTGAGGCCCAGCCACGGGAATGTTGCCCGACGTGGGACTGGTGTATTTCCTCGCTGTTACTGGCGTGCCGCGAACGTCACCCGTGAAAGAGGGTGTCGATGTGGCAGATGTCGCATACGAGGAATCCGATGTCGTCCCGTCACTTTTGAGCGACTTAGGCGCTGGGGGTGCGAGGTATGACTTCCGGTTATGACGATCCATCATTGACACAGCCCATTCTTGTAAATCGACCGGTGTTCGCTTCGCTGCCTGCAAGAAGTTGTCTTGGTCGTATAGCTCTCGGGGCGTTGGTCGTTCGTCGGGGCTCTTTAACAAGCATTTGGCCACAAAGTCTTCCAAGATGCTTGGGAATGCTTCGCTCTTGGGCAGCTTCGGCGCCGGCTCATGTACAATTTGTTGGAGAAGGTCAAGGATGCCCATTGGACCAGCACTCGCTCGGTCTCCAGCAGCAGAATCGTTGGAATCAAAAGGAAATCTTCCAATGGCAAGTTCCATGACAGTCAATCCAACACTCCACACATCTGACTTGATCGAATATGCACCGCCCTGAATCCGTTCGGGGGCCATGTAGGTGGATGTCCCAACAAACGTGTTGGCAACCGAGTTGACGGTTTCGGTGGCAACACCAAAGTCACACAGTTTGATGCTACCTCTCGAGTTGACCAGGACATTGGATGGTTTGATATCTCGATGCATGATACGGTGGGCTTCGTAGAGATAGACCAGACCTCCCAGAATGGATTCCGTGATTTTTCCAAGAACGTCCACGCGGATGGGCCCGAAGTCCCTCGATATCCGGTCCAAAGATCTGTCGACACATCAGTCATGCCAGACGAAGTCCAGTTTCGGCCAACTTACCCGCAGTCCATGTATTCCATACAAAGCACAATGTCACGAGCCTCGTTCTGGAAAGCTCCGTAGAACGTAATGACGTACGGGGACGAGCAATCATGTCCCACTTGCAGTTCTCTCACAATCTGTTTCCGGACATTCTCTTTGGCATCTACTCTGATGATCTGCCATACCTTAGTCAAGCTGGTCATCACATGGATCCGGGTTGCTTACCTTCCGTGCCATGATCACCTTCGTGGAGGCATGCATGACCTTACTAACTGTTCCTCCATTTCCTGCACCCAGTTCTTTGAGCACCACAAGATCTTCACTTCTCAGGTCGAGTTTGAATTCCAACCCGATCTCCAAGGTATCCGTACGATCACTCTCGGTGTTCCCCAAGGCTCCAGGAATTTGGGAATCGCCATCTGAAGGAGCAGCTCGGGGAGCTGGGGCATTCAGGGCCAAGCCTTTGACATTCTTCCTCTTCAGGGTGCGGGCCTTGAAAGGGTCGGACATGGTAAAGGAGGTGGCAAGGGAGGAGGAGGTTGGAAGTTGGACAGCCAATTTAGAAGTGCAACAAAAAGATGCACCACAATAGCTATAGAAGGATTGTGTCAGGATATCGTTGGGACAAAGGCAACGTAAAAAGGGCGGCTAATTCAGGCCACTGATGCTGTGAAGGTGCAATCCATCAGGCGCCGGAGAGGCGTTACGATGGCAAGCGATGGAAGGCGACAGGCTGCGGACGCAGGCGAGGAATGACGGGTATACCTAGGAAGGGGGGTGGTGATGGCAATGGTATTTTGGCTGTTGTTGGAGAAAAGCTGCGGTGCCACGATGAGGAGGATCTTTATCGAAGCAGGAGCATGCAAGCGGTGGCTAGACGAACGGGTAGGTATTGAAGGTGCTAGTAGGGTGTCCTCTGAGACTGAGTCAAGTTGTTGGAGATTGTGGATTGTGAAACTGGAGGGGAATGTTTGAGGCGCCAGATAGGGGCCAAGTATGGAGTACCAGTGGTTCGCATGTAGCATGTAACAGGGCTTCAGCACTGCTCAAGACTGCGTTGTTTGAATGTGAAAGCACAGCAACAGCCTCCGGTAATTCGTCAAAGATGGATCCAGGTTTATTGCATCAGGCAATGATTCAACCCCAATTCACCAATCCATGAGAGGCTGGTCCAAGTGAAAGCGCCTAATGGAATATTCTTTGTCGCTGAGTGAATGAGATGCCTGGCCTAGACGCCGTAGTACGACGCACTCCGTTCTGGGAAAGGTATGGAAAGTTGGAGGCAAGAGCAAGGGTGGGGGCCCAACGCGTCCATCACGTGAATGAACATACTCCGTAAATATGTATCGTATATCGTACAGAGTAGCTGTGAAGCCTCGGATGTGGATTAACTCTAATCCGAGAGATGAAGATTTAGGTCGGATCATTGTGGGATTTCATGTAAGTTACGGTGGAGTAGTACACGTGTTTGTCCGACATGCATTCTCGCGCCGAATCCAGAAACTTTGGCGAATTTCGAGTTGGACTCTCATACAACAATTGTCCTGCCAGATCAAGTGTTTCCTTTCTGTCCCTGCGCCTCTCCCTCCTTCAACCTCTCGCCATCTCCTCCTATCCCTTGGTTCCTCGTGGTTGGATTCACAGTACTCGATCCATCATCACTCCAAGAACCGGTCCTCTACTCTCCCCCAGACCGTCAACATGTCTCGAAATTTCATAGAGGACACAGCCGAAGTGGATGATGATGAAAACGAAGATTCCTTCGATGAAGAAACTGGCGAAGTGCGCGAACATTCCAACAGAGACAGGAAACACTTTGATGATTCCTCAGAAGACGACGATGACGATGACGACGAGGAGGCAGCTGCAGAGGTACAGTTTTCCTCAGCCCTTATCCTCTTTGTCTATCTCTCGCTAACGTGTACCAGGTCGCCGAAGGCTTCATTGTCGACGAAGACGAAGACGAAGACGATGTTGCCAGGCGCGAGAGAAAACGCGAACGCCGGAAACGACGACGAGAAGAACGTGATCGAGAAGACGAAAACCTCGACGAAGAAGATCTCGAACTCATCGGTCTAAAACCCGCCGAAGATACGACAGAGCCCAAATTCAAGCGCCTCAAGCGAGGTCCAAGAGAAGATCGTGAGACAAAACGCTCATATGGCCTCAATGATATGTTCCGCGACAATTCAGACGAAGAGGACGATGTCATCGAGTACAGACGCGCCGAGAGAACCGACCGAAGAGGCGCTCAGGACGAATTCGATGATTTCATCGAAGAAGATGTTTTCTCGGACGACGAACATCAACGCCAGCGCGAGGATGAAGAGGTCGCCCGATCCACACGACGTGGCCTTCCCGATCTAGGCATCGCCGATGCTGCCGGCCTTGACGAAGCCGCCCTCGAAGACTTCCGAGCCGCTTTTGGTGACGGCACCGACTACGACTTCGCTCTCGAGAAGGAATTAGAAGCTGATGAAGAGGAGGCTCAGAAGGACAAACATCTCGACCTGAAAGACGTCTTCGAGCCCTCTCAGCTCGCAGAGCGCTTGTTGACGGATGAGGACAACCTCATCAGGTTTACCGACGAACCGGAGCGCCATCAGATTGCCCGCAAACCTTACAAGCACGTCGAGCTCACGGATGAAGAATTCAAGGAAGAGTCCTCCTGGATCTCGAAGCTCATGCTGCCTGCGAAACAATTCCCATCGGAGCTCCATGAACCATTTAAACAAGCTGTGGCACAGGTTTTGGAATTCATGGTCAGAGATGATTTCGAACCACCATTCATCCTGTCAAACCGCAAAGATTATCTACTCCATGTCGTTCAGAGAGTGGTTGGCAGAGATGATGATCGCCGCACCACATCCGAGGCCACCAGACTCCTCCAGCAACGGGATCTTTGGCAGATATTTGAACAAGACCTCAAATTTCGAGCCCTAATCGAAAAGCGACAAGCCATGAGAAAACTCTATGGAGACCTGCGATCCGCAAATGTACAGGAAGATCAGACCTTTGAAGAGATGTTGCCTTTGGCGGCGACCATGGAAGAATTGCAGGATCTACAAGACTACCTGCATTTCCAGTATGGATCCCAGCTTAAAGATCTCGCATTGACCTCGAATGGCGAGACCAACGGGATCAACATGTCTCAAAAGAAAGCATCCACTCGGTCTGTCTTTGAGGAGATCCGGGCTGCAAAGGCCTATGGGCTTGTTCGCGGGTTTGGAATTACAGCAGACGCTTTTGCGCAGAATGCTTCCCGTGAAGGCGTGAGGACGTATACGGAAGATCCCACCGACAATCCCGAGAGCATGGCAGACTCCATGGTCGACGACGAATTCTCCACAGGAACTCAAGTGCTCAAAGCTGGACGGTCGATGTTCATCGAAGAACTCGTCACCAGCCCCAGATTCCGAGGCCTCATCAGAAAGAATGTCTACATTCAAGGCGTCATTGACTGCCATCGTACGGAAAAGGGCCTGAGAAAAATTGATGAGCAGCACCCATACTACGAATTCAAATACTTACGGAACCAGGACTTTGGAAGCTTTTTCCAGCAGCCAGAACTTTTCCTGAAAATGCTCAAAGCCGAGGAAGAGGGCCTGATCGAGATCCGAGTTCGACTCCAGGCGATTGATACATACAAGAAGCAGCTGTATAAGCACATTGAGACAGACAACTATTCCACCATCGCAGACGCTTGGAATGCTGAACGCCGAGACGCCGTTTCAATTGCCGTCGACCGCGTCATGAAACTCATGGCACGATTGGTCAAAGAAAATCTCAAGGAGCAATGTGAAAATAACATTGGTAATGAATGCCGGGAAGAGTTCAACCAACGTCTTGACCAGGCTCCGTATCAACCACGCGGGATGAAGAAGGGTACCACACCTCGTGTGCTAACTCTAAGCAATGGAGGTGGCACACCGGGGCGCGACTATGTCTTCTGGGCGTACGTTAATGACGATGGCAGAGTCTTAGAACATGGTCGATACAAAGACCTTAGTCCCGGGGATAGTGAAAAGGGCATTGCCGATGGCAAAAATGTTGCGGAACTCGTCGAAGTCATCCGCCGCCGAGAGCCTGAAATTATTGGAGTGTCAGGCTGGTGTCCCGATGTCCGCAAGCTTCACTCCAACATCGTGGCCTTGGTCAAGAACCATGATCTCCGTGGACCTGTCTACACCACTGAGGACGACCGCGACGAGAGTGATTTGCTCGAAGTCCTCATTGTCAATGACGAGGTTGCGCGAATGTACCAGAACAGCGACCGAGCCAAAACCGATCACCCAGGGTTTCCAACACTAGCGCTATACTGCGTTGCTCTGGCTCGATACATACAAGATCCACTCAAGGAGTATGCCGCTGTTGGTCGCGACCTTGTTTCTGTCAACTTCCACCCTGGGCAGAACCTCCTTCCCCAAGAGAAACTTTGGAGAAAGCTAGAGATGGCCTTGGTTGACAATGTCAACATGGTTGGTGTTGATGTTAATGAAGCAACAAGTGATCCAGCCATTGCTAACCTCCTGCCCTACGTCTGTGGCCTAGGTCCACGTAAAGCCTCCCATCTGTTGAAGGTCATGAACCTCAATGGTGGATCAATCTCCACCAGAGAAGATCTACTAGGCCTCAACGATGCTCACCAGGCGATGGGGTTGAAGGTATGGAACAACGCCGCGGCTACGCTCTATATCGAATTCGACAAGCAAGAGCCCACATCAGAATACCTTGACGGAACACGTATCCATCCTGAAGACTACGATATTGCACGGAAAATGGCTGCTGATGCGCTGGAGTTGGACGAGGAGGACATTGAGGCGGAACGCCAGGAGGGCGGGTCGGCTGCAATTGTTCGCCGCTTGATCAATGAGGATGCACAAGATCGCGTCAACGATCTTGTTCTGGAGGAATATGCCGAACAGTTGGAGACCAACTTGAATTCCAAGAAGAGGTCGACGCTCGAAACAATCCGCGCTGAACTCATCGAACCCTACGAAGAACTTCGAAACTCATTCCGCAGCAATCTTGGGGAGTCTGAAATCTTTACGATGCTCACGGGCGAAACCCGGGATTCTCTCCAACGAGGAATGAACGTCCCTGTGGTTCTCAAACGAGTGACTGATAATTTTGTGGAGGGCAAGCTGGACTCTGGCCTGGATGCCGTCATCGACACGGAGCAGTTTGTGGAAAGTGGCATATCGCCCAAGCAACTGTACACGATTCACCAAGCGGTACAGGGACATATCACGTCTATCAACCGAAAGGACTTTAGCGTCATGGTGAGCTTACGAGAAGATGACATCAAGACGCCCTTCCAAAGATCCAACCACCATGAACGCAACTACGATGAATGGGACGACCGCGAGGAGGCGGCGGATAAGAAACTGCTCCAGGAAAAGAGTGAGTCAGGCAACCGAGTTACGCGGGTGATCAAACATCGATTCTTCCGACCATTCAACTCCAAGCAGGCCGAGGAGTATCTGGGCAGTCAGAATCGGGGTGATGTGGTAATTCGACCATCGTCCAAAGGTTCAGATCACTTGGCTGTGACATGGAAAGTGGCGGACGGCATCTTCCAGCATATCGACGTGCTCGAGCTGGACAAGGAGAACGAGTTTGCTCTAGGCAAGACGTTGCGAGTTGGAGGCCGTTACAATTACTCGGATCTCGATGAGTTGATCGCTCTACACGTGGAGAATATGGCGAAAAAGGTGGATGAAATGACTGGTCACGAAAAGTTCCAGGACAAGTCGAAATCAGCGCTCGGTAAGTGAACACCAGAGGAGGACGTGAGGTCTCGAACTTTGCTAACATTGTGTTTTAGAGGAGTGGCTGACCACGTACACCAACGCCAATCCCAAGCGATCCATGTACCAATTCTGCCTCAACCGCGAACGACCAGGCTCATTCCACCTGGTTTTCAAAGCTGGCCAAAATGCGAAGCTGCAAGACTGGCCAGTCAAGGTGATTCCATCAGGATTTGAACTGATGAGACAACCATACCCTACAATGCGGGATCTATGTAATGGTTTCAAGTTGATTTTCCAAAACATGCAACAGTCGCATGCCATCACTAGTCGCGGTGGTAGGAGATGAAAAGGAGAGGGCATAGGGCCAAACCACCATGTACTCTTAGTTTGAGGCAGACCAGACCGTTTACATTCTACGTTTTCGGTATCAAGGTCATGAAGAATTGGATTGATAACACAGACAATTTAGTCTCAATGGGAAATATGGTGATGAGTAGTCTTATGGTCGCCTGTGCATGTCTCGAGTACCATGCCCATCACTACACAATGAGCCGGTCATGACACACGATGTAGAAGGAAAGATATATCATTCTTATATCTATACTAGGTATAATCTGATATGTTTTGGATGCTTGGCAAGATATGATGCTGTGCTATTTTTAGGCGACCAAGATTACATTGACAACAAGGATCATAGTGACCGCATGTCAGCTAACATAACCCAACACATCAACTCACTTTGTCTTCGTCTCGTCGTCAGAATAACATACCAGAGACATTCAGCAGTGAAGAGTCTCGACAGATGTTAATATCACCGTTCATCTAGGTACCAAGACACAAGAATCTCGTCAAGGAGGACTCCCTAGAATTTGAGTGGGTATCCTCCTCGGATTCCAACCAGACCTCAAACATGTCAACCCCAGATCCAACGCTGGGCCTCCCTCGGATCCTAGCAATCCATGGAGGAGGGGTCAACTCAGCAATATTCAAAGCCCAATTACGAGCCTTTCTCAACCACGACAAACTCAAAAACCGATTTCGATTTGTTTTCGTCGACGCGCCATTCTTCTGCCACGAGGGAGTCGGTGTACATCCCGTATACTCAGACTGGGGCCCATTCAGACGCTGGTTTCGATGGCTTGAGTCACACGCCGAGATCGACGCTGCAGCATGCTCATACGAGCTAGAGTACACCATTGAGCGATGTATGGAAAGCGACCCTGGAACTGGCGAATGGGTCGGGCTATTGGGATTCAGCCAGGGCGCCAAGCTAGCAGCCAGCATGCTGTACGAGCAACAGTTACAAGAAAAGGACGGACCATGGCGATTCGCAGTCATTTTGGCCGGACGGGCGCCCATGGTCAGTCTCAATCCAGAGTCGGAGCAGTTTCCTTGGATGCAGTCGGCGGGTGGCTTGCCGGACGCGGCAGACCTCGACAGTATCTATGAGCGTCCAGATATGAAATTGAAGATTCCTACGTTACATGTCCATGGTCTCAAGGATGAGGGTTTACATTTGCATCGCCGGTTGGTGGAGGATTATTGTGCAGCGGGGACTGCGACTCTAGTGGAATGGGATGGGCCTCATCGGATTCCTATTAAGAAAAGCGATGTGGATAGAATAGTTTCCGCTTGGACTGATCTGGCCGATGAATATGGGATTTAGTTGACAATGGCGGATGTTCTGTTCATCGTAAGCGAGGAGACTAGGGTCAGAGTATGTATCGTATTCTATGCGCAAGTCGATAGTCAAGACAACTAGCAAGGAGTCTTGTCGTTAGGGAGAATATTCTACTGGCTGAATATTGGAATTCTTTCCATGTGCCTATTCGACCATAGGAACCCTCCCTACGCTGGTTGCACACGGTTTTTCATCGCCATATTCAGGCTGAGACATTCCAATCCAATTGTCTCTGGTCGGCGCGTGACAAGGCGCAGCACGACCCAGTTCCAACTTCTTCTAAGCTCCATGTCAGCAGATCATGGAAGGGAAATGAGGGATGAAAGAGCCTGTTAGGTCTCCGCTATTGGCTGGGCAGTGGAGTGAGGTGAGCCGTGGCCAAGAATGTAACCTTTTGAGAAACAGAATGCTTTGGGTTCGTGAAGATTTTATGGTTCATACATTGGCTATGGAGTAAGTGAAGATGGTGATTCGACTTGAACAGATATCCATGTATACCTACATCGATAGATCGTGAGTTAGGGGAATTAGGATAGAGGCATGAAGTGGTAACATTCACTGACCCCGTGCCGAGAAATGATTCGATAACCGAAAATCCCCTCCTAGTCTTTTATAGATCAGATCTCTAGATCGATCTCCCGTCTCGATCCACAACCCCATGCATATCGTACAGCCAGATCTCTGAAAGAAGACGATCGATCCATCAGTCAGGGGCTCGACCAAATGGATTGCAACTCGAGTCCCAAACAAGATATCGCCAAGCAAACATGTCCGTATTGAGAAATTGCCAAAGTCGGCAGGTGGCTCCTTCCCTCCCGTGTCTCCTTCCCCAGAAGTCGATCAATGCCAAGACTCGACAAGGCTTTGAAGACATTTTTCCTCCGACGTCGAAGCTTTGGACGGAGATTGTCTGTGATTCTCATCCACTGTTCCACCAAGATCTTGAGATTCACACCTGTGCGTATAGTGCGTACGCTCACCCAGTCTAGAACGTGTGTGTTCGAATAGCGGAACCAGCAGAATCAATGTCTCGCTCGAGGTAAGGTAGGCGGGTGATGGTCATTTTTGAATTCACTCGAGGAGAGATTCCCCAGACAGCCATTACCAATGAATCCTGCTTTTTGTATCTGTTGACTGCCCAAGAGCAACATCAGAACACCCCCAGACCAGATCTTGTTGACAGCGATCGCCCTTGCCGTCATCGGACCATCAGATCTGCACAGCTCGAGCCGGGGATCGTCAGCCCAGCACGAATGTGGAGGTGTTAAATCACGCATGAACCCTAATTCGGACAGCATGACAGCCACTTGGATCTCCAGTCTCTAGGATAAATTCTCCGGGATGACTCTGGAGACTCTTGACCTCTGGGCAAACAGCGGCTGGGAAAATGCCATCGCTGCCAAACAACATCCCCTCTGCTGTCTATGGCAATCTTGCGAATGCTTGTCTTGAGAAACCACCATCTGATCGACTGTATCGGGACTCGCTGATCTCATTTGAGGAAGGGTATCCCAGTCTCTTCGTCCGCTTATGGCTCTTTGGTGACATCCCAAGCCTAGTGGCATTTTGGATGATCATCTTTTCCAATCACCCATACGATTATTCTCTCCCGGAGGGAGTTTGACAGCTCGAAGGAGGAAGTTTGGTCAAGGTAGGAGAATATCTATATAAATCACTGCAAGTTCCCAGTCTTTTGCCAGAGATTCTTCTTGCAAGCAATTACTTCCAACAACATCCATATTTCTGGGTCTCAGTCACTCGTTTGAATCCCAGACACTTTATTTCATTCCATTCCAAGTTTTCATTCAATCCCACTCCCTTCCCATCAATATGAAGACCACTACCATTCTTGCCGCTGCGGCATGCACCTTCGCCGGCTTCGCTGCCGCCACCCCTGTTGCCGAACCTCAAGGACGCCCTAGTTGGTGGTTCAAGCGACCTGGATTCAGCAAGCCAACTCCCGCTCCCGTCCCAGCACCAGACAACGGTGGCTCCACGCCTGATGACAACACTCCCGCCCCCGTCAGCCCACCCAAGGATGACTGCCCCACCACTGGCGGTGGTGGCGGCAGCAGTGGCGGCGCAAAGGACAACTTCCCTTTCGTCTTCACATCGACCTACTCGGTGATCGCCACTCCCGACCAAGTCATCAACGGCACCCAAGTCACACCAGGCGAGCCCGGCGCCCGAGGTATCTACAACTACGGCATCAACACGATCCTCGATGTCATCTGCTACGTAAGTATTCACAACACCACTCCCCTTCATCATCAATACTCCTTTAAACCTTGTCCCTCCCAAACTAACCACCATATTTTTCCTCATGCAGAACATCACCTTAACCGGCGTCACCGGCGACTATCAATCCGCCGCCCTGACCGCCACACACATCCACGAAGGACCCAAGGGAGCCGCCGGCCCACCTCGATTGGCATTCCCCAACCCTACACCCATCAGCAATGACCGCAACGTGGTTCGTCGATCAGTTGGTTGCTTGACAGGACCGTTCCGCACGGGAATCAACAATGATGCTGGTGTCGATACGGGTTCTGCTTCGGGATTTACTTTGTCGCAGATCGAGGCAAATCCAGCTGGATTCTTTACTGATTCACATACTGCGAACTATGTGCCCGGTGTGGTGCGTGGACAGTTGGCTTAATTGGATTGGATTGGATCGGATGGATTAGGATCTAATCGGATGAGATAGCAATGAATGGATAGCCTCTTGGCTGAATCAGGAATGTAATAATAAGAGAACTTGGTTATGAACTAAAGTACACCTCTATACACTTTGATCAAGCTCTACTACAAGTACTCCTCCTGCTGCTCTAGTATCATCCCAATGGAAGCACTCTTGTTGTAATCATAGTCAAATTATTGAATGTGCGATGGTCAAGTCCTATGTCACGGGTTGTATCCAAGAATTCAGATGTTGTCTTTGACTCGACTAATGATATCGTTTTGACGCTGCATTATAGACAACCCAGAATCGTTACGTTACACGGCTAGATAAAGTATGAAACCAGATATTGTGTTTGGCACACGAAGCAACCTGAACAGGACCCCTGCGCCTCCCTGGACAGCTGACATTAATCTTGACCAGCTAGCAAGATACACCAAGACCTCAAACCGATATTGATCCATATAGTAACGGGCTCAGAAGAATGCAATGGTACGGATCTCGATACTCTCCCGGATAGGGGCATTTGGAGGCGAAGTAGGATCTTCAAAAGCCGAATGACCGACGAAACGAGCTCGACCTGACGTGTCAGACTCATAAGTCTTGAGGAGAATGACTTGTTCGGGCGTGATCTTGGGAAAATACCACCACTTGTGGGATGGCGAGTGGCGCATCACATAGTTTTCGCCGTTCCGGTCGCGGTAGCGAAGGTGAAGCTTGAAGAAGTCGGATGAGGGCGAGGAAGAGACATCGCACATGGCCAGAGGCCGTTCTTCGACAATGTTGTGGAGAGGTTTCCAGACGTTATAGAAGGCGACGCGGCGTGACAGTAGATCATCGGCCTCGTCTGGAAGTAATTGGCGAACCCGCAGAGGACCTGACTCGGCGGTGTAGTCGCAGTGAACTAGCATCACAGGAGCTCGCTGTGATGTATTGGTTTCCTGGGTCAACTTCTTGGCCTGGTTTTTCTGCGTGCGGATCGTGTGGTCAAACACCAAGACCCGCGTGGCACCTGTTGTCTTTTTGAGAAAGTCGACTACCTCTGGATAAAATTGAGATCGCACAGCATCTTCATCCTCCCACTCCTCGAATCCTGTATGGAAATTTCCAAGGGCAAACCCCTCTTTCTCAGTCGAAAAGGAATCGGCCCGATGCCAGCCATCCATCACCGTCATCTCGTGCGGGTCGTCACCGGGCTCGTGGGTGTCTTTGGCGGCATCGGTCTCGTAGAAGTAGATCTCGGTCAACTTTGGGTCAACGTCCTTGGTGTAGTTGAAATTAGCCTTGACCCCTTTGGCCGACCCAGTGCCATTGGTGGCTGGCTTACCTGGCAGTAGCGCTTTGTCCACTGCACCTTGTGTCTTTTGCCAGCTAGGTACCTTGTCCATGTCGGCTAACCAGCGTTTGAGATTGGGGTATTTATCTAGAGGGAGCTGTTGGGCGGCGTGCAGATGTGCGGGGGCTGCGACGGCAAAGTCGGCAATAGTAATATGGTCACCAACAAGGTACTTTGTCTTGCTAAGTTGGGTGTCGAGAATGCCAGCGAGTCTGTTGAAACGCTCCGACTCGGCATCGATTACGGCTGGGTCAGGCTCAGCCTTCAACAAGGGCTTGACGACATATTCCACCAGGTAGACATAGCAGCTCTGGAACCAACAAGAGGCCTCCCAGAGCAACCAAGTGTTGATTTGTGCCCGGAGTTTGCGGTCTGAGGGGTAAGCCTCTTCGTTTCCTTCAGCAATGTATAGCAAGATGGAGTTGGACTGGGTGAGGTGTAGGTCTCCATCGACGGCGGCAGGCACAGTGGCATTAGGGTTTATTTTCATGTACTCAGGGCTCTTGTGTTCACCTATGAAATAGTTGACATGGTGGAAGTTGTATTTCGTGCCTAGGTAGTCCAGGGCGGCCAACACCTTGTGGCTGTTGACGGTGCATGGGTCACAGTAGACTTCGAGAACCATTATGGCTCGGTGGATGAGAGGACTTGGTATTGACAGGGTTCGCAGCGACGGGTGGTGCTCAAGCTATAACTGTTGGAAAAGAGGAACTCCAGCTGAGGCAGGGGCCATGATGTCCTTGATATATGCTCCCGGGCTCTCGGACAGACGCATGATGACCCCTCGGACCCCGCCTTTGAAAGATCCACAAGAATTGGCTTGCGGAGCACAACGATCAAAACCACCCGGTCGATCGGATTCGCTCAAAGAAGGCCTTGGCCCATACCAGACGGTTATCCTTCAGACAATAGATCCAGCCTGTGGGTACGTGTACCAATGGTCTGGTCATGAGGGGATCTGCAGAGTAGACATTTTGTCCTGGACAAGAGCCCGTAATTCGGTGGATGAATAGATTCTAGGCTTTTCGGAAGCAGCCATCGGTTGTGCATTGTCAAGGCATCCAATGTGAACAAGCATGTTGAACAACTTGGCAGGAAATATTATGAATCGAGTGTATCGAGTGATCGAAACCGAGTCAGCGATGTACTAGTGTGTCCAGTTAGCTGGTGATCGACCCCGAGGTTTGCAGGAGATCTCGGTAGGCAATGAATAGACTGACGTGGATATGGTTGACTAAGGTGCGTGGAGGGTGTGTGGTTAGGCACAGGGCCCTCGAGCGTACCGTCTGGTGGATGTAAGCGAGATCTGACGGTGTGAAGCGCAGGCAAATCTGCGATGTGTTCTTGTGCTTAATTGGTTAGCGAGTCAGATTGGCGATTCCCGTGGCCGAGGGCTGGCAAGAGCGATGGGGGCCGAGGGCCGGGGAAGTTGGTGGTTGCCAGTTCAAGTGCCACTTCAGTTGGCAGCTGCGTGCAGCTGCTGGGGCAAGTGCAAGGGTGCAAATGGTGCCTGAGACAGACCCCGCCATGTCATGTCAGCTTCACTTCACTTGGGTTTCCTAAACATCTCGTACTCCGTATAGACCCCGCACTTTACGTACCTGTTAAAGATGGATGAGGACAACATAGTATGTATTATTGCTAGACACAAGCTCTGCTCTGGCAAAAGTATAGATCAAAGCAAGAGCTTGCATGATTTGTGGTCACGTAGTTGCCCGGTGGAAATTGTCATGTCTTCCATTGGTTCTTCTCCTCAACCGCGACTTACCCATTTCTCGAGGGTGACTACGCGTCGTGGTGGTTACTGCTCTTCTGAACTAGCCTTCTACAGCAGTTCTGAAGGTCCTCAGTTGGCTATCCTTGGATCCTTGACCTCTCAGTGACAGCGACTCGTCCTTCTTCCAGCGGCCTGGCTGCAAGTGCTTGGTCGTAGACAGTGAGCGTTGATCGGAAACACTTCCCAGGACAACCAGGTATACTTCTGAGTGTTTTATGACTCTGGGAAAGTCGCCATCTGGGTCTCAAGACCCTTGACCAGCATATGGCCTGACATTGCAGGCTTGGAGGTGTTTTCATACCTCAAGACCCTCGAGCATGATTTGGCCTGGTTCTCTTGTTCGTGCGAACTGTATCAAGTACGCAGCACGACACCCTCTCATTCAGCAGCAGGCTTTTGTCCTCGTAGAAAATGACAGTAGACATAGAGACAAGAGCGATCATTCTGGAACTCCTTTCGGACTTTGGCAATAAAGACCAGGGTTTCTTCACGAGTCCAGCCCAGAACACGGGTGAAATATGCCATGGACACAGGTTCAACCGAGTCAAGCATCTGTGCTTGAAGGTACATGCCCGTCTCCCGGAGTTTGCGGTCCTTGGGCCATCTTCCAATTGGGACTTTAAATATTTCATGTGTGACATTTTCAAAGCTAACGCCTCCAAATGCGGTCAAGACCTCGTCGAAGCAATTGAGACGCTTGCCAAATTGAGAGCTTGCCTGGTCCAGCAGGGTCTGCCATTTCATGATGTGAGATTCCTCGCTCAGCGGCTCGGCCTGGGCGTGAAACCAGACGTCAAATTCCTGTGCCTCGTACCACCCGCCAGGAGCGAGGTGGTCGAATGCCTGCTGGAATAATCGTGGCCAGTTGGCGATGCTGCCGACCATGTTGCGTTGGTGGATCAGGTCAAACCGTTTCGAGGCGGGGTAGGCCCAGGGGCTTTCAACGTCGTCGACGACAAAGCGGCAGTTGGGTGCGGTCCAACTAGGTTGGATCGGCGATAAGTCGTTACCCAGAACCTGGGCTTCGGGGTATTCGTCCGCGAAATCGAGAGCCCAGATGCCAGTACCGGTGCCAATGTCGAGCACATTATGTGGGCTGGATATCGGCGACTTGTGGAGGGCGCCACCGATCACGAGTCCAAAGATATGGTGTAACATGTCGAGCCGTTCCTGTTCCTGGTCGTCGTTGGGTAGTGCGTATGAGCCCTCGCGGTACTTGTGGTATCGTCTGCCATTCTGTGTTTGTCAGTCGGGCGCAGGCAGGCCATCGTGGCCCGACGGGGGAAAAACAGGCGCGTCTGTGCTGACCTCGTAGACATAATCAAAGACGCTGGACGCCAGGGACGTGGTGGTTGTGCTGCCACCCTCATCGCTGCCACCAAATGTCGAATCCTGGTCGGAGCCGACCTCGATGTTGAGATGGAATTCCGCCATGGCCGCGTTGCTGGGATCGTTGGGGGAGGAGTGATCGCTGCCTTCGGCCGGGGAGCGTGAGTGAGATTCTTTCACAGCAGCTGTCGGATCGTGGTCTGCCATTGTCGCCACTGCGTCTGTGCGTCCTTAGGACGATACGCATGCAATCAATAATATGACCTAGCAGACTCCCGACTTCGGATTCAAATTGTAAAGTCGTGGGTAACCATCAACCGTACCGAAAAACAAACGACATATTTGCCCTGTCTTGGAGCTGTGTGTTGATGAGAAATGGGAGAGTGGATGGACAGGGCTTGGACCCGGGAAAAGGGCTTCGTGTTGGGTCCCGAAGACGGTTGACATCCTGGCAGATGCTGACACGGTTGGGTTGTACAGCGAGTGTGTGGCACCCTGTGTGGAGTGTCGCGTGTGTCTAACGTCGGTCTCGGGTGGGAGTGGAAAACATCCTGTCGTCTGGACGCCCTGGCTGCATGATAGGTTGCGATGCCATGAGATGGGGAGAATTTTAACGGTCAGATTCAGGTTGTTGGTTGCTAATGGAAATTCACTAACAGGAAAGTTTGAATGGACTCAAAGCCTGACGGCGCGGCAAAGAGTAATAACTTGAGGAGAGCAGGGTTGGATGCACATACTACTCCGTATAACATGATCCATGCCATTCCATGCACATCAACTGTTGGATGAAATTACCAGCTTAGACTGACCTTGCAGCAGTAGATGCAGATGCAGACGCAGTCCCAAGACTAGGAGAAGCTGCAAGCAAACACCATTACGAGCCCGTTGAGCATCTTAAGGATGACGAAGTCCTGATGTTTGTATTGATGCCATCAATGTGATCAGTATGATTTGTCGTCTAGATGGATCTCAATTACACACTGGCTGTGTTTCCCTAGAGTCCGTCATAATGTAAATCGTGATTCGTACTGCATAAGATGATTGATGCCAGGCTCGATTAGAAGCTCCAGATCAGTCGGGGGCGCATCAGGGGCTTCTCTCCTGCCACTGCATATTGCAAAGCGACCTTGGCTAGGGACTTTTAGGTAAGAATCCGGCAAGCTCTGGACCCCTCCGCCCTTGAAGCACCCACAGCACACGCCCAACCTTGGATGGAAACGGGTTAGAATGTACTTAGAGGCGTTCCGTAGGCTGGTATTTTGTACCTGTGGAAGGACCGAAGTACGCCAAGTTAGGGACTGTACATGCTCATGTACCTAGGTAGGTAGGTATACCTGGCTTGCCCGCAGGAGCCTGCAGATGCCCTGGCGCCATCACTTGACAGCACACACTTCCAGACCCTCAGCAGACTGCGACATTGGCTACAACAGTACCAATGCATACCTAGGCTGGCGCATCAGGTCAGCATTTAAAACATGTGCTGGTGAACCCTGATTCTACCCCAAGCCATCATCCATTCCATTCTCGGCGAGCTAAAGCCTAGACATCCTTCACTCGCACCCTCAAGCCCTTGCTTTCCTTTCGGTTGAGTGGTGTGATTCCGTCACCCACAATTTCGATATCTCGCTCAAACTGGGTGTCGTACAACTCTAGGAGGCCCCGATCTCCGTCCATCTGCACATCGGCGCTGCCGTAGCATCGAAACACAAGCGCCAAAGTTATATACAACTCCGCGTACGCCAATTCCATGCCAATGCATTGCCTTGAACCTCGCCCAAACGGAACAAGGTATTTTTCCAGCCCCGGATTTTCAAGCCACCGTTCAGGCCGGAAGGCAAATGGCTCTTGAAAGTAGTTGGGGTCGGTGTGAATCAGCATCCCCGTCAAGGAGATGGGAGTACCGGGAGGAAGGATATACGTCTTTCCATTGTGCTTTGTTTGATCTGTAAAGTATATGGGCTTGTCCGGGTCAATCCGCTGCAATCGAGAACTGACCCCGTTGCTGAGCCGGAGAGATTCTTTGATGCACGATCGGAGGTAAGGGAGTTGTTCAAGGCTGGCCAATGGTGGAAGTCGGTCAACATTTGGGATGGCATCTCTCAACTCGTCTCGAAGGTGCTTGAGGGTTTGGGGTTGGGTGAGGAGGCTGTAAGTCGCGTATGAGAGGGCAGATGCTGTTGTCAGTGTCCCGGCGATGACTGTGACTTGGCCATCTTGCCAGAGTCGAGACGGAGATTTTTCCGAATCGGGGAGGTTGCTGTTGAGGATTTCATGAAAGATGGTCTGGTGGGCAGCAGCTTTGTACATGTCACTATTCCGGTTACTTTGGATGACTTGAATTTGGGCTTTGATATCCTATAACCAAGCCTGTCAGCAGAGAACGCCCCACTGGTCGGCACCGAGCATACTCTTTGCAGCTTCACATAGGAAGCCATGTTAGGGTCCATCATGACCGCCACCGAGTCCGGAAGCACTTGCATGAGATGCAGGATCCAGGGCATCTGTTTGGTCAGATGACCCATGGTGCTTCCTGCGACCGAGGCGTCGTGAAAGCTAGGATCAAAGTCTTTTGCCTCAATTCGATTGTCATTACGTCCCAGAGCATACATTTCGGCCACGTCTTGTAAGGGTCAGTCAGTCCAGATGTGGTGGTGGCAAGAAAACGTACCATTTGTCAGGGCGGCGTAGGCCAATGACAGAGTCATGTGCTCGGCATCGTGTTTGAATTCCTCGAAACGAGAGAGAAGTTGTTGGGCAACTTGTTGAATCAGAGGCTGTAGACTGCGCACCTTGGCTTTAGAGAAGAAGGGGTTGAGTGCAGCTCGACGCATGCGGTGGACATCGTGCTTGACCGTGGCAAAGGCGGAATCAGGAATACCAAACTGGTCGCAGAACCACGCCCACTTGTCACGCTTCTGGGAGGCACCAGTGAAGACAATGTCGTAGAAGTCGGGGTCGGCAACGTGAACTTCTTCTGGGTTGATGCGGATGATAGGGCCATACTGGTCATGCAGTTGTCTGATTTTGAAGGTGTACTGGCCAGTCAGGACGACATCGTAGTAGAACTCGTACCAAAAGGTAATCTTCGCGAGGATGGGCCCGGGGATGTGGGCGACGGGGCTGAAATAGAGCCGATAGATGGCCAGACAGGCGAAATAGAGCAGGGCAGCGAGGGCAGACCCGAGAATGAGGTTTGCTTGAGACATTGTGTGACCTGTCAGATGGAGGCAATAAATGAGGGCAACAAATTGACAGGTCTTGTACAAGTTGCCCACAATGTCGCATCGATTTATCCCAGCGAACTGTTTCCTGGTGACACGAGCGCGTGGGGGACTTGGGGGGACTTGGGGGGACTTGGGGGGTTCTTTAGTGGCCGAAGCCTTCACCAGAACCGTTTTGGCGCCTTGCAGCGTGACGAGCCGGCGGTGATGGCGGAGATGGCGTTTCCGGCAATTAAAGCGCCGCGAATGCAAATCATCAGTAACAGTTTCTAGGCTGTGACTTTGATTGGTGGGTGGTTGATAGGGTCGTTCTTGCTGTTGATTCTGTCATGGCTGCATTGGCAATTGCTCTGTACGGAGTGGTTTGGGGGCGTGGCTTCCACCTGCATCTTCAGTTACTGTAAGTGCAGGTGCAGGTGCAGGTGCAGGTGCAGGTGCAGGTGCAGGTGCAGGTGCAGGTGCAGGTGCAGGTGCAGGTGCAGGTGCAGGTGGTCCAGATGCATCCACCTCAGTCTCCAGCCACGTGTAGCTTTGATACATCCCAGGTAGCAGATAGCATACAAGGACTGCCGACACCGCATGACCTGCAAATTGTAGATAGCAGACTGCAAGCCATGGCTGCTGGATCTCTGGAGGCACCTCAGATAAAGATAAACTCAAACCGTGGACACGCACATCCAACATCCGCCCGTCCTACCATCCACCCACCAACGAGGTCTGATTCTCTTCCTCATTTTTTTGGTTCGCTCTAAGACATTACCAGTAACATGACAGCCAAAAAAAAGCACTCAGACAGATCTCTCATTGAGTAGTAGAGGGTACTCAACATCGTGTCAGTCATATCCCATCCAATTTTGGGAGAACTCCTGCTTGCAAACTGGGCGTCGACCATCTCCAGGCAATCACCATCAACACTCCTGCCTGCCATCTCAAATCTACCACCTTCCTCCCTTTTGCCCACTTTTCATTTCTTCTCTTTCGATTCTTCCACCTTCAACCTCTCCACCACCTTTTGCCGTAGAAAATCACTTAATCCCAATATCCCATCGTTGGTGACAATCCTATAAGTCCCACTCTGCTGGTAGTTACCCGTGCCATCTGTAAATGAACCATCTCCTTCCACCTCGACGCTCCCAAAGATGTCTTCGGGGTCTGCAATCCGTCCAAAGTCCGGAATTTTCCTCGAGTCCGAAATATGAACCCACCCGCCTCGTCCTGCGCTGCCGTGACCACCTTGGTCTGACGCACCCGAAGATCCAGTCTTCTGCCTGCGCACCGGTTGGAACAGAGATGCGCCAGATGAGGATATCATCACTGCAGCTTGTGATTGCACCCCGGGGTCTAGATGTGCATTCTCAGCAATGACAGAGTGTACAATAGGTAGGAAGCGAGGGTTTTCAGTAAAGGAGTCTGGGTTAGGGGGATTTCGCCTCGACGTGCCAATGGCCAGGCTGGGGTTTGGTGGTGCGGTCGGTAATAAGGAGAGAATGTGACTGTCGCGGCTCAAAGGGTCAGGGAAGATGTACTGTCAGGCGTCTGTTAGATACTTGGGATAGGTCACTGTCAAGAATGGAGCTCACAATGTGTGGATTGTTGCTCAAAGTCGACACGCCGCGAAGCTGAAGGCTCAGGCGACACGCCTGACGCACCGTTCTCAACCCTACTGATAAAGGTCTCATTTCGACACGCAGGGAGAGTGACTGGGTTGTTTCCTGTACTGTGGTGGCTATAACTGCACCATCGACGATTTGATGAGCTTGTCCGCAGTCTTAAATTCGCACCCTTACAGTCCCCGCGTTGATGATGAAAAGATTAAAGATTATTACCAAGATTCAAATGACGTCATTGTAAACATCCAAATCCAACTGCGCCAGATGAATTGATCGTCCTTCCATCTGCCCAATGTGCGTAGAGCCAATATTAATTGAATTACCTTCTTCCGCCTTTTCACTGCTACATCTGCTCATGGGATTGTCCCCAACCATCAAGTTTCTCCATAAAGCCTGCGAATCCCATTCAGATCATCCAGCTGAAGTCGACGTTTAGTGGCATTGTCTGCGACCGTGGGAGCCATGATTGCATTATGATCATTAGAATGAAGAAGTCCCAGAGTATGGCCAATCTCATGCAATGCCACCGTCTCAATATCAAACCCATTAGGGAACGCACCGTCCACCCAGACATGCTCTTCATCGTCAAAATGAATTGGGAGGGGAGGTTTTCCATTTTTCACAATAATGCTCGCGGCCCCTGGGAAGTCGGCGTGCGCTAGAGTACCTCCAACCATACCTTGACTGTCGATGCGAAGAAGATCCGGATCGCGAGCATCACGCCAGTCGACGTACAAATCAGGATTTCCATCAAGTGCCACCTCAGCAAAAGTCAGGCCGACTCCCGCTTCCTGCCAGGTAGCAAACGCCCGCACCACTGCCGCCTTGCACTCGTCCTCGGAGATGTCGTTGGACAGAGGGCCCCATGCGTAAGTCAAGTCTTTCTTGTCCCATTTGCTGATGACGTTTGCCGCCAGTGGGTTGGCGCGGCTGTGGGCACAACGTGGCTGTGTCAAGGCTGCCTTGGTAGGTCCATCCAGAGTTCCAGTCGGTTTCAGGTTGAACCAAGATTGGAATTTCAATAGAGCCACACGGGTTTCCTCGTCAAAGTCATCGTTGATGGAGAATGTCTGGGACTCGGCATAGTCGTAGTGTTTGAGATATCTCTTCACCTCACATACCCCCGCGTGCGTGTCGCCGGGCTTGATGTTGTATGGCAACTTGCAAATCGCCTGGCGGTTGAACTGAGTGACTTGCTGAATGGGGTCTTGAGCCATGATGGAAGTGGATAGTATTTATCGATCGACTGAACTCTCTTTTTTCCTGGAAATAAGGTATTCAAAGTGATGGCTCTTGTTCAAAAGAATTTCTTTTTCTCTCCCCGAGGGGAAAGGCTCGCCATATATGCATCCCAGATTCTTTCTATCTCACACGCATCGTCATCTCACAGGCAGAACCCATATTCCCAACTAGGATACCTGAATATTCACCTCGTAGTTTCAGCTTCGTGTTCATCTTCGGTCAGGGATTTTCAAATAAATCCCCAGTCTGCCTTGGACAAAAAACGCGACAGACCAGTCTACAACTTGTTTATTCCACCTTGGCACGGCTTGGTATGACAATCATGACCATTCTGATCACCAGGATCGACCAAGACAGAGAAAGCCCCTTGGCAACCTGCAACACCACTAAAACCTGACCTGACACGGTAGTTCTAGTGGTGCCTGGGATGAGAACACGAGTACTTCCGTGTTTACCTATGTACCTGCTCGTGTCCTTGGCCCATATATCGTCATAGCTGGAAAACGAAAAAGAAATTCCACAACCATCAGGTCCGTCCTTGTAAGTTGGGGAGCTGAAGTGGCGGTCAACCCCAGATTTACATTGTTATTGGATCGGGGATGAGACCTGCCTCGTGTACCTGGGCTGCTTTTTACCGTAATTAGAATTAATTGATAGACATCTTCTCAGCTCCCATTCAGCCCCCTTGGCGATCCTGTTCTTCCCCTAATGAGTTTGACCCTAACTGTGTTCCAAGGTCAGGATGGCGTCACTTGGTGAAATATGGCACTGGAAATATCGTGCAAAGTTCTCTACTGGGAATGAGTGCAATGCACAAAGAATAAGACATGGAAACATGAACGAGATGTGAAGGTCTTGCAACAGTGCAATATCAGCATTTCTGTTACGATGGAGTCTTAAGTCCAATCGGTGGCCAGTAGACAAAGTCGCCGACCCTGCACATAACGAACCTAGTGTTCGATATCAAATTGGACGGTTTTGCACTGATCGATCTATTGTTCGATATCAAGCTGACGTCCTTCCACTGATCGAACTACTCCCTGGTATCAAACTGGACGATTCTTGTACTTATCAAACCATTGTCTGATGTCAAGCGGACGTCCTTCCACCGATCAAACCTGCTGGCCGATGTCATAACAATCGCCCTTGAATGCATTAAACCTGCTGTCCAACGCGTCAAACCGCTAAACTTCAGGCATATGCTAAGCATGCATCAAGGGTGAGGTGTCATGTCTTTCACATTTTCCGTGACAACACGTCGTCCAACCTGTGTCCCCGAGGCCGACCCTAATGACAAATCACAACAACGCCCGATGATCAATCACTCAGAGTCCGTTGGGTTCATTTTCGTGCCCTCTTGGCCGGTCGCCCCTCTGCCTGCCCTCCTTCCGTTGCTGTTGCCGAATCAATTGGCTCGAGGCTTTGCTCATCGATTGGATTCATTGCTTTCCTCGGTGTTTGCCATGTCATTTGGTCTGTTATTTGGCATATCTTCCTGTTCGCCGCTTGGCTCACTGGTTGACTTCTTCTTTTTCTCAACTGGTTTCTTCTTTGGGAACTTCTTTGGGTACAGGTGCTTTGCTCGGGCTAGGTCTTCTGGGGATTCGAGCCCGTGGACCAGTTTGAAATGCCGAACGAACGAAGTAAAGACTAGAATACCGGGTTTTCCAGGACAACCATCGCAATAGTATAGTGTGTCTCCAGGAATCAATTGCGCAGGACCCGCAAGGGGGGGAAGCGGTTTTGACTTCTTTGGCTGCGTTGGTGCCTTTGGCTTCTTTGGCGGCTTTGACGGCTTCGGGTCGCTTTCCGTAGTGGTTACAGTTGGTTGGGCAGGCTCTGACACTGAAGGAATGCTCGGTGACGGAGGTGGTCGCGTGGTGTGAATGTCTGGGCCTTGTTCTTGTGTATGTGTGTCATGTGGCAGTGGCCGATCGTGAGGTGAGTCTTGTTTCATTGACTCATCAGGCTCCGAGGGGGTGCCGACCACTGAGTCAAAGAACAACTTGTATTCTTCTTCCTTGATTCTCTCCTGCACAATGAGGGCGCCTTGTTGAAGAAAGTCGATAGTGCCTGCCTGTGCAGCCGGATCATCACGATCCACCAATCTCATTTCAGCCTCAGCAAGCGCCCGTTGAGTGACTTCGTTGAGCGTATCGTCAGTCAAGGCACTCGTCAAGAGGGATGGTTGCTGGCCTCCAGCGGTGGCGGTATCGAGTTGGTCAAGTTGTCGGTGCCAAATCTCTGTGAAAAGTGCCATATCTGCATCTCGCAGAGATACCGAAAGAAGCTGCATGTTGCAGACAACAGTCATGCGAAAGTTCTCATTGAACGGTGGGAGGACCCTGGGTCCGACGAGTCCCGGGAGGGCGTCATCGATGAGTTTCAGGAGGGCGACATCGTAGTCAGCACGGTGCACAGCAGAGATCACAGAGTCATCTCGAGCACTGGACAATAAAGCAACAATGCCATCTTCATACGCCTTGCGACCAACGGTGACAGAGATGATGTTGTTGACCTTCATCAGGGTGTCCAGACATGCCATTGCTCCATCACAGAGGAACTTCTCTGTGGTGGAAACGGCGGCCATTGTCAAATGAGTCTCCGTGCGAATGAAGAGGGAAAGAGTGGAAACATCAGGAGAGGAACAGAATATTTATGTCTTGAAGAAACGGAGTCACCAGGACCTCAGTGAAGACGTCTGTCTCAGCTTCATTGATTTAGGAGTAGCAAAAGTCGACAATGCCTGAAATTCACCCAAAACCATTGAATCGGTGAAGAATGAGGCGAGCTAGGAATGATCAGTGAATAGACTGTAGTGAAGGTTATGCAAGGATGCTGCGATGATGCTGCGATCACATGGAGCGCGGACGAGCTGCCCAGCTTCAGCGAGAGGGATTAGAGTGACAACGGAGGCATGGGAAAGATCTGAGCTGACGAGAAGCCTCACTGAGTTGGAACTAGCTTTGATCACTGTGAAGGAAGATCTTGATTCAAAATCATGAAAAGAGTGCAGAATCATATTGTAGGGCCGATCAGGTCTTTTTCCACCTCACCTTGCCAATCCATTGTGCCCATTTTTGGACGTCATCCCTCTCGCAAATGAGATCTAGGGAGTAAAAGCCCTTAGCAAGGTCTTCGTTGGAAGCCATTCGATGGACAAAGGTGTGACAGGCACGACAAAGCCAGGCGACACTGTTCAATTGCTTTTCGTCATGCCAGCCTCTCTTGAGCACCTTTGCATGAACTTGCCTGGGAATTAAATGGTGATAGGTCAAAGGTACCCAGTCGCGGTCACAGATTTCACAGGCGTTCTTCTTCGTATCGATCCATTTCGGGGGCGGAACTGTGACACTGGGTATATATGCTGAGAGAAGAGCGGACATGAAGGTTTGTAGGTCGGACTTGGGTGGCTCTATGAGCCCATATGCCACAAGACTGTCAGTGACAGTGCCTGAGATGTGGATACAAATCTCTTCGATGGTAGACAGGGTCAATGGCAAAGACCACTTATCAGACAGAATGCTGTCTTCTTGGAGTGAGTCGTATGACAAAGCCTTCAGATCGACAGGCAAGTCGGAGAAGATCTCGGTGGCAAGATAGCTAGAGAAGTCGCCCAGTTCTTCTGGGTTGGTCTGATTATTTTCGAGTGTTGAGATATGACCAGAAAGCCTGATAGCAGCAGGGAACACATTCTTTTTCTTGCCTCCGTTATCCCTCCTGGTTGGTTTTCTGCGAGGGACAGAGGACTTGTCGACAACTGTCGTGAAGACACAATCTCTGAAAGCATCGTAGTTACCAGAATTGTCTGTGTCCATGTCTCCAGCTGCGATTGCATAGCAAGACGATCATTGAGCTGACTGCTGTTGTGTGTAGTTGGTGGGTGAGGAAGTAGTAGAGTAGGACGGTGTGGACACGGCCATGACTTTGTGCATTGATGTGATCTGTCTTCCTACCACCCACCTAACTATTCGATTGTTGAATTCACGCGTAAGGCCAAATGAATGCTATGTATCCATCAGCCAAGATGGTGAATTCAAGCCTCAAGTTTCATTTCAGCAGAGAATCAACAGTCATGACACGTCGTCTGAGACGTTGAATGTTCATCTGCCACTCTTGTCTTTATGATCCACTGGTCTCGGCTTGGTCCCGAAAAGGAAGGCATCACGTGGGAATGCCACAGAGTGATACAAACAAATGATCCGCCGTCTTGCCTTTTCTGCTTAAATACTCCACAGTTAGACCACTAGTCCGGAATAGGAAGGATCGGGGTCGTCTCCAGTCTACTCGACCTCGGCATCTATTCATCTCATCTCGGTACCGAAGTCGGACTCCCTTTGAGTGCCCCGGTTAAGTCGACCTGTGAATTCAAGACATATAAACTCTGAAGTCCCCTTGTCTCTTGTCCGATATGGGAGCTGGCGACTTTCTTCCCTGAATTGTGCAGGTACAATGGCGGACTTTTCAGCTGAGTTGAGGCCAGCGGATCCTCAGGGTCCAGATATCCTGAACCAAGAACGCGCCAATTCCAATATTGATGCATCCCAACTCGCTCGCCATCTGCTGCACCGTAATGACTTCTTGGAAAGACAACGTAGGGTTCTAAGTGTCATTGAGCATCTACCGGTCTTTTCCAAGAGAAATCAGCTCAATATAGCACGACCAGAGAGATATCAACTTGGACTCGCACGATCTAAAGAACTTCGACGACTAACCTTGAAACATGGCTGGGATCTGGAAGATTTCAAGATGGCCGAATACCTTGTTGGTGAAGTCGGTCCCTATGCGCTCCACACCGTCATGTTCTCTACGTCTATCACAGAGCAGTGTAACGAAGAGCAGATGAGATACTGGCGCCCGAAGGTCGACAGCTGGGAAGTTATTGGTGCCTATAGCCAGACAGAGCTTGGTCATGGGAGTAATGTTAGAGGCATCGAGACCGAGGCAAGATGGAACTCTGACACTCGAGACTTTACCATCCACAGCCCGACCCTGACCGCTGCAAAATGGTGGAATGGATCGCTTGGTCGCACTGCCAACCATGCCATCATCATCGCCCAGCTCATGCTGCCCAAAAATGGAAAGTTGGTATCCTTTGGCCCCCATCAGTTCGTGGCTCAAATACGAGATATGAAGACAAACAAGCCTCTGGAAGGACTCGTCATTGGCGATATCGGCACAAAGCTGGGCTACGCTGCAATGGACAATGGATATATGCTTTTCAAGAACTTCCGGGTACCACGGTCCGCTCTGTTGGCACGTTATACTGGCGTTGATGAGAATGGAAACTATATCAAGCCCAAAAACCAGGCTTTGGTATACGGAAGTATGACTTTCGTCAGAGCAAACATCATCATGTCTGCACGCCTAACCCTCGCACGTGCATGTACTGTCGCAGTGCGCTACCTCTCCATTCGCCGCCAGTTCTCCGATCGAGACGTGAACGGTCCAGAGTTATCTGTGTTGAGTTATCCTACGGTTCAGATTCGAATCCTGCCTCTAGTTGCTGCGACCTACGCCTTACACTACACTGGCGAGGCCATGTACAACCTCTACTGGGCCACCCGCGCAGATATTGAGGGTAAAGGTGACACTTCGAGACTCGCAGAGCTTCATGCTGCATCGTCTGGTCTCAAGGCAGCTTGCACATTACTCGTGGCAGATGGAAGTGAAACATGCCGAAGAGCCATGGGAGGCCATGGATTCGGTGGTGGCAGTGGCTTGATTCCTCTGGTTACAGATCATCTTGACAAACCCACTGTCGAGGGAGACAGCTGGATGATATCACAACAAACCGCCGCCTATCTCATTAAACGCATGACTGAGACGCAGAAAGGATCTTTGGTTGAACCCATCGATCACCAATTCAAGGCCTTCTTGCAGGACAAGTCAGCCAAACGTTTCGACATTTATGGAAACGATGAAGATATTGTCAAAGCATTCAAGAACCGGGTGTCATGGCTCGCGTTGAAGGCTTACGAAAACCGAGTGGAAAAGCAACAAAGCTGGACCAGTATGATGGTGGAACTTCACAACCTTGCAATTGCCCACTCCGAGTCTCTGCTGGTGGAGAACTTTTACAATGCTGTCGTTGTTGGTGTTCCTACCCCCTCGGTCGACCCGTCGACGGTTGAGGTCTTGAAGAATTTGTTCAGATTATTTGCCCTTCACCTGATCGATGCCAAGAGTCGCGAATTCCTCTTCTCTCAAGCCCTCGACTTACAACAGCTACAGTCCATCACCACTGCGATCCAAAGGCTCCTAGGAGAAATTCGTCCTCATGCTGTCCGGCTTATGGATGCATGGGCAATTCCTGATTATGCGCTTGACAGCGCGTTGGGTCGGGAGGATGGAGATGTGTACAATGCCTTGTGGCAGAAGGCACATCTCGAGAATCCATTGAACATGGAGGTGTTCAATCCCGATTTCAAGACCCCTGAAATCATTATGGGTGAAGGAGCTGAGCAAGCCCAGGCTCGAATTGAAAAACTTGCATTGGGTACCTACGGCCATGAGCAGCGTAAGGGTGAGGCTAGGGCCAAACTGTGAGGGATGGTATTTGATCGTCATAGAACCTAGACCCCAAGTCGGATGTTTTAGATACAGTTTGGATGTCCTCAGGGCCCGAATTATAGATGTCTGCCCTTGCTGGGCTCAAAAGACTCTTCTGCGGTTGCCACGGACAGACAACTTAGACCTACTATGTGCTTAAATGAATCCTTCATCTTCGGCAACTTGCACTCGACATATGAGTCGGCTATTGCGGCAATTCCTTTATTGGTTGAAAGCCTCGGCAACCCCTCTGAGGGATCAAACTCGTGGAACGCCGAAACATCTGAATCCTGCGTGTGGGAATATACACTTCGACAAAGATCAGGAGATTAGGCCAAATCTCGACCTTGATAAGACTTTATCGTTCCCTCTGCCAACTCAGAACAATATCTGGCCGGGTGGGTGCATTGGAGACATACGAGGACATCGGAATACACAATACTATACGTTACAACCAAAAATGAAATCCAACATCCCCACCGAACTCACCACACCATGGTGTCGACAAATTCTAGAAGATCCAAAAACCGAAATATTCGACATCCCCAGCGCCGCCACCGAAACAGGCATACCAGACATTTCCAACAGCATGTTTCTGCGAACACTGTACAAACCAGACGGAATCCGAGCACAGATCAATTTCATACGACCGACATCCCAACCCGAAGCGGTGACGGGACGCGAATTTTGCTATTTGATGTATATCGGCGACGGCCTCGATGGTAAAACTGGTCGCGCTCATGGCGGGTTCAATGCTTTGGTATTGGACCATATGTGTGGGTGGGTGGCTGCGACCGCCAGTTCTTCGCGGGCACCTCTTACAGCGAGCTTGACTATTGACTACAAGGCTCCGATTCAAACGCCGGGGATTATCTTCTGTCGTGGTTGGTTGTTGGAGATGAGTGGGCGGAAGACATGGATTCAGTCGGTGATCGAGGACGAGGATGGGAACGTTCTGGCAAAAGGGAAAGCACTTTTTGTTACTGCGCGTGATGAGGTGAAGATATGAGGAATGACTGATGGATGGCTGGGGTTGATGTTTCCTTTCTACGAGGGGGAGTGGCTGCGGGCCTTCTGTCTAAAAGCAGCGCGCATAAATAGATTGGATGGTTGAGTCGATTGAAATAGACCATGTTAACAAAGGGGTATCTTGAGCGATGTTGAAGCCAATAAACATGCATAGATGCTACAGCGCATAGCCCAGACCAGTACTGACAAAACCAACCTTCACTCCATCCTGTCAAGCTCGACCGCGGATGAGCTCATCTCTCCAAGACCACGAACCGTCCTGTCGAGCGCTGTCGCCGCCAACGTTGAAAACACCGCTGATACCTTCAAATGCAGTGATTGATCCTGTCAAAGACTTTGCATCGCCGTAGTACTTCAGCCGGTACATCCCAGCCTCGGTGTGAGGTTCAATCTCCCACTCGATGGCAACCTCACTTGTTCCCAATGTTGTACTTTTCCGTTCCCATCGATAGAGCAGATGCCAATCTCGGTCAGATCGCACCTCTACCCACCGGCCATCGTTTGTGTCGAATTTCTCAACAGCAGCAAACGTACCCTCGAGACGAAAATTGCTGCGAGGGTTAGCTCCAACGAATAGAGCGTGGGCCCCTTCTCCAGGCAGGTGGACCCGGGCAGGGTCTGGTGACTCCAGTGTTTGCCCGAACCGACGGAAAAGTCCAGCATTGTCCACAACAACCGGTTGGATAAACGATAGGGAAGTATTGACATTGATGGGAGGATTTGGGCCGGGAGGGAGTCGATCCAGACCTGACGTCTCATCTTCAGATCCCAAGTATGGGAGGTACGTCAACGTCAAATTCATATATGCCGCCAAGGTGTGTGGTCCATATAGGGTGCTAGCCCCTTCATATCGCTGCACTCCATATTCCTCTTCGGTGGCAATGTAATGTCCATAAGTATTGGCCGGTCCTCCAAGAACCACTTTCGGGTGCTCAATGCCCAACACAGCTGGCGCTGCTTGAGCTATGGCTTCTCTCCATCGCCGACCTGACATGGTAGTGGCCTCGCCTGGCGCCACGATGATGATCAAGGGACCTATTCTCAAGAGTTGAATATCGACGATATTTGGGGACCAAGCATAAGGGCTTTTGGCAGCACCCACGTCGAGAAGGATCGGTTTGGGCGTTTGACAAGCAATCTGCTCGTCTGTCGGTGGATGAACGAAGCTCCGTGCGAGCTTCCACAATGGATTTTTGAGAGAAGGTGAGTCATCTGTGTCATTGGTACCCTGGGAGAAATCAAATGCTCCAGGCCCATCCGTCGTTCCACCAGCGAAGCCGTACCCCAGGGCAGCTGAGCAGGTCCGGAGCATCCGAGACCCATTGATGGGAGAGGTAAAGACAAAGGAAGAGAGGTTAGCATATGTGTGAAAGGAGGATATGGTCGAGGCCGGTAGGTATTCCAAGTCTTTGCTATGGAGCAGATCTCGGGCTGTTGCTGCTTGACGATTACCGATTTCAAAGCATGATTTAGTCCCTTGGTCGATCTCTCGAAACAAGGGTCCTCGACCGTGACAAGTCTGAGTTCGTCCACCACACGTACTGTCATTAAAAGTGCATGGGAAACCGGTATCTTCGCAATACGCGCCCAGCACGTTTGGCGAAGTATCACCAACATTGGACTGCGAGAAGCCTGCCACGAAATCGGTGTTGATGTTTCTCATGGACTCTTCGGTCAGATATGCAGCTACACCTTTGTTGTCTCCGGTGATAAGTGTGTTATTTTGATAAAGAGAAGTGCCATGTACGGCAAACCAGGTCAAGACTCCAAGGGGCTGGCCATCTGCCGCGCTTTCGAACTTTAATAGGGTCAAAATCTTGTCAACATCGCTGGAGTATCGGCTTCTCTCTGCTTCGGGGTTGCGAAGGTATGCAGATGGACTTCGATTGACATTGGCATCGTTCACTTCTTTCTGACCATATGATAGACGGCCTGGCGTAAGGCTTTGATGAGCACGCTGAATGGCGAGGACCGAGCCATTGACAATTGCTTCGTAACTGTCTTTGCTGAACCCCAAGCTCGTGATTTGGGGGAGCAAATAGTTTAACCAAGCGCCTGGGCCGCTATGACTATGCGTGCCCGTCACAGCTATAGTGTCTTTGGTGTAGGCATCGTAATCTGGACCAAGAGCTCGGAGGTTCTGCAAAATGCCATCACGAATTGCCGTATCACCAGACTGAGTGTCAAGAACAAGGTAAACGACTCTCCTTGAGGGATCTGACACACTCCCGATGATGAAAGCTCTCGTGTAAATACGTTGTCGAAGGCCGGTGCCTGATTGGGCTGTATCAGCATATCCCATCATGTTGATTTCCACCACCGGGCTGCCACAGTCAGCGGAGAGACATCATCAGTGGCATTGGCATAACACACCCTGTAATATCAGCCTTTCCCACACCCAGAAGATAATCGCCTCGGAGTGTCTGCTCGCCATTTCGGACAGTGGGGGGCAGTATGGCACTGATGGGTACTTGGGCAACAGGCAGCAACAAGACCAGTACGATTCCGAAAAGCAGGACCAGACTCAACGTGATGAGAACGTTTGCTGCCGGCTTTCGAGGCATTGTTGAACTCTGCCCGGTCTTCTGATTAGATAGCGCCTGGTGGTCCTTTGGGCTGTGGGTGGCCCAGAGTGATTCTTTTGGAGCAAGGGAGAATGTTCGTCGAGACCATATTCTTCGCCAACGTCAATCATCTGAGGAGACAGATGCTCTTCCGGATGTTTTGATCCAGGCTGTAACTGATGTGCGATCTTGTTTCTGCCCGACAAACAGGAGTCCCTTCGTTTCAGATTGTCATATGAACTTGATTTTAGGATCTTTGCCTGTGGCGTCATCGCTTTTGATAGACGAACCGCAAGAAGCCGCAGGCTGCAGCCACAGAGTCGCACCTGCCCTGATAGAACCAGAGACGCCACATATCCCAGCCACATTTCAGCCACATTATATCTATCACGTGATGATGCCATATATCTTGGCAAATATCAAATAAATCTCGACGTGAACGGGACTCAATTTTATTACCGTCGACAACCGACTTCGACGACCACCCTGTGCCAATCTAGGCCCAGTCGAGACATGCCTCTGATTCTAGAGTCTCAGGGCTCTCTGCCATGTAAGTGGAGCTCAAACATTGACATCGGGAAGTGCTGACCAAATCTAGACATTGACGGCGACCTCTCTCCCCATGAACGCTCTACCGCCCTGAATCTCATCAACAGAGAATTACCCGATGACCATCTCTCCAAAGCCCACCCCTCGCTCGCACCCCTCCCCGAAGTCCAATTCTCCGAGGCGTTCTCCACCGAGATAGAAAGGGCAGGTGCGAAACAACCGATGCAAGGCGGTATTGATGTTTCTCGCTACGAAGCACAAGAAGACCCCGCAGCTGATACCGATGAGGATGCATGGCGCCAACATCTGCGGAGTGCATACATCTCCAGCATGTACCTTTTAGGCAGACAGGCCAACCTGGACCTCTTAGACGAGTACGGTAAAAATGCCTGGCTTGTTTCAAACTCTCAGATGGAATACATCCTACAGGATCTAGAGCAAGAACTGGATCGCGTCAAGAACGAGGTTGTGACGGTGAACAAGGCTCGAAAGCAGGCCCAGGAGCAGTCTAGGGGTGAGCTTCTGGCCCTTGAGGAGACTTGGAAAAGTGGGATTGGCAAGATCCTCGAAATTCAGGTTGCTACGGATAACCTGCGGCAGTTGATTTTGGAAAGCCGACGCAACCTGGGCCAGGCACCTCGCTGACTTGAACCCGAAATGGAAGCTAGCATGCCTTACATTGCAGCAGTATTATTTTCTTCTGGCTACCGTGGGCGAGCATGGCATGACATGGCACGGTGATTACCCACTGGTGGCTTCTCAGACCGTCAGCCAACCGAGCACTCGGCAATGTCCACCGTGCTTGTCTCAGCCAATGCGCACACAGGATCTCCAGTCCATAGTGACGACTTGGAGCTTCCCCTTTTTGTGCACTGGCATCAAAGCCTTTGATCATATGCTATCCCGCCAATTCTGCTGGGCGAGAAAGACTTGAAGCAGTTTTTTTGCTTGGGGTTTTCGCGGCTCCGCCGGGAAACCGGCTGACAGCCACGACAGCCACCAGAATACTGAGACCTGGTAGTCCTCGATTGGGCGGTGAATCCCACAAAAGGTCTTACAGAAGTACGTCAGCAGAAAGAGGGGTTGCTCAAGTATTCAGGGCAAAACTGCGTTGGTCCGGACGACGCATGAGGTACCTCCTCATACCGTGGCCATTGGCATTGGATCAATACCAATCAATGTGACTCTCATGATCCTGAGGAGCTCCCCCGCAGACAGGGGACCCCCACACACAACGAGTACGTGTGGAGCGAGTATCAACTCCCCATGTCAGGAATACGCATGATTGTTGATCGGGATGTGCTCAATTTCAGAATCAATTAGCCTGTAACCCCCACAGGTGGAGAAATGGCATCGATGTTGTCGGGGAAGGTCTTGGTGTGCGGCGAATGTTCGATACGACACCCTTGACTCAACCGGTACTGGATTCGTACCACTCTACTCGCTGTCGAATAACCGCTCTGGTCAAAGTCGACTTCCCCGCGTTTCTTGATCAACGGCTGTCTCGGTTGTGGAAGTTGCTTACGTGGGGCTGTGTACGGAATCCGCATTCCGTTAGTGGCCGCCATGGTTCGCAACCGTTGCTTGGCTGACATGGGCCCAAACAAAGGCTGGTGACATACCGACGCTAGCAGGGAAACTATCTCCAGACGTCGTGGTATGCCACTCGCAACATGCAAAAGAACGGCTTGACTGAGTTTTGTTCGCGTGTCGAGCAGAAAAGGCTATTGAGGTGGATGAGAATCTTCACCAAATCTGGAAGGACAGGGTTTCGAATTGGCTGACTGCAGCTCATCTCCGCTATATGTCTCCACTCAAGAAACACTTGCCTATTGACAACCTTGGCTACGCTTTGCTTCAAAAGGTTCATGGGTTACCTCACTGGCCATTCGTGGTCTATACCAAGGATGATCCAGACCTCTTGGTCTGACGTATCACATACTCATGCCTGATGCACCTCGCTGTCTATCGACAAATTCTGCATTCATCAGCGAACTCTGCCGTGCTACATGTATCTGTTCCCCCGCATTTGCAACCATACCGTCTCTTACACTCTCGTCTGGTGACTTGTACGAGCGACGATCGATCTCAATGGCTTCAAGACTCCTCACTTTGAAGCGGATCCCAAGGGCTCAGCCTGCATTCAACCCCTCTCTCTCCTCTCTCCTCATTTCGAAGGTGGAGAGAATCTGGGGCTCCTCGTAGAAGTATAACAGTGACCATGAAGCTTCTCATTTCACCTCTTCTCTTTTTCCAGCCAGCTCCAGGTCGAGCAACATTGGTTTTGGTTCTTACTTTTATTCATATCGGTTTGTGTCAATCTACATCATCATGACTGTCCCCGACGAGGTAGATATCATTGTGTGTGGAGGTGGTAGTTCAGGATGTGTGCCAGCTGGACGTAAGTGCCTCCTTTTCTCTACAATGCTCTGGAGAGACATGCTGTCTATGGGATGGCATTTCACATACGCTTCCACTGGCACAAACTTCGAGTCCATCCCCTAGCCCAGCATTCAAGCTTCAAGATAAGAACGAAGATCGCCCGTCAAGACAACCTTTGTTCCTTGTTTAGGTTGGGAGGGCGCCAACGATGCATATTAAAGCATGTTGTGTTCTTGTCGAATGGGCTCCACGTCCATATTTCTTGGTTGAAGTGTTGGAACTGGAGCGACTGTTCAAGCCAGAGGTCTTTGCTTTGGATGGAAATGAAGCACTCCCGTTGAAATGATTCGAGAAGCTAACAGTGTCTGCTACTAGGTCTGGCCAATCTCGACCACAATCTGCAGGTCCTCCTCATTGAAGCAGGAGAGAGTAACCTGAATAATCCATGGGTCTACCGACCTGGCATCTACCCCCGAAACATGAAACTGGACTCAAAGACTGCTACGTTCTACTACTCAAGGCCCTCTTCGTGGCTAGATGGACGTAGGGCCGTTGTGCCTTGTGCTCATGTTTTGGGTGGAGGCAGTTCGATCAACTTCATGATGTATGGTGATTCTGCATGGATGTAGCATCATTAACTGACTGACCTCCCCTCAGGTACACTCGAGCTTCAGCAAGTGACTATGGTAATTCGTCAACCCTAACCCTAGCCACAACCCTAACCCTGATCTGACCAATTTTTCCAGATGACTTCCAGGCAAAGGGGTGGACTACTAAAGAGCTTATCCCTCTAATGAGGAAGCATGAGACCTACCAGCGAGCTTGCAACAACCGTGACATCCATGGCTTCGAAGGTCCCATTAAGGTCTCTTTTGGCAACTATACCTATCCAATCATGCAAGACTTCCTCCGAGCAGCTGAGAGTCAAGGTTTCCCTATCACAGACGACCTCCAGGACTTAACAACTGGGCATGGGGCGGAGCACTGGCTCAAGTGGATCAATAGAGACACTGGCAGACGCTCTGATGCTGCCCATGCCTATATTCACGCCACCCGTGCCAAATATCAGAACCTACACCTACAATGCAACACCAAGATCGATCGTGTTGTTATCGAGAACGGCAAGGCTGTTGGTGTGTTAACGGTGCCCACCAAGCCTGTTGGTGGTGCCAACCCAGAACGAAAGTTCTGGAAAGCCCGCAAGCTGGTCATTGTCAGCTGTGGTACCCTGTCATCACCACTTGTCCTTCAACGATCTGGTATCGGTGACCCCGAGAAGCTCAGAAAGGCTGGCGTCAAGCCCGTCGTCGACCTGCCTGGTGTGGGCTTGAATTTCCAGGACCACTACCTCACCTTCTCCACATATCGAGCTAAGCCTGATACCGAGTCATTCGATGACTTTGTCCGTGGTGTGCCTGAGGTTCAGAAGGCTGTCTTTGACGAATGGAACATCAAGGGCACAGGCCCACTTGCTACCAACGGCATTGAAGCTGGTGTCAAGGCCCGCCCCACCGAACAAGAGCTTGAAGAAATGAAGAGCTGGCCCACGCCAGACTTCAGTCCTAGTGGATGGGAGAGTTACTTCAAGAACAAGCCAGACAAGCCAGTGATGCATTACAGCGTGATTGCTGGATGGTTCGGCGACCATTTGGATATGCCCCCTGGCAAGTTCTTCACCATGTTCCACTTCTTGGAGTACCCCTTCTCTCGGGGTTTCACCCATATCGTGTCACCAGATCCATACGAAGCACCCGACTTTGATGCTGGCTTCATGAACGACAAGCGTGACATGGCCCCCATGGTCTGGGGCTACATCAAGTCTCGAGAGACGGCCCGCCGTATGCAGGCATTCGCCGGTGAGGTCACAGGCATGCACCCTCACTTTGCCTTTGACTCTCCAGCCCGTACTGGCGACATGGATGTGGCTACTCGCAATGCCTATGGCGGTCCCAACCATCTCACCTCCAATATCATCCACGGCAGCTGGACCAACCCCGTGGATGCTGGCACACCAGCCAATACTGCCTTCCTCAACTCGAATTGCCAGCCCTTCCGAGCCGAGCTCAAGTACTCCAAGGAAGATAGTAAGTCGTTCATTCTCTGAAGCCCTTGCCCTTCACCTTCATCACAGTTCACTGACATTGGATTCTAGTTGCCCATATTGAGAAGTGGGTACAACGCCACGTTGAGACCACATGGCACTCGCTCGGTACATGCAGCATTGCTCCACGTGAAGGCAACAGCATCGTGAAGCATGGTGTCTTGGACGAGAGACTGAATGTGCACGGCGTCAAGAACTTGAAGGTCTCTGATCTTTCAGTTTGCCCCGACAATGTTGGCTGCAACACCTTCTCGGTAAGATAACACCCCAGTCCTCCCCATCACCAACACCTAGTTCAATTACTGACAAAACATAGACCGCCCTCCTCATCGGTGAGAAGTGTGCTGTCCTCTCTGCCGAGGACCTTGGCTACAGCGGTGCTGCCTTAGACATGAAGATCCCCACGTATCATGCTCCTGGTGAAACCATCAGCCTCAACCGCTTGTGAGTGGGTCGGGTGGAAGCTTCTGATCTGAAATGAAAGAAATGAAGAACTGAACCTGAATTCATGTGGACATGAAAAGGAATGGGGAAAAAACTGGCCAAAATTGTCACCAAATTGAGATCTGACCTACGCGTCCATTTAGCTGAATTACCCACCTTAGGCAAGGACCTGGATCCATTTAGTCGACTAGCTAAAAAGAACAATACGACACGCTTGCCCGCTCAAGGGCTCGTTCTTCTGAAAACGTAACTTGCTTCTGTTTTGAAATACTGGGTGATTTGATTGTGTCTTGATGAGTGACTTTGTGAGACTCGACAGCTCTTTCTCCAGTGAAGGAAGAGGTAAGAAACTAGATCGCGTCAAAGCATAAAGCACGTACATAAGGTATGGCATCTCCCGGCGTCCTCGTGTAGAGTGTGCCCCTGGTCTGTTGATAACGACGCCCTCCTCATCGACAACGAGGAGGGACGAACAACTTGAAACCTTTCACCTTCAATCCGACAAGAGAAGGTAAACGTAACACTCTGATAGGAGAATGGACATTCATCATCGTATCGTAGTCTTTGAGTTTACTGTTTTGATTTATTCATACTAGGTAGTAGTATAAGGCTATGGCCGTGCGTCGGTCACAATTTTGGTGTTTTGTTGTCCAATCTTCGTTTACTGCGCAATAAATACACTCCATAGGAGGTATGTACCATGGAACATCACGTTTGTCGACCCAGAGCTGCAGTAGCCTCCGTTATACACTGCCATGCATCTTCGTCGGTGACATTACCAGGTCCAAGGTAGACATTGCGAGCTGGGTACTTGCAGTGTTTTCGTGTGAAGATAGGAGTTCCAGGAGGAGGTCCAGGGGGTCCAGGTACTCCAGCTGGTGGAGGAGGAAGACTATAGCCTCTGATGAATTCTGGTGCGGTTCCATTTTCCACCCAGTTCATAACCGCCAGGAGAACATTATCTTCAGCTGACTGCGGCCGTGGGTTGGAACTCTGTCCAATATCAGCTGCACCTATGCCACCTCCACAATGACTCATGCCGGAAATCCGGAAATATCGATAAAACTCATCGAGACTAGACGGTGGCAGGCCCATGGTCGTGGCCAGATGAGTGTAATATCTCGCTGAATTGTCGCTACTGATCAAAGGGTCCACAAGACCGTGATAAGTCAAGAGTTTGGATCCCCTAGCAGAAAATTCACTCAGATTGCCCGACCAAGTGCTGATGCCAAAGGGGTCCAACTTCTCCGCATAAGCAACATCTTCGAGGCTGGTGGTTTTGGGGTCGAAGGTCGAGTCGTTGTACACGACATAGCGCATCCAGTCGGTCGCATAAGGGAATGGGTTGCCTGCGTAGAGGATTGGATATGCTGCGAGTTCGGCTCCTGGCTGCATGCGAGGATAGACTAAGGTCCCGTTTAGGCCGTAGAACGGGGAGAGAATGGCATTCACACGTTCTAGTTGTCCTGAGTTGAGACAAGTGCTGGTATTGGTGGCGTTGGGTGAACACAGTAGAGACGTGAACGTTGGGTAACACAGGTCGGGATCTTCGAGGATACCATCTTCTGCTCCGTCGAGAGCGTCACATTGCGAAAGCACAGACTGAGCCACTAGCGCCCAATGACCCACAGTGACAAAGCTTGAGGAGTTAGTGTCGTAGCCGGCGACTTGAGTGAGATATTGGCTCCAGGATTGCAGTCCGTTGAAGTCAAAGGCAGGAGCTCCTGCCACAATGCCATCTGCAAGTTGTCAGTCCAGTGCGTTCTAGCAAGCGCAACAGAATAAAGTACTTAGGTACTACTAGGTACCTAGCATGGGAGTGTTCGGCAGAATGCTCCTGCTCGATAGACATGACTTACCAAAAGTGTCGGGGTAGCTCTGGGCCATCTTCATGCCTTGTCGACCACCAGTAGAGCATCCAAGATAATATGAGTAACTTGGATCCTCTCCATAGAAACTGGAGGTGATATTCTTTCCCAACACAGTGCCTGTATAGACGGATCGCCAGGCAAAGTCTTCTACGACCCCAGAACTCTCTGCAAATGCTGTTCCTCCGGTGCCGTTATGACCATTGTTTGCTCCGACCGCTGCAAAACCGAACGAGTTTGCATATGCTATATCTCCGTACTGGATACATCCTGATATACCTCCGTTGCCAGTGCTGAGGAACCGTCCATTCCACTGAGCAGCAGGGGGAAGCCAGGCCTCGAGCGTAATTCGAGAGCTGTCGCTAGTGTTGACCGTCATGGCCAACCGACATATGTCGCCGCCATAGATGATAGTATATGCTTGGCCACATGTAACGTTCTAGAAATGATGTCAGTCCTTGCTCTATGGGTTGGACTGCTCTGTGTGGTGGGACTCACATTGTAAGGGAATGTCAAATTTGTGCCATTGGGGACGAACTCGGCAATATCGACAGAGACATTTGGTAGGTCTAATGATCGACCAAACGATGCGCAGTCGTCACTGGTGGAATTGTCAGAAGAAGTTTGCGCAAAGACTCCCTTCAGTGCATTCAGGGAGAAAATAAGCAGTAAACTTGCTGTGGCGCCTTCAATGCGGACCATGATGAGAGAGCAAAGATATCCTGGCTGGCGGCGACTCCATACTGCGAACCGAGCAGAGTATAGCCAGGATTAAGTATGGTCTCTGCCATCGCCATCATGGTCACGAGGACTGCTCTTTCGATCTCGTGGTCAATGTGCCGTTGAGCCTTGTGAATGTACGGCTTCAGAATTCGGCATATGAATTTCGAAGGCCCAGAAGATCTCTGCACAAGGATGATGGGGGAATATCTGGCTATGACGTGGAGAAATCGAAGAGGTGCGGTGGCTAGGTGGAGCTAGAAGTTGAGGAAAGTCAACGGCAGAATTCGCTTGGGTGACTCAGTACACATGCTTAACCAGAAGAAGGTCGCACATGCATGACCGACGAGGCAACTTGGGGAAGCCTGTGGTTAAGCCTATAGGGATGGTTCTTAGATGTTCTTACTAGGGAAAATCAAGTCATTGATCCACCTAACTTAGCGAAGCAAAAAAGAGGAGGCTCACCCCGTGTCGGTCCAAAAGTAAGTCCTGGAAGGGTCTCACGGTGTATGGCCCATGTACCTACCTACCTACCTACCTAGTAAAGTACCTATCGACTCCATAGATCGACCGTTGGTAGTATTCCCCGCATTCTCGGATCAGGCACTTTTCTAAACTTGATCGAAGTAGCGATTGCTAGCTTCGATCGGCAGTTGAAGGACTTTCAAGGTCAGGTAGTACTTAGGTACCTGACTTACTTACTACCTAGTAGTACTAAAGCTACTAGTAGCTAGTACTCTACCTAGGTAGTTCTATTGTTTTGGAAGCACAAGTCCTGTCGCACTTTCCAGAATGACTTGTGACTAGGTACCAAACATACTTATCCAGGAATAAAAGGCACCTCGGGACTTATTTGCCGACATGCAGTTGTTGTCCCCTCTATGGCGCCCATACTTTACTCGGCACTACAGGAGGTCTTAGTTGTACCTACTACCTAAGTACTTTACTTACTAGGTAGGTAGGTACTAGAGTTACTGACTTGTGGACATCGCTGACGGTATGAAAAAGATAGAAGCTGGCTGAGAAATGAAGCCTGTATACTTTTTTTACCTACCTACTTACCTACTTAGTACTTACTTACTTAATACTTACTTACTTTAATTATTGAATGATGTAGTAAAAAAGGAGTAGGTACTTGTAGTATCCAAATAGTAAATCAGGCTTGGTATCAGCAAGTAGCGTGAGTACTACTGTAAGTAGGTACTAGGTAAGTACCTGCCAACTTACCAAGGGTATCGTCTGCCTGAACAATCCCACGACGTAAAGCATCGTGGGCACCTTGCACCTGCTGCTAAGTACCTAGTACCTATTAGTATGGGTACTTCCTACGTACCATGTACAGTGTCCATGTCCCTGCCTGTACCTGGTACCTAGCTAAAGTACCTAGGGTCTCTCCATCCTGTGAAGACTCTCTCGGAACGCACAGTTCAAAGGAAACTCAACCCAGTCACGCTCGCATAAGCACACCCACGGAAGCCTGCTCCTTACTTTCCTCGGTAAGTACCTTAGGTACCTAGGTACCTAGGTACCTACAGCCTGACTTCTGAATGTGCGCTGAAAAGGAAGAAAAAAGCTCCGGCCTGGGTCGCTTTCAGCCCATTCTATTCAACCCAGGCAGGAACCGGTTCTAAACCGAGTCAACTTCTATCTATAAGCTGTGGCAGCTTTTATAGTAGTACCTGCTAGTACCTCCAGCGATGCACCAAGTACTACCTAGGTAGGTACCTTAGTACTGTACTGCTGCTCATAAAACAGGTCCAAAGCGCGTCCAAGCCGAGAGATCCAAATCGAGCTCAAACGGATCTCAACTCGATTTCCACTTTTGGTTCAAATCATGCCTCAGTAGAGGTTCAGTTCTCATGTGCCGGCCGACACACACCCCTCTTCCACCCATCATACCCAGAGACTTTGGGTAACGAACCACGTCCTTCTCTGGATCAGTTTAGCACGCCAAGTTACCTTTACCCACTTACAACCCTTGAGGCTTGTGTAGGGGCTCAAAGTTTAGTGGAGAAGCCCAGACTCCACTGCCCACACTGCCTTCATCTTAAACCACTCCTCAGTAGTGAGTGGTACAGCTGTTCCGGCTTCGAACTTAGGTGTCACCAGGATCTCTGCTGCTTCGAAACTGTGCCAAATGCGGTTGCGGTTTCTTAAATGCGTCCTGGAGACGATGAAATTCGGCTAAAGTGGTTTCTGAGGAGCATGCTGGGTCATAAGGGAGGGGCAAAAATATAACATTTGTAACTGTTGTAATATACCAGTAACATACTAGTCTAAAAACAGCTAGCGCACAATCCAAGTTCAAAAGACAAAAACAATCAACAGCCAGGATTCCCAAATGGTCACCCACTTTAGTACTAACTGACCGGCATATGGCTTAAGTATGGCTGAGCGAACGGGAAGCCCTGTTTTCCATATCCTATGGTCGATTGCGAAAGGAATTTGTCACACCAAAATTATAATTAGCGTATTTTTAATCTCGCTTGAACAGCTCATACACATGGGTGTCTCTGTATTGCCCCACCCCCCCTAACTTTGACTCATGTTCCAGGCACCACCCAAGGGCACCTAGGGATCTAGTCACATCTCCTGCCTATTCACCACCCCAAGATAGGAGTCCTCTCCATCCACTCCAAACAATGGGATCCCCAAGTACTCACATCATTGATACCGGCAATACTACTACGTGAGGTCTTAATACCTAGTATATACTATTATTTCTTGACGGCCAGCTCCCATCTCTAAGCATAGGTACCTCTTTTACTGTACCTCGGAGAGCATCAAGTACCTACCTACCTATAGAACGATGTATTCGACATAGGGTTTTGCCCGAGGTTCTTCTACTGTGTATCTGAGTGTCCGTAGTAACCTTCGGTACGTTCCATTCCCTAGAGAAACTCCACTAATTGCCATCGACCTACGGAAGTCCGAAGGTCTGAACGTGGAGACAAGGGAGTCATCGAGTACCGAACAAAAAAGGTTTACACCCTATGCTTTAGGAAAAGAATTAGATTCCTTGTACTTTTGTAAAGTACCTACTTCTATTGATCATCCTCCAACTTCGAAATTCCCTTCAGTAATCACCACATCTACAGAACCGACCATCATATTGCTCAGCAAGGAAGACCGCAATACTACTGTACCTACCAATCCAGGCACTCAGACACGTTCCTCGCGATGCCTCACACCGCCAGACCCCGACCTCACGACAACTTACCATCAGAGCGCTATCAAGGTCGCGCTTCTGTTGGACAGCCGCCTTCAAAAGAAAAACGAAAGGAGTTTGCGGATGATACACTATCGAGAATTCCCAGCGTCCTCAAAATCATGGGTTTACCCGAGCTACCAGAATCGGCTTTCTTCTCATCACAGCTTAAAGAACTTGACAGTAACGTCAGCCAGGGATACCCGACACCCAAGGTCAAGGTTCGCTATGGTGACACCTTCTGTCTGGCTCGAGACCTGCTCAAGTCCCGACCCGACTACACCGGCAAAGTGGCTGTACTGAATTGCGCCTCTGACACTGAACTTGCTGGAGGTTGGCGGCATCGGTTTGGAACAACTCAAGAGGATGCCCTCTGTTATTCTTCCACACTTTGGCCAACCCTTGATAAATGGAATAGCGTCTATCCCTGGCGCACGACAGTTCAAAGAGACGGAAATCCAGGAGGATGTGCGGGGATATTCCACCCCAACGTGGTCATATTTCGGGACGAGTTGGCCAAAGACTGCCGCGTCCTCGAACGGAAGGCCTGGTCAATTGTGAGCGTTATCAGTGTTGCAGCTTTAGCTTGTCCTCCTCTGGTACCAGCACACAAGTCCAGAGGCAACCAGGACATGCAATTGAAGCTCGAAAAGGATGTACATACGCTCAAAGAAAGGTACAGAATGATCCTACGGATGGCCGCGAGACACGATAAGAGTGTGTTGTTGTTGGCCGCAATTGGCTGTGGGGTATGGAAATGTCCTCCAAGGCAAATGGCGGAGCTCCTCAAGGATTGTCTAGAGGAGGGGGAGTTCCAGGGATGGTTTGAGGATGTCTGCATCGGAATCGATGACAAAAAAGTCCATGATATTTGGCGAGAGGTGTTGGATTCTGGAACTTCGTAATAGAAAGGTACACAATCAGCCCGTGACTAGACAAAGATCTAATCACACCAATGAGATGGTGAATGCTCCAAAGTGTCTCTCTGGCTTCTTGTACGTAAGTTGTCCCAAGTGAGACCATATCAACCTGCGTACGATTCATCTTTTAGCAATTAAGTCTAGTCTTCAACGAAGGAGGTACGTACATGGTTATACTATTGCCTGATGCTTGAATTGGTACCTACTCAGCACGACTGGAATAGTAAGGTCCATCTCATCTCTGGCACCAAGGTTGCTGCAGTACTACTTCTCCCTTCCCTCAACCATTTGACACTTTGGTGCTTTTTGGTTGATCATGCTACCTCAACTTGTTTCGCTCCGCCGCCCTTTGTTGTCTCCAGTTCCGTCACCTCGATTGTTGATGCTAAGCCCTTTGCCTTGACCTCAGCGTTGGCAATATCGGCAACATCGACCGTGTCACCGTCAAAGAACTTGGCAATTTCTTCCATGGGCGTGTATCTAGTCTCCACGATGAAGAAGTAGACGATGATGACTTCAAAACCAAGGAACACACAGTAGAACAGGTAGTACTTCCAGGCAAGAGCGTCCAGGGCGATAGCATTGATGTACTCTAGATCTCTGGTTAGTTGAGGTGGCCTAAGGAAGAGAGAGCTGTGAGCTGGGGAAAAGAAAGGGGAAGAACTCACGGTTAAAGAAGAGAGCGGCACAAACGCAAAAGTTCAACCATGTGAAACCTTTGGCTCGGAGACCATAGGGGAGGATTTCAGTCTGTCGAAATAGGTTAGTCACACACGATCTTCCTCTCCATAGCCCGTCCATATATGTATGTCGGGTGACGAGATACACTTACTGTATAGTTAGCCATAAGACCAGACTTGAAGTCGTAGAACCATCCGTAGGCGAAGATCATGAAGACAAATCCAATGCCTAGACTTTTGTTGGGTGTATAAGCGTATCTAGCAGAGATAATTGTCCAGATGTTGAAACAGACCAAGGTTCCAATGGTAGAGATGAGATAGATCGGCCGTCTTCCAATCTTGTCAATGAAGAATGAGAAGAAGAAGTTGAAGACCAGGCCTTGAGTTTTCAAGCCACCGTTGATTCCGAGCTGTGTGTTGGGATTTGTAATTCCGACTTCGTCCATGACTCGTTTGAGGTAGTACGAGATGAGGCCATTGCCACTCCACTGTGAGAAAAAGCCAATGGCCGTAATAATACCAATTCGTCTTCGATTGCCTGGAGTTCGAAGGAAGTCAACCCAAGAATTTTGACCGGTTTCCTTGTCCAGCTCAATGGCGGCTCGGATTTCAGCATATTCAAGTTGAATGAACTCGTCCTCATAATTTCCCTCTGCATGATACTTGGCTAATATTCCTAGGGCTTTCTCATGTTTATCTTTCATCATCAACCAACGAGGAGACTCGGGCATGAACCAGATCATTGCGAGGATGATTAGCGTGCAAATTGCTTGGAGCAGGCTGGGGAGTCTCCAGCTCCAGTCACTCTGTGTGAAGAGTCAGCAAACCAGGTATTACCCAGAAGAGTATTTTTCAGGGAGAGAAAATCATGCTTACCTGGATCTGAAGAGTTCCGTACGTGACCCAGCTAGCAATAAAAGCCCCAGAGTGATAGGAAGCGCCTGACAAGGTGACCAAGATTGCACGATCCTGGGGATGAGAGATCTCGGCGATCAACAGGGGTGCGGAACCAAGGACGATGGTGTCTCCAAATCCCAAGATCAATCTTGCAGCAATGAACATGCCAAAATTTTGAGCGCCGGACTGGAGTGCTACAGCAACCAGCATGATGATGCAACCGATGACAATGCCGGACTTTCGACCAAGCCAATCGATAATGTATGGATTGAAGAACAGGCCGCAGAGAGAACCAAGACTCATCGAGGCATTGAAGAGACCAAGGGTGGAGCCCTTGGGATGGTTGAAGAACTCCTGCCAATAGACCAAGCTCTGCATACCGTTCATCATGCTACCATCGAAGCCATTTGCAGTGTTTGTCATGATGAGAACGATGATGTAAATGTAAAGGGTTCGCATGTTCTTGAGCCTCCACCATGGCAGGCGAGGGAAGGTCCGGCCTGCAAAGAAAAAGTGGCCCTTGGGAGGCTTCTGGGGGATCACTGTTTGCGTACGCTTCAAGGTACGGGGGCGAAGCGAGAACCCCATGGTGACGGTCTGATGAGAATTGTGGTATTATGGCAAGGAATGAAACGAGAATGGCTTGCCTTTCGAGGCATTATTTCTGGCTGTTCCTCGAAGTCTTATATCAACGAATGGTCTGCCGCCCCAAGAATCCCGCTCGAGCAACAATGGTCACACTCCGCGGTCTCTGGGGTAAAGTTGTGGAGAATTGGAGCCTCGGCAGACTGCACATATTGGATGTCTCCACCGACAGACGTTATTTGCCTGATATTGAAGGCCTTGGGCTTGGGGATATCAAGATAAGGAGAGGGCATATAGTGCACTTTTAGCCAGAGTCACGACCCTCGAACGATCAAACCCTCGAATCCTTGACGGGCGAGTGGAAGCGCCATTCTGGACCGACTGCTGGATCCAGTTCGGAACGGCGGTGGAGAGCGCTTGGAGGCTTGAAGTGACCATTTGAACCTTCCCGATATCGCAGAGATGCGGTGTGACCACCATATTTCCGTGTCTGAACCTGGACAAATCCCCGGCGGTCATCCTTGTGGCTGAAGGAATTGGAGGCTTGCAGCTCGTCTCGAAACGAGCGATCAAGCGATAGGTCGGATCTTGAACGGGCCCTAGGCGCCAAGCTGTCGATCTGACGGGCTTTCAACGCCTTGAGTTCTGCTTGGATGGCTATCCCCAAGCTTGAATTCAGACCCCTGGGGTACTCTGTACAACTACCGAATATTTCAATGGATTCCTTGACCTTGCATACCAGTCTTGGGACGATTTTGAATTCAGGATTTAGGCAGAAATGCACAGACCTGCTGTAGTCGGCATTTGTCTCCAACGACTTAGATAATCCTACATCGATGATCCAGGGTTTACCGACGTTTGACAACTCTAGTCCACCGTTGTTGGAAATATTCGGCAGTGAGCAAATCGCCTGTTTCAATCAATTTTAAGCTATGGTCCCTGAGAACCACCATGGTAGAGGCACTTGGTACAGAGCTAGGAGCTATCCCTGTTCAGTCTATTTTCAAGGTCGAGAACTCGACCTCGACAGAACCACTGCTTGCCACCGTAAATATACCGACCACTGGTCCCACGAAGTCAGGATCAGTCATTTCTAAAGTGTCCAGATGCATGACCTGCTTCCAAGCGCCTCTGTCTCGATAAGACAGGCGATATTCGGTCTCGGCATATGTGATCTGGAACTCGATCACTCCAACGGGCTCCGTGAGCTCGCTCTGAATCACCCGGTGCAATTCCTTGGCCTTGTTCTTCTTTTCCGCCATCACAGCCTTTTTGGATGAGTCGTAAAAAATCCTGATGTAGCGGTGTTCATCTTTATAGACCACCAGCCCTGCTTGATAATCCAGTGTTTGGTCGTCAAGTCTAAGGCTCACCGAACTGGCACCGTCTAACTGTCGTTGCCGCTTCCCAACGAACGTCGGCGAGTCGGTAGGGTGGGAAAGGTCAATATTTGTCGCAGTGAGCTTTATGGTCCCTTTAGAGTCATCATAAATGTATAGGCTCAAGTCAACATCGCGGATGTAAAGATAGTCCACGTTTGATTTCGAGGTGATATGTTCAGGGCTCGGCGTCCTCGACAGTGTGGTTGGGTCAGATTTGACGCGGTCTAGCGACGGCCACTGCCCAACTGGCCACGATCCATGAGTCAAGAATGTCTCTCTGCCCATGATGAACCTCTTGCCTTGGTCTTTTCTGACCCCGAGACATACACCCCACCATTCACCTTTCTGGTCCTGGAAAACATCCGAGTGGCCAGTGTACTGGATATATTCGTCTGTACCCTTTGCGGTCAAAATGGGGTTCCGTTCGTACTCCTCGTATGGTCCCCAGATATCGCTTGATCTCGCGGCAGTAATCATGTGGTCTCCATGAGTGCCTCCCTCTGATATTAGAAGGTAATACCAGTCGTCTCGCTTGTAAATGTGGGGCCCTTCAGGGTAAATACCGCCTGTGCCATCCCAGATTTTCTTCTCCGCGGATATTTTCTTCCCTGTGGCCAGATTGATCTCGAAAAGATGGATCTTGGTCATGGGGCCAGGAGCGGCAGAACCATGTATGTATGCTTTGCCATCTTGGTCGAAAAAGAGGCTGGGGTCAATCCCCTGGAATTCGAAATAGACAGGATCAGACCACTCGTCAGACCAGATGTCGTGAGTGGACACAATGAAATTTTCGGTGACATCTTTTGTCGAGCCCTCATTGTGAATGACATTAGTACAGACAACGTAGACTATGCCATTATGCTGTCTAATGGTGGGAGCATATAGTCCACCGGTTGCAAGCATAACTTCGCCAAGATCTTCCAGGGGGACGAGTGAAGTATCAGACAAACGGAGGCTCAGCTGAGCTCTTCGATTGATGGCATTTCCAATCTGCCTCCAGGATATGAGGTCCTTCGAGGCGTATATTGGAAGGCCTGGAAACATGTGAAAGGTGGAATTGACGAGGAAGAATGTGTCGTCTATCAAGACGACTGATGGATCTGGGGCAAAGCCCGGGATGATTGGATTAACTGTTGTTTGGGGCATTGTTGTAACTGTGTAGTGCGAACACTACAAGGCTGTGTCGATTAGGGGTGCTGCTCTACTTCAGCTAGGGCGAGGAAAAGTGGTGACACACGGCAAGGGCAAGATATACTGGACCACTCGTCCGGGTAAATTGTGATTTATCCCATGGGACTGCCCACCGGCCGGTGGACCATATTTGACCTATTTTTAATGAGTTAACCGTATAGGGAGAGGGTTAAGCCGGAGGACTATGATCCTACAGGTTCGGGAGAAAGGCGATTACATTCTCTTATTGACGATGAACAGGTGACTTCATAGGAAGGATGATATCCAGTTCTGTCACGTGTTGCAACACGTGATTGAAGAAGTACCAAAACTACTAAGCAGTCCGCCGTACTGATTCTATGGCACATCTTTCGGCGCAGACTGCAACTCTGGATGCTTGGCACAGGGTTTCCTTCGTTCCTTCCTTCTTTCCTCCCTTCCAAATGCCCACAAAATTCTCTGAGCGGAAAAATTTGTTCCCTCTTCTTTCATTCATGATTGATGTACTATAAACTACGTTTTATCTCTCAGCGGAAGTATCGTGCTTGCAAAATGCCCTGTCCTAGACGATGGCCTGAGCAGGCACAGCAGGCGTAGGAGAGTAACGCTCACCGCCGCACGATCCACCCTAGCGCGGCGGGTGTCCCCATCCCCAGCTCCGTGCCACGAACCATTGGATCGACATCCATTGTCCAGGCCTGCCCAAGTCTCCCAAGCTCCAATTGATGTCATCCTCAACATCCACTAATTACCAGCCGTCTCAGAATCTGAACGACGTCAATCTGCAGGTCTCAGACATCACGAATCGACGATAACAACGCTCCATCACCTATCAACATGGGCTCCCCGAGCCTGGTATCCTGGCCTGGGACCACAATTCCTCCCGCTTACCACTTGCTCGCGGTCACTCCATCCCAAAACCTGGCCACGGTGAGCTCATTGATGATCTCCATCAATTACTGCCCGTTTGGAGCTGAACGGCTCTGATTTCCCTCATGGCTTGATGCTTTGTTTGTTGGTCATGAAGCCATTCCAAACCCCGTCTCTTGAATGCTTCAACTTGACCAAGCAACGATTCATTCAACGTCAATTGTTTTGATCTTTGTTTTCTTGATAATATCTCTAACCCTCTGCAGCGGCATGCATCTTGCTTGTGAATACTTCCCAGCCCTTTGATTTTCGCCACCCTCGATCAATGGCCTCTCTGATTTGCTAGACGTCGAATTCCACCCCAAGGCGAAGCCGCCCCAGATGGAGTCCACCAGTCACATCCCAGCACGCTCAACTTCCGTCACCCCAGGTCTCACTTGTGTCTCTCCACGCCCTCTAAAAGAGCATCGGACTGAAAAAGGTCCGTCTTCATCGCCGGTGTCAGACTCTAATCAGCAGTGTCACGACGAACAAATCCGCCGCAATTCTGCATTTCTCGAAGTTGGACTTGGTGGTAACGATGCTATTGTCGACGCAAAATTGAGACGAGCCTCACGTCCAAAACTGCAGGTTCGCTTTCGAAGCAAAGTCGACATTGTCGAACCTGAGGATACCGACCAGTTCGACCCAGATCCAACTGCCTCGTGTGCTCCAGAGGCAATGCCCGCTTTTTTTCCGACCTTGCCTAGGCTCCTGTTCCTGGTTCTTGCTATCGTCCTCATCATCCCTAGCCTTCACACCTCTCCATTATTAAAAGTCGACGCAAATCCCGTCTCCTCTACGTTTGGCCTAAATGACGGGCTGCGACAGATATCAGGTCGGAAGGAAGCACTTCTACCTAAAATAGAAGAGAGACAAGACACCTCAACGACGGTCTGTAAGAGATGGGCTGCACAGAGCGCTTTGGTAAATGGAACTCTGTACTATTATGGAGGCCGATCCACAAGCTCCTCCTCGCAGACGTCAGATACCTGGAGTCAGTACATCTTTGCTCGAGGTAATTCTCGCTACTAATTCGTTTACAGACAATGACTTCCTGAGCCTCGATCTTACCACGTCCTGGCAGATTTCCACTCCTGCTCTAACAGCTTTACCTCGCCCAAGGGGGCCTCCCGCTGTCTCCCTCGGCTATCTCTGGCATTCATACGATGCATTATACCTTTATGGTGGACAGTTTTCTGACAATCCTGTCGCTGAACCGGATCCGTTTTCCACCTGGATGTGGGATATCGCGACATCATCCTGGTCGGAACTGGACGAGCCACGTACAGCTGAAGGTGAACATTCCGAGCCCGCCAACCAGCCGGTCCAGCGATCTGCCGAAGGTGCGGGGGCTTCTGTGCCTGGCCTTGGTCGTGGTTTCTATTTTGGTGGTCACCTCGACGGCTATACAACGCCTGGCTGGTCACAATCCATCGCACGTGTGTATCTGCGAGGGTTGCTCGAGTACACTTTTCCAGGCTATCGCAATCCATCAGTAAGTAGCGGCGCCGCGGCAGGGGCTGATGGCATCTATCGAAACATCACCCAAGGAGGGATTCAGGACTCGGATGGATTTCCTGAACGTGCCGATGGCATTCTTGTTTACGTGCCTGGATACGGCGACTCAGGTGTGCTCTTGGGACTGGCTGGGGGCACCAACGCAACCTTTACGCAAATGAATGTGATTGATATCTACGACATTGCATCCTCGACCTGGTATAAGCAGGCAACATCAGGACCCACACCCGACATCCGTGTGAATCCATGTGCCGTGGCCGTTTCAGCCGCTGACGGCAGCTCAACCCAAGTTTACATGTACGGTGGTCAGAACCTCATCCCCTATGGTGAGCAGATTCAGTATGACGACGTGTGGATCTTGACCATCCCATCATTTACTTGGATCGAGGTGGATACCTCGGATCAGTCTACACCTCCAGCTCGTGCAGGACATTCGTGCGAAGTATGGAATTCGCAGATGATCGTTGTAGGTGGGTACGTGGGACAGGATCTCTCGTGCGATAGTCCCGGCATCTACGTGTTCAACACCAGTTCCCTAAGTTGGCAGAATACTTACAATGCATTGGAGACCGAGGATGATTTGAATCGGCCTGAGAGCCAACGGGATGATCCTCTCGCACTTCAGGGATCATATGGATATGCCGTTCCCCAACAGGTTCAATCAGTTATCGGAGGAAATGCTGTTGGGGCGGCCACAGTGACATCACCTGCCCAGACGGCAACGGATGGACCGATGGCCACGGGTGCACCACGAACATACACAGTGACTAACAGCGATGGATCTGTGGCAACCCAGACATCGGCATCGAATGGAGGATCAGGAGAAGGCGGAAATGAAACTTCTTCGAGCGGGCCCAACACTGGAGCCATAGTTGCGGGGGTTATTGCTGGATGTCTGGCGATCCTGGCAGGATATCTGGGATTCTGCGTGTGGGTGTATCGACGGCAGTTGCAGATCTACAAGAACCACAGCACCATGTCCCAGCAGCAACAATCGGATCCCCGGTGGGCTGGGGGAGGTTTTGCGGCTGGCGGTCAGCTAAGCAAGGAGGAGAAGAGCCAGTCGAGTGGAAGTCGGACGAGCGCCGACAACCGCAGCGGTCACGAGACTAATTCGACGGGGGCGAGAGCGAATCCTCTGGCAAGCAACAACCCTTACAGAACTGTGCCGGGTGGTACAGGCTCGGCAACAGCAGCCAGTAGCACCGAGAATCTTATGGCTGGACAAGAGCCGAGTTTCCTAGGAGTGTTCTTGAACCCTCGTCGAAGTTTGCGGGTGGTGAATCGGGACTGAGACTGTATGAAATTGTGGATGAAGAAATGAAGAGCCCTCTCAACAGGCTGGGAGGGCACTCGGACGAGAAAAATGCGATTTTAGGAAGTCTGCGAGAAGACTAGGCCCTGGTCTCTGGCAGACTCAGCTCGCTGGTAAACAGGGATTTTTGATGAATTTTGGATATACCCAAATAGTTAGTCACGGCGAGCGTATTGATTGGCGACGCCATTGCAAGGAGTTATATAATGGCAGGACGGATCTCCTAGTAGGTCGACAAGGCAGTCAATACGAAATGGGATTTTTTCACGCGCATGGTATATTTTATACTGGCAGTTTGTCCTCGAGTTCCACACCTAGTAGCGCTGCAACTCCTGCTAGGCCACATGAAGTGGATCCATCTCGACCGTCGACGAAGAAATGGACATCACGCTTGACCTGATCCATAGACTCGGACAAGTCCTCTGTTTCTCGTTGAATATAGACGGTCTTGAAGCCAACGTCCTTTGCAGCACGCAGATCATAGGCATGGGCAGCCACCATAAGAGTCTCATGTGGACGGGCTGCAACGAGGTCGAGGGCCCGCAGATAGAAATTTGGATCTGGTTTGGTGAGGCCAAGCAGTTGGCTGGAGAAAAGCATATCGAAATGCAAGTTAGATGAGCGGGCCAAGTCGACCTGGAGGCGAGTGGTGCCGTTGGCAACGACATAGACCTCGTACTTGGCTCTGAGATGCTGCAAAGTCATCGATATATCAGGCCAGGCCCGCATCGCATGCCATGAGCGAACAGCAGCAGCTTGTTCAGCTTCGCTCAACGACCAGTCTCCAAACTCATGCTCGAGTAGTTGTGCGAGGAGTCGTGCGTGAGTGCGGTCAATATCCTCTGGTGGCAGTCCCTTCTCGAACCGAGAGTGGATATCGGCGAAGAAACTCTCCCGCCATGCTAGCGAAAGCTGTGTCCTTGTCGACAGAGGAATTCGGTCAGGAAACGATGCCGTTACCCCAGTATGCCAGTCAAGACATGTTCCCATAAAGTCAAAGAAGATGGTAGTGATGCCTTGGAGCGACGGGTCCATCATAGCCATAGCGGCATAGTATGTGGGTTTTTTTGTTCTCACCGCTGCCAGATTAATAGAGTTGTCATATCACATATAGTCCAAGTAACGTCTGGCATATGGTATTGAGCTCAAACATACTTACAGTGTGATGGGAGACTGGTTGTCAGAGTCTTGCGAATGGAGGCAGTGGTTCAATACACGTGACTAGAAGCGGACCTTACCGCTATTCGAGGACGATCACACCATCGAGGGTTCAGGTGAGGATCCTCCTCCACGATTCAAGGTGGGGGGACATGGAGTCAACAAAGGAGAATTCAAGCAGGTCTTGATGTAGTTTTTGGCTGCAAATTCACAGTGTCTATCACCTACCAACGAAAGATGCTTATGATTGAAGCTTCTCACTACCACGATTGACGAAATGAAAACTTAGCCCCAAGGATCTCGACATTGTCATTGTGAAAGATCGTCAAGACTTTGGAGGTTGTGAAATCATGCTGACACGGGGACACTGTGACATGGGGAAGTCAAGACAAGGAATGCTTTTCTCTAAATCGTACGTAGCATTATGAGAGCCTGGACTCTAAGGGCCGAGAGGCCCCTCGGCCACCATTGGGCATTGACACCGAGGACAGATGCCAATTGGATTGGGTGGTCGGTGACCCAAGACACCCCAAGACTCAGATCCTGAAAAATGCCGAGGTCCATAGACATTCCTGGCGATCTCTCGTACATCACACACTGCCAAATTGAGAGCAGAGGCCGTCTCAGGTATAGCGGTGCGAAGAAGTGCTTGCGTATTCTGCCCCAACCCCGCAACCAAAAGGACAAGTTTTCCAGGTGGGATGCTCATTAACAATCATTCTTGAGCACCTTGACTTTAGGCAGATTTTGTTGGATCGCGGGCCTTGGGCGCAGGGTTTGCAGGTGGCAGCGGCGGTCCCATCTGCACCACTGTAGCCACACTGTCACAGGAGGATGCGTACCCATGCTTGCAGATAGCCCAGAGTATAGCTATTGATTTATTCCCTGATTGAACATTGCGGAGATAAGAAGTCCCCGGCCCAAGATGCACCTGCGTTGGAACTACAGTAGATGACTCGATGCTGCTCTCGTGAGTGGAAGATATTCCCATCGGCGTCCTTTCTCGTCAACGCGACCTCAAGAAAACATCAAAAAAGGCGATGTGAACGAAAATCATAACTCAACGCCATCTAAGTTTGCCACAAAGTGCCCTTAACCGGCAGTTACATCAACAAAAATACAAGCGTCGTTGGAGTGGTAGTAGCTTGCCGGCGTCAACCACCGAGGCCGAGGGCTAAGTTAGTAGTCGAGAAATTCTACTTAGACTGGGACCAAAGTGGACTCGACTCGAACCTGACTGGCCGGCACGGCACCAGATCCGATCACAAAACCCATGTAGCAAGCATTTTCCTCATGGCCCAAGATTCCATAGACCGACCACCTTACTCTCGGGATTTCTCCCTCTTGTTAGGTTTATTTGTCCTGTAAATCCTGCCTCGTCGCCGCTTCATCTCCAGTACATATATACAAACACTCATGTGTATGAGTATATAAGTGAGAAAAAAGCATCGAGACCCTGACATATACACATACAATCCTTCCCCAAACCTATGGGCGCCATTCGCTCGTTCCGGACCCCAACCCCGACAGTCTCCTCCCTGCATCGGTGTCACCAAACGCCTATCGTTCTCCCCTACCCTCCCCTGGCTAGCCTATAGAATGGCCGACCCTACCAATCCTCCTCCTCCAGCTGTAAGCACACAGATACAGTCGAGCAATCCACAGGTCCGATTAGAGCCTCCAACACCTATTCAAGATGGCCAACAAGCCCCACGTCTCACATCCGATAAGGAATACTACACCACTACCACCAACTCGCCCACGTCGACAGTTGCGCGATCCGACTCAGATCATGAAGATCGACCTTTGACACTTATTCCAACCCGCAACTCGAGGTTAGAGGCCACCAGAACCGTCACGCGCCTCAGCACCGCAGGCACCACTTTTACCGCCGACCCCAACTTCGAAGTCGACTTTGAAGGAGACGACTCAGAAAACCCTCGCAATTGGCCACTGTACTACAAATCATGGGTACTGTTCTGCGTGTCCATCAGTACTCTACTCGTTGTCGCCAACAGCACTGCCTACACGGCCGCCATGGGCGACATGATGATTGAATTCGGTGTCAGCGACAAGGCCATTGCCACCCTAGGAGTTACCACCTATCTGTTTGGTTTGGCCATTGGGTCCTTACTCCTTGCTCCCATCGCCGAGACATACGGCCGAAGACCTGTATATGGCATCTGCATGTTTTTGTTCGTGATTTTTGTGATCCCAGGTTCACTCTTGTCGAATTTTGGAGGAATCATTACGGTGCGATTCGTTGCCGCGCTTTTCGGTAGCGCGATGATCGCCAACGCTCCGGGTACCATCGCCGACATGGTCGCAGACGAATATCGCGCTGTGGCATTCTCAGTTTGGAGTATCGGTCCCATGAACGGCCCTGTCATCGGCCCCGTCTTCTCCGGCTACAGCACTGAGGCGTTGTCGTGGCGCTGGACCAACTGGATCATCGTCATCTGGGGTGGGGTATCCTGGGTCCTGATGGCCACGCTCAAAGAGTCGTACAGTCCTGTGCTCTTGCAGAAGAGAGCCGCCAAGATGCGCAAAGAAAACGACGACCCTCGCTATTGGAGCCGTTTCGACGTCAAGGTCGGCTTCCTCGAGCTGATGAAAATCAACCTGAGTCGGCCTTTCATTATGGCCGTAACAGAACCCATCTGTATCTTCTGGAACGGCTACATCTCCCTCATTTACGGCATTCTGTATCTATGCTTCGTCGCCTACCCGATTGTGTTCCGTGAGGAGCGTGGCTGGTCACTCGGTCAAACAGGCCTATCATTCATTGGCATCGGCATCGGCAGCATGATTGGAATTTCAATGGTAAAACCCATCACCAAGATGATCAACAGCCATCGACGCGACGAGCATGGCATGGTCCCGCCAGAAGCCATGATGAGCATCGTGTGCATCGGGTCGATCCTGTGTCCACTGGGCCAGTTGTGGTTTGCTTGGACCTGCTATCCGACCAGTATCCATTGGGCACTGCCCATTGCTGCGGGAATTCCGTTTGGAGCTGGTAACTGCTTTGTCTTCATCTACGCGGGCAACTATCTGGCGTACAGCTACGGCATCTACGCGTCTAGTGCTATGGCCGGCAACGCCGTTCTGCGGTCCTTACTGGGCGGCACCTTACCCCTCGCAGGACCCCCGATGTACCGGGCCATGGGCCCCAACTGGGCCGGCACGTTGCTCGGTCTGCTTGAGGTCGCCATCATCCCCATTCCCTTCCTCTTCTACAAGTACGGCCACCGAATCCGCCAGAAATCTAGCATGATCCGCGGCCTGCGTGAGAACGAGATGCGGCAAGAGCGGAAGCGCAGGGCTGCAGAGGAGAGACTGAACATCGCTGTCCTCAGTGGCGACGATATGGAGAAGCAGGATGCTCAGCTCAATCTCTGCCGCATCAGAAGTCGTGTCGACGAGGCCAGAGATATTGAGGAACATGGCCAGGAAATTTTGAATCGAAACCAGGGTTACGGAAGCGAAAAGGTGTAATGACCGCGGATCGATCGGCCGACTGCGCGATGAACACAATGAAATGACGATGTATGAGAAGACACTAGGTCGAGGCTCATGACCAAGGTGGTTGACGCAGGGACTGGTCGATCACTATGATTTGAACATATCACATTGCAAGCGTGGAGTTTAGGAAAGGAACATGCATGGTCTGGAAATGGAACTTGATAGACGGGTGCGAGCGAGCAAGAAGACGCATTGTGATTTATGTAGTGGGCAACCAATTTAAAAGATACCCAGGTATCCAATACTATAATATGTGTGCTAGAAATTTTCCATATAGCCACTGGCTATGTAATCGTGAAGCTGAGGTCGTGTCATAATGAGCGTTCATTTGAACAAAATCTCCAAATTCGGTCTTTGTCGCCCGAGAGGGTATCGAGATTCCCAACGGCGCTCAGCCGTGCTCTCTTGCGTCTGGTTTTGTTCCAGCTGACAACGAGGTCGGAGGCCCGACGAGCAGGGATGGCTGTGGCGACCATTGAGTGTCCTGGATGCGCGGCAGCCGGGGTCATTGTGCCTTGGGTTGCCCTGTGCGTAGCGCTTGGTGTTGAGTATATTCTCACAGCTTGCACTAGACGAAAGATGTGCCCCGTCTAAGCTGTGAGGAAAACCAATAGAGGGCATGCCGCATGTTGGGATGATATCGGACCTCGGGTAGACCTGGTCGGATTGATTGGTGAAAGCATATGTATCATGATATTTCTCATCTCTTCCAAACCCCGTTCTCGTCCTTTCTCCATCTCGATCCGATGGGCGTATGTAGTCGCTGAGGTCGGGGTCTAAGAGAAGCAGCTGGGGACATGGGCTCGGTGACCATCGTCACAGTGACACCGTCCTTGTCTATCACTTCTTTCGAAACAAGTCGGAACTCTTGACCATCCTCGCTCACGGAGGTGGAGGTGGACGACCCATGCATGGAACTGATGTCCAATGCCTCACCTTCCAACACCTGCATCATCTCTATGCCTGGTGATTGATGGGCTCGCCATTCGTTTCTCATTTTCTCCCAGTGATCCGGCTCGTCGGCTTCGTCACCGCTGACAATCCGCGCCAGGGCCGGCATGTCGGCCTCTACGCATCGTACGGCGGTTACTGACGGAGGCCCCGAGTGCGGATGCCGCAATTGTTGCTCCATGGCCGTCAAATGGCTAGACTTCTGTGTGCCCGTCATCAAAGGCGCACAGGGAGCCTTCTGCCTCACTTTTTGTATATGGGGGTCATTGGCCAGTTTGGCCTTGACCGCAGCAGCGTGTCGTGAGGTGATGACGATGCGCTCCACGTCTTTTTTTTCCTTCTTCTTGTCGCCCTTGTTCCTTCCAAACAATTTACTTAGCCCACTGGTTGACTTGGTCGAGGTGCTGGATGACCGGCTCGTGACCGAGTTTGTGCGGCTACGGTCCTCGCCGCTTCTGGACGTCATCCAGGCAGGCTCCGACTTGTGAGACGTAATGGATGAAATGCTATTCCTTCGTGAACTTGCTGGAGAGGATAGCGAAGAACGTCCGGTTTCTGTTAAATATTGACGCTCACGGCTTAGAGGAAAGAAAAGCGTTGTAGTCATAATGGATATTGGTGGGCTGTCGCCTCTGTGACTTTGTGGCAAATGGATTGGGCACAGATCGACTCTGGCTCGGTCACACCGGGAAGGGAAAATGGGGAGTGACAAAGGAATTGTAGAAGCGAAAGGGGTGAGAAGAAACGTCAGATCTTCTTCCTCCTATGTACTGAGGCAGTTAATAATTACGCATCAGTATTTGACCGAGATCTATCCACCAGGGACAAAGGTACTCCGTAGACAGGGTCATGGCTATCAGGTACTTAATCTTCAGATAAAGATACGACGTTCATCGATGGGTACCCGCGACCCCTGATGGGTCGCGGGTACTGGGTTGGCAATGTCCCACCCAAAAAGAACGAGTTTCGTTTGAGGCGCAAAGCTTGGGGACTGGGTCATGATTGTCCTCTGTCGAGAGAGCACGCAGAGATTTCACGCCTGAATCTGAATTCAATATAATGGAGCAGAAGCCACAATGTGACGCTTTGATAACCACGGGCCAGGTTTGGGTGGTTGGGGACGTTCGAAGAGTTGGGCTTCAACAACCGAAACAAAACTCCGAGAAAAGTGGGTCGAAGCAAGGAGAGGCTCTGATCCAGTAGTAGCGGTCTACGAGTACTCCGTAGGCATCCCCGCGCGGACCCTTAACACCTAATGCTACTACCCATAACTTAACAGTAGAAGCCCCTCGGCCGAATCTATGAGCAAGGTAGGCGCCTCTGGGTGCTAGGCGAGGCCGAGGAGCCCGGACTGCCGCCGGAGTATTCTTCCAACTTCATTATAGGCCAGAGGCGCCTAACTGACTCTGGGAAAGTCGCCTCAAGACCAACGAACTCGCTTATCTTAAACTTCTCCTAGGTGCTTCCCAGTGCGGAAGCGGCTGAACATCAGGCATAATGGGCGGTCCGACAAAACATGGCATCAGCCTATCAACCCAAACCCATCTCCCCCAGTCAGCTCGACCGATGCTTCCTTTTCTAGGACAGGTCATCGATCAATTACCAGTCGTGGGTGAACGTGGTTGGGATTTTGTCAGGTGCCACACTCTAACATGCTCTGTATATCCGGGGGATTGATAGAAAGCAACAGTTATAACTTCGTCTCTAGTTCTGGCCACAGCACTTCTGAGATACCAAGGAAATGCAATCGCATCGTATTGGGCAAGCTTTCGATTTCCGCTGCCTCGACCATACCAATGCAAGCACTTCCGCGAAGTCAACAAGTCAGTGAATGCACATGGGCTACTCTAAGCAGAATGCCCCGGCAACGTATTTCAAACACCCCACAGACCAAATCCGAGATTCGTAGCCATGAGACACTCAAGTCCAGACACCTGTGCACACTTGGACCAAGTCACAGCGGCAGCCCTTTCAGGGCACTTGGCCGAGCCGTTGGGTCTGACCATCACAGTGTACTCCGTACTCCGTATGAGTAAATAATGGACCCCCACTTCTTTACTGTGTACTTGTGTATTCCTCATTCGGGCGGTGCTTGTTGCCTACACTTGGACCAAGCGTAAGCTAGCTCCACTTCTTGAAATTAGTCTACTGGCTATGTCACGGTTGAGCCTTGCTCTGGAATACTCCGAATGCCTCGAAGAACCGTGCTTTATCGCCTCTCCTTGCTCTGAGCCATGTTCAGTCGTCTCCGCAAGTTGGCATTGATCGGACTGTCATATATTCGTGTAACTTATAAGGCCTGCGAATTTAACATCCTGCCGAGACCGCAATGGGTTCACCACCGCTAATGGTGACATCTTCGTGGCAATCATAGTATCTAAACAGCTCATGTTAGGATAATGAATGACAAGACAGCAATGCCCAGTGCCCTTACAGCAGTACTGACTGCCAGGGGGCTAACTTCAGATGATTGGATCAGCTCTGGCACACCTTTCGTGGCAACTGAATCCACTAAGCATCTTGTCTGGCCATTAGTCTCATCCGGCACATTGCCCAAGTTGAAGACTGTCTCAATCCATTGTACGCCGACATAGACCTCTCGATTGAGCCTCATCCTGCCAGAGAAACTTTGCCCGTTACTCCATAGGTTGAGCATCAACTGGCTGGGCTCAGTCGGGGTGCTGTTAGTCGTCTGGAACAGCAGCTCGTCGTCCATATACCAAAAACTCCTTCCCTCCAACCAGTCAAGTCGATAATCAACCCATTCGGTCCAGTTTTTGCCACCTGGGATCTGGAATTTCCGCGAAACCCCCGGAGTGGTCGGAGATGCTGGCTGGTTGGCGAATGAGACCGTGTCCATTGGATCTCTGGTCAAGATCTCAATGTCGCTTTCCTGGGTGTCTGATGCATACGTGAAGAATCCCAGCACAGCACCTGTAGCGACATTGCCATTGTCCATGTCGTCAGGGATGATCTTCATCCGGGCACGCATGCTGGCGTACAGAATATTTTCATCACGGCTGGCTAGCTGTACCACGCTCTGGAAATCTTGTAGCCTGGTAGTTCGCAGAGTCAAGTAGGTCTGTGTGCCGCCCGAGTCCGGATCAGTCGATAGGTATGCGTTCTGAGCCGAGTAGATCATCGGCACCTCAGATTCTGGGTTCCTGATCCCGTTTCGGATTTTCCATGCATCTGAGAATGCAGCCTGAGAAAAATAGTGTGATGTCACATTTTCCATCCCCTCATCTTGGTCTGGTGTAATGGACGGTGGCTCACTAGTGACATAGTCGCCAAGGTCGCGAAAATCCCAGAAGCGATGATTCTCGAAGGGGTCAGCATCGTGTCCAGAGACAATGTACAGATCGCAATTCGAGTCTGATCGAGATGCAAGAGGTGCGGGCAATTCTGGAGCAAACGACGCCTCGGTCCGCAAGTCCACGAAAGCCAGCGCTACTATCGTCAAGCCTAACATATTGACTGTGACGAGAGGACGAAAACTTCGAGAAACGAAACGAAGCGAACGAAAGGACAGCGGTGGTGTGAGCCGCTACCTCGAGGATCCCTTCTGGACCCCTCCATGCCCTTGTCGTCATCCGTTTCTGCCAATAAATGATATCGAAATGATGAATCCTGTCGGAAGATGAGGCCGTGCGCGCTTCTGACGTGAGGTGCAACGAACGATCTACCAGTCGAGAAGCCTTGGAAAGCCTCACATCTGAGAGGGCCAAGCACTGAGGCCTGTCCGACTAAATGAGCGATGGCAGGTCGTTCAATTTGCTTTTCTGGCGTATTGAAGAATAGCTTCCTCGGTTACAGCTGTGCGTCTGTGCACGAACCCTTGGTTGGGGGTCGGGGTCAAAATGGTATCCGTGCCTCATTCGCGTGGACGCCAACGACCACTGGCACCGTCCATCTTTATGTAAAACCCTTCAGTTGGCAGGCTGGGATTCTTTTCTTAGTACTGACAACCACAGTATTGAGAGAGAACAGACCCAAGGACAACCATTCATCTCAAGGCACCTACCACGTCTCGAACGTTCCTGCGGGACCATCCACACTTATGTACGGAGTATGCAGACATATCCTGCCCCTCCATCCGCTAATGCTCTCTGTTGACAACGAGCCCACAATGCTTGTTAGTCAGCCATTGCTATGAGCATTTCGATCCAGGTACGTCGGTAGTTCGTTGACGATAGACCCTGCCAGGAGTTAGTCCTAGGCTTACCAAGGAGGCACAGGCCACTTCATACCCCGAGTTCTCTTCAAACGGCTCTTGGGACTCACCTTGGTAGATCCTTTGCACATGCTTGGACCACTACCACCCATACGCCGCCCCAGAAGGCGCAAAGGGCAAACCGAAACCCTGGTGACCGATTGTAGCATCCTGGTCTAGCCCCACACGCTGACGGAGGCCATGCCAACAATGGTTCGTATTATTGATTGATCTATCTGGCTCAACTATATACTATCTCAATCGCTTGCGCTGTCTCAGCGAAGTGTCATGTTTGCCACCAGGATTTTCTATGCCTATACCCTTTAATCAGAACCTAACGCTGGGATGATCGACCCGTTTCAACTTCACCCGCCTTCACCTTCACCATCAGCATGAAACGATACCAATTTGCCAGATGTCGGTGACCAACGCTACGCAAATGCAACAGGTGCACGATGGAGTCGCCGTAGTCGACTGGCAACAGTGGTTGGACCTTGAAGACGGCTCTGTGAATGGAAAGCAGAGGAGATTGCGAATTGCAAGTCCAGAGCCACGTGGCGATGCCTCTTCAAGGAGATCGTGGCCGCTTCCATCACCAACATCACCGCTAGCCGCTCCCGAAAATGCAGTCCTAGCCAATGAGGACCGAGTTCTACCTATCCAGCGCCCGCGAGCGAATTCCCTGGCTATCTCTTCAGCCGACTCTCTGGAAAAAGTACAACTGCCAGATGTCCGCAATGTCACAGTCACACCAAGTCCGTTTGCAGACCAAACGACCTACCCTAGGAACGAGCCTCAGATTGCCACTCTCATCGGCGAGCGAGTTGTCGAGGAACCAGACCCGGAACTTGGACGACCACGAGCTCCCAGTCGAGGAAGCATAGAGAGCTTGGAGAGACTGTACAAGTCGAAACGCCACAGCAGCAAAAGGGGCAAGTTTGCCCAAATATTCTTCCGATACTCGATGTATCTGTTGTTAGTGTGCTTTATCTACTTTGTCATGGTGGGAGTTCCCTTGTGGAGGGGGGTGGTTTGGTATTTATGGTATTGATTTCATATTTCCACTTCTGAGGTTCCTGTCACTGACAAGAATGACTCAGGTTTACTTTGAAATACAAACGCGTTTTACGGGGAGGCTGTGCCATCCTTGTCAGTATTGCATTTGCGTAAGTTAGCCACTCTGCACAATCTGAATCTAGAAGTATCATTGACACACGTGCTTTTGCAGTTATGCCATAGGTACTTTGCTCGTGAGATACGAGCCTGACCCGGCACCTATACCCCCCGAAGAGGCCCAAGCCTATATTGAGCGCAACAGCAGTACAGCTCTCATTGTGCCTTGCTACAAATCTGCTGAGATCATCGGACGTACCCTCGAAGCAGCCCTGCAAATATTCCCACCGGAGAACATCTTTGTGGTTGCCAACGGCAACAGTCCCACACCTCTCGACAACACCGAAGAAGTATGTCGACCCTACGGCGTCAACCATATTTGGGTTCCTGTGGGTTCAAAGATTGTCGCTCAATTTGTTGGGGTCTATGCTGCACACAAGTTCCAACATGTCCTCATGATTGACGACGACTGTGCCCTTCCTGCAGGGTTTCCCATCGTAGCAGATCGGATCCAACCTGGCAAAAAGAAAGGCCTGATCAAATGCGTTGGATATACCATCAAAGCTGTTGGTCCCAATGGCACCAAAGGTACCATTGTCCAACAACTCCAAGATATGGAGTATAAGCTATCCGGAATGGCTAGGAAGTGGCAGGCAACATGGGGCTCTGCGACTTTCGCCCATGGCGCCATCGCGCTCTGGGAGCGGGATTTCATTCTCAAATGTTTTCGACATCACCCTGGATTCAAAATCTCCGAAGACTGGTTTTTCGGTATGGTCTGTCGAAACATGGGAGGCCGCATTGTCATGTGTTCGGCTGTCTTGGTGGAAACCGAAGTCCCTTCAGGATTGTTCGTGGGCGCTGGCGCCAGAGGAGGTTTTGGGGAGATGACGGTTTACAAACAACGGTTCTATCGCTGGAACTTTTTCTTTGTCTTTCGCATCTGGCACAATGTGAAGCACATTCTCTTCAGCTGGAACCTGGGCATCTATTCGATCGGCGACAAGGTTTACACTTTTCAAGAGGTAAGAGCCCTGCCACCAGAGATGTGGGAGTTACAGTATTGACCTTTACCGACGTCCACAGCTCCTGGGGACACTCTTCTTCCTTGGTGGTCCTATTCTCCTACCACTGGCCTTCATTGTGGAACCAAGGTTCGCTGGTATTATGACCGGCGCTGTCATTGGCATGTACTTTATCATTGTCAACCTGTTTAATGAGGTAAGCCCTGCGCCGTTCCTCCTGCACATGCTTCCAAAGTTTTCGCTAATCATTCTGAAGATTATATTACGTCAAAAGAGGGAGATGGTCTCCCGAAAAGTTGTCATCTTCTGCTACATCCCGTACAAATTTGTACTACGAATTATGAACATTTTCTCAGTGTGAGTATTCATGACGACGTCTCCCTTGGATTTTTCTTTCACTGACAAGGCAACAGATATTACGCCGTTTTTACATACCCACGATATTTCGCCGTGCGGCATTTGTCGATTGTTGAGGACCAACAAGTGGTCGAGCTTGTGATACAGTCAAAGGGAAACGAAGCCGGGCAAAACCCCGAAAAACAAGTTGCTCGACCTGAGTGCGCCGCCCTCTCCGAGCGTGTCGTTTAGCCAAGGAATCGTCTGCCCATTGGCCTTAATCAAATACATTGAATCTCCTGCCTCATCGTGGCCAGGATGCTGAATAACAGAGCCAGTTGAAAATTTCGTATCAGGGGCTGATTAAGGTCTGGTGCTAAACTCACGTGGGCAACCAGGGCAATAAGAAATGCACGACATCCAGTCGGCCCGATACAATCGGCTATGGACATGCAGTGAGGGAGACCTAGGAACTGACGGCGCGGTTGGCCGTTGCTCTTAACAAAGGCCTGAGTTGGCCGTCACGTTGGCCTTAAACATTGGCCAACGGGTCAACTGTACCCAGTAGAATTGCCCTAAGGCTGCCCCGGTTTTGGTCAAGAGTGGCGGGCAGGCCTCTCGTAGGCCGAAGCGGCTATGCTCCCTCTCAGATAAGAGAGAGTTCTGACGTCTTCTTGGCGGGTGATCTTCGTTTAGCCTTGTGCTTATCGGCATAAAAAATGGTGGACGTTCAGATCGGTAATTGGAAACGACGAATGAATTTCGTCGCTCCAGGTCAATCCGGGATCAAAAAAGCAGAGTTCTTCTTGGCAAGTATCAGCGTGCAACGTTGTGCTCGCCGCTATCGCGTCAACAAATGCGCGGCCAACAAGAAGTCATCGCCCTTCTGACCACGTGAACAGCGAGCGGCGTCGTCAGTTGTTATATATTCGCTGTCGTGTCTAGATGTAGACCTGATCATCATCAACATCAACATCACCTCATCGCTCACAGACCAGAAAATCAGACTGTACACACAATCAACACAATGGACAGCGAAATGTCTCAAGACAAGAAAGTCATTTCGGAGCGGGGCACCTCGGAAGCTGGACCAGGTGAAGTCCTGGAACTCGACCGGGAGGTGAGAAACATGATCCCACGACGAGATAAGATCCATACTCACGCATTTATCTAGATGGAGAAACGAATCGTGCGCAAAATTGACTGGCACATTCTGCCCTGGGTTTGCGTGTCTTATCTCATCAACTACCTCGATCGAGTCAACCTGGGAAATGCGCGAACTCTGAATAACGATACGCCGGAAGACAATATCGTTCAACAGCTTGATCTACGTGGTATCCGATACAGTACTGCTGTGGCCGTCTTCTTCGTTCCCTATGTCTTGATGGAATTTCCTAGCAACATTTTGCTCAAGTACTTCACCCCAAGAGTCTGGATTGGCCGAATTATGATCAGCTGGGGCATTGTGACTCTCTGCACTGCTGCAGTCTCAACATACGCTGGGTTGTTGGTGGCTCGATTCTTCCTAGGTCTCGCTGAGGCAGGATTCTATCCTGGTGTGATCATGTATGTTCTTTTCCGGTGATGATTCTCTCCATCCATCTAATCCCATACAGGTATCTTTGCTTTTGGTACAAGCCCAACGAAAGAGCCACGCGCATGGCCATTTTTGCTGGGTCTGTTGCCGTGGCTGGCGCATTCAGCGGCCTTCTCGCGACTGGCATCTCGTTCATGAACGGCAAGGCAGGTCTAAGCGGTTGGCAGTGGCTATTCATCCTTGAAGGCATTCCCGCAGTTCTTTTCGGCATTGCAGTCTGGTTTTTGATGCCCAACTATCCAAATGATGCAAAGTTTTTGACCGAAGAAGAACGGGCTTTTGCCGTTGCTCGAATGGGTCCTTTTGCTCCAAGCGCCAACGACAAGCATTTCGACAAGGACATCGCCAAAAAGACACTAATGGAACCTCTTTTCTGGCTCTTCGCGGTTCAGTACTTCCTCATGACCAATTCCTTGAATGCTTTCGGCTATTTTGCCCCCACAATCGTGGCCTCTCTCGGTTTCGAAGGCTACGTTGGACAACTTTTGACAGTGCCTCCCAACTTTTTCGCATTGATTATCATCGTCAGCAACTGCATGCACTCGGACTTTACCAAAGAACGAACCCGGCACGTTATTGCCGGTCTGATATTTGTTGGGCTGGGTTACTTGCTTTTGGCAGTCTTGACGAATTGGATTGGGAGATATGTTGCTGTGTTCTTGATTGCTTGCACAAACGCTGCGGTCCTCCCCTTCCTAGCGGTAAGCAACATGTCCTATCTGTAGGATGGTATCCGTGAGCTATCACTGACACAATTGACAGCACCGTACTGCAACCGTGTCAGGCTCTACCGCCACAGCTCTTGCAACTGGTGGTATCATCGCTCTGGCCAATTGTGGTGGTATCTCGGCGCCATTCCTCTTTCCGGCATCTGACGGACCAAGATATCAGATGGGGAATGTGAGTATTCTTGGTTGGAGATATCCCAAAAAGCGTGTTGCTAACAACTTGATTGCAGTGGACCGTCTTTGCCTTTCTATTTGTCTCAATCTTCATCACTATCTACCTCGGCTGGAGGTTGGGCACTGGGTCTGAGTATCGTGATATCAAACAGGTGGCCGGCGAGACCTTGAACAGCGAAGAGTTGGAGAGACGCAGCAGCGCCATTACCCAAGAAGCTCAACGCGTCGCGGCCTCGCAGACAAAGGTCTGAGAGCGAGACACTTCGACAACTCGGGTTCGATACATTGAGTTTTGTTGATCGGTCTGATTTGCGGACAGAGATACCCTCATGCAGAGAGATGCTTATGGTCTCGGGTCAGATGCGACTCTAGATCTTCACGACAAGAACGATATTCTCCAAAAGTCTTAGGTACTAGGTAGCGGCTATTGAGATTTTTACTTGAAGATATGGGTTACTTTCACGTTGCAGAAGCCGAGTAGTCCCGTTTTCCCCCATTCGCCGCCCAGCCCGCTCTCCTTATGGCCGCTGAATACCGCTTTGGGCGTAATTGACTCAGCACTGTTGATGAAGACACTTCCAGCCTCAATTCGACTGGCGATACGAGTCGCACGATCAATATCCGAGGACCAGACGCAAGCGGCAAGTCCAGTGTTGGAGTTGTTCGCCTCGTGAATCACATCTTCTTCGTCCGACCAGGGCAACACCGGAACAATAGGACCTTTTCATGATCAGATATGCACTCGACGGCAACCAAGGTGTGCGCTCATACCAAATTGTTCTTCTTGCACGATTCGAGAATCTGCTGGTGGGCTATCAACAATAGTAGGGTTGATAAAATACCCTGTCGAATCCTTCACAAGCCCGCCAGTGGCGAATCTGAACCCATTTTGCAAGCAGTCATCGAAATAGTCTCTTACTTTCAAATACTGCATCTCGTTCTGCAATGGACCAAGCTTAACATCGTCATCCAAATCACTTGAGCCAACCTTCAAAGTTTGAGCATGCTTGACCATGGCAACCACAAAATCTGGATAGATGGATTCGTGTACATAGATTCGCTTGGTTGCTGTGCAGACCTACGATAGTCAGCGTTGGCCTTCAAACGGGCTGGGACATCAGAGGAGATGAAATCTTAGTTACCTGGCCGGAATTCCTGAATGCACCATCAGTCACTTTTGGAGCGACCTTTGCGATATCTACATCGGGGCAGATAATTGAAGCATCATTCCCACCACTTTCGTTCCATTAATCCGACGGGAGCCATTCAAAAGGGGTCTCATTTCATTAGGTACTTACAGTTCGAGGGTCAGTCGTTTTAGCGTCCTCGAGCATGCTTGCATCACCTTCTTCCCCGTCGCAGTCGAACCAGTGAAGGAAATTTTCTGAATGCCGGGATGTTCAGTCAACCAGGGCCCCAGGGAATCGTCCCCACCCAGAACCTGCAGTACTCCAGGAGGAAAGACTTGCTGAGCAAGTTCCACAAGTTTGAGAAGTCCGTACGGTGTGAAGGGCCTCAAGGTGTAGAATACTGTTAGTTGTCGTGTCCACATGGATGTCTGCAATTAATACTTACGATGGCTTTGCAATCACGCAGTTCCCCGAAACCAACGCTGGTGCAATCTTTCCAAGAACTTTATCCCAATGTTATCTCATGATACTGGTACGCGATAAGTCAGTCGGGAGGACTCACCCAGACCGACAGGAACTAGATTCCAGGTTTGGTTAGAATTCTCTTTCATCTACACAGAACTCAAGAATGAAGACTCACAATTCCAGGGACATATAGCAGCCACCACGCCTTGGGAGAATTAGTGGATAGGTCCGACGCCTAATCAGTTACTTGTACAAACCCATCGGCACGTATTGGGTAATCATCACTCGCTGCTCATCTTCAATCCTCTCTTCGGGCAAATCTAGGCCGACTAATTGAAATCAGGATTAATATCTGTTAAATGGATCAGTATGCTGCTACTTGCCATGATGCATGTATACATTGTAGCCTGCAATGGCCTCCATGTTATTTTTCTGTCGCAAAGGTCTTACGTCAGATCTGGTAAAAGGCCAGTTGCTAAATTGTTGTAACTCACTGGCTTCCCACATTCCTTTCTAATGAGAAAATCGAAATCTTGCATATGACTTTGGTAAAGCTGCCCAAACTTGGAACAAATCTCTTTGCGTTTGGCTATCGGAGTGGTTGACCACGACTTGAAAGCCTCCTGAGCTGCTTGGACGGCATCGTCGACGTCTTGCCGTGTTGCCACAGGAACATCCCAGAGTTTCTGTCTTGTGGTAGGATCGATGCCTTGATAGACAGCATTCCCGCCTCTCGCTTCGCCGTTGACAATGTTTGAAAATTGGGTGAAATCCATCACCATCTTCGAGGGCGACATACCTAATTCTTGGTTTCTCTCCGTTGGCTGGACCGCAATCAAGGCTTCTGATCATAGCAGAAGACCTTTTGTCTTCCATATCTATCATGACAGGGTGATGTCAGGCTTTTGCAAGCTCTCCAAACATTACCTAAGCACCGAGCCTGGCATCTCGGAGGTATCCTGGACCCGTTGGAACCAGGCTCGGTAAATTTTCATGTAATTCGCCGAACCTATATCACAGTAATGTCACGTCTGGAGTAGCCGCACCTAAATCGTTGATTGCGCCCAGTCAGCTAGTAGATCGGTTCCCCGATGGAACACGAGTATGCTCATGAAACGCCGACTGACGCCTTGGCTCAACTTCGAGGGGAGGGCAATTCTCAAGCACAGGAGAAGGTTTTAAGTTACTGTGACCGAGTCTTTGAGATGCTTTTCCATACTGACAGAACACATGTCCAAGTGAAGCTGTTGCTATACTGGAGTGCTATCTCGCTGTCTGTCGCAATTTGAACAAATATGCCCTCTCAACAGCCAACATGGACGTATGTCACGATCACATCGCCCAGCGAAGCCACCGGTGTACACGTCATCACGATGAACAAACCTCCCGAGAATCGTATTGATGTGAAATTCGCAAACGAAATCATTTCGGCTCTTCGCTACATTGAAAAGGACTTGCTAGGCCCCAATACTTCTGGTGCAGTCATTCTCACGAGCTCCAGTCAGAAGTTCTGGTGCACAGGGGTTGATCTCGAAGAGGCCACAACAGATCCTAACTCGTCAGCTGAAGGATTCTTCCCTTTATTGGCAACCATACTTGACTACACGTTCCCGATCATCGCTCTGATCACGGGACATACATTTGGCGGGGCATGCCCTATATCTCTCGCGTGTGATTATCGGATAATGAACAAAGACAGAGGATTCTACTGTTTGCCACCTGTAGACCTTGGGCTACACTTTGATGGCATGGGTTCTCTTCCCAGATTGAAGCTGCAGGCTCGAATCGCAAGGAAGATGCTGTTACAAGCACATCGATGGACGGCAGATGAAGCAGTGGCTGACGGTGTGATTGACGAAGCTGTGGAGCCAAGTCAGATGCTTACCAGAGCTATTCAAGTTGCGAAGGCTCACGCACCCAGGGCTAAGGCAGGTGTATATGGCCTTCTGAGAAATGAACTGTTCGGTGAAGCTACTCGCCAGATACAGCTTTTGGCTCACCGTCACCATCGGCCTAGTAGTCTTCCACCTCGAGCAAACATCTAGTCAGACTATGGTCCCAACAACGATGAATAGGTATAGTTGTTGACCTGAGTAGCACAGTCACCGGTGTACGTGTCAGAATCAGAAGTGAAATGGTTGATTGTCCCTCCTCATAGTCCTGGCTTCTCACAGCCGAACTTCTGATCTTTGCATGCTTTCCCAGTCCTTTCGCGTAAAGGGGATATACCCTTGAGAGTCACCCGGACACCAGAGTATTCGAGCATTAGCATCTACTTTCGCCGGATTGATCCCCTCTTCCCTTAGAGGCACTTTGTTTTGTTTGTTGTTGTGACTGTGTGATAGAGTATTAGCAAGCCGTATGAAGATAGGAACTGCGTATCGTGGTAGTCGATTCCGTGAGAAGTTGTGAAGTTCCACAAAGTCGAAGTTGTCCTCAAAGGCCGGATCAATAACTATCGCAGCGCAACCTGCACGACCCTCGTGTTGAGGGACCTCAACTCCGTAGACATTGGCTTCTAGGACTCCAGGAAATTGACCCAAAATTTCGCCGACTTCGGCTGTGCTGACATTCTCACTCTTCCAGCGGTACGTGTCGCCCAGTCGATCTAAGAAAAACCAACGTCCATCGCTAGTTCGACGAAGTGCATCTCCAGTTCGGTACCACAGGTCGCCTTTGGTGAAGACGTCTCGAGCGAACTTTTGAGAGGTGGCAACAGGATTGTTGTAGTAACCGGGAAAACCTTGTTCACTCGCCATTCGGACTAGAATCTCGCCACCTTGATCATACGGCTGGCGTTCGACAAAACCTGTTTTGGACGATCGCTGTAGTTCACCGTTTGTCGCGTCGACCGCAACCGGTACAATTGTGTTGTGTAGGATTTGGCGTCTCATCAAACCATGGTGCCCGACACACCCGACCAGGTAGTCTCCTGGTAAGCCCGGTCAGCACCCTTATTAAATGATGGAGCATAGGTGCATAAGATTGGGAAAGTACAATGGTACTCAGTGGTTTTACCTTGGCTCTTGTTTCTTAATGCAAAAACCCCCTCTGAACTGCCAAAGAATTCCACGATTGTAGAAACACCAAACCGATCACGAAACTTGGTCCAGACATCAGGCCTCAAGCCATTGCCGAACATAGTCGTCACGCGATGATTTTTGTCATCCGGGCCGGGAGCGGCAGCGAGCAGGTAACGAGCCGTTTCGCCAACATATGTAAAGCAAGTTGCATTGGACTCGCGAATCTCATTCCAGAACTGCGAGGCACTGAACTTCTTGCCTAGACATAATGTAATGCCACCCATAAGACATATAATGCTCACCATTCCGCCTGTACCGTGATAGAGCGGCATGCACTGGTACCAACGATGATTTGAGCCCACCTCTAAGCCATGAAACCCAGTGATTCCGTAGAGATAAGCATGATGAACTGTATGGGGCACACCTTTAGGCTTCCCAGATGTTCCACTTGAGTAATGGCACTGTTAGCCAGTTCTGAACGTGAAACTCTGGCTAGAGATTCGTTGGATCTGATTTACCTTGTGAAGATGAGAGCCTGGTTGTCACTACCTTTTACCTTCGCTCGAAACGAGTCATCCGGCCTTGTTGGACGCAGTGCTCCAATTTCAGCCTTGAGATTATCATCGAGCACCACGATACCCATACCAGGGAGCTCCTTTTCTGAGCTCTGCAGGGCTTCAAATCGGTCACTTAGATCGGGATCAACTATTGCGAGCAGGGATCCTGAATTCCTCAAAACATGCAAGAGAATTTCTCCTTCGAGATTGTGATTGATCAATGCAGGCGCGCATCCAATTGCCCAAAGAGCAACCCACATGAACAGAAACTCTGGGCAGTTTTGGTGGTACAGCGCTACCCATTGTCCCGGTTGAACACCCAGCGTAAGAAACCACTGTGCATAGCGACAGGTGTGATGGTACACTTGGATTCGGGTGTAGCATGCTGACTTGGACCAGATGCTGTCGCTATTGGGCTCTCGGTGCACTTGAGCCTCGAAAAGATACCACGGCGAGACCTTGTTATCCTTGACTACGACTCAAGTGAGTGTTTAGTCCACTGGACCACCAAGGAAAGGAGAAAGCACGGTACCCACCCGCGTTTTGATATTTCTTCTCTGCCCAATTTTGCATTCTTATTGCTTTGAGGTCTTTACTGATATGAGATCTCGCGTCCAAGTAAGCCACTGCCGCAGCTGTTGCCCCAATGACAGGAAAGACTGAAGTTTGACTCAACAATGTTGTCGCAAAGGGGTGATTGATGACAACTCACATGAAAACATTGCCGACATGCTTCCGTTTGCTTGGGACGCATTGATCAGCCTCAATAAGATATAAACGGAAGGTGTCATTCTTATGGACTATTTGCCCTGAAGTAGATACCGAGTTAAGTACCGAGTGTCCGCACCTCGGACAAGAGATTTTGCCGAGCTGGGAAATCTAGAATTCATCACTAGTGGAAGCATATCACTCCTCCAATTATCAAGTAGGTGATGCTTCTCTTTGTAGAGCTCTCAAAAACGGTGCCGATGCTGAAATCAAGACATGGGCCTACTAGTCAGCAACAAAAGAGTACGCCACCGTGATATCAACGAGGATGCTACGTGAACTTGAATTCGGAGAAGATTCCTGAGGCCCTGAGAGATATGCCTTATCTTAGATACTCCTCCGTTGGTCCTTGACGTTCTTTCCAGACATCATAAATCCTGGCACCGAGCCACCTTATGTGTTCATTGGACGAGGATCAGCCGACCTGTTACCTTCCCTCCTTTCAGCATCAATAAAGCCTCATTCGCACGGTCTTTCTGCATCAACGTGACTGGAACAGGCGCCAGTTTACCGAGCTTTGCCAGCTCTGTGATTCGTTCAAGGTGCTTTATAGTGCCGGTGCTGTTGCCTATTACTGTCGCGGCTTTTGCTACCAGACCAACCAGTGACATGTTGAGTTCACCACCGATCAAGCCAACCTGGACCATTTTGCCACCCTTACACAAAAGTGAAAAGGCCAAAGCTGCTGTTTCAGAGTTATTGACGAGGTCCATGACCGAGCTAATAGGTCCACCAGCAACGTCCACCAGCTTTTGGCGGGCATCTCCTGATTTTGGATCAATCGCTGCCGTGGCACCAGCTTGGAGAGCCGCTTCTCGACTTTGAGGCTGAGGATCTACACTGATCAACTTGGAAAATCCGAGTGCTTTCAGCAGAGATACTGCAGCGAGGCCCAGCCCCCCAGCACCTATCAGCACAATCGGAGCGTCAGGTGCCATGGGGTACATCTTCTCTATTGCGCTCATCACTGTGACTCCCGAGCAGCCAAAAGTCGCTGCGACTGCAGGATCGAGTTCTCCCGGATCGACGAGGTATTTAGGGTGCTTGACCAGGACATAATCCGCCATGCCGCCGTTCTGTAGGATGCCGATGCTTTGTGGCTTGTCACACAAATTCTCGTCTCCAGTCTCGCACCGCCAGCAATCGCCGCATCCTATCCAAGGAAACGCTATTCGACGATCTCCCAGAGCAACTCCCTGGGCTTGCGGTCCTAGCTGTGCGACTATGCCGAGTATTTCGTGTCCCATAGCGCAAGGAAGCTTACAGCCACGATCAGTCATATGGAACTTCTTGCCCCCTCCGAGATCGTAAAACCCTTCCCAGAAGTGTAGGTCAGTGTGACAGATGCCAGAATGGGTGACTTGAATTAAAACTTCAGAACCTTGGGGCTCCGGCCTTGGGAGCCGAATTTTTTGCAAAGGTTTCCCATTTTCAACGACAGCCCAGGCTTCCATGGCGACGTTTGTTCATCCAAAGAATGTCTTGTTTTGCTTTCATGTACGCATCCCCTCTGAGTGGGATAGCTAGCAATATAGAGGTCGATTTGTGGAGATGGCTTGATTATCAACCACTAATAGGCGAGCTTCTCGTTGGAAATCCGGGGCCGAGGGTGTAGCTCTGTGAGTGAAAACAACCCCAGTCGGAGATTTCGGTGATATTTGAGGAACTGTTCGCCCGTGGGAAAATTGAAGATACCGCCGTAGGCCTTGGCCTTTCGCTGCTTGGCAACTATAACAGCATTTGCAGAGGTACTGAACGTCAAACGGCCGGAAAATGTCTACGACGTTATGTAATTGCGCCTTTTTGGCCATAAAAGCTACTCGATGTAGTCCATGGGACAGGGTTGGAAGATTTCATCTGGCCAGAGCCAATCTCCCATGGTGTCTGAAATCCCAAAAGTTGGATCTCTCCAAGACGTGGGTACCAGAGTCTCTATGTCTAGAATATCTTCATTCGCTGGAATGCCCATAGTGAATTGTTGACCTGGGCTCGGAGGAGCAGAAGACCTCGTATAAGTCGTTGCTGGAGGCTGGGAACTATTACTTTGTTTGTCCATGGTCGAACCGTTATCGACCGCGGCTTCGACTATGGAGGTCCAAAGATTGCATCTTTGTCGGTCGAAACCTTCGAACAAAAGCGTATCTTGCACGTTGGAAATAGATCGGAGTCCTTGAGGAGCTGAAATGTTGAGGTGTTTTTCTCCGAGAATCTGATACTGTTTGAGAGCACTTATAGACGTAGGCCATCGTTTGGACATGGCAACCAGTGATTTCTCAAAAATCTGCATATTACCATGGACGATTTCGCGAATGGCTTCGTACTTGTGGGCAATCAAGTGTGGGATTGCCGCAGCCAGTATGTAAAAGCTTGTAATCGCAGGAAGCCGTGAAAACTCGTTCCTTGCAAGAAAGCCTTCCATGAGATAGACCATGTATGATGAAGCGATCAGGGCCACCGGCGACACAGATTCGCGAGGCAACTCTGTCTTACAGAGCAGAGAGACTGTGGCGAGATAGATGGCATAGATCTGCCTCACCACGAAATTGTTCCCCGATTCCTTTTCCGCGGTCCTGGTACTGAAGTATTGCATTTCGGAAGGCAATTCTTTCAGCCACCAAAAAAGTCGATTCCTAATGTCTGTTCCCACGGAGGGTGTGAACTGTCGTTGTTGATATGACTCGCAAAGATCGCCCAGGATCAGGCAAATCTTAACATAAGCAACAAATGGTCGAGCAGTTGTGTCGTGAAGCTCAAAGTCTTCGGTGGATATTAGCCGCCTTGAGCAATATTTGAGGTTGAATATCCGTGGGCGGCCTGTGCCGGATGCAACCTGACAGTCTCTTGCCTGTCGGGTAATATTTCAGTCCATGTTTTGACATAGATTGGACGAACTTACTACCAATGTCCACCATACCCTTCGCTTGTAGGATGCGTGGGTTTCGCCGTTGAGCTCTTGGTGCAAACTGATCTGGTAGGCTAAATCTGAGGCAAAATGGAGCCACGAACGACTAGAGTCATGCACTACTGTCCACGTATCTGTTTGGTTATACCACCCAAGCAGACAAGCAGCGACGATGTTGATCATCGGGTTCTTCTCGTACTGAAGATAGATGAGAGTTTTAAGAGAGGCGTAGTACTCCTTGCAAGGAAATGACGACGAGGCATCTGTGGCACGGGCTCCTGCCAGCAGGACAGCTTTCAACAATACGATGGGAACCTGATATCCCTCCCTCGCAATGAGCCAGCGAGGTTGAACGATGGGCATCAAAGGGTGGACATAGTTCTTCCAGTCTTCAAGTAGTGATGTCATCCAGACTCTCGAAGGAACCTCGAATGCGTTGTATAGGCGGAGAACCTTCATATCTACCTCGGAAAGGCGGCTGTGGTGAGCTTGTATGGAAGTGGCAGGGAACTCGTGCGAAAAATACTTCTCAAAGTCGACTTTTGCGGAGCTCCATGGCACTTCTCCTAGCGACGGGCTTGTGACAACGACTTCTGCCTCAGTCGTCTGCTCAATGTCATTCAACAGCAAATTCGACTCCGTTGCCTCAACAGGCGGAGCTGAAAGAGGTGCTTCTTCTTGATCTTCTTGATTAGTAGAGTGTGAGGCCTGTAAACTCGAATCTGCCACTGGTACTGCGTGTGTGTGTACTATACTGTCCCGGCGCCCCTCTTGAGGCTCTTGGGCTGGTGCCGTATGTCCATGCTTACGCTTCCTCGTTCGTGGTCTGGTAGAACCAGTCAGCGAAACTGTTGCCAGGTTAATAGATAGGTAAGGATTCACATGCACGGACTACCATGAAGCTCACAGTTTGAGCAGATTGTCCTAGTCAAGTCGAGATTACAGCGAACCTTAAGTGACGGTCAGCTCTCGCATAATGTGGCAGTCCCAGCTAGAAACTGAACCTTTCGTCTATGGCATGCCGTGCAAGCACGCGCTAGACCTGTCAGTCGATATTCGCCCGACATGTTCTCACTACTCCGGATATAAAGTGTTATCAGTGAGCCAAAGGTTTCGCGTACGAATATCAGAAGCTGAATGAGGCTAGCGGGGGACGTTGACTTGGTTCCCAGGAGTGAGGAATACTCTCCTACGGAGGAGATGATTGTAGAAGTGGTTCACTTCCTCAGATTAACGGAATTTTGGACAAAATCGCCGAAATGTCCGCGGGAAATTTCTGGGAAATGCTCCCTCGATCCCTCGGCCCCATCCAGAGGGAGGGTCCACATCCATGCACCCCGCACTACCCCCGCGAACTACGTACACGAGATGATTGTCAAAGATTGAGGCGGATGAGTTGCCTGGGCTTCGTTGTTCCTCCGGGGGAGGCCCATCAGTCTATAGCCAAAGGTACGGCTCTACAGTGTACAGGAGGCTGGGAGATGTTACCAACCATTATGTAATCATGTTGGGTTGGCATCTGACATTGATGCATACACTTGTGCTTGACTGATTCTCAACGGCTTGACTGGCGTTCACCACATTTTAGGCTAATCTGCAAGACAACATTCACCGACCCATATAAAATCGACTAAGATCCTAAGCACGGACGCAAGTAAATGGTGTTGACATCGGGGAAGTTGACAGTTGAGAGTGTTCTGACGATCTATGTAGGCTCTATGTCATCATTTGAACGAAACTCTAGAGTCTAGCTTGTCCAGACTTCCACGTCTGAATATCGGGGTGACCAGTTTCGAAGAGCTCCTTCTTCAGCAAAACCTTGGGTATTTTGAGAGTTGCAGTCTTTTGGAGCTCAGGGACCACACGCATGATGGTAGGCAACTTGTATGTCGATAGTTTTGTTTTGAGGTCGTCTCTTAGTTCTCGAAGTGACAGCGAATCAAATTGCTGCACATTGTGGTTAGTATCTGCTTTCATCGAAATCAACTCCATAGACAACCTACCTCCTTGAGCACTATCGCGGTGGCGATTCGTTGTCCATACTCTGGATCATCAACACCCACTACAATTGCCTCTGACACCTTAGGATGGTCCATGATTTCTCGTTCGATGTCTAGAGCAGAAATCTTGAAACCGCCAGACTTGAGAACTAGAAAATGGTTAAGTAGATGGGATGCAACAGAGGAGGGGGGAACTTACTATCGATAGATTTCCGACCTTTGATGAAGTAATGGTCTCCCACCCTTTTGGCAATGTCCCCTGTCCGGTAGAAGCCGTCACTTGTGAGGGCAGCCCTTGTGGACTCCACGTCATTGACATATCTTGTCGTGCAGTCAGCATCTCCATTTTTTTAACGGATACTATCATCATACTTGGAGAACAAAAATGGCGATCTAACATGGACTTCCCCTTCGTCTCCGTTATCTAGATAGAATTCGATGCCGGGGTTCGCTCGACCTGCGGATCCCTAGACGTAGAGCGTCAGTAGTCTTCATAACACTGAATCTTGTGGTGTGAGACAATACCACGATGTATTCCGATCCAGGGTAGTTCATGAAAGGTCCCACGAACTCTGTGCCACCATATCTCTCGGTGATCCTTGTGCCTTGAAATACTTCCGTCCACCTTTCAGACACTTTGCGTGGCAAAGCGGCAGACCCGCAATGAAATTGACGAATCTTACACATTTCCATCAGATGTCTTTGTTTCTCTTGCTCGGAATATCTAGAAACCACATCATCCCAATGTTGAAGTAATCGGACGAATATTGTAGGCACGGCTGAGATCGAAGTTATTCCGCCTTCCTGAATCCTCTTCCATATTGCTGCAGCATCAAATTTGGGCCTGGTGATTTCGACACAACCTCCTCCAATGAGAACGGGGATTGTGTTCAAAACCAAGCCAGTGGCATGATGGGTTGGTAGCATCTGCAACATGACGAAGCCTGGTTTGATTTCATTCTTCCACACCTGCATCAAAGCTATTGTGACCAAGTTGTACCGGCGCATCGCCGCACCCTTTGGCTTCCCTGTTGTACCAGAAGTGAAGATGACGAGACCAGGCTTGTTCGGATCTCGGACTTTCCCTGAAAAGAATTTGACCTCGCGAGGATCAATCGCATCCTCACTCAGTGGTCGTATGGGCACGCATCCATAGCCGTTAACGGCCGTGAGTCTATGGCTTAAGCTTAGTGCCAACTCTTCGAAGCGCTGAGAGTAGACTGCTACTTGAGCATTACATGTCTTTGCAATATGCTCAACTTCTTCGATCGTGATTTGCGGACCTTCGCCTTGGGCATTAGCAGGTTTAGTGGCTCTTGGGGCCATGATAGACACGTACTGGTGGGAACAGAGATTCCTCCGATTGCTAGTATCGCAAAGAAAGCGACAATGAACTCGTAGCCTCGAGCCAAAACCACAAAAGACACCTCTTTATCTGCCTGGAGACTCCCCTTTACTGTGTCATCGAGATTCTCGAGCAGTCGAGACTTCAAGTGAAGAATGTCGCTAAGCAGCTGTCGATAACTAAAATCAAGACCCAGGTCATTGTCTTTCACGGCTATGGCATCTCGGTGGCAAGCCAAATAATGCAGTCTGTGAAAGACGAGATCATGAGGCAAATTCTGCGGGGCCTCGTTCACCTGTACTAGATCCGTACGATCGAAAGAGGAGGGGTCAAGTTTTTGTGGTTTCATTGTCGATGAGCAGACGGCGTGGGGAGCAAAAGTAAATTATGAGGCCATGAGCGAGACATTCATGATACTAAGGCCAGTATATAAGGCTGATTCCGTTTTATTGACGCGTCTCAGCGCATCATCCAAGCACCATTTGATTACCGCGGAGCCCCAGCCGCCCTGCAATAGAAAGCGCCGAGATCCGGCCCTGACTTTTATGCTCTCTATCAACAAATGGCGTCGCAACCAGAGACTTAGTTTTACAATTAGGTTTATAGCTTAGCCGCTTCTTTACCAAGTATGCCCCGGGGTTTTGTGGACTGTGGGTAGCTTTGACCACCTGCCCTGCCTCCACCGTTAACTCTCCACGCACCGCCATCCACGTCGATACATGTTCCATTGACAAAATTTCCCGTATCTCCAAAGAGGAAGACGGTGGCGTCAGCAATGTCCTTCACTAGTCCTAGTCGTTGTACGGGGATTGCACGGCTCATCTCCTGCAGCTCTCCAGGCGGCATCAAACGACTCAGACCTTCTGTAGCATCTATAGGTCCAGGAGCGATGATATTGGAAGTCATTCCTCTTGGACCGTACTCAAGGGACAAGACATCAGAGATGGCATTAACGCCTGCCTTTGCCGCACAGACATGGGCTTGGGCGACTCTCGCAGCACGGTAGTTGGTAGAGCTGACAAAAATGATTCGGCCACCGGTGCCACGGGAGGCTGCAATTGTGGTTGATATTAGCATCTTGAGATGTTTCGAAAGGCTACACAGGATGATGCGATTTGTGTTCAACAGTTTTGCGAACCAGAGAGTGTATTGCTTACTTGATTTGCCATCATTGCGATGAACTTCAGCCGACTTCAAGAGATGTGGTAACGTCGCTTTGACTGTGATCCAAGAGCCGATGAGATCGATATCAATCACAGCTTTGAAAGCATTAAGTGATAGATCTTCAATGGTGGCTAGAAAATTGCCTGCTGCTCCGGCTCTTCTCACATCGAATCAGCTAAATTGCCAGGGAGACCGTTCTCCGGGTAGCTCACATGACGAAGTCGATCGAACCAAGGTGTTGGACACATCTTTCAACCGCTTGATTCATTTTGATGGGATCCCGGACATCGACATCTCCAATGCCTAAGACCTTACTTCCAGGTCTCAACGACGATATCTCGGTGGCGACCTTCTCAACCTTGGGCCGATTCCGTCCGACGATGCAGGCATTTGCACCAAGAATAACCATAGCCCGTACTTGGCCAGAGCATATGGTTCCAGATCCGCCTGTGCAGAAAACCACTTTACCTTCTTTTCGTGGCGGACAAATCAGTGATCAGCGGTCGATGGAAAGGCTAATGGAGCACATACTGAAAGTGTCCTCTTTCCATGCAGGGCTAAGTATCAAACTGTGGGAAGACATGATGAAGTGACCACCTACCCACGAGACTCACGGTTGATGACTTCAGGAAATGCACGATGTCATTAAAGGGTTCTGACGGATACTGATGAAAGAATGCACCGTGCGGGGGGCCGAGGGGCACCCAGGGTTCAGTCGTAGGTATCCTTAAAATTGGAGCATAAATTCTTGCCTCTTCTCTCGGCCCACGGTGGTCGATACTCGGTCGGGCTGGAAAACTCGGAGAGGCATGTGTCCGTTCGCATGGACCAAGGATCTTCATCGGCGGACAGGATGCCCCTCAGTCAATACCTCGAGGCGAAGGACCGCTGTCGTCAAAAACAACTTGCAAAACCTTAAAACCTCCGAGCTCATCGGCGAGTTGGCATTTCTGACAGCGGGAAGATACAAAGCACCGAGACCTAGCCCAAAGAAGTATTCTCATTCTGGGGAAATTTCATCTTGGCTCGTCAAAGACCGCCCTTCCCCAGATTTTCCCATCACATGTGACTTTGTCTGGTTTATCCATGCGGGAAGCTCATTATAATTTCATTTCTGGACACCTGGTATACACAAAGTTCAAGGATGTTTTCACCGAGCGGAGTTGCTCGGTGCACTTCTCCTCTATAAAAGGTGATTTACTTCTGTTGCCAACAAACCCTCCCTGATAGACTCTGAATACGCGAGACTTCAAGCTTTGATCGAGAAAGAATTTAGCATCTCTCATATCAGTTTTCCTAGATACCAACAGTCCACAATGTCGGCAACCAAAGAGGAAGTTGTTTTCTCCAAGGACGAGTCATCACTTGAGATTGAAAATGTCAAGGCGACGGTTCCTCCCCCACCATCTTGGGAGGCCATTATCGATTCTTTCTCTGCCCAGGAGACGAAGAAGTTGATATTCAAGATCGACATGCGCCTGGTCCTACCACTAGGTTTCATGTACTGCGTCAGTCTCATGGACCGCAATAATCTAGGCAACGCCGCAATCGTGGGCAT